TGTCGGCGCGACAAACGTACACAATTTTTTTGCAAAAATAGGCAAACAAAAAACTCAATCAAAGGATAGTCTCAACAGATCGCAGTATAAGATGACTGCTCTACTGAATACAACACCTTGACCAAGAGACCAAGTCGTATGCAAGTGATTTAGCGCCCCCGACATTGAACCAGAGTGATCTGGCGTTGGCAGGCGCCGCAGAGTTCACTACGACGCCAAGGCCATACATAGGGCATAAGCTCTCGTGTTGCCACGAGATAGAGATGCCTCCCGACACCGGGAAGCAAAAGAATTTTTCGCCTTGACAAGGCGAGATTCTAACTTAGAGGCGTTCAGTTATAATCTCTCAAATGGTAGCTTCGGACCAGTGGCCTGTCGACCAAGTCCATGAACCAAATGTTTGAACCCGCTGTTCCTCTCGTACTAAGCAGGATTACTTTCGCAATAACAAGTCAACAGTAGGGTAAAAACTAACCTGTCTCACGACGGTCTAAACCCAGCTCACGTTCCCTATTAGTGGGTGAACAATCCAACGCTTGGCGAATTCTGCTTCGCAATGATAGGAAGAGCCGACATCGAAGGATCAAAAAAAGCAACGTCGCTATGGACGCTTGGCTGCCACAAGCCAGTTATCCCTGTGGTAACTTTTCTGACACCTCTTACCAGAAACAATCTGGATTAAAAAGGATCGATAGGCCACGCTTTCGCGGTCTGTACTCGTACTGAAAGTCTAGATCAAAGCAAGCTTTTTGCCCTTTTTGCTCTACGAGAGGTTTCCGTCCTCTCTGAGCTCGCCTTAGGACACCTACGTTACGATTTGATAGATGTACCGCCCCAGTCAAACTCCCCGCTTGACACTGTCTTCGAGGAGAGTCACGGTGCCATAAAATGGCGCCGCTTAATGCTTCGAAAAAAGGCCTGACGGCCAATCCTCTTTCAACCGAATAAGTAAAGAGTCGATGAAAGTGGTGGTATTTCACTGGCGACCGAGGTCTCCCACCTATGCTACACCTCTCATGACTCTTCACAATGTCAAACTAGAGTCAAGCTCAACAGGGTCTTCTTTCCCCGCTATTTTTGCCAAGCCCGTTCCCTTGGCTGTGGTTTCGCTAGATAGTAGTTAGGGACAGTAGGAATCTCGTTAATCCATTCATGCGCGTCACATCTTACGTTTAACGCGGAGCTCGCGCCCGTTGCATATGGGTTGCCAACCACATGTGCTACGGTCGGGGGTGGATATAGTCGTTTAGCGTAACCCGAATGGAACCTGCTGTGCTAGACAACGGAGGTAGACCATCCTTAACCCCAACTTGAGACCTCCGGACGCATGGCACGCCATGCACCTTCTTTCTCTTGTTCAGTCCTCGCTCCATCCAGTCCGGCCTTAGAACTGTTGACCGTCGCCACGCACCGGATTGCAAGCAATCCGTCACCTCGCACCGCCCCGATTCATTTCTTACGATCTTATTGGTCGCTTGCCAAATGTGCTCTCATAATGCCTACCGTATTTCTAATGACCCTGCGCTGCAACTTTGTAATGAGACATCGCTGTCTCTTTGGCGTGTGACACCCTGGGATTTTCCGCACTTGTTCTATGAACGACGTGTGTACTTCCCCGCACGTACCAATCACGATAGGGATTACCTCTACGCGAAAGCCGTTTGAGTGTTGCAAGTCTGTTGCTAGCGCCGGGCCCCGGGCATATGGCGGTCGCCGATCTTCTGCGTTACCGTTGAGAGCATATTTGGCGTACTTCCACTTTGAAAGATCCTCGAGGCGGCTCACCCACGTTACTGCTACCTCAATGATGAGGATTTCCTTTTTCGCAGGGTTTACCAGGACAATGTCCGGTCTCCTGAACTTTAGTACAGCTCGAGTGTGAAAGAGGTGATTCCAGTATATCTTGACCCCCCCTCGGGTCTCATATACTGGTGGTGGGGACCAGTTAGACTTTAGCTGCCCCACCTTCAGCTCGTATCGTAGGTGATCATAGATCACCCTACACACTGCATCATGCCTCTTCACCATTAAAGATGCCCGGAAGGTCCTGCACACCGATGCCACGTGTTGGCACGTCTCGATTTCGTTACAAAACCGACACCCCTTATATCCTTTGGAAGGGTGGCCTCGGAAGAGGACTTGGTGTTCTTGCAAACCCATGGCATCTCGAACGACAGAGCTCTCCAAGAAGCACGCCTTCATCCAGTTACCCGAGATCCTTGTATCAATATCAGCTTCGATGACCGAGCTACTTGCCCTCTTCGTCTTCCACGCCTCCAACCTTCTCGTTCTCTGGCTCTGCCTCAAAAGCGCTACGATCGCTCTTGAGGCATCCCCAGCCTTCAAGTGCCTTTCGTCACCCACCCGGATTTCTCCAGGATTACTGATATTGATTTCAAGTTCTGGGTATTGCTTCGTGATCCAAGCGAAGTCTGAGAGCATTGAGCGTTTGTCTCTTTTGTGGAGTTTCTCCGCAATCTCTCTGTATCTTATGAGAGATGGTGTGAGCAGCAGATAACATGCCGCATACACCGTGGCTTCTTCTACCTCGTCTGCGATCGATTTCAGTCCCATTCCCATTTCAGCGGTGGGAAGGTACGGGCGGTATTTTGAGCATTTGGAGAAACGGGCTTTGCACGACACCATTATTTTCCTGATGTTCTTGTCCAACTGTTCGCCCCAGGCACGGATCGAAGAGCACCTTTCGCCGCCTGTCGCACAGTGGTTTCCTGCATAGACATTCATGCGCGTCACCAGTTAAATGACGAGGCATTTGGCTACCTTAAGAGAGTCATAGTTACTCCCGCCGTTTACCCGCGCTTACTCGAATTACTACGATTTAACATTCAGAGCACTGGGCAGAAATCAGTGACAGTCAACGTCCGCAAGGACCATCTGTCACCTCTGTTTTAATTAGACAGTCGGATTCCCTGAGTCCGTACCGGTTCCAGTACGGTTGTTTAGATGAGCGATCAGGACACTAAGACCGAGGTCAAAGCACACACCAGAAGGCGTCCACAAGCAAACACTGTCACTAGTCCGCCATCAGCCCGAAAGCATCAAACAGACAGAACAGCGCCGGACAAGCATCAACCAACTGGCCAACCGTTCCAACCACTGGAGCCAATCCTTTTCCCGAAGTTACGGATCTAGTTTGCCGACTTCCCTTACCTACATTATTCTATCGACTAGAGGCTGTTCACCTTGGAGACCTAATGCGGTTATCGGTACGATTGATTGCAAATTAATAGCCTCCCTTGGTGTTTTAAGGACCGTTCAAAGAGCACGAGACACCACAGAAACCGCAGTGCTTTTCGGAAACAACGTCCCCATCTCTGGCTGAACCAATTCCAGGGAGTCCGTTCCTTAACTAGAGAAGAAAACTCTAGCTCGGTCTTTGAGCGATTAACCAAGTTCGAATGCGTTACCGCGCTTGTGCTCCGAAGAACACAATCTTTGCATATCAGTTAGGGAATATTAACCCTATTCCCTTTTCGACAAGCGGGGGACCAAAAGCAAGCTTTTTCGCCACCGATGATACAAGGCGTTCGCCAGTACCTTAGGATCGACTGACCCACATCCAACTACTGTTCACGTGGAACCCTTCTCCACTTCAGTCTTCAAGGATCGAACTTGAATATTTGCTACTACCATTACGATCTGCACTGACGGAAGCTCCAGCCGAGCCCACGCTCATAGCCTTCAACGCAACCGCCACGACCTTCCTACTCGTTACGACCTGGCGCTAGACAACGCACATGTCGCAACGGCGGAGTATAGGTCTCTCGCTTAAGCGCCATCCATTTTCAGGGCTAGTTGATTCGGCAGGTGAGTTGTTACACACTCCTTAGCGGGTACCGACTTCCATGGCCACCGTCCTGCTGTCAATATCAACCAACACCTTTTATGGGGTCTCATGAGCGAGAAGTTAGGCACCTTAACTCCACGTTTGGTTCATCCCACAGCGCCAGTTCTGCTTACCAAAAATGGCCCACTTGGACCTCGCATTCACGTCGACAGTTCACTAAAGAAACTGCAACTTCATATCCATTGAAAGTTTGAGAATAGGTTGAGAGCATTACGCCCCCAAGGCCTCTAATCATTAGCTTTACCGAATATAACTGCCAGAGATCCAGCTATCCTGAGGGAAACTTCGGAAGGAACCAGCTACTAGATGGTTCGATTAGTCTTTCGCCCCTATACCCAAGTCTATCGATCGATTTGCACGTCAGAACCGATACGGACTTCCACCAGAGTTTCCTCTGGCTTCATCCTGCTCAGGCATAGTTCACCATCTTTCGGGTCGTTTGCCAACTGCTCAACCTCTACACAGTCACAAGTGACACGTATAGGGCCGTGGTGCGCAGCACTCAAAAAAAGAGCACAGATCCCACGTCGGCCAATTCGAGACTGACCTTCACTTTCATTTCGCCGCAAAGTTTTGACACTCTTTGACTCGCAGTAGACAAGCACTCCGCAATCCGTGTTTCAAGACGGGTCGGAAACGTCGTCGACTTTCACACCGACGTCACACACACTAGCGTAACTAAACGCTAGCCGCCACGAACCGACGACCGACAACAAGACACCGTCTCTTGCGAGATGGGCAACACTGTCGGGCCAGAACGAGCAGCCAACGCCGTCGGCGTAGCATAGAAAAACGACACCCGGCAACGATCACAGCTAAGCGACCAGTCACCAAGCTTGTCTTCAAGCAACATCAACTGTCTCCGGTTCCACTCCAGCGATTTCACGTTCTCTTGAACTCTCTTCAAAGTCCTTTGCAACTTTCCCTCACGGTACTTGTTCGCTATCGCAATCGAGTCGATATTTAGCCTTAGATGAAGTTTATCACCCACTTTAGGCTGCACTTTCAAGCAACCCGACTCCAAGGAGCAACCGAACCGACGACATCGCTATCCAGAACGGGGCTCGCACCCTCTCTGGTTTATGGCCTCAATCGTAAGGACTTCGGACATACGACGCCGTCGGAAAGCTACACCTATACGCCACATTTCGTAGCAGCCAAAGACTGAACGATTCAGCGCTGGGCTCTTCCTGTTTCACTCTGCCGTTACTAGGGGAATCCTGTTTAGTTTCTTTTCCTCCGCTAAATGATATGCTTAAGTTCAGCGGGTAATCACGACTGAGTTCAGGTTGAGATAAGCAAGACACGCACACGACTTGCCGTTGGCACCACCGCGACATGTTCGTCTCGGCACGCGCCAAACAGCTAGTTGAGCTCTAGATCTCGTTACACGCACATCGGCAAAATGGAAATGGAGCGACGATTCGCACCGCAATTCATACACATCATCACTTGTGAGAGAGAGACACGAGCAGAATCGCGACGGACGCCATTTGGCAGCTCATTCCGACCGTTTGTACAGTAAGAAATAGAGAAGCGCGTCACATTATGCGGGTGTGTAGTACACGTACACACACACACACACAACTTGTGATGCTTTGAAACTAGAACAATATCATTGTCCGGAGACAAACATATTGTTCGACACGCTTTTCTATGCACGAAGCATATCAGCAGTTTAGATAAACAACCCTGAACCAGACGTACCGACTGGAGACCCAATCGGTGCTATGCGTTCGAAATTTCACCACTCTAAGCGTCTGCAATTGTAGGTAACGCAGCAAGCTGCGTTCTTCATCGATACTGATGCAACTGATCCATCGCTGAAGCTAGTACGTATGTATCGAATCGTTAAATTCGACGTCACTTCAGACGAAACACGTTCATCTTTAGTGATGCACAAAAACTGATAAAAACATTGGCTTGGTGTTGTGATTGAGCGTACGAAGCCACATTTTTTTCAAGCAGAAAAAAACGCGGCGACGCATCATTAAGACTATCGCAGTCGACGCTTCGAAAAACGTCATCAGCGCATCAATAGCCACCGAATCGTGTTGCATCAACACCGTCGCGTTTTTTTGGGGTTGAAGCAAAAAAACGCTGTCGAGACGTCAGGTGAAGCGTTTCGCAGACAATCCGCCTGTAAAACACGACACACTTGATCATTAAGCCTCAGAATATCGGACCACCACATTCCGTAAGAAAGTGACCGAAACATTCATAGCGCAGGCATCTCGACCGGAATGTTAACATTCGTCAATGGTTTGGATTAAATCACGTGGCACGAAGCTCGGCGATGATCCAGCTGCAGGTTCACCTACAGCTACCTTGTTACGACTTTTACCCGGTTCAAAACCAATGCGATAAAAATGGTTTCCGCAACAACGAAGTCGTGAAACCTCGAAGCGACAGTCCCCACTCTTCTCGAATCAGTTCAGTCCCGGATAGCGACGGGCGGTGTGTACAAAGGGCAGGGACGTAATCAACGTGAGCTGATGACTCACACTTACTAGGCATTCCTCGTTTAAGGGCAATAATTACAATACCCTATCCCGGACATGGAAGAATTTCAACGGTTTACCGATACCTTTCGGCATAGGAAAAACCCGCTGACTCCACCAGTGTAGCACGCGTGCAGCCCCCGGACATCTAAGGGCATCACAGACCTGTTATCGCTCAATCTCGTGCGGCTAAACACCGCTTATCCCTCTAAGAAGTTATACGAACCCGAAGATTCGCCAACTATTTAGCAGGCTAGAGTCTCGCCTCGTTATCGGAATAAACCAGACAAATCACTCCACCAACTAAGAACGGCCATGCACCACCAACCACCAAATCGAGAAAGAGCTTTCAATCTGTCAGTCCTAATGGTGTCCGGACCGGGTGAGTTTTCCCGTGTTGAGTCAAATTAAGCCGCAAGCTCCACGCCTTGTGGTGCCCTTCCGTCAATTTCTTTAAGTTTCAGCTTTGCAACCATATCTACCCCCGGAACCGAAAGACTTTCGTTTTCCGGATAGCCTCGGCAGGGCAAAAACCCTCCGAATCGCGAGATGGCATCGTTTACGGTCAGAACTAGGGCGGTATCTAATCGCCTTCGAACCTCTGACTTTCGTTCTTGATTAATGAAGACATTCTTGGCAAATGCTTTCGCTGTTGGGCGTCTCACTACGGTCCACGAATTTCACCTCTCGCGTAATGATACGAATGCCCCCGGTTTGTCCCTCTTAACCATTAAATCAGTTCTAGAACCAACAAAAAAAGAACCGAAGTCCTGTTTCATTATTCCATGATGAGCTATTCAAGCAAGCGCCTGTATTGAGCACTCTGATTTATTCAAGGTAAACCTGCTGGCAGTTGAAGGGCGGACCCAACCTCAAACCAGCAAATTAGAAGTCACGACCACAGTTAACGCAATTTGCGAACTGCAGCACGTAACCTAGATCCAACTACGAGCTTTTTTTAACTGCAGCAATAACGAGATACACTAGGAGAGCTGGAATTACCGCGGCTGCTGGCACCAGACTTGCCCTCTCCTTGCTACTCGAAGAATCATTTGTATTCAACTCATTGAAATAACTCATCCAAAAAGGATGAGTCTTTATATGTTTAGTCACTATCTCATACTTAACAGTGGATAAGTTTCGCGCCTGCTGCCTTCCTTGGACGTGGTAGCCGTTTCTAAGGCTCCCTCTCCGGAGTCGAACCCTTTATTCTCCGTTACCTGTAACAACCATGGTAGTCCAATAAACTACCATCTAGTTGAAAGGGCAGACACCCTTTTTCGGATAGAGTCAGTCGAAACTGACAGTAAACTGCTTTATTCAGAGTCAACAAACAACGTCCGAAAAACGTTTGGTCTGTTCTAATAATTGCATCCCGCCTTGCGTTGGGATTTAGTTGCATGTATTAGCTCCAGTATTTCCGCAGTTATCCATATCTGAATTCCGAATAAGGTGATATCTGCTCTAATGAGCCGTACGCAATTTCATTGATGAATCAAAGCATGCATGGCTTAATCTTTTACTTGAGCATATCGCGCTGACAGAATCAATCAGGTATTACGCGAACATAAAGATGTTCAGCGAGATTGTTTCAGAAAAACAACCGCTTTTACACGATGTTTCACTGATTTACTCTCGTAAACACTTCCCACGCATACGATCGATACCGCAACAACATTTGAAACTCTAACAGTAGAGATGCACATTATTTCGACTTGTGTTTCGAAGCAGGACACCAGATCGCCTCAACGAACAGCGCCAGATCGAGAACAACAGTAGTCGTGACAACTGAAGCATATGGCTCGCGACACCGCAAGTCAACCGCTAACAATTGCATTGTACCCGGAATGGATTGATGTAGTCAGCCATCGTTGTGAAATATGTCACGAAAAATGACACACAACACGCCGAAAGCAGCCGACAAAACGACGCTAACAGCAAACCGTACGCACTGTGGAAACACAACACGCGGCAAGCCGATCGCACACGTCTCATCGCAACTACCACCCTCCTGACAAAACCACACTCGACACATATGCCGCACTCCTCTACTCCCGCCAATTAACAACACACCGCACACATGAGGGCACGTGTATCCTCGTTTTGCGTGTCTTTCAACGCGGCCGTGGTTTTTGTTTGCGCGCGGTTGTCAGCCGCTCACCGACTTGCATTTTGTCGCGAAGACCTGCACCGCATCGGTTGGTTGGTTGGTTGTTGGTTGCAAAGATGATATCCAATAACTGACTGGATAAATAACAGTGCATCAAACTGAACATATCAGTTGTCTTTTCTAGTTTCACCGGCACTTTCAGTTGTTGTCAACTTTTGAAAAAAATGACATTTGTATATAAAGATGGTGGAGATTTATAAAAATGGTGGAGATTTATAAAAATGTATAAAAATACGCCGGCGCCACAAAATTTTAGAGCACCCTTCTTAATTCTAGGGGACCCTTGTTTTTCTGGGCGGACCCTTGTTTTGTGGGCGGACCCGTGTTTTACAATTAGTACCATAGTACATCTGCCTGGCCCTATTTGAAATTATTATTATTATCAACGCGTAAAATATTATAAAATGGTGGTTTTAAAATAAAGGGTGGCCGTGGAAATAGAGATGTTGGCGCGGCAAACGTACACAATTTTTTATGTGGAAATAGAGATGTTGGCGCGACAAACGTACACAATTGTTTTTACGTGGAAATAGAGATGTTGGCGCGACAAACGTACACAATTGTTTTTACGTGGAAATAGAGATGTTGGCGCGACAAACGTACACAATTGTTTTTACGTGCAAATAGAGATGTTGGCGCGACAAACGTACACAATTATTTTTACGTGGAAATAGAGATGTTGGCGCGACAAACGTACACAATTATTTTTACGTGGAAATAGAGATGTTGGCGCGACAAACGTACACAATTATTTTTACGTGGAAATAGAGATGTTGGCGCGACAAACGTACACAATTGTTTTTACGTGGAAATAGAGATGTTGGCGCGGCAAACGTACACAATTTTTTACGTGGAAATAGAGATGTTGGCGCGGCAAACGTACACAATTTTTTACGTGGAAATAGAGATGTTGGCGCGGCAAACGTACACAATTTTTTACGTGGAAATAGAGATGTTGGCGCGGCAAACGTACACAATTTTTTACGTGGAAATAGAGATGTTGGCGCGGCAAACGTACACAATTTTTTACGTGGAAATAGAGATGTTGGCGCGACAAACGTACACAATTGTCGTTACGTGGAAATAGAGATGTTGGCGCGGCAAACGTACACAATTTTTTACGTGGAAATAGAGATGTTGGCGCGACAAACGTACACAATTATTTTTACGTGGAAATAGAGATGTTGGCGCGACAAACGTACACAATTGTTTTTACGTGCAAATAGAGATGTTGGCGCGACAAACGTACACAATTATTTTTACGTGGAAATAGAGATGTTGGCGCGACAAACGTACACAATTATTTTTACGTGGAAATAGAGATGTTGGCGCGACAAACGTACACAATTATTTTTACGTGGAAATAGAGATGTTGGCGCGACAAACGTACACAATTATTTTTACGTGGAAATAGAGATGTTGGCGCGACAAACGTACACAATTATTTTTACGTGGAAATAGAGATGTTGGCGCGACAAACGTACACAATTGTTTTTACGTGGAAATAGAGATGTTGGCGCGACAAACGTACACAATTGTTTTTACGTGGAAATAGAGATGTTGGCGCGACAAACGTACACAATTGTTTTTACGTGGAAATAGAGATGTTGGCGCGACAAACGTACACAATTATTTTTACGTGGAAATAGAGATGTTGGCGCGGCAAACGTACACAATTTTTTACGTGGAAATAGAGATGTTGGCGCGACAAACGTACACAATTTTTTACGTGGAAATAGAAATGTTGGCGCGGCAAACGTACACAATTTTTTACGTGGAAATAGAGATGTTGGCGCGACAAACGTACACAATTTTTTACGTGGAAATAGAGATGTTGGCGCGGCAAACGTACACAATTTTTTACGTGGAAATATGTTTTTCTGGGCGGACCCTTGTTTTGTGGGCGGACCCGTGTTTTACAATTAGTACCATAGTACATCTGCCTGGCCCTATTTGAAATTATTATTATTATCAACGCGTAAAATATTATAAAATGGTGGTTTTAAAATAAAGGGTGGCCGTGGAAATAGAGATGTTGGCGCGGCAAACGTACACAATTTTTACAATCACTAACCTCGCCTTACTCAAATGCCGCCAAATTCTCAAAGCCTTCCACTCCAAAAACTTTTGAAAAGGGGAACCACAACGGAGGTGTTCCAGTCGGTGAAGAAGTGGCCGGAGGAGAATGATTCGGAAAACAGTAGTGATTTTTTGATTGCATAAAAGTTAATCTTGGCAATAGAAAACCCAATTTTTATTTCCAGTCAGCCTTCTTTCAGGCATTGTGGTCAACAAAAATGGAAAACATCCTTTGTTTATCCTCCGCGGGATATGACATTATGAGGCATTTTCGAAGCATATGCTCTCTCCGCATTTCACCTGCGTGGGCCTTGTGAGCCGTTGAATATCTTTTTGGGGTTCGATTCCCCTCCTCGACAAATGCTTTTGCTGAACATAATCTGCCTGAATTGAAAGTATTCTGGAGTTTTTCAACCGAGTTGATAGTGAGCCAATTGCCAAGTGTTTTTTTACAGTTTCTCGAATAAGGATTCACCAGAATTGGTCATCGAGTTCAATGACCACCCAAGGCCGACTGTTCGGCGTTGTTTTCCTTATACCGCCGGCGTTTTTTTGTTCCGCTTCCGTATACCGCAGGTTTATGTAGAAATTCGAAAAAAACAGAGAGACGGAGACGAATCGAATTGGGAAACTGTTCATGTGAACTAATTACGTTTAGCAAAGAGAATCCTCCCCACGGCGGTCTTCTATCCGATATTAGTAACTAGGAGGAGCCGAAAATTGGAAAGGTAATAGGAATCTCCGCGAGATGACCTCGGAAGTAAACAGGCGATCTGTATAAAAGAAGAGTTTTCCCGCAATCGGATATACTTCATCCTCACGATGAGTAGCAGCACTTTCGTTTCTGTGGCTTCGGCCGTCTCCGGTCTCGCCGTCCTCGGATGTCTTCTCACCGTCGGAATGATCTTCAATGACATCAATTCCTTCTACGATGAGAAGATTGAGGAGCTGAAAGAGTTCAAAGGAATGGAGCAGAGTGCCTGGGAGTCCATGATCCCAGCCACCCGTCCAGTCACAGCCGAATCCTTCCTTTTTGGCCGCAACAAGAGACAGGCTCAGTGCAACTGTGGAGCTCAATCCCGCGGATGCCCAGCTGGACCACCAGGACCACCAGGACAGCCAGGAGTCCAGGGAGAGTCAGGACTTCCAGGAATTGCTGGACAGCCGGGATCCGGAGCCAGAGTCAACCCACAAACCGGACGTGACAGCTTCTGCATCACCTGCCCGGCAGGACCACCAGGACCAGCAGGATCTCCAGGAGCTCCAGGACCAGCTGGACGATCTGGTGCACCAGGGCAAGACGCTTTCGGAGGAGGCCAGGGCCCAGCTGGACCACCAGGGCCAGCCGGAGACGCCGGAGCCCCAGGAAACGCAGGATCTCCAGGAGCCCCAGGAAACCCAGGACGTGGAGGACAACGCAGCCGTGGAACTCCAGGAGCCGTCGGAGCGCCGGGACCACAGGGACCTGCTGGAGCCCCAGGACAGCCAGGACAGTCTGGAGGATCTGGAGCCCCAGGAGCGCCAGGACCTGCTGGAGCTCCAGGACAACCGGGACAGCGCGGAGGAAACGGAACCCCAGGAGCGCCAGGAAACTCTGGAGCCCCAGGAGGAGACGCCGGTGAGTATGATCACATCATCCATATTCTGATAATATCCATTTGCAGCCTACTGCCCATGCCCGGCTCGTTCCGCCGCAATGGCCGCCCGTTCTCGCGTCTCCGCTCGTTCGCGTGCCGCAGTCGTCAAGCGCCGCCGTGTGGTCAAGAGAGTCCGTGTGCAGAAGGCATAACACGTTGTTCTCAGCTATCAATAAACAGTTCAGCATGCAAACGGTCTTCCATTTCTGTAGCGCGTGTCATCTTCACTACAGTCTTCAGCCTTTTTCTCAATCACACAACCCCCTTTTCTGTCCTCTTTTCACCAAAGCTGTTTGGTCAATAACGGTTTCAAGGTCTTTTCTTTGCGGGCCGAACACGGAAATTGAAAGCGTACACTAATTGAGAATTCACAGAAAAAGGCAGTACACTCGCATTCCGTTCCTCCCGCTTTCTCACAATCTCTCGATTCCATCTTGAACCTGTCAAGGGCTTCTCTTGAAAAAACACAAAACTGAGTAAACTGCGAGGAGTCTTATAAAAGGTGGACGAGAAATTGGAAAAGACACACATCGTCAGTTGAAGATGAGTGCCAGTTCTCTCGTGACTGTCGCTTCCGTCGCCTCCGGAATCGCTATTGTGGTCTGCGTATTCACTGTCGGAATGATCTTCAATGACATAAACTCGTTCTACGATGAGAAGATCGGAGAGCTCACCGAGTTCAAAGGATACGAGCAGATCGCCTGGAATGCCATGATCCCAACCACCCGCCCGTCTTCTGGATCCTCTTTCCTTCTTGGCCGTAACAAAAGACAAGCTCAGTGCAACTGCGGGGCTCAATCCCGTGGATGCCCAGCTGGACCACCAGGACCACCAGGACAGCCAGGAATTAGAGGAGAACCAGGTTTTCCTGGAATTGCAGGACAACCGGGATCTGGAGCCAGAATCAACCCAGCCACCGGCAAACCAGGATTCTGCATCACTTGCCCCGCCGGAGCACCAGGACCAGCTGGACCACCAGGACATCCCGGACCACAGGGAGTCAACGGGCAACCAGGAGCACCAGCTCCGTCCGGAGGACGTGGACCACCAGGACCACCAGGACCAGCCGGAGATGCCGGAGCCCCAGGAAACCCAGGAGCATCAGGAGGCCCAGGACAACCAGGACGTGGAGGACAACGCAGCCGTGGAACTCCAGGAGCCGCTGGAAGACCAGGACCACAAGGACCAGCTGGAGCCCCAGGACAGCCAGGACAGTCGGGAGGAGCCGGAACTCCTGGACCACAGGGACCACCAGGACCAGCAGGACAGCCAGGACAGCGCGGAGGAGATGGACAACCGGGAGCCCCAGGAAACGCAGGAGCACCAGGAGGAGATGCCGGTTAGTTGCTAGACCTTTTCGAAAGTTTAAACGGCGTATATTTCCAGCCTACTGCCCATGCCCATCTCGTTCTGCTGCCGTTTTCGTCCGTTCCCGAGCGGTTGCCCGTTCCCGAGTGGTCGCCCGTTCCCGAGTGGTCGCCAAGAGCCGCGCAGTTGCTCGTCGTCGCGTCTCCGCAAAGCGACGTGTCGTCAGAAAACACCGCGTTCAGAAGGCCGTTGCCTAAGTCACATCGTAACGAAAATAAATGCTTTATCGAAAAACAACAGCTGATAATTAAGAAGAGATCAGTAATTATACCAGTACAGCCCTTGTTCCGTAGTGTGACGCTGGTAGTAAGCTGTCTGAGTGGCACAACTGTTGTCCGGATTATCCGTCTCCACCATTAAAACTGACGCCATCATCATGAAGTTGAGCACATAGAGAGTGAGGAGAAGTATTACTAAATCAGAGACTAACAATATAACTTCCAACTGATACTCACTGCTTGGGACCTCTAGGAATGCAAGCGGAAGGACGTAGTCACTCCACATCTGCATTCGGTACTTTTCATGCAGATCTCTGAGCCCTCCGAAGTCGTCTCCAGTTCTCTGAAACTGCGTCGTTGCTGCGGAGTCCGATTGAAACTCACATTGGCAACGGACAACCTATTCATCTCGAAGGTTTCTGCTAATTTCACAGCATTCTCTACTTCTAACTGCAAAGAGAAAACGTTACGTGCAAAATTTATTGGATGGGCACCTTGAATTTGCAGAAAAAACATCCTTGTTTCGAGAGTTGGCATACTTTTTTGACAGTTTCCATTCTTCTTAAATTGATATTAGAATGACGAACAACGCTTTTTCACTAACGATTTCATTGTTTCACTCCATTTGCCTTTGTAAACAGTCAAGAGTTTCTCGGTGCCAGCACACTAAAAATGGGTACATCTTTAAGTTCAGGCAAGTGACTTACGAAGTTATTAGTTATCGAGAAAAGGTGTGAACAAACGCGTTCGCTTTTCAGTATTTCCTCTTTTATTTGCGTTTCCCACTCACCAATTTGAATCGTAACGGATAAATGATTTTCAACTGAAAACCAAATTAGATGAATACAAAAGTTATCCATTACGGAATTCTCGAGGATTGAGAGAGATGAAGTCTTGCACAGTGACATTGCGAGCCAGTAGAACGTCTCTGAAAATGTAATGGAGCGATTGCAGCTGTTGAGAATGTACCGCATGTTGAAGTAGTTCACTTTGGAGTCGTTCAATGTACTCGTAACATTGAGTTTTCCGATCACTTCCATTTGCCGATCTCTGAGAACGTTTATAAAGAGACCGTGGGCTGAGTTGCTCATCAGAATTATGAGGCACGGCCAGATGAACGCAATTAAAGTAACATAGAAAAGGATATCTACGCCTTTTTTCAGAAATTTGGCAACTGTTTTATCCATTTGAACACCTGAAAAGAAAGGGAATGTTCTGGAGTTGAATGATAGCCATACTGGATAGGTATGCGTGCCCTCGAAACATGCAAATCAGTGAAAACGAGGATAGGAAAATGACGAGAATAATGAAAATGAAGAGTAAATAATAAAGAAGCTCAATGACCAGAGGGCTCTGAAAAATTGCGTAGATTGGGTTGACAACAGGAGGTAACGCATACCGGCAAAGAGAATAATAGTTCGATCTTTGAATAGACATCTTTTATAGGCATCAACTTTCCACGAATCGCCTCTTTGTACCGTTCGAACTTGTTATCTGTTTCCATAACATTAGCGATTATCTGTTCAAATCCATCTGTCAGTGAATCCCATTCAAACAGAACATCAGTGTCTATCGCGACGATGTCATCCTGCAAGATTCTCTCAATTTCAGAATCATAGGAACGAGACGGACTGCAAGATTCTTCGGGAGTGTCGAATTGGCCAGACTGAGGACATTATCCTCTTTTCCGCACGTCATGTTCACTCCTAGACATTCTTTTTTGAAAGAGTCAATCACATCCAGAATATTGTTGATAATTGACTGTGCAGGTGGTATATTCTGCAGATGATATTGTCGGATTCTCGTGTGCAATGGCTGAAACGCGTCCGCAACACTCGGCAATTCGTTTTCATAACACAAGAATCGTTCGGCCGTTGAATTGATTACTTCGTCATACTCTGAAAGTGAAGGGTAACTCGGTTTGTCTCTAATTGTCGGAAACCTTTGAGAAACTGATCAAATCGTGTTTCCCTCAGATCGTACACACTTCGATAGTTTCTCACCCAACGGAGAGTGTCATGCGCGTACCAGAGAGTCAAACAGATGAACACAAAGTAGATGAACATGCCCGCTTTGCGAAGGTAAAAGCCACGGTACTCCTGTAAAACATTAGTTTTCAAAAGAACTTATTGTTTTATGACATTGACAAAGGCAAGGAAGTCATTCCGTTTTTCTCTGAACTTGTAGTCTGTGTATATCAGCCAGTACAGATAATAACCCGCAAACGCTGCAAAGAACAGAGCATTTTTCTGAAATGAGCAGACAGTTAGACATTGGTAAGGAGTTTGGACGTACTCGAAAAACTCCGAAAAAAAGGAACTTGAAGATCTGACTGGGTGGATCGTGAACAATTAAATTTCCGGCGAGCTGAAACAACCTGACTAGTTCCTACTGATATAAGCCTCCCTTCCTCACTTTCATCAATGAATCTTGCATCTCGGTGAAGTGCTCAACAATAGTCCAGAAGGTATCCGGAGTATCATTCGGCTTCTCCACCTGATTTTCCCTTTTCAGATCGTGTCGATAACACGTCATCTCGGGAATCAACTTTGCAGATCCTTGACTTAAACACAAAAATACACATAATGTCTGAATACTTTTTCCGTTTTCGGTTACTTATTCTACACTCACAAGGCATCTCATCGTCGTTTTCCTACCAATGACCATTTCCTCCCTCTCCTCTTTTCGTGGTCTATCTGTCTTGTTGTCCGTTCGATCAGTTCACGTCGTTTTCTTTTTTCAGGAGGCGTTGCCCGTTGTTACTTTCCTTCCTTGTCGGAACAGGTTTCGAAAATACTGAACAGAAAGAATGGAAAAGGGAACCAACTGATAAGCACCCGACTCTCTCCGTTTCCAACACTATTCCCTGGGTTTCCAAGAGACGGGCAAGTTGTATAAAAGGGGAAGGACGGAAAAGAAACAGCCACTCTCATCTGCAGAGATGAGCGCCGCTACTCTCGTGACTGTCGCTTCGGCCGCCTCTGGTATTGCCGTCGTTGCCTGCCTTTCACCGTCGGAATGATCTTCAATGACATCAACTCTTTCTACGATGAGAAGATCGGAGAGCTCGCCGAGTTCAAGGGATACGAGCAGATCGCCTGGAATGCCATGATCCCAACAACCCGCCCGTCTTCTGGATCTTCTTTCCCTCTTGGCGCAACAAGAGACAGGCTGAGTGCAACTGCGGAGCTCAATCCCGCGGATGCCCAGCTGGACCACCAGGACCACCAGGACAGCCAGGAGCTAAGGGAGAGTCAGGACTTCCAGGAATTGCTGGGCAACCGGGATCTGGAGCCAGAATCAACCCAGCCACCGGCAAACCAGGATTCTGCATCACTTGCCCTGCTGGAGCACCAGGACCAGCTGGACCACCAGGACAGCCAGGACCAAAGGGAGTCAACGGACAGCCAGGAGCACCAGCTCCGTCCGGAGGACGTGGACCACCAGGACCACCAGGACCAGCCGGAGATGCCGGAGCCCCAGGAAACCCAGGAGCACCAGGAGGCCCAGGACAACCAGGACGTGGAGGACAACGCAGCCGTGGAACTCCAGGAGCTGCTGGAAGACCAGGACCACAAGGACCAGCTGGAGCCCCAGGACAGCCAGGACAGTCGGGAGGAGCCGGAACTCCTGGACCACAGGGACCGCCAGGACCAGCAGGACAGCCAGGACAGCGCGGAGGAGATGGACAACCGGGAGCCCCAGGAAACGCAGGAGCACCAGGAGGAGATGCCGGTTAGTTGCCAATCTTTTTCAGCATCATGTATCTTCTATCATTCCAGCGTACTGTCCATGCCCAGCTCGTTCTTCGGTCATCGCCGCCCGTGCTGCCGTCAACCGCAACGTGGCTCGCAATCGCGTCGTGGCTCGCAACCGCATCGCCGCTCGCCGCCGTGTCGCTGTTCAGCGCAGAGTTCGTGTCCACGCTCAAGCCGCTGCTGCCGCCTAAACGGTTCATTTACAATAAAGATTGAGCATTCAATGATTCATTTAACAATTGGGATTCTCGAAACAATCAATGCTAAATGAGCAAAAACTGAGTTTCTGTTCTCTTTGATAACCTCATCAAGTAGTCCTTCTTCACTCGATAGTACATCCTGCAAGAGTATTTATCTCGTGAGGTTCCTGTGTGTTTTCCGAATACCTTAAAGAACACCTTCAATTCCTCAATTTTCTTGTTCTGTGACTTGTGCGACTCTATCGTAGCCTTCCGCGTCTGTTGCTCTCTCAGCAGCTGGTCTTCGAGCATCGTAGTCATTCTCTGACTCTTCTCCACACTTTGAAGAGCTTCATCCAACTGAAACATTACTTTTCCACTCACGAACCGTACTGTGAACTCACTTTCGTCGTCAGTTCGCTTTCGATCTGCACGTACTTCTCCAATGTGCTCTTTCGTTTGTTCTCCGATTCCTCCAACCTACGTTTACTGTCTTTCAAAGCCTTCTCCGTCTGAAATATGTCCCATTCCTCCCGTTTTTCTCAGATTCTCTCACTGTTTGTCCGCTCTTCTCCAAAAGCGCTCTCAACTTCAGATTCTCTTCGTCTTTCTCTTGCGTTCTTTCCGCTTCTCGTTCCAATTCTTCCTGTTTCTCTCCCAGAATCTGCTCCATCCGTGCTATTTCTTGCTTCTTCTTCGTCATTTCCAATTCCAAATGTTCAATTACCTGAATTACTTGATCGTTCTCAATCTCCTCTCCCGATTACCTGATTGTTCATCAAAGTATGTCCTTTGCTTTCCAAACTCGCTTCAGCTCGGATTTCTGCCACTGCTTGTGCGAATTCCTCACTCAAATCCGACCGAGCCCTGCAAAAACTTCGCATTTCCTTTCCCATTCCCACATTCTCACTGTTCGATGGCTGCAATTTGACGCTCCGTTCCTCGGCTTCTTTCCTCCGAATCGTCTCCTGTTGCTCGTCGACCGTCTTGTGAAGTTCGTTCAATTTCGCGCCCATTTCGATGATTTCCAATTCAATTCTGTGTTGGTTTCCTAGTTGCGTATCTAAAATGCTCGGTTTCCTTAGCTCTCTTCTTGATCTTCTCACCCATGATACTCATTTCGCTCCTCAATTTCTCAATCTCCTCCCTTAACTTCTTCTCTTCCCCCTCGAAATTCTGCCTGTGAATCTTGAACTTTCTCTCCGCGTCCTTCTTTTGCTCCTCGAGCATTTCCTCCAGTCGCGCCGTCTGAAACTGTCCGTTCTCTGTGTTTTCTCTGCGTCGCTCACCTCTTCGTCCTTCTCCTCCACCAATTTTTTCAAATAACCAATCACATCGTTTGACTCGAATGTCAAGTTTGTCAACTGATTCTCGGTCGTCTCATTCGTCACTATCAGCTCGGCAATCTTCTCCTGATTCTCTTCGTTCTTTGGCTCAACTCTATTTTCGATTGCTTACCTGTAAAAGTTCGATCTGCTCTTCCAGCGGTTTCTCTTCTGAATCCTGCTTCTGCTTTGAAATCATAGCTGTAGTTGAATGACCACTAACCCCCGCGCGCGAAGTCCATTTCATTCACCCGTGAAAATCGCTCTTCCGGTTTTCATTTCTACACCTTTCCTGCTCAAATATCAAATAAGGATTGCAGAAATGCATTCAAGTTGCCAGTGTACATTTACGATAAACATCGACCATCCCGTTATTTCGGAGCGTCGTAGGCGAATATCCATGGCATTTTTTAAAACTGCGTTTTCTGTTTTCCACGTCCAGAATGCCACAGAACTCTGAATCCAAACATTTTTCTATTTTTCTGCAGTCTCGAAATTTTTTCTACTCAATCTGCCCACTGATAAAACGCCGCAGTATCATTCCACCCTGTTCTCTCGTCTCTTCCGTGTGGCGTGATGTGTACCCCTCTCGTTTTCTCACTCTTCCGACACGAATATCGTGAGAATATTGGGCGCTACAACGAAGTAGAACTCGCACGGAACGGAACTGTTACAATTTGGAACTCGCAGTTATATTTTAACGTTGCGAGTTCCAAATCGTAACAGTTCCATTCCGTGCGAGTTCTACTTCGTTGTAGCGCCCAATATTGACGTTTTTGCAGGGAAGAAATGAGTGTTAAACTCTACCTCGTCACCTACAACGTTCTTCAAATCTTGGGGTACGTTTCAAAAAGTTCTGCTTTAATTGTGACCCACAAAAGTTTTCAGATGGTCCGCTGTGCTCGTCAAGACTGTCCTCGGTCTTGTCAACGGCCTCACGTGGCCTCAGCTTTACGAGTCGGTCGAGTTTGAGCTCAAGATCTTCCAAACTGCCGCCATTCTCGAGGTATTGAAGAATATTCGGGTCTTCTCTCATTTTTCGATCTTCAGGTTATCCACGCCGTTGTCGGTCTCGTCCGTTCTCCAGTCGGCACCACCGCTATGCAGGTTACTTCCCGGGTCGTTCTCGTCTGGCCAATCCTCCATTTGTGCTCTACTGTGAGTTTCTTACTTGCATTAAATTGCATTAATAGTTTTTTAAGGCCCGGTACAGCATCGGAGTCCCACTTCTTCTCGTTGCGTGGTCCGTGACCGAGGTCATCCGGTACTCGTTCTATGCCCTAAGCGTGCTCAAGCAGCCGATCCCGTACTTCCTTCTATACCTTAGGTACATTTGCACTATTTTCCATGACTTATTCCTGTGTTGTTTCCAGATACACTCTTTTCTACGTACTCTACCCAATGGGAGTCTCCGGAGAACTGTTGACGCTATTCGCTTCCTTGAAGGAGGTCGATGAAAAGAAGATCCTGACGCTCGAGATGCCAAACCGTCTCAACATGGGAATCTCGTTCTGGTGGGTGCTCATCATTGCCGCGCTCACCTACATCCCCGGATTCCCACAACTCTACTTCTACATGATCGGCCAGAGAAAGAAGGTTCTCGGCGGTGGAAACAAAAAGAAGGAGTAACTGACTGAAACGAGTATTCAAACTTGCATGTATTTCATCTTCATCTAGATTTATTGTTACAAATCGTCATTCATAAATTATTGCCTACCCGTAGAGAACCCATGAAAACGTATCAAGATGGTGGCATCATCTGTGCGAGCGCTTCCGATTTTGCCGCCCAGTTCTGATACAAATAATAGCACCAGTAGATGAGGTTGAGAAAACAGAACGAGAGCGGAAACGCCTTACGGCAGAATTTATCCACGTTCTGCGCCGTCCATTTTGTGTTCTCGTCGTCGTCATCTGCTAGTAAGCCTGGAAAAGAAGAGAATGAAGAGTAAGAAAGTGGGGAAACTGACTACCAAACTGAGCAAGAGCGTGGAGCGATTCGAACATGTTGTTCGCCTGGCGAGTTATCGATATTTTGTGAGAAGTTGTACCGTTCTGAAAAGAACAAATGAGAACGAAAGTGCGTGGCACTAACCGAGAACGGCTCGTCGTAGTTGCTCCTCAGATCGCTTTCCGCCGCGTTCACGTTCGTCACCGTCGTCGCGCCGTAGTTGTTCTTCTTTTTGTCCTTCTTCCTCTGTAGCACTGCCACCCTTTCCTTCTTTTTCTCCGCCTGCCTCTCCTTCCTTCGCATGTTGTTTTCACTCTCCAGATAACAAACAAACGCCACTTCGATCATTGTCAGAAATATGAATCTGAAATGAGTCTTTTTTCATTTTCAATTGAAATTAAGCACTTACGCAGTCGTCAGCACCATATAAACATCAATTGATTTCACATAACCCACCCTCGGAAGATTCTTTGCCACGTTTCCGTACTAAAAAAATCACTGATCAGTTATCAATTTTAGTGGAATCACCTGAAACGTGAGAGCCATCAGTGAGCTAACTCCGAGTGTAATTCGGGCTGGAAGCGCTTTCAGGTCAATCCAGAAGCTGACAAATGAGAGAAAAACGGAAGAATAGGTGGGAATGTACATCTGGAGAATGTAGAATCCGTAGGCACGGGAGAATGTGAGCGACACGGTCAGCTGGAATGCAGACGATAAAAGAAGGGACCTACAGTATTCCAACCAACCTGGTCCCATTGGCCGGCCGCGTATTCGAAGCTGTTCTTAGTCCACTGCATGCCGTAAAGAGTGAAATCGGAGAGTTTCGACTTGGCGATCGAGAAAACGGGCTGCCATTCTCTCCAATTCAGTTTCACCTTGGCCGCATTGTACGCGTAACTCTCAATTATGAGTTCACAGTTCTAAAAGAGATGTGTATGCTTTTGAATGATTTCCTGATAGCTTACCATGATATCCATTGGGAAAAGTACCAAGTCTACCATGCACGGACTCTGAACTTGCAATCGATAGTTCACCCAAACGGTCCCATTCGGGTAGATCATCAAAAAGATGTTCGGAGTTGGAGACGAGTGGATTTCTGTTTTCTTCGAGTTTACAAAACAAACATTAGGGGTCCATAACTTGTCAATCATCTGTAGAATTCAAATAAACTCGCACACTTTGCACTGTACTCACTGAGTATCCGAGAGTTAGATTCTGAAGGCACGAAGTGATATGATCGAATCGAAGCCTCGGATCGTGCCATATTTGACTGAAGAGCAAGTCCAAAGTGAAACTCGCAGATATCTCCGACACTTGCGCAATGTTCTGAATGCCGAATTCGATGGAGACGACTGTCGCCGACGTCTTCAACGGCACCGTGTTCTTGTTGTAGTTGTCGTCGAAAAGCCTTCTCAACACCAGTTGTGAAATCGTGTCATTCGCCGGCTCGCTGCAATCATTTTACGATCCTTTTACAGTCTCTGGCGAGTTCGGGGCGATAAGCAGAGCAGTCAGTTGCTCCGCAATGATTTTCTTCTCTATCGTCTGCTACTTTCTCAGTGTTTTTCGAATTGTAAGTGCCGATTGTGCGCCAGGAGACGTCAAAAACACCCAGGAGAATTGTGTGCACGTGGAAAATGTGGCGGCGTGAGTTGGGAAGGAGTGGCAGAGGAGAGAGAAATTGGAATTGTTTCAGATCGTGGCAGGAGGCCGAGAACTTCTGCACAGCTCACAATGGACATTTGGCGTCGGTGCACAACGCATTCGACATGACTTCATTGAGAAGTAAGGGAATCTGAGGACATTAATGGTAAGAAATATGTAATTCAGAAGTGGCTGGGATGTGCTCAACATTCTGGCTGGGAGGACAATGTCAATCGGGAGCCAATTGCCAATGGATCGACGGAACTGACTTCGACTACACCAACTTTAGAAATGGAAACTCCGGAACGGACAATTGTGTGGTTGCGGACACGAGATCAGGTACATTCGAGCCTAGTACTTTCGGTCTAAAAGACAACATTTCATTCTCGGAAGTTTACAGGAACTTGGAACACGCAAGCTTGTGACGCGAAGATCTGCATTGCCTGCGAAATAGCGGGAGCGATGAACAATTGTCAGGACTGGATGGCGGCGGGATATACCGAGTACGGGCGGTCGAAAACAAACAAATATGTATGCGTTTCTTGATTTCTTTTTCAGTTCCGGGAAGTACACTATCTTGGTGAACGGGAAGGAGACGGAAGTGTGGTGCGACATGCAAACCTACGGAGGCGGATGGATTCTCTTCCAAAAGTACACTTTGATACTATAGTTCTCATCTTTTAAAGTTCTTTTTATAGTCGTATTGATGACACGGAGACGTACTGGAATCGCAAGTGGGACGAGTACAAAAACGGATTCGGGGACACGGATGTGAGCGCCAATTTCTGGCTGGGAAACGAGGCACTCCACGCGCTGACTTCTGATGCAAATGTGACTCTTCGAGTGGAAATGTACGGGGATCGGACGCCCAATTCGCAAAACGCAACGGACTTTTGGTTCAGTCACTATTTCCAGTTCACTGTTAGTTCGTACTGGAAGTTTACAAACATTCTGATCATTACAATTTACGCAGATTGGTCCCGAGGCTCAAAATTATCCCCTGAACTTGGTGATGGATTGGTGGAACGTGGTGGGGAATGCGTCAACGGCTTGGTACGATCTGACCTGCTCGGCGGGAGCCCCCTTCTCCACCATCGACAACATCCACGACCCGGTGAAGGAGTGCGTAACCAAGTATGAAATGGGGTGAGTTCTGCGCTTCCCTATTTTTGTTTTTCTTTTCGCACTGCTCCTGGCCAATTTCCGCCCTTTCAGCGGCTGGTGGCTTAACAACTGTGCCCTTTCCACACTCAATGGCGCATACAATCCAAAGGACTGGACGAACGGATACGGCATGTTTTGGATTTGGGACGGCTCCGAGACTATTCTACACCCGCAAAAGACCCGAATGCTGCTGAGAAACACCGTTTAACTTTATAAATAGCTGTCCCGAACACTTACTCGCAATGCATCCAATCGTAATTTTCGGACGGCATCTCGTGATTCGGAAGCGTTGCGATCGCATTTCCGAGTCCCCAAATCAACGTAAACAGATTGAGTCGTTCCGAGATTCCCGTCACGTTCGTCATTAGAACATCTGAAAATCAATAGGCTAGTGAAAGAAAAAATAGTTTGAAAAGAGTAAAAACTCAGAAAATTGAAAGTGCAGATCGGAGAGCGGAGAGCCGGGAGGGACAGTGAAAACTTTTTGATCATACACATATTTGGGAGCGCCTCGTAAACAAAAGCAGTTGATGATTGAGAGGCTGGAGATGAGATGAAGAGTGTTGTATGCTTTTAAAAAATTGAGGCTTTCCGGATGAGGGAAGAGGATGAAGAAGAAGCAAAAGGAGAAGAAGCAGAAGCAGATGAGGGATTTTTCATTTGGAGTAGGCAGGGGGACCGCATATGTAATGACGTGGCAACACAAATAATAAAATTATCTATCTATCTATCTATCTATCTATCGAATAGAAAACGGGATGAATGGGCGAGTGTGGGAAAACGGAAAAAGCTGTCAAAATCAGACAGTGGAAAAGTCTTCACCAATTGATTAAACTCTGCTTTGTTTTGACTCCGCCATCCTCATAAGTCACGAAAAAAACGGGGAGAGCCTTATGAATTTCGAATTTCGAATCCCTCGAATGACCATAAACCTTAGTCGTCGTGTGCCGGCCACTGCTTCTGGAGCCGGGACCGAAAGGAGGCGTGCTCTCGGCGGACCCATCATCGGACTTCTTCTGAAGCACGTCGCGCCGCAAATTCACCTCGACATCATAATAAGATGCAGATTTTCTTCCATGTTCAACTGCCCGACATTGTTGAGGGAAATTCGATTGTTTGTGACGGCGCCAGAGAGTGTGCGCGACGGTGAGACGCAGCAAATGCACTCGTCTCTCTTTCGGGTTTCAGAGAAGATGACGGCTCTTGCAGGTACTACCGGCCGACTGAAAGATCTTTGGGCAAACCGAAAAGGGAAGATAGCCGGAGATGAGCCGGAATGACCATTTTCAGCCATCCGTTCTGAATATTCATAGCACATTATGGTTTTTCCCCAATTTTTTTGTTTTTCACACAAATGACATATAAGTGCGCGCGTTCCTCCGACCATCGGTAATCGGAGTGAAATGAAATTACTTGTGACGTGTACAGTCTATACTACAGAAAACAAAATCGAGAAAAAACCGAGATGGGCGAGGGAGAGAAAGAGGGGGAAAATGTAGTTTCTGTGACCAAAGTGACTAGCTTGTTAGTCGCCGCTCCTATAAGAAGGCCCGTGATCGGAGTGTACAATATTGTCAGGGATGAGTGTCTTGATTTCTCTCTTTCTTGTCTTCGTGACTTCTTATGTCGTCTACTTTTATTGGAGAGTTCGGAAATATCCGAAAGGACCGTTTCCGCTTCCATTCGTTGGAAACATTCTTCAGGTAATCTATCCGTTCTTGTTGATTTTCCCAATTTATTTTCCTCTTTCAGATGCCAGCGGAGAACATCCAGGAGTATTTGGATTCTCTTTCCAAAATCTATGGCCCGTGTTTCACCATCTGGACACCGCGTCCGTGCGTCGTTCTGGCCGACTACGATCACGTGAAAGACGCCTTCGTAACGCAGAGTATCATCAATCCTCGCGCCGTTCGTCTAATCCTTTTCACATTCAGGCGATGCATTCATTTCCCGCGCCCACAGACCTCCGGAAACCCTTTTGCAGCCGATCGACAACACTGGAATACTATCTGCAAGTGGGGAAGTTTGGAGACTTCAGAGGAGAACATCGCTCAAGATTCTGAGAGATTTCGGATTGGGAAGGAATCTGATGGAGGAGCAGGTGGTACGATCAGTTCATGAAATGCTCGCACAGATGAAAACGATCAAGGACAAGCAGAATGCCGACGTCTTCTGGCCGATCCAACTTTGTGTGGGAAATGTGATCAATGAGTCACTGTTTGGGTTCCATTACAAGTACGAAGATTCTGAAAAGTTCAAAACATTTGTGAAGATTATTGACAAGCATCTGAGAATCAGTTCCGGAAGGCCTGCTCTCCTGATTGCCACGTTTCCGTGGATGAGACACTTGCCGATCATCGGAGAATTGGGATACCACGCAGTAAAACGGAACATTGTCTCGTATCAATCGTTCATTGAAGAAGAAGTTGTGACTCAGATGAAGCAGTACGACGGCGAAAGTGAGCCCGAGAACTTTGTGCATGCGTACATGCAGCAGATGAAGAAAACTGGAAACCCTGGACTCGAGTTGGTTGATTTCTCCCTTCCAAATTCATGAATTCCATTCCAGCATGCCTAATCTATGTGCCTCCGTTCTCGACTTCTGGCTCGCTGGAATGGAAACGACGTCAAACTCCCTCCGTTGGCACCTTGCTTACATGATGAAATATCCAGAAATGCAAAACAGAGTTCGCAAAGAGATAATGGAAAACGTCGGCACTTCCCGCTTGGTCTCAATGGCCGACAAGGCCAACATGCCGTACACGCAGGCTGTGATCCACGAAGTGCAGAGACATTCCAACATGATTCCTTTCCTCGGAACTCACACATGTAAGCGAACAACTTTTTTGAGACACGGCCAATCATAATTGTTCAGGCCTCGAGGATACTGTCGTCCAGGGAAAGAAGGTGCCAGCCGGGACCAATGTGTTCGCCCAAATCTGGTCTGTGATGAGGAACGATCCAGTTTTCGACAGTCCTCTCACTTTCAACCCGGACAGATATCTTCTGGCCGACGGGCGAACTTTCGATAAGGTAAACGAAACGGTTGAATCGATCTCAATCAAAAGGGGTCCTCGTTTCCAGGCTCAACTGGAAAAGACCATCCCGTTCAGTGTCGGAAAGAGGGCGTGCGTGGGCGAAGGGCTCGCGCGCATGGAACTCTTCGTCATCTTTTCAGCTCTCATTCAGAATTACGAGTTTGTGGCCACCTCCCCAATCGATCTCACTCCAATGACCGGCACTGTTCTCACCAGCAAGCCTTACACTTGTAAATTGATCCCACAGTATTGATCTGATGTACATACATATTCAAATATTGCATTTATTTTATTCCATAAACACATATACATAAACAGATATGTTCTTGTCGCAGACGATCAGATCATTCCCGTGTCTTTGAGGTTATCCTGGACGACACTGTCTATGACCGTGTTGAGAATCAGCTGAACTTGGTCGGAGATTGCGCACGTCTCGTGGACGTACCTAAAACTGACAATTTGTCTGGAAGCTGTTCATTTATCTCACATTTTCTTTCTGTATTGTTCGTCTATTCCGTATTTGAACTGGTTTCGGAAGAACTTCACACCGGCTGAGTAAGTGTTTTCGCCTTAAAGATGAAGAAGTTGGGGGCCGGGAACTTTTGAGTTCATGAATTACCTTCAAACTTTGGGAAGTACTTTTTGATCGGGACGGTTTTGACTTTCTCTTTGAAGATGTCATTTTTGTTGAGAAAAAGAATGATTGTCGATTTTTGGAAGTACCGTTTGTTGCTGAACAATGTCCAAAACAGCCGCAAAGCTTCTTCGACTCGGTTCTGAATTCAGTTTCCATCGTAAATGACCTTGTAATCTCTTCACTTACCGTATCGTTGTCCTCTGCCAATCTCTGATCGTACTCACTGATCGCAGCGACGAAGAGAACGAGTTGTACGTCTTCAAAGTACTTTAGCCACTGAAATAATTCGATCGCTGATTGTCTGTCACATGTTCGCTCTCAAACTGACTTTCTTTCGTTCGGAGCGTTGCCCTCCACAGTCCGTAATCGAAAGTTTGATGTTTTTCAGAAGGATATCGGCCTCGACGACGCCCACGGTCGGCATTCGGATGTGCACAATATCTTGGTTCGTCGGTTCGTAGTCAGGCTCCTTTATCCGGTCCAAGTTTTCAAAGAAGCTACAAAAAGTTGGATTCACATACGCCTGAGGTATGGAAACCCACTAGGCAGCGCTGTCAGTCAAATGGAAAGTGTACCGCTTGTCGTACGCCTGCTGAATGGCCTTCGTGTCCCAGAACTTTTTGAGACCGTCCACTATATCCGGCTTCAGATCAAGTCCCTTCTCAATGAACGACCGCAGCTTGTAGTACATTCTTTCGAAGAGCTGAATCATTTTTCTGTCTCATTTTCTATCCCTTTCTCTCTCACTTCCGCGTCTTCTGGTCGAAAATCGAGGCAATTGTCTCTGGCGTAATCCAAAAGGATTCTCGTGAACGCACAAATGTTCTGCATGATCTGAAGTTTCTTCTCCTGCAATTCGTGCTTGGTGTAGCTGCCGCTCATTGCCCTGAAAATCTATGACGTCGTGTCGTAATACGTACCCTTTCTGGGCTTCTAATTAGCATTCTTCACGCGCGAATTCACGGCCCGTGATATTTTGGAGCGAGGAGAGATCATTTCAACAGAAAAGAGAAGCCCGGGGGTGTTTGGCAGGTGGAATACATTGGACGGAAACGCACCTAATTTGCTTGAAGACTGTGCTCTTTCCGCTTTCCCCGGGACCCAACAGTAGAAGCGATTGCTCGAGGACTCCCGCCTTCTTCTTTTTCACAAGTGTCAACTCGATTTCTCTGAAAAATGACATTTTAAGTTCGATTCTCGCAATTGACCGACCTGCTTCTCTTGATAGCTATCGCCTTCTCCTGTGCTTCTTCATTCGGGATGAAAGAGCTGCAGGCTCCCATTGCAATGGATTCTGGAACGTGAAGTTAAGTATGGCTAAACAAAATGTTCAAAGTGATCAGAAAGATACAATGATGCCAAGAGATTCATGTTTTCATCAAACTCAAAGTAGAATAGAAAGAGAAATGACTGGGCCTGCCTAATACGTAGACAGAGAGACTTAGTCAGAAGGAATACGTAGAACTCCGGTGTGGTTGGTTCAAGCGCACACACCTCACCGCGTTTTAATTATTTTTTCTCGAGAATCACTCATGTCAATCGCAGCAGGGCCACGTAAAGATGAAAATGATGCTGAAGTCGGTGAAGAAGGAAGAAGAATAAGAGCGGAAAAAAGTTGGAGCTCGAGTAAGAGAGAGAGAGAGAGAGAAAGGCGAGACAAAGCTATGATTAAGGGAAATGGGCGGGTGCGGGGATGAGGCAGTCTCCCCTCATCGTTTCCGTGGTAACAATTGAGCACAGTCAAGTGTGCTCATCAGGCTTCGTGGGAAACATGAGTGTGAGTGGAGAGGAAAGATTGAGTCTGGAAGGCTGCGACGGATTGAGACGGCAATCAGTGTACCCGAAAACAAGAAAAAAGACGCGTTTTAGATGTCTGATTTCCCCCGAGGAAAGTTTTTTCCCCGTTTCCATGGAGTTTCACGAGCCGATTACAAAGTCATATTTTCCAAATGTCAAGTGATGGAATGGCAGGCAGACAATTCCACAAAGCTCAATTTCAGTGAAATCATAAAGCGAAAATTGAATTGGTCGAGGATTAACAAGATTTCTTTTGCGCTACACACATCGAACCCGATTCTGGCTGCTTCGAGGCGGCTACTGAGGTCGTTCATGTGAACAGAGCGACCGAGCTGCCGAATAGAAAAGAGCAGCGTAATGATGGGCTTCAAACCTGTAGAGTCTTTCGGTAAACAAGGCGCATTCAGAAGGATGAAAAGGGAGTTCATTTCTCGAACACTGGGGGTAAGCGGAGCCAATTGAATCGGAAAGTGGCTGCCATTCGACAAAAGCCACAAAAAAACCTGATGACTGATGCTGATGTCCGGCCGGTGCATCGGACCGTTTCCGAAGGCACGGTGATTTCTCTTTGGGGTCTCGCGGAGGTTTCTAGTCCCTGATCCCCACGAAGGCTCAGATGCAGCGTTCCAGGAACTTTAGATGCGCGCCGCCGGACAAATACTTATTCATCTTATTCATTGTCATGCGTTCATTATGATCAAAACTGTTACGGTTTTGGGTTTGCGGAAACAACGGTTTATTCCGGGGAGTACCCAAGCCGTAAGAATATATAATAGTAGAAGAATAGTAGGTGAGAGAGGAATCAGAGTCAGCGTTTGACTCTGAGACCTGAGCGAGTAGATGAGTGAGTAGCTACTGAGTGTGCTGCGAGTAACAACTGAATGGGGGTTCGTCCTCAGAAGGAGGGCGAAGGAGAATGATGACAAATAAGCGAGAACAACACATAACCTAGCGGGTAGATAACTTAGCATTATCCTACAAATTATCATACTTCTAGAACGACGTAACAAAAACTAACAAAGAGCAACAAGAAACTCGCAAAAATGTCTATAGGTCACTTGAAAAATAGCTTTTTTCGAAAAATGGCTGCTCGTGCGTGCTTTTTTTGTCATTCATTTTACTTTATTTTTTGGAAATGAGTTCATTATGATGTAAACTAACAAAGAAACACAAAGAAACACGCACGAGCAGTCATATTTTGAAAAAAGCTGCTTTGGCAATGAACCCTAGACATTTTTGGAAGTTTCTCGGTGCTGCTTGCGAGTTTCAATCATAATGAACTCATTCTCAAAAAAATAGAAAAAATGAATCAGTATTCTTCGAACAGCACGCATCAGAAGTTTTGGGGTGCGGAAAAAGGCCTGACGAGCGTGCCGCCGGCCGGCGACATGAGTAATTGTGTCGAAACGGGTTTATTTATTTGTTCCGAAAATGAATTCTGAACTTTTTTGTTGCTTGTTGCTCTCACTCTTTTTCTATCAGCTTCCACTTCGAACCAGACAGAAATACGCCGTTGCTCGATATTCCGGGTACTCCTGGTATTCACCTGGTATTTTGATGATCTTCTTAGAAAAACAAGAGTCGCACTTGGTCAAAAATGCAATTTTTTTGAAATATCTTTCTTTGTTTGTAGATTTTTTATGTGGATTATCTTTCTGTTGAGCTGAAGGAGAATCTTGATATAATCTATTATTTCCATTTTCTTACATGAGTTGATGCTGAAACTCAGCTATATTATCACATTCTCTTGAACATTGGTCTGGAAATCACTTCCAGGACCGCCAAAGACACTTCTCAGACTAGTTTAGAGCGTTCTATTCTCAAGAAGCCCGACCAGGAACACTTGTTTTCCCGAGGACACCTTTTTTTTAAGGGGACTTCCTCTGACGTTATTGCTATGCAAGAAGTCAACTCTCTCTCTCTCTCTCTCTCTTTTTCTTCCTCTCTCCGACGTTATTGCTATGCAAGAAGTCAACCAATTTTTTGTTCTTTAATGACTAAGCCTCCTCGCGTCAAAGAACGGAAACGGGAACTTCCTCAGGAAGCCCGCCGGCTAATTAGTCAGCGTACCTTTTCTAAATAACCTTCGGACGTAAGCCTGAAATTCTAGAAACTCTAACCGGATTATCTGACTCTCGCCACAACGTTCCACTTCAGGCCGAAAAGGACGCCCAGTGAGTTGACCGTAAATACCGTAAATACTTACCGGAAAAACTGTAATAGAAAGGCACCCAGCAAAGTGAGCTAGAGCACTTTTAAGTCGATTTTAAAACGTTTCACACGCCTTTTAAAATTTCGAAATTTCATGTTGCACACAGAAAAATAGAAGGGCATGCCCTTCTAATACAGTATTTGCGGTATGTACAAGATTAATGTTTTTCAGTTTCCCACACAATCAGCAATTGCCACTCCGAGAAATCCGAAACGACCAACTTTGAACCCATCGAGCAGCGGAGAGCCGTAGTCGAAGAAGCCTGCGAGATCCGAAATGAGTTCAGCGCTTCAACGCAGTCGATATTCAAAGTCAGCCATTCGGGAAGGATTTCTAGCAAAAAACTCGGATGGACTGCGAAGTTCCAGACGAGGAATCGGATTCTTCTTTGATTTGGTTACGTCCTTCTTTCCTTCTCGTTATTCTCCTTGTTTCCCTGTATCTCATAGTAGTCAAATTGACGCTTCTAATTTTTTAGAAATTAGTTGTTTTACATTCAAAGAAACTCAAAAAAACAGTAATAACTGTGAAGTTTCTTTCAAATGTTTACAAGAATCTGCCAGTCGGACGGTCTGTTATCGGTCGGGTGTCACTCGTCATTTATCAGTCAGACACACGAATACCATTGGAAATGTCTGCGTCTCAAGACGGCCTCTTCTATTTTCACTACAAAGTTCAGTGTATTGAGCCTGATGCTTGATCTTCGAAAAAAGTGATTTCAGGAGTCAGAACTGCGATTTCAATTATGCCAGCGGCTTCGAGATCACCGAGAGTTCCCAGAAAGAGACGGCGTCCTTTTTCTCGGAGCGACAATACTTGATTGAAATCGAGGGAGTTTGCGAGTGGAACGTGTGCTCTTGAAGGAACCGATCACCAGTCTGCAACTTCTAAAAAATCGGATCCCTTTGTTTTCGGAACCCAATCCGAGTCGAAAATGAAACATGTTATGAATAATTTCTGTTGTTTATATTGACTTCTGTTCCGACAGAAATCATTCGAAACCTAAACATTTTCACACTTTTACAGCTCCTTTCCCTTCTTTGTCTGATTATCCGTTTTGTTTCGAGATTCTCTGCCCGGAATCGCCCGATTTCCTCCTTTCTGGTGTCCTTTTTCACTTCCGATACTGACGTCTTCTTTCCGCTTCTTTTCCATCCAAAACTTTTTCATGTTGCAAACGCAGCGTTTCTTCTCGAAATTAGCAGCATCGAAAGAAGACGTCACCCCTTCTTCTTCTTGAGAATCTGCACAAACACGCGAGTTGGAGCATCTGACACAGACGGAAATAGAAGAGGTGTACCAAAATCTCAGACAGTTTCCAAATAGAAAAATAGCGAAAATCGAGTCGGAAAACAAGAAGAGAACCGTGTCCACAACCGGTATCACTCTGTTTCCAGTCTCACAGAGGCGAGGTATTGTTATTATTATTGTTGGCGTCGAGACCGCTGGCAGTGCCTCCGTTTGACGAGCTCGCGTTTCCCGCCCGTCACTCGCCACATTTCCGTCGGTCCGTCGGTCCGCCGAGTCACTTTGGTCTCCGTCACGCTGACAAGTACACGACGAATTGAAACATGGCCATCGAGAGCCACTCGATACATCATTCGAGTGCTCTTCATTCCGGCGTCGTCCTCGCCGCCGCTCCTCTCCGTCATCATCGGTTTCCCATCCGGGCGTCACCTCTTCGAAGTCCCATATCTTTTATCCGCTTCGGCTGCTGCGTTTGCATTCCTCTTCTTTCTTTCCGTTTCGTCATGTTTTCGGGCGGCCCCTCTTCTTCCAGAAATCTGCCTGTTTTGACAGCGGATGCCACACAAGTTTCCGTTCTTTGGGTGCCGCCAAAATTTTTTGAAAGACCCCAAATTGCGTGTTATCGCTAAGTGAGTCCGGACTCTCCATCCCGAGGGCTCTGAGATTTCGACGCAGCCGCCCGGCGATGAGCAGTCTCGATGATATCATTCGAACTCTGTGAAGGCTAGACGAGCATTTTACGACGCATCTGCTTCTTTTCCGATGGCACTTTTCCGCTGTATTCGGCATTCCACTTCGAATTTCTCTCATCTGGACCGATTCCGAAAATTCCTTTCCGTCGTGCGAACTGAACCACAAACTTGCCGAACGAACTCATCTTTGTTCCCTGTCATAAACACGTTTATGAATGGGAATTCAGCGCTCCTATCTGTTTATAAGTCGAGCATGTGTCTCGTGAAGCTCTCTTGGACCCCCGCACAAGAACCACAACAACTCATCATTATCACTTGTTGTATTTTTGATTGCAACCCCTCTCCGCGACGACCGCCGTGTTTCTCATTCGTTTGCTCTCATCTCTCCTTCCTGTCAGCCACCTGTTTTTCAGTCTCTTCCTCTTCCGATCCAACACTATTCTTCACGGACTCTTGTTATCGCCATCATTTCTGGATGAGTTCGATCCTTTTGAATCGGAATCCCTTATTCCATCGCACGTTCTAAACATTATCAATTTCGGGTGGGCGCCGCCGTGAGTCCCCCCACCCCCCGCCGGTTTTAGTCATGGGAAACACGATGAATGTGGGAATGATTGGCTCCTAATCACCGATGGAATCCTCAATTCTCGAAGATGTCTGATATCTACTCGCTCCCTCCCCCTCCCCTCTTCTTCTTCATTTTTGTTTCCGGGTCTTGGTCCACTAGTGGTAGTAGTTGTTGGGGAGATGGCCAATATAAGAGAAATAACAGATAACTGGCGGTAGGACATGTTATTGTGTTCGGCCCTAGGGCCATGTCCTGTCAATTCCAGACCCCTCTCCTCTTCTTCCTTTGTTTTTTTCCGAAACCGCCGCCCGTCCGCCTATGCCCATTTCGTACTTTTCTCCGCGATTCTCGGAAAAAAAACATGCGAATTGTCGGTGGTTTATAAAAACGGCAACTCGCCATTTCTTTTGGAATTTGAAGGCGAAACGCTAACGTTAGTGCTCGGCTGTTTTTTGTTGCCACCGCCCCGAAATGTCTAATCCCGGGGCCCATAAATGATGGTCTGGTCGCTTCTAATAACCATAATTCACTTGCTTCCTCCAGAATGTGTTTCCTTTTGTTTACTTCTGCTACTATCACCACTACTTTTCCATTTCCACTCACCCAATCCGTTCGACTTTCACTTGCTCTTCGAGTTCACACGTGGCTTATCCTCGCACTTCGCGCCCGTTCTCTGCTTTCCATTCATATTTCCTCTCCTCCAGAATCCATTTATTCGTTAGACAGGAAATGCGTGGAATAAACTGAAAGGAAGCGAAGAGTTTTAGCCAAAGTGACGCCAATCGCTCGCTCGCTCACCCTTTCAGCACACAATTATTGCGCTCCTTCTCAGAAATGAAAAGCCGACGGTTACTTTCTTAGTTCACGGCGACAATAACATCCATTTTGAGGTGCACCCTTTTCTCGAATTCCAATTCGAAATCGACGATTTCAGCAGGAAATGTCTATTTTTTGAAACATGTCGCTTTGCTCATCAGGAGAGACGCATATGGCCGCCTCCTGCCCCTCTTTTCGATATCGCTTCATTCATGTTTATTTTTCAGTAATTGCACTCTTTTTGCTTCTCGGCTTTCGAAAATTTCAATTTTCACCGACTAACTTCCACTTTGTTTGCTAAAGACGGAAAAAGATTAATTGGTGTCTGGAAATGTTTCAGTGTGACATCATGAATAGTTGTACTGGGTCCGTCCCCTGGGAGGTGTCCAATTTCAGTAGTTGTCATGGTGTCTGCCACAGCGGGACGTCTTCCTTCCGTCCAGGCGTCCTTTCATCTTCTTCTTCTTCTTCTTCTTCTTCTCTCTTCTTCATTAGAAAAAGTCGTGATTCATCAGATGAATCGTCTGGCGTAGTAGTCTATCAAAAGTCGCTTCTCAAGACGCATGAAACATTCATTCAGGAGCAGGTCGTCCTCAATTATCTGCTCTTTGTTTATTCCCTCTCTATTTCTTGCCTCAATAATTGCATTCTTCTTCTTCTTCTTTCTCTTTCTTCTTTTTACTCTCGACCTCATTATAATTATAGTCAGCAACATTTCGCATCCGTGCGAAGTGATTCACAGTTACGCGCGAGCTCATCGCCGCTGCTCCATCTCTCGTTTCGCTTTCTCCATCTTTGTCGCGAAGGCACTCGCTCACACCCAATTGGCATCATTGAGCCACACCGCGGAGGCGACGATGTGCCCACGTGAAACTGAGAAAATGTCTCTCGAATCATGTCCACACTTCCTTTCCGTTCATTCCATTTCCAATCTTTTTTTGGAACGGAAACGAGTGGGCAATACACTTCCGAGCCTCCGTTTTCGATTCCCTTCCGGCACTTTGTACTCATCCTCCCTGGCCACGTCATCTCCCCGCTTCCTCATTAGGTGATCAGTTTGTGCTCCGCTCAGACAAGAGCCCCACCTTGCAATTACTCGCTGACGCCTTTTTGTAACCAATTGTCGCGTGTTCATCAAAAGGGCTCTCCCCTGATATTCAAAACTGGCGCCCTTTCCGTCTGTTCGCTCTCCCTTTCTCTCTCTCTCCCTCTTTTCTTTGTTTTCGATCATATTTCGGTTGCCAGATTGGCTGTAATTACAGTACGCAAAGTGCAAAGAGCACGTGGCTTCTTCCGGAGAAGAGGGCATCCGCCTTCCTTCCATTCGTAGCCGCGATGAATGCGCGAACTTCTTCTGCGATCAGAATTATTTTCCCCGAGACTCACGTAGTACATCCTACATATTTTTTGAATGATCAATTTCCCGCGGTTGCGGTTTCTGTTTACTCTTTTCCGATATAATCTGTTCCCTGTCATGCGATCGATCCGAAATGTGTCCTTAGTCTGAAATTCGCCCCCGCGCCGCTTGATGTTTTTTTCATGATTTGATGGATATTCACGGAGAAGTACATAGCAGAAGGGAAAATGATTCGATTCAAATTCAAAGTTCTGCAAAAAAGGTTCCGCGACCTTAGAACACCAGAATCCAGACGGGAAAAGGGGATGTGAAAGTGGTGATCTGATCCGAAACGAACCCAATTATGCACGGCGCCGCTGATTTGTTTGTATTCATTCATATCTGCCGTACATTCCGTGCTCACATCACCTCCGTAATACATGATTCATCGCCCATTCGGCGCCGCCTTTCCCACTTCTTCAGCGCCAATTTCACGTGATTCAAAAACTCGCGAGACTAACATGGGAAAAAGGGATTGGTAGACGGCTGAGAGTCTCACGGAGTGCCATCCGGTCACAAACTGGTTTGTCTGCGGTGCCGCCTGAAACTGTTTGGCAGTGAACATCGGGCTGAAACGACTGAACCATACGAAACGGAACAATAGTAGACGGAAATTGTAGTATTTTCTGAGCTTGTTGATTGGTTTTCGGGGAACAGGGCTTGTACATAATATCACAGGTTGTCCGAGTACAACCGATCGTATCCTTTCCTCTTTTCCCTCTTTCCCTTTCTCTCTCGGCTTATCTCATCTTAGGGCTCTTTGAATTGGCTCCGATTTTCGCAACCGGACACTAACCCGTCTACTTCTTTCTTTCAGACATGGACAGCCAACAGTGGATGGCATGTGCCATCCTTGTGATCGTGCTGGTAGGAATCTTCGGAAACACACTCTCGTTCATTCTGTTCAGCAGGCCACACATGCGATCTTCATCTGTAATTCTTTCCAAGTCTCTTCCTCCCGCCCAATATCATATTTATTTTCAGGTAAACGTGCTCCTATGTGCTCTCTCCTTCTTCGACTTTCCCTTCTCGCCCTTTCTATTCCCATTTTTGTCATTCCGAACCTTGACATGTGGGCCGATGACCGGTCCCTGGCCACGTTCATGGCCTACATCCTCAAAATGATCTATCCGATCAATCTGATGATGCAAACGTGCTCCGTCTACATCATGGTCATGATAACACTGGAGCGATGGGTTGCCGTGTGCCGGCCCCTTCAGGTCAGAGTCTGGTGCACTCCGCGCAAGTCCCGCAACGCCATTCTTGTCATCATGGTCGTCGCCTTCTTGTACAACTTTGTCCGATTCTTTGAATATCGGTTCGTGGCGACAGAAAACGGAGCTGTCTATGAGAAATGGCTACGAGATCCCGGTACTCATAGGTGGTACTACGTGGGCTACTACACAGTTCTGTACATTGTCACCCACTTCTTGGTGCCCTTCTCTGTCATGGCGTTCGCCAACGGACATGTGATTGTGGCGATGTGTAAGCTCAGCAAAACGAGACAAATGCTGACCCGGCAGGTACGTTCTCATCTCCCCCGTACCTCTTCTCAATCTGCCCTTTTTTGTAGCAACAACGGGAGCAGTCTACCACCGTCATGTTGCTCATTGTGACCTTTGTCTTTGCCATCTGCAACACGCTTCCGTTCTTGCTCAACGTCTCCGAGAGCATTTTCCCGACTCTGTTTCAGGACGAGGTTTGAATAAGTCATTGTGATTGCGTGCTTGTCCGTCCGTCGCCAACTGATGACGCTACAAAAACCGCGCCGCCGTTTTTGTACTCGGCGACGTTGAATCTCGTGACTTTAGCAATGTAAACAAAGAATTCTAGCTGTAATGGGATTGTTGCAGAGCACGCGGGGACTGGCCTACTGGCTCAACGACCTTTCGAACCTGCTCGTTGTGCTCAACTCGGGGACCACCTTCATCATCTACTTTACATTCTCCGAGAAGTACCGACAAACACTCGTATTCATTCTCAAGTAATTTTACTATCTTCCACCGTTCCTATGCTCTGAATTCGCAGGAACGGATGCTGTGCTACCGTAAGCGACTACAACAACTACACGGCGATGTCGCGCACTGCTTCAATGAGAATATCTTCCGAGACGGGTGGTCAAATCCAAAGACAGGGCTCGCGAATGAGCAACAGCAGGTGGGCGAACTTTCTAGCGAGAATTCATCAAATCAAGCGGTTCTAGTTTTAGAAAACCAGTTCTGAAAGCGCTTCATTCAGAGGTAAAAAGCAAGAGAGAATCCCAAAATAACCGTGTACTTTGTTAACTTTGCACGAGCTTCTCGATCTTTCTGTTCCGTCCAAGAACGTGCATTCTTCACTTACTAATTTTCGGCCGAATGCGCTAACTTCTCCTCACTGTCATGTTCTCTGCAATAGAATTCGTCTTCAGCCGCTCATCGGACGTGCTGCTCAAGCCAATTTATATGCAGAAAAGAAGCGAACGCTTCTCCTCGGAATACAACGAACGAACTTGCAAGTGAGTGAAGTGACAGCGGGCAAATGCAAAAAGAAGATTTTAGACACCTTGTTCCTTTCGACGACTACAAATTACCAAAATTGCCGAACGAGAAGAAGAGGAAGAAACTGCATAAGTGAGTGATTTTCAATTGCAAACAGTTCGATTTCACTTTTTCATTTCATTAACATTTTACTTTTGCAGAACCATTCTATGCTCAATTTGATTTTGCAGAATGTCTGCCGTAGAACATCGTGGCATGCCCGAGATCACGATCACTTTCAGTGAAGATCTCCCAGAAGGAGAGCCCGATTCTCCACGCGAACCCTGCTAGTCCTCTAGTTTTCCACTTCTTATGTACTGATTCTCTTCATTCCGCTCTGCACGTGAATAATTCCTAACACCGCCAAAACGGGTGATCTTCCTCTTTTCTCGCTCTCTTTTGTTCTCTTTTTCGTTTTTCCCACCAACCAGACAAATGTGTACATATTTTTCGGTGAATAAAGTTGTTTGACGCGTTTGCCAACGTGCGAGAATGACTCCAGGGACCTATGAATTTTGGATTGTCACAAAAGCGCGCGGCACCCTTTCTTTCCATTGTCCCCCGCCCAATTTTCTGGCTCATTGGCCTTACCGGCCATTCGAGAGACGTTCCGGCCGGCCGGGATTAGCCGTCATTTAATCCCTCGACTACAGCATCCGCATCTGTTTTCAACGCCGATTTGCGTCCACTCGTTCGCTTTTTTCAGCACTTTGGCAGTCAACAAATGATTCATATGGTACTTGTTTAGTTAGCAAAGTGACTGGCAAACACGAAGAAGTTTATGAAATCCATCTCCCGCCTTCGCGGTGTCCCTTGCGCTGTACTATTGCTCGTCCTGCGTCTCCCGCTGATTTGCAATGGATCGATGCGAGCTCATTCGCTCGGAGCAGCTTCTCTTCACTTTCTCACCTGCTCTTCCCACTTCATTCATCTTTGCAAAATGTCGAGTTTTGCCGATTCCCTTCTCGACAAAAACCACGCGTGTAGTTCACAGAAACCTCTTGAATCAGGTCGTAAACTCGCTCCTTTGTGCCTCCAAATGTTCCTTTTGGCGATGATGGATGGATTTATTTTCAAACCAATGTTTCGTAACATTCTGACTCACTGTGTCAGTTGTTCCAACTTTTGCCAATCTGTGAATCTGATTGCCCTCCTCCAACTTTTCCAGTTTCTTTTTTGATAAGTGTTTGACAGAGAGAGAGAGAGAGAGGCTCAAGCACATGCAACTTGCATCAGTGTATTTGTATATTTGCTTAATTCTCAACCCGAATTTCCCCCCAATCGATCCGCGAGCTCGTTCTGACGCCGTCGTCTTCCCGTGGTCAACCACCGAAATAAACGATGAGAAGAGGCCCATTTTCTCAATTGCCTCCGTCTGTTCTCTCCCACTTCCTCTCGATATTTCTCCGGGAGGCCAGAAGTCTCGATTACCAATGAAACCTTATACTTTCCACGAGGGCAAGGCAGTCATCCGAAAAACAGAACCTCACCAGCCTTCTCCACTTCTTATTGTACTGTTTTTTGATTCAATTCTTGTTGTAAGAGGTCCGCCTATCAGCACACCGATCGCCCCCTTCGAAACCGATTTCGGTCGGAAACGACGCCAAGGTCGGTCGGCGGTCTCCCTCCCATTCAACGGTGTTTCGTCCGATTCCAAACAGAACAACAAAAAATCGATCATGACGATGATGACGGTGGGGGGTTTCGGCATACTGACACAAAAGCGAGAAGGTGTGTGACGAGCAGTATTGTGGCGCGAAACCAATATGTATGTGGCAGCAGCATCAGCATCACTCAAGAACGAGACATTTTTGCGGTCTGTTTGTCGCGCACGCGCAGCTCCATCTCGCGCTTTCCTTTCCGCTCCAATGTTTCATTCTGTGTTGATTGTTGATTCAATCCGACAGCCTTCCGATGCCGCAGAAACTATCCGAGTATTGATCTGATTGGAGGAAGCAGTTGTGTTGTTTGATTAGTGTCTTAACAAGTAGTCTTTTCGAATCGAACCACTAATAGAAGGTTTGAACCCAGGTGAAGGAAGGTTCTCGTAACTTGAATTGTCACTTCTGTAGGCAGACACGTACCACTTTCCGTTTTCACTTTTTCCCCTCCAAACCAAACAGATGTAAACAAAGTGCAATGCATTTTGCGTTTCGGACAAAAAGTACATCCGCCATTGGTTCTCTGTATCGGAAACAAAAAGAAGTGGTCACATCCTGAACCCATCCAATGACACAACTTCTTCTTCTTCTTCTTCTTCTCCCTCTCTTCCCGTTCCCCTCGGGACTTCTCTATTCTTCGCTCTCCGATTCCAATTCCGATTCCAACCGCCTCATTCTCTTGTGTTCCGTCCTTTTCTCTCTCTCTCTCTCTCTCTCTCTCTCTCTCATCATCAAATGTGTACGTGTTTGTACAATACATACACACAATACAGTACGTGTTTGCTCGTCTCCCTTCAGCCTCCCTCTTCCTCTTTCAATTCCTTCGTTTCCAAATCTCAGAAGTCCTTTTGACGGGTGCCCCTACAAACCCCTAGACCCCCAAAAAATGATGAATGGCAGAAAAAGAAGAAGTAGAAGTAGAAGAGGGAGGAGAAAGGCGAGCGGGTTGCGGTCGTGGCATTGTCGAATCGAATTAGGCACGAAGGGCGCAGCGGGCACGATGAGACACACGAGCCGGCCGTCAAAAAAGGACTGGTCCTGATGTCGGCTGTTTTCACGCTTCTACTCACCCAGTACACATGGAGAACCTGTCCTATTTCGGGTGCGGACGACTTTCAGAACTACAGTAATCCAGTGTGACGTGGCACCCGAACCACTTCGTATTCGCGCCCGATAATTAGTACGAATAGCATTGGGAAGTGCGGCAATTAGCAAAAAGTCAGGGTCATATGGAGAACATCATTCGTTCGGATCTAGTGATGAAATGAAGCGGAGACTCGTGTTGTCGCTTTCTAGAAGCTCTTGCTCTTTTCTTTCCATATTGCTCCAATTTGTCACACTTGACCCTCTGATCCGAACGGACTGATGCTCTTTGACTCGTCATAATAAATTAATTCGGAACGCTCTCCTCTCCATCAATCTGTGCCGCACACTGTCTCCTCTTCGGCGAAGGCGGACATTTTGAGCACAGAGACGGCACATAAAATTCAGAAATGACTGAGAAATTTCAGTTTTTGAGGTTCAGGACTGAAATTCACCAGCAAAGTGCAAAAATGTGCGTTTTCTTGTGGGCAAAACGCTAATTTAAGGATCTGTGATTAACTATTCTGACAATCTCTGTTTCACCTCATTTCCTTCATTTTTGGACGAATTTTCGGGTTGTCGAAAAAAAATCGAGAAATTTCAGACGTGCTTTTGTTTTCAACGACACTTTTAACTCTCGATTGCCGCAATCATAAACTACCAGTGCAGTAGCAGCATCTGTAAAGTGCGCGGCCGATCCGAAATAGCGGCGCGTTCGAAGAGACGTCACCCACTTTCTCTGAGTCTCTGGTATACAAAGCACTCTTTCTGCTGGTCCTCCTCCTCGTCGATCGATCGGATGTGTGCCAACCCTGCATCTTTTGCGCGCGCACCAACGGTCCTCGTCCGGTCTCTAGTTCCCTCCGGCAATGCCACGCTCTCTGCTCCACCACATCATTCCATCTCCGTCTCCGTCGCATCCGCCGCGTCGTTTAGCCAATCCTCCCTTCCTGCCTACGCCTCTGCTTCCTTTTCTTCCCCTCTTCTCGATTTCAATTCCAGCGCCATCGCTGCAGCTTCTCTCGACCCTCCCGACCGTCTTGTTTTCCGATATTGTTTTTGTTGTTGTTCGGGGAGGGGGAGGAGGAGGGGAAAGGAGAAATGAAGGGGTGGGGCGAACAAAAATACAAGACGTCCCGTTCGTTAGCGATGTTGCTTTTACCCAGAATTTGCAGTAAATAGACAGCCTTGTAAACATGAACAACTTGCAGCCGGCTGTCAGCTCCTCACACATCTTTCTGACACGTCATACTCATACTTTCGTACGTGTATGCAACATCCGGGGCTAATCCCTTTGCGCTCGCTAATCCAATCTCTTCTCCTCTGTCCCGTTTCTTTTTATCGGCTCCCACTCGACACTCATTTAGAGCCGTTGGGCCAAGGACCCCATGTGTATGTTCGAGTTGTGTGTGTGTGTGTGTTTGAGTGCGCCCTCTCTCCCCTACTCTCCGCAGTTGTCGAGGGCCCCAGCCGGCGGTCTCAACGGCCTCCTGCGGCAGACGACTGCCTCTGCCCAACCACCCCCCCTTACTGCTTCTTCTTTTTCTTGCCCTTGCGCCCCTCTGCTCAATTTATTCGATTCCTTCTTCCATTGCCTTCAATGTATTTTCATTGTTTCTGCAATGCTCCACGAGCTCCCTCCTTTCTCTCCCCCCATTTTCGTGTTGTTTTTTGTCGCCTCCGTCCGTGTCTCCGTCTCTTGCACCTACCCACTCTCTTTCCTTTTCTCCCTCCTCCAACTCGCCAATTCATAAGCCCATTGGCTTAAAATGAATGCGACTCTATCTTTTGCTGCTCCACATCAACGCCTTCCGTCTTGACATTGTTCACAAATCACTGAGCTAATGTTTCATTTTTACAGCAAAATTTCGGCGGGACTTGCAACGGCGCGAAACGACGTCGGCAATATGGCCCAGGTGAGTGACTACAGTAGTCCTGTGCGAGAACTCTTTCTCTCTCTCACCAAGATTTAAGTCCCCTTTTTTTGTAGTCCTGCCCCAAATTAGTTAAGTTCCCATTTAGACTCAAAAAGATAAATAGTCTGCATTTGCGCGTAAGGTCAGGTACCCCGCGCAAAGACACAGTTGTTTTTGTTGAGATTTTTCTATTCTAGTTTGCCCTTAAAAAGTCCTATCGTATTCTTATTTAAATCCGTCACGTCTACATTTTTTCACGATTCAGGTCGACGTCAATTCCGGCGCCTACAACCAAGAGGAGGAATACGATGACAACTCGTCCGCCCGTCTTTTCGAACGTTCTCGCATCAAAGCGCTAGCCGGTGGGTCGTTTTTCTCTTTGAATCCATTAGCTTTCGTCCGAAACCCATAAACCCTCTCTTTTTCCCACTACTATAGCCTATAGCCTTTTTTCTGGTTTAGTCTCTCCGATTACGTCCATTCGCTCACTCGGCCGTCAGCTCAATGAGTTCTGAAGTCTTTCAATCCTCTAGTGTCTCAATGAAAAGCGAAGAAAACCCACATTTCCAGTCAGATCGTTTTTCTTCCTCATAGCCTTTCTTTCCTTCTTTTGCACTGCCGTTTCGAAGCGCTTTTCCTTTCTTATCACCGTTCTTAAGTGATAAAACAAAGTGTCGGTGCATTGGCGTCAACAGAAAATCAATGGGTAAACTGATAGGAAACTGCCAGCAAACTCACTCTAAACAGTCGTATTCTCTTTTGGCATGTCGTCCGTTGATGACGACCATCCGGCGGTCGAAATTGACCTGCCGGACCAGTACGAAAGTGCTTCCGACTGTGAGCAGACGGATAATTGCAACTATCTCGGCAGTATTCTAAAGGCTAAAAAGTCACTGAGGAAGACGAGAAACACTCCGAGCCCGGGCGTTTATCCGGGCTCCGCGGGTGCTCTTTCTTCCCTCTCGACCCGTCCGGCTGATGAGAATAGGTCTCCCGTCAGTGCGGAAGTGTTCGATTCGGTGTGCGGAAAGAAAAATGTGAATTCAATCGATCTGAGATTCAGAGGATTGAGAGGTTTGTCTGACGCCATTTTTTTGAGGAAATGTCAGTTGTTTAGACTCTTGCACGCAATCTTTCGTGCCTAGAGACTTGTGAGTGAGCAATCTGAAACCTTTCCTTTCTGCTAACTTGATTTGACTCTATCTTTGTTTGCACAAACGTCGATAAATTTCAGATGAGCGTGAATTTGTGCAGAAGAAGACGTTCACAAAATGGGTCAACTCACACTTGGTTCGAGTCAGCTGCAAAGTACAGGACCTTTATATGGACATGCGAGACGGAAAAATGCTGCTCCGACTGCTCGCAGTTCTCTCCGGTGAACGCCTGGTAAGTGGTCCGCTAGGATCTTTGGTCATAGTCTGTTTGTCACCCTCCACGTCTCTTTTCCAAGGAAAAAGAACACCGACGTCTTTTTCTTCTTCTTTTCTTTTTTGTGTGAAATCAATGCAAAGATGCGTAGAACTCCGTCTTTGAGAAGCGAAAGAAAGAAACCAAGAAAGCGTTTTTTTCAGCCGAAGCCGACACCGGGAAAAATGCGTATCCACTGTCTTGAAAACGTCGAAAAAGGTCTGCAATTCCTGCGAAACCAGCACGTTCATCTCGAAAATCTGGGTTCACACGATATCGTCGACGGAAACTCGCGCCTCACCTTGGGTCTCATCTGGACGATCATCCTTCGATTCCAGGTACGCATCACTTGATCATTTTAGCCCACAATTAATCGAATTCAGATCCAAGACATCACATTCGAAGACGCAGACAATCACGAGACGCGTTCAGCGAAGGAAGCGCTGCTTCTGTGGTGCCAGATGAAAACGGCTGGCTATCCGAATGTCAACGTCAAAAACTTCTCGACCAGCTGGAGAGACGGTCTCGCATTCAATGCGCTCATCCACAAGCACAGACCCGATCTCGTCGACTACGACAACCTTCAGAAGTCGAATGCTCTCTACAACTTGCAGTCGGCGTTCGATACCGCCGAGAATCAGTTGGGATTGGCCAAGTTCCTCGATGCCGAAGATGTGAACGTTGACCAGCCCGACGAGAAGTCCATCATCACCTATGTTGTCACCTACTACCATTACTTCAACAAGCTCAAGCAGGACAACATTCAAGGAAAGCGTATTGGAAAGGTGATCAACGAGCTGATCGAGAACGACAAAATGATCAACCGATACGAGACTCTTTCGTCTGATCTACTCGAATGGATCAATGCTAAGATCCTGCTGCTCAATGATCGTCGCTTCGAGAACAACTTGGACGGAGTTCAGAAGCAACTCACTGAGTTCAACGACTACCGTACTCAAGAGAAACCACCAAAGTTTGACGAGAAGGGAGAACTCGAAGTGCTTCTGTTCACTTTACAATCGGCAATGCGTGCTAACAATCAGAGACCTTTCGTGCCGAGAGAAGGAAAATTGATTGCTGACATCAATAGAGTAAGCATTTGCATATGCCATTCCGAAATTAATGAGGTTATTTTAGGCATGGCAAGCCCTGGAGAAGGCTGAACACGAGCGTGAGCTCGCCCTCAAAGAGGAGCTCATCCGCCAAGAGAAGCTCGAGCAATTGGCTGCCCGATTCAACCGAAAGGCCGAGATGCGCGAGACATGGCTCACCGAGAACCAACGCCTTGTCAGCCAAGATAACTTCGGAAACGATCTCTCTTCAGTCGAGGCCGCAACGAAGAAGCACGAGGCTATCGAAACTGACATCTTCGCTTACGAGGAGCGTGTGCAAGCCGTTGTCGCTGTTGCCGGAGAGCTCGAGGCTGAGAACTATCACGACCAGCCAAAGATCAACGAGAGAAAGGAGAACGTTCTCAAGCTCTGGAACTACCTCTTCCAACTCCTTTTGGCCCGCAGAGTACGCCTCGAACTGTCGATGGCTATTCAGAAGATCTTCCACGACATGCTCCTTACTCTTGACCTGATGGACGACATCAAGAAGAGACTTCTCAGCGAAGACCTTGGCGCCCATCTCATGGACGTCGAGGACTTGCTCCAAAAGCATGCTCTTCTCGAATCCGACATCAACATCATCGGAGAGCGTGTCAACAACTCCATCGCCCAATCTCAACGCTTCCGCAACGCAGAGGGACCGGATGGTAGTGGATATCAACCGGTTGAGCCTGCAACCATCGACGAAAGATGCGACGTTCTCCTACAACGCTACAAGGAACTTTTGGATCTTGCCGCTGAACGCAAGCGTCGTCTTGAAGACAACAAGAGACTGTGCCAATTCTGGTGGGATGTTGCCGAGCTCGAGCACGGAATCAAGGAGCAAGAGCAGGTTCTCTCCTCGAACGACACCGGACGCGACATCGTCACCGTCTCGCACCTGTTGGCCAAGCACAAGAACGCAGAGAACAACTTGCGCGATCTTGAGAAGTACCTCGACCGTCTCGATGTTTCCGGCCAAGAACTTCAGGACGAAAACATTCCCGGAAGCGACAACATCCCTCCGAGACTCGCCGAGATACGTGATTACATCAACAAGCTCAAGGAACTCTCGGCTTCTCGCAAGGAGAGACTTGCTGGAGGAGTCGAATACTACCAATTCTTCACCGATGCCGACGATGTCGACCGTTATCTGTACGACACCCTACGTGTCATGTCATCCGAAGACGTTGGAAAAGACGAGGGAACCGTTCAACTTCTCATTAAGAAACACGACGATGTCACCGACGAACTCCAGAACTTTGACCAACACATCCAAGTTTTGCACGCCAAGGCCGAATCACTTCCGCAAGAAGCCAGAGAGCATCCGGACATCAGACAACGTCTGGACACCACTCTCCGCCAGAAGGCCGAGCTCGAGAACCTTGCTCAACTTCGCAAGCAGAGACTCATCGACGCACTTTCCCTCTACAAATTGTACTCGGATGCCGACTCGGTCGAGTCTTGGATTGATGAGAAGGGCAAGCTCCTTGCTACTCTTGTGCCAGGACGCGACATCGAAGAAGTCGAGATCATGAAGCACCGCTTCGATACTCTGGAGCAGGACATGAAGAACCAGGAGATCAAGGTCGCCAACGTCAACGACTTGGCTCGCCAGCTTCTGAATGTGGAGCACCCGAACTCGGACGACATCCTGCACCGCCAGAACAAGCTGAACGCTCGCTGGGCTCAACTCCGAGACATGGTCGACCAAAAGAGAAACGAGCTCGAAAGAGCCCATCGTCTGGAAACTTTCCGCATCGACTGCCAAGAGACGGTAACCTGGATCGAGGACAAGACTCGTGTGCTCGAGGATTCGGACGCGCTTACCAACGATCTGTCTGGCGTTATGAAGCTCCAGAGAAGACTGTCGATGATGGAGAGAGACCTCGGAGCCATCCAGGCCAAACTCGACTCGCTGCACAAAGAGGCCGACGACATCGAAAGAGAACGCCCGCAAGAGGCGCAGGCCATCAGAGAGGACATCAAGAGAATCCACCAGGTCTGGGATATTCTCAACAAGAAGGTCCGCGAGCACGAGGCTAAACTCGACGAAGCTGGAGATCTCCAACGGTTCCTTCGTGATTTGGATCATTTCCAAGCCTGGCTCACGGCCACCCAGAGACAGGTCGCTTCGGAGGAAGAGCCGCAATCGCTTGCCGAGGCTGAGCAACTCCTCAACCAGCACGCCGCCATTCGCGAGGAGATCGACGGATACGCTGAGGACTACAAGAAGATGCGTGCCATGGGAGACCGTGTCACTCAAGACCAGACCGACCCGCAGTACATGTTCCTCCGTCAACGTCTCGCCGGACTCCAGGAGGGATGGGAAGAGCTTCAACGCATGTGGGACAATCGGCAACATCTTCTGTCCCAAGGACTCAACCTTCAAATGTTCCTCCGCGACGCCAAGCAGGCAGAGGTCATGCTCTCGCAACAAGAGAACTATCTGGCCAAGGACGACGTGCCACAGTCCCTGGAGCAAGCCGAGAACATGCTCAAGAGACACCAGGACTTCATCACCACCATGGATGCCAACGACGAGAAGATCCGTGCCGTCGGAATGTTCGGAGACCAACTGTGCCAGGACGGACACTACGCCGCCGATAAGATCCACAAGAAGGCCAGAAACATTGATGAACGCCGTGGAGCTAACCGCGAGAAGGCTCAAGAAGTGCTTAAGAAGCTGAAGGACGCTCTGTCTCTGCAGCAATTCTTGTCGGATTGCGACGAGTTGCGAGAATGGATCGAGGAGAAGATGATCCGTGCTCAGGACGAGACCTACAGAGATGCTAAGACGATCACTTCCAAGTTTGTCCGTCACCAGGCATTCCAGTCTGAGTTGGCTGCCAACAAAGAACGTCTTGATCAGCTCAAGCACGCCGCCATCAATCTCGGAGATGACAAGCCAGAGTACCACGGAACCATCGACCCTCAGATTGAGGAGCTCGCCACTCAATGGGAAGAGCTTGAAAAGACCACCGAGGAGAAGGGCCAGAAGTTGTTCGATGCGAACAGACAACAGCTGTACGTGCAGAGCATTGCGGACATGAAGGAATGGGCGACGCAGCTGGAGAACGAGATGACTCGCGAGGACCAGCCGGCCGATCTGACCACTGTCAATGTGGCCATGCAGAAGCAGCACCTGATCGAGACCGAAATGATCAAGAAGGCCCATCACATCGACCAACTCATGGAGATGGAGCCTCAGCTCGAAGAGCTTCATCCGGAAGAGCTCGAGAACATCAGAGCTCACCGTCTCGCCGTGCAAGAGCAGCTCCAACGGCTCCAAGCTCCATTGGATGACCGCCGCAAGGCTTTGGAACGCAAGAAGGCCGCCTTCCAGTTCGGACGCGATGTCGATGACGAGAAGCTCTGGATCTCGGAGAGATTGGTGCTCGCCAGAGCTCAGAATCTGGGAGAGAACCTTCCGGACTGCCATCGTCTCCAGAAGAACTTGCAACTTCTCTCGAACGAAATCGACAACCACGAGCCATGGATAAACCAGATCTGCAACAACGGCCAGGAGTTGATCGACGAGGGTCACGCCAACGGACCAGCCTTTGAGAAGAAGATTCAGGAGTTGCGTGGAGCCTGGCAAGAGCTGAAGGACGCCGTCAAGGACCGAAAGAATGCTCTTGGAGAGAGCGAGAAGGCTCATCAGTTCTTGTACGACTGCGGAGAAGCGGAGGCCTGGATGAGCGAACAGGAATTGTACATGATGCAGGATGAGAGGGGCAAGGACGAGTTCTCCACGAAAAACCAGATCAAGAAGCACGAACGTCTCCAAGCCGACATCGACAAATTCGCCGACACGATCCGTGCACTTGCCACCAAGGCCCACAAGTTTGTGGATGAGAAGTCACCTCTCAGCGAACAGATCACCGTCCGTCAGGCCCAGATCGAGAAGCTCTACGCCGGTCTCCAAGACTTGTCAAAGGAGCGCAGAAAGAGACTCGAAGAGACTCTGGAGTTGTACGCACTTCACCGCGAGATCGATGACCTTCTCCAATGGATCGCCGACAAGGAGGTTGTTGCGGGTAGCCAGGAGAACGGACAGGATTACGAGCACGTGCAAATGCTCCAGGAGAGATTCCAGCAGTTCGCCCGCGACACGGAGAACATCGGATCGGAACGTGTGGCCAACGCCAACGACGGATGCGATGCCCTCATTGCCAACGGACACACCGATGCGCCGACGATCGCATTGTGGAAGGACTCGTTGAACGAGGCCTGGGAGAACCTGCTCGAGCTGATGGACACCCGTGCCCAGATCCTCGAGGCGTCCAGACTCCTTCACAAGTTCTACCACGACTGCCGCGACTGTCTTTCGAGAATCATGGAGAAGACGCATGCGATGCCAGAAGACCTCGGAAGGGATTCGAGCAGTGTTGGCGCTCTTTCGCGAAAACATCAGAACTACCTGAAGGACATTGCTGCCATCGGAGAGCAAGTTGCTCAGATCGAGAGAGACGCCGCCGAGCTCAGAGACGGTTATGCCGGAGACAAGGCCCTCGACATTGGCTCCCGCGAAAGCGAGGTCGTCAAGGCGTGGAGACATCTCCGCGGACTCTGCGACGCCCGTACTTCTCGTCTCATGGACACTTCGGATCTGTTCAAGTTCATGAACATGGTCCGCGACCTTTTGTTGTGGATGGACGAGGTGAAGCGAGAGATGAACTCGCAGGAGAGGCCGAAGGACGTGAGCGGAGTTGAGCTGCTCATGAACAACCACCAGTCGCTGAAGGCGGAGATCGACGCTCGCGAGGAGAACTTCAACGCGTGCATCTCCCTGGGACGCGACCTGCTCAACAGAAAACACTACGCTTCGAGCGAAATCGAGAAGAAATTGATCAAACTGACGACCGAGAGAGCCGAAATGATGCGAAGATGGGAGGACCGATGGGAGTATTTGCAGCTCAGTAAGTTTCCGATTACGGTATTCGTTGTACATGATATTCCTCTCTTTTCAGTCTTGGAAGTGTACCAATTCGCCCGCGACGCCGCCGTCGCCGAATCTTGGCTCTTCGCCCAAGAGCCATATCTCATCTCGAGGGAATACGGTAGAAACCTTGAAGAAACCATCAAACTCATCAAGAAGCACGAGGCATTCGAGAAATCGGCCATCGCGCAGGAAGAACGATTCTTGGCACTCGAGAAATTGACAACGGTGAGTGAGCACGGTGATTCTTTGCGAGGGTGCAGTGAGAAGAGGGAGAAAGTTAGGCCCTCGTCCCGTGAACTGTCGGCTGCTTATTTTGAATCAGTATTTCTCCGGCGGCGCGCATGTTAAGTTCCTAAAAAAAGCTCGGCGCCCAGGCCTAACTGGCGTGGCCTAGTATTTCTTGTTCAGCCGGCGGACTCGGCGGAAACCGTGGCCTAGTATCCCGACTCGCGACCCCGGGCCAAATGGACTAGAATTTTTCTCGTCACCCTCGCAAAGAATCATCATGTCACATGTGAGAGAAAAAAGAGAGAACGAGGAGACGACCGCGGGCATGTCAACACACATGTGCAGCAGCCGCGGGGAGGTAGACGTGGCGCAACTGGGAAGCGCTCTGCGCGCTGTTTGCAGGGTCGCGTGTTCGATCCTCGCGCTGGTCTCGGTGATGATTCACCTAGCTCACTCATACGATAAACCTGGTGATAACTTAATTCCGCATCTTAGAGACCGTTTTGGACTTTACCAACGAGAAGTTAATTTCAGTTCGAGTTGAAAGAGCAACAACATCGCGACGAGGAAGCTGCGAAACGACGAGGAGGACCAGCTCACATTGGCAGTCCGTCCAGATCAACGCCAGCCGCCGACACATCTTTCGCCGCCCAGGATGATGGTGAGTGACTACGAACTGATTTTGTTGCGTGCTTCTAACCAACATTCGAAGTGTGTTGTGTTGTTCTTCACCGTCGTGTGCCTTGTTTCAGACGCCGACATAACCCACAGCAGTCTGGAGAGTCACCGAAAATCATCACATGGTCAGAGTTGTTTTCATCTCTCATTTACCCTAATCCCCCCAAACCCGATGACGTTGTTTTGTGTTCCGGGCTTCTCGTTCCTATCGTTCCGTGTTTCGTATCGTGCCGTTCATTGCAGAGAAACGATTGGCACACTCCGAATCAAGCAGCTGGCGGAAGTCATTGGCGCGCGCGCCAAAGTTCGACAGCAAAGATCCAAAGGGTATATTGTTGTGCTTTTTATGATTCCTTTGATGTAGTGAAGTGCGAATTTCTTGCTATCTGTCATAAACAAACTAGGACGACATTTGACTTTTGACTTCAGAAGTAACATTCGGTTTGCAGGAGCTAAACAAGGAGAAGCATTCGAAGGAACACTCATCCGGAAGCACACTTACGAGAGCCTCGACCGAAAGGCCGCGAATCGCTCGTGGGAGAAACTGTTCGCAGTGCTGCGACAAAACGAACTCGCATTCTACAAAGACCCGAAGCACAGGTATTCGCAATTCCTGTTCTCATCTATCATTTTGTAACGGAATATGTGTCCAGAGAAGAATCAGCCCATGGAGAACCCCCGATGGCACTTCCGGGCTGCTCAGTCAACGTGGCATCTGACTACCAGAAGAAGAAGAACGTGCTTTCGCTGAGGTTGCCAGTGGGAGCAGAGTATTTGCTCCAGTGCAGCAGCGAAGAGGACATGCAGCGATGGCTGACGGAATTGCAAGTGGCCACCGGACAGGCTCAACTCGAGGAGGCCAGCAGATCGCAGACATTGCCAGGTACTCAGACTCAGATTGGAAATGGAAAATGATTTTGTTTAATTTCAGCAGAAGGCAGCTCAGGCAAGAAGAAGGGAGGATTCTTCTCCCGAGGCAAGAAGTAAATCGAATCAAAGGGACGTCTTTCATTGTATCGAGGTCGAGCTGGTTCCATTCGAAAGATTTCGCCCGGGTCGGGTGTCCATCGGCAGGCCACCCGCCCACTCGGAATCACAGCGAATCGTCCCGTCCCGAGCCCCGAAACAGTCTTTCTTTCCCCTCTTCAACCCTCATTTATCTTATGAACCCATTTTGATTCGTCCCCATTTTCTTTTTGTTATTTCTTCTTGCTCTCCATCCCAGTCAGCCCATGAGCTCCCCCATTTCATACGGTTTCCTCTCCTCTTCTTCGTTTGGTTTTCTCCTTTTTGGCTCTCATCTAGGCATTAATATTATTCGTATCTTGGAATTTTCACCTATTTTTCTCAATTGCTTAGCCTTCCTATGCAGACTACAAGTAGTAGAACCAAAGATAGCCTTGTCGTCCGCTCCGCTCCGTTCCGTCCGTTTCGCCTTTCGAATCTCATAGAAAGTCCATCGGGAAATCGGCATCCCGACGGAGTTTCCGCGCGGAATCCGGATGGAACTGGGTCCGGACGACCACCGAACTCGGTGTTCACCCAAAGACTCTTCTAGCTGTTCGTGCCCCTTTCATTATTTTTCTCTTTCCACTTCTTCCAGCTTCATCACTGCTTTTCAATTCAGAAATCTCTCCCGTTTCCCCCTTCAGCACCCATTCGGCACCAAAGATCCCCGCTTTCATTTAGACCACAAGAACTTCCACTTTCTCTTTCACGAATAATAAAAAGGTTACTGTAGTTATGGCTCGACTCTGTTTGGTGTGCGTGGTGTGTGCCTTCTCTGTTTCCGCGTCTCGCGTCCGTCCGCTTCTCACTCCCTACCCTTTCTCACACTTCTGCCGTTTCTGTTGCATTGATCTGATATAACCGCCCGTTTCGCTCTCAATTTGTGCCCTCTCCATCGCCCACGCAACTCTTTTCTAACCCCTACCCACCCACTACAGTAATCCCCACAGAGGAAGATGTGAGATCCAGAATTTTTATGAGAAAATTCGCTTGTCCTTCCTTCGATTGCCCGTGTTAGTTGTGCGAGAAAAAGTTGGATTTTCTTGTTGACTGTCTCTTGAATTTGAATTTATTCCAGTCAAATGCAGCTTTTCTTCTTTTTGTTCCTTTCCCATTTTGCTTTGGATCCTATGAAACTAATAAAACTTTGGACTAAACTAAACCTTCTAACATTTGTGACCTAACTATGCCCTGGAGAGTTCTCTTTTCAAAACCAACGATAATGGCTGAGCAGGAAAGAAAAACGAGCGAGCGAGGAAGAAGAAAAAAGATGGACGATGGAAGACGTCGTCGTTTTCCGTTTTGAATGTTGACTGGCACGGGCGAACTCGTCAAAAAACCATTGTGCTCGCAAGCGATCCGTCGTTTTTTAGTCGAAAGCTGTGTGTGAAGCCGTACGAATAGAATAATACGCGCAGAATGATTCATTCGCAAGTAGAAGACTCTTTTTCCTCTCAGAAACCTATTCAATGCGCTCTCTCACTCTCTTTCTCTGTTTTTCGGTCTCTGAGAACTGAAAAGAAGACGAAGAAGAGGGGTTGTTTGCACCCGAAACGGGAGAAGTACCCCTTCCTTCTGAGCCTCCGTCGCCCTCTTATTCTTCTCGCTCTTCATCTTTCTTTGACACACTTGACTAGCCAGAATAAGTGCCACTCTCGGATGTGTGATGTCGTTTCAGAAATGTCGTGCACCTGCTGCCTCCGTCTTCAGAAGCCGCCCCCTTCCTCTTCTTTCCTCCATGTACCTTCTTGGCCCACTCACTTTCAGTCGGTTTCCGTGAAACCCGATGCTCCGAGAGCGCCCGTCGGCCGCACATTCCTCGGCTCTCTCTCCGTCTCATCCCGGAATTCGCCTCCCACTTCGTCGTCTCTCTATCGATCCCTCGTCCGCCTGCGTCTCCGTCCCTCTCCGTCGCCCTCAACTTTTGCCCCTTTCTGTGCTCGTCCAGTATCGGATTGGAACCGTGTTTTCTCCGTTTCTTACGCAATGCCATCTTCAGACACAATCAAGTTCTCTGGCACCCCTCGCCCACTCTTTCGCCCTTAACTAACCCGAAAACACATCTCGTCGTCTAATTGCCGCTTCCTCTGCGTCTCTTCTTCTCTCACACTCTCTCTCTCTCGCTCTCCGGTTCCTGGTCAGCCAAATCACAATCATATTCATTGCTGACTTTCAACGAATCTCCCTCTGCAGCTGAAAAGCTGGGGCATTCTCTCGCTCTCCAGTTTACACAACTTGCAACGCCTCAAGATAATTCTGGCTGCCCCCTCACACATGCACGTACTTCGCTCCTTGATCGGTCACTACTTTCCATCGGCAGTCTGTGTCTCTCGGTTCACTTGCCGTGCCTCCAGACTGTGTACTCCCTCCCTCTCACTCTGGGTGCAGCCCTCAACTTTGAACTGTTTGACTTGTCCGACTGTCCAGCCCGTTGTGTGCCTCTTTTGATTTGTCCAGTGACTCACTCGCTCCCATTATATCCTCCAACCAATTTTCGACGTGACCTCAGGATCCGCTTGTCTTCCGCTGTTCTCCACAGCATCCATTTATTACAGGCTGGCTGCGATGCTGCTGCGAGACGAACAAGTGCCATTGCTTCTAAAACGGAAGCACGTCGTCTCTGGCTATCGACCACTCAATCAGCCGAAATCGTTCTATGTCAAATCGGCGTTTTCCTCGCATAATGAAGTGGTGAGTCATTGAGTTTGTGAGATCAAAAAGAATCATCGGAGAGGGGTTCAGTTCAATGTGTGGACCCACTTCCTGCCTGCCGTCGTGCTCCTCTTCGCCTACCTCATTCCTGAACTGCTCTCTCCGCTGCCACGTGTCCCCGTGCTCATCCTCCAAGTTGGCATAATCCTTCTTCTCATCGCATCAGCGACTGCTCATCTGATGGTTTGGCAGCAACTAAACCTCTTTTCAAGAGGTTTCTTTTCAGCATTCTCGCTCTGAACTCGATCACATTTTCTGGTTTCTGATCGACTTCTCCGGAATCGCTCTCTTCGGAATCACGATCGGCCTCCAGCGGTACAGTTCCAGTGATCACATGAGTCTTCCCATGAAGATTGTATGCCGTCACGCTCCTCCAGCGTCTCTATTATCATTCTCTTCAGGCCTACGTCCCTCTTCTAATGCTCGTTGTGCTCGGCGGCCAATACTTTTCCACGTGTTATCTGTTCGTATTCAAACCGCATTACAAACGACGAATGGAACTTCGGATGGGCTCGTGCTTCCTGCTCGCCTGCTGGCTCTACATCCCGCTCCATTATAGATATCAAGTAAATCAAATATTCATTCACTTTTCTCAATACAATGAATATTTGTAGGCAGAAGCTAGTGCTGACGACACGGCGCTTCCCCTTCATTCGAGAGCTTTCCAATGGCTCATGGTCTCCGGAATCTTCATGGGAGCACACATTCCGGAACGATTCGCACCAGGTTTCTTCGATATTGTCGGATACGGACACCAGGTGAGAGCAGGCTCGAGATCCGTGGGAACCACTCGGAAGTGTTCAAAGAGCTTGCCAAACAGTTATCTTTCAGTTGTTCCACTTGTGCATCGACATGGTCGCCTGGAATCTGCTCGACGCCGCCCACATCGACTGCTCCAGCGACGAAGGACACGTCCACCTGCCCCGCAACATAGTCGCCGTCATCGCCTTCATTGCTTCGTTGGCAATCATCGGATACAACGTCTACACAATGATGCAGAAGGCAAAAACGAAAAAATACGACGAATGAGAACTAGGAAATTCTTAGGTTATTCTCAACTGTGTTACAAAGATCTCATCTGCTCTATTGTTTCAAAACTTTGAATTCGGGTGTGATGTACTTGACACACAATTGACATAAAGTATTTATTTTTTTTGCTCAACAAGAATCACAGTTGAAAATTGGATTTAAATGTGGTATGAGTCACGGATCGATTGCCACATCTCCTCGCTCATCACGTACATCGGCACTGGCTTCGCGAAGCCGTTGAAGGTGGTGGCGGCGGCCAGGGTGTAGGCGCCCATGTCCTCGTAGTACATCCATTCTCCGACCTCCATCTTCACCATCAGCTTCTTGTCCTCCACCAGATCGAGACTGTCGCAAGTCGGTCCCCAGATGGTCGACATGAACTTTTCGTTGCGGTCCACGTCGAACAGTGGCACTCCGACTGGATGAGCGTGGTCGAAGAGGATGCAGTTGAAGGATCCGTAGACGCCGTCGTTGATGTAGTACATGTAGCCTGGGTTGGCGCTGTCCTTCGGATCCTTAGTGATCTTTGAAGCGGGAACTTCAGTTGCGTGAATGATGTTGGCCACGAGAGAGAAGGGACCGGCGGCGAAGAAACGGCCCGGCTCAGCGATCAAACGCTTTTCCTTATCCGGGAAGAATTCGTCGATCGAATCACGGATCACTTCAGCAATCTGCAAAACGTTCATTAGGTATTGAAATGGACAACTTGGAGTTTACCTTCTCGAACGGGTTATGGTGCTCAGCTCCCGGGAAGCCACCGCCCATGTCGATAATGTCCATCTTGAATCCCATTCCCTCTCCTATCTCGCACAAGTTCTTGGCGTGGCTCAGAGCAGTACGGTAGGCAGTCGCATCGTTGCACCCGGAGCCAACGTGGAAAGAAATTCCGATTACATTGACGCCTTCCTCGTGAGCCGTTTTGAGCAGTTGAGGAGCAGCAAGCACCGGATCGCAACCAAACTTGAGGTTCAGAGGGCACGTGGCAGTTGGGTCGGAGACGGCGATGCGGAGAATCATTCTGAAAAAGAAAAAGAACCTCAGAATAGAAAAGGAAAAAGTACTCGGCGTTCGGGTGAAGCTTGGCAATTTTGAGAAGCTCCTCGGGGTTGTCGAAAGTCATCATTCGGACGTCTCTCTCCATTGCATGGTGGATGAACCCGCGAGTCTTGCACGGATTCGCGTAGATGATACGTTCCGCGGCGACTCCGCAAGCCATCACGATATCGATTTCTTCTTTGCTGGCACAGTCGAATCCGCATCCGAGAGATGCGAGAATGCGAACGAGCACCGGGTCAGTGTTGCACTTGACAGCGTAGAACGGCTCGATCATCGGGAGCTCTCGCTTCCACAGGTTGAATCTTTCGGTGATCTTGTCGAGGTCGACGAGCATGAACGAGGAATCATTCTCGGTCAGGTCCTTGCTGGCGGCGATCTCGCGGCACATCTGGAGTTGGTCGACTTTCTTCGGCAGAACGCCAATCTTGTTGTCGCCAATCAGTTCCATTTGAGTGATCATGATTTCGTTGAATGAGTTGGTTGAGGATCTCAGCTCCAAGGAGGTGCTCCTGCTCGAAAAGGATCGTAGATATATTTGTCGCAGACGGCAGAAACGACGGCGACTCGGGTGAAGTCGACGTGGATCTGTGAAGGGCTGTAAGCCGGAAGCCGGGCTGCGGGCGCCGCTAGCCTCTTTGGTACGTCAACACGAGAGATTTTCTGGCAAATGGGTCTTCCCAGGTGTAAATTCAAAACGCTGCAAGCAAACTCTGCAAGTCTGCCACAACGTTGAGAACTGAAAAAAGAATAATTTTAGTTGGAAAGTTGGTCGGAGAAAAGAAAAGAAAAGGCATCGAAGCGGAGAAGAGGGGCGCTCGGAAATCGAAACGTTTTTATCTTATTGGCCGTCAAAAACGAGAGGAAACGCGGCGGAAACGATCGCCCATAGAACGATACGACCATGCGGAATCGCTTATCAATGACCGCTCCGCCGCTATTTATACTGTATGCGAGGCTAGGAAGTGGGCGGAGAGATGGCGTGGCGACGGGGATGCCGGGGGAAGACGGAAAGGTCGGGCGGTGGGTGCAGGACGCACCCGCCACGCAATGACCGATCAAGGCGACAGAAATAGGGCGGGGGTGGGTTGCACCCATTCGAACGAATGGACACAGACTATTTACGCGATGGCTTGCGATCGAGTTGGCACACTGCCAAGTTGGTCACAACCGTATTGGCCGTCTTCGATCACAGATCAAATGATATGAGGGCAGACGACTAACGGATAACGTAATATGTGGCGGAAGAAAAGACGTGTGTCTCAAAGAGAAATGTGAGGAGGTGAAATGAAAGGCATCTTGATCAGAAGATAAACGTCGTCGTCGTCCTCTCTTTTATATAAAGTTGATGTGTGTTGTACGTGAGTTTGCCCAACAAGCATACACTATTCGTCCCCCTCTTCGCCCAGCTTCTTCTGCCCTTCCGCCACGCCACTGATCTTCCGCCGCACGTGAACTTCCCAGTTCACGTCAATGTTTACACCTATTTCAGGCGGCCTCCCGTCTATTCTAGTCCGTCTCGTTCATGACGAATCATTAACGTTTGATCGCGTCCGCCTACGTAGTTGGTCTTCCCCCGTACCTGGTCCGTTTTATCATTTGCATATCATTGATAATATCAGGCGGGTTATTCTGTCGACGACAAACATTTAGAGAGACTATCAATTGTGCCCTTTCTCCTTTTTCTCCGATTCACACAATTTCGACCGTCGGAGCAACTTACTTTATTGGCAGTTTCAACAGAAGATCAAAAGGTTTAGAGAGGGAGTGTTCTATGGACTCTCTCTCTCTCTCTCTCTCTCTCTCTCTCTCTCTTTTCAATTCTGTCGCCATCACAAAGCACAAATAAAGCGCATGAAAGGCACGGGGAAACCATCAGTTGATAGGGCTCTTTAGGTGCACTCACATATAGTTTGAATACAAACTACAGTTACAGTGATAGATCTTAAAACTTTCAAAAATTCAAAAGATTTATTAGAAACAGCAGTAGTTGAGACTATGAAAAACAAAATGAGATGTATCACCCAAATTGGTTCGCTAAGGCACATTTGTGTTGTTGATTTGGTTGTATGAGAAGTTAGAATAATAATAAAAAAACAATAAAATGAGACTGACTAGACAGGTCGCACGATTCAGAAATCGGCGATTCAGTTTGTTGGCAGCAATCGAAAAACAAATACTAGTTAGACGAGAATTGCATAGGATGGAACCTAGACTTGATGAAAACCCGAAAATATTTATAGAGATGGAGCTGCTCAGGACTGCAGCAGCTGGTCCTCGTACTGCTTGACGAAGCACTCTCCGACGGGGAAGAAGTCCCAGTCGCGGTTATCGTACTTCTCGCGCACGTACGTCTCCTGACCAGTGTACTCCGTCTCATCCTTGTTCACCAGATGTTGCAGGAAGAACCTGGAAATGAGCATGATGAGCGCCGCTTCTGACACCCCAAATGATTACAGGTAGTTGGCGAAGTTGTGCTCCTTGGTGGTGTGAATTTCGAAGCCTCGAGGCATCCGATCGAACGTTTCTTTGCCAATATCGCAAATGAAACAGGACGACTCGAGTTTCTCTGTGGCCGATTCTTGCTGATCACGAAGCTCTCCGAAAGCGTCGATGATCAAACCTGAAACGTTCAATTTTTGCTCGACCCCTCATTTCTCGAGTTGCATCACATTTCATTACTTTTCCTGATAAGACACCTAGAAAAAAGGGAATTAAACTGTCGGAAAATGTCAAAATCATGGGAACTGGAGTGTTGTTCTGGATTGGCGCACTCACCCTGCATGATAGCGAGCAGAATAATGATGACGAAGAAGAAGAAGGAGACGTCGTAGAGCATACGCGGATACTCCAGATCGTCTCCGTACGGACTCTCGAGCTCATCTCCGATTCCTCCTCCGGCACGCACTCCGGCGTAGAAATGGTAGATGAAGCAGGTGAGCATGTTGTGGCACTTTCGGTCCGGCTCCTCGCCATCCTCTCCCTCTTGCACGTAGAACTTGCGGAAGAAGTTGAAGGCGATGACGGTGTAGAGGTACACGACCACAAGGGTCATCATGATGGTGAGAATGAGTTGTTGGAGGTTGTGGGTGACTGATTGAAGGATAGCCTTTAACATAGGGAAAGAGAGCACGACGTCGATGAGATGGAACGCGTAGAAGAACGGGGAAAGGAAGACTCCGCAGGCGGAGCAGAGCAGGTATCCGACGCGATAAAGGAACTGTCCGTTGGTGAGAATGACGCCGAGCCACAGCCAGCACGAGTAGCGGTAGTCATAGCTGTTGTCAGTCGACACTTTCTCTTCTCCGAGGATCGAGGTCAATGTCTCTTCGTCGACGTTGTCCTTGAACTTGGACCGCGTCTTTCTGCGCACGAACTTGTCCCAGTACATCATTGGGAACGACTTGGCAGAGATGACGATTCTGTCGAGGTACCACATGAAGGTGTCCACGATTCCAAGCTCTTCCGAGTCCTCTTCCGTTATCCAGCAGCCATCGAACATGAGCTTTCTTGCAATCTCCTTCTCTCTTTTGAATGTAATGAGTGGAATTTGAGCTGGTAGAAGGAAACGAGGAGGGCGAATGAAGTGGATAGATGGAGAACACTGATCCAGTAGAGAATCTGTGAAAGCATCCATCCGGTGATCTCGTATTCCATGTAGGGGAACTGCATTCCTGTGATGAAGATCGACTCGACCGAATCTTCGTCGTCGTCGCCTTCGGATGCCGCTTCGGCTGCTTCCGCATGTGATATGTCGACTCGATGGAAGAGAAGAATGACATTGATGAAGAAGGCCAAGTACAGCGTGATCTTTTCGATTGTCTTGAAGTTTCTGGCGAGCATGTTCTAGAAATAAGCAATTTGGAAGAATGATTGGCAAGGAATAACTCACGAGAACAGATCCTCTGCTCTTGGTGGAATTGGATTCCGCAATCTTCGGTTCGTACTGCCCTTGCTGGAAGTCCGCTTCCGACTGCAACTGCACCATTTGAGGAGCTCCGATCGATTCGTAGATGCTCGGCGCTTTGCTGGCTGCTGCTGCTGCTGCTGTTGGAGACGTCGGGGACTGTGGCTCCGGATTCAACAGTTTTTCTTCTTCCGTCAAACCGGTTTCTGGTGTTTCAGGTCTTGGCGGTGGAACAAAGTCCGGAAGGGTGTTGAGATTTAGATGGTCCGCATTCATTCCGACTCCGAATGCATCCACGCCCACGTGAGAGTGATGGAACTCTTGTACTGGTGGCGGAGCGTAGGTTGCATGGCTGAATAGTTTAAGTGTAAGAGAGGAAGGATGGAAGAGAACTCACTCGTGATTCATTTTTGCTTGGTCCTTGACTTCTTGTTTCGCCGATTCCTCCTCTTCTGAAGAAGTGGTCAGGAAGTATGCGAACCGGAAGACGGTCATCACAAGGAGATATCCAGCCCAACCAAGTGCCATTCCAGCGCGGACGAACAGGATGATCAGGGCGTAAACCATCTGAGTCCACGTCATCTGTCTCACTGAACTCGACACATTCCTGATGGTCGTAGAGATATTCTGCGGGCTGAGGGCGGATGCTGCTGTGATTCCGTAGCTATATCCACTCTTTAACGTCTCGGAGATGTGACTGAAAAGAAGATTCATTTCTGATGCTGTGAAACTGTGAACTCACTCTGAAGCTGATGTCTGCTGCAAGAAATAGTCTCTCTGCTTGATGGCTCTCTCCATTTTCGTGTCGCTGTCTCCCGAAGAAATGGCGGCTGCGTGCTGCATTTCGAAAATGGTATCCTCGCAGAAATTGATGAACGCCTCCAGTTTTCCTTGATCTCCGCCGTCGTCTTGCAAAACATTGAAAGGAACGAGTTCTTCGAGTCCCTGATCTGCTGTTTTCCCCATTGTTCGAGCCATGATTCTTGGATCTCAAAGTAAATTTTTTCGACTCTCTTCGATGATCCCATAATTTCGATTCTTCCGAGGAAAGGATCGAAGTACTCCAGCAGAGTCTGCGCTTTTTCAATAATCTTCTCGAGTCTCGGATCGTTTGTGATGTGCTCTTTCAGATTTACGAGAAGCACGGCCAAATTGAATCCGATATCTCTGGCAGGGTTGTGGAATCGCTCAGTGAACTCCATGTAATCCACTTTTCCGTCGTTGTTCACATCGGTACACATCATCAGATAAGTGATATCCTCAACAGTGTACATCTTCTGACTTTCCATTGCCCGTTGGAACTCTTTCGGACTGATCCATCCGTCCTGATTAGTGTCAAGTCTTGGAATGCTTGAGATGTTGTCAGATCTTTGAGTTTCAAGAACATATCCGAGAACTTAAGTATCTTTTCGACGGATGGCTGAGATTCAACCAGAGCGTCCACCATCTGCTTTCCGATGGATCCGTTCAGAACGTTTCCTTCGAGCATGGAGAGCATCAGAACGATCATGTCTTTCTGGAGGTTAAGGAACTCGCGAAGAAGCTCAAGTTGGGTGGAATTCTTGTAGAGCTTCTCCATCATGTGAGCGAACAGGAAGAAGAATCCGTTGATGGCGTCCCAAAGACGAGAGTTGGCGAGTGTCATCTGGTTGCCAACGCACGGTCCCTGAAATACAGCTCCAGATTCGTCAATAGTTGATTCCACAAACCTGGATAGATTCTGTGAGTGTGTTGAATACTTGACTGCAAACTTGAATTGCCCTGAGGAAATATTCCTTTCCGCCCTCGTCGATGACTTCTTTGCTCGAGTAGTGCCAGTAAAAGTCCATGACAGACTCTTGCAGACGGAGCAGATAGTCGACGGTGCAGTTAATCAGGTTCACACTTGTCGTGTGGCCTGGTTGCGTGCGCAGGTAGTTTTGGAACTCTGAAGAAATTGGAATAAGACTTCTTCCGGTTGATCTATACAAACCGAGATTGTGTCCTTCGCAAGTAAGCTGTAAGAATCGGAACAGGGAACACGTGAAATCGGCGTCGTTCAGGTTCTGATTGTCTCCAGAAGCAAGCTCGGCTCCCATTCCGAGTCCCTCCGCCTGAAATACGTCGATGAGTGAGCGTAACACAACACTTTCCAAATAAGCCAATCACTGTTCGTTCCAGCCATGTTCAGGGGGTCGCTTCAGAAAATAAAACTACGAAAGATCAGTTCAAAATCACTGCACACATTCCGGGAGAGACGAAGAAAAGAGCAGTGGCCTCAGAAGAGAACTAATCGATATTCAGAGAAGAAAAGCAGCAGGCAAAGGGGTGGGAAAGATCGGGGGAAGAAGAAGTAGAAGGCGGTACAATGCGGGCGGTACAAAACCTGAGCGCCGAGACGGTCTTGCCGCGAACGATGCCGGATTTTGGAGGAGAGGTGGCGCAAAGAGAGTGCGTTCGCGCCATGGGCGTCAACGTTCTGCAAATGGATTAGGAGTTAGGAAGGGAGTGGAGGCAAACGGTAATGAGGAGAAGTCTAGGAGCATCCATTTGGGGGAACGTCTGGAGAATCAGAAGGGATTAGGTGGCACGCGGAGAAGAAAAACGAGAAACCCTCGTGCTCACGGATACCTTGATTTGTCTCTCGAACATTTCCAAGTTGAGCACCGAACATTTGTTCATGAGACCGGCCATTGAAGTAAAGAAACGAACGTCTTTTTTCAGTTGAAGATACTCAATGAGCATCTGAAAAAGACGAATGAGCAAGAGTTTGTAGCAGTTTGCACCTTCTGAATTTCAACGTTTCCTCCACTGAGCAAGTGAATGCCCAGCTGAAGAGTTTGTGCGACCATCTCATTCGGTTCTCCTCCAGAAGCCGACAAGTACATGAGGCACATGATGGCTGCTCCTCTGCTCGCCAGCACTTCTTGCTCTCCCCTCAATGCCTGGGACTGCTCCTCTTTGGCGGCCTGATCGATCTCTCCCTCGTCTCCGTCGTCTCCGTCTTCTTCTTCGATGTGAATCGACTTGGCCATCACGTCAGCGAAGCGGATGTACAAACTGTCCTCGTGGATTGCAGAAGCGGCAGTTTCTTCGCTGGTCGCTGCTCTTTGGAAGCATCTGATCAGCTGCTTCAGAGGATCCGGAATCGTGTCCTTGTCTTTTGTTTCCTCCGAACTGGCAACAATCGGCACTCCCTCTTCCATGATAATCTCGATCCTTGGCCCCTCTTCTTCTTCCACTCCGGACTGTAATAGGGGACTTTAACTTTGTGACTGATGCAGGGAACTCACGCAAATGTCTGCGATCAGTTGTTCCTGTCCGACGTCTTCCTCTTCCAACCAGAGTCGCGAGAAAGCGGGAAGGAAGAAGTTGATGCCACGATGCCTGAATTCAAATATCAGTCTGATTCCTCAATTAACCTAGAAATGTGTTGATTAGCGCCATCATCTGATCTCCTAGTAAGTTAGTAGACTCTAATCTGTTGGTTTGCCAAGGCATCAAAGTGTAAAATGTCGACGGCCGCTTGTCTTCTTCTTCTGCAACAAACTTACAGTTCTGTCTTGTACAAATGCGAAGCCGTGATGAGCGAGATGGCCATTCGCTTTCTTTGCAATGTGAGCACCTTCTTCCAGATGTCTTCCTTCTCCATTCGAGAAGTCATCTAACAAACACATTATGAGGTGTCTATCCCCCTCAACAATCATAATAGGCTTGCCGTCCTTCTGACCTGACAACACACAACTGAACATAGAACACGCATCCGGGCTCGGGTTAGTTGCTCACTCGCATGCTCGTTTTTCCCCGTTCTCAACGGTGCTCACCTCGGAATTCCGTACAGCGGAACCATGCGGAAACACGCGACGACGGCGCGTTTACGCTGAGTCGAAACCACCTTTTTCCATGCTTGAGACAACTGCATCTGCGGGTGCTCCGTCTAAAGAAAATACGTGACAATTGACAAAAGAACGACATTGCTTGAAGAAACGGAAGATGATAGTAGAGAAAGAAAGAGAAAGTAGGCCGACAGAAAGAAGAAAGGCCTGCACATTCTATGCAACTTACGTCCGAATGGTTCATCTGGCCGAAGTTCTTTTTGCGCGAGTACTGAACATATAAATACAAGAATCAAAAAACGAAGGACATGAATGTGTGAGTAAACCGAGGAAAACGACACGATACCTTCCATTTGTTGCGAGCCCGACGACGTCGATCCTTGGTGCGCGTGATCTGAAAAGGACGGACACGTGGACACGAGACATTGAGAACAAAGGAACGAGGACGGCGAAGCGCTAGTCTGTGAGAGAATCGAATGGGAACGACGCACCACGTGGAGAATGGCGCTGACTTGTCCCATGTTGAAGATCTTTTCAATCACCGCTTCCTGCGACATTTCATCCTTGCCACGCATTTGACTTTTTCCTAAAGACAAAAACATCTATGAATGTCTTTCACGACCCGATTACCGATTTTACGATACAATGACAGTTGCCAAGCATTCTTATCGGTTGGGTCCGTCTTCACTGGAATCTCAAGAAGTCCTTTGATGAACTCGCGAATCTTCTCTTCAACTTCTTTCTGGATAAACTTCTCTTTCGACTGCTGAACAATGTCGAGTTCTCTGCAATTCCGTTTTTATTTTACAGATCCTCCATCCCTCCACAAACCTTCCTCCGAAGACGTTCAATCCAACCGGAAGCAGTCTTTTCAGACAGGCAATCACAATACTCGCTGCATGTTTGTCCTTCTTGATCTGAAAACGAGAACAGTTCGGTTCTGCTCAGTACAGTACTCATTTCAGAAGACACGTGGGCTAATAGATAGACTGATAGAAGAGGAAAGCAAGTGGGCGGGGCATGCGCGCAGCAACGGATTCTGCCTTCAGCGGTAACGAAATCGAGAGCAAGAGAACTGAATGGATGGACGACGACACAACATATTCGTCAACAGAAATGGGTCGCCAAACTTACGATGGGCCGTCCGTTCTTGTCGAAAAACTCTTTCATCTTGTCCTGTATTCAATGCTCAGTTCTAGCTCCTGTTCTCTCTTTTCGTTCAATGTCACCATGCTACTCACCTGGCCCTCTCTCCTCTTCTTCTTCCTCTCCGCAATCGCCGCTTTGCCCGTCTTCATGTCTCCGCCGCCCATCGCTGCCGCGTCTTCCTCGAATTGAGCCACGTAGTTGAGCTCTTCTCGTTTGAAGTGTTGACTTTGACTCCAGATTCGGAAGATCACCGCCACGTTCTCATAGACTCCGTCGGTTTCCCAAGTGGGCGATTTGAGCCATTGAGCACGATGCAGGTCCGTGTACTTCATGAGGATCGGGAAGAATGCGTAGGTGTCACGCACCAGCCGTGCGTTGTCCTCGGCCACAGTGCCTTCGTCGGCGTCGTCCGGATGCGTTCTCATGTGCTCTTCTTCCTTGTACGCCTTCTCGCTCATTCTTCTCAGCCTTTCAGCGATCGGAAGAACGAATTCACGGACTGGGTCAGAAGTTACATTCTGGATAATTTGAACAGCGAAGACTGAAAGAAGGGATAGTTGAGACGGATTCCAAACATTGAAGAAAACTCACAGTTAACTCTACAAAGCCATGGAGCATTCTCGATTCCCACGTGGTTCCTGATCATCTTCAGAAGAGAATTGAAGATCCGATTGATGTGATCGCAGCTGACGCTCGTTGTCTGGATCACACTCGCTCTCTGATCCTCTCTATCCCGCTTTCCATCGGGTCCGACGTTGAACCAGTAAGCCATGTAGGAGCACATCAGCGGCAGATCCACGTCATAAACATTCGGGACATCCGAGTACATCGTGTTGTTGTTGGCCACTGTTTCAAGGTCCGTCAGGAGTTTTTCGAGATGTGGGATGTGAGTGGACAGGTTTTGGAGCATTTCCTGCACTTGAACTGACTGATCTTGTGATTTAGCGAGCACGGAAAACTTGTTGCTCTTGTTGAATTCTGGCTCGAGGAAAGCGACCGGGAAGCAGGAAGCGAAAGCAGCGAGGCATTGGCCGAGACCCGGACGATGCTTCTCGCTCTCGCTGCTGATGCTCTTTCGGTGACTGATTGTGCTGTTGAGCCCGGTGACCATGTACAGAGAGTCCAGTATCTTGTAGCATGCTGCTTGGATGTCATCCACTGAAATTGATGTTCTTTGGAACGTGTTAATTACAGTTATCTAACTCACAAAGAAGGTCCGTTCCGAAATGATTTCTCGCCAAATGCGCGAACATTGTGGTCAGAACTGGGACGATCATCTGATTGGCAAACTCGAAAGAGTTCCATGATTTGAGAGCCTGTCCTCTGATCAGAGAGTATTGACCTCCATCCTAAATTTCAACTTTGACTCTTTCGGTTTTCATTTTGTGTGCTCAAATCACTAAAACAATCACAACGAAGTTACTACGGTTTCAACACCTACATCATATTCTTCGATTTCCGAGTAATAAATAAACTTCTGTCAACCTCTGTTCATATAAAAACCCGCGTTAAGTTTACTCACCTTGAGCTCGTTTACAGCAGCGTACAAATCATCGGCACAGTTGTTGAAGAACGTGAGCAGAGACGTTCGGACGATGTCCGAATTGACTTTTACCAGTGTTCTAAAATTAAATCATTCACCGCTCTGAACCAATCGGTGTCAAATGCAGAGATCAGATTCTATGACACACAAAGACAAGTATTTTGCCTCATGAGACGATTTTGTGATCTTCAAAAGCTATTTTCATGTCTATCGGAACGACCGAGAGGCGCCAGTGGCACTACCTTACCTCAAATCGAGTGCTTGTGTGAGCCCTTGCAGGCATTTGACGGTGATCTTGGCCACACTTCCGAATGCTCTGTTCTTGATACGCAACAGCGCAGCCAAGCGGCAGAATAGACTGAAACCCAATAGAAAATCTTTGAAATATAAATGTTCGACTCACTTGGCGACCATCTCTTTCTCTTTGTTACTCGCAGTTCCAGTCTGCACTATGGACGACCCTTCGAGGAAATAGTTCTTGTGAGCATTGAAGTAGGCATGCATCAGTGGAAGTACGACCTTCTCGAAGAACTTCACATCCTGTCCTTCCTTTTTGAACGAATTGCGACGGGTCAGCTCTTGAGATGGCTTCACTGACTTCATCTTGAGACTCGCTTGTTCCAAGTACGTGATGAGTTTCTCAAGGAGATTGTATGCGAATCTCTTTCGACAGACGATCTTTCTCCTTCTCCTTTCATGCGATCATTCGAAGATTGTTCGTCCCTCGGACAGTTGACATGGTATCCGTGGTACTGTAGGAACTTGAGAATCTCAGAAGCTCTGAATCTGTCCTTTCGTCGCTCGAAGTCAGTGAGCAAGTCCCAGGGAACGAGTGGAATCGGCATGAATCCTCCCTTCGTGTTCAGATCGTTCATCACTTTCTTTGCCCAAACCAAATGCGAGTGTTCCGCCATTTTCTCCGCCGCATTCACCATGTCTTTTTCAAGAGTCATTGAGCTCAGATCAATTGGTTTTGGAGCAAAGTTAGTGATGGAAGTGCCCGAGATGGTTCTGGCGGATGCTGCTCGATCATTGGCGTCCCTGTCGACCATCTCGAATGAGTAGAGCCATGCCATCAAAGCTTTCAGGCACTCTGAGCATCTCTCTTTGTAGAACGACTTTTCAAAGTCTTTCAGGAGTGTGAATGGCTTCAGACGTGGATGAGTGAAGTTGGCTCTGGAGTAAAGATCTCCGTGTACCCATCCTTTCTCCAACTTTCTGCTGGCCCAAGAGTCGTGGAAGTGCTCGGCGAAGAGCTCGGTCATTTTCTCGAGGTCTCTGTTGATTTCGACACGGGAAACATCCACAGTCCTTGGGATCCACGCGCCTTCTTCTTCTCGTTTCTGAAAACATGAAAACAGACTTGATCAAACTATCTCCGTTACTAGGCTTACCTTATTTCTGACGTCGTCCAATCCACTGGTAAGCGTGTAATCCGGAGAGATAGCACTTCCAATCGCCGTCATGCATGGAAGAGCCTTTCCGAACAGTTCAGGATCGTACGGACGGTTACCAAGAGTGTCGAAGATGGCGTCGAATAGAAGCATGGAGAGTCTCTTCTCCTGCTCTCCGGCAACTCCGTAATGGTTTCCGGATCCGTAGTACTTTCCGCACCGCTCATAGTGCAGGGTGATCAAGCGGAGCGGCACGAGTACATTCATGTCGTTCATGTTCAGAATGTCGTAGATGACTTTCTTCAACAGCTTGATCATCATTGCTGGTGGCAGTTCTCTCGTGATCGCAACCAAGAAATCGGAAACGGCGTCTCTCTGATTCTTGGTCAACGACTTGAGCCTGTTCATTCTGTAGACGGTGTGAAGAGTGGCATCGAGAAGAGCAGAGTGGTGCTCAGCGTCCGCAAAGAAATGGGAATGATTGGTGAGGAGAGGGAGCACCGAATTGCAGAGATATCTGTTGAGTGCGAGAGCCGTGTCAGACTCGAGTGCTCTCGGGGAATCCATCATTGTGGCGGCACGAAGATCGGGCAGAAAGATTGCTCGAGGAAGTGGAAGAGCATGTCTTGTTGGTCAATTCCATATACTCGGTCCAGGAAGAGAAGAACTGATCCCTTGTGATTCGGAAGAAGACCAGGAAGTGGTCCGGTGTCTGAATGAGAATAGTTATTGTGGAAAACGAGGGGTTCAACATCCAATCAACACAAAACAAGCAACACGATGGGAATGTTTCTCACTGTCACTCGGGTTATATCTGCTGGATCTTCTCCGCTGAACGATCGGGTACTTCTTCTCGTTCAGCAGTTGCAATTCCGCTTTCTCCTTGTCTGTTTTGGGTGCAAACAGTTCGTTTCCGCTGGAGAATGAGGTGTGAACGGAGGCATAATCGGAAGATTTCGATTCATCGGTGTCCACTTCTTCTACACAAGGAAGTCTAAAATGGATTGGAAAAGGTTAGTTTGGAACACGTGGAGATTAATTCGAACCCTCTCATTGCAAGGTTGGTGCCGGAGGTGAAAGTCTGAGATCGGCGAGTGCTCGTCATGTCGGAAGCCAGAGAGGCGACCATTGCGAACGTGTGAGCCAGGGCCGCTTTCTGGGTGTAAGTAGCCTGAACGGCGTTAGCGCGACGTACGGCTGAAACGGAGGACAATGGGACGTGAGGGTTAGCACTTTCGGAACAAGGACAATATTCAAAAGCAACAGGGACACTTGAATACCTTCAATCGATGGAGCCGCGAGATTGGGAATCGTGAAGCGGAGAGCGAGAATTTGACCGAGATCGTCGAGAGAAATGAGAGATCGGAGGATGGCACGGGCACGAAGAGAATCTCCTTTTCCGGCCTGAAATTGAGAATGTGACTCTAGCGAAGTTAGAAACTGGTCTCACCTGAATGGCCATCGGATCAGGGGCACACTTCGCCAGCAGGTCCACCAAGCTCGAGTAGAAGTCAAGAGTTGCAGCTCCCAAGTCAATGTAGTCCTCTCCTTCTGCTTCCTTTGACGGATACGAGGGATTGTCTCCAAGAAGACCGGAAGTCAAAATCATCGGATGCGCGTCGTTCTCCAGAAGGCGGATGTCTTCCGAAAGAGCGATGGCTTCTTTGAATGCAGAGAAAAGACCTTGTCCCTCTCCCTTCAGAGCCACTCCCAGACACTCCGGTCTTCGGATCAACAATCGGATAACGAGATTCGCATTCTCCTCGACGTTCTCTCCGTTGATCCAGACACAGAAACGAAGGAAGTCAATGTAGCGTTCTCCTTCGACTGGATCCCATCCGATGTCCGGATACCCCTTGGTTATAAGTTCGGAGTTTGGTTGCAATCCGCATCTGGACAAGTACACAGCGACCTTATCGAGTTCTTCTTCCTTCAGAGCAAGAGCCAATTCGTTGTTGTCCATGAAAGACGAGTAGGCAACGTCAAGTGGAACGGATCCGCGGAGGGAAGGTCTTGCGAGGAGCATGGTGGCATTGTCGAGAAGGAAGGAAAGGTGCTCGAACATTGCTTTCTGATTCTGTCTAGATGTACGACAGAAGTAGCAGAGAAATCTGGAGCAGGCGACGACCATTTCGGAAGCGTCCTTGATCGGAGCTTTCTCCTTTACTTCATCTCCTTCGTGCTCCACAGTTCCTTGTTGGGCAGTCAGAATGTTCATCATGATGGACATCACATTTTCATGAACGGAAAGAAGGCGCATGAGGTCTGGATGCTGGAAGAATATGCGGTTGTTCATCAGTTTCCACAGTCCTCTCTTCAGAATCGCTTCCTCCGTATGCTCGAATTGGACGGTCAGAAGTTCTCTGATTTGGATGAGGTAAACAATGAAATCCTTCACATCTAACTCGTTTCTTTCGTGGAATACGTAAGCCTGTGACATAGCATCTCTGATCTCCCGAATTCCGGAATATTGACGGAGCAGCAGCTTGAACATACTGCGGATCAGTTCTTTGCTTTCGATGAACTCTGCTTGAGCCCAATCCCTCAGCATGTTTACGATTATTTGTCTGAAGTTCTGAGTTCCTTTTCTTTGCATTTCTCCGTCTTCTTCTTGCAATGGAGGCGGAACCTTCACGACGAGTCTCGCGAACGAATCCACCCAGGACCCTTCTTCCGACTCAATCAGTGCCAGCTGATCCTCCGGGCTCTCTTCCTTTGCGTTTCCAATCTTTCCAACCAACAACTCGCAGAAGTCTCTCAACTGTTGTTGAAGAGTCTCGGCCATTGGACACTGATCCACATCGGCATCTTCCTCCATGAGCTCAGGATCTCTCTCCTCTTTCACTTTGCACATCAACAATCGGAACATCTGTTCTTTCGGAGGCATCTGAACTCTTTCGTCTTTTTGGCTGCTTCGGCGGGCGGCATGTCTGTCTGCTTAATCTCCATGTATCTCTTGCACTGATCAGATTGAAGTTCTCCCACGAATCCTTCCGTAAACGCGACAAGAGATTCAATTCGATAACGGAGTTGAATATCGCAAAGATGGTCCAGAATATTCACTAATTGCAGTTTCACGGGTTCCGAAAGCTCTAGCTGGGTCAATCCTTTCTGTATCGTTCCGTTCTCGTAGGTTTCATCGAACGCCTGTGGATGGATCAGTTTCAAAAGACATTCCAGTTCTTCATCGTTAATAAGTCCGATGACCAGCAGTTGATCGAACAGCTTGAAAAGTGGCTCAAAATGGTACGTGTTGTCCCCTCCGATCAGATCTCGGCAGTTCATAACTGCGTGGTGCGTCGCCGACTTTAACGAATCCATGACGTGTTTCTTGAGTGCCTCGAAGTCGACCGACGGAGGCAGCAATTTCATTTCGTCTTCTCTGCTCACGTGTTTCTTCACAGGCTCGTGGTCCATTTGGGACAGCATCGAAACAGATTCTCCAGTGATTTGAGGGTATCTGAAACGTGACCGATTGTTCGGTTCCTGCCGTTTTCGCCTACCGTGTCTCAGTATCCGGATCGAGAACGTTCTTGATTTGCAGCTGAGGGACCAGTGGAATGACGTATTCCTTGGCCATGCTGTTGCGAGCCGCCGTGTGACTCATCAGATGAAGACCAATCAGAAGGTCGTGGAATCCTTGACGCATTTGACCAGACAGATCTTGAAAACAGTGTGTATTTAAATGCAAGAAAACATTATCAAACTTACAGTGTGACTTGATGGCATACATAATTTGATCTTCATCCACATGCTGGCACAAGGTGTGAGCTACTTTGTGATTTCCATGACTTGCAAGTTTACAGTAGAGGTTGAGGGTCTGTTGATGGAATTCCAGCATGTCCGGCATCTCGATCATCTCCAGAATGTCAAAGGACTGATCCTTTTCAGGGATGTAGACACTCATGATCCGAACCGGATCGTTGCACAGAACCGACCATCCTGCAATTCATTTTAGTCGTTTCGGCACTGCCTCTCAATTCTCTGCGTTTCCGATGTTTCCCCCTGTCTCTCTGCGTCTATTGGCGCCATGTATCTCACAGTTTCTCTAGCTAATAAGATTAGCCCATTGCAGTGAGTAGTCCCATGACCAGTGACCGTCAAGGGGTCCATGCCAATTTTTAAAAATTGCCGCGTACCCGTGACCGTCAAGGGTCCATGCCAATTTTTAAAAATTGCCGCGTACCCGTGACCGTCAAGGGTCCATGCCAATTTTTAAAAATTGCCGCGTACCCGTGACCGTCAAGGGTCCATGCCAATTTTTAAAAATTGCCGCGTACCCGTGACCGTCAAGGGTCCATGCCAATTTTTAAAAATTGCCGCGTACCCGTGACCGTCAAGGGTCCATGCCAATTTTCAATTTCATGCACGCGCGAAGCATTTTCTCGTTTCGGTGCGCTGTGGATCCATAATGGATGCAATGTGCATGCACCTCCACGGTTTCTTCACGGTGTTTTTTATCTGTGTTGCGCAGTCGATTAGCGCGTGTTACTTATAGTTTATAGGTGATGCCAAGGTCGCCAGTCGAGCCTGGCATGGAGCAGAAGCACTTGACGTTTACAAACATACCTCGCACTTCAGAGAGCTTCAACGCCGTCGTCCGGAGTGTTTCGTTAGGCACGCGAGCCCAGTAGACTGGTTCGATCTGCTCGACTGTCAAACGAGGAGGACAGAATGGGATCAGAGACTTCTCACAGGATTTGAACATGGCTGCGGACAGTGGAAAAGTGTATTTGATGCGTCCCAACTCGAACTGGAGAATCTCGGTGGCGGTGGGGGTGACAAACGCGGCCGGGAAGAGCATTGCTCCCGGCTCCAGCTTGAACTTGATTCCAGTGTCTGTTGATCCGACTTGGAAGCTGAGCTCTCCGATTGACGTGTCGATGATGCAGCCAATCAGTGTTCCAGACACTTTGGTGTTCGCAACGTCTGGAGTTGTGGCCAGCAGTTCCGACACGTTGACCATGTAGCAGTTCTGAGACTGAACACTGTCCACCGTGGTTCCGTGATGGTCGGCTTCCGAGAATCTGCACTTTCTGACTCCTTGACTTCCATCGAAGTTCGTGTTGTAGTAGTGATACTGGGTGGTAACCCATCCAACCCACACTTGCGACGGATCTTGTCCAGGGAAGATTCGGATGCCATAATAATACTCGTCCACTTTTTCCTTCAAAGCGACCAAAGCATGAGCATCTCCTTCTTGGAGCACATCAAGTTGAGCTTCGATTGGAATGATCGACCCCTTCTTTTCTCTTTCGCTTTTCTCGATTGCAACAATCTCAGCCTAAAATGGAGTTCAATCTCGTAATACACCGAACCGACTTCATCACCTTCTTTCCCTTCTTTCCCTTTTTGATGGATCCTCTCTTGATCGTCAACTGCCGTCCTGGTCCGGATAGAGGCATCTCGCTGGAGGCTGAAAGAAATCATTCGTGTCTCAAATTCATAGTCTATTCTGATGCTTTCGCTATTAGAGATTAGGTTTCGGGAAAGAATAACTGCGAAGTTCGAGTCTCATGCTATAGAGAAAGAGAGGGAAGAGAAAAGAAGGGAAAGGAGAATGAGTTGATGGATGCCGCGTTCGTTCTGCTCACCGGACTCTGTGTCTTCCTCGCGGTCCTGCTCACGGAGCACCCAAATTGGATCAGACTCATGTGTCTCTGAATAGGGTGACTACTACCGACTACTACTGCTGTGTGCATGAAGGAACGCAATCGTGAACCGTGTGATCTACCCCTCAATCGAACCCTTCCCAGTTACTCACCCAGTACATCCTTCTGACCAGTCGGAAGATGTGACGTATCGAGGCTTCCGGCGTCGAAGCTCCGCGAGTTGCTCTTCATTTGCCGCATCGCCGCCGCCTTGTCTTCCCGCCGTTTGTCGCTGTCTCTGAAACTGAGCACTCTTTCAGATAGGCAACGCGACTTTCGATGGAATTACTTCTTGCGCGTGTTGCTCGAATCCCTCAGTCTGCTCAAAAGTCCGCCCTTCTTCGGTTTCTCTGCACTTCGGTCCGACATATCTCTGATGTGGTCCTCGGCCATCTGCCTCTCTTCATGCGGCAATTCCAGAAGGCTCCGTCTGAAAATGGAATTGTTCTCTACCTAACGTCAAGGGTTTCTCTGAATCAGGTGCGCTCAAAGTACAGAAAGCGGAGAAGCATGGGTTTCAAGTTCTACTTTCAGAAATTAGTAGAGTGAGTGCGTGCGAACGAGACATGCAAAAACGTGTAAGTGGTGTGATACTGGCGACAGACATTCTCGGCACATTCAAACACCTCAACACGTCCTTCAACTTGTGATGGTCCTCGTCGTTGACGTGCAACCACGTCAGAATCGATTCGTCGAACGAATACATACCAAAGTTCATTAGGGTTAGAACACGCCGACGTTGACTGCAACACCTATTTTATCATCATCGAACGAAACGCGGTTTTGTGGGGAGGGAAAATGAAGCGATAGAATTGGTTTGGATTCGACTCGAGAAGGGTTTCAGAAAAGAAAAGGGAGGATTCTGAACTGAAATACAATACAGAAAAACAGTGGAACGCAGGGATACTATCAGGTCAGCGGAGAGAAGGGAGGAGTCACGAGTTAGAGAAGAAGTCAATGGTGTATTAGTCAAAAATGAAAACTCCACTCGTCAAAAAACTTCACTAGCTCTGGAAAAGAAAACGGAAAACTGACCTGACTGCCGGGGGCTCGTCGCCTTCGATACTCGGCTGTTTCGAGGCGGTCCGCGATCGGCGGTCGTCGTCCGATTCGTGAGAATCCTTCGATCCGAGCATACTCCGAAGGAAACCCTTCTTTTCTTTGTTGTCATCGAATTCTTTCGGAATTCCCGGAGCACGGATCTGGCTGACGACCGACTGAGAACGCGGTTTGTACTCTTGCAGCTGACGACGGAGTCCTTCTTTGTCTCTGAAAATTAGAAATCGATAGAAAATAGTCAGAAAAGTGAAACTAACTTATTTTTCAGGAACGTTTCGTTGCACTTCACCGGAAGAGACAATCTTATGTATTCCATCTTTGCTTTTTCGGATGGTCCTCCTTCAGAAATCGTCACTTTTTGCAAAATTTTGAGGCACGGCGGACTGTTTCCAGTTGCTGGGATCCTTGAAACTTCGAGAATTGATCCGGATTTCAGCGCAGAAATGTCCTCGAATCTTGGCAATTGCTTCGCAAACCACATCACCATCGTCCTGTACATGTTGACACAAAAGGGCTCATAACCCTCCTGCAATCCGCAAGTCGTGAAGAACTTGAGTGAGTTCGACTGCTGTCCGAGGTTGAGTCTTCCTCTCTGACCACTTCCGAGGGTCATTGCCGGCACGAGTCCGTCTCCACAGACGACGTTATCGAATGCCATTTCGGATCCGGAAGGGTCCAGAAGCAGTTCTCCGTTTAGAGAGAAACTGATGGTACGGTCATTGAGATCGAGGAAGCATCCGACGACATCTCCGATTTTCCATTCTTTTCCGTATATCTCCGCTCCTTGGTGCCATTTCCTTCCCAGGTATCCATCGAATGCATAACTGCGATCATCGGCGCCCAACTGAATTTCGGGAGTCGATCCAATGTCCATCCATCCGATTTTCATGTATCCCGCGGTCAAAATCTCAAACTCAAAGTACCATTTTCCTCCGGTGACTGCGTAAGTGTTCTCTGCTCTGTACGTCCGCGTGTTGTCTCTCCGTGCTCTCAGCTCCTTCTCCGCCACTTCGTCGTGCTCGTGTGCCGGAGGCTCCAGAAAGATTCCGAACAGCTGCAGAGCCTTGATGTTTTCAGAGGCAGACGCCCGATTCGCTTTTTTTATCTCATCATCCACTTGTTCGTAGGGCACGAGATGCGGAGACCTTTTCTGCGTGATGTCCGGATTCTCGTTCAGTCCGAACGTCCATCCTCTCTTGATCTTCTCTTTTGCCCACACATTGTGAGTATTTCTGGCCAATGCCTCAATCAGTGGCTGCAATTCGGCCGGAAGCTGGATCTCGTGAGTGTCCAGCGGTCCCGGTTTGTATCCGTTCGGCTGTTGATAGCTCGGAGCCAGTCGCACTGCTCTCAGTCTGCACGGCGGATCGTCATTGATCAGATGGTAACCGAGAGCCTCGATGGTCTTCATTGTATTCACTGCCAAATTCAAGTTGTACTTTTTCTCGGTCTCCGGGAGCAAATCGAACTTTGTTAACATGGATGTTTCTTGAAGTCTCCGAACGAGTCTCTCCGTATGACCATCCTAATTCGATTTTCCGCATCGCCCAGAGTTCGTGGAGGTTCTCAGCGAACTGCTGCGTTTTTCATTTGCATGGTGCGTCAATTGAGTGGCGCCAACGTCGACGGGAGTTGGAATGAACGGCTCAAGATTGTTGAAAATCGTCTGAGGACCACAATAGATGTTCTTGGAAAGGTCTCCGAAAGAAAGACAGTCCGTGATTGCCAGCTCTCCGTTGATTGCTTCCACGACAGCGGAGAATCCAGCTGGCGGGCCATACCGCAGTCTTCCTTGGTTTCCTCCGAGAATGAATCGGCAGGACACTTTCGCAGAGAGCGACATCACTGGGAAGAAGTATCCGTCGGTGTTGAACTGTTTGAATGATCCACTCATGTAGGTTCCGTTCACGCTGAACCGAATCTCCGGAATCGTCAGATCAATTGAGCACCCGATGACAGCTCCTTTCTCCAGAAGCTTGTGCCCGACAACTCTCGATTTGCCTCCAAAGAACATGGACTTTCCGTCGAATCCATATGAATAGAAGTCGTCGCCAACTCCATTGCATCCCCATTTGTCTCCAGATCCCGGGAACGGCTTGAATCCGACACTATTCGCCCATCCTATCCTCAGGTACGGTGTCTGTTTTGTCATCGTCTCGATGTGTTCGACTTCCGCCTCGAAGTACCACTTTCTGAAGAGAGCGGATCCTTCGACCACTCCGAGCATCACATTGGGCATCATACTCGACACGTGGTCCCTCATTGACGTCTGCAGAAGGAGATCCTTGCCTGGCAGCAGATACTGCGTGATGAGGTTTTGCGAACTCCTAACGGCCATTCCGTTTCCTTCGCAAAGAGAGGACAACACATCCAGGACTTTCGGATCTCTTCCGACCTTCTCCAGCAGTGAAATGACCGATCGAATATGTCCTTCGTTGATCATATTCAAAGCTTCCGGGGATTCAGTCAGCACGCAATAGAGTACATCGAGGATTCCCTCAGCAGACTGCGGGTTACTCAATCGGCCGAAAAGCCAATCGAGTCTCTGAGCAGAAGCGAACTGAGCACAATTGTAGTGGTTGCCCTTGATCATGGCGGCAACGAGGAGGTACAAATACGTTGAGATCTGCTCCCATTTGACGTGAGTCTCTTCACCAATCAAACCGGCAAAGTCGGGGAGCGCCTCCATTTGAGAGAACTTATCGATGGTATCGAGGATCATGTTGAGGACTCCTTCTTCTTGGAACAAGTCCTGTCGACTGCGAAGAGCTCTCAGATGGTTCTGCTTCTCCTCAAAGTCCTGCTCCTCGTTCGGTTGGGCAAAGTACTCGATGAGATCCTCCATCAACTTGAGCACTTCGTTGAGATCGACTCTTGCCCAGTCTGCCGACTGATTGCCTTCCAATTGCAACGCATCTATTCCCTTCAAGAACTTGTTCAGCACCGAAGAGCACTTTCTGATGACTCTCGCAGATTTCGACTCTTCCTCGAGCGCCATGAAGAATGTGTAGCAGTCGTCCATGTGTCCGTCCTTCAATGCCACCGCTTTCTTCTCTTCAACTTTTCCGAGTCCCTTCTTCGTCACTTCGGAAGTCTGATAAGAGAGCCAGAGTTGAGTCTTCACGTGCTGGATGAACGCATTCGTCTCTCCGTATCTGATGGTTGCGTTGCCCATTCCCTCCTCCTCTTTCTCATCCAACATTTGCTTCTTCGGATCTTTGTTCTGACACATCACAAAGGCCGTAAGTTCGAAGTCGGCCTTCTCCTTGTGGTACAATTGCACTGCATTGTCGAGCACTCCGAGGTACCGTCCCGAAGTGATGTGCTTGATTCGGAACACTTGTTCCCATCCGACCAGTGCGCCGTGCCACTTCATTCGCACCAGCTCCACTCGCCAAAGTGATCTGGCCTGAGTCACAGCGGCGCCTCCCTCATAAATAACCATGCTGCAACATCATCATCAATCTTTTTTTGATTCATTTGCTCCGACTCACTTGTGTTGGGGATGTTCGCTCCAGTTTTCTGGGATAGTCAGACATTCGTCATTTCCGTGGAACAACCGGAGAACGTCGTTTCCGAAGAGGAATCCTAGAAGGGCAAATTGAAGAAGAGTACGAAAAGAGGAGACTTACCCATATTACGAGTTCTCATGCTTCCTGAGCTGACTGACTGAATGTTCCATAGAGTTTGGTGAAAGGAGGCGATCACCATGTATCCCTTGCTGTAGGCCATGTGCTGAAAATGAGAGGTTTACTATGAAGTACGACGTGTATTTTGGCACAAATACGACATTCCGAAACTTACATCGTCTATTTTATTTTTCCGTAAATGCTATAAAGTATCAGTGATGCGAAGGAGTTAGAGCGAAGTCAAAACTAACCAGATATCTTTCAGTGGCCACGGAAACCAAGATGACGTCATCGCCGACGCGCACCTTCTCTCCCTCCGATCTCTGCTTGGATGCCGGATGGATTGTCCACCAGCACGCTTCTCCTGCAAATCGTACTTCTTGTTTTTTTTTGATAAACAACATTCTTTCTACCTTCATTTGTCTCCTGAACTCCGACGTCGAATGCGAGTTTGTCGTTGGAGGAGCACGACGAGAGACATGCCAGGAACATCTCACTCTGCACGTGTTTCAGTTGTACCGCGTGTCCGTACAGCAGTGTTTTGTGTCCTCCGGCTCCCGAGGCAGACTTCTGAAATCAACAGAGTACGTCAACACGTCTAATTGGCACCTTCACTCACATGATCGCTGTCCGCCGACATCATCTCCTGCAGTGCTCTCATCGACAGTGCGTTGTCAATGTAGAGCATGCACATGGCAATGTCCGGAGGGATGTCTTTGTCGGAGACGTTCTCCAATGTGCACATCCGATTACCGAAGCCCTCGGTGCACAGACAAACTCTGCAAATAGAATGTTTTAGTGTTTTTTTTTGAGTGAGTGAGCACAGACCTTTCTGAGCCAAGTACTCCATCTCTATTGTGTGAGGCGACGCAGGAGAGGCAGACGATATCACCCTGAAATGAAACAATGAAATTCGAGTGTTGCTCAATGTGGGTTTGATTCAATATTTGCTAGGCACCAAAGAATCCAACCTTCGTCACATAATTGTGGTCCTCATCCGAAATATCCGTGAAGTCATAATCCATTTTGACACTAGTATCCGTATTTAATCATATCATCGGAACATGAATATAATTGAGTTGCGCTGTGTTTGTGCAGGGCGGAATGCTATGCTTGTGCTGCCTAGAGCAGACTTCTAATGCGAGTCTCTTTGTCTGAAAACTGGAGACACAAGAATGGAAAAAGGGAGAGAGAGAGAGAGAGGACGAAAAAACAATAGGCAGAGCGGACGGCAGAATGCCATATGGGCGATATAAGAGAGCCACTCTCTGGGGAGAAAAGTAAGAAGGAAACAAAAGAAACCGCTACTTCTGCCGACTACTTCTGGATTATTAGTGATAAAGAGCAAGTAGTGCAAAGCGAGATCGCATAGGATCGGCACATCGGCCGTGTTTGTTTTCCGAGAGATCACTATCATGCTGCGGCGCTCGCATTCGCCCACTCTCTCGCGGATACGATTTGCTCAAAATCCTGTCGCATACCTGTCCGATTCCAATTTGTTTATCAATCAAAAACGCAAAAACGCTAGGCCGTTGATTCGATGCTTCCGAGAATCGGAAAAGGAAGCGGGCGGGCAGAAGATGACCACGTCATAATATTCATGGAATCGGAAATGCGCGCTACGAGCTCGAGCTGCGAACACAGAGTAAAGTGCAAGTTGACGTGATATCCGTCCATTTGCAAACGGCTCCAAAGTGATTTACGAACAATTGATACTGGGAGAGTTAAGTGGTAACACAGCAAAGAGCGTCGTCTTCTCGAATAATTGAATTTTGGCGGGAAAAAAGGCGGAAGAAGGGAAAGGAGAAGCTCGGGTTCACTCCGTGGGTGTCCAACGGACACAACGCGTTTATGGGTAGTCGAGGACAAAAAGTTGGAAGGCCGGCGGACAGATGAATGCACGAAACGAGGCCGGAGCAACGAAGAAGAGAAACGGAACTCAATAGGATTCAGTCGGCCAGCCGCGTCAACTTTTTTGCGCCGAGTTTGCCGCGCACTTTGCACCCACTACTCAGTCTCGCAACTTTTGATTGATAAGAAAATAGGAACAGAACAGAGAAGAAGAAGAAGAAGAAAACATTGAAATGTGCCCCCAGGGATAAAAAGGAGTGACGAAATGGGAAGGCAAGAAGAAAGACAATATTCTCGGGTGGCACCTTCTCTTGCTAATTCGAGAGGACGAAACAAATCAAGAAGTAAGAGCCTCAACGAAACGAAGTGAAACACGGCGTCTGCGTGCAGAAGCCGACGTCTCCTCATATCGCGTGCTCTCTGAGCATCTCTCGTTTCATACATTTAAGAAAAGATGTGTGGCGGCGGCGGCGAAGCCGGCGAGCAAGAGAGTATCCACCCTGTGGGGCACCACTCATATATGCACAAATTTCAATTATTTCTCATCGTTATAAAACCAAAAAATGTTTCCTCTTTTCCTCGTCCGAGCCCTCAAGCGTCGTCGTGTGCGTGTATCTGCATGCGTGCCTACGTTGTTGCCAAATGAAAATGTATGGATGGGGACCGAAATTCGAGAATTCGTTGACTAGATGAGCTGGATGACAAGTGTTTTATGTGCTTGTTTTCCTTGTGTGGTGGCAGGAGAGTGGTCGTCAAGCGAAGTGAAAGGTACTACTTTTGACGACAGAAGACGTCAGAAGACGCTTTTGGCAACGCCGTCGCCCTGCGCTCTATCCCTCTATTTCCCACTCTCCCACTCTCGCATCACGCTAAAAATTGTTGATTAAATGTGCGAAAACGGACACTCAGTCTATGCCGCTGCCCCCGTACATATCCTTTTCCGGATTAGATTCATTGGCTCCGGAATTTCGTATTCATTTGGCTCTTTCTCACGGCCAAGCAAAGAGGTCAAAAACTTGTGTGCGAGATACGACGAAAAGAAAGAGAAACCTTGAATATTTTTTGATGGGAAGGAAAAGAAGGAAGGGGGGACTTCCCAGTGAGACAAATCGGCTTGTTGTTACAAAAAAACAAGTTGTTGCTCGCACTCTTTTACGAGATTTGCAAATCGGGCACTTACACTCCCGCACGTACGCGGCTCTTTTCCGTTTTTACTATTCTCTAGTTCATAACACACACAAATGGGACATGGCAAGTTTTCAAGAAAAACCATTTGAACTGAAACTGACCGTCCTGAGGAAGGAGACGTCGTCTTGCTCGCCCCCTCCCTGCTCCTCCTTGTCCGCCATCTTCGATCGTTTCGCTTATCACTCTCTCGTTGCTTTCGTTCTTCTGCTCACTCAGTTTCGTTGCGTTCTTCACTGGTTTTGCATCTGAACACGAAAAAGAATGAAGGTACAGCTGGGAGAGAGAAGAACGTTGACGGAAGAGAAAATCATGGGGAAATTTGAGATTTATTGCCTAGCGAAACACGGATGTAGGTGGGCGGCACAGAGCAATTACCGTGAAAAGTCATGTTGAAATTATCGAACGAAACGGAAGAGAAGAAATTCGAAGAAAACACAGAGAGCAGAAGCATTGTGGTTTCTAATTAAACCGCCCCATCGTCGCCGGCCGGTTTTATTGCACTTTGGGTCGGGGCCTGGAGCAGTCCGGGGAAGCATAATCTCAGGATAAAGGGGAGTTGGAGAGGGGGAAAATATGGACACGGAGGTGTGGACGATGTACATGTGCACAATTCGATTACGAAAGAGATGAGTACAATCTGTGATATTTTGTTGTTCTGGCTCATGAATCAGAAGTAGAAGATGTAGAAGAAGTAAAAGCATATGACGAATCAAATTAGAAACCTTTTCGAGCAAACCGGAGCTCTTGACCTGTGTACACGTCAGCAGCTGCCGAGCCATCTTTCTGCCTTCTTCCTCTTCTTCTTCTTCGTTTCTTCGATGGCAGGAGCCCGCCAACTCCTGCTACTCGTCTTAACAGCCGCAGTTCCCCTCTGCCGTCTCCTAGTTTTGAGTGCTCTCCGATCGGAATACAGTGTAAAACGGCCAGTGAGTACTGCTTGCCTGCGCCTCCATTCTCTTGCAGGTGCTGGACGAGAGATGAAGTTTCTCCGAGTGGCGGATGAGACGAAGATTATTATGAATGCAGATGTGAGCGCCAGTGACGTAGAACCATTTTTTCATTTTTCAAAGCAGTGATTGTGTTTGGGCGGAATGATAGGGAAACAACGAGAGCCCCGACGTCGTTTGGATACAACATTTCCCCGCGGAGCATCGTTGTTTATTTGCCGCGCGCCCAGTACATCTATCATACAATTCCGAGAAGAAATCAGACTTTATCAAGATAATTCTCTAGCTGGAAGAGTCCAGAAATGGAACAAAAGAATGGAGCATAATGAGGAAAGGAATAAAAAACAATAAAACACAGAAATCGTCGGGTGGTGGGAAGTGGCCGTCTCTGTGTGTGAAGTGTATATCTTTTCGCTCGATCGGACGGATACTTTGCGCTTGGCTTTCGTCCGCGGGATCATTTATTAGTCGCCGAAAGCTCGAGAGACGGGAGCTCCCGCAAGGCATGAGGCGCAGAGAACACAAACAAAAACAACCAGTGTTTGGAGTGATTTATTCATGATAAACCCGATCAATCAATTATGTTAAATTGGAGAAATGGGGAGATCTTTGATTATGTGCAGCAGGAGCAGGTCGAGTCCGACGGCTAGTCCAGGTCCATCGTCTGATTCCGAATGTTCTGTTCCATTTCGGCGCTCAGCGTGCTGTTCTGACCTGTAATGAGAGCGGCTGACCAGGACTCGTTCTATCACCTTTTATCAAGTGCTCTTTTCGTTTGTTTGCTCTTGCTCACTCACTTTCGAAGAACCTCAGGAGGCTGTCTTGTAGTTTCACTCTTCTCTGATCCAATTTGATCGTGTTGATTATCTTCTCGTAAATCTCCTTTCTTGCTCGCATTCCCCACAGGAAATCGTTGTGATTGAAGTCTCGAAGTTTTCTGAAAGAATCAAAGAAGGAATGGTTTGAATAGTATCGATGAGTTCGTGAGCACGTACGTCGCTTTTTTGAGCGTTTTGGATGGGAGCAATGGAATTAGGAAACCTTCGACGTCCTTCGGATTTGCGAGCCAATCGAAATCAGAGTAGAATAGGTAGATGGAACTGTTGATTCTGCGGATATCGTATTCTGGAGGGAAACTCTGAAGCATCCAAGATTATAGTTCAAATTAAAACGAGACAACTAACAGATCCGTAAACTTTCATGTTCATTTCCCGTCCGTGGTCGAACCTCGACATTCTCTTTCTTTTCACCATCTGAGCGAAATGAAGCATGTTCCGAGAGGAGGTTCCTGCGGGGTTATGAGCCAGATATATTCCAATTCTCGACTGAAAATGTCCTTCCAGAATTGTCTATTTTCACAAACTTACATTGTTGAATTGATTACTGTTCGGTCCGGAAACTGCGAAAATGAAATTCTCGCAGAGAGGATTGTTGACTGCTTGATCACAGAAGATATCCGTCAGAAGCTTTGTGAAGATGTTGTTCGTAAGGAATTCTCCATCTCCGAATACTTGATAGACAAGCTATAAAAGAATATTGACAGATCAACAACTCAAAAGTATGAACTTACATTATATTGTTCATAAATCTGTCCCAGATCTTGGAAAAGTCCTTTGACATGGGACATGCGAGCCACCGGGGCCATTGCGAAGAACTTTCGGACTTTCCGGGATATCTCCTGATCTTCACTCATTTTGGCGAACATTGTAAGCGCTCCCTGCGAGTGTCCGACGTAGTAGAGCTGCGATTGTTTGGTCGTCTTCAGTGCGTAGTCGATCATCGCTGTCAAGTCGTACTTGGCCATCTCTTCCCAACTGAACCTCCAGAACTTTGGATCCGACGCCGTCATTCGCACGTGCTGCTTCGAATAAGTGTTCCCGCGCATGTTGCCCAACCACACATCGTATCCCTGATCGGCGAAGATGTACCCTGAAACTTCATTATATTCTTCTCGCTCGCTCCCTTCGTAGAACTGTACTAACCGGCGGATTGCCTTGGCAGATTGAGTAGCCAGATGGAAGAGGTGCAAAGCAAACCGTGCTGCAGGAAAACGACCGGTTTAGGCGACTGTGAAGCGGATTTGGAGGTCTCGTCTGAAGAAAGTCACACTTGAAACAGGAAACCCGTCGACGCTCGCTCACTCTTTCCGTGCGGGATCCGGTGCAGAGTGAGAATGTAGCCGTCCGCCGTGACCACTTTGTGCGTTTCTACCGGATAGCCCCAGTGGGCGATTATCTCTGGCTGAATATGATGATTAGTTGGAACGAAACGGAAGAGGCACTCACCACATCCATTATTGCTTCCGGGTCGATCGTGATGTTCAGCGGCTTCATCGTCGTTTGTGCTTGTGGTGGTGGAAGAGTTGGGAAAGTGAATGGAGCAAAAGTGGGAAAGGTGGGGAAGGGCGGGAGCATGCCACGGATCGGTTGGATGGGAGCATCATTCAGAGTCATAAGTGAGGGAGCGGGGGTGACCGGAGACCAGAGAGGGGTAAGCGGCATGAAACCAAACTTTTCCTTTTCGGAAATCATCGGAACATCAAGAGTAGTTGGGAGAGAAGGAGGGAGCATGGTTTGGACGGTTGGCATGGAAGAGAGCCAGTCCGAAGAAGAGAGAGAAGAGAAGGAGAACGTGGGGACGGGGGTTCTAAGGGCCGAAGGAACAGAGGAGGTTCTCGGGAGGCCAGGATTCTGTGCAGTCGAGAGGAGAGGAATGATTGTGGACGGAGTCGCAGTCATATCAGTGTCTTCCTCAGACGTCGGAACTGTTGAAGAATCACTGAAGACATTCGGGAGGAAGATGAGAAGGAAGAGCAAGGGTTTCATCTGTAAAAGTCAGAAGTGTTGTCAGAATATTGTTTTGGAAAACATCAAATGTAGAGGTTCGGCGACAGCTACGCACTATCCGAAGATACGCAGCGAATCGGCTGTCCATCCGAACTGGGTCATTATAAGAATGGGCGGGAAGTTGGACGAGACGCAGAGACAGGTGGTTAGCCGACAATTATGAACTGACGGATGCTAAACAATCCGATGAAGATTCGAGACACTTTTGTATCTGTATCCGTCTATCCGTCACGTCTTCTTCTCGGACTTCTTCTTCTTCTTCCCTTTTTGTTTTTATGTTTGCGCTCATCCCAGTTTTTTGTTTGAATGTGTATGTATGTCCACTTTGGAAATGTTTCATTTTTGCGGAATACAAAATACATGAAACGGATAAATTCTTTCAACAACAGTATGTCAGCATGACAACTGCAACGATCAAGAAAGAAAAGAATGCAAGGGGAATGAGAACCAATGCTCCGATGTCGATCCACGAAGAGAAGAAGCCGCCGGAGGAGTGCTCCAGAGCAGTTGTCGTTGGGTGGTTGGAAGAAGAAGCTGTTGGAGCAGCGGAGCAGGAAGAGACGAGGACGAGAGTAATGAGCAAAGAGACGGAGATCATTTCAGAATAGACCAAATGGATAGTTTATCGTGAAATCGCCATTTCTTTTATATCAACAAAACATACGTCATGATTGTGATGCGGAACAGTTCCTGAAGGAACACTGATTACAATGTTTTCCGTGTTTCCGAACCCTGCGGAAGTGAACTCACTGATAACCTCTTGACAGTTGTGAAATCTGTGAACAACAAAACTCGTTCGACGCAATCGTCGTAAGAATCCTATGTCCAAAAATTTTGAATGATATCATCAAGAGAAGATTATTGTAAGTGAAAAAATAACAATTTTGGATTAGATCGTGTTGCAAATCTATGATGAACTCAGAGAACAGGACTTGTGGAGAAATACGTTTATTTCATGGAAACCCATTAGAAATGACATACGAGTGAAACTTGAGATTGAGTGATTTTGAGAACCTCTTTAATGCTTGAATCAGCTGCTTCATTCCGGATTCTTGTTGTTGTTTTTCTGAAACGATTAATGCAGGGCATAACGATAATACTGAGGTAATTTTCGGAAAGTTGCGGCATGGATGCTGTGCGACCAGCCGTTTTTGGCAACTTGCCGCAAAGAGCACGGCAAGATGCCCCTACCATGCTTCTCCCGTGCTTCTACCCTGCTTCTTGTCGCTCCTTCTACCTTGCTTCTTTGCTTCTCAAAAGAAAACAATTTATTAATCAACAAAAACAAAGGGAACAATTAAATGGAAATAAGGGAAAAAATGGAAGATGAGAACGAACTTGCATGATGTGCTCAAATGTTTCGACGATTTCGGCGAAGATTTGCCCTTTTCGCTGGAGCAGCTTGCCCGTCGGTCTCTTCCTCCGTGTCCTTTTGCGAATTGTGACGGCGGCGTCTGGAACTCTTTCCCTTATTTTTCTTCGACAAAGAGTCTTCTTTTAAAACGAGAGTCTCGCCGATTTGGTCCAAATCGTCGGCAGTCGTTGGAGTTTCAGTGAGAACGGCGACATTGGTGTCGTGCACCTCTTGTCTCTCGGTTTCCTCCGTTCCTTGAGCCGTCAATTGATACGGTATCAAGTGATGCGTAACAGATTTCGACGTAGTCGCCGTGTGGCGCTGCAAAATGAGAAAAGATGACAGTGTTAGAAAACAGTAATATTACCTTGCGGTATACAAATCGACCGTACTGCTGACCAATGACGGGTGGCAGAAATGTACCGTGGCGAAGTTCAATTCTGAAAAGAAATCTTATTTTCAGAAAGAAATAGAAAGATTGACTCACAAAGCCTCTTTGAGTGCAGTTCTGAACGTGGTTGTGAGGTAACTGTTTCTTGTATGTGCAAGAAATTTGAACAGTTTTTTCTTGCTGTTATCGTCTCCGAATGACTGCAGGCATTTCAGCGTGCTAAATTCGTTTCGGTAGGGAGCATCCAACTCCCCGTAGTCGAGTCCGAAAAATTGTAAGAAGAGGTCTAAAAAGAAACGTGGTGAAATCGATAAACTTATGAGAATCAGAATATAACTAACCCCTAAGCGTGACATACAATTCATCCGGGAAGTCGCGTCGGTTAGGTCCCTTCGAGTTTTTCTCATTCGGCAGAATCCATGTGACAGACTGAATGTCGCGCTGCTGAGTGCAACTCTAAACATAGTTTGAATTTGATAACACCTAAAGTGTGTGACATACTCTTGACAGCACGTGGAATATCATCGTCTTGAGACGAATATGAGCTGGCTGATTGGATGCGTTAATTCCGAGAAGGCTGATTTGCTCGCCCTAAAAACGAAGTTCTGCATTCGTATAAATACGGATCCAGCTCACGGAGAATGGTGGCTCTCGTGGATAATGGAAAACCCCGGTGACATTGTAGACAGCTCCACCTACGTCTCTGAACTCTTCACAGTTCTTCGCTGAGAGGTTGCTCACCTTCTGATGTTGCGCACTGATCAAAAAAAAAAAAAGATCATTATTTGTTGACACTCGGGGTTCATCACATCGGTCTCGCCGATAATCTTAGGACCAGTGAACTTGTACGCATTCTTCACGAGAAATGTCTCGATTTCCTCTTTAACATATCGAGTTCTCGTTCGGTTAAGGGGATTCGGCCTGCCTTCTCCACGTTAAACGAACCGTTTTCCGTGCACGAGGAGAGCATAACTGCAAAGAAACTGTGCATTGTGTACAGTGAAATGATTATGTCTCACCTGAAATCGGGTTCTTCTCAGAATTGGTCGGAATCGATGAAGACGGTTCATTGCGGTCGAAATGGGACTGTGCACCGTATCCGTACACTCCTCGTGTCACTGGTTCTCCAGTGTATTCGGCGGAAATCGCAGGGTACGTGTTCTGAGAGTCTCGGATGAACTGGGAACATGTTCCTAATCTTGGCGTTTCGTCGTGATGCTCGATGTTGTTGTCTGTCGGGTCGGTCCAACAAATTGTTGATTGATCAGTACTTCCGCTGCTCCAGTAGGCGGGTGCCGCCACAATGAATCGACCGGACCTGCTCACATACGACTCCCTCTTCCTGGTTGTATGTATTCGTTTATTTAGTTCAGAAAGATAACAACGTTGAAATTCACCTTTCGCGAGTGGTTTTCCTTGAGTTTCTTGAGTCTAGAATTTCCTCATGGTCACCTTCGGATTCAGAAGAATCGTCGGGCTCTGTTTTCTCTCCCGATAGACGAAAAAATGTTGAGAAGTCTGAAAACAATGGTTCTACAGAAGAAAATCTTTTAAACACTTACTGTGCCCACGTCTCCTTCTCTTACGTCCTTCCATTGTTTCGTATTTTCACTAGAAAATAGGGAATTTCTGAGATTGAACGGTTAAAAATTAAAGTGAACAATTAGTGTGCCAGCACATCATCATGTGCCAGCAGAGAACGCTTGCTTCTTTCTGGATAGCCCAATCCATGCCGCACCCATGCCGCACACCTGCCCCCCGGAAAAAAACATCCTCGAGTTCTTCCTTAAAATCTGAAATGGACCTTGGAAACGAAACGAATAATACACAGTCCCAAATGATTCATCCTGAATGATTATGATGTCACCGAAGTCTTGATTTCATCAGAAAAACACTAATCGTCATTTCATTGTTTCTAATGACTCAACCTCCGTGTTTCTTGTTTACATGAACATGTTTAGGAATGTTTATTTGCTAACTAACACATGCAAAATATCAAACATGGAAAGTAGTAAAAATAACGGTTTTCCAAAAACGGAACTGAAAAGATTCTCAAAGAGAGCTCCGTTCCCCCGCACATTACACTTTTCCGTCAAACGCAAGATTTCGTTTCAGTCACTTCCGCCCACACAAAAACAAGCATTGTTCTCAAGTGAAGAAACCATTTATTCGAAACAAGAATCAAAATATGAAATGAGAGATCCAGTATTATAATTGGGAATCAGAGTTTGAGGTAGAGAGCAATTGGCACCAACGAAAAGAAGAGGGAAGCTCCTTGCGCGGACTGTGTCGTCGTTGCTGAAATATTTCAGAGTTGGGTTGTGCTATGAAAAACGTTGTAAGGAACTTACCGAATGTCGTCGAGGACACTTGAGTGACCGTGAAGTTTGGATTGATTGGAGCGACGGTCGTCACCGAAGTTCCATTGTTCGCTGGCACTGGCTGGGTGGGGGCTGGAGTTGTGACGGAGGCTCCGTTGTTACTGGCCGGAACGGTTGAGATGGAAGTGGCGACCGGGGGAAATGGAGCAGCGGTGGGCGTCGAATTTGAAGCCACCGTGGGTGTGACAGCAGGAGTAACAGTGGCGTTCGGGGGAAGTGGAGCAGCGGTGAACGTCGAATTTGAAGCCACCGTGGGTGTGACAGCAGGAGTAACAGTGGCGTTCGGGGGAAGTGGAGCAGCGGTGAACGTCGAATTTGAAGCCACCGTGGGTGTGACAGCAGGAGTAACAGTGGCGTTCGGAGGAAGTGGAGCAGCGGTGAACGTCGAATTTGAAGCCACCGTGGGTGTGACAGCAGGAGTAACAGTGGCGTTCGGAGGAAGTGGAGCAGCGGTGAACGTCGAATTTGAAGCCACCGTGGGTGTGACAGCAGGAGTAACAGTGGCGTTCGGGGGAAGTGGAGCAGCGGTGAACGTCGAATTTGAAGCCACCGTGGGTGTGACAGCAGGAGTAACAGTGGCGTTCGGGGGAAGTGGAGCAGCGGTGAACGTCGAATTTGAAGCCACCGTGGGTGTGACAGCAGGAGTAACAGTGGCGTTCGGGGGAAGTGGAGCAGCGGTGAACGTCGAATTTGAAGCCACCGTGGGTGTGACAGCAGGAGTAACAGTGGCGTTCGGGGAAGTGGAGCAGCGGTGAACGTCGAATTTGAAGCCACCGTGGGTGTGACAGCAGGAGTAACAGTGGCGTTCGGGGAAGTGGAGCAGCGGTGAACGTCGAATTTGAAGCCACCGTGGGTGTGACAGCAGGAGTAACAGTGGCGTTCGGGGGAAGTGGAGCAGCGGTGAACGTCGAATTTGAAGCCACCGTGGGTGTGACAGCAGGAGTAACAGTGGCGTTCGGGGAAGTGGAGCAGCGGTGGGCGTCGAATTTGAAGCCACCGTGGGTGTGACAGCAGGAGTAACAGTGGCGTTCGGGGAAGTGGAGCAGCGGTGAACGTCGAATTTGAAGCCACCGTGGGTGTGACAGCAGGAGTAACAGTGGCGTTCGGGGGAAGTGGAGCAGCGGTGAACGTCGAATTTGAAGCCACCGTGGGTGTGACAGCAGGAGTAACAGTGGCGTTCGGAGGAAGTCGAGCAGCGGTGAACGTCGAATTTGAAGCCACCGTGGGTGTGACAGCAGGAGTAACAGTGGCGTTCGGAGGAAGTCGAGCAGCGGTGAACGTCGAATTTGAAGCCACCGTGGGTGTGACAGCAGGAGTAACAGTGGCGTTCGGAGGAAGTCGAGCAGCGGTGAACGTCGAATTTGAAGCCACCGTGGGTGTGACAGCAGGAGTAACAGTGGCGTTCGGGGGAAGTGGAGCAGCGGTGAACGTCGAATTTGAAGCCACCGTGGGTGTGACAGCAGGAGTAACAGTGGCGTTCGGAGGAAGTGGAGCAGCGGTGAACGTCGAATTTGAAGCCACCGTGGGTGTGACAGCAGGAGTAACAGTGGCGTTCGGAGGAAGTCGAGCAGCGGTGAACGTCGAATTTGAAGCCACCGTGGGTGTGACAGCAGGAGTAACAGTGGCGTTCGGAGGAAGTCGAGCAGCGGTGAACGTCGAATTTGAAGCCACCGTGGGTGTGACAGCAGGAGTAACTGCGTGGACTGAGGGGGAACCATCGGCTGCCAAGTCTGCCGGAGCAGCCAAGTCTGCCGGAGCAGCCAAGTCTGCCGGAGCAGCCGACACGGAGAACACGAGGAAAAGAGCAGCGAACAAAGTGAGCGAGTTCATCTTGAGAGGACAGAGAAGACGAAGTGACAGGATGGGCACAGTCAGACCTTTTTATATCGGAACGAGCAGCAAGTCTTATCGTGCCTGATTTAATAGTATGGGCGGTACGCGGACAATTCCGCGTCAGAAGCGGAGACCATGCAAACAGGTGAGTAACAGGGAGGAGAGATTGTTCACGTGAGCAGGTTTCTGGAAGTTTTCGAGACGGTATGAATGTTAGATGCGAGAGTGCAGGAGGAAGGATTGAAGATGTCGCTAACGAAGAGGAATTTGTTAGACTTGCGGATCTGGAAGAAAGACCTCCCACGTGAAATCGCCATTTCTTTTATATCAACAAAACATACGTCATGATTGTGATGCGGAACAGTTCCTGAAGGAACACTGATTACAATGTTTTCCGTGTTTCCGAACCCTGCGGAAGTGAACTCACTGATAACCTCTTGACAGTTGTGAAATCTGTGAACAACAAAACTCGTTCGACGCAATCGTCGTAAGAATCCTATGTCCAAAAATTTTGAATGATATCATCAAGAGAAGATTATTGTAAGTGAAAAAATAACAATTTTGGATTAGATCGTGTTGCAAATCTATGATGAACTCAGAGAACAGGACTTTTGAAGAAATGCGTTTATTTCATGGAAACCCATTAGAAATGACATACGAGTGAAACTTGAGATTGAGTGATTTTGAGAACCTTTTTAATGCTTGAATCAGCTGCTTCATTCGGGATTCTTGTTGTTGTTTTTTCTGAAACGATTAATGCAGGTTCTCAAGTGAAAAAACCATTTATTCGAAACAAGAATCAAAATATGAAATGAGAGAACCAGTATTATAATTGGGTATCAGAGTTTGAGGTAGAGAGCAATTGGCACCAGCGAAAGGAAGAGGGAAGCTCCTTGCGCGGACTGTGTCGTCGTTGCTGAAATATTTCAGAGTTGGCTATGAAAAACATTGTAAGGAACTTACCGAATGTCGTCGAGGACACTTGAGTGACCGTGGAGTTTGGATTGATTGGAGCGACGGTCGTCACCGAAGTTCCATTGTTCGCTGGCACTGGCTGGGTGGGGGCTGGAGTTGTGACCAAGTCTCCGTTGTTACTGACCGCAACGGTTGAGATGGAAGTGGCGACCGGGGGAACTGGAGCAGCGGTGGGCGTCGAATCGGACGGATCGGGGGAACCATCGGCAGCCAAGTCTGCCGGAGCAGCCGACACGGAGAACACGAGGAAAAGAGCAGCGAACAAAGTGAGCGAGTTCATCTTGAGAGGACAGAGAAGACGAAGTGACAGGATAGCACAGTCAGACCTTTTTATATCGGAACGAGCAGCAAGTCTTATCGTGCCTGATTTAATAGAATGGGCGGTACCCGGACAATTCCGCGTCAGAAGCGGAGACCATGCAAACAGGTGAGTAACAGGGAGGAGAGATTGTTCACGTGAGCAGGTTTCTGGAAGTTTTCGAGACGGTATGAATGTTAGATGCGAGAGTGCAGGAGGAAGGATTGAAGATGTCGCTAACGAAGAGGAATTTGTTAGACTTGCGGATCTGGAAGAAAGACCTCCCACGTGTTTTCCAGAGAAGCTCTAAAAGATGTTTGCCGGGGCTTCTTACAGAGAATGATTGACTCTTACTGAACATCTCATTCTTTTCTTTTTTCCAGACGTTTCCTTCTTCTCATTGATGTGATCGTTCAATCTGATCAAATTTCACATTTTCCCGTCTCTAATATTTGCAAAGACTTTTTGGATGGCGGGGCCAGCCTTTGAAGTTCTAGTTTACTTCGCAATTTCGTTATCACTGGGCGCCTTTTTTCGCTACAAATATAACTAAAACATCTTGAGCGCGTCCTCATTCAGTGCTGGCCGACACCTTCTTCCGCTCCAATCTTATCAAGTTCTTATTTATTATTACTCATCAGATTACTGAAAACAACGCGTATACGTAAGGGGCGGTGAGGGTGAGCAAGTCGTAGCCGAACGGGCTCAGTACTTGGCCTATCCGACTCGTTATCAGCAACGTTGAAGAGTCAATGTCGGCCGATATTTTGTTGAGAATCGAAAGAATCGACAGTATTTGGGGGAGAAGCGGAAGGGCGTGGCGGGAAAACTCACAACGATGCCAAACAAAGCTAATTGCATAAGGAATGTTACGAAAGAAACGAGGAAGAGGCGCTTGTCACTCTTCTGTCTCGACACTTGGCTGTATTTGGAGATTCGCAACCAGCAGGCGACATTCAGAACGATATTTAAACCGATTGAGACGACCATCCAGATCAGAAGGACCATGTAGATTTGGGGGAGATCCGCGAGAGTTTCAGCGACATGGGTGTCCGAAGATTGATTATATTCAAAGTAGGCATAATGGGTGAGCAGAAGATAGGTGAAAGGAAGAGGAAGGAAGAAGAGAACGACGATGAGCGGATAACTCCCGAAGTACCAAATCTGAATGTTGCTTTGGAATGATGTTGGCAAGTAGGATGAATGAAACCTTTGCGTAGTTCATGAACATGAATATCCGCGTGAACCGATTGGATTATGTCAGAAGTACGTTAGTGTAATTGCAAAATAAGTACTTATTCTGCAGACCCCTCTGCAAAATAAAAACTAAAGATAAAATTACTTCGATGCTCCTCTTCCGGAAGAGATCGCCACTCATGCAGTTGTTTATGTGCATCTGAATTCTCGCCTAATTGCGTGATTCGCGTTTAGTAGCGTACTGCACGCGAATAGTTCGTTCTCGTTTTTCCCGAAACAGCTACTAGTTGAGTGGGGGGCTCGTCTCATTCGGTATGAACGGGCGGAATGAGGAGACGCAGAGAGGGACAATGCCAATATGCATAGGCGATGAGCGGAGGGCGGAGGGATGGCACGACCCACTGCCCGATTCATGGATTCCCGCATTTCCGACGTTTCGCAAGAGTAGCCGGAGTCGTACGGCTAATACGGTAGTTCGGTGAACTCGTTGCTCGTCTCTTGTTCATCTTATTGACACGAACAATCCTCTGTTTCATCCATCTGTTTTGCGTTTTCCGTCTCATTCCCAAATGTTTCAATTTCTCAGACCGCCTCGATCGACCATCTAATGTACTTTGCAAGACTGAAATAAGAGGTTTCCCCCTTCCTTTTCTGTGGCCAACATCCTCATGATCTCTTTCAGATGTACCTTCTTCTACTTCTGTTCATCCCACTCGTCCTTTCCAAGGATCTCGCCTGGTACTCAACTGAACCGGGCCTCAGCTCTTCGCACCCGGTCCACTCGCCTCTGCACGCTTCCACAGCCATCGACTTCTGTCAGGTTCGTTCTTTTTGCTCCACTTGTCGTCGCTCTATTGCTTTTCTTCCGTCTCCCACGGGAACCACTTTGAACTGAACTTTTGACGAACAAAACATTCGGCAAAAGCAGTGAGAGTTAGCGGAGAGGGAATTGGATAAATGACACTTTTTCTTCAGCTGCCGCCAGACGCTGGAAAGTGTTCTCAACAACTTGTGCGCTACTATTATGACACGCAAGTTGATGAATGCAAACGATTCACTTTTTCGTAAGCCAAGCCGTTCCGGGAGTAGTGAACCCATTAATCAGAGCGTTTGCAGTGGCTGCGGGGGTAATTCGAATCGTTTTATGAGGCGGGCGCACTGTCGGAACAGATGTGTAAAGCGGCAGAACAAGGAGGAGAAGGAGAGTCTGGAGATGAAACACAGGAGAACTGTCACATCGACTACCGTAGCACCTGTGAATAAGGAGGAAGAAACCACAGTTCAGACTACGACGCAACGGGAGCCAGTCACCGTTCCTGTTAAGAAAGTTGAAATTGTTCAGGTTATCCCCATCTTCAACTTTGTAGTGAATTCAATACATTTTTAATTTCAGTCAGGCCACGAGAACGCTCTTTGTCGGAATTGTGATCCTTTGTACGGCACGTGCGTGGATGGGCAATGCGGATGTATGAAAGGGTTCAGAGCGCTGAACAACATCTGTATTGGTGAGTACCGCATCGGAAATGCAACAATTTCAAAAGATGCACTTTGCGGCAGCATATTTCTGATATCTCATTTGATATGAATAGGAGTAGAACAAGGAAGAAACGCACTTTTGAGTAACTAAAGCGACGCGTACTTCAGACCTGAACGAGTGTGATAACGGTGCAATCTGTGGTCCGAACGCCCGGTGCGTGAACGAAGTCGGCTCGTTTCAATGTGTGTGCGATGCGGGATTCGCTTCCGACGGAGAATGTCAGATCGGAGCCGACGCGTGCATGGACGAGTTCGATTGGAATTTGGAAGAGGAGGACTGCAACAACCTGAAGGAAGAAATCAGATATTTCTATGACGCGAAGACTGTTCAGTGCAAGAAGTTCTTCTGGGGTGGCTGCAAAACTAAATCCAGAAACTTCTTCGCTGATTTCCAGGTCAGTTTCACATTTTTTTGTCATTCTCATCGAAAACTTGTAGACGTGTGATGTTTTGTGTGTTTCCAATCAACGGGAATATCTGAAATCGAAAGGAGAGTCCGTTCATCATTCATCGCACCAAATCTCTTTCGATCCAGGCAATAACGATAAGCTTAAAAGTACGTGTTCACGTTCATTTTTCTGCCAGAAATACCTCAAATTCTTCCAGGCAACCACTACAAGATTGATCTATTCTCGTCGCCTTCGTCGCCGGTTCGTCCCGATCGTCCGTTATCAGTTGATGATTGGCCTCTCAAGCCAATCACTCTGAAACCGGCCCTCGATCTCGATTTCTCACTGGGACACACCAAATCAACTGTTGAAAAACAGGAAGAGGCACTGAAGGCCGAGCAATTTATCAAGGATTTGACGCCGGAGCATAGTTGGGGAAAAACTCAAATATTGCGCCTAGTCTGCAGTTTTTCAGATATTTGCGAGCTGAAATTCGAGCCAGTACTTCGGGAAGAATGCATTTCGGCTGATTGGAGTGAGAAGTTTTTCTGGAACTCTGACTTCTCGGTACGTTTTCTTCCTGTACCTTCAATAATCTTCGATTGTTTAGGACTGTGAACCGTTCTGGTATGATTCCTCTTGTGATCCACGCGATCGAGCAGGCAAGAACTACTTCGAAACATTCGAGGAATGCAAAAATAAGTGTAATGGTGGAGAAGAAAGAGGAGAGGCTAAGGACGAGTACATTCTCCCGACTGAGCCGGTCAAGGATTCAGAACCAGAACCAAAACTAGAGCAGAAGGGAGAAGAAGAAGTGAGGGAAGAACTTGCTGTAGAATCGACTACAACCGAAACCGGAGGATGGAGAAGAGGAGAATGGATACTTTTTCAAAGTGAAACCGATGAATTACCTAGAAGACGTGATTGAGAAAGCTGACGAACCGCCAAAGCACATTGAATTCAACCCGAATGAGTTCTTGAAAAACATTGAAAAGGTCGGAGAAGCAGCCGTTCAGCAGAAGAAAGAAGACACCGAAGCCCTCGAGCAACAGGCGAAATTGAAGAGAAAATAGAGCATGAGATAATTGAGCACGAGAAAAAGGAAGACTTCACAGAGACAGTGCTCACTCCTTCGAACTGTGATTTGGAATATGACGCCGATCTTCGGAACGAGTGCACTTTGGCCGAATGGACGGAACTTTTCTACTGGAATGAGCAGTTCAAGGTATGTGTGCAAACAAAGACTCCGTCTGAAATCGATAGGGCTTCAGGAGTGCGAGGCATTCTGGTATGATTCATCTTGCGGAGAGCCAGACTTCGAAACGAAGAATCTGTTCAAAAACTGGGATGCGTGCAATAACAAGTGTGTTAAGAAGCAACAAGTTGTCGCTGAGAAAGGTGTGTCGATACTCAATTGAACACAAGTTGATATCTTTAAATGATTTCAGAAAAAGAGCCAGCCACAACAAGCACAACTACAACTACTACAACAACTACAACTTCGACTACAACTGCACAGCCCAGCACAGATCCTCATCTTCTCGGAGAAACGAAGCGTCCCAACTACAACCAGAATAATCCTCTCAATCTGATTCTGAACAGTAAGTGAACAGCAAGAACTGTACACAATTCGTGATTTTAAGAAGCTCTCAATCCGGACCAATCTTCGGAACTTCCCGAGAAGTTCCCTCCAACGCATGAAAAAACGTTTTCAAACTTTGCTATCAAATCTGAGGTCACTGCGACCACGAAGTTTGACAGATTGAAGTATATGGCAGAGTTCAGAGTGAGTATTGCACATTTCAACACAGGTTAATATCTTTGTTTTCTAGAAGAAGCTGCTCGCGCTTCCGGATGACTTCTCCACTTCATCCAAAGCAACTTCTCCTACTTCTGCGCCAACTACACCTCAAATCAAAACTACTGAACATCAAACGACGACTTCCGAGAGAACGAGCTCATCTTTCGCTCCCACGCAAACAACAACTACCAGCTTCGAAGAGTTCGTTGAAGCCGAAAAGAAAAAGACTCTGGAGACGATCAAACTTCTCGACCGGCCTGAAGACCTTTGCGACGAGCCTCTCCATCCGAAACTCGAAGAAGACTGCAAAAACGATCAATGGGAGATCAAATGGTTCTTCAATTCGGACCGGGGCGCCTGTAAGTCCTTCTGGTACGGAGGATGTGAAGTCGAGAGCAGGAACTTCTTCCCGGATCACGCCGTGAGTCTTTCTAACTGAATTAAAAGCAACATGATTGGTTTCCAGAACTGTCGTCACACATGCGCACATAAATATGGCACACCGGCCAGCTTCTCCTCTAAAATCTTTATTCCTCCGGGTGATATAAGCACTCCAGTTCCTCCGCGCAAAGATCGGCTGACCACTAGTCTGAAGCTGACCTATCCGCATTCGGAAGATCTGTTTCCTGCTCAAGATCACGCAACGGTAGTGGAGTTGGATGGGAACTTCCATCATGTGGAGCAGAACGAACGAGTCTCTCTGACTCCCACAAAACCATTCAAACCAAGAGATCCACTTCCAACTGCCTCCAACATTGTCAATGTTTCGGAAGGCGACAAAACTGAGATGGAGCCTGCGTTCTACAGTCACATCGACCGAGTTGTTCATGAAATGAAATCGGGAGGTCATCCGGGATACACGAAACCGGAAGAGTTTGTGAGACGGATCGAGGCAGCAAGCAACGACTTCATCAAATATGATCTGCACAAGCCAGACGTCGTCACGATTATGGACAGGCATCCTCCGACTGTAGAGCCCCGAACGACTGCGCAGCAGACCACGAAGAACCCGACGACGCGTTCGATCAACGATCCGTGCGACGATGAGTACGATCCGAAGTGGGACGAAGACTGCCTCGGGGATCAGTGGGTCGTCAGAAGTTACTACGACCCTAGGGCGGAGGCCTGCAAAGTTTTCTGGTACGGAGGGTGCCACACGAGCAGCAGGAACATTTGGTTCGATAAGGAGGTACTGAGTTTCAGAGAAAGGTGAGAGAGCACTGCACTCTTTTCAGACTTGCCGAACTTCTTGCGCGCACAAGTTCCCGACACAAATTCCATTCAGTAAGTACTGTATTTATAGTTTTGAAAAATAAACAGGAAAGTTCAGCGGAAGCAGAGCCATCATCAGAACTCGTCGCGGCCACGTCTTCTTCCCCATCGCCGACTCCATCCGCCTCTTCTGACACGGTAATTTTCGTTTCGGGATCCGCGCATCTGGTGCCCGCTGCCTCAAAACTGACGAGACCAATCATTCTGAAAATAAAGGCACACATCTCGTCGGAGCATCGATTCAAAGTGGACCTCGATCAGAAGTTCGCCGATATCAAGAGAGAGCACGAGAGAAAGGAGGAACTAGAGTACTCGAAGCAAGTGCATCATCCGGTTACGGTGGCTGGTAAGAGATGGAGTATGGAAGGGCAGAACAGAGAATGCGTTTCAGCTGATTGTCTCGAAAGCTTCAACCAGAGCCTCGGAAAACCGTGTGGAGACGGAAAGACGTGGAGCAACAGGTTCGGAACTATTCGCAATTGATTCCGATTCCAAAAGTTGCAGGTACTACTACGACAAAGACACTCGATCCTGCCGCATGTTCTGGAGCAACGGTTGCTTTAGCCCCTCGAAGAACAACTTTGACGACTTGGAAATGTGTCAATGGAAATGCGAAGGGAGACATCCGCAGCCGGCAGGAAGTACGTCTTAACGATTATGTCACAATAACATAATTATAAAATTTCAGAATCTTGCTTGGACAAGTTCGACGAGAAATACTTGGAAGACTGCCGTCATGGAGAGTTAACAAGCCGATATTACTTTGATCATGACAGGTATGTAAATGAATACTTTTTTTCGATAGCACATCTCTTAAAGGAAGAAGTGCGTGGCCTTCCATTGGGGAGGATGTCAATCAAAGTCGCAGAACTTCTTCGCGGATATGACAGTGTGCCAGGAGCTCTGTGAATCACCGCCGAGAGAACTGACACGTAAAAGAAGCAAATTTGAGATATCAAATGAAATGTACAGATTTCAGAAGCCTGTATTCAGCCATTTGAAGAAAACTACAAGAATTCGTGCTCAGCCACAAATCCTCAACAGTACTACTACTTCGATATAACTTCGGGGATCTGCAAGATGTTCTGGTTTGGCAACTGCAAAGGAGAGAATCAGAACATCTTCAGCACTTTGGAATCGTGCCAATGGATTTGCGAACGGAAAAGGGAGGAAAGAAAGCCAGGTGGGTTCTTTTTTCGATAGGCTGTCATAGTTTATTCAACATGTTTTCAGCAATGTGCGCTGACAAGTTCGATCAGAAGTACATGGAATCTTGTGGAAGTTCCCAGTGGTTAGAGAAGTGGTACTTTGATGTGAGTCATTCTCATTTCATCCCCCCAATCTGACGCATTCTCAATGTTTCAGCAATCCTCTGGAGAGTGCACGTCTTTCTGGTGGGACGGCTGCACGTCTTCTTCTCAGAACATCTTCCCCGACGAGAAGTCGTGCACTTCGAACTGCAACATCCCGGCTTTGAGATCTCATCGAAACTCGCCACCGAAGAGACCAAGTTCAGATGCCTGGAGCCCGTTGAGATTGGAAGTTGTCAGGAGACGTAAGATTTCACAAGATCTCACGCATCTACCGTAATCATTTATTTTCCAGATACCCTGCCTTCTACTACGATCGAACTTCCCGTACTTGCCGTCCGTTCGCCTATTCGGGCTGTGGAGGCAACGCCAACCGTTTCATGACCGTTTCGCAGTGCGAGAATCTTTGTTTCGCATTCAATCAGCTGAACGAAGCGGAAGTGGACTGCCATCTTCCAATGCACATTGGCTACGGAAAGAACGACGAGAGCTGCCTGCCGCAAGCTGGATTCCGATTTTATTACGATCGGAACTACGGTAGGAGGGATGAACGAATGAAACTCGATTGTAACTTGTTTTCCAGGCAAGTGCTCCCAAATGTGGTATTTGGGATGTGGAGGCAATGCGAATAACTTCTATTCGTATGAAATCTGCCAGAGAACATGCTCGGCGTCGGATCAGCCGCGCGAGCTGGAACGGAAGACACGAGCCAGCAGCGAGGGTAGGCCAAAGTTCGGAATTCGCAAGATCCGTGCCAAAGTGCAGCAACTCTAATCACCCTTTTTCCTACTGAATCTCTTCACTGATACTCTTTACATTCCCGGTTGTGTGTGACCGTTTCTTCTTTCTTTCTCTTCTGTTTCACTCTGTCTGTCAATGCAGTTTGTTCCACTTCTGAGCTTCTACTAATAGCATTCTTCTGTTGGTTTATAACCGAATAAATAATGTTTATGAGAATGGAATGATTGAAGTGACAACTTGCAATGAAACAGGGAAGAGACAAGAAAAAGGAGAGAGAGAACGGAGGAAACGTGCAAGATTTGCGTGCTTTCAGTGTGCTTCGAAGCTCCCGGAGACCGAGGAACGTGTGGAAAGAACGCGAGCTCTCACTCTTTACAAAGATGGACTTACGGACAACAAAAGTGCTCCTCCTTCACTTATTCCGGGTGCGGGGGCAATCGGAACCGGTTCGCTACTGAAGAACTCTGTCAAAAGACGTGCAAAGGTCTCCTCAACAGCAATGATCCTCGTGAGTAATCCCAAAGGTTCAAATATCGCTCCATCTTTCAAAGGTATCTGCTCATTCCCTCCCGACTGGGGCTCTTGCAATCAGCTCCGCTACGTTTGGTTCTACAATCATACACGTGGAACTTGCGATCAGTTCCTATACGGCGGATGCGGAGGCAATCCAAATCGATTCGATACATTTGAAATCTGTCAAAAAGCGTGTGAAGTCACTGGAACAGGTATGCCGTTTTCCGAGTGACCGCGTCCGATTATCATCCTCCAGATGCCTGCATGGAGTCGTTGGACAGAGGCAGTTGGTGCGAAGCCATGTCAAATAGATACTACTTCAACAAAAGAGCTCGTCAGTGCAAAGGATTCCATTATACTGGTTGTGGAAAGAGCGGCAATAACTTTTTATCAAAAGAAGAGTGCCAGGACAAGTGACTGAGTTTGGCGAGAGAATCATATTATCTCAACGAATGTTTCAGATGCGAGAAAAGGTTCCCTCGGGCAGCGCCACCGACCAAAAAGAAATCGAAGACGAGGCTGCCAGTTGGATGTAGGCTGAAAGGACAAACTTTCAAACTGATTTCAATTCTCAGATTCTGGATCGAAGCCGAAAGTGAAAACGCCAATGCTCCGGCATATTAATTTGAACGGATTCAATCAGTCATACTTCAAATCGGAGCCCCAATGGATGGATTACACTTCTTGCTACGGTTACAGGTACAAGGACACTTCAATACCGCTCATTGAAGACTATATATCTCAGCTGACCGTAAAGATATCAAAACGTTTTCAGCTAATAAACTGTTCATCAAGACATTGTGAATATTTATTTAGTTGGTCACTATTTGATATCTGTACAGAAAGTTAAGATAGATCGAGTTGAATTAATGGTATTTGGGTGTGGTAATTGTGAAAGTGAGAAAGAAAACACGTCCACTTAAAAATTAACACATGAAATGGAAGAACAGAGATAGTGAGGGCATCTGCAAATTCAAGCAACTTCTTCTTTCAGGTACAACGTCTCCGGCCGTGACACAATTCTCAACGTGCACTTCTGTGCCCTCAAGGGATCAGCCAACTGCATCAGCGACAGCTACCGTACCACCGAAGGCGAAGAGTTCTGCAATGTGCTCCGCCCGTTCCTTCGCGGCCAAAATCTCTACTCATTCTATTTCGGCCTCGACTCACAGAATCCATTGTACCGGCCGAAAGACGGTCTTTCCGGAAGAATCCAACGGAAAAACGAGACAATAGCTGCCGTATTGGTGCTGAAAGCAAATCACTGCCATGAGATCTGCTAGGCTTTTGTTTTTTGTACTATATTTATTGACAATAGAACATTTCAATGACTTCATTTGATTCTCTCTAAACCCGCAATCGAAATTGAAAATAAAAGCCTGAAAGCAACTAATGGGGATGAGTTGGAACGTGCGCTTTCGCATTCGTTGCGAAAGATCGGATGATGATCGGAAGGATAAGGAGTCCATGGAAGAAGCCGGTGCCCACGACGAGCACACTTGTTCGCGCGAACATTCGCACGGCCGAGGAGGGAACCGCGAGCATCACGACAATAGCCAGAAGTGTGGAGCAGCCGGCTTGGACGACTGGCCATCCGATCGCTCCCATAGCGTCCTTGATCCGTTCGTCTGGGTCAGAATGCTCGGATCGGTAGATTCGGTAGCCGACATGCGTGGCGAAGTCGATGCACTGACCGATGGACATCTTAAAAAACGAAAAGGCATTTTGGGTAGCGGTTAGAAGTACTCACAAGTATGTTAACGACAGTTGTCGGATCCAAGTCGGCTCCCCAAAGAGAAAGGAAGCCAGCAGTGCCGATGTCCATGGAAATGAGAGTGCAGACGACCCAGAAGACTATCGAAGACTCGGCGATGAACAGAATGCAGACGGTGATGAGGGTGAGGATGGCCGTGCCGAGGGAGGAGAGGATCGTCGACTGCAGCTCGAGCATCTGGTCACTGTAGAAGTTGTTCTCGTCGAAAACTAGTGCTTCGAACTCTGGATATCTTGAAGTAATGTTTCTCCACGTCAGCAAAAGGGACGTTCGGACATTCCAATCGGAAATCTTGAACGCCGTTGTAAACACAAACTTGTCAACCTTCGTTCCACCCTGCAAAGATAATTGTTTTGGGATAGAGTAAGAGGAAGAGAGAGAGAAAGAGTAGGTCACTTTTGATGATTTGTCCGGAGTGTTCCAAACGAGGTCAGTCTCCCAATGACTGTTGAATGAAACTTGGAGGAACGATTTTAGAGTTTCGTAGAATCTGGAACGAAAACAAGTTAGTATAGGGGGAAGGTAAGATGTTCTTACTTTGCATCCTCTTGGAAAAAGAACTGTCTGTAATTGTTGAAGTCTGTCAGCCAGAAATTTGTCGAATTGGGTCCCATTGAATACGGAGTCGACTCCAGTTCGCGCACCATTTCCAGCATTCTTTCCACCTGCAAATCTTCCCATTTTCTACTCTTTCTCGTTTATCACCAACTTTTTCAGGCTGTTTACTGAAATCTGGAGCATTGTTCACATAAATTCTTCCGATCAATCCTTCCGCCCAAATCTTATTCTCGGCCAGATGAAGGTATGGAATGAGTGGAGAATCGTCGACGACTAGACGAGAAGGCGTCAAATTGGGAATGAGTTGGGAGCATCCGTAGAATGAAATGGCAATGTAGACGACGTAGAGAATGAGCTGGAAATGAGAACGTCACGGAGCTAATCAGTTCTCTTTACTACCATAAATATTCTGACGAAAGGATGACATATGACCGGCGCAAAGTAGTTTTCGAAGAAGTATCTCGTCGGAGAGATTGCTTTCTCGCTCTTCCCCTTCTCGATCTCCTCCCGGCTGCATCGTTTCCAAACGAACACACAATGATATCCAGCTGCTTCCCGTTTCGCGCCCATCGCCATCACCGCCGCAAAGAATGTCAACTGGTAGAACCAATCAAACATTATGGCGACGCAGATAAACTGGCAGAAGATTGCAATGGCTGGAGTGGTTGAGAACGTTCCGATTCCGAAAGAGAGGACGGAAGTGATCGAGGTGACTGTGATGGCGCTTCCGGCTTCTGCGAGCGCCAGAGCCATTCGCTTCTCGGGCGACAGAGACTTCTTCGTATCCTGCCACGCACCGAGCATCACGTAGACGTCGTCCACTCCGATCGCCAGCGCAATAAAGGGCATCACGGTGACCTGGTTGATGAACGGAACGCCCAGGGCGAAGAGTAAACCTCCGGCAGAGACTATCGCCATCGACGAAACGAGGATTCCGATCATTGCTTCGATGGGTTTAGAGGTGACCCAGTTGTCAGTCATGCTGCAATTCCAGTTAAAAGTGTCTGTAAGACCTTATGGATTCATTCACGTACCATGAGCCAACTGTGAAGCAGAGTAGAAGAAGGACCGTGAGCGAGATGAACGGCATCGTGTACGTGGCATTTTTCTGCATTTCATCCTGAAAATGTCCAGTTTCCAATCTTTTCTAATTGTCAAATGACCTTGAGAATCGACAGACTGAACATTGAAGTGTCGAAAGTGGCCTGATTGTCGAGAACCGCATTCAGTGATATCTCGAAGATCTTTGACATTTCTTCGGAAGTATGCTGCAAAATGTCATTTTAAGTTTCAATTATTTCAATTGGCTTGGGTCTAACCTCGTTATAAGCGGGAATCTGATAAATGAAATGGATCATGTCGATGCTCTGAATGCCCAGAGGCCCTCCGGTCTTGACTCCGTAGAAATGCGTTGGAAGGAAGAACTTGTTGTCGAAAAACTTCATTGTCGGGTACTCGATTTGAATTCGCGGATCTTTGCGGAGCTGTAAATAGTCACAAGTTATTGCAAATCTCGTAAATATTTTTTACTTTTTCACTCCAAAACGTGTCCAAGAAGATTGTGGCAATTGTGTTACTCAGCTCGCATTGCTTCATTCTGGAGCACACTTCCTTACCGAAATTAATCTGAAATCATATTTAATTTCACATTTATAAACATAATTCTAAGATAATTCGCTTACAGTTCTTCCATCCACTTGCACATTCATCTTTTCAAGTACATATTTGTTCAGTTGAATCAATTTTTGTGCCAAATCTTTCTTGAGTAAGTTTTTATCCTCGGAGTTTGTTTGAATAGTGATGGCCACAAAAGAGCTGCAATTGGACATGGTGCATCGGCACAGAGAAAAGACTCACTTGTTCTTCGAGTCTCCACTGAATTCTTTGTGTACTTGGTACTCAACCCGAGAGAGCGACTGTTTGGGAGAGTACAGAAAACGCAAATCATCCTGAATACATAATCAGATTACGGAACGGCCGGGCAGCAGAAACTCACTTCAATGCGCATGTTCAGGATTCCGAAGGAGAAGACGATGGTGAGAAGAAGAGGGCCGAGAGTGAAAAGACGTGGGCGGCGGCATATTAACAGTCCGTAATGATAGAAGCAGTTGGCCAGAAAGTCTTGGAATAATCCGAACGGATTCCGGAGGATACCCATTTTGAGATTCGCCCAATCTAAGGAAAACAATTGCGATGAGATGATGATTGACGTGGCAAACGGGGGAGAAAAGAAGATGACGGAAGGGAAGAAAAAGTAGAGAGGATCTAGTTCAAAACTAGCGCAAAACTTTTTGTGGACTGTGTGAAGAAGAAGCAAACAGAAGAAGAGGGAGACGGCGGCGCGGAGGGGACGGAGAGGAGACTGACCTTGTTTCTGGCCGAGTGAATGGAGACGTCAGACACTCGAATATCCCGGATGACGGCGGACCGAGAGAGACTGTCGGTAATTGGCGGTGTTCGGAGAGAGAAATAGAGAGAGAGAGAGAGAGAGAGAGAGAGAGAGAGAGAGAGAGAGAGAGAGAGAGAGAGTGAGGAGAATCCAGAAGAATTTACTGATGAGAAATGGAGAAAGAGGAGGATCACACCACAAAAAATGAGTCATTGATAGGCGATAGCGGTTTGAACTAGGCGCGGAAAAGTGGATGATGGGCGGGGGGTCTCATTCGGGTTTCCGATGGAATTGCGGAGGGAGAAGAAGAAGAAGAAAGTCGAATTCCTAAAAAAATATAGAAAGCTAACGGAGTCTGTCCGTTTTTTTCTTCCTTTCTCCGTTTGTCCGGCCATTTTTCATTTCTAAAACAAAAATAGTCGCAACGGAGAAATCAAGGAATTAATGAACACGTGAACTGTCTAACAGTTTTGAAAAACAAAGATGACTGGCCCAAGTAACCACAAACATGCCAACACCAGGCGACTGACGCACTTTGTGGAAGCTGTTTATTATTATGGAACCTTGGGTTCTGCTTTTGAAATCTGATTACTCAGAAAGAGCCAAGTATTCTGTGTCCAAGTTCCAAACCGAAAAGGCTGCAGTTCTCACAAATTATTGCTCAAACTTCATTATCCGGTCCATGGCTGCCCAGTGTCCTTTCCGTCTGTTTTTCCAGCCTGTTTATAGTCTGTTACGAAGACGTCATCCTCACGCGTTCCCTGCCGGCCGTTCCATTGTTTTCGGATAAACAACTTCTCCTCCGTGCTACCACCTCCACGCCGAAATGAAATGCAATCAGGCACGTTTTGCCGCCTTCTTCTTATTCGCTCTTTCTTTTCCTTTTCCTTTTCACTTTTCATTTTTGCTTCGCGCCTTTCCATGACAACAAACGCAGTGTCCCCCCGAGCAGAGGGAGCAGAGACACGCCGTTTCTTCCATCCGCGGCTCCTCCCTTCCCCGTCAATCGGCCGTCCGTTTTATTGCTTTTCCCATTTTCAGAGAAGGATGGTCAACTTTCTTCCGAACGCGACGCACGCCGCGCTGACCAGATCGAGAAGCGACAAGAAGAGGTTCACCAACAATAACAACAACGAAATCGCTCATTTGTAAGTGCACGTTTTATGATTCTTGGGTCACTTTCTCCTCGAACATTAATGAATTCTCATGTCTGACTATGAGAATGTACTTTTTGAGTGCAACTTGAGCAGCATTATCAAAACGAGACTGACGATTACGGTCACGTCATGCCAACTCATGATGACTACGTGCTTCTTCTAGACACGGTGGTTCTGATTCTGGTCAGTTCTGCAGCCATCTCTTCCTTTTTCCGCCTCACTGACGCTTCGGTCTCAGCGCAAATCAAAGTTCACGAGCGTCGTCCGCTTCCCACACAATTCGGGCGGTGTCAGGCAGTTTCACACCCACCGCGCACACCTTTTTGCTCTCCTCGAACCGTGCTCTTTGGCGTTTCTTTTCTTGTCGCCTTTCGCAGTCACTTGTCTATAATTGAATTCCCTTCGACAGCTGAAATGTGTGCTCTGAAACTGATCGGATGGCCATCAGCTGATTCCACGTGCCGCCCGTTTCCTCTCGGTTTTCGCCGCAAATCCGCGACGAAAGAAGCCTTTCGAATCCAATTTCCGATTGTTTGTAATCCCTCACACTTCCATTTTTTCGCCATCGAAATCACAATTTTTTGACTGGGCTAGTTTGAATAATAAAAATATGTTCCTAATTAGTTACCGCCACTCGCTCCTCACCTTTTTTCTTCTGATGTGAGAAGTTGATATTAGATGAATCATGATAATGTATACGTGGTAAATGCTGTGAGTAACCACCTCGAACAATCCAATCGAGATCGAAAAAGGGAAAAAGTCTAGTCTGGCGCCGTTTAATTCCTGGTATGGCGGCAGTTAAGCGGAAAACGGGGACCAATGAGAAATGTTAATTTTCTTTTTTTGGAAGGATTTACCAATAACACTTTCATTGTGCAAAAGCCTGAAAGTGTCAAGGATCGAGCTTTCGTTCCGTAATCCCTTTTTTGAAATGATCACTTGCTCAGTGCCACTTCATCAATCATTGCATTCCAATCCATAACATGTCACAATCACAATCACAAACGAAACCAAGCTCCAAAATCATCTGTTCCACCGTTCTGACTCGTATTTCTCCAGAATTCGATTACCTACTCCTCCCCCGACTTCCTTATTTTCCCACTCGGTTCCGCTCGGCTTTCCCGACTCTCGCCAACTTTTTCCATTCCTAATCACACCTTTCGCAGGTGATTGCCGCCTTTCTCTAATTACACATTTGTACCTCTGTACCCTATTTTATATCAAGTGTCCAACTTACTTTTTCATTTTCAGGTTTGAGAACAAGCTGGCGGCTCAGGACAAGTCCGTTCTCAATCAGACGTTCACTTTGGACACGAACAAAGCGGAACGGTGTCGCGAGTTTTGCATCGAAGGTCGGTGAATCCGACTAGTCTCCAGTTTGTTTGACTCATCACACTTTCAGATGCTATAAATGGATTCTTGCCGCGGGCGAGAAGCAGCGGACCGAGAAGTGCGAATCGAAATGACGAGAACGTGAGAAGGTAATGAGCAGACGAACCGATTGAGCTGGGATCCCCAAGGGATCCGGCTCTCATTGACTCTTTTTGGAGTTTGATGGAAAAGATCTATAGATAAAATTAAGGCGGTGGGAAAGTTTTGCATATGCTGAAGGTTCTCACACCCCTGAAACATCACAAACCGATCTTGTTATGTTTAGTCATTACAACATCAGTACCAATGCAGAATATTTTCACCTGTTTCTGTCCTTTGTGACCTGATGTGCAAACTTTTCAACCGAAACGGCATGTTTGAACCCGAGTCCAAATATTGTTTTCATCTGCCTAGTTTCAGCCTTTAACATCAAAGCCCTCGTCATTCTAGAACCTTTCTCTCTCCGTTTCCTCTTTTCGCACACTCTCTCATCCCTATCATTTCGAAAACCCATAATCTGGCGAGCCCAAAACACTGAAGTCCCGCCCCGTTTTGGATGAAGCTCGCGCGTGAGTGAGTGTGCTCTCATCCATTCCGTTCGCACCTTCGCATCATAGTCTCTGTATTTGACTCAAAGTCGGCATGCAAAAGTCATCGAAAAGTCATCCGAAATTGTGAGTAATTGAGCTTCGCTCTTTCCGTGAGATCCCCGTGGGAGTCGGCGGAGGTGGGGCGTCGTGGTAATTGACGGGTGACGGCACGCAGCTAGAAATCGCATTTGGATGGCCAGGTGCACTCGCGCCTCGCCGCACCTCACCTATTTTTTTGCTCGACTTGACTGAGAAAATGAAAAAGGCGTCGAGCAGCGGGCACCTTCTGCTTCCTTCCCTCCCAGATCGGGCCACAAGTCCCCTGCCCCTCAACAGGTCCCTTTCCCTCCAACTCCCGGACTCGTCTAACTGTCTCTCTCGTTTCCAGGGTCCGTTCGGAGACCGCCTCTCTCTTCTCTTCCACCTGCAAACTGCCTCTTCTGGACGGAAGCGTGGCCAGCGACAAGAAGACATGCACCGTCCGTCCGTGGAGTCGTACTCAGGACGAACTGCGCAAATTCAAAGAGACCCTGAAGGCGACGACCGTCTCTTCGTCGGCCACTCCATCCAACTGATCTCTCTTTTCCCGACTTTTTTCCCGACACCCCACCCATATTTACGTGTTCCCCCCTCTGAATATTTTGATTCAATAATAAAAAGAAAGTGAGCATTGTCATTGTTTTTATCGAAAAGCCCAATGAAATTAAATAAGAGAGCAGAAAAGTGCGAAGAAATAGAGAGAAAGCACCAGCAATCGGATGAGATACTCGGGCGGCAGAGAGCAGAGATTATCTAGAACGGGCTTCGATTGTCGGAACAGTCTTCCTTTGTGGAGCACCAAACACGGCTTCCCTTCAAACCGAATACACTTTTGGGAAATGGTGAATGAGATGGGAAAACTGACCTGGCAGACACACTCTGTGCAGTACTCGTTCTGAGGGATCCACTTGGCGCCTTCGGGTCTCCAGATTCCGTTCTGATTGCAGCCGTGGAGACGGGAGCCTCGGTGACGACTGAAACGTCATCAGAATGAGGGAAAATTGCAATTCACACTGCGTACCTTCTGAGAATCCTGTCCAACATCGTCGGACACACGTTGTCACAGCAGTCTCTCCACGCCTTCAGGTCCAACATCTCCGTCGTTCCACACTCTCCGTAATTCTCTTTTTCTTTGCCCGGGTACATGAACACGTCTTTCTGAAATTTGTGTTGTTTTCAGTTGTTCCCCGCCTTTTTCACCTGGATTCTGTCTATTTCGTCGCCGTTATCGCACAAAATCCTCGCCAACGTCACCTTCCGGATCTCCTTCAGCTGTTCCGGCTTGAAAACGCCGTCTTTCTCATACCTATTGTCATCAAAATTTCAGGATTTTCTCACGTGTTTTTTTTTCGCATACCAAAATCGGTCTCCGTCCCTCATTTTCCTGAACTGCTCGCCGATAATGCAAGCGAACGTGGGACCGAACAGCGCATTTTCCAGTTTCTCTTCGACAATACCACCTACCCACAGATCGATGTTTTCTGAAGACAGATAAAGTGCTCAAAATGATGATAAAAAGGTACGCTCAGCATAGAAATTTGGCATCAGCGGCAACCTCAGCCGAAAGATGGTAAAACCTTCATCGCGCGCAAAGTGTCCTCGGCGGTGTCTCTCGCGATCGCTTATAACAGCGCGGGCAAGCAAGCAGCCGACACCTCGCGGGTTCCGCTGTCCGCTATCTTTTTAGTGCGCCTTGACTCCGCCCACTTCTCTCGGCGCAATCTTTTCTTTGCGATTTTTGAGAGAGAAAACGTACGTGGAACTCCATAAAGTCCTCGAAGCTTCTGAACGATGGAAGTGTCTTTGATGTCTTTCATGTCATCCCATTGGACCGGAACCGAAAGATTACAGAACTTGCGATATTCAGTATAGCTGAAAAAACAATTCCATTTCAACAAAAAATCCAATTTCCGTCCGTGGATAACCTCGGTAATCCGTGATCCCTCGATCTTTGGATATTCATAACTGCCAAATCCAATGCGACCTGAAATTGCGGTTTGAAGAGCTTTGAAAAAACAATATCCGGTTGTCTCACCTCATGCCCCTTCATGAACAGCTTTTCGATCAATTCCATATTGAGTAATTGCGTGGGCATCGGATGTTTGAGCGGACTGGCGAAGAGCCCGCGGAGCAGAGGATCCACGCCTCCCTGGGTGAGCACGAGTTCGGGAGTGAAGAAGGCTTTGTGAAGGGGAATGTGACCCTCTTTGATGGGCATGAAGTCGTTGCCGAGACGGAAAAGAGTCGGATTGATGATGGTGTGCCCGAATCTGAAAGGACTATATGAGAATAAAGACAGAGAGTGTGAAGGGACCGGAATGCGGCAGTAGCGAATGCATTGGAGACGGAAGCATCCACGGCCGGATCGTATCCCTGGTACTTTCCCACAAATCTGTCCATCTGTGCTTGCCCTCCGAAGATCACCGGAAGCCAGTGCTTGAAGGTGATGTGTTGCATGAATGCTCCGATTATCTTCCTCGTCTCATGGTAAATGACTTCCCCATCCCAATTTCCATTCATCGCATGCAACTTCTTCGCAATCCTGTTGTGCTCTCTTACAAAATCGTGTGCATCGCGGCGAGAGCCAACTGCTCATTAGCTCTCAAATCGCCCGCCAAAAAGCAACGAATCGGATTCTCCTCGCTGAAATTTCGGCGGCAGTCCATATTGGAATCCTTCTCGAATGGCAAGTATTCCTTGCCGGCGCCTGAAGTGATATCAAATCGGAGTGTTCCCTTGTTGTTATAAGTGTCCCTCAGCTCCTGCGCCTGCACTTCCGTGCTACCGTACACGTTGGAGGCGTCGAGGAAAGAAGTAAGCTGGAAATAAAATAATGAATGGTTGAGAAGTCTAGCGGGAATAAAGTACAGACCGCGTTCATCTGCTCTCTGTAAGTGACTCTGTTGAACACGAGGGAAGTCTCTCCGGAACCGCAGACGGCCGCACTTCTCTCGAATTCAATGCACGGGTACTTTGCACTGGAACATTTTTGAGTGAGATCATAGGTTGGTTACTTCAACTACAAATTACCTGCCACTTCTGACTCTCGGATCATTCGGAGACAACGGAATATTGAAGCACGGGTCCAAGTTGTCGCAAGTTCTGTTGCAGAAGGCGCCAGTCGCATAGCTGTGCCGAGAGAGAGCGGTGACCGTGTGGGTCAGGTCGTGGTCCACAAACTGACCCCATTGCATGACCATCGAAGAGAGACGAGAGTGCGGAGTGATTGTCTCCGTCGCCACCAATTGTCGGGAAACTTCTCTCACGTTCGGCATCGGGAATCCATTGTATAGTTTTCCTTTTTCCCAGCCCACTGGAGTGTTGAATCCGTTCTCGTAGACCGGCGTCAAAAGCCTTCGGAGCGGCATCACGGACACTCCGGTCATCGGTTTGTTCCGATTGTTGCACTGTCCATCGAACGAGCGGTACCTGTTGTGGAAGCAGATATCCGTGCACGGGTTCTTGAACTGCCCCGTGTGACATCCACTGAGACCCATCAAGGCTTGAACATGAGTCACATGGAGCACTGATTCGTAAGTAACGTTGTTCGGGTGCAGCTCATCCACATTCAGAATCAGTCCTTTTTCGACGTGCTCCCTAACAAGACGGACCGATTCCTCGTAGATTTCTCTTGCCTTCGACAGCTCGACAGCTTGTTTGGGGGTCGAAAATCGGAAGAGTCTCTTCAGGTCGTTCGTGTTGGTCACTCTGTCCTGTGTCAACTGCTTCCTCGTCTTCTCCACCGCGTTCTCCACATTCTCCCGTGCCTTCTGAGCAATCGCTCTCAGCAGTTCCTCATCAATCTGCGGCGTCGAACCCTTCTTTGTTTCTCCTCCGATTACTGTCAACTTCGCATCTGCGCTCATGGCTCCAACCGCATTTCCGGCCATGCACGAGTAATATCCCTCGTCTTTCTTCTCAATGTTCGAAATTCGCAGCTCGGTTCCGTCATCAGACACCATAAAACGTCCTTTGATATGGCCGATTGTGCTTCCGTCGAATGACCAAGTGTAGTCCGGTTGGGGTGTTCCACGGGCTTTGCACACGAAAACCACTTGGCCCCCAAGGGTAGAGCTCACCGACTGCGGACCTTCGTAAATGTTGGGAGGGACACTGAAAGATTGAAGAGACAGTTGAGGAGAAGAGAATGACCGGACCTGCTGATCAACTCCAGATTGAACGTGTGACTGGCCTTTCCGATGCTGTTGACGGCTTCGCAAGTATATCTGTGTCAACTTGTAAGTATACTCATACATATCATAACTCTCACCTTCCAGAGTCTTCTTCCAAGAACGGATAAATGCGAAGCACATTGTTCGACAATCCGAGCTGTCTCTTCCTGGTCGACGCAAACTTGACTCCGTTGTGATACCAGTGGATGGTGGGCTTTGGATGTCCCATCACTTCGCAGTTCACTTTCACTTCCGAACCCTCTCTGTACGAGTTGTCTCTTGGTTTGTACGTAAACTGCGGAGATCCGTTGCCATGACTGTGAGTTTGACGAAGACGTCTGAAGGGCAGTTTGCTTGAGAAGAGACATTCTGAAGGAGTGGTACCTGTGGTGAGGTACGTGGTCGTAGTCATGAGTGCACGTCATCTCATCAATTGCCGTCTTGAGAGGCACTATGATCGCTTTTCCATGAAAATAGTATCCGTTCAACGAAGATGAATCCACCTCCACGTTCCTAAAAAAAAGGTTGGCAATTCATTTTAGTGGATGCATAAAGTACTTGTGAAGCCAAACAACTGGTCTGGTTGAATTGTTCGCGCAAAGTAATTTCACTTCCGATCCGGTCCACAACTCTTCCTCCGGCTTAGCACATTTTCCAAATGTCTCTTCGTCGATCTGAGATGTATTTCGTTCTTTCGTCTCTGAATCTAGCCAACCTCATCTACAGGCTGATGACGTAACTCGGTTGGATTCGTACAGTACGCCTTCCTCTCCCATCGCACTTTGCGGAGCAATACTTGTATTTTTGCAGCTCTGGAAAAAATGAAACAAATTTGGAAAAGCTGCTGCAGCTCTTATTGTTCTACCTGCAATCACAATTCCAAGGGTTTTCCTGAAGATGTGCGTGTGTGAGGAAGGGAAGATTCTCAAAGAGTTTGGTGTGCAACGATTGAATTCTGTTGTGAGAGAGATCGATTTGAACGAGATCTGGGAAGTATTGAAGAGTCTGTAAGCAGCAGAGAATGACACGAAATGATGAATTAGGAACCTGCTGGTCAATGAATTCAATCTTATTCCGTTTCAAATTCAGAGAAGCCAACGAATGAGGGACGGAAGAGAGCGGCGGAACGTAGACGAGCAGATTGTGGGCGATGGAAAGACGTTTCAGCTCGGGAAGATGGTCCAGGATGTTCTCTTCGACCACACGGATCTTGTTATGGATCAGAACGAGACTCTCGAGCTGCTTGAACCCTTCCAATTCCGATCTTTTCAGAACGTTTATTCGGTTGTTTCGGAGCACCAGACTCCGAACATTTTGCGGTATTCCTTTCGGAATTCCAGTCAAACCTAGAGAAAACTGTTCATTTTCAGTGAGATCTAGACATCAGAGTTCAAACCTGCACTGGAGCAGTCGACCGTCAGTCCCTTCTGGTCACAAGTGCACTTGGAAGGACAATCAAAGCCCAGCGCCAAGTGCCACGACGACGTGGCAGTGACAAGTAGAAACAAGATGAAGTTCATGCCTGAAAACGAGAAGGACAACTAAGAAACGACGATGATATATGAATGGAGTGAATTCAAACAGAAAGGTCATCACAGCTGGCCGACGGCGCCGCGGACGCACGGGCGGTTTGATCAGAACGAAACGAAACCAAGTGGGAGTACGGATGGGAAAGAAACGGAAAGTTTGGGTTCGAGCGACAGCTCATTCGTCATTTCGTAATCCATCTGGAGGACACTGACGCACCCGAATAATTGATGCGTGGCCGGCAGTGAGCACAATAAGAAACGGGGGAGAAAGGACGGGAAAAGGGACGACCGAAAGCAGTGATAAATGAAAGAGATTGGGAGGAGAGATTGTGGAGGGAGCGAGGCCAGAACGGCCCGAGAATCTAATGAATTGCATTCCCGATTCGGTTACCACAAGAGGAAGGAAGTGTTTGGCGGTTTCGAACAGGTTTCTCCGGGTTGGTACTGTACTTTCGAAGGATGGGAACAAAGATCTGATAGAGGATCAACAATAGTCCATATCACTTTTTAAGGCCGACCAGTTTTTCGGGATGATAAATTGAAAAATAATCATAATTCTGACAATGACGCTCTACCGCAATCCCACGTGAAATCTCGGCCCGCGGCGATTGTCAGATTCCTTCCATTTCTTTGTTCTCCTCTCTTCGCCGATGCCGTTTACAACTGCCCAAATACTATAAATGAAACAAAACAATAAAAGGTAAGCGGCCAATTGAACTGCAAAAGACGGCATCAAAAAAGGAAAAAGAAAGAGAGATAGGAGAGAGGGAGAAGGACAGCGTCTGATTGATAATTGATAGCCCGGTGATTCGGAATGCCAAAAAAGGCAAAAAGGGAGTGGTCTGGTCTCTTCATCTCGCATTCATTGCGCTTCTGCCCCATCTGAAACGACAACGACGTCTTTCTGTCCCGGAGATGAATTCCGAGACGCTTCCCAAATTAAATTCGTTTCTTCCTCTTTCTCCGGCTCCCAAAAACAAATGTTCTGTTGCTGCTCTCCGATTCTTTGCCCCTCCTAACATCTGGTTCTGATTTCTCTGCGTCTCTCTTCTTCTCACTCTCTCTCCGTTTGGATTCGCCATCCCAGCTCGCCAGATTCGCCTTCTTTTCTGTTACAAATGACGATGATGCTCCCGCTTTCCGTTTTGCTCTTTTTTGCCTTTTCCTGGTGAGAATGCACTCCGCCACCGTATCCATCGCATTTATATTTCTTTCAGACCGTTGGAGCCGGCAAGGAATGCGAATTCGCAATGCGGCTCGTGCCCGGTTTCAACCCTCTTCATCAGAAAGATTCGAACGGAAAAGAGTGCCGTGGAAATGTGGAACTTCCGTTCTGCAAAGGATACTGTAAGACAAGCGAGAGCGGAACGCACGGCTTCCCTCCGCGGATCCAGAACAGCCGAGTGTGCACTCTCGTGGTCACTTCGCACCGCAAAGTGATGCTCAGCGATTGTGACGAAGGCGCGGCCGAGAGCGTCAAATTTGTGATGGTCCCGCATGGCTCGGAGTGCGAGTGCTCTTCGGTTCCACTTGAGCAGCATCACACATGAGCATTTAAATACATTATTTATTATTTGCCTCGAATAAAACTGTTGTAAGAATACAATGAATAAAATTAATTATACACATTTTTATGTCAGACTCGTTTTTGATTCATCATGGTTTTTCGTCTTCCGTCGAAAAAGACGGGACTCGGGAACGCGAACCGCCTTGACCGTCAATCTGAAAACACGAAAATTAGGGGCGAAGAAGAGAAGAAGTCACTAACGACTTTCTTCGAAACGAGGCACGTTTTGCAGTGGTACACGAATTTAGGATCGGATGCTTCTTCGACGGAGACGGTCGGCTGACTGCATCTCATGTGGAAGCAGTCTTTGCATCGCTTACAAACCAGCACTTGATTACCGGATTGCGAGACCCCGCCGCACGCGATGCACGGCTGATCCGTGGAACAGTATATCGAGTCGTCGATCACCGGCATTTGCCTTTTAACTTTCTTCTAAAAATGTTCATGTTTTCATTCGAACACTTATATTTTCTCACTGGCGGAACTCCCGGAGCACTGCCGGCCACCGAAGACTCCGAAGTCGATTTCTTCATGATCGGCGACGGTACGTACATAAGTCTCTGAGTGCCGGCGATCCGCTTCGCGCCAGGCATCATCATGTTCGTAGGTAGTTTTGATACGCCGCCGGCGTCCAACGGGTACGAATCCGAGTAGAAACACGTGGAATCTGCCGGTCGGGCCCAGGTCTGAATTGAATCGCGCATTTCGGGGGGAACAAAGTGAGAACGAACTTGTGCGACAAAGTATTTGAGCCTTTCCGGGGCGTTATTCTCTGTAGATTCCATGAATTCAATGAGTTTCGAGACGTAGACCTCCGAGTCGAACGGCTCGATTGGATGGGCGGCCGCAACCGCCTGCTGCTCCGATTCGTCGATGATTTGAATCTCTTCGTCCGATTCCGTCATCCTCCTATAAACATTGTCGCTTATTTGCCTTTCGACATTTGTATCCGATACTGTGCAAGATGAACGTGACAATCTCTCTTTTATCGCATACGAATCAAAACAACGAATAGTTTATTTCGGTGATACTGATGTGGTAACAAAAAAATAAAAAGAGTCTACAAAAGCTACAAAACTTCTAGAATTTACTGAATCAAACAACTGGAGGCATCAACGGATTCTCTTCCGCCTCCGCTTCCTGCAGGATCTTCTCTTTGTAGTCTGTGTATCTGCAACAAAACAGTTTCAAAAAGCTCTTTTGGGTTCCATGAAGTTACCTGAATTTCTTGTTCATTGGTCCTGCCCTGTTCATGTGAGTAAGCAGTCGCTCTTCTACTTTTTCCAGGGCACTTCTCGACAGAACGACGGTATCGTATTTGATGAGCGAAAAGCAGTTGAGTCCGTAAACCGGCATCACGTTGAGCCACGGAAGTGCCTGCTGCGCCTCGGCCAGACCGCCCGTCACTTGATCGTTGTCGTCCACGAAGAGAACAGAATATCCGTAGTTGCGGGCTTCGCACAACTGAAAACAGAGTAAAAACAGATGAACAAACAGGGGAACGGAGTCTCACATCAAGCCAGAATTTGGGATCGCCGTTATGCAAGTGCTGAATATTGTCGACAATGTGCAAATCGTCCTGTGCGTGCTTCAAGGTGAGAGCAACGCAGAGTCCCTGGATTCGGACGGCATCTGGGAGCATGTAGAACCATGTCCTCGGACCTCGAACGCCGTTTGCGAAACCTCCTCGAATGAACTGTGGGGCGCGGATCGATCCGACGTGCGCTCGTCCGGTCTTCTTTTGCGGCCACGGCTTCCTGCCTCCTCCCGGCATTTCTGCCTTCGTCAACATCTTTGTCATCTGAACATTTCGATAAACACTCTGCCACGTCAGATTACGATGCAGAATGTCGATGCGTGGAGCCGTTCTGAAGATGTCTGGATGGAGGTCGACGAGACCGATCTTCTCCTCATCGACGGTCTCCAGACTCGAGATCCATGCTTGGGGCGTCTTGACGAACGGACTCTCCGGCTTTCGCCACAGTTCTCTTTGAAAGTTTGACACATTGGATTCACTGGAGGAAGCGGATTCTTGTACTGCGGAGGAGAACGCACGTCCGACTAAACAAAGGTGTCTCGAGAGCATCTGGAAAAGACGGTGGCATGAGAAGAAACATACAAAAAACCAGATACAAATACAAATCCCGTACTGCAACGGCTTCATGGAAAAAAATGAAAATGATACGTAATTGTTGAAAATCATATTATTTAGAAGAACAACTTGATAGAACGACAAAAACAAAAACAATTAGATCTACACTAAACGGTTAATCATCTCCTCTGACCAGCCTATTTTCCTTGTTGAAGGCGTCGACGCTCCTCTTGTCCCTTTCTTATCGCTTCTTTGAACATTCTTAGCAGATATTCGACCGATTGAGGTGTATCGTCGTTCGCCGGAACCAAATAGGTCAAGTAAGCCGGATCAGAGTTCGAGTCAACTATTCCGATTGTTGGAATCGCCATCTTCGCTGCTTCTGGAACATATTGTTTGCTAAATATTCAAAGGTTCATGGCATACCAATAATCGCTGGATGATTTTCTCCGAGAGACGTCAGAGTTGACAAGAAGCAGATAGCATCAGGAAGACGAACGGAAGCACCGAGGAGCTGCCGTGTGTTCGTGAGGGTTCCCGATTGCCACTTCCGGACGTGAGAGTATTGTCCAACCTGCAAAATATGTGATACTTCCGGTGTGATTGTTAATAATTGACATAAAACTTCGAAGATTACAGCTCAGGATCGCTAGTTCCGCAGAAGCAAGAATACTCAATGGAATACATGCTCTCAGATCAAAGTAATACGTCATCATCGCTGTCATCTCTCAAGCCCGGAACTCTTGGTCTCAATTCTCGCGTTCAACCCACTAGGCCACTCGCACTCACCTCTTCTGCCGCCTTCTCCACGTCAAACATTGTGTCTCTGTTGGACGTAACGAACATGATCATTCCTCCGCGCATCGCCACGTGCGCAACGAAATTAAGTGCTCTGAAATGGTTAGGTACTCTGTGAGATTGAATAGGATAATTGATGGAAATATTACCTGACAAGGTACTTTTTGGTGACGTCCAGATCGAAAAGACACACTCCGAGACGCTCTCCGTACAGCGCCCATTTCATGTTATTGTTCACAGTTCCTACCTGAACTTGTATTCGTGTACTCTTCAATTTCAGCGTTAAATACCTTATGTCCGTAGTGCAACCGTGCTTTGAACATCTCGTCGACGTGCACCAATTTGTCAAAGCTGAAGAGATCTTCGTGCTGGAGAGAAGCCGACACGAACGGTTTGAGCACCGTCGGCTGCACGGTTCCCTTCTCGAGAGTTGCGCGATCCGGGACCGACGAAGAGGCCGAAGGCGTTGGTTTCTGGAATTAAAATTGAAAATTAGCAAGAAAACAAACTCACTTGAAGTGCAGTGATTCTAGAAGAAAATGCCCTCTCTGCGCGAATAGCCGTTGAAACAACTCTTTTCATCTGGAACGGTGGTTGATTTGAGAGAATGACTTTTTCGGAATGCAGATAGAAATGGATACACCTTGAATTCAGGAGAAAGTTATAATGTTAAAACAGAACTTGTTCATATTATCGTCAAATATGAAAAGGATGCAAATGAAATGTATTGCGATGGACGTAAAGAACATGAATGGGACCAATGGGAGGAAATGCATACTCTACGGGGACAGGATCCTGTAAACGAATATATAATCTGATAGAGCACAAATAATTTAAATTTATGGGAGCAACAGATCGCACAGAGACTTTTTCGGGCTCGAGAAGGAAGAACGGAGAATGGCAAACTAGACGGAGGGACTTGCAAATTGTTACAAAAGATTTCTAGAGTGACGGATTGTGACTGTTTGGAGATCAGAACGAGTTGGGGAGAGCTGGACAGAGGAGTTAGCGCTTCAATTTGTTTTTCTGCTTCGCCTTGGTCTTATCTCTTTCGTGGCTGGCCACTCTGAGCGTCGGCAACACGGGGAAATCGTCAGTGAATTCCCATTCAAATTCCGTCAAATGCTTTCCCATTCTGAGCACTGAGCACGCGAGCATGTTGAACTTGGCCACACGCTCCAGTTCTCTATAATGTAAAAGTGTCTCCCCGAACCAGAGTCGATCCACCAACATTGTCTCTTTGTTTTGCTCAGTCACATTGTTCAACTCTTGCACATGTCTCAGAGCTTCGGTGAAGTTGGCCGCAGCTGCGCCCATCAGATCGTTCATGTCCATTGCCATGAGAACGTCGATCCTGAATACAGTTTTTACTGTTTGAAGGGCCATTTACCAGCGTAAACTTACTCGGCCTCTTCCAGGAAGTCATCGTAGGTGACTCTCATCGGAGGTCCAAGGGGCTCGAATGGCTCAAAGCGCCGCTCGAAACGAAGCCTCTCGGACTCTTGTCCGCCCGGCGGCATCTTCACTTTTCCCATACGAATGAGCAAAACACTCAACTTAACCACTCCCGCACATATTTGAACGATGGATCTGTGATTGTTGATGCTAAACTTGCACACCGCCAGTCTCTTCATCGTCTCCTCCTCCATCATAGCCCTCGCCTTTTTTTTTCTCGGATTGACTGTCGTCGAGAGAGGATCTGAATTCAGAATATCGATCAAAGTTTATTCACCCATTAACACCCACCTGCTTTCCATATGGCATCCTGAATGGCGTAGGAGCGCTCGAGCGTCGAGAGCATCCATCTCGCCTGTCTGTTCCCCATGTACCAGTAGATGTACGTGTATTCGTACGGCACGAACAGATCCATACGGAATCCCAGTTCGAAGTAGTGATGCATTATAGCCAACTGGTTGTGAAAGACAAACGAAGAGACCGAATGATACGACGGATTCATTTCTGGGTCTGGAAATAAACTGCAATGTGAACGGTGCGTCCCGGCTGCACTCACCGTCGACAGTTTTCGAGTCAATCATCAGTTGGTCGGTACGTGTTTCGAGTTCTCCGACGTACGCCTGCAGTTGCCCCAGCTCTTCGATGGCCACTTCCAGACGATCTCTTTGGCGAGACAGATTCATTCCGAAGCTGCTGTACACGTTGATCGCCTGCTTCGTCATGTGATTCAAGAAGGTAACGTAAAGGTTTTGAGCAATCATGTCAGGGTAGACAGCCGAGCTAAAAAGAGACAAATAAACTAAATTTGTAGAGCATGAACGACTGACTCTTTCATAAGAACTTGCGGAGAATATCCGACTTTGAGAGACACTTCAATTGGGTCAGCTGCCGTCCGTTTCGAGTCTCCGCACAAGTGATTGTCGATTGGGAACATGGCAATCTGGAGGAGAGACCTGGTGAGCACACAGCTTCTCAAATTGAAAGTCCGAGCAAAGTAGAACAGATTGTTGAGATCCTTCACAGTCGACGGAGTGGTGATGCACAGATCTTGGAGGCGGTAGGCGAAGCTGACGAACCACTGAGCGGCTTCGTCTCTGGATGGAATGTTCACAGAGCGTGGGAAGCAAGCCGGAATCAGACGGACGCAAGCCTTGGGATCGAACACTGGCAGCCAAGTGAAGTCTCCTAAACAAACTTATTCACCTGAGTCTCATTTTATTTTCCTACCGTCAACACCATTTGGAGCCTCTGTTCCGAATTTGACAGTCTCCGCGAAGGCCTTGCACGCGCTGATGAGCCGTTCAACTAAGTAATTGGAAACGGGAAAGTTCGGTTTGAACTGATCTTCCTCCAACTCTTCGTCGTCGTCAAAGGCATGGGCCTGGCAAAGACCGCTCTCGCAGACGTGGTTAATATCGGGAGGTGCCGGTGCGCCACTCTTCTCACCATTGTCATTCCCATCAGTTGCGCACACTTCTCTTTCGTGAATGGTGTAATTTCCCATGTGTATTTTGTGGTCAAAATTGGGATCTTCAATCTCCGGCGGAACTAATTGCCCGATAGTATCGAGCAGAAGGACGACCATCTCGAGACGGACACCAAGAGCATAGCAAATCTGCTGCGATCTTACAACTCCAGAATGCGGCTTGAAAGAGTTTCCCAGAATAGTGAGCGCCTGAATTTGGGCACGCATATGCTGGGTTATAATGTGACGAGGTGCCCATTTAGTCGTCATGAAAATCATCTGGGGGTTGAAATCCTCAGGAAGCTCCTCCAGGTTTCCGACACTGTTGATGATCGAATGAATGTTTCTAACAAGGAGATTCACTCCGGCGGCAAACGACCGGAAAGTCGGATTTGGAATGTTTTTCACTTCCGCCAGCAACACATTCGTCCAAACGGTCGACGCCAGAGAAGAGCCTTCCAGCCATCCGACAATGGTTGCCAGCGTGGCATCGAAGATAGCCAACTGCATAGGCAAGTCGTTAGAGTTCATTCCCTAAACGAAACCGAGCTGTGTACAAAATCAATCGTTTCTTCTTACCCTGCTGATGGCTTCCTCCAGACTCAGTGTCGTGTGAGTTCCCACGCCGACGTCCATTTTCGGTTCAAGCAGCTCGATCGCAGACATGACATCTCCGAGTTTGAAATTCGGAGCAGTGACTAGTTCACCGACTTCCAATCCTTTAAAAAATATGGTTTTTGGAACAAACAGTTCTTGACGTGGTTACCTGCGCACAATCCGAACAATTTTTCCGAAATGTCCTCTTTTTCTGTGGATGACTCCATTTTAACAGGCAATTTGACGGCGACGTCAACCCGTACAAGCTAAAATACACTTTTTCACAAAAAAACACAAAAAATATCGATGATTGAGCAGAAATGAAGAACAATTCAACGGCGGGTAAAACGCGAAAAATGTGCTAAACAACAAGCACTTGCCGTTATTTCGGAGCGTCGTTGATATTTTTAAATTCGAAAATACCTCGTGAAATTCGTTTTCTTTTGTTCCAAAGATTGGAGTGTAATTTTATTTTGCGCTGTTATCCGTTTTTGAAACAAAAAATACCTTGTAATCATAAAGCAACTTTCAGATCCAAAATGCCTCTCAAACCTGGCGCAAATCCGTATAAAATCCTTTTATTAGAGAAAGGCTGCACGGAAAAGGACATTCAAAAGGCATATCGGGCACAATGTCTCAAATGGCATCCAGACAAAAATTTAGACAACAAAGAAGAAGGTACGAAAAATAAAAAAACCAGTTAAAAATGTGTTAATTATTATCAGCTAGTCTGCGGTTTATCGAAGCCAAGGATGCGTTCGAATTTCTGTATGACAAAGAAAAAAGAGTAAGTTTTTTGATGAAAATTGAAATTTCAAGTGTTCATTTCAGGAGGTATATGATAAAGGTGAAGAAAGGATTCGAGTAGCAGAAGAAAAACAAAAGCAGAGAATGGAAAAAGCAGATGGCCACAGAAAGAAGTAAGGACCTTTTATGCGATAGAAATGAGTTCAGCAAAGACGTTTCAGATTGATCGAAGATTTAGAAAAACGAGAAAAAGATTTCAACGATGGAAAAAGGCCGGCAAATGGTCCGATTCCAGCAGCACAGCAAGCAAAGAAGAAGAAGACGGCAGAAGCGAATATTCGAGAAGAAATGGATGCGATTCGGAGACAGCTGGAAAAAGAGGCGAATGATGAAGTGAAGCGGCAGCAGGAGATGATGAAGGCTGCCAAAAAAGAACATCAGAAGAATCTAGGTGAATCAAACGAAATGTTACTTCTAAACTTCTAACCCTTCAGACAAATTAACTCCAAAATTGTTAGTGAAGTGGAAAGTGAACGAAGGACGAGACTATGAAGAGGATCATATCCGAGATCTCTTTTCAAGCGTGAGCAGAAAATTCTCACTTCCCATTCACAAAGTTCTGTTTCAGTTTGGCCCATAGGACATGTATCATCGGTGATTGCACGGAAGGACAAAAGAAAAGTGATCGTGGAGTTCGAGCCCGGAACGAACGCATGGGGAGCCGAACTAGAGACGGGAAAAGAGCCGATGCCCGAATTGACAGGAGAGTGGATTGAAATGCCGCCGAAAGTAGAGAAGAAGAAACCGGAAGAGAACGGGAAGTCTAGTACGGGAAACAGTAAGTTACTGAATACGATTTATACTAACGATCAATAAGGATCTTTTGCAGATTTCGAACACATGTCTCTGGAGGATCTCGAAGCACAAATCATGGGTGGAATCTGAGCGAGTCTGAGCCGATTGCTTATTGTGATTTTAATAAACTGTACAACATTCAAATTTGTCTAACATCGAAGATTCTTAATTGTTGAGTTCCAATTAGTTATAACTGTCATTCCTTGATGTTCACTGCTTTTGCGCGAGCGTGGCCCGGGCCGATGAGTCACTCATAATGAGAGTGCCGGGCCGAGACCCAGACGGGAAAGGAGTCACGACACTCCGCCATCCCGGCCGTCTCGATATTTATTCCGAGTGCTTATTCGCACCGATTCACCCAATTCACCCACTCTAAACGTTCCGAAACAATTTGCAAAGATTACGAAAGCGAGTGCATTCGAAACATGTGATTTGTTCCCGTCTGTCAGTTTGAAAATGTCGATGAAACGGCAATTATCTATTCTTCGGTCGGTCACCTGCCCTCCCTCCCTCTCCCTTTCATTATTGTTCCCCTCGTGTTTGCTCATTTCTTCATTTTTCTCACTTTCCAGTTTCACATGAAACCCTCCTCGTCGGCGACGGCGCACGAGCCGGGCTCCGACTACATCGTCAACTTGAACGTGGGCGGCCGAATATTCGCGACCAGCTGCAACACGCTCAGCTGGATTCCCGACACGTTCTTCACGAGTCTGCTCAGCGGACGGATGGGCAGTGTGCGCGACGCGAGCGGAGCCATCTTCATTGACAGAGATCCCGACGTCTTCAGGGTCATTCTGAACTATTTGAGGACGAAACAAGTTGACTTGGGGTAGGATTTCATTCGACATGTTTCCTAGAAAGAACAGTTTTTCAGGGGATTCAAAGTGGAAACTCTAAAGCACGAGGCGCTGTTCTTCGGACTGACTCCTCTGATCCGTCGACTAACCCTCTGCGAAGAGCTGACCTCAACCTCATGTGGCTCCGTCTACTTCTGCGGAATGATACCACCTCCCGACCTGCCCTCCGATAGCCTTCCCATTGAGAAAAGTCGCTCTCCGATGTACTCCCAGGCGTCCGAATCGTCTTCGAATGACTTGAAAAGTAAGGGAAATGCATCGCCGAGGCATCGTGGACACGCCAAGAAACAGTCGACCGACATGAGCAGATACATCAGGAATGAGCTGGCAGAACTGGCAAAGTCGAAGAGCCCGCCGGATCGGGAGACGGAGCCGTTGAAAGTGAGAATGATTCGAGCGCACATCTGTTCGATCGTGGTCGCCTACTCCTACTTTGTCTGTGTTTATCGGTAAGACAGTTCTAAAGATACCATGTTCGAGAACAAAGACATTCCAGGGTGACCGAATGGAACACCTTCATTCTTCTCTGGAAATCCCCTCGAACTCGGACGTTCGTCTCGCACATCGCCGTAAACACAAAGATTGCGGCGACCGTGGCCGAACGCCTCGTGGCCGTCTCTTTCCACGACGAAACCATCGGACTGTGGCACATTGACGACGAGGGAAAGGCGGAGAAGAAGGGATTGTTCTCGATGAACGTCTCGATCGACAATCTGTTCTTCGTCGGCACTCAAATGGTCGCCCTCAGCAGAACAGGCAAAGTTGGCATCTGGCACTCGGCGACGCAGAACTGGCAGGCTCAGGATGTGCAGCCGATCTCCTGCTATGACACTGCCGGCTCTTCGCTCATTTTGGGATGCGCCAACGGAAGCATGAATCATATAGATATGCAAAAGTTTCCATTGAGGTAAAAAAAGAAGTTTCAGGCCGTTTCAAACAGTTTTTTCTTCAGAATGAAGGACAACGATCTTCTGGTGACTGAACTGTTCAGGGATCCGAACGGAGAGACCATCACCTCGTTGTCCGTGTTTCTCACACCGAAAACCTGTAAGTTCTATTTAGTTCCCATCCGTTGCCGATCAGGTGAATGTTAATTTCAGCCGCATGTGGTAACTGGATCGAGATAGCATACGGAACATCCAACGGAGTAGTCAACCTGATTCTTCAGCATCCGGAAACAGCTGGACACCAGCCAGTCCTCTTCCAAAGCTACAATATCCATAACTCTCCGGTCGTGCGGGTCTCCCTCAACACTGCCCACCTGATCAGCGTTTGCTCCGAGTACAATCACGTCCGTTCGTGGAATGTGACCCGGTTCCGAGGAATGATAAACACGCAGCCGGGCACGGTCCCTCTTGCCTCATTCAAAGTGCTCACTTTGGATTCGACAGACGAGACGACTGACAAACAGTACAACCATCCGGGACCGTACGGAGACCAAGACTCGGAGCAGGTGCTCGTTCAGAGAATCATTCCGAATGCACAGAAACTGTTTGTTAGACTGGCTTCAACTGGAGAAAGGTAACAAGGATCATCATTTGAAATGTCGAGTAAACGAACAACTTCAGAATCTGTACAGTGGATTCAGTGGAAGACTCCCCGATCACTGCGTTTTGCGTTCACGAACTCGACGGTCAGAAGTTGGGAAGTCGTCTGAGAAAGTATCTCTTCTGCGGTAACGCGAACGGAAGTGTCCAAGTGTGGGATCTGACTTCTGCACTGGACCAGTTCCACCTCAAGAACGGATCTAACCCGCAACAGCAAGTGAACCCACCGGCCGCCGCCAATCAGGCGGATCTCATTAAAGCACAATTCGGGACACCGTCCACGAGGACAGTAATCAGTTTGTCAAATGTGAGAGTAGTCATAGTTCAATTTGAATCAAACAGTAAATTTTTATTACAGTACTCCGGAGGCCCGTCGCCGCAAGAACTGCTCGATGTGATCGACGACAACGACATTTGCTGCTCGACGCCTTCTCTATCTCGCTGCCCCTCTGCCGTCCTTACCTAGTCGTTTAGTGCACCAATTTATGTGTATATTTTGTACTTTTTCCCTTCAATGTTCAATGGCATTCTTTTCAAAAACGCATACGAGGTCGAATAAACATCAATTCCAATCAAATAACGTCTGAGAAAGATTTATCGGGTTCGTCGTCAATATTCCAAAGATGCTCAATAGACAATAAAAGAGAAAGTAAAAAGGGTTTGAAGAGAGAGAGAGAGAAGGAAAGTTGGCAGTATTCGCGGAAGAACTGAAACAGGGATAAAGCTCTACACGATAACTATTTGTACATACAATTGGCTACTGTAATAGGCTAGAAGTGGGATTCACCGACGGGAAAGTAGGAGAGAAGAAGAAGAAGAACGCTTGCATAGAATTGGGGAGAAGAAGAGAGATCCGCAGAGAGAGATGAAAGGGGACCTGAATCATCCGTGAACGTGCATTTCGCCGCGGCGCGACAGCTTGTGCCACTCGGAGAAGCCGACGGCGCCCGGATAATAATACACTTCCATCACCCACTTGCGGTACGAATCACGCGAAATTATCTGAAAAATGTTTAGCATTGATAGGAATTATTCAGATGGCACTGACCTTTCTGGGAGACTTTGCGTAACGATCCCCTGGAAACTCGACGAACAAAGTCCAGAAACCCTTCCGTCTCACCTGAAAAAAAAGGGATTGAACGAGAGATGAGGGCGTTGGTTTGTACCTCGAAAGTGTGCTCGAAAGTGTTGCCAGCGGACACGTTGAAGTCGGCCGTGTTGTCGACGCCGACGAGCCGGAAGAACGTGGCATCGGAGACGTTGTGATTGCGAACGAACAACGTCAGATCGTACTTTCGGCCCTTATAATGCTTTCTCGAGATGACAAGATTGGCAAACAGCACGAAGATTAGCAGTTGTAACCTCATGTTATTCTGAAAAGGGATTCTGATTCTGATTTGGATTCGGAAGGCGGCTAGGAGCTAATTCGACGAGCAGTTAGTTTGTCGTCCGAAAATCAGATTTGTGGCTGGGCGAACGAAACGAACGCGTTGTTTTCTTTTCTGGCTGTCAATTTATCATCGAAAGCTCTAGCGCTCGACGAAAATGGATGCAACGCGGCGAGAGTGCTGACGGGAAACGAAAAGAGTTTGGCACCCGGAAATTGGGTGGGTCGTCGTGGCAACTGCCGAACTCACCGTCTAGTGGCTGCCGGATCATTCCGCCTTTCCCATCGATGGGCCAATTTCGTTTTTCCTTGTCCTTTCTTTTCGTTCGTCTTTCAGGCAGAGAAGTTAATCTGGAAATGGAATGGGTCAAAACAACACAAACGGAAGAAATGAATGGAAGAGGAAAGGGAAGTGACAAAATAATCTCGAGTTTTGATGCGTAGGCGTATCGCCCGATTTCATCTGCCTAGCTAAACTTGATGGTCTAGAGAGCGTGGGAGACGAAGAGACGCAGACAATAGATCGTATTTTGAGAATTTGAGAAACCGAGTTTGATTCGAAGTGACGAGGACGGAAATTAGGCAGATTGAGGGTGAGATATAATCGAGAGAAACCAGGAAACTCATACCATCTTCTGAGTCCTCATAAACTTTTTAGTGGTTGGGTTGTCGAAACTAGACAGTAAACTGCCGAACCCATCGATCTTCTTCATGACGTGGCAGATGGCAAAACTGCCAGAAACGCAACAGTCTACATAGGAAATGGGCGAACAAATTTGAATAATTTTATGGTTTTCCCCGACACTTGAAGCCTTCCGAAATGGGGAAAGAGGGCAAACCTGCCGATCACAAGTCGTCGTTTTTTTTTGGACGGAAACAACAACAACAGCAGCAGCAGCAGCCACATAGTTTTACTAACCGAATTACGGGAAAGAAGACGAGTCCGTAATTTCACGGGCAGCCGAGGGAACCCACCTCTTTTCCCTTCTCCGCCCCGCCTATCATTTCGTCTCTCAAAATGGCGAATGAAGTGAAAGTTTTTTGCTGCGCGCGTTGTCACTATAATTACAGAAGGTTTGGTCAACCAGCCGTCATACCGGCCGATACCATATAAATCCATAAAAAAACGTGTGAGAACTGGTTGCCACATATAAATATAGACACATTCGAGAGAGGATTCGACTCTTTGACTCGGAAAAAGATGGAGAACTGGTGGCGAGGCGATCAAACAAGTGTGCTCGGGCTCACGTACGTGTTCGTCCCAGTTGCTCGCTCGTTTCGAATGAGCACCACAAAAAACTTGAAAGAGCGCGGGCGCACCCGCACCTCCCAAGTGGCACGATCCGCTTATCATGTTTGCCCTCTGTTTTACATGCGCAACAATGCAAATTAGAAGATAAAGAGGCGCCTCAGCCGACAGAAAAGAAACAACACGGAGGAGGAGTTGACCGGAGGAATGCGCCGAGAAACGAACCGACGACTGGTTACACCCAGTTGAGTCACAGCCGAACGATCGGGAATCAGAAGAGGAAGGGGGAGGAGAAGAAGAAGAAGAAGGAGAAGAATAAGAAGAAGACAAATGACAGCGAACAGAAGAGCCGAAAAACAGATGGAATGGGGCAAAATGGAAGCAGGAAAGAGAGGACATCCAATATTCATTCGGAATGTTTGACGAGTTGACAAGCCGTTTTTCGTTGGCGTCGTTCCAACGGGTTGGTAGAAAGAGAGAGCAAAGCGAAGCATTTAGCTCTTTTCTGAGTGGGGACACAACTTTTCCTAGAAATATCACCTTCTTGCAAATGTATAATTATCTTTTCGCACTCGCTCTCTCTGCGCCGCCAATCTTTGAGACTACTAATGCACGCGCGCAGGTGTTGAAGTTCTCGAATTATGAAAAACGTGAGGGCGAAGCAATCGAAACCCGATATTAGTGGAAAAGAAATATGTCAATATTCAAGAGGCCCTCCTCTTATAAACCATTGCTCAACACAACCTAAACACAGGGGCACCCGGTTGGCTAATCCTGCTCCAGTGCTCCAGAAACGGACAGAAATCTGGGGGGAGAAGAGGAGAGAGGCGTTTTTGGTGGAACATAATATTGCGAGAAATATGAGAAGTGTGAAAAGAGAGTAGCGGGAGAGGGGTACTGTAGCATATACTTTGTTCGGAGCAGAACAAGTATATAGTGAAATGGACTAAATAAATGAACATCGAGAGCCCGCCATCTAATGAATCGACGCTTTGTCTGAGGTCTGAGGCACACTCTCCTCTCAGATGGCATGTCAAAAATTATTGGCCACTGGGGGATCAAGGAGACGATGCGCAAACAGAAGCGAAGCACCAAACAGAAAGAAAGACAATAACAACAAGACGAGTAGTCTTCTTCTTCTTCTTCTCCTTCTTCTTCTTTTTGTTTTTTGAAATAACTCAAAAAATGACGAATGTGTTTTCATCGCCCCGCTTCAAAACGCTTCTTCTCCTCTCTGGTGGTATGGAAATTCGTAAACATTTGGGAGGGGATGATTGCCCGAGCAAAAAGTGTGAGATGCTCCGGAAATTGAAACAAACCAGAAGAGATTGAGTTACGGGTGCCAGAAGCGACGAAAGAAGCGGTGATACGGGCAGAAAACAAAGAGAACGACAACAAAAGGAAGGAAGCGGTAATCGAGAAGATGCTGCGGTTGGGGGACAATAAATCGTCACAAAAATAGAGAGAGAGAGAGAGAAGAGATGCTGCTGATGGCGGTTTCTACCAACAAAAGAGAGAAAAGGGCGTGGTAAAGAAGGAGAAGAGAGTGATATCGTAACCTTGTAAACAACGGCACGAGAGAAGAAGTCGTTTTTTGGTGGCGACAGATCAACTTTGAGAAGGGAAGAACATCGTCTGATTGATGGGATATTGTTCTCGAGTGTGGTGTACTGCCCAACAAAAGAACGAATCTGGAAGGGAAAGGAGTGATCAGGCAGGAAAGGTTTGACAAGTTTGTTGGCGAGTCGAACAATGGGCGAGAAGTGACAAAACGGAGAACCAAATATTTGTGGAAGCGTGTTCAGCAAGTGCAAATCGGGGGCGAGAAAACCAACAATATTGGATGGCAATGACGAAAACCGAAATATATGCAAAAATAGCTTCTAGGAGACGGCGCACAGATGTGAAACTTAATCCCGTCGCGGGATACGGCAATTTAAAGCGCGCGCGGCCCGACATGCATAAATCATAACTTACCTCGATGCTGGCCAATTGATGAGAAGACAGTGGGAACCGATGGACTACGGTAGTTTGGAGTTCTTGGAGGAAGAGAGCCCATTAGAGTTCGTTCTCTCTTTGCATTTCCAAGTTGACAAGTGGAGAAGGGACCACGAGATCAGAAGCCGAAGTGAGTCACCTTCCATCGGGTTAGCATATAAACAAAGAAGTGCGGGGAGACGCAGTGAGACGGGAATCAAAAGTAGGCAAAGGTCATCTGAATGCCATTGATTCAGTACTATTGTTGGTGGCTACCTCCTTCCTTCAGTCCAACCCTTTTACAAGTTTTTTCACGGTTTACTTCTTATTTCCATATTTCCTCAACTATTGTACTCTTCTTTCTGTGTACGCTCATCCATGTGTCCCGCTGCACCATAACGAAATGTCCACGGCGCTGCGCCAACAACTGGCCACAATGCTTACGGAGCAGAAGTTTGCAGGTTCGAATCCTGCCGTCGTCGAAATCCGTTTTGCATGCCGTCGTACCGATTTGAAGCCGCCCGAGGTCCCGCAACAATCGCCAGTGTGCCGCTGAATAATGTGTTTCAAGCGGCCGTATCCATGCCGGGCGCAGGTGTTTTGATTGCATTTCTCATCGGATACACAATCAACACGCCTTTGATGTACAATTACGATTGGGGATGTCGAGTACGTATCATGTGGACAGAGACTTTTGCTATTTTCGGCAATTTTTAGAAAGTTTACCTTCCTTCCGTCTCTCGCGTTTTGAACCTTCCACTAGAACGGATCGCCTGGAATCTGCTCTCACTAGCCAGTGTACCCCTCCAGTTGTTCGTAGTGATTCGACAATGTAATCAAGATTCAACAATTTTGATTTCTAATTTACTTTTTTTCCGTTTCAGTCATCCTAACCTATTCGACTTCCCATAAACGACAGTTCCTTCGCATTGTCCTCGTGATCAGTTCTGCTTTTCAGTCTTTGTTCCTTACACTGCTGGCGACTGTCGGAGAACGAGAAGATGGAAGTTGGTGGCATCAAACTATCATTTTTCTAATCTGACAATCTTCCAGATTTCCACGTGGCTTTCTTCTCTGGATTCTCCGTCTCCACCATCATCAACTATTCAGTCTTTTCCATACTGATGAGGTGCACTGCCGTAGAGGATTCGAAGCATGCACATCGTCGGATCAAAGTGCTTCTCGGACTCATGGTCACTCTTCCCGTCATCTTCCTTACTTTCATTCTCCACAACGTCTTCTGTGTCGCCGGGGGTAACTGTCAAAAATTATTATCTTTATTTTTTGCCCATTTTCAGCCTACGAAGCATTTGCCATTTTCGAGTATCTCACCATCATTCTCATCTACTCCTTCCACGTGTCCAACTCGTACCTATTCTCGGACCCCGCGCACAAGATCCTCATCTGTCATCGCAACGGAGTCATGTCGCCAGTCAGACTTTGAATTTTGAGCTATGAGCTTTCGCCTTAACTTATTCCATGTCAATATCTCTCGAATGAACCGGTTTCTCTTTCATTTCTTATGACGTGGCACTTGATAATGACTCGCGTGAAGCCCCGTTTCGCTTGTTTCGCATCGATTGTCCGATGCGTCTCTTCCTCTCGTCAGTCGCTCTCTCGCTCTCCCATTCTCGCGTCAGATTGTCAATACAGTGCAGTCGGGGAAGCCAGCGCTTTCGTCAGCGTCTCCCCGCCTCGGATACTCTCTCCGTGCGCTTGTTTGACAGTCCAACTACGTCTCCTCTCCATTCTGACCATTTCAACGACTCCAGAGATGTGGCGATCAAGGACGACTCCACGTGGCCGCTCGGTGAGTCTATTGGCTTGTTTCAGAAGGAAAGCAGAAGAAGAAGAAGCAGAAGAGGAGATTATCATTGTGGCGTAGGGATTATTGAGTCAATTGACGCATGAAGACCTGCTCGCCCCAAATGGGAATGAATGCGAGAGGAGCCAGAGACTCGTGGGAAACGCCGTCTTGTCATGTGCACTCTTTCTCTTGTCCCTTTCGGGGCGGCGTCATTGAAAATTACACCCCAACGCGTGGCCGCATTCTCTCTCAACTTTTCATAGTTTATCCGCCACTGATACGCCCGTCCGGGAGCTCCGAATCGGACGACTAACACGTGCCGACGCGTTATGTTTTGACACTTGGCACTCTGAAATATTTAGCACCTGCTCACACTGATCCTATGAATTTCAAACGGATTTTTTCAGACAGAAAACAGCGGACGGCTGAAAATAGAATTTGCCACAAGATCCAAATCGGACTGTTTGTAGTGGAGAGCAAATGTAGCTTAGAGCCAGACTCTGGTAGATTTCTGAAACAAAGAACCACTTGTTCGCACGCCGAACCCTTATTTACCATAATCTCTGAGATTTGAGTTACCTAAAAGTGCAAGTCTCCTCCCGATTTCTACGGAAACGAAATGAGCAAAGCAGTATCATTTCGAGCCGGCTCCCTCCCTCTTTTGCTCTCTGATAAATATCTCTTCTCTTCCAAATGCGATGCGTGGATGTTTATCGAATGTCAATCCAAACATAAACTTTTCTTCCATCAACTGACACGTCATCCTTCTTCCCAATTTTTCCAAATGATTTAAAGTCGGCTTTTCAAAGGACCAAAGGTCTGTAGAGATAAAAGAGCTCGTTTCCCTCCTCGCCTAAATAATCGAGACCGCCGATTTCTAATCTGATATCTTCGCCGCAGACCTTTCAATTATTCATGGCCGAGGAAGGAGCACACGAGAAGAAGCCTCCCCGTCGCCGTCTTCTTCTTCTTCTTCTTCTTCCAGCTCGACTTTCCATTTTTGTTTTGACACTTCTCGCCACTGGCTTTGTTTTACCGCTGTATCGACGGGCCCGATTAGTGTTTCGTTCGGTTCGAACAACAAAGTCTTCTGCTCCTTCTCCTCCTTCTTCTTCTTCTTCTTTCACCGAACAATGTCGTCTTCTTCTTCTCCTTTCTACGACCAAAAAGTTGTGTTCATCTCATTAGCGAGACCACGTGAATGAATGACTGCGGCTCCTGTGACGCAGAATGTTGAGGGGAGATATTTTATTCATAAGAATAGGCTTACGAATAAATCATGTTCGGAAGTAAGTAAGGACACTTTTTGCTCGAATCGCTGCGTCCTGCTCTTCGGCTTCTCGGAGCATGAGCCGTTCCCTCGCCTGATCTTTGCGAGGAACTCACCGAGCTCTAACCGAGTTCCAACGGCGACATAACGCATTTAGTTCCGCCCCGCCAAAAAAAATTGTTGTGTTAGTCTATAATTTCGAGCTCTCTGAGCCGCCGCCGCCGCCGCCACCGGCATCGAAGAACGAGAAAGCGCGCTCATGCATATTGTGCACAGTGATTTTCGTTTCGGCTCCTCCTCCCGTCCACCTTTTTGGCTTGTGCTCGTCGCGCAACTCGATACGGACGGGCCCGCTCGGAGGTCTGGAGGCCCCTCTGAAACCCGAGCCAAATCCGATTGAATGCCCTGTTCTCTCGTCCGGAGTGCTTGCTCGTCGGGATAACCAACTCTTTCCCCTCCTCTGCCCGCAGCTGCACAGCACTTTTGTTGGCGCCTGCAAATTTTGCATCCGATGAACGATTAATCCGGGCGGCGGCGGCTCTTCTTCTCCCTTTCCTTCTTCTTCGTCTTCTTCTTCGTTTGCCCACACTCTGTCCGTGCACGAATGTGGCGTGCTTTCTCTGGAAACGAAGGATCACGCAATAAGTCCGATGATCGTCGAACTGCGGGCCCCTCCTTCAAGATCTTTTGCCCGTCCATTCATTTATTCATTCCCCTCTTGTGCCCATTGTTCGTGGCGCCAGAAGCCCCTCCCCTTGCAAAAGATCAGTGGTCGAAAGAGCACACTCGCTGCTGGGAGAGCCCAATCTATCTCAATTCTGTGCACCCATCCATGTGAATGAACACCACTTTTTCTCTCCTTCTCCCCCTCGAATTCAGTCATTTCCTCTTTTTTGCCGACTCTCCCGTGTACTTTTTCCGCTCTCGTTTTTTCGTGTGCTTTGAAGTATAATCGATTGTTTGGAGACGTGGAAACACCATGCTCACCGACCGTCTCATCACTCGGATCGGATCCCTCCGAGGCTTTTCTCCACTTCGGATGAGCAGCTTAGGATCCGTCTCTTCTGCTCCGCCCGGATCTGCAAAGGTCCCCGCATTCCAGGTTGGTCACATGTTGTGCCGTGGTATCATTGGGTCTCTTCTGAAGTCTCCAAGTTCCGATGATCATCTGATCTGATAAGTTCAATGGGACGCGGTTGCTGCAGTCTTTTAGAGTCATAAAATGTCTTATCAGTGCTATCAGCTCCTCGATTCATTCATTTTCGGTCTTTTTCGACTCACTTTCTCCCACTCCTTTTGTCAGTAAAAATTGGTGTCAGGGGACTTTGAAAGAGTCCAAAAATATGTAGTTTTTGAGTAGAAAATTGATTTATCTCGATTGATGTGCAAAATAAAATAAAAAGTCGGGGTGCATATATGGCAGCCAGCTGTGACGCTTTCCGAATCCCGAAGGAGCAACATCGTGCTCTTCCGCCAATAAACCGACGGGTCACCCGTCTTCTGCTTCTTCTGCTCCGACGTCGTCTTCTTACACCGAAATTAATCCGGCGGTGCCGTCGACCCCTTGTCAAGCGATGGCCGCAAACACGACCTTCTTCTATTCGTCCTCGTGCTCCTTCTCCCCTCTCGCTATTGTTCGTGTGCTGTGCTCCTCTTCCGCTCCTTCTCGCTCTACTTCTCCGAAAAGTAGACGTCTTTCCCGCAGAGCCCTACAAGAAGTTTTTTCTTTCTCTTTTCTTTTTTGGCACCGCCGCCGACGCGACCCCATATTGAAAAGTAAACAGACAAGAAGACGAAGAAGAAGCGACCAAAGCGGAAAACGGCTTCGTCCGTCCTTTCCTTCTGGGCCCCCAATTAGACCAGACAAATGAGAGTACACGCGGCCCACGAGGGTTCATAAATCTTCGCTTCCTGTCGCCGTTTTTTATCCCCCCTCCCCTCTACTTGGGTTTCAACACAACGCTTTTCCCCCCGCCGAGCCAGTCCTCGTGTCTCAGCTCAACTTTTCTTATTTGGAATGGCAGTTGGACGGACGGACGGGACACTTTGTCTCTTGTTTTGGGTTACGCCCGTCTCTCGTTACCCCCCGCTGGATAATCTTGATTGGCTGTGTCAGGCGTCGATTTTCCGGTCTTTCTTTTTTTCAGTTTTCAGACCTTCTCGGCTTTTTACTGCGTTATTACGTGGTTAGAAGAGATTGAGAACAGACGGCAGAGAAAGACTATCTGCGGCCAATGATCGAACGCTGTGACCCGCTTTTCGTTCCCTTTTCTCCGCCGTTTCTTGTATCCCTATTTTACCGTAAAAGACGTTTTCGTATTCCTATTGAGCGATACTTCTCCAGTTTCACTAAGTTTTCGACCGGTCGGCTCATTCAACTTCGTAGTGGTCCATCTAGATGGGCCGTCTAGCAAAGACCTTGTTTCTGCTCACTGCGCACCGCGGGAATGATAATCCAGTGGTGTCGGAGATGTCGAAAAACCTGCAGAGCTGTGCAGACCGGCTGGTCACAGAGTAAAGTGAAAGAAAAAGAGAGGCAATGATTCAATTTGTGTTGTGGGACCACGGGTGTGCTACGGAGGCACGCGAGCAGACACCGCCACAACAAGAGTGTTCTGACGGGCGGCCCCGACGGCGGTGGTCCTTTTTTAGCGGCTCTCTCGAATTTTCAATGAGAAAACTTTACTGCCTCGCTGCATCGCTCTAATTCACCGGAGCGCATTTCTTTTGCTTGCTCTTTTTTGGAAAACAACGTTGTGCTCCTTTGAAAGTATACTGTAGGCGCACAATTTCACGCGCAAACATTCTTGCAGTTTTGTCAGTTTACTTAATTCAATAATCAGATCTTTGCAAAGTTTCAATGTTTCATAAATTGGACCATAATCTATAAGTAATGTCAGGCGTCGTCAAGACATCAAGACGTCAAGACATAATAATTCAGTAGAACATTTCGTGCGTAAACTCCATCAACATCAACCACAGCGATGTTTTGCGGTCGTCTCCGCAAAGACTGATAACACTTTCGGTCTCTGTGTTTATAAAATTCAAGGATCTCTCGTCACATAACCGGCTTCGAATAAACAGTTCGTTCAGTCAGTAGATTCAATTTCAACCGCGTGGTCGCGTTGTTTGTCGCCGTCGTCGCCCTTTTGCCCGTGTCATCCATTGCGAATTAACTGAAATTCACTGTCATTCTGTTCACCGACATTAGACATCAGCGGAAAGTTCGGAGAGACCGCAGGCGGTGAAACAGTTCATACGACGATGCGCATCTCTCTCCTCGGACGCACAGTTTAACCGTTACTTCTGATGTTATGTGCATCGTCGTGACCTCGTTGAGAGAATAATTTAATAGACCGCTCGCCTTCTTCTCCTTCCTCTGCCGCTTTGCAAGTTAATGGACTTCCCTATTAAAATGTTATTCCTTCCAGATGGAGTATACAATAACAGAAACGGACACTCTGGAAAGGGTGGCCGCTTCTCACGATTGCACGGTCGGAGAGCTGATGAAGCTGAACAAGATGGCGTCGAGAATGGTGTTTCCCGGCCAGAAGATCCTCGTCCCTCTCGCCACTTCGGATGACGTCTTCGACCCGCCCTCCTCGGCCTCATCTCTCAAATCGTCTGGAAATCAAATATCGGGCATCGAAAACGCAGGTTCGGTAACAATTTGAGGAACAAAAGGGTCGCCAAGTGCTCTTGTTTCCTCATTTGGCGAGCATTTTGTGCAGGCGAAAAGAACAAAGATTTCAGAGGACGGGATACGAAAAGGGCCCGGAGGCGCTGTTCCCGCTCACGTCCGACGGGGGTCCTTCACGAAAACGCAGTCAGCACCGGTGCCACGTGGAAGTAATGAGGAGGCGGACACAGACTGTCTGCAGAGGTTTCTGAAGATCAAAGTGAAACAAGTGACCGAGTCGGATGGAACCGTCTCTGGGACACTTCTGGTCACTCCCAACTGTCTAATGTTCGATCCGGATGTTTCACACCCGCTAGTCAAAGAGAAAGGACCGGATTTATACGGGATGGTTGCAAAGTTCGAAAGAGAGAGCATGATAATCTGAAAGTGAATGGTATTTCAGTATGGATGAAATTGTGTCGGTGTCGGTTTACAAAGAGATCGGAGGGCTGACTGGAGACACGGCAGAGAAGAAGAGGGACATTTTTGATCCAGATCACTTGAGAACACCGGAAGAGAGTCCGAAAGTGAGAATATAAACATTGTTATCAAATCCATTTCTAACAGCTTCAGAAGCAAGCTCAAAATACTGAAGAAATCGAAATTCCAAAAAATGAGGAGGTTATTTTCGATGCTGGCTCCGTCGATTCAGTGAGTTCGCCCCCTTCTTCTTTATTATTCAACCATTATCTTTTCCAGAACCACTCTCCGAAATTCGGCAGCGATATTGCTCTGCCAGCCATTTCGGAAGAGACTAAAGACTCGCCGAACGAGGAAGCAAAAGGACAGGAAACACGCAATCGAGCAGCCACTCTCGGGGACGAAGACGTTCAGATGAGGGCACGTTCCCGGTCAAGAACGTCTTCTCAGGCGAGCAGCAACGACGAACGGCCACGAAGCTTTTCTGAACTAGACACTCCGGAGGGACGAAACATCGGACGGTTTTCACCGACTGTCGCCCGGAGGTCGTTCGGAAAACTGGGAAGAACACTGAGGTATTATTAAAAAGTCAAAAGACGGGGTGGTGTGCGGACTGAGTCTGGCTTCGCCGCTTGTTTGAGCATTATAGTTCACCTGTTCATTCTTCCTTTTTCCGTCACAATAATTTTGTTAAAAAGTGTAGAAAGTGGGGACGGACATTTGGAGAAATAACAGCAAACCAACCCGTGAAGACTTTTATTTATAAAAATGATGATGATAAAAAATATCTATAGAAAGGTTTTCCAGTGCGCGAGCAAAGTCAATTCAAGGGACGGTAACATCTGGAGCCGAGAAAGTAGTGGGAACGGCAGTGCAAGGGACTAAATCGATGGCTCACGGAGTGGTGACGCACACGAAAAGTGCCGCCGACACGTTGCAATCGGGCATCGAGAACGGCGTGAAAGTGGTCGGAACGCAGGCGAAAGTGATTCAGAAAAGATAGTGGCAAACGGGAATACGAGATGCTTTCAGGCGGCGGCTGATGTGGCTGGGCGCGTCGTCGACAAAGGGCAGTCGCTGATGAGTGAAAGCATTAACGGCGTCTCGGAGATATTCAGCGTTCCTGACTTTGAGGTGCGTGGGTCTGTTTGTTTACACACGCTTGTTTTGAGCGCGCAATTAGGGGCGGAATACCCGTTCTGTTTCGAGTGAGTAATCAAAGTTCGAATGTGGGAGGAAGGAAGCACTCGAATCGAACTGGTTGTCGTGCTGCAGCGACAAGAGTGTCGCTGCGAAAAACGATATTAACGAGATTATGTGCGAATCCGCTTTTTGAATACTACCGTACGCGTAGCGGAACCATCCGCATACCTGTATCATTCCCCTTTTACTCACTACTAACTGATCATGAATGTGCTGCGGAAACCGTTTCGAAAGCGGTCTGACAGCTACGATTTGCTGGCATTTGAGAAAGACAAAAAAGAGAACGTTGACAGTGTTTTGGTGAGAGAAACTGTTATGATACTTGGCAGCAAATGAGTAATCGGTCATCAACAGTTTATACTCTATTTTCAGACCCAACCCCAAAAGAGTCAGATGACGATGAAACGAGAACAGTCGCTTGCAAAACTGCAAGACTTGCGGAGACAAACGGCCGAAGCCAGGGAAACATCTGCGAAAGAGAACAGAGCCAGTGTGTGAGTGGTTCTGCCATTGCATTCTGATCTAGACAATGGAAATTTCAGGTTCGCGTGTGCCACTTCCAGCGACGAAATGCCCGATCTGTTCGCCGCCGTCGACGAAATAATGGAGCGGAGCCGAATGCAGAGCAACGAATCGATGTCTTCGCAACCGATTCTGCCCTTCTACATGGCCGTCAGATTGACAAGAAACAAGAAAAAGAAGAGTGAGTTATTGAAATTGCGTTGTGTTTACACTGACAAGACTATGAAGCGGGACTCCCGCTGCGGGAGGGAGCTGCGAAAGAAGACACCCGAGGCAAAATTGCAAAAGAAAAAGAAGAATGTGACAATTTTTTCGAGTGTGAAGGAAGTTGAACCCAACTCATTTTTCACCGTGGACTTGAGTGTCTTCCACTGTCTAATCCTTCTTCTCTTCCGTCTTCCTCTCACCTCAAATCACATTTCGTCCTTCTCCTCCTCTTCCGTTTCGCCCTCCAGCAAATTAGGCGCTTTCCGCACGGCCTCCCGCACAGCAGCAGCAGTTTCAAAAGAAGACGACCTCTCACTGACTGGTTCTGCTCATCGATGAAATTCTCAGAGAGCGAAGGCGCAGCATGCGAAACGGCCAAGGCTTCCGGAGCTCCGAGGAGACGCAGAGCTCTAGGCTCTCTTCATTTATCCAGCTTTCCGTGCCCTCCCTCGCGCATATTTGTTTCGGGTTTCTTTGCCACCCAAAAACAGACGACTTGCAGAGTCCTCATCCAGCTCTCCGTCCTACGACGAGGATATCGCATTCGGGAATAAGTTGAAAAGAGAATTCTGGTAAGCTTTTTCAATAAAAAATACAACAGATTGCACAAACGCAAGCTCGTTTTGTTTACACTCGATTCAACTTTTTTTATTTGCAAAGTTTTCAGGTTCGCAGTTCCACGGAACCAAGCCGACAACATCTACCACTTCCTTCTGCAGTGGTCACCGGACAAGTACGGACTGGTGAGTCCAATTTTCTCCCCCACAATTTCTGGGAGTGTTTGCATATGAAACGACGACTCCCAGTATAAAATATGAATGTTCTTTTCCATTCCATTTCGCATTCAAATCGATTCCGTTACTAGAGAAATCTACGGAAGAATGGCTATAAATTTGCACCGAAAACAACACATTTATAGTCCTTCTCTCTTCTACGTCACTCTTTTCTCCCCCAATTTCTTCTCTCTTCAGGACACAACAACGTCGTCTCTAAACGAGGAGACGTCGGCGGTGATGATCAACGACGGACAAGAGAAGGGATTCATTGTGCTCGGATCGAACGCCGACGAATCGCTTTCCGGTACGCCACTTCGTTTTTTTTGGGAAATTACTCAGCACGTGCTCCAGCTCCAATTCCAAAATCCTAAAAACAGACACACTTCTTATTATAATCTATGCGACAACAGAAACTTTCTGATTTTCGCAACAGACTACAAGGGTTATCAGTTATGGATGACGAGTTTCTCTGATAAGGAGGTCGAGGTGAATCAGCACCGAGACGAACTATGCTCCGCGTTTCGTTTCGTATAAAATGACAATGCTCCCTTCGGTATGAGTAATTGCCATCACTCCCGTTTTATCATTCCCTCCCTCACCTATCTCTCCCCGATTTCTCTTTGAATCTTCAAAGAAGAGATCTCGCTGACGTCGTCGGAAACTGTACATTCTGTGCAAGTATGTTTCTCTCTCTCTCGCTCTGTCTTCTCATCTTCCCATCTTCTTATCATATCACCATCGGTTCAAAAAGATGGACATTGTGGGCCGAAATGTATCCCTTTTGTCTCGTGACTTTCGAAGACTTTCGGCCGTATCACGCACCTTTATCATTGTCTCGCGGCTTCTCCCTCGCCTTTTGTTCGTTTAACAGCAAATTCAAGCCATTTCCGAGTTTATTGTCCCCATCTCACCGCGTTATTGTTTCCTCTTCTCCGTTTCCCTCTTTTCAGAAATTCTAGATCACATTTTGTGTGATCGTAATCTCAAGTAATTCTGAATCCTGCGATTATGTTTACTGTACCGACAAAGTACAAACAAAGCGAAATTTCACATTTTTCTAGATGTAAGTGATGCAATCGCTTTGTGAAATTTCGATTTAGCAGCCGTTCGCATCACTTTTCAGTGTTTTTCGCGATGTTTGAACCGCCGATTGGAAGCGATCATCTGCGATATTTCTGCGCGCCCACCGGCAATGCATATCTCATAATCTGCTGATCCTAACCATACATTCTGTTGCAATTGGCTCTGACCAAATGTCGATTTGAACTTATAGTCCAGTTGGTTTCGTACTGTCACTGGCCCCGATGTCGATATAATCCATCTGTAAGGGGCGGATCCCTGAGCACGCGCATTGTTTATCGACACCCTTCCGTGTTCTAGAATGGCCCATTCAGTGTAAGCTGCGTCTATTGTGTCAGCTGATGTTGTTTTCTTCTTGCTGACCTTCAATAACCCTACCCACTTACAAGAACCTCAAAGGGTCAAATTGTAGTCGGCTGCATTTCCTTTGTCAGTAAAAGCAAATACAAGTTCTTCTGTGTCCTTTCTTTCCTCTGTATGATATCAAAAACCACATTGTTCACTTTCCTGCTTGCTGCTTCATTACCATAAAAGAGTCTCGATTCGAATGGAATTCACATTCAAACGCGTGCGATTCCTATCAGCTTCTTCTCCCATTCACGAGACCAAACCATCATGGCTGCTCCCGTGTTCCGATCACATGCACACAGGTCTGATAACACTTTCGATGAATAGAACAATCAAACTTTTTCGTAAGTGCACCTGGGACATTGTTTTGTTGACAAAGAACCAGGAGTATAAATTCTTTGAATGGAAAACGGGATAGAAATTTCAGAAACGTCTGTAGCCATGCGTCTGTGGTTTTGCATTTCGACCTCTTCGTCCTATGCTCTTGATGTTTTTCCGCGGCGCCATAAAAGACATTCACCAGCCCATAAAACGGAATACGGTCGGCTCCGCTCTTCCCTGTTCGATCGCGCCCGTTCCCCGCCATTTGTGCCCACTCCTGCCGCCCGTCGTCCGCCCGCTGCTTTTGTCTCTGCGGTCTCCGCGTTCCGCGTGCTCCCTCAGTCCCGGTCCGTGCACTCTTCCGACCTTTCAATGCGTTTGCATATTCGATATCGATCCCGCCATGTGTTTTCGACAACAGGGGATTCCCGTTATCACACGCATGTTGACACGATTTTGAACATTTCGAAAAGCGAAAGTGATCGTATCCAAACAACAGACCCCGGCATCGTCCTTTTTATCTCGGTTAGGTTTGTAACCGCAACCGTAGGCTACTTCGGTTCTGCCACCATATGAGAAACAACAAAAACAGACGCCGAGTTTGAACTTTTGTTCGATGTTTGATCCGGGCCTCCTCTGAATCCTAACCAATTTTCGACGAGAGTGCCGCCGATCCGTGGCGCGCCCGTGATAGATCAACGCTCCGTTTTGTCGTAATTGAAGGCAGTCGAGCTAATTGAGCTGAACTAGTTTTCCATATTTCGACCGGCACTTTTTAAGGGATCTGATCGCCAGGTCGGACATCACAGATTATATTCTCGATTCTCTGCCAGACATTACGAACGGTTCAGTTGATAAAACTATGTTCAAGGGCACATTTTTGGTTTCAGAATTTACCTCCAACTTCCCGATAAGTTGCAACCTAAACCTCAAAAACATGTTGTTCAACAAAATCAGCAGGTCTCTGTTTGGCGGATCTGAGTATAAAAAGATGTGTTTCCGTGGGCGAGAGCCACTGTCTCCTGCTGTTTCCCGCCGTCGGCAATTAATCCGTTCATGTCCGTCTTCGCGTTCTTTCCGTGCCCTCCTCGGATCGCAGCTTCTCTTTCCTCTTCCGCTGCCTGCGCCTCTTCTCTTTCACCTCTCTCTCGCCTTTCTTTTCTCAAATTTTGCGTGTGCGCGCAGGAGTACTCGGCATGCGGTTCTCTTCTTTTCTTCTTGAAATCCATTGTTCTCCGTTTTGTCGACGTTACTCGACTGCTTTTTCGCATTCGCTTCAAAAACAAGCGATCTGAGGCTACACAGTTAACAAGACCGCACTTTTTCGATTAAAAAACATCGCATCTGAATCCCCGGTCATTTTTGTATTGCTCTCCCATTTAAATGGTATTTTTTCCGGACGAATTCAATGCCCACAGTTCGCACTTTGGCTGTTTTTCTTTTCGATCGTGTTTTGCAGAAAAACACGATTCGTTTTCCACGTGCCGTAAATTTATTGCGTGTGGTCGGTCAGAATCCGGGCAGTGTCGTCGCCGCCTTCAATTCGAATTGTATAGATACTTACAACTCGAATTACTTTTTTTCGATAACAGTTCTTATTCTTCTTCTCTTAGTAGGATTATATCAACCCACACACACGCGGGCGCTCAAGAAAGAACGACTCCACCCTTTTCCTGTGCTCGTTGGAAGAGACTATAAAAGATTGTTGCGACCATTTGTACCCTCATTGAATATTCAAATTCTGTCCCATGTGGCATTCGATTCCCCTATTTATTCGTACATTTGTGCACTTGACACGTATCGAAACGATTATTTCTCTCTCGACCCGCTTGTTCGATGTGTTCTCTTCGTTCTGTTTCTTATCTTTCTCGTTTCATCTCGATAAGTTCTTCACTTTTAGCACAATCACAGCATGGGAGCCAGCGAGTCTGCCACACTCTCAGACATTCAGACGGCCGTTCCCTTCCGTCGGCGAGCCAATACCACAGCATCCAGGCCCCGTCCCGACTATTTCGCGAACAACAACAACAACAACGATGAAAAGCAGAAGAATTCGAACGCCTTCCTCACAGAATTCGATGTCAAACAAATGATGGCTCGCAGTCGAGCGGGTACTATCTGTGTCTCCTCGATGCGTCCTTCAGTTGACGAGCGCGCTGCTGCGGAACAGAGCATTTTGGAGACGGTTCGGCAGGCAGATGCGGATGATCAGGAGCCAACGTCGTCTGGAATGGAGAAGAAAGGAAGCATCAGCTCGAGAAAGTCGACAGGATCCCACGACTCGGGCGTCGGCACTCATTCGAGCTCGCCAGTCGCTTCGAGCCTCCATCTGTCTGCTGATGAAGTTCTCATTCCGTCACGAAAAGTAACCGTATCTCTATCCGAAGATACTAAGAATGTGGAAGAGCGGAAGAAGAGAAACATCAAACGAGCGATCATAAAAAAGGTGTTCAAGAAGAAGTCCAACAAGTACCCAGAGTCAAGGGCCAGATCGAAGTCACTCGGAGCGGGTGTCTTGAATGGTGAGTTCTGCCGAATGTGTCTATGTCTATTTCTGAGAAAATTCGGCAAACTGCGAATTTCCGTTGCGATTAGGAAAAAGCCCGGGGCTTTTAGGCAAAAGATCAGTTCTAATCTGTCGGGCACTCTACTAAGACTGACTGTCAATATATCTAAATATTACCCGATTTCTGAATTTTGATGCGGCTCTTCTGAAAGCGGGTTAACCATACGGCTATAAATGGGTTCGAAATGACGGAGCTCATCTTCATTGTTCGCTTGCCGAACGACGCAAATTCTAATTTGTCTTCTCGTAAAGTGACTATAGACCTCCATAGACAGATGACACACGGAAGTCGTTTGCTCTCGTGCCCTTGCACGAATTCGAGATAAAGAATGTGTGTCGCCGTTTTCTTTTTTCTGATTCGTTTTCAGAGAATAAAACCTGAATCGGATTCTCCTTTATCTCCTGATGCGATCTGAGTGAAGTCACCTGCCTCTAGCTTTCAAAATAAAAGAAGTCGTTAGGCGTACGCGACAAACTTTCTTCTCTATTCTCCCCCCGAAAATTGGACTGGAAAATTGGGAGAAAAAGGAGGAACACAATTGAGAGCGCGTGGAAAATTGGGTTCTTTTCCACTTTCAATCCAATTTCTCCTTCCTCCCAAAACGTTTTCACATTTCCTTCAACTCATGTTTCCAATCTCTGATTTGTCTGCTCACTTGTTTTCCATTTTCCCCAACTTTTATCCCTTCGCTCTCCGGAACTCATCTTTGGTTCACCGTGAAAGTTGAAGACGGCATTAGTTTGATTATTTGGAGAATGCGACCGAGGGGCACGTGAGGTCCCTTCCGCAGCTATTTCTGGATTCTGGAGAGCAAAAGCAGATGGAAGGGTCGCAGAGCCGTCAGCCACTGTAGTATTAGTCTTTGATAAATAATGAACTGAGTGTCGAATTGCAGACGGCGCAAATAGTTATCAAAACAAAAACATACCTTTTTCACTTCCCTTCTCGACTCCTCTTCGTCTTCTTTTTTCGACTGTTGCTCTGAACGTTTCCCTTTTCTTTTGTAGAGAGTGTTTCTGGATTTGCCGGACGACGTCATCACCACAGAATAAGGCTGATTTAGGAAGCTTTCTAGTCGCTTGCTACCCGCCAATTTTTTTGTGAATAAGTTCAAATTGAGCAGAGAAGGGCACTGAGAACAAACTTCAAACTACACCCACAATTTCGAAATGTTGCCATCCGTCTGAACGTTGGACATAAATCCAGACTCCTCCGCAATAACAAACCATAAACGTCATCCGATTCTAGTCGTCTTTTGTCAGTCACTCAAAGAAATCAAGAGTTTGTGAAGTTTGGACGCCGAGTTTTTATTGGCATGTCGCGTGGAAATGTGCTTTCGGGTTCCCCCTCTGGAGTAGTCTTTGAAAAGTGACCAATTCTGAAGAAGTCGTCCGACAAACTGTGTGAAGTGAAGAAACAGGAAAAGTCAAAGAACGAGCCAATTACCCGATGAAAAGGTTCCTAAATACTTTCAAATTTCTTCTCGCTTTCCAGCTGTATTCATAATTGAAGACGACGAGATAACTATGCGAATTCGCTTCCGGCTTTCCCTATGGGAGTAGTACTTTCGCCATCAAATAATCAAAATTTGTGGGAACCTTTTTTGGTCATATTTTTCTAGTCACAAGTACTCGCTGGCCGTTGCTCTTTGAGCGAAAGGCCGTGCTGGACAATAAATCAGCCGTACTCGAGATGGGTTCAAACTGTTTTCTAAAGCTCCCCCGAGGGGACACCAAGTACTACTCGCTTTTTTCTCTCAGCCACTTTTGCGCCGCCCGAGAATTCATTCGAAAAGACGCTCATCTTTTTGGCTCTTCCGGCGATGTAATTTGGCACCCTTTTGCAAAGAGCCCCCTATCAGAAATTTTATTTATTTTCGATCAGAATGCTCTCGTTTTCTCTTCCCGTTTAGGAAATTGCATTTGTAACGGACGATATGATAAATACAAGAAGACAAGTAGTGTGTCTATTTTCGGGTCCTCGAGTACCTTGTTTTGCTCAAAATGTGTCTTCTGCCGGCTTTTCGGCAGTTCTGATTCAAAAAACAATAAGTTTGTCAGAAAGAAGACGTCGTAGTATATTTCTCAGTGAAAGCAGACGTTACTTCCGCAAGTTTGCTCTTTTGTTGTAGCGAATACATCCGTAGTTTTTCTCTTTGACAGCACAAACAGCTCTCTTTGCCCCTTAGGTTTTCCTCTTCCGGACATTGCAATCGTTTCCCAAAAGAGGGTTCCTTCTGGTTCTCACACAAACCCACGTAAACACTGAAATTTTGTCGCTGTAAACATAAGTCCATCCTCTTCTCCATTTCCGAACGGTAATTACTATCTAGCAAATTTAGAAAAGACGACATTACTCCTTTTGTTTTTGGACGCCCATCCCTACCAACTCGTGAAAGGGGCGTGTCCAACCAGAAGATGCTCCTTCCCCCTCTCCCTTCTTTCTTCGTTTTTTCGAAAACCAAAAGCTCGCCCAGTGCCGAGTGTTTTTTGTTCCTCTAACTGAAGAAACATGTAAAATAAGTTTGGCACCCTCCTCCACCCGCACTCGCCAAGCCTCTCCTTTTTCTGCCCGAGCAGTAATGCACTTTCGGTACGGCTCATTTCCTTGTCTGAATGAGTTTTAAGCCTGCGGCGATGCAACTGATTCGGCTAATCAACACTGAGTCAGCCACGACTCCTCTACTCACTCCGCCTATGCTCGTTTTGTTTTGTGCTTCACTCTTCTCGAATTACAGACAAATTTGGCCACTTTAAGCATAAATCTTGTGTAAACCGAGCTCAATTAGCCGCATCGTCAAACGAGCTCATCGCTCTGCTATCCACCCACTCAGTTTCATTTCTGTATCATCCTCTTCATCCGTTTACCTCTCCGCTCTCCTTCTATGCCGATTCCGCTGATTACTGTATCGCGTACAGAAGAACACCACGGCGTATCGTACCGCGAAATGCTCTCCTCGCTCGTTGACAAAGTTCAAACCTCGACCAACTCGCTGGCGTCGACCGTCTCGCAGGCGTCTTCGGAGGAAATGAGCCGTATCTCCGTCAGATCGGCTCTTCGGTCCGTCGTCTTTCAATGCCGCTCGGCAAAGTCAGACAGTCCTCGCAACGGCGTCTGTCTCAGATGGTTTCTGCCATCGGAGAAGTCATTGATCAGGAGATTCTAATGACCCAACCAGGTACACAAAAACTTCCGGGAAGGACATGTCGTGTGAAACTGAATTCAAAATTTAAAATTCACATTGCTTATTCTCATATCTTCTTGAAGTTCCAGGAATAGCATTCTTTTCCGAATCTCGGCAATCTTTCGTGCCAACAAATAATTTATAGACCGGAATCGTTCCGTGTGCAAGATTTGAGGAAACTTTGTCGCAACTGGTCCTCCAACATTGATTATTCACACACAAAACATGCGATTGGCGCTTTCGTCTCGGTAGTAGAACACGAAACAGAGAAAGAGTCTTGGGAGCACGTGCTGTGAATAGTTCGAGCTGAAAATCTACATAAAATATTCATTGAAATTGAAGTGCTGAAATTCGAAACCGCGCAGACGCCGATCGGTTTCTTTTGGCGTGAGCTTCGTCTTGTTTTTGTGTCATTCTGTGATGCATGATCAGAACAGAAAAAAAAATGGGGGAAAGAAGTTGATGAGAAATGCATGCAGAGGGCACCCTCCAACGAGTTTATTTGTTTCAGGCGAAAAATCGGCGCCGTTGTTCGGATCGTCGCTGCTGAACCGCGAATGGGAACTGGTCACCGTCTCGGAGATGTGCCGCCGCTTGTCGCTCGACCAGGAACTCGAGCTGCCAATTCCGGAAGGGGCGAACACCTCGCAGATCCTCGACGAACTCATGATCCGTCAGGTAAGGAAAATGTTTAGATGCTTGGGCGTTTCCATTCACCGCCCACACTCGACGGTAATCCCCGTTCTCTGCTCTTTCGACTAATGTGCCAGACTGGCTGAATTCGATTAGTCGGCCAGGAGAATCGGAGAACGAATTCCTCTCCATTTTCTCATCATTTGAGTTCTGTTCTGATGTCACACATTCATTTCGAGCAAAAACACAAAACAATAAACTGGCAAAGCACGCAATGAATGAGGAACTATCGAGCTTTCTTCTCCGGAATTTCGTATATTCCATTAATTTCGCTCAGTCATTCTTTGCCCATTTTTGAGTAATTTAGTTGGTTTCGACTCGTTGGCTGCCAACAACGATTCCATTCCAACGATTCCAGTGCAGAAACATAAAAAGAGTGCGCGTGACCGCAAATTGACGGCGCGAGCAAAGAAAGTGTACTCGAGACACGGGACCCTGTCCACTGTGAATTTATAAGAAAAGAGTTCGAGAGAAAAGCGCACAACAAGACGCATTTTTCAGGTGATGGACATTCTGCCGCCACGTGCCGAAGGCTACCCATGGGTCAACATCTACAATTCGGAGAAGCACGGGTTCTCGCTCTCCACCATGTACCGGAAAATGGCCGAATTTGATGAGGATCTCTCGCCCGTTCTGCTCATCATCCGAGACACCAAAGAACACGTGTTCGGAGCCGTCGTCTCGTCTGCCATCCGACCATCCGACCACTTCTTTGGAACTGGCGACAGCTGCCTTTTATGGAGATTCACTGGAGAAGTGCCGCACACTCGGTAAACAAAAGGTCTTCCGGCTGAGATTCAACAATATTTTTCAGAGAATTGCGCCAGTACACTTGGACCGGAGACAATCAGTTCTTTGTGAACGCAGCCAAAGATTCACTTTCGATTGGAGCCGGATCCGGAAGATACGGACTTTGGTTTGATGGTCAGTCACTCGCAATAATGTGTCTATATCCTTATTGTTCCATTTTCAGCCGACCTGAACCACGGGCGCTCCCAGAAGTGCGAGACCTTCGACAATGAACCGCTCTGTGGAGACAACGAAGACTTCATCATTCAGTTCATAGAAGCCTACGGATTCAGAATGTAATCTGTCTCCTCTTCAATCCATTGGTCCTTATCATGACGCACACATACCTTTTTCGTGCCCCCTTTCCGCCCATTTTGCTCCTTTCTTCTAACTTATATACTTCTTGCGCATTTGTTGCTCCAGTTCCAAGCATCCCATTCATTTCCAACCGATTCCAGTCTACCCCCCCCCCTTTGTTATGTGTACATTCATTTTTCCCCCATATATACTTCTCATTCGTTTCTAGTTAGGGTCACCGCCCGTACAGTGTTATTGGTTTTTTTCTGTGTCTACTGGTATTTCGAAGCTAGTTGATCCGTCCTCCTCACCAGTCCCCGCCGTGTCGGCTCTCGTCTCTCATTGTTTCGAGACGACGGTCCGTATACGGCAAATAATAAATGTACAATTCGTCCCTTTTTTTTCACTCGTTGAAATTGTATTTTTATGAAACTCGCAGTTGAGCGAGCAATAAAATAAATGTATTCAGCGGCAGTTGAGTTTGACACGATGACGGTACCGATAATCGGAACAGAGCAACCCAACAAACACCAAAATTTCGAAGTGCATGCACATATACATATCTTAGACAGGACTGGCCAAGTAAATACTGTAATAGAAAAGCACCCGAATATTGTTAATTCAAAAGGATTTATCACAGCTGCCGAAAGAGATATCTCAAAGTTGTCAACTGATAACTGGTGCGCAATGTTCTCACTTTTTGACATCTCTACCGGCAGCTGAGATATATTATCCTAAAAACTATTTCAGTATTTACGGTATTCGATTGGGCTTAAACTAGGCCCTAAGATACTCCAATCCAAGACTGAGACGCCTGTAAAGTTTGGGTCGGATTGGATTATTGCAACTGGATCTAAAGAATGCTGGCTAAGCAATTCTAAACTGTCCAGGGAGCGGTACGATCAATGACAGTGTTATAAAAGGAAACACATTGAAAACTATTTTCATTGATTCAATCATTTTCCCAAACAAAAAATCATTGTGCCGTCGCTCCTTTCTCACAGATGTAACCCGCTGACTTCTGGGTACAACTATACGTCTTCCAGCCGCCACGTTGATACAAATAAGTGGAATTGCTCAGTGCGTCCGTGATCATCTGAATACTCAAAGGATTTTCGAAAAACGGTCATCCATTTACCTGAACACACTGATCACTGGCCGGTTGTGTGGGAGCCCAATTCGAGTAGCTCATGGCGCTTCCGTCCGTCCATTTCCACGCCCCACTCGTCAACTCAAGCCCAATCCACGTTTCCTTCGTCTCGTCCACGAGAAGATTCGAGTCATATGCTTCTGGAACGAAAGGCTTCTTGTTAAATAAGAACATCATTCAATTCGTCTCACTTCTCAACGCGTCATTCTCATCGAAACTCGTGATTGTTGCCAATTGAGCACTTTGAGCAGAACAGGCACTTTGAGCCTCCGAATATGTCGCTGCCACATCATACTTCTACAATAAAGTTTGTTAGTGATAAAAAAGATGATATGAAAATCACAAAGTAGCACTTGGAGTTGAGATATTTCCAACCCGTCGGACATCCGGTCGGGCAGTCAATCAGCATTACACCGGGATCCACAATTGAGAATGTGATAGCTTCTGTGGTTGTGGTAGTTGGGGTGGTTGTGGTAGTGGTGGGCGCAGTGGTCGTAGTAGTTGGAGTAGTGGTGGTAACAGTTGTAGTCGTGGTCGCAATCGTAGTTGGATCCGTCTTCATTCTCTCTGAAACCCCCCAATTGGTACCGGACTGATCTCTCCTCAAAACTCACTGATTTCATTGAGATCCAATGAAGCGACGGAAGAGCAGAAAAACAGAATTCCGAGCGAGAACTTCATAATCAAACTGCAAATCGAAAAAGAAAAGTGCGGAACCGACGAGGGCACCGATGGACGGGCTGATGCGTTGGTAATCTGCGGTAATCCTTTCGCATTTCTGCCGACGAGATCAGAGGTTGAACTGAAAAGGTTCACTGGGAGTGGAGGAGCCGAACACTGTGGAATCTGATTTGATCAGAAATGGCCGTCAGGAATGGACAACTTTAATTGACTATTGTAGATCAAAGAAGTTTCGCTCCGGTCTAGTTTTTAAAAACTCAAACCACTACGGTAGCTCCGGGAACTGAAATGTTTCAAAGTGTACTTTCTAGAAGAGTTTGACGTCCACCTGCTCTACAGTACTTACTTAAAGTTGGTCATTTTCAAGTACACAACTACCTAAACCCCATCCCGATAGTGTTCGACTCATCCTGCAGACAATCAGATACGATCCCGCTCCTACGTCATCCCCCATCTTCTTCTTCATCTTCTTCTTCTTCTTCTTCCTCCGACGCATCAGTCGCATCCAGTTTCGTCCACAAACATACATCGTCTGCCGGGGGAGGAGGAGGTGCGAACAGTCAGTCGTTCTCTCTCCGCAAGTGTCTCATAATCACCCTTTTTATCCGTGCGCCTCCCTCCCCGCATCTATCTGATCACACAGGCCCCCTCCTCCTCCAGTTGTCTCCTCCGATCCGACTTTCGTTCCTTCGTTTCCACTCTGTTTATTTGGGTCACTGCATTTTCGACATCCCCGTTGGCCACGCGTCTTCTCGCTTCCAAGCCTATCTGCCTATCGATTTGATAAATATTCGTCCCCAAAATTACAGCCTGATCTCGCCACCCCCAAAATAGCCGCACAACTTGTGTACCTGTCACTCACGGGCAATAAATGCAATTTTGGCGCGACCAAGTGTGTGTCTCTCTCTCTTTCCCTCATCAAAATCTCATAGCTCCTTGGCGATATACTATCACGAGAGCACGTCGTCGTGTCCGTGTGTGTTCGCCCCGAAAACAGCAGCACAAAGTGATTGCTCCGGCTGCCGCAGCCACGTGTGTGACGTTTCCGTGAGAGAATTCTGGAACGCGCACGAGAGTCGCAGTTGCAATCCTTTCAGCGCCGATCTCTCAAACTTCAAGTCCCTTCTTCTGTTTTTCGGTACGACTTTCCTCGATGTTTATAATATAACCCAATCGGCCGGGGGAGGAATAGTTTGGCAATCGTGTCCCGTCGTCGGCGTCTCTCCGATCCGCCCACGCTCTCCGCTCCCCCATTCAATTTACCGTTCGTCGTCCTTTTTTATCCCCCCTCCCTTCCCCTCTTCCATACGTCGTCGTCGTCGGTCGTCCTTCTGCTGCTGCCATTTCGGTTGTGATACGAATCACGCCTGCCCTCCTCCCTCTCCCTCTTCCCCCTGTCCTCACTTGTTTTCATTCCCCCCTTCACAACGGTTTTTGTCTGTTTACACACTTACAGTGTAAACCATTCATACATGGCTACATCGGAACCATTTCACTCCTTCTCCTTCGTCCTTTTGACTGTTTATACTTCACCCCTCCCCCCACTTTTCCCGCCGGTCATAATTGGTTGGTTCAACTGAAATCCGACTCGTTCCACTCAAATAACTGCCAACTTCATTTATACACGAGATGATCAAGAAGAAGAAGAAGTCGTAACTTGATATGATTCTTCCCATCCCTTTCCACAAAGGTCAGATTGTGTTATGATCTGACCGCCCGCCACACCAACCTTTCCATTCCTTTCTCTTTCTTTTTCTCCAGTTTCTCTGACAAAAAGTGAGACACAAAAAGTACAGATGAATCGTCGTTTTCGGCCCCCCCCCCCGAAAAGTGAAAAGCTTTCGACACTCACAAGTGGCAATCATCGCCTCCTTACACGTCCTCTTCATCGACGTCATCCTACTTTGCTTCTCGTTTAACTTGTGTCCCAATTAGTCCCTCCTTACCGTACCCCACAGATGATCCATGTTCAGTCGGATCCATGTAATCAAAAAAAAAGCCCTGCCTCCAATTCACCCGATTCACATGTTGTTTTGCCATACACATTCACATTCAAACACCTCATAATCGGATTAGATTAGCAGCACGGGGTGATCCCCCATTCCATACCTTCATTTCTTCGTTTTTTGAAGCCACCCGCTCGCTCAAACCGGTATCCATGACTCCAAAAGGTCGCCAGCCAACGTGTTGCCACATCATTCGGTCAAGCACTCCAAAAAGTGATTGCAAGAAAGTTTCTGAATGTCTCTCTGTTTCTCTCTCTCCGCAAATTGGATTCTCTCCTAAAATAATTGAGTTTCGGGTGGTGGAAGGAGGGAATTGCGCGACGACGTCGTCCTCGTCCCCGATTTGCCGCTTATCATTATCATCAAACGGGCCGTGTCTAATTGCGGCCATATCCGTCGCCGTTTCGGCTCTCCGTCCTCCCAATCACTCGGCCATTGTCTTCCGAGAACAAACCAACTGGTCCTTTCTTACCAACTCGTTTCTCCCTCCCCGACCAACTGTTTTCTTTCGTCGCTTCGCTGAACTTCTCCACCGACCACATGGGTGCAGCGGCTCGTCGTGTCTCCGCCTACGCATTATTCAACCGAAAAATGATATGAATGAATGGTGGAAGGGGGAGAAGGAGAGGGAGCAATCACGTTCTGATGACATCTCTGCTTTCTTTCCGCTTGTTTTCACTCGAAATTCGAGTTCACCACTCACTCTTTTGTGCAGCGTTTGCAAAGTTTTGAAATTTGTTTTCCTGTACTATCATCACTTTCTCAGACAACAAATCAGTGTCCAACTAGATTTGTTAACTGGAAAATGGAAAATCTCTTGTTGATCACTCGAGAAATGAATTTATCAGTTTCACGTCTTGAAATTCTATATTTGAAACATCAGCATGGGATTGGATATCATTACCGAATTCTAGGAACCACCTCGTAAAATTGGAGTGATTTTGGATGAAATTCTTGACATTTTTCACTTGCTTCTCGTGTCAAACATTTGAAAAACAGAGGAACCAGTTGTACTTTGGCGGCCAGTCATCGAGAATGAGTGATAAGCCGTCGGAGTTTTGGCCGAGACGAAAACATGAGCCCAAAGATCTGAATCGGATCCACAAGCCATCCCCGCCAATTCATGCTTGTAACGATGATATCAGCGTCAAAAAGTGACGAAAACAAACAAAACAGTTGTTGGCGGAGGGGCGACAATGACTGGAAGTGCGTGCGTCTCTCTCTCTCTCTCTCTCTCTCTGTCTTTCCCCCGGCTTTCCACATGCTTCTACCATTTGTTTGATCACATCATCAGTGGCACCACCACGTCATTGACTTGTTTCGAACTTGCCTCTTTCACTTTCTTTTTTCCCTCCTCCCTCGTACTGTTGTACACTGTTCGAACACAGTCAGGTTCAACACTTTGCGCAAACAACCCGTCAACCGGTGTCGTCTTTCGCTCGAATCACACTTATCACTCAAAAATAAAAATACACGCGAATGTCCTTGTTCAAGACGTCCAATCACCGCTTTCCCTCCTTGTTGGTATTTAGAGCGAAACGCAAAAATAGTCCTACTCTCTCTTTCTTCTGTTCATTCGCTTCTTCCTGCATTATTCAAATCGTGGCCCCGTTTTCTTGTCGATTGAGCCAATTACCATTCGATTCGTTTCGTTCACCTTCCTCCTCCGTCAATGGTCTTTCGGCGACCACCTTCTTCCGTCTTCGTTAACATTCGAGTATTGCAGCTTCGCCCTGGCGCCCTCTCTCCGTCTCTGCCATGATCGACGTCTCTACTCTACAAGGTATGTACTTGCTGATAATCACACTTGAAACGTGTTCGGCGCACAAAAGCCAAGTGATAATGTTTTATGAATTCATTCACACTTTAGAGAAGTGAAACAATTTCCTCCCTCGCCTCAAATTCCTGTGATCACGTGTGCTTCCTCTGATAATAGTCTAGTTCCAATATTTAATGAGAATCTTTCCCTCTGAACCTTTTCTATTGACTCGTCCAAATACGTTTTTTGAGCGGGGCTCTAATCGGCAACATGTTATCAAACATTTCCGTCTTTTCGTTTCCCTTTCACTTGTACATACGTTACCGTACTTTGCTGTGCTCTGAGCTCTTTCCAACTACAAACGTCAGTGACATTTCCGCATCTTCTACCCTCACTACATTCCATCTTCTTCTCCTTCTTCTTCTTCTTCTTCGCCAATCCCTTCATTTCTTCTTCTTCTTCTTCTGTCCGGTTTGGGAGGTGATATCTCTCTGACACCGCCAGAAACGTCGGCTTATCAAATGTCAAACGGGCGGTCCCCGTTTCATTTCCTCAAATTCTTCTAAACTTCAAGAAGATCTCAACAAGTTTGCCAATTTCTTTACGTCTTGAGGGCTGACGACGAAGGCGGCAAAGATAAACAAACAATGTATTTTGATTGCGCTTTTGATGAATCTTCGGGGCGTGCACTCTCGCTCCTTCTCCTGCACGGCCATCCGTCCATCCATCCATCACCGGAAGACATCCGTCTCGTGAGCCCCTTTTCTGCCACGTCATATCTCATGCAACACTCTTCTTCTCCAAGAAAACTGAGAAGAAGAAGAAGAAGAAGAAGTCACCTCACTCTTACACTTTGGTCTCCTGCCATTCCCGTGACTACAGTAGTCTTATCCTAAATCCTCCCTCACCAACGATGTAGATCCTTTCAGTGAGATTAACTCTTTCTTGTCCGCCTCTTTTTACTCTTCTTTTTCTTCTTCTTCTTCCTCTCGCTTTATTACCTAAATTTCGGGGCGGCATCTTTCTTCCTTTCGTTTTCCCATTTCACACAAACACAGCTGATCGGCCATGACCACAGAAGCTTTTCCGCGCATGTGCTCATCATCCGTTCCACAAACTTTCCAAATATTGTGTGACCTTGCGATGCGCAGACCTCTTTCTCTCTCTCCGTCTCCCTCCGGCCGGCGGCTCCGCATTTTCGAATTCTCGAATCGGGGCGCCAACACCAACAAATTAGTTTTGTTTAATTCTCGGTCTGCTCCGAATGAAACCGAGCCGCCGTGCCGTCCGCTCTAAGCGGATTACTGTATTTTACAATGACGGAGGGGGCCGCCGAAATAACATTTCCGCCCTTTTTTGTTTTTATTTTCGCGTACCGACAGTCTCGCGACCACAAAAATAACTCGGCAGTGAGAGTGGGAACCGACCCGGAAGAGTGTCATTTGTGCTCCGATGACACCACGAATAACTGTAGAAGAGTAAGCCTCTTACCGAAAGACCCGAAGACAGGAGACTGTTTGAATAAGAAACCATTTGGAAATGTTGTCGTCATGATCATTTTTTCGTCGGCCGTCCGAGTCAGAACACTTCATCTCTGGACTCCTCGCTTTGTAGAAACGGACACCTTGTGATGGCTTCGTAGAACAACAAAAAATCGCCTTCTGCTCTTCTTCTTTTCCCTCTTTTTCTTCTTCTTCCTCCCCCCATTCGTTTCTGTTTCAAAAGCGTTCTCAACGTCTCCAGAGACCACTCTTTTCCGTCAAACACTCGACCGAATCTGTTTTGCAGAAATTCGAGAGATGAGCAGTGCGAGCAGCACCACCTCAAGTGCCTCCTCTTCGGTAATTCACGAGGAATTCGATGAGAAGCCCACTTCGAACTTCTCGTGGCCGCCCGGCCAAGCCTTCCCCTTCGAGCCGCTGCCGCCCTACCCGGCAGGACCCAATCTCTCAAAGATCCACTACCCGCGCGAGGTGACCTGTCCTCGATACGTCTGTCCGCATTGCGACGAGCAGTTCCTGTTCCACTCGACGAACGGATTGCTCACCTGTCCGTTCTGCTACAGTTCCATCGCCATTGGCACTTATGTCAGTTTTCAGTTCGTTCGAATCCAATCAATCCGTTTCCACTTTCCAGAACCGCAAGCAGATGTACCTCAACTTCATCGTCGGCACCATCGTGCTCATCATCTCGATGGTGATGACCGTGCTCGTCTTCACCGTCGCCAAGGACCAAGTGTACCTGTCGATTCCAGGTTCGCGCACCGACCGTCCGATCTCCCCTACAATTTTCGCGCTTTTAGCCATCATGCTCTTCTTCGGAGCCATCATTTTCTTCACGAAAGCGTTGCAGTCGAAGGACAGCTATGAGGAAGCGAAGATTCTCATCGAAGACATGGACGTCTGAATTTGAATTCCCGCCCGATCTCTTGCCTATTCTTTATTTATTATTGTGCCCTTCGCTTCTTTTTCCCGCGTGTCGCCAACATGTTTCCTTCTCTGAACGGACGCTCTTTTACCCGTTCGTGGTGCTATTCCATATGACAAACACTCATTGTTTTGCCAATTTATCACGGCGTATTCCATTCCATACATTCTTGATTGTTTAGTTGATTTCATAGTTTTGTGAATGTTCGAGAAAGATTTGAATAATAATTATTTATTGGATTCTGAATGAACTCCTTCTTCACATTCTTTTTTTTTCTTTTCTGACCACAATTTCAGACGACGTCAACGCAACATAAATACAAAGTTTGTAGTTTTATCAGCTGAAAAGAAAGCAATCATTGATACACACCGATCAGGACCCGAGATTCTTTTGTCATAAAATAAAATGCAAGGAAGTTGCTGCTCCACGAGGGATCAGAAGGATTACGAGTCATTCGAAAAATTCTGGCCGGATATTTTCCAGGGCCGCGCGCACGCAGCCCCGTTACGCAAAAATTAAACTGTTGGCGAATCTCAACTCGAGACTGCCACACGGGTCAGCCCGTCCAAAAGTGCAATGGACAGGCCTCGCCATGGGGATTCCGTCTTGATGATCACGAAATACCCCCAGCCAGGTAAGTTTATGAGCCGCCGTGCGGCGGGGGTAGTGCAGTCGCATGTACGGACATCTCGCGGGTTCCGCCCTCCGCTGTGCAATGTACGCAGGGGGGCGGAGTCACGGAAACGGGGGAAGAGGGCAGAAGACGCGGAAAATGGATTCCTGATGACGTTTAGCGTGGGCATTTCCGATTCCGAAGGATTATAAATATGCCGTCTTCCGGATTTCAAAATTCCACTTCCGCTCAACTCTGATCACTTCTGATTCATGTCTCGAAAAAAAGGTTTTTCAGTGATCTTTTGTGTTCGGCGAAGGGGGCAAACAGGCTGCTATTTAAGCGGTTTGGACAGCAAACTCTCGTGCATCCTTTAGATACTATCAGTTGTTCGAAAACATACACAGTTAAATGTTTGCGTGTGGAAACCCAATTCGCTGGACCCTTTGGAAGTTCATGCGTGTTCATTTGCTCAGATATTTTCTGTGCAACGTCTCCTTGACGTGTAGCACGCGATGAACGAATTAGAGATCATTCTGAGCTCAATTGACCTCTCTTGTCCTGAATTTAGAGAAGCTGCTGCTCAGGCTTGCCCAGCCCTGAACTGAACTTTTTGATAAACAAGACTAGAAACCTATCTCCCTTCGTGAGAACAAAATCTGTCGGTGGCGAGTGCATCAAAACTTTCACTTTCAATCGGAATGGACTTTTTATTCATCGCTCTCTCCCCCTCCCTTCATCTTTTCATAAATCGATTCCATTTTCAGTTCAATGATTATATTCCCTCTCCTCCTATGCGTTCCGCTCGTTTCTACTGCCAATCTGAAAATGATGCAAGCCATTTGGAGGCACGGAGACAGGGCGCCGGGGGAATTACCCTACCCGAAAGACAAGTACAACGAGAGTTTCTGGCCGAGAGGATGGGATCAGCTGACCAACGTAAGTGCGTGGAAATAAAGAATGTGACAAGGAGAATGGGCTTGAAGAGAGGCATTTGGCAAGCCGTGGAACTCGGAATTTGGCTTCGGCAACGGTATGCATCGACTGTTCTTCCGATTTTCAACAAGAACAAGGTACACGTTCGGATGGTTTTTCCTTGATCGTTCCAAGTGTTTCAAGGTGTTCATTCTGTCTTCCGATTCGGAAAGAGCAATAGAAACGGCCCAGGGGGTGTCTGCCGGCCTGTTTCCGCCGACGAATGACCGTGTCTGGGAGTCGTCGTACCTCCGTTACTGGCAGCCGACACCCATTCACACCCCGTACGGAACGCTCGATGCGGTCAGTTCCTCATCTTTTCCTTCCTTTCTTCTATGCCATTTTCTTCAGCTCCTCCGACCCACAAAAGTGGAATGTCCTAATTACGAATTGGCGAACACAAACGAAGAAAGTCCAATTGCCGCTCAAATCAACGCAGAGTACGGTCAAATGTTCAAATGGCTCCAGAATACCACCGGAATGGAATCCATCAACTTTTGGAACATCAACGATCTCTATGATATCCAAAGAGAGGTATTCATATTCATTTGGCTCGTTTATTTCCACGTGCCTGCAGATTGACCACAACATGCCTCAGCCGAAATGGCTGAATCAGGTGTTTAACGGCACCACAATAATGGATCACATTCGAGAATTGAAAAGAATATCGCGGATTCAGGAGTTCAATTCGGCGACGAAGGCAAAGTTCCGCGGCGGAATGCTCGTCAATCAGTTTCTGCAGAATATGGAGGATTTCATTGCGAACACGTCTACTTTGAATGCTGTTATGTACTCTTCGGTTGGAAACTTTCTAGAATTTTCTTTCAGAAAAACAAATCCATTTTCAGCACGACGGAACTCTCTCCGCCCTACTTTATGCGTTGAACGTTTCGAATGATCAATTGGTTCCGTACACGGCTACCGTACTCTTCGAACTTTACGACGATAACACCGTTGAGTTGTTCTACAAGAACTCCACTTCCACAGTATTTCCGATGACGATCCCTGGCTGCCAACAGAGCTGTCCGCTCGCTCAGTTCCTTCAACTTTTGGAGAATGTTCGAGTTCGGTCCCTGGATGCGTTGTATTCCGTAATTAGTTTCTGAAGTTGAGCAGTGGTGAATGGGGGTCTTTTCAGTTATGCGGAACGAACAGTACGACGACGACGACGACGACGACGACCGGCTAATTAGTGTTTTGTTCATCCTTCTTGCCAATACAAGTTTTACTGCATTCTTGAAATTTGGAGCAACTGAATAGTATCGAATGAAAATTACAAACTGATCAAAACGTCAACCAGTTCAATCAATGAAAAACAATGAAGATTCCTACTTCACTATTGAGGGTTGGTAGCTTTATTCAGTGACACAATATAGACAAATGAGATTGGTTAATCGCTGAATTGTTCATCCGATTTCAGTGTTTCTTGTCGATGAATTCCTTCGTTCTGAAACTTCATACATCTGGAATCATTTCTAAATTCGCTTTTTTGTCTAACCGTCTCCTCACTTACCTTCTTCTGTTTCCCAACAATCGCTCGTGCTCCAGAAGTCTCCCCGATCAGCCAGTACGTCTCCATGACTCCTTTCCCTTTTATAATCACTTCCCCTCTCGATTCCGTCTTGAATCCGCCCACAACTTGAGTCAATAGTCTGTTCGCCTCTGCCGACACGTGGATTCTTCCAGCTGCAACAATTAATTGGATCCTACCACCTTCAATATGTTTTGTCCTCACGTTTTCCGTTGCTCTCCATCCTACTCGCAGTGTTGACGGCGTCCCCGAACAGACAGAAACGTGGCATTGTCAGTCCGACGACTCCCGCAACCACTGATCCGCAGTTGATTCCGATTCGCAGGTTGATTCTCTCCGACGGCAAGTGCGGGATTCGGAAGAACTCGAGGCTGGAAAGGAATCCGAGAGACATCAGGGCGATCTGTCGGACGTGTTCGTTTCCGTTCCGATGCGGAAGACCCGAGACACACAGATATCCGTCACCGATCGTTTCCACCTGGAAATAAAGAAAGTTTTAAGCAGATTCCGTTATCATCAGAACCTTATAAACATCATGTTTCTCGATAATCCCATCAAATATCGTGTACAGATCATTGAGCAGATTGACGACCTGGAGGGGAGTGCATTTGCTCGCAAGAGTCGTGAACTGAACGACGTCCGAGAAGAATATAGTGACGAGTTCAAATGTCTCCGGCTCCACAGTTTGCCCCAACTTCAGTTTGTCAGCTACCGTTCTGAAATAGAAAAAAATCCGTTCTCATTATCATACTCATTACTCTCACTACTCACTTTGGAAGCATTCTGTACAGAAGCACGTCGCTCTTTTTTTTCTCCTCCACTAGCTCCTTTGTCCTTTCCGAAACCTCTTCTTCCAAAGACGAAGCATACGATTCGAGCATGTTAAACACGTGATCCATCAGATTGTCACTCCTGCTCGAGTTTATCCCTCTCAACTGTGAACGGACCGTCTCGATGGACGGTCTCTCCGACGGTCTCTCGGTCCAACAGTCTCTCACTAAATGCAGCAGGGCCGGGTTGATTTCAATCGTGTGATCGTAGTCCAAATCAGGCCGTGGGGACTTCATTCCTCCCTTTTTGAGCATATAAATGATTTCTGGAATACTTGCTCATCCTGTTGTCAGAAATAAATTGTACCTTCCGGATCTTCCTTTCTGTCTTCCATGTTGAACACGGATTTCCGAGTGATTAGTTCCGCGCAAATGACTCCCAAACTGTAGAGATCGCCTTCCTTCGTTCCTCGGATGTCTTCAGTTCGTAAAAGTTCAGGCGCAGTCCACAACAAATCTGATACAGTGTCCCGTCAAGCACAAAGAATGTTTCGACTACTAACCTTTCTTCTCCAGCAGATCCATTGATCGAATGTCTTTCAGTCCGTAGTTGGAGATCTTGACCTGCCAGCGATCATCGATCAAACAGCTCTTCGAAGTGAGCAGTCCGTGGCAGCCGACAATTGACTGATGCAGGAACACGAGTCCCTGCAAGAAACAGGGTCATTCAGAATCATAAGATCAAACAAGTCCACTACATTAACAATGTCCTTGATAAGCGCGTAGATGAAAAAGTTGTCCATTTGGATAGTTGCCTGAAATTATCGAAGATCATGTTCCAGCTACACTTCGGTTCTTTGTCATACTTTGAGAATGACATCGGCCATGGAGCCCCTTGAGCAGAATCGCCAGACGGAGAGCATTTGAGGTCCGTCCAGGCAGATCCCGATGAATCTGTTCAGATTATCATGGTCCAGGTTCCGCAGCTGAAACTCTTTATCCAGCGTGTTACAGTTGAAAATTTCAGATACCGCTCTCATGAAAGCACACTTTTCATCGTCCAATTTCGGGCGGTACGCATGCTTCTTGGCCACCACCGGCTCGTAATTCGCTTCCTTTTGCAGATTAAAAAACTGAAAGTTCCTGGTTTCAGTCTTCACCGACACCGTAGTTCGCGACGAAAGAGTGCTCGTTCCGCTCTGCAGACTACGCATACTATGGTCTCCCTTCCCTTTCGCCTGCAAACAAAAACAAGGAAAGGATTAGAAAAAACGGGGAAGCTCACTTTTATCTGGTGCAGATGTATGAACGGGATCTGCCACAGCTGATTTAGCCGTTCAATCTCCTGATGACGTGCTTTCACCGAAAAGTAGATGCCCGCGCCGGCAGCCAGAATTGCGAGAAACAGAACGACGGCGGCGACGATCACCCATGTCAGATACTCTTCGACAAAGATTTTTGGACACTGAAAACAAATCATTTTATAGTCAGCTAATGATTGAAAGTACCAAGGATCCTGTGAATCCACATAGAGGAACGTCAGCGGGACGAGCCGAGTTCTTCCGCGACGACCACATGACTCCCTCGTCCGTGTAGAGTGCAGAGAACGTCTGAACGGATTCTGATTCCGGGTAAGTGAAACCATGAAGTTCCCTCACCGCACTCATGTTATCCACGTAAATGGTGGCCCTCACAGTGTTATTGTTACTGTCATCCAACGAGATAAGGTACAGAGTCGGATTGCGAGTCCCCTGCTGGTTAATCACAACCGGTCCGGATATTCCGGTGAAACTCTGAGGAAGGAACTTTGTAAATGCCGAGGCGTTCCGGTAGTTTGTGGCTCCTGACTTGAGCATTTTATCCAATGCAACACCGTACGCGTACACAGAATCGTGCAGTTGTCCGGCATAAGTTGCCGCCTGTCTCAAACTTATTTCTTCACATTTCCCATCGCTCTTACCACGGAAAAGTTGGCACCCTCACATTCGGTGATGCAGTAGTACGGCGCTTCTTTCATCCGGCTGATCACTTCCGCACCGAACACAGTGTAGTTGGTGGCAATGGATCCTTGACCCATCATCTGGAATCATTTGATTTCTCGGACTATTTGGGTGGCTTCTTTATTCCGATCAGGCGGCAGATTAGAGCGAGATTAGACTACACACAAAGTTTCTCACGTACGTCACAGATAAAGATGGACTTTTTGAATGCTTTCAGTGCACGTGTGTCATTCTCATCGGACCCACTGGACGGAATCCACGAAGGACGTTCCCCGCCGCCCAACAATGGGACATCTGGAAAAGGAAATGTGATGCCATATGAGTTAGAGTTATTACAGTATCCCTTAGATTTGATGTCTGCAAATATATAAACGTATTCATCTCCAATCATTTCGGCCTCCTCAGCTGCCAAAACCCATTTCCGCCGTAGCCCAATTCCATCTTTCATACAGGTCACAATGACTGAAAAGCTGTTGATTTGCTTTCGGAACTCTCAGTTGCTTTATCTCACTTCTGCCTCTAGATTGTATCTTTTTGAGTGCAGACACCATTCCAGAAGTAGAAATATCAGTTACTTGTAAGGAATATGACAGAATGATATCTCCGAAGTAAGCAATCACTTGCTGAAACTCTAGAAACCGTAGCAGTACCACAGGTGGCATTCACTTACCTGCAAATCGTTCCTCATTGTCACACACTTCTCTTCATCCTCTTCCGTGAAATACGCGAACACGAACTGATTCCATCCGTACTCGAGCATCACCGCCCGAATTGCCACTCCGAGACTTCTCTGCCCTGCCGACATGATTCCGGCGTTCGGAAAGCGTTCGGCGTCGTCCAGCTGGGCCGCATTCACGAGACCCCACGCGATGATCGGACGGTTGTAGTAGTTGGAAACGATGAACGCAGCGAGAGTGGCTGCAGACATCTTCTTTGAACTCAGACGTGATCAGAAGACCTTACGTTGATTCATAGTCGGTCCGATGATCACGTCCACGTTGTGATCCTCAATCAGATCCACAGTCATTCCGGCGGCCGTCGCTTCAACACATTCATCGTAGACTATTGTGAAACTGAAAACGACTGCGGTAGACCAATACCACCATAAAACCCTCACTTGAACTCCCAGCCACTCAGAAGATTCTCTCTTTTCAGACGGTCAACGGCAATGTTGGCTGCCGATGCCGCAGTTCTGTAGCCAACAGTCAGTGGAGCACTTTGATAGTCCTGAACACTGGGTTATCTGAATGACCTCTGAAATAGTTACTCTGCAGTGAATGAATCCGATTCGAATGATGTTTCCAGTGGTTCCTGTTGCTACTTGTGGTCTCGCAGGTCTCAAAATCCACTGAAATACTCCGTTTGTTCTGATCTGTATACAAAACTTGAACAAACCATGAGTAGAAATAAAACTAGAGACAAAAGTGCTTCTTCATCGTCATTTCTGGTACTCTTCCGGGAAGAACATCTCCTTTTATATCCAGGCGGCAGACGCGGACCTTTACATCGTCCCCCGCCTAATCTTCAGAAACCTTACTTTATTTTTCCCGCCTTGCTTTTAATTTTTTGCTTCTCCGAAACATGCGACATGGACTCTTTTGGACGAGAAAGCATGACTAACAAAGGCCGGGATCGAGAAACTTAAATAATATGCAATTTTCAGTTAAATTTTCAGTAAGCGGATGGATGGTACGGTTGAATTGCACTTCCACGTCACACCGACCCTTCTTCTTCTTTCCCTTCGATATCTGTTCCATCTGACCCACTCATCGCTCACTTTTTTCTGCAAAACTTGCGAAACAGTCACCCGATAGTTCGGAAGCAATGTTCGCCGCTCGGCGTGTCGCGCCCCTTGTACTGTCCTTTCGCTCCTCTATTTACATTGCTAATTCTGTGCGAGACAGTGTTTCGATCGCGGAGAGTCACCTCTATATAAATGAGCACGAACACGCGGATGCCATCAACAACTGCGTTATCAGTTGAAACCGCCGGTTCGAGATGATTCCACGCATTCCAAACGGGTCGATAAAAGCGGTTTCCGCCACGCCCATACAGTCTCACTGCTCCTTTTTCTGTTTTCTTCTTCTTCTTCTTCTTCTTCTTTTTCTTCTGCTCCACCAACATCTTCCAGTTTCTCCGGCTCATTTACTCGTTCTTTTTGTCTCTTCCGCCTTTTGACTCCTTTCGCTCCTCCGATTCTTCTCGAAGCGCGTGGGCGATTTGTGTTTGTTCAGAGGATAATAGAAGAGTAGTAGAAAAGCGAGGGAGTCACCCATTCCGTCCATCTTCTTCCCATTTGCTCAACTTCCCTTCCTTCTTCAGCTCGCTCTTCTTCAAAATGGATCGCCGTTTCGCACAACCGTTCTCCCCGTTCTTCAACCATCACCGGTAACCACTCTACTCCCATTTCATCTATTTTCTCATATTCAAGAAGCAGATTCTTCGATGACCTCGACTTTGACCGTCAAATGATCCGTCCCTACTGGGCCGATCAGACGATGCTCACCGGACACCGCGTCGGCGATGCCATCGATGTCGTCGACAACGAGAAGGAATACAACGTGTCCGTCGATGTTTCGCAATTCGAACCGGAGGAGTTGAAGGTCAACATCGTTGATAATCAGTTGATTATCGAGGGAAAGCACGCCGAAAAGACTGACAAGTATGGACAGGTATGCCAAATTTCGACGACATCATCTTCATCTGATTCCCTTTCAGATTGAACGTCATTTCGTCCGCAAGTACACTCTGCCGACTGGAATTCGCCCGGAGCAGATCAAGTCGGAGCTGAGCAACAACGGAGTTCTTTCCGTCAAATACGAGAAGAACCAGGAGCAGCAGCCAAAGTCCATCCCAATCACCATCGTCCCCAAGAGAAACTGAAATCAATTTCATCTAAATTCCTTTTAACATTCAATTCAATTATTGAAGTACGCAACGTTCATAAATTATTCTTCATTCACGCCAACAGAATCTTCTGAACAGTCACGAACAAAGCGTACGGGAACATGCTCGGATTCTTCACTTTCACGAGCACCGAGCAGAAGTTCGTATCGTCGTAGTAGTCGTAGTCGATGCGAAGATCCTGCTGGTACAAATCCACTTGGATCGCAGCGATGGCAGTGTCAGCTGGGGATCCGAGGGTCTGATAGACCTGAAAGGAAACCTGCTCGGAAAACATTCAGATGATGTCATCGCACCTGCTGAGCCGTCGCCAACGGGAGACTTCCATTGATAACGGCAGTGCTGACTACGAGTTGTTCGAGCTGTTTGTCGGCGCAATGCGACTGGCACCACTGCACATTTGAGATGGACTGTCCGCAGTTGATCACTGATGAGTCTGAACGAACGAAAGATACATTGCAGAATGGGTGCGTGGGCGGACGCACTCGTGAAACTGGCGGACAGGACGATGTCTTGCTGGACTGCGGCCGACGAATCAGAAAGGTTGACATGCGACGAATAGTTGAGAGAGTGAATCATGAAGTCGTTCTGAGGGATACTTTGGTTATCAGTTGCAATTGCATTTGTTACGATGGTCGCGATCACACCGAAACTTTTCGGTCTTTGGTCAACTCACATTGACGCAGAATCCGGCCAAATTGAAGTAATCATTCGGTTCCCAGGCGTTGAAAAACGCATTTTGGCGAGAACGCGGGCCCAAGTGGCCGGCTGGAGGCTCAGATCGCACGTGGAGCCGGCTCCGCTGAGCACGACGATCGAGGAGAGGAGCAGGAGGGAAAGGGCGTGCGAGCACATGGTTAGCGGCGATAAGGGAGGCACGTCGGCTCGTTTCCTTTTATAGACCGGCTCATTGTCAGCTCTTTTCTCCTGTGAAATCGGTGTATTCTGCACACGGTGAGGGGGCGAGTTGAGCGGATTATTCTGATGGAAACCGGGATGTGCTGGATTTTAAAAACCTTCTCCACCACAAAAATACCTTATCAATTTTCGCGATGTAGATAAACTCTTCAGACTTTATTATGAATCTAAAAGTCTCTCAAATATATATCAAGGTTACATGAAATGGAAACTGGGGGGAGGAAAGGGAAAATATGCGACAACAACAATAAAACTTGGCTTTGAAAACGCGTGTCAAACCCGCACATATTCGACATATAACAAGAAGAAAAGGAGCAACTATTTGATAGTTAGAAGTGGTGAGAAGTCACAACAACCAGCAGAACCGAGCAGAACTGGGGGAACTCGTAAGGCAACCAATGAAATGGACAAAATGGGTCATCGCATCGAGATGAGAAGATGAGGAGAGTTATTGCAAGTAAAGGAACCTTCTTCTTCTTCTGAAGGAGACATTACTGAAGAAGGCGGGGTGAACGGCGAGAAAAGGTCATGATCAGGTGAGAAGTCGGGACAGAGAAGGGAGGATCTAGCATAAATTAGTAAGAGAAAAAGGAGGATAAAGCCAGTTGCGAGTGAGGGGAAAAGAGGGCAAGAATCACATGGGGAAGACGACGTCCATCTTCTTCTTGGCTGCCACGTTGTTCAGCACTTCGTTCACCGTCATTCGGCTAGTCTCCGGGCACATGAAGTAGCACATGATAGTGAAGAGTCCGGTGGGAATGAGAAAGAGGAAGAGCGATTGGGCGCCGATCTGGAAGTATTCAATGAGAACGGGAACTTTAGAAATAAGTGCTTACCACATTGGCAGTCGGGTAGAAGGCGAATTCCACTCCAATCTTCGTGAGCGCTTCAAACATTGTCAGCGTGGACACTGAAGAAAGCAGCAGGTTTCGGGGCACCAGTTCAGCTGCGTAGAATCTCGACACGGAACCGATTCCGCAGGTATTCACGAGAAGAAGGACGGTGAGTCCGATGAATGTGGCGTACTGTAATGGATGATTGTTCGTCTTGATTGATGTTTTCTCTCTTACCTTCCACTCTCCGTTGATGTCGATGGCGATGATCATGAGAAGGATGGAGAGGAACGAGACGAGCATAGAGACGATGATCAGCGGACGACGGCCGAGACGGTCCACCAGGAAGACGGGGACCAGAGTGAACGGCAGACGGACGAGTCCAGTGGCGAACGAAAGCCACGTGGCTTGCGAGTAGGTGAAGTGAGAGAGAGTGTAGAGAATGAAAGTGCTGTAGCCGCGGAGAGAACGGGCTCCGGTGAACACGTAGGCGATCTTGACCATGACTCCGACCCAGGCGCAGTAGCGAATGAGTCTGGAGGTTTGATCCTTGGCGCGCCACGGCATGAACATGATTTCCATTCCGCTGTGATTGCATTCGATTCCCTGAAACATAAAGGTTTGATCAGCAAGTCCTTTGCTTTACGATCCACTCACCGCATTGTTCGACTTCTTCTCCTTGTTCTTTCCGATACTTTGTTCACAGATTCTGATCTCCGACTCGACGGAAGGATCGTCTTCCGACACTCCGTGGTATTGGGCAAGAGCCCTCCTGGCACGATCCACGTCGTTGTACTTCTCCATGATGAACTGCGGCGATTCGGCGACCCACGAGAACATGACCATCGAAACAATGACGACGGCACAGTTCGGAAGGAAGTTGTAGGGCCAGAGCTCGTCCGTGGAGAAGGGAACGCCGACCGCTTGCGTGAGCAGCGATCCGAGGGCCATGAAGAACTCTTGCATGGCGGCCATCCTTCCTCTGATCTGTGGGGGCGCGCATTCGACGATCCAGACGGTCGCGTTGACAGTGTTTACTCCGTTCGCCAGTGACCAGATGACACGACCTACGAACAAAAGCTCGAAGGCCGGGAAGCACCATTTGGCGGCTGCACACAGAATCGCTCCGGGAATCTGAAGAGAAATGGGTGATATTTAGGAGAGGAGGTTTGTAGGCTACAGAAAATTCCGAGAAAGGAACCAGTTGAAGACACTCACGTAGAGGAAAGAGGCGATGAGGGCGGTGTGCTTCCTTCCGAACTGACTGCACATCCAGCCGGCGAGGAACTGGCCGAAGATGGTGGCGATTGGGAAGCACACATTGAGAAGGGACCAGAGCAAGTGCTGCAATTTAGACGGCTTCAGTTTCAGTTGTCGCTTTTGAAACACCAAATTTCTGCGTTCCGTTTCAATAGCTGATTGACGAGAACCGGTATTCAAAAAAAGAAAAGGTTCTTTGTATTGAAATGCCACGTCAGAATTGAACAAAGAAACCGGGTGGGTAGACTAGGTTATTTTGGGGGACTGATAGGAAGCGAAAATAGACGATGAAGAAGTGCACTATAGTAGTGGTGATGGCAAGAAGCTGATAAGGAGTTGATAAGAAATTGTACTGGCGGGCTCACCAAAGTGGAATCCGAGATCGGATGGCCTGTCCGTTCTATCCAGGAAGAGTTGATGAACTGCTCAATTTGTGCGTACGGCTGATTGAGCACCGACGCGATGTATCCTTGCTGGAATCCCGATGAAAGACATAGTGCTATCGAGAGAATGTGGATGGAGAGCGATGGCATGACCTGAAAATAAGTAATCTTTGCATTGGGGGGACGAAGTACATAAAGTGGGGAGGTCATCTCGACTTTAAATAGTCTCTATATCATTTTTAAACTTTCAGTTTTTGTCGTCGAGAGTGAGACAACAAAGCCCGAAAAAACAACAATACAGCTGGAGACGTAGGGCGGAGACGACGACGGTGGCCAGTCAGTGTACGATGATAAGCGAAACCCCCCGACCGACTGACCAGTTGAGATAGAGAGAGAGAAGAAAAAACGAGAAGACGCTTACTGTTTTATGGGTACCGGGCGACCGAGTAAAAGCCGATTGGAAATCAAATGCTTTTGGGTGAGAAATGAGTGGAAGAGGACTATGCTGTTTGTTTTCAGGCAGCTTCTATCAGCTGTGAGTATATTTGTGGAAACAGTGAAACAGCAGCTGAGATAAGATTCTGGCAGTCTTTTATCAGGCAAAACACCTGCAAAAACGCGGATCACAAACAAGTTCTACCGCATTCCGAATGCACCACATCAGCGTCCATTTTCTTACTGTCCTACCTATACATCGTTGGCCAAACCTACAGTTGAGACACAAGGTCTGCAAACCCGAAAAAAAATAGTTTCGCCGAAGCGACAACAGAAAAACATACCGAATCTGAGATTTCTAAAAAATTGTGACCAATTCCCAACTTTTATAGACAGCAATCACTGTCAGCGTCGGCGAGGGGGCTGTCCTCGAAATCGGGCACCACGGATAGATTTATAGGTTTGGCGACGATGGAATAGATCAGGTACTGAGGGGATGGTGTGAGATGACTGACCGGTGCGTCAGTCACAGACGGGTCAGAGTGGGGCGCGAGAAACCGCGAGTGAGGACAAATATTGCATCGGGAGCGGCTACTTCTTGTTGACCACCAACGGAACGATGTGTTGCTTTTTGGGACGGAAATGGGATGGATTATGGGCACAAAACAACTTTCTTTGGAAACTGTACGAAAACAGTTTGTTTTTAGAATGATCCACAAGGATGTGTGTTGGACAAGAAGATAGAACGTTGTCAACATCTATGATCAGAAGTGAAGAAATCTTCCAAAAGATACCAGATCGAGGGGAAAGTGTTTTTTGTTTCAATCGTCGCGGTCGAGATGGGTGCGATGTACGGTTTTTTACTGCCACGAGATCGAACTGCGACCGAAAAATAACTATTTGAGAACATTTCGACGAGATTGTCTGATTCGAACTGGACTGAAATCGAAATGATGATTCCACGTCCACGCAATGTACAGTTGTGGAGAAGAGCAAACTTCTGGATACTTGAAAAGAGACGAGAAACACTGCGAAGCTCTTCTCGCTTGTCTCGTCAATTTTATGACCCCAGAGAAGCCGGAATAGAGAGATTTTTGCTTCAAAGTGGACATCGACATTCAGAAGATGGAGAATGTGGGTGGCGAGATGCACGTCCGACCGCCGACAGTTGACTACGACTGCGCAATAAATCATGAATGTGTTTCGGAATGACTTTTAAAAAACAGGCGATTGGCAGAAATCGTTACTCGATTATGGCAGTACTAGGACAAATTGGTAGAAAAAATATAAACGTTGGATAGGTGTCCTTACGTTTCTCGGCAGATGTTTTGCAAATTACGGTAATCACGTGAACTTCTGATGAAATATGAACAGTTAAGGCATGTGAACAAATTATGACGTGGCAGGTTAGGATAACGTTGCTTTTCGGAATATGTTGTGAACTTACTATGGGAAACATTTCAAATCCTCATGAAGCCGAATAATCACGATTTGTACTGAGCATCGGCCTTTTAAACTCCCCGTTTCGGTATCATTTGAAACGTTTTATTACTCTGTTTCCTGTCACGGTTCCCGTATGGTCAACTTATCAGCTCCTTTCTCCCCATTGTTATCACCGTGTTCGTCCGTTTCCGATACGCACTTTCTTCCGTTCACATACAGAAAAACGTCATCTTCGTCCATTCAGAGCACTCCCATTGTTTTAATTACTTCCTGTATACAACTGCCATTGTACAATTCGTTGTATTTCCAAAACGAGCAGTGTTCAGTCCCCGACAATGTGTCTTTGGGGAAAAGATGCACTTCGAGGCTCATTCCGCTATCAGTCTACCTTCTATTTCTAGCACTTATCATCTCACTTATTCTAATTATAGTTGTTCTTTCAGTTTATCTCAAAACGATCAAAGTTCTTCTGGAGTGCATTTAATCGAAGCAACAATTCTCGGAAACGCACGCGAATTATTTGATAAACTGAAGCGAAGCAGAGACTGAAATAAAAGAAAGGAGGCGAAATGTCGACGAAAAGAATATTTGATTTGTGGTTCTTGACTGCCAACAGACCAAGGAGCCTTCATGATTGAAGCCGTTTCAGAAAGAAGAGCAGTCATTGTCTGTCAAGGACTGCCATAATGAGCTCCAGGAGGAAGACGAAAATAAATGAGATTTCCGCACCGGAAGAATGTGCATATCGTTTCTTTTACGTTCTCCCAATTCTCATTCTTTCTAAGAATCTATTTTGAGAACTCGACTCAAACTGGGAATCATTGATGACGGATGTGACGTCACAAGTTCATCGGGCAGTTGAAATATTACGGTAGTCGGCCTAGTTCGACAATTTCATTGATCAAAAAACATGTTTTTTAGCGAAATTTATTGAAAACAATGTGTCTTTGGAACGGAGAAGTTACCTAACTATTTGCGACAAGTTACGCATCACGTTGTGCAACTCAAATAATCGCCGTGCAAAGGTCAAACTTGGTGCCAATTTAAGGGAAATGTGGATGAATGAAAGAGCACGTACCTTTCTGGGAGCATCTGGAATAAGTGGTGCCTGCGAATCATCGCTGGCAATAGACCCTCTCGGAAAATTGGACATTCGTCGAGGTTATCAGGAACAACAATATAGAATGCGAGTTTCGATAGACACTCTTTGTCTGTCGAGAGCGAGGGGAGCCGGCGGCAAGTGACTGCTCGGTGGCGGTCGAGGGCAGAGAGAAGGAGGAGACACACGACAAAACGCGTCCAAACTTGGCCGGATGCGAGACGAACAATCTCCTCGTGGGCCACGTTTTCTCGTCAACGACATGCACGAATTCTCTTCGCTGATTAACACTCTATCAACTGAAGGGGCGGGCGGAAGGGGAGGACAACGACGTCGAAACACGCCGCCGACTGTATGACTAAACGGAGAAGAAAAGGAAGAGTGTAAAGTTGAAAGACCATCGACAATGTCTCCTCAGAATCTTCGTATCACTTCGATTGACAACATCCGACGGAAGCGTCACATGCTTCGAATTTTCCTATTTTTCAACTGACGAAAACTAGAATTCGTTTAATTTTTGATAATCACACATTCCTTGTCTTAAACTGCTTCCGCTTCTTTAAAGTCGCAAAAAGTGTCTGCCAGATCAAAATTTCGCTACTTGATTGTTTGCGCAACACATTAGAGAGAACGAAGCAGAAAATAGGAGAGTGTCTGGCGACGGCAGGAACAGAAAATCGCGGAGGACATAAACGGCTGAATACTGATGCGCCACGGTTCCAGTTTTTCCGCCATTTACTAGGATATATAACGGTTTTGACTAGGTTGTCGGAAGTGAGAGGGAGGACAAGTTGTTACTGTGACGCACAGTCAGATCACAGAACGCACGTCGTCGCATGAAGCAGTTGCAACTAGAATAGAGGTATGAATCACTCAGGAGTACGTTAGATGAGATCAGGTGCAATTGTGCGAACATTGAACAATTTGCGTTTCCAGAAAAAAAGAATTTGATAAACAGATATAAACACAGTTTCACTTTTTTCTAGAGATAGAATAAGATTTGAAGTAGTAGAGGGTTACCTGATCTGGCTGAAACTCATTGTCTTGCGACATCTTCTGCTTTCTAGTTTCGCGCATGCGGTCAGCTTCCAATTGACTATCGAATGGATAATGAAAGAGCGTATCAGATAAACTGATTGATTTCAGGAAGAATGAAACAGGTTATGCGTGATTTTCAAAGGCCGATGGCGCTGCCGGAGATAAGGCTAGGTCAGGAGTCATAGAGAACACTGGAAAACAGATGGAAAACGCAGAGGTTCGTGCATTCCGTCGGCTCACACAACATCTTTTATACTGCGGGGAGCTTCACAACTGAGGGCGTGTCGGGCAGTACTGTATGGTAGGCGAGCAAGCAAAACAGCAGGCTGCGTCCATCTCGCGACCACCTCGAAGCGCTTACGGCACCACCCACTGTAGACTGTTGATGCGTCATGCGAGAATGCGTGCAGGAGTGCGAGAGAGCGGAGTCACGTCTACTAGTGGGATTTTTGAAGATGAGTATGATATCATTTGCATGATACGGCGAAAACAAAACTGATTTCAAGGTAATTGTGGCAGAGATCATTGTGAAACGAAATGGAACGAATTATCTGTTGGACGTCATCAGACCGGACTCAGAAAAGATAACATTTCAGAATCTCGCAAACGTTTATGCATACAAATGCAAAAAAAAACTTCTCTACTTTCTCACACTTCCTGATTCACTGCAACACTCCGAAAAATAAAAATCGAAGTGCACAAAAATGTTATTTCTTTTTCATTCTCACGCAGATCAACAGTTACATCACTAGCGTAATCCGATCATAGGTACTCCCACACGTCGATTCATCTTTTCAGAACGGAACGGATTCCCCAGTGGTCTTTCGAAGGTCGCCGTGGCACAGATCAGTGTCGGTTTGGCTGACCCGATCACCAATAAAATTGCCCATCGCATTAAACTGCTTACTGTTTGCATAACTGCATCATTTCGGGTGGTCTTCAGGAAGTTTCCCATAGTTTGCACCAGGTACATTGTCCCGTCTATATTAGTTCGTCATCCATTCTAATATTTTGAAGACGATTCATCGTGCCATTTCTATTTTTAGAATGCGAAAAAAAGATGGGGAAAACGAGGGGAAAACGTGCTTTTGCGATCCTTTCTGACGTGAACAGTTCAAACAAAAAGACGTAAGATTGTGGTAGACGTGGAGACGGAGACGACGGCTTCCGGCGCCATCGATGGTAAATCAGCGGCGATTACTGATTGCGGGCGGAAAAAACAAGGACAAGGGAACCCCCTACGTACCTGATAGCCGAAGAAACTGTTCTTTGCGATATCTGCTTCCCATTTTTTAATTCTCCGACGGTAAGGTCCAAAGAAGCGGAAATTTCCAGAGAATTTGCGTGGAGCAAGGTGACGGGGGGAATACAAGACCATCGCGGACTGAAGGGAACGGACGAGTGGGCGAGGAATGAGACGGAAACGAAACTAAGACGCTCTCTTCCCATACCGTCTCCGTTTACGGGAACGGCGGCGCTTGCCTAATTATGCATGGGAAACGAGGGGAAAACTCTGAGCGCTCTTTGGTTGTTTGGACTAAATTTGAAGGGGAACGGAAGAGAGAAAGAGAGCCGGGAGTAACAATTGATCGGCAAGAAGAGAGGATGAGAGGCGGAGGAACAAGAGTAACGGATCGAAGTTATTTCGAAAACCAAGCAGACGCGGGCCAGGACACATGAGTTACTCTCTTGGGGCTCTCCGTCTCCATCCCTCTCCGGAATTACACATCATTTGACGGCTAACAGCTGATGAACTTTGACTTCTGTCTCACCTCTCCCTTCTCTTTTGTGGAAATACCCGAACTGTCCGATATACTTCTTCCACGTGGTCTGCGCATTATCTCTCTGAAATTATTCGCACTTCTTGGGCGACAACGGCAGGAACGGTCCGTGAGCCACCTGGACGGCAAACAAAATCAGAAAAGCAGGCCATCCGAGTGACGCGGCGACCGCAAACGATATCATTTGTACTTACTTTCTGAATGAAAAATCAAATAACAGTGTCGTATGAATGATCTCCGCATTACATGAGGCAAAAATAAAAAAGTTATCGAATTATTATCAAAAGGGAACAGTATTTATTGGGTAGCAGTAAAGATTAGTATTTTTTTAGGCACATGAGCTAGGAAATGTTGATAACATCTTTAAATGGATTCCGATTCTCTCGTAAGTCCAGAACATTCTCACTTCCGCTTCGATCTCTTTAATCAAGGCCGATCTGAAAACAAATTGGCCATTATCGGAAGCACAAATAGTCAATAGTCGGCTGTTGATCCCTTGTATCAATGTATACACAAAATAATGTGGTTATTTTGGTGTTGTGATCGGTAGCCATTGCAGTTCCGCGTCTCACCTAGCAGCTACAATTTCGAGGTTGTGAGGGTCATAATCAATGGGTCCGGTGATCCAGAGTCTCCCGTAGAGTGCTGCAAAATTTAGATGAAAATTAAAAGTAACAAAACGACTGACGATTCAGTTTTAATCTGTTGACTCGGCCGATAATTTCTCTGAAATCGTCGCTCGACACCAGCCGCACACTCCAATCCTGTAAACGACGATGAGCAGAAAACACAGACGAGTTTACCATGCTAACAATTCCGTCGACATGACGCTTCATCTTCTGGAAGAGTGGCTGTGGGAGAATAGTTGAGAGCGAATTGAAGAACTGCAGGCGCCACGACTCGTATATTTTCTGTGGCGATCTGAAACGATTGTGGATTCGACGTGTGTCAATCGTAGTCTCACGGTGGCTTGCCAACAGCTTCCTCTTCTATGACCGCAGTACCTCCGACTATCGCGAACGGAAAGTCCTGGAAACCGGTGAACAGACACATCGCACTGTCGCTCCTCCGGCGTTCTGCAACAAAAAGAACGATTGTGAGAGTCGCAACCGTATTTAATTCAGAAAACGGGATAAACGCTGAGAGTCTGGGTTTCGTACCGACACAGGCGCGCACCGTCGTGCCTAAAACATCGGCGATGACCCGAAGAACGGTGTTCAGTCGCTTCAAAACAGTGAAGATTTGCTGTTCATTCGGTTGCTTCCAACCGACTTCGATCGCTTGTATCTTTGGAGGCAAAGGCTGAATCGGAAAGTGCTGCTGCGGGTTCGGCGGTCTCAAATACAGGCTCATCAACGGTTGTGCGGAGTTGGGAGACGTGCCGCGTTGGTCCGAGTTTCCGTCCGGCGCCACCGCTGTTGCGTACGATCTCTTTCTGCCTTCGTCGGCAATCATTTTTGCAATTCTTGTCGGAAGATTTATTGTCTGAATTCTTTCCGAACTTGTAAACAATCCACTCTTCAAATCAATGTCTGCCATCGAGTTCAGCGGCGGCGGTTCGAATTGTGTATTCTGTAACTGTTTTTACTTATTTTTTCGATATATCCGTTCACTCACACAAACTGCGTTTTGCCGGCTGTTTTCAAACTGTTGGAACCATTTTTTCAGCGTTTGAAGCAGAATTTCGCTCGAATTGCCATCTGAATCATCCATTTGTCGCGAATATTGGCCCGGGAACCGTTTTCCCCACGTGGACGGGTCAGTTTGACGGAAAGAGAGCCGAGATTGCTGAGTATGGCGTTGGTTCACGTCTATTATGTTCGAACGACACTTCTGCCGCCAAATAGAAAAGCGTTCGCTATGCGCCTTTAAGATTACTGTAGGAGGCCAAAACATTCATTTTGCAGCGTTTCCGCGGGAAGTTTCCTTTCCTTCATGTCATTTAGCTGCGAATTGCGATAATTTTCCAAAGCATTTAATTTGAAAAAAAAACATTCGAGCGCTAATTCTACTCGACTCTCTTCCTAAAATTTCAGCAAAACTTTCTTATAACCCTTGTTAACCCAAATTGAACTTGTTCCTTCGATTCGAAAATCATCCACTGCTGCTTCTATGAATTCAAGCTTGAGATTGTTGCCGTGTGTATTTCCCAGTTTTACTCCATTGTAAAAGCATCGAATATCCAAAGTTTCCATCACTCCTTTATTTATTTGTAAGCAAGAATAAAGCGACAAACCTTCCAAAAATAATTCAGTCAATAAAATTGTGATTGGAGATTCGCAACGTGATTTACAGATGATCGAATCTAGAAAGTCATCGATAAACGATAAGTGAAGCATGAAAATCGGGAATTCCTTGTATGCATTACATTTCAATACATGTTGCTGTCTTCTGTGTATAGTTCGTCCGCGTACTTCTTCCACGTCGTGTTTCCCACCGCCAGCGTCACTTTGTCATCTCGAACTTTGGCAACTGACGCCACATTCCAGTTTCCGGTCTTCATATCCTGTGCGATCACCTTGCTTCCGGGAGCCAGACGGCGTTGTTCCGTAGAAGTGAGCACGCGCAGACGCATATTTCCGACAGTCAGACTACGGATCTGTGATTGGGTGTGCGACTGGAATGATATAAAAAAATGACATGCGAAAAAACGGAAATAAAAAAAACGGGAAAGTGGCCGCTGGGAGGCGGCATTTTTGGTTCAAAATGAAAAAAACCAGACAGAGAACCTTGATTTCCTCGACGAAACCAGGGAAAGTTGGTTTTTGAAAATAATATAATGAGAAATAAGAACAGTTAAGGAAATCATGTTTTGAAAACGTCCCTGGTCTCGTCGCGAAGTCCGTTCTTCCAGCGACCACATCCAGTAGAATTCTTGGTACAAACCTGATTATTTCCAGTCGGTGCTGCGGATGCGGACGGAGTAGGAATGTTGGTACTCGGAAAACTGACGGGCGCATTCATCTGTATCATTGGTGGAATAATCTGGCTCACCGGCGGATTTATTTGACCGAGAGCAGTATTCAGTTGACCAATTTGTGAATTCATTTGCATCATCGGTGGATTCAATTGACCTACAACTCCAGGAATTTGATGTCCTGCGCTATTGTGTGCGAGCGATTGATTCATGTTTCTGTGGATGGTATCCACGAGATCCTTGAGGTCGACGACAAGCTGTTGTTTCTGTTCAAAAGATATCGATGTGAGTGTGGTCGAGTAGAGCTGTATCGTTTTGAAAGTAGCCGAATTGTAGATCATCTCGAGAATGTGGTCCATCTTCTTCAAACGCACTTCTGCAAAGCATTTCTCCAGATTCTCGACCATCGAGTTGAAATCGTCCTCCACTTGCTTCAGCATTTGCGCCGTCTTCTGTTGCTCTTCCAACTCCTTTCTCTCTTTCTCGTTCTGATACTGTTGCTGTTGCTTCACCATCATCTCGATCTTTTTCTCCATCTCAAGTTCCGCTCGAATTTTGGCCCTTTCTTCTTCGAGAATCTGCTGTCTGATCTGTTGCTCCATCTCGAGCCTTTTTTTCGCCAACTCCAATTCCATCTGCTCTTTCATCTCTTTCTCCTTCAAAGCGATCAACTCTTCCGCTTTCGGTTTCTTCATTTCGCTGTACTCCGAACCCTTTTTCGTTCTGTACCTCTCTTCTCCGTGTCTTCTGCTGTCCACGTCGCCATAAGAGTCTCTAGAACGAGAGCGAACCGGCGATAACGTCTAAAACAAGATGAGGTCTCCGTAGCTAACTTTCCTTTAAAACCATTGGTTGATATTCCATTTGTCCATCTCAAAGCTAGAATACTCTTACCTCAAGTGCTTTCGGAACGACTAATCCTGGAGTCTCTATTCCTTGATAATACACATCGATCATGACCTAAAAATGGACAACTAAGAACTCAGAATAGGGTTAGACAAGGGCGTACCATTCGCAGCATCATCTTGAATTTGTCAATAATCTCTGGATCGAGCTGGCGGAGCGTCAGAAATCCCATCGGCAAGACTTCTGAAAAGTCCCGGGTTTCTACAAAATTCCCTTTTTTCTAACCATGTGACATTTTTTTGATGAGAAGGACGACTGCATTCACCGCCTTCGTTATCTGCAGATCGAACTCTCTCTGGAAGGATCTGTCCAGTTTCTGCCTCTCTCCGACCGCCGCGTGCAGTTCACTGTTTATCACTCCGATGCGGTGGCACTTGTCGATTAGATCCTTCGCAGCCGAATACTTTGCATAATGCGATCGAGTTCCGTATCCACTTCCGTAGAAAATCGCCGCTGGAAGGCCGTCGATCGTCGTGTCGCAGTGCAGCATTCGTTCTCTGTCCGAGTTGTCAAAGTCCGGCGGAAGCACAATTTTCGCCTTCTCGGCCTCGGTGGCGCCTGGAATCTCTCTTTTGTTTCTGCTCACTTTCCCCCATCAAACGTACATGTGACATTCTCCTGAAGTCTTCTCTGTCCGTGCACCAATCTGTCGGCCAAGTTCGAGGTCTGAGAATTGAGCAGACTGACGAACTGAGTGAGGAACTCGTAGTAGTTGTCGTTCGTCCAAACCAAACCGTCTCGAACTGGTTCTTGGGAAACGGGAAGGTACGTATCTTTCTCTCTCTCCCTGTTTCTCGGCTTTCCACGCTCTCTGATTCTGTCTCTAGATCTAGACCGGGAACGGGAGCAGGAACGAGATCTTCTCGATCGATACTTGTCTTTCCTGCGATCGTCTCGAACGGTACGAGCTGAAAAACAAACGAAATCGATTTTCATGGAAATAAAACTTTTTTTTATTTACCGTTAACAATCCGCGTTTCTGGGCTTTGCGACCTGCTCCGCGAAATATCCATGTCGCCTCCGATGCGTTCAACTGCCAGCTTTGGCTAAAGTAAACGTAACTATTGTTTTCTTCTCCGTTCCTCTATCTTCTTACCGTTCTCAAAAGAGGCGTTCTCCCATCTGGTCTCACCAAATCCTCGCCGAACGGTCCTTTGTCGAATCCACGTCTTCTCGAGCCAGAATTCGGTCCGACAACCGGACCGTTGTAAGTGGAACTTGTGTAGGAATCGGGCTGACGACTGTAAGACGAGAATCGAGAACTCGGAGCGTTACCGAGCAAGGGTTGGCGAGCTGGCGGGCCTATTCCCATTTGACGCAGTACGTCATCGGAGTACGTTGGCGAATTACTGCCGCTGAAAATCAAAGGGTAACTTTTTGTAATCAATAAAAAACTCACTAGAGTGAAATATGGGGAGCGATGATTCTGTTTGGAATGTTATTGTAATCACCGCGGTTCATTATTGCTTCTGAAATGAATAAAATCAAGCATAGTAATGAGATGACACGTATATCGACTGGAAGGACTGAGAGGGGAAAAAGAGAAGCATGCAGTGGGGACGTCAGAGAGTGCGCGGCGCTGTTTGAATAAATAAACAGAAGCAATGCCACACTGTCCATGACTAGAACCTGGAAAGATACAATATCATCTGGACTTTGATATATTTGATATGCCCTTGATAAGGCTTAGAGAACGAGTTTTCCGGAGGAAAGTGCTTTCTCGAAGCAAGCCATTTGTAAAATGTATCTCAAACTTGATTAATTTCCAGCATTTTTCTTCAAAAATGTAGCGAGTAATACAAAAACTACAACTATCCTTTGTTTCCCGTGCGCAATCACATGAAACACATAGAGCGTGATGGTGTCTACACGTAATGCGCACCATTTTACGCGCACACTTCAGCTTTCGGTCACTTGATTTCCGAAATCATTTCGGGCTTAATTGCCTCTTTCCCGTGCCATTTTTTCCGTGCGTTTCGATTATATTTTGATGTGTGTACTGCTTAAAAAAAGTTACAGTGCTCAATTTGTTTATTGAGTACTATTCTCCAACAAAATCAGTCATTTGTTAGTTTCTTGAACATTTCTGACACAAACTGTTGAAGAAAATGTTATGCTGTTTTGTTCATTCTCAAAATAGTCGGGCATGTAAATTAGACACACTATTTCTTGAAAAAACGTTAATGCGACCGACAATTCTCACAAATTTCTCTTCCACTGCGACGTACCACTTGTAAGCCACGTAGTCGATCGATTTTCTTCCGACAACAGTTTCTGCTTGTATTGTTGAAATTAGAAATCTGCTTGCAATTTATTTGCTGGAAAATTTGAACACATGGAAAAATTTTACTCCTCAACGACAGCGATCGATCCAATTGCGCCCTCGTTGTTGTAAAACCTGTTATCCGTTCTCTCTGCTGCAGTATCCACTACTCCGTTTTGCGCCATTTTCTTATTTTATCGATCATTTTCTTCAGAGACTGTTGCCTAAAAATGAGTGCTCAAGCGGGATCCTCGGAAGTTTCTAAAAAGCTCAAGGTTTCTAGAAAGGAATGGGCCAAAATCTAACGAATAACAAAGTTGCAGGCGGCAATTCGTGCAAAACTTGAAGAACTCGGAGTCTACGTTGACGATGAACTGCCTGACTACATTATGGTCATGATTGCCAACAAAAAAGAAAAGGCTCAGATGAAGGACGATCTGAACTTGTTCATCGGAAAAAGCACCGCTAAATTCGTCGATTGGTATAGAAATCAACGTTTATCGAGCTTCAAATATTGGGTTTCAGGCTTTTTGATTTATTTGACCGACTGCAAAATGCTTCGGCGAAATCGAGTGAAAGTAGCCGGAAGGAAGAGGAGAAGAAAAAGGAACTCGAGCTCAAAGAGCAAGAAGAGAAACATCAGAGAGAAGAGAGGAGAAAGACAGGGAACTGTACGAAGAGATTACGGAATACCACGACAATGATAAAATTTATTCAGGCAAAAGAGAAGGAGCGAGAAAGAGAAAAGGAACGTGAACGGGAGAAGGAGCGGCAGAGAGAAAGGGACCGCGAGAAGCGGGTCGAGGAGGAGAAAAGACGTGATGAGAAACGGAGGGAGATTCAGAAGTAAGACAAACTTGAGAAACACAAATTAATATGTCAATTCAGGAACAAGCGCAGACGCAGTCGTTCGAACACTTACTCCGATGAGGAAGACAGAGCTCGGATCAGGGACAAACCCGACCGTCAACGCCGAGATCATCGAGAGCCGAGAGTCAGATCTCCCGAACGGAGGAAAATACCCTCATATGTCGTTCCTCAGTCGTCGGCTAGTCCAGATCGGAAGCTCAACTCGACAGTCACTGTGAAACGGAATATTCGTCCGTCTGGAGAGTAAGTGAAAACACAGAGAATCAGTGAAACTCCTTTCTGTTTCAGTGTCAACGTCAAGGGACGTGGATCGATGTTCCTTCGTGCGATGAACGAGGCCAGTGTGAGTGCTGGATACGGACCACCGACTTCGAAGCAAGCCGAGCAACACGGACAAGACGAAGACGATATGTCTGATGTGGAGGCTCTGCCAACAAAAACGGACTCATCGCCGAAAAAAAGCATTCGCGAAAGGCTGAGCAGGTAGACAATGCGAAGAACATTTTCTGAGCCTCCCTGAATAACAATTTCAGAATCACTTCCAATGGAAATCAGCTGATTGAGGATGACGCAGTCGTTCTGGGCAGTCAGCCACAGACTGGCGGACCGCAGATGATTCTAAAGTTGGCCGGAGGAAAGGAAGCGATCAAAAGAACTCGCATTCAAGATCGCATTGTCGTTGATGATAATTTGCGCAGAGGGCTTCTGAAGAGAAAAGTCGCCGCGTCAGAGGAGCCGAAGAGTAAGCACGAGAGAATAATATTCGACATAGCTCAATCTCGTGACTCGACGCCGACTGATGACTCTCCGACGATGCGCAAATGGAATGGTCAGATTGAATTGGGCGACGACTCTGAATCTGACGACGAGGAGGCCGAGATAGATGCGTTCGTCGCCGAAGCGAGAGGAATAACGAGAATAGACAGTGTGCGCGAGGAGGAGGACGAACTGCCGCCGACACACCAACTGTCCGGAAAGTCGTTCGCCATCCACGTCAATCAGCACTATCAGCAGCCAGTGCCCACCTACATCCCGACTCCGTTGAGTGTCCTCCAAGAGCAGCAGAATCAGTTGAACGGAGGCTTCGCGAAGGAGGACAATCACGTAAAGGAACGGTGCATCTTCTGGCCAAAGTGCACGAAAGGAGACGCCTGCAATTTCATGCACCCGGTCAAGAACTGCACGTGCGTTGTTCTTTCACTTCGCTCTATTTTTAAGTAGCCTTCTTTTTCAGAAACTTCCCGAATTGCACTTATGGAATCCGCTGCCTCTTTATCCATCCACCATGCCGTTTCGACCGTTTTTGCACCAAGAAACACTGTCCATTCACTCATCACGGAACCGGCGGAGTTCAACCTGGAGTCAAGCCTGAAGCGAACTCTGAAAAATTCTATCCTCTCACTTCGAACCGAGTTTCTGCGGTCTTGAAGTCACCCGAGGTGCTTCCCAAGCCGACTGTTCGTGGAGCTCTCGGAAATCTCGCTGAAAAGTTGGCCGCTTCAATCAAGAAGAAGGGCTCTCCAACCGAAAAGAAGGAGGAGAAGACTGATGAAAATGAGAAGAAGGAGGCGGAAGCGGAAGGGTCGAAAGAGTTGACTCCGCCAAAGGATGATGCCAATTCGATCAAGCAACCAACTACCAAACCACTTCCAGAGTAAGCAAATGACAAATTCTCAGTAGAAAACAATCTTTTAAAGTTTCAGAATCGCTCCTCTCCAGAATATGATTCCGTGCCGCTACGGCGTCAGCTGCCGCAATCCGGTTTGCCACTTCAAACATCCGAAGGAGTGCAGATTCGGATCCAACTGCCGCAACCCCGGCTGCTACTTCTTCCACAAGCCGACCGCTGCTGCTGCTGCACCGACTACGCCGGTCATCGACAACTCCGCGGTTACTGCCAAGTACAAGTGGACTGCCGCCGCTCCCTAGTCCTCCACTCTCAAGCTCCCCGTTGCCTCCTCATTCTCTCTGTGAAAGTTGATCTGACGTGTCACTCCATACCCCTTCTTTCTCAGTGTCTTTTCCTCATTGCTTTCCTATTGTAAACTCTGCGGTCCCTCTCAACTATTCGTTTCGAAATTTTATCTTTTATCTAGCGATTTGTCAAAACGAATTATATAAGTATCGCAGAGCATTAGCTTTTCCCATTTAGTTATCTGTTCAACTGAGCTAGTAGTTCCTTTTTGCAGCTCTCCCCGATATTTCTTTGAATGACACTGTTCAATTCCAATTATATAATTGTACCGTACACTTTTTATTAGGAGCCGCTTCCGTTCCCGACTGCTCTGAGCTCTAAGCCAAACATTCCGGAATTGGATCTTCTCTCCTACCCCCCACTCCCACCGATGATTAATTTCCGAACATGTTCATCCCTCCCGTTTCTCCACTATTTTCGTCATGTTTTGTTGAAAAATGCCAAATCCGCTGAGAACGATAGTAATCTAGTTGAGAAATGAATATCTTTCCTCTCCGCAAACAAGGTTCTCAATTTGCAGAATCATCTCTGCTGACCATCTCGAGCAAGAGCACGAAATCAGAAAAGTGATTGGGGAAAAAACTGCTCCTCTCTCTCTCCAAAGTGCTCTCCAAACAAAAGCGCTGTTTGTGTCGGTCGGCCGGTCATTCTGCCCTTCCGTTCGCCTCATGATTCCCCTCTTTTTCCTCGTTTTCCTCGTTCCCATCTCGGCGGCTCCGTGCCGAATGTCTCCGTTGACGAAGTACCTTTCCGATTATGAGCAGGTTCGTTTCCCAACGAATTCCTTGAAAAATATCCATCCGGAGGATTGATGTTCGTTCTTTTCTAACGTTTTTCATCGGACACTTTCAACAAAAGTCTGGAATTTCGCTCTACCGCACTTCACGTGAACTAGTTACCGCGTCCGAGAGTTTTCTCCAGCTGTTTTCTCCAGTTTTTGCGCGACGAGCGAAGATTCAGCAATTTCTCGTGGTAGAGCGCGATTGCAAAAAGTCTTCGGTGTTTGTAGAAGTTTTATAATATTTCCAGCAAACTCTGCACAAACTGATAGTCACCGCTCGGAACGCGGGGGCGGACGAAGAAATGGTCCGCGAAAGCATGGACGAGTACCTTGCTCAAGTGCTTTCCCCGGAGAAACTGCTGGAATTCAAGGCGGATCACGACGAATTCGAGGCGCAGAGAAGGGGAAAACGGTCGAATGAGGACAGCGAGAGGAAGCAGGAACCGAAGAAAGTGTTCGATATAATCGATCAGTTCACAAGCGATTATCAAAAGTTCTACGAGGAACCCACAGCTGTTCGCAATCGGAATAATCTAAATTGATTGGAGAAGTATCTTTTGTGTACGGGTTTCAGAGTTTTTTTTCAGTTTTTTTTAACAATAATGTCAATAAATTTATGATTTTTTTTTAAATTGTCATCCGCACATTTTTTCACAGCGAGAATGATTCATTGGGCAGCAGAGGCACTCCTTTTTCTATTTCTGTCTCTTTACAATCATCTTGTTATCCCGTTCCGCGTTGCGTTGGAAAGGTCGAATTGGGAGGATTATCCACCTTTTGAGGCCGAAATGAACTCGAAGAAATTTGACTAATCTGATTATCGGGCGCTACAACGAAATGGAACTCGCACGGGATGTAACTGTTACGATTTGGAACTCGTAGTTGTATTTTCACGTTGCGAGTTCCAAATCGGATCAGTTCCATTCCGTGCGAGTTCTACTTCGTTGTAGCGCCCGATTATCGCGCCAAAATGCTTGTTGTCGGTAGAGCGCACTTACTCCGTTCTCAAAATACAGCCAGTTTCAAATCTCCATCAGTCTCGTTCTTCTTCTTGCAACAAATCGGGAAATAATGATAAGATCTTTGACAGATAGACTGTCAACTACAGCCATTCTCGAAGGTGTCACGCAACGTTTGTGCCACCCGCCTCAACATTTTCGAGTTGTTTGCGCATTTGCTCGGGAAAGGCCATGACCGCTATAATTGTGCATTTGTTTGCCTCTGTTGCGGCAAACTTTCAATTCGACCAACTTGTACACGATCTCAGCGGCGATTTTCAATTAAAACACGGATTCCGAGCGGATGAAATTGCAAACTGCAGCGACCCGCTCTGAAGAGCGACCTTCAAAAAGTCGTGTGTTGATAATTTGAGAGCGGGCGGCGTAGTCGTCGATAACGAATCGATATGATTGGGTTAAACTGAGTGGCGGAAGACGGGGATCAAACTGGTTCGAAAGAACAAGGCCGGCCCGGGTGTCCGCTCCCCTGCGTCTTCGCCCCCGCCGTGCTCTCTTCGCTCTCCCAACCCGTACCCTTCCCGTTCTCATCCCGTATCATTTTGTCCTCCGCTTGTCTGTCACCTCCGCCTCTCTTCCCAGTTGTTCCATGCATTTAGCGGGTGTAATCATCATCAATACTTTCCTTCTTCTCTTCGTTTTTCTCTGTCTCATCCCCTCTTTCGTACTATTTCTGTGATTGCAGATAATGATCAACTGATGAGCATAATGAGCATATCGCTGCATTCGGCCTCGTCGGACACGGTCTCTTTGACAAGCCGACGCACGATTTCCACGCATAAGCACTGGGCCGCCATATTCGATGAACGTATTTATCAGGTCAGACGCTTATCAATCGCACCTAGAACGATGATTGTTTGTAGGTGTGCAACATCGTCCATCCGGGACTTCCGATCGACTTCGATGCCGTCGAACACATTCGCTTCTTCCTCCAGAGTATTGTTTCTGAGGTATTCCATCTCTTCTTCCATTCCCTAATCCCTCGCCCACTTCAGCTGATCGAGGCACGTGCCACAAGTGTCGTTGAGGTTGACAAAATAGCAAAGAAGCTGTTCGGCTTCGGACTCGTCTCCGTTTGTAAAGATGCATGGGATAACATGCACCAGCAATTACAAAAGCACAAGTACCAAAAACCTAATAAATCTGTGCTGGAAAGTCAACATCGTTTGGCGGCTGTTATTAAAGTGAGTTGTTGAATTGAAATTGGCGCATGACGTCTTGAATTCAGGAGACACTGGGTCCACGCGAGAAAGACAAAAGGGATCGAGAGAAGCGAGAAGTCGAGAGAATCGCCAGTTATGTGTACTACGCGTGTGAAAGTGTCACGGAAGACGTGCTCCGACTCACCGGAAACTATGTGAAGAACATACGAAACAGCGAGCAAAAGATCACATTGGCTAATCTTGATGTGGCATTGAATGCTGACAGAGTATGGTAAAAAGCAGAGCTGGGCAAATTTCGGCCCAGGCTTTTTGAAGGCTCTTTAAGGTCCAGACTTTTGAACCACTTGCAATGATACGATCTGACGAAAACTTCACAGGCAAACCGGCGTGGGTGAAATGAGAGCGAGGCTTGGGCGAACGCTCATGCCGAAAGATGTACCAAACAAACCCTCGCCGACCGCCGGTGAGCCTGATTTTACCCACGCTGGTTTGCCTGTGTTTGCAGGATTCTTGGACTGGGAGTGAAGTATTTTGGGTTCAAGTTTCAGAGCGATCCGAAAATCCGATCGGTCTGATACCTGAACCTAATATACTTCAATCCCAGTCCAAGAATCCTGCAACGTTTTTGTCCGATCGTATCATTGCAAGTGGTTCAAAAGTCCAGGCCTTCAGAAAGCCTGGGCCGGCCTTTTGCGCAGCCCTGGTAAATTGCGACAAGAATCATAGCGACCCTCTTATTTTAGGCTTTGATGGAACTCCGAACAAAACTGCGAAATGAAGAAGAGGCTGAGTCACCGGGAGGATTCGGATTCCTCGCGGAATTCGAGGAATTTGTAGCCGAAGAGACGGAGCACGCAGAGAAAGCGACAGTGAACACGCAGACGTACGAAGCAGTTGCCGTCGAGTTTTTGCGCGACGAGCGAAGATTCATACGCGAGCTGAACCGAATCAACGTGTTCCGACGAAGGATCGAGTCGGTGGCGACCGAGGAGGACAAGATCATCTCCAGCAATCTGTTCGGAAATCTGTCGGAAATCCATGAGTTGGCTCTAAAAATTGAACGAACGCTGGAAGATGCGATCGAGTTGAATGACACGCAGTGCATAGGAATGGGCATCTGGGACCTGGCGGAGGCGTACGAATTCGACGCCTACACTTCGTATATAATGCGAGAAGGCGATTCGGATGAACGACAACTCGCCACGTTTGTCATCAACGACAACATCCACGGACTGATGAATAGTGCGCGATTTGCTCAGCTCTTCGAATCGGAAGATCATTTATTCAATAGTTCACTCGATGGGCAGTCATTCCGACTCGCTGTGCAGTACGTGCTTCCGCAGTTGTTGCACATTCCCATCTTTCACATTTATCAGTATCTCGACTACATTAATGTAAGCTTCGAGTTATTTAAGAAGCCGTATACCGAGCTTTCAGAAACTTCACCAAATCAGTTCAAGCGAAGAGGACCGCTCCGATCTGAATAATTGCCGAGTTGCGCTGAAAAGTGTGGGGTCAGCGGTCGATTCGATGTGCTCGATGCTGCCGGAACTCAAGTTGAAGATCACTTCGTTCCTAGATCAGCAGGCAAAGAGCGAAAAGATATACAATGTGAAACGACTCAATGAGATCCAGTCGTCTATTGATGGATTTACGGGCAGCCCGATCGGAAAGACGTGTAACGAGCTGGAGAAAGAAGGCGACATGGGAATGGTCCGCCCGTCACTCACCTTCTCGGGAGAGATAACCAAGAATAAAAAATGGAAAACCGAACGGTAAACAGTTGTGTTCTTCTATTCGCTAAAAATTGCTTATTTTCTAGGTTCGTCTATGTTTTCGATCAGATGCTTGTTCTCTGCAAACGTCACAAGAACTCGTTGAAGTTCAAAGATCGTCTGCCGGTTCACTCGATCGATGTTTTCGACATTCCGGATTCAGAAGTCACGAGCTGCTTCAAGTTGGAATCCCGCGATCAGTCGAGTCTTCCGAAGGCCTATCACTTTGTCTGTCGAAGCGCCGAGGAGAAAAGACAATGGATGACAGTTTTGGTGAAAGTGACGACGAAGAGTGTTCTCGATCGCATTTTGGATAATTTCGAGAAGGAAGAAGCGAAAAGAATACCTCTTATTATCCCGGGACCTGATCAGTACCGATTCGCCGAGCCCGATTCGGAGGAAAACATCTCGTTCGAAGACTACACTTCGAGCAGTGGGATTCCCGTTATCAAGAACGGAACTGTGCTCAAACTCATCGAAAGACTCACTTATCACTCGTATGTTCTCTGTTTTCATAATTTGTATCCCATTCCTTTTTCAGCTACACCGACAGCAAGTACATCCAAACGTTCCTCATCTCCTATCGCTCGTTTTGCACTCCAAACGACCTATTCAGCCTTCTTCTGGAAAGATTCAACATTCCGATTCCGAACAAACTGCAGCAACAGCAGAGACAAGGCGGAGGACCACTGGCGGGCCGATACGATACTGTGCAGTCCCACGGACTCTCCACTAATCCCGGTTATCACCCACTTTACGAACCGAGTTTCCAACGATTCAGGAAGGAATACGAGCGACCCGTCCAACTACGGTAGGACTTTGAAAGACCTGGATGAGACTCTCGAAAATAGGCATTTTCAGAGTATTGAGTGTCATTAACCAATGGGTGAAACTTCACTGGTACGACTTCGCGTGCGATCCAATGCTCCTCGACGCCCTCGAACTGTTTCTCAATCGATGTTGTGATCCTCGTGAGAAGCTCACGAAGCAGCACAAGAAGTTCTGCAAGACTATTCTGGCGCTCATCGAGAAAAGGATCAAGAATCCGCCAGGAGCACAATCGCCCGAAAACGGGGAAAAGACAGAAACGGAAGAGGGGCACGTGAACAGCGCATTCGTGTTTGGAGACGACCAGCAACAGCTGCAGGTGTACACGAACGAGAGTGCCCGTGAAAACCAGTTTGCCTCGAAAATGCCTGAGGTATTCACTGTTGACTTGTGCTCACCCTCTTCATTTGTTCCGTTTTCAGACTCTCTGGCACACTGCCCAAAAGGGAGACGTCGAGCATTACGACCTGCTCACTCTGCACCCTCTCGAGATCGGAAGACAGGTGCGAACTGATCCCATCTGGCCTTATTTGGTCTATTACCGATCCTTCAGTTGACACTTCTCCATTTCGATCTCTACCGTGCCATCCAACCGATCGAACTTGTCGAAGCGGCATGGACCAAGTCAGAGAAGTGGAGGACGAGCCCGCAGTTGCTCCGTCTCACAGACCATTCCACTCTTCTCACCTACTGGGTGTCTCGTTCGATAGTGGAAACAGAATCACTCGAAGAACGGATGGCGATGTTCAATCGAGTGCTGGAAGTTATGTCGGTGTTCGAGGAATTGCACAATTTCACCGGACTGGTCGCCTTCTACTCCGCACTGAATTCTGCGTGCGTCTTCAGACTAAAATGGTGCTGGGAAGTATGTTTCATTCAAATTTGATACAATTGAAAATATTGGTTACTTCAGAGGTTGGATAGCGAGAAGCTGAAGTGCTTCGACCGATTCAACCTGCTCTGCGAAAGACGATGGCACGAAATGCAGAAGCGACTCTCCTCGATAAACCCGCCGTGCATTCCCTTTTTCGGTCACTATCTCTCGAACATATTCTTTCTCGAGCAGGGAAACAGCACATTCGTCAAATCTCCGGTAGCTAAAGAGAATATGAAAACGTCGGTGAGTAGCCGTCCGGAAGCAGGTGTGCCTTCGTCTCCCTACCTGGAAAACACCTGTCCCGTCCGAAGCCCACCTTATTCACCTCCTCTTGCAGGACCCGCCGGACAGTAAGCAGATCAACAAGCTTGTGTCGTTTCTTAAGTGCCGGAAGATCTCCGATGTCATCCGCGAGATTCAAATCTATCAGAACGAGCGATACTCGTTGACGTTGGAGCCGACGATCCGAGTTAGTTTCTTCCTCCTCTTCCTCTCCATCTCTTTTCTTTTCTCACGAAGACTGATGTGGGAAACGGCCGCGCGGGTCTCAGCTAATGATACTTTGTTTCGTGAGGGGGTCTGCCCCTCCCACAATTTCCGGTGCCGTTCTCCCTTTCGCACCTCGCCCATTTGCTGCGCGTACCAACTGTTCGCACTCTCTTATTCGCCCCTCTGCTTCCCAGTGACTCACTTCGTCAACTTCTCAAAATCAGAGGAAAGCTGACTCATATCAGTCGAATGTTTTCATTCCCGCTCACTTTGTTTCTCAGACGCCGTGCTGCTCACTTTCTTCCCCAATGTTTACGAGCTGCTGCCAACGGTCAACTAGCCGGCTTGTTTCGGGCAGCCTTTTCTTTCGCACTTCTTTCTCCAATTCCCCGCTGGCCACTTTGTCAGTCGTTTTCGTTTTCTCCCTTTCAACACCCTGGCTGCCCCAGTCTAAATAAGTGTTGAAAAGTGGCCCTCGACCGGAATGAATTAGAAGTCAACTACCGTAACAGCTCTAGAGAGAAACCGTTTGTTACGGAGACTTTGACCCATGCGACGGTGACCGAAACAATTATGAAATGAGTAGTTTCCTTCTGCGCCCGTTTTTCGGAATTCCGCATTAGTTCCGGCTGTTTAGACACGGACTGCTCTTTTCCTTTTTTAGTTTTAGTATAGGTCTTTCCTTCCGAACATCGCCTTCCCCTCCACATTTCTATTCTCCCGTTCTGGCATCTGTTTCTACAGAGCCTAACGACCATGTTCCCAGGGATTTCCTCTCTGTTCGAGCGACAGTCTCCGGTCGTAACTTACGTCTGGCATGTGCTGTCACCCCCGTCTATCCTCATAGTTTTCTTGCCATTTGGCTTTTTGTAATTACAGAAACAAAACAAAGAGCGTTGTGAAACGTATCCTCATTTAGACGGCAACATCAAATATCGTAAAAGGTTCTTGTATGCATAATTGCGCATCACAACTCCGCCGCCGCCTTCATTTCCTTTTGTTCTTCTTTTTTGGTTACCCGCCTCATTTCCTGCCCACACTCAACCGGATTGACGTCGAGAGAGAAGACGATGCACAACAGCATATCCGGTTATGCTAACCAAATCACCTCTCATTCGTGTGCTTTCCATCCATGTCAAAGGGTTCATTCCCATTTCGCATTCATGCGCTTTCCCTCACTTTTTTCCGTCCGTTCCCGCCTCCACCGCCTCTTCCTTCGTCTCCTCGTGTCTTAAGTGACACACACACCACTTCCGGCTTTTCTTGTCTGTTCCGTTCCTCTCTCTCTCTTTCTCTCTCTCGCCACAATCACCCTCGATCCATTTTGTTTTGTCGCTGATCCAATTGTTTCAACTACGACAAAAAACCGTCCTGTTATTATTGTATTGTACGTCCGCAGTCGGGTTTTGACCAGATTCTGAAGCGTGGGCGGTCATAATGCTATGCGCGCGCTCTGTGGGCGGTGAACGCGGCGGCCGATGGTGTGAAGAGGAGCGATTACGAGCAGTAAGCAGCGGCGCTTCATATCGCAGACTTTATTATCCGGGCACCTTCGGAGAACCCTCCCAGGACGTTTGACTTCAAATGAATCACTTCCTGCTTTCAGCTATGTGTCCTCATAATTTTTTGTTTGCACACCGTGTTTTTCTCTTTCATCCCGCTCTGTAACACCCAAAATCTCGCGTGCACATGCAACCTTCGCGAATTCTCAGAAAACAGAACACCTTTTCCAACGAATTCATTTCTCGGAATGGAATTTTGTCTGAAAGCAAACATCGCCTACCGCATTCCGTTTCATTTGCTCTCCTCCCCCTTATCCATTTGTTCTCATCCACCTTGCTGCCGCTCTCACTGTTTATGATTGATTTATGGCCAGGGATCTGGCGCCGTTTATGCCTCCGCAATCAACTCTGTCTGCTCTCCTATCTTTCTGTGCTCTCTACGACCCTAATAACTTTTGATGGACTGGTCAGGGCGCTCCTGCTCAGGAGGCCGTTCTAGTGACCGCACACGTGTCTGCCATACAGCGTTTTGATGAATAATTATGACTGCCGGCTCAGAAAAAATATCGGCGCCACCTGCTCAGTTACTACCGGTTGCAATTTTAAACTCATATACATTTCAAATACCGAAAAAGCAAGGGTAGAAATGTGAGATTAAAATAGATCCCCTTCTTGTTTATTTGCCAACGCATATGTAATTGGTCTAGGATCGCTGCTCAAAGATAAGCAGATCAATAACCGACAATCAAAATAGTTGGCGTCGTGCCAGAAGAAAACAGCAAAAACAATGTTATTTCCATCTTGAAAGACACACTTAACATCTAATCTCATTTCTCACCCATTTCCGTTCGTACCCGCTCTTTGTCGTACTCACATTTCCTCGCTGACTCATCCCATTTCAGTCATGTTTATGGTTCGCCTTCGTCGTCGAATCCAACGTGCTCGCCATGTCTACACGTGTTCCCGTCGTGACTCGGACCGTCAACCTCTTATCGAGGCACCACTAGCGTCGGCGCCTTTGCCACCTGCACCAAAAAAGACGAAAGCCCCGAAGAGACGTCCGTTGCAACGTGGCGGATCGACGAATGTGAAACGGCTGTTGGCTCGAATGAAGCTCTTGGTATGCACCGAAAAGCAGTTCAAAGCTCTATCGTTGAGCCTCAAAACACGGGAAAGACGGGCTCTAAAAAGGGATATCTAAACTCTGCTCTCTTCCATTTTAAACGAGTGACTCATTGCAGCAGCCACAAATTACGCGCATGTAGGCGACAGAAATGCGTGAAGTTTGGTCGGCTATGGCAATTTGAAAAGCTTTTAGGTTGCACAAAAGCGCAGTATACTGAATCAGTAAACTATTTTGTCTCGGTTCCGTTGCTCCGTAGCTTGAACAAGCGTGTTTCTACTTCCATGCCCCGAGTTTGCTAATCGGGAAACGTGACGGAAGTTTCGTGTCATCTTGAGAAGATTTTAAGGTGTAGAATGTAGAAGATGATCAGAAGCAAATAGGACGTCTTCCGGCTGACATCACCTATGTCCTTTGAAAGTCTCGAATGGAGACAGTCTCTCAGCTCACCAGGGGTCCATGAAGACGTGGACGAATGGATGGGAACCTTGCGGGAACCCCCTGGACAAATGACTAATTTGGGAACGGTTTTTGTCTGAAGTGAACACTCGTATTCGAAAATTAACGAATTTTCGTGGGAATTACGGAACATTCATCTTCTTTCTTGTGTTTTGTTCCTCCCCCATTTCGAAGGAATAGCTTGCACTCGTTCTGATGCGTCGGAATGTGACACTAAAAGTTTTTCATAAACTCAGTAGACCTTCCTAACTACAAAGACTACAAAATAATTTGTGGCTGTTAAAAAAAAAGATGCTACATTCTTTCTGCCTGTAAACAGAAACAGTGATGTGCTCAGAGATCACATCTGCTGATTGAGCCGTTCCCGATAATAACACCTGATACCGTGTCACTGCAGCTGTTCTTCATCGCGCCCTACGTAGTTTCGAATGATTTCATTTCTTCGCAGATGTTGCACTTCTATCGCCTGCAAAGAGAGAAGTAGAGAGAGAAAGACGAATGTACTCTTCGTATCCCTCATGCCTATATTTACTCTAGCTCGCATGCTCGAAAAAGACACGCAGCGGCAACATGAAACACTCGTATGAGTCACTCAGCTTGGTTCAGGAAAATCATGGAGCACGTTGGGGACCCTGCCTCTTCTCTGCGTCTTCCGAGCCCTCCATCTCGGGTGGTTCCGCGCGGCGCCGTCCCTCGGTGCCAGGCGCCGCCGCGTACCCGGGATTCCATGAACATAGCGGCGCGAGCAACATCTCGAATCCGTCGCCTCTGCTGACGCGGCACGCTTCACCACGGTCGACGAGCTCCTAGGTTTAATTGAGGACGACTCAGCAGCAGCCGCGACTCTCGTCTCCCTCGCGCCCATCTTCTGCTTCTCCGCTCCTCTTCCCGAAACTCCGCCCATTTCGACATCGGGCGGAGTGAGGGAGGGGGATGAATGAGCCGGAGCCGCGAGTGAAACGAGAGGGAGCAATGAGTCATTTTGATTTTGAGCACTAGAGGCGAAAAGCGTGATTATGGAACCTCCACCGGTTCCGCCCTACCTGCCGGACCCACCGGACGAACCGATCTTAAAGAGCTTCTACTTCGAGCCGGATCACAGTAGTATGAACTGGCAGACGACGAAAGACGTAATGATTCTGTGTGAACCGTCGACTCATCGCATCTCGTGTGCCATCGTTGAGTCAACCACTATTCCTCCACCTACCATATTACTACCAAAACGAGTGAAGCCGCCAATCTCGAACGTCCGTCGTCGATTTCATCGTGTAAAGGTACAAAAACATTTGGGCATTCCATTCCTTCGCTTCCTGTCATTCCTAGGGGCCATATTACAAAGTGTCCCCCTGTAATCAGCCCGCAATCATTCTCATGTTGTCCTAAAACTTTGTGTTGTAAACTGTGCCGAATGCCTTTTCCAGGCAGGTGTCATACTGTCCGCGTCCTTCTAGGAGGGGCGGAGTCGGGCCCTTTTTAATAGGTGTCAACAGGCGAGCAGTCCTCAGTCTTTGTCCACAGGACGACCCTACTACACCCTCTCGCTCATCTCTCTTCCACCAATCCGCACACCCATATTATCCCTTTCGCACACTGTCCCTATACTGTGTGTTTCTTTGCATTGTGCAACTAGTGCTCCTTCGTCCCCTACTTACTACTGCCGTATTAGAAGAAAGCCATGCTTCTCGCTCGACAAACTGGGGTATGTTTATTTTATCGTGCATATTGACATCATTCCCATTTTTCGGAAACGACAAAATATTTAGTGCCTAGTTGGTGTGTGGCCAAGACTAGTACTAGCGGCAGTTGCCTTCCAGTTTAGTACAGTTGGAAATTCGTGATACTTTTTGCGTTCCCCATTCCCCCTCCTTTTCGTAGAAACATGGTATTTACACATCGAATGGGAGATGCTGCAGGGACACTTGATAATATTTGCAAATATGCACAGACTTCCTCATTCTCCGTTCGTGTCGCTGGGCTAGTGCCACGTCAGAAGAGATCGCCGAAGAACGGCAACTTGTTTACACCGACCGGGAACTCCAATCCATTCCGAGAATTGGATTGCCTTTCTTAGTGTCGAACATCAGACATCAGGCGATGACTCTGTCAGTGTCCAACCACTTACTAATTGCCTTTCCCAAGTGGTTAATCTTGTAATTATCTCTTAGACAGATCTGTACCATACGGAGAGACTAATTGTAAGGTCCTGTAAATGACAAGTCCTTAGGTACCAGGCGGTCCTTTTTGGCCTGTTCGAACACTTCTTTTGAATAGAGTGATTTTTACCGCTGTTCGCACCTGACTGTAGACAACGCGGTGTCAAGTGTGATGTAATACGGTATTACGAGGCCTAAGATTATTGTTTCGAACAACGGACTGATGATGACCAGGTGTCATCGGGATTATGCAATCCACACGTCTCTTCAGCCATCACCTTTTCATGATGGACCACGTATTTGAGGGGACTGGAGTAGGTGAAGACATTCGAATGAGTGGCTGCGGACTGCGAGGGAAAGGGTGGTCTTGTGACCCATCAGCTGAGAGGGCTCCATTCAATTTTTCAAGAGAGATAGAAACAGAGGGCATCTGGCAGTTGATGGCTAAAAGAAATAAATTGGCGTGTTCTTCTGCAAGTGCTAGGTGCATTCGTTCTATGCTTCCCCTCGACCCCAATGCGAACCGGTCGCCAGGCAGGTCCAGCAATCGCCATGATCCTTATGTCACGGGTTGGACAGCAGTGCCTTACACGGTAATCATATGACTGAACTGTTGACTGCTTTCGGCGATAAATCACTGAGAGTGTGTCAATCCACGCGTCATTCACAGCCCTTCCAGTTCTGAGATGGCAAACACTTTGTTCCTTTCCCCCCAGTATCTATCCGTTTCCCTCGCCTCCTCCCCAATTCGACTTCCGGCGGTTCGATTCGAATAGGAAACAAAGATGACCTATGATGTTTTGCGTTTCTATTTCGATCATCACAGACACTAAAAATAGCATTCCTACTGTGAAGGAGGAACCTGTCTTGCCAGTTTATCTTTGAACTTGGCCTTTTTGTGATAGTTTTTTGACAGCTATGAGATTGATGAAGATGCTACCTCTGCTTCCGGCGGTGGAAAAAGTGACTTGCACAACGAGCAGCTGCCAGCAGAACTTTGTGTTTTGGCGGTTAGAGTATATGCCCCACTGCTCCCCTTCCGAACTACGTCTCGTGATCTCCGATTCATGTTTCGACGACGTCGAGTGACCATTCAAAAAATAGATGGCTTGACACCTTCCTCAGCCAGACGGTGATCGGTCAATGATCGTTTTGATACTTTCCCTTCTCCTCCAGTTGATCGTCGCTTTGTTTTCGACACCTCGTCATGTTAGTCTCCCGTTCTTGCGCCTGCCTGCAGTCGAATGTCACATGACACGACACTTGCTGAAATTACCTGCGATCCAGCATCTGGGCGCCCGTCTCTCCGTCCTCCGGCTATACAACACTTCCGGTGAAGCAATTGTGCGGCGCTTCCTTTCTCCCGCACACACCCGGGGCACTCCCATCCACCTCCGCCGTCATTTTTTATGAGAAAAAACGGATAATGTCGGCCGGAACGATCGGATGATGGCAGAAAGTGGCACACGGGTGGCTCTCCGGCCACTTCTTTAGTATCGCATTACTGTAGATGAGTAGGTAAAAAAAAGGTTTGCCACAGACACAAATAAGTCAGATTGCCAACCAGGAAGTGGTATAACTGGCTAAGAGAACCGACTTGTTGTTTTTTCAAAAAATGACTTTGCTCATTCTGCTGATAGACTTGTTCTCTTTTCAACCTTCACCTGGACTAACTCATAAAGAAACAAAGAATTTCGAAATAGACACTACAAACAAATTGACACTGTTTCGATCTATCGGCCGAATCAATCATATCCGGCCCGCTATTATCGCCATATGACTTGTTACGACGCCTTTAGTCTTCCTCGATTCTCCTCGTTTTTGTCTTCTTTCGCTAATGCGGTCTGGAATGAATGCTGGCGCCAAAAGTGAAGGAAATGTTGGGGTTGAGAGGAACAGAACGGAGAAGAAGTTGGAGAAATGAGAAAAAGAGGAGACACGCTGACAGTCGGTCGGGCCGCCGCACGCATTCTCTCCCCGGTGATAACAAAGCACTTCCGGTGCGACGTGGCCTTTCCTCGTCACGAATTCGCTTCATTTCCAGCTTCTTCTCTCGTCTTCTGATGTCATCGGTCACACCAGGCCTTACTCATCTTTCCGTCTGTGATGACCAACAGATATTAGAAAACGGATTAAAGACGTGCATATTTTAGGAAAAGCACAAGAGATTAGCCCATCCGAGATATCCCTCCGGATCGGAATTAGGCGAAAGTTTGTAGTTCTGCTGAAATTGAAAAATGTGTAAGGGACCGAAGTTCGGCTGTAGGGAACTGATCACTTCCGACAATTGACGACATTCCTCCAATCATAGCTAAACCAATACGCGCTGACACTTTGTCATCTTCGCAGACTTCCGCAGCTTTGTTCGCGCTGCTTCTCTCTTTTGCGGCGTGTCTGAATTCCCTCTATAAATCTCCTCTTCTTCGGCGACCTTTTCCGATATCATTCCTTTTTCGGACCGCAACAAGTACTCATGCTATCGTATCATTTCTGTTGCTGCACAACGCCACAATCGCCCACAGAAAAGTGGTCGTTCCAGAAAGTAGGCTTTTGGGGTTTAGAAAATCTAAGCACATTCTGAAGAATGTAACCATCAAATCTTCAAATAATCTCTTTTGCAGCAATTCTTCGAGTCGATCAATCCGAGAAACGACTTCAAAAGCAATGAAGACTTGGAAGAGTACTTGTACAACAAGTCGCTGGAGATTCAGCCGAAAGGACAAGACGCCCCCGCCTCTGAAGTGGTTTGTCTTGCTTCAGATGACAGGAGCGTAACTTATTCAATTTCAGAAGCCGAAGCACAATGCATCGACTCTCCGTTCGCCTGGAGTCAAGCCACCGAAACAGGGAAATCATTACTCGGCCAACCATCCGATTGGCCTTCATTTGCACACGCAACTATCTCATCCGGTCGGCCACCAATCGAGCACTGTTCCTAACACTCCGGTTTCTGCTCACGAGGCCAAGCGCAGCTTCTCTCAGAATCAGGAGGACAGTCAGTTCGCACTGGTCGACGTGCGATACGATCGGAAAGGAAACCAGCAGAAGATTCGTGAGTTCATTTCATTCTTGGCTGTTAGCTGGGAGAACGTGAAAGGGGGCGATGTAAACACCGCGGTTTTTTGGGCAAAGTTGTGCGATCGGACATCTTCATCTGAAGAGGGGAGACGGCAGACGTCGAGAAAACGGGGCATAACACTTATGATTGGCGTGCGAGAGACGCAATCAGTCGTCACGACCGTTCGCCGGATTGTCGGCCGTCCCCATCTTCGTTTCCTTCCTCGTTCTCGAATATTCCCTCAATGAACTTTTTATTCCGCAAAAGAACCGGAGGATCCCGTCCCTTGTCGCCGACGCCTACTCTCAAAGGTCCGCTCCGCCCTCTCCTCACGCGCTCTCGCCTAGTCTCCACCCACTTCCCATCGTCCCTTTCCTATCACATAATATAAAACTATGACCCGGTGTTCAGCTGTTCTTCAACCTCCTCCACTGGTGCCACGTGTTCGTAACCAGACAACCAGCATCTCGAGTTCACTGCCACCGACCACTCAAGCCCCGATGCCACCACTTCCAAGGTCTTCCGGAATCATGAGCACCGCCTCAAGCCCGACGAGCACCTCGACGACCCCCAGCTCGGCCGCTGGTCCTGCTCCGAAGCTCTATCCGAGACGCGTCGCTCCGCCGATGTCCCCATTGGCTAAATCTCCACTCACTCCATCAAAGGGTTAGTCTTTCCCTCTTCTTTTTCGTTTCTATCCATCTTTTTCTGACTACTGCACTTACCGAAACCTGTTTATCATATCAGTGTCTCATCGGTTCTTTTAGTTCATTCAGAGTAGTAGTTGGTGTCTCTTTCAAAAAAAAATCAAATGCGATTGAAGTGTAATCGTTTCCGATTGCAGACAATTCGCCTTCGCCATCGGCCTTCCAGTTCCCGATCGTCTACGAAGCGCCACCCCCACTTCCGCCCCGTCCGTCGAACTCCTCCACTTTCGATGCCTCTTCTTCATCGCCGAGCACCTCCTCATCGGCCAAAGAGAATCAGGAGCAGTTGCGAGTTATCTTCGATCGGTAAGACTTGAAAGGTTTTTATCATTCGAAAGTTTTCCCAAGTTTCAGAGAAGAATCCCACTCACCGACGGTGCGTCTCTCCGTGCCTCTCCCTCCGGCTCTTCCTCCTCCGAGAGGATCTTCCGTCTTCGGGGCGCCACCTCCACTTCCACCAAAATCAAAGTGAGTCACTATTATCACTGTAGACATTTTCATTTCTGTACTCTTCAGTCGCCACAACAGCAGTAGTCCAACCTCTTCGGATCCTTTCGACGACCCGACGTCTCCGTCGATCTTCGTCAACACTCCGCCACCACCATTGCCCCCGAAGACGTACAAAATCAGTAGAAAGGCAGATAAGTAGATTGCACCCGTCTCCGTTTTTATTTCCGAAGCCATCTTGTTTGTTTTCCTTTCCAGTCAAATAGTTTCATTGTACTTGGCACGATGCTCTCAATAGTCCCTCTCATCTTTCTCCCATCCATAATTAGCCCCATATGTACACTGCTCTTTTGCATCCTTCTCACCATCCGCCGCTCTCTACTTCTCTGTCTTCTTAGCGATCTCACGTGGATAGTCCAAAACACGCGACTCGTCCGGCCACTTCCAAATATTTTGAGATTTCCCACACATGTCCTGTGATAAAAAGCTATCCTACTCTTTCTTGAACTCTCTTTCTACTTCTTGTCCATTGCGTCTGGTTTTATATAAATAGTTTTCAACAAAAACTCAAAACAATGCTTCATTCGAACACAATTTATTTGCTTTTGGGCTCTTCAACACGGCTCGCCGATCGTTTATCCTTCGGAGCAGCCGGCACCACAGGAGCAGCTATCGGAGCCGAAACGGTCCTGTCGAGCGTCGCCATGCTCGCCGTCTTCTTCTTCTCCTCCTTGCTCCCCGTGCTCTTTTTGCTCTTCTGACCGGAAACCACTTCCTCTCCAGTGGTGGTGCCCATCTGCGACGAACTCGGCTCCATCTCGATGTCATCCACATCCGATCCGATGTCGAATATCTCGTTTCCCGATGGATCGTACGTCACTTTTTCCAGTTTTATATTGTCGGAAGATTGGCCGGCGGAGGGATCTGCAACAGATCGGATGGTTGTGACGATCAACAAAAGAGCACGTACATCGGGCTCCTTGGGAATGTAGATGGTTCCCTTCTTGACGAACTTGCTCGATCTCGTATCCGACTTGTGCTGAGCATTTGCTTTATTCACGTGAGCTCGCAACTTCTCCCGATTTTGTTTCACTTCGAGAGTCTGAGACTTGCCTTCCGGCTCCAACGATGGTTTTCCCGAGGTTTCTACACTGCACTTTACGACGTTTCTCTGCAATACTCTAGTGATATTTGTCAAATTGATAATCAAACTCACGTCGGTAAACGGATCATACGTGGAGTCCACGGATTTCAGATCAGATGGATGGATGTTGGCAGCCGCAGAGGGAACGGCGACGTTTGGAGGGTTTGGAGGAAGCAGAGGCATCGCCGGGCAGCTACTGCTTCTCCGAAGTTCCGACTGTTCCGATTTTTGCGAATCATTGTTTGCCGTTTTTTTGCGAAAAATGTAAAGAATAGTGAGGACAGTAGCACTGATAAAAAGTAGGGCGAGCACGGAGAGGAGCACGAAATGCAACAGATTCCAGGAAGAACTGCAATGGAAACGCAACTATTTTCAATTTTGTAACCATCGAAAACCCTTGATTCATCTGATCTATTATCGACTTCAATTGCGAGCATTCCTGTGGACACGTCAATTGTCCCGGATTCCGCGAATCTCGTTTCTGAATGTCAGACTTTCTCTCATGAATCTCATAACTTTCTCACTGAACAGACGACTGTTGCTGGCTGTCCCTGAGCAACCCGTTCCACGCGTTTTCGCATGATATCACTTCCCTGAGAGCTTCTGAGTAACAAGAAAATCAAAAATATCATCTTCGACATATTTCAGTGACTTGAAAGATCTGAACAGAGCGTTTCGTGCCACTCACATATCTAGCCGTTCTGACCTGTCATAGAAGGCGTGAGAGTCGGAATCCAACACGACAATCCGAATATTTATGAATGAATGAGCTTTTCACGTGATCGATAAAACTTGAAATTGATTGGCCGAAACAGAAGGTCACGTTCGGTCAGTCTGCCTGAATTTCTGGCATGTGAGCAATTGAGAGTTCACGTTAAACTTTCCTAAAAGTCCGAAAATTTGATGGGGAATTTTCAGGAGATGAGTTTTTCTTTCTGAAATGGAAGATGTCACAGTAGGGGTTGGTCAAACTGTTTTCAATATTGCAAAACGAAAGAGTGTAACTGAAGATCCAATTGTGAATGCTGTGTCAGTTTAATTCAGGCTCTTCTGCTCTTCTGCTCTTCTGCTCTCCTAAGCACGTCTGGAACATCCGTTCAAATTAGTCTGCTCATGAAAATGTTTGAAATGTTACACTTTATATTCGTGAGAGCAGTTTTTCAATTATTTCCGTTTCCTCTTCGAAAAACTTTCTCAAAAACATGTGTGTCATCCCGATGATCTCCCCTTCTGCAAATGATTAAAAACACTTGTTCTATGGAAAATTCTATATTCAAGAGAATCAAATAGGATAATAAAAAACAGCTCTCCAAACAAAGTGAAAAATACGAAGTAGAGATAATAGGTACTTGGAATACTGTAATCGTGTGTGGACTGAAATTGTTTTGAGAGTTTGGGGGTACAGAGAGAAATAATTGAGAGAGGGAGAGAGACTGATATGAACTGGAAATGAATCTGCTATGGAAGAGTACAATGAGCAGTCCTAAGAGTCGAGAGCACTTGGGAAAAGGAACGGTTTGTATGTGTGTGTGTGTGTATCTGCGTCGAACCCTGTGTTGGTCACAAAAGAACGGAAATGAAAACAAGATAGTCATGAAGAGTTGAGGAAGAAAAGGAGCTGGAACGGGTCATGGAGCAACACTAAGAGGGGAGCAAAAGAGCCAACTGATCAGTTAGAAAAGGGGAAAGACGGTGTCGACACAAACATTCTTCGATTCGACAGGAGATTTCGGGGGGCAAAGATCAGAAGAGAACTGTTCAGGAGCGGAATTCGGAAATAAATAAAAGAATGTTCATGTGTACAACTGTCGTCACTCGTGAGGAGTCGACAGATCAACCCAACTCGGAGCGAGCGCATCGACCGTCGGAGCCACCGGGAATCCCATCATCGGATTCATGAAAGGCATTGCGCTGAAACCGAACACACTGGAAGGTTGGATAAGAGGAAGAAAGAGCAACTTACGGGTTGGGGAACGAGGGGAATGCTCCGTAGTTCATCGTCCTCTGCATGTACAGCTCGGCGCCCGGATAGTGCATCGTGGCGGCTGCCAACGCGGCAGGATCCGGCGAGTAGTTGGCTCCGCTGTCGGATCCGGAATCCGGGCTCGGGCCGGGAGACTGCTCACTTCGATTCCGTCGCCGATTCCTCGTCACATTCATCTGCGGAACTCTTCCAGCTCGGTTGTTCTGATCGATCATCGGCTGCACAATTCTCCGTCGAGCATTGATGAACCTGCAATCATTTCATTTTCATCATCGTCCGATCCCTCTCACTTTGCCAATTCACTCAGAGAGACTCATCTCGCCCGGCTAAACAACCACTAAACGTGTCAAATCGCGACAATTTATGTGCGTCACTTAAACTATGAAACCCAAGGCTAGTCGCAGGAGAGAGAGGCAGCAGATAAGAATCAGAATAGCAACAGATACGTTGACTTCTGCAGAAGAAGAACCAAGTCGACATCATAAAACTCACATAAATCGAGTTAACCACAACTAGTGACCAACGACTTGTGTCACACCACTAATATAAACTGTTTGATGAGCACTTAAAACTTTTTTATGGGTTCAGTTTGGGCACGCTCGCGCAACGTCTTCTGATCGCAATCTCTTCTGCAACTTGTCTGCTCTAGAAGTGCAACCTGCCCCCGGGAGGTCTTCTGAATCCCGGCGCTGTCAATCAAAGCCTTCGTCTTCGGCGCCGCGGCGAGGTTCTATCAATCTTGGTACCTCGTCAATCGTAATCAACGAGTCTATAAATCAACGTCTTGTTGCTTTTAATCTTTCTATCCTCCTCCATATCATCTTCAAGTGACGGCGCCCGCTCTCGATCGCCTCAATCACTTCTTTTTCATAACTGACACCTCCACCGTTCAACTTGACAAATCGACCCCCATCGGAACGAGGAGGAGCGAAAATGAAGAAGAAGAAGAAGAAGAAGGAGGAGAAGAAGCGTATCCTGTGCTTTCGTTTCAGAAAGCGAATCGCCGCGTCGGCTCGTTTCTCCGCCAGTGTGCCCGCTCTCTCGTCGCTCCCCCGTCTTCTCCTTCCACTATTTCCCACTGCTTCGCTTCGGCTTGTCAACGTCGCCAGCTGCGTCGATCCATCATTGCCAAGGCTGTCTCTCTGCCAGCCCGCGTCCGGCTTCTCTCCGTCTCACACACTCTCTCGTCGCCTCTGTTCGAATTGCCGCCTAGGAGTACGGTAATCGACTGGGGACGACGACGACGACGATGACGAAGAAGAAGACGCAGCCGACTCTCCCTCCAACTGTTGCTTTTTTCAAATTTGAATGCACAACTGTGAAAAAATATGTGTTTGGCCGTTGAGCGGGTGCCAAATTTGACTTTAATTGAATCGCCAAGAAGCATCTTTTCACTCTTCTCCGGCCGAAACAACAACTCGCAGGTCATTTGTTATGCATTAGCGAGAACGAGCGGCTCCATCCATCTTCCAACTCCTTCGGGAGCTTCCACATGCTCTACCCAAGCAATCTTCTTATCATCCGCTATCATCAGTTTTGATCCCCGTGATGGTCCCTCCTGCTTCTTCTCATCCTCTCCGTTGACCGAAAAAGGAGGCGTGGGAGGAGCAGCAGCAGCAGAAAACGAATAAGTGGAGGTGGCCGATTCATGGGTGGTCGTACGTCAGTTTGACACGAAATGTCAGTCAAACGTCCACTCAATGAGCGTTGTTCGCGGCAGGATAATGAGACTGAATCGTTGAAGATTCGGTCCAGTTCCTGACGGAAAAGACGAGGATGACGGCCAGGTGGCCAGTTGCAAACAGTTCTCCCTTCTTCAGAAAACGAGGGCTCGTCGTCTGATTTCGAAACCGCCCATCTTCCGGAACAAAGGGACGGGACAAAAGTAGTTGCGGAGGTCGGAATGACATCGAAACCGCCGCAACAACCCGTCAATTTATTATTGCCCGCAACAAGTGTCTCCTCCAAAGTCAACTGTTTGGCGACACATTCAGGATAGATAATGAGCGGGTGCTCCGGTCGAATCTCTGCTGCCATGCGCATCCCATTACCGACTGTTTGGGTGCAATTGAGCATGATATAATTGGCAATCGCTACCCAATTTCTAGTTGATTCACACCTCATAAATCATTGGCATCAAAGGGTGAAGGCAAAAGATAAGATGTCGATTGATCGGCTGTCACTTCAGATGAACTGCGTTTGAAACTGTGAAAGCGGGCGCGCTGTACTTGGAGAAAACCCCTCAGTAATCTGGCAAACTTGGACGTTGCACAGGTCGGACCCCCATGATAATCTAGGCACTCATCAGCGACCGGAATGACGCAATCGCCGGTCAAATACAGTGTTTATCCTCGATCGCGCACGCGCTCCGCCGGCAGACGCATCCCGAACACTCTAAAGTCGCCGACACAACTCGGCATCCGCTTTCGTCTCCAGTCATCCGATACCCCCCCGTCAAAAAGAACATACACTTTTGAATACATAAACAATTGGCGCACATGAAAGGAATGCTTGAACTCACCAGTTATTGACCTGAAGAATCGTGAGACCCGTTTCCTGTGCCAGTGATCGCTTCTGCTCTTCAGATGGGTACGGATGCTGAAATCAATTTGTTATTCGTCCGACATCATTTGTTTCCGTTTCCGCGGGACCCGTATCAATCAAGGCACCACCATTTGTCGTGGGAACCAATCCTGAACAGCCGGCTTCTGCCCGATCACGCGAGCTGCTCTCGGGATAAAAAAGTTCCCCTCTCCGGTGCCCTCATCTTTCTCATCATCTGTTTGGACCACAAAAGTGACCTCTGACCAGTTGTAAAATTATGTTACACTATGAATGTTGGTGGTGGTGCCCCTGCGCTCCTCTCTTCGTGTAGAGACACTCGCACACACTCTCCGGCCCCTGGTGGCCCCCCGAAAGAACAAGTTGTACAGAGATTACTGTAGTAGTAGTAGAGGAAGGGGAGGGGATGGTGAAAAACGAGAAAAAAAATGGAAGGAAACAAAGCGATGAATATGAAGATAAGAGAGACAGAGGTGAGAAGAAAAAGACCTTACTTACCGTTAGATTTTGAAATAGCCACGCGCGGAATTTCGTGATGGCCTCCTTCGAGAACACCTTCGGCACTTTCCGTTTGCCGTTCTGACTGCCGTTCGCCGAGTCCGAAAGAACAGACTCACGGCCGTCTTCATTCGAACCGCACACGGAGAATTCGTCGCCTGGAATACATGGAAGGATGAGGTTGGCTCCAGAATCCAACCCTCCATGTATTCGGACCCTAACTGTGATGCTCAGAGAAATAGAGAGAGAGAGAGAGAATGAGAATGACAAGTTTGTAAAAAGAACAAAAATGAACAGGACATTGTGTGGGACAACTTGTGTGATAACTCAAAAACACATATTTAGTGCGGCCAACAAATAACAGAAAGAGAACTCAGTCGTGCTTACCGTAAGGTTCTGGAAAAGCCACTGCCGAAGTCGGTTCGTGGCTTGCTTCGGGAATATTCCACGTCCTCTGCTCTTCCCCACTCGCCCTCCGTTGGCTCCGTTCTGACTCGCCGCCGCCTGCTTCTTGCCGCTTTTCGCTGAACACGGTTCCTGTTTCACTTCAATAGGCGCCACGACATCAGGCGTATAGACACCGTACGACTCGTAGGCTCCCATATCTTGATAGACGGAGGAATCGTGCGAATGATGGTACATAGACATCATGTCGCCGTTTCCGCACTGATAGTCGGACGACGACGAGGACGGCGGGACGAGCGAAGCGTCAAGCATCGAGAGACCGGCACAATGGAGGCTTTGCTCGATGATGTTGTTGGGCGGATGGGACAGGAATTCCGGGTGATGAAGGTGATGAAGCAGAGCGGGAGGAGGACCTGCTAAGCCAGAAAACGCGGAATAATAACATAGAAAGCGGTGGCGACGAACCAAAAGTGTCAGTTGCAGGCAAATGCACATACAAGTGTTATTCGAAGAGTCGACGATAATGGCAATTATTATTATTATACGTACGTACCATGCTTGAATGAATGAATGGAAAAAGGCGGTTAGGATAAGAAGAGAGAGGGAGAGAAAGGAAAGACTGGAAATGGGATGGAAGAGGGAAAAGAGGAGAGCATCACAGAGGTCCGATACAGAAGGGATGTTAGCCGCCGACAAAGGGATGTCGTCGTGGATCTAGAGTTAAAGGGAACCATCCCAAAAAGAAAAGAGACTAACCGGCTTCTGAAATAGAATCCAACGAGTTTCCGTTTGCGAGAGCAGTTGGTGTCTCTCCGGGCAACGGCGTCGAGTCCTGTCGCAATCCTCCCGACGAACACGTCGATGGACTACGGACGGCTACGGGCAACAGCGTCTGGGAGGCTCCAGCCGTCGTGTGGAGCGTCCCGCCGTTCACTAAAGGGTGATCCCCGGGTTGAATTGCAGACGACGAGGACGCCGCCGCCGCAGCCGCCATTCCAGCCATCGCGTACGCCATCGACGACCCCTAAACTCAGAATTATTTCCTCATTTCTTCGGTAGACTGTATGGGTTTCTCCCGAGTGACGGTAACATGAAAAGACGTCCCCAAAAAACCGCCGACGATACTCGCTCATTCGAATTATGCAAATTCGTGTGCGCGCGTTCCGTCGTCTTCTACGTTTTCCTCTGTCGTTTTTTCCCGCTATCCCATTGAGTCAAGTACTTTCTTATTGTTCGAAGCCGCCGCCGCCGACGACGACGAACATCTAGCCACTGTTGTGGGTGTCGTTTACCCTCCCGCTGTGCGCTCCCATATTTGCCGCCTAATCATTCGCTGGTTGACACAACCAAATCTATGATGGAGACAGGCGCGATGCGGATAGAGAGAGCCGTGTGGTCAAATGTGCGGTGTGTGCGAATCCAATTATTGACACCCATCCCGCACTTTACTAGATTGACTCTCCTCACCCCCATTATCCGCATCCCGATTCGCGCAGTTGCACACTTGTTCGCACAGTTCTCATCGAAAGGAAAATGGAGAAGAAGCAATAATAAAATGACATCGCAGTCATCGTGTTTTTATCGCTCACTTGATCATCATCCGTGAGCACCTAGCCTAGCCGCCACTAAATTATCTCTCCCTCAGACACTGCCGTCATCCGCCACGGGTGTCAGTTGTCATTCATCCAAATCTTTCTGTTTCTCACCTCCAACGAATGTCCCAACACACCGGCGTTCTCCGGCAACGGTACCGACTGTGGCTCGTACGGCGGATAGTGTCCCATCGGAGTGGCAGCTCCGGCCATCGAAGGAGACGACGAGTGCCCGTGATGGCCCATGGAGCCAGGGGACATGGGCGGCTGGGAAGAGGAAGCCCTTTCGTCGCCGACAATGTCCAACGGCATCTTGCCTTTGAGGCACGTCACATAACGGTTGCAAAAGTTGTCGCAGAGTTCGTGGACCTGAAAATATGACCGTGAATGTTTGCATTTAGTGCAGCTGCAATCGCCTCTCAACTGATATGGTGCCAGTCGGCGCCCAAGAAAGTACACTTGAGAACAGTTGATAACCGAGTTGATAACTGTGAACAGTGTCGACGTTTGTGGCTAAAAATGGCTGGAGACGCAGACACTGGCACCCCGCTAACACGCTCACTCTACGCATTTGTCTCTGGGCTCTCCGGAGCAGTCTTTTAGGCAGTCAGTCAATTCACAAACCTTTTCGAGCTCGAGGAGGTGGAAACGAAGCATCTGAATTGATTGCAGCATAATTTGGTCTAATTGCGGATTCGGCACATAGTACTGCTTGTCAGCATTTTCCTGCGTCTGTAATATTACGGTCTACTATATTTTGCACTTTTCGGTACGTTTTCAAATCGACTCACGTGTCTTACAAATTCATTGAGGTCATCTTTAAAGGATGCGCTTGAGCAAACATCCGATGACGTGGTTCCGTCACGAGACGTCTCCCGCGGTGTCGAAGTTGCCAGCTCACACTTCTCGAAGAGCACAACCAAAAGTGGGTAGAGGGGATGGCTGAAAATGAGTGAGAGTTAGTGGCAAATAAGGAAAAGAAAAAGACGACTCACGCGTAGATGGCATCCTTGTCCCTTTTCATGGCCTCGCCCATCTCGTGGTGCATCATCGGAGTGGTCGTCGGAGCAGCGCCCATGTTCGAATATAGATTGTAGAAGGCTGTTGGGTCGGCGACGTAGCTGGCCGGATCGGTACTCGCAGAGCCGGGTGGCGGTCCGTAGCCATCGTTGAACTGCTGCAATTTATAAGGATAAGATAAGATGAGACAGACTATGAATGTTTAGATCTATCGCTACATTCGACTTATCTAGAAATTAGAACTACAGTCTCTCTTCTGGGGTTTGAACGAAATAAGGCCGCATTGAAACTGTGAATGTGTCCGTCTTTCCGTCCGTTCACAGTTCCAGATGCCGGCACTATGATAGCATTTTTTGACGAAATAAATCTTCGTGCGCCCCTAACCGAACAGGGGATCGTCGTCCGATGCGAACACGGATAAAACGGTGTGGCGAAGACGAAGAAGGAGAAGAGGAAAAAGTGAGAAGAATGGAAGGAAAGGCGTCGAATTGGGGTGGTATCGAATAAGTCAAAGTGATTGAAAGGGACATGCTTCTCGACTCGTCCCCATTCTCTGATTGATTGATTAATGATAGGATTGGTGGTGATAGGAAAGACGGAAAAATGACAAAAACGGGCCGGAACGAACGCCGCCATTGAAATTTTCCACAAAAATGAGACTTTTGGAAGGGTTCAGAAGCCATTATGAGTATTTTAATGGCTCTTCCGGATGGGCTGTCGGCTCATTCAGTTTACGACGTTTGCCGCAGACAAACCGAGAATGGGACTAAATTTCTTATCTGTTCTAAACTGATACAATCGTAAAAGTGCATTCGTTTCGAGTCGATCAATTCGTTCTATTCCTAACCTAGAAGCGGCGCCAGTTTGGGGCAGAAACGGACTGGAAAATGGAGTGGAGCTCCGTTGCCGAGAGTACTCGGCAGAATGAGTGCAGCTCCATCTTGACTCCGACTCGGAAGCCAAACACAACGATAAATTATAGAATGGATGGAAAAGGATGGCGGCGCTCTTGGTATCATGTCAATGTCAGAAGAGAAGACTGGAGAAGAAGGAGAAGGAGAAGAAGAAGAAGAAGAAGAAGTACCCTCTGCGCCATCGCCGACACGGCTGAATAAGATGAACGATGGTCGGGATCGAACTCGACACGTCCGTCAGTCAGTGGTCAGAGCTTGTCGCCCGCCCCTTGTCGCGTCGTCGTTGATCGATTGATTAGTGCGTGTGTGGTGTTCCGTGTGAGTGTGCGACACGAACGTAAATAATATGACAGACAGATGAATATCGAAAATGACAACTTCTCACACACTTCAAAACGGTTGTATGTCAATCTTGTCTGCGACCATCGGTGGGCGGAGCCCTTCAGCGCAGGCAGGGCCTGCGAATACGACGGGCAACCAGCAGATCGGCCGCTCGTCGCCCCCCGTTAGCCCCGCCGGCTTGCCTCTCTCTCTCTCTCTCGCTTCGGAGCCACGCCCCTTTGGCCAATCGTCGAGCGTCTACCGTAGTACGTGTGTGGCGAAACGAGAAGACGAGAAAGAAGAAGAAGAAGACGACGATGAAGACCACGACGGCGACGAGGGAGAGGGAACCCGTCGCAAAAAATACATCGCCATGGCGCATGCATTGCATTTTCCCCCTTTTTTCTTCTGTTTTAGAATCGAGCGAGGCAAAGAGTGTGTGTGAGTGTGTGTGAGTGTGCCCTGCCTCCAATTTTCGACTACTTACTCCTAGAGACTCTTTCCGAATGTTTTGAGGTGGAAAAGGAAAACACGCAGAGGACGTCGCTGATTTGAGGCATCAGCATCGCCGTCTTCGTCGTCGTCTCCCCGCGAAGAAATTGAAACCGAGAGAGAAACACATGATTAATGTGATTAAGAGGAGATAAATCGAGGCCAGATAAGGGCCGATTTGTGTGAAAATCATCAGGAAGACGACGCCTCGGCGGCGCGCATATCACTCGCTCGTTCATCATCCGACTAGTGCGTCGTTCATCGGAATTCTCACCTCAGATGTGTCCACCTTCTCCCGTTTGATGCTCGAAGTGTCCAGATCGTACGTTGATATTCCGCTTTGAGCTGCCCAAGTGTCCGCCGACGAGTGTGCCCATACTTTCGAGTCGCCGCTCATGTTCTTCTCGTCTCTGCAATAAATAGTCCGTCATTATCATTTATCAAAACGTCAACGACGATGAGAGAAGACGAGACAGATGGGGTCCGTGGCCGCGGTTTTTGCCGAGGCCAAGCGGATTTGAAAAATAATAAATGGGCTCTGACGGAGAGGGGATCGAGAGGAGGACACCGCGGTTTTCAAGTTTACATGACCGTTGTGTCCGCCTGACAAGATGGATTGCTTTTGTTCGTTCCGAGTGCACAAATCAAGCTGGCCCCGGGTCTCACTTTTTCATTCTCTCTCTCTCTCTCTCTTTTCGAACCCGACTTGAATTCCCCCCGCTTTAGAAACAAGACAACGATTTCGAAACTAGTTCGCGGTGGTTCCTGTCCGCTCTTCATTTGATAAGGACGATAAAAGTACGGTATCCAGCGGAAAAAGGTTAGTGAATAATATCAGAGACGCGCAAATTCCCGAGAGAACAAGAAAGAGGATGGCGGTAAAATGAAACTAAACATATTAAAAGCAGACATTTTTTCTTACATGTTCCTTATCACTATCACTATGAAGGATACATAAAAAAATAAGTGAGAGCAAGTTTCGTGTGCCCAATGGAGACTGCCAAAAGACGTCAACTACTTATGCTCCAGCTGCACTGTATTATCGCATCACATTGTTCTAAGACGAGGGATTAGGGAACAGTGAAGGAGGTGTCAAGAGTCCAGATCTCCCGGATTACAACTTTCAGTCCTCTTTGTCTGCCAACACTGATCCTCAAGCATCTCTCTCTCTCTCTCTCTCCCTCTCTGATTTCTCTCATGCTCTCGCCACCTGGATTCGAGATCTTTGCTCGGTTGGCTGACGCAAAACTGATAAGCTACAGTGCTCGGTGCGTGCTCAACACTCGATTCCACACGCGTTTCGAGTAGACGACAAAAAGAACTTATCAGTCGTTTTTTGTGCAACATTTTCTCGAGCGCGCTATCGTTCGCGCTTTTGCTCCGCTCACTTTGCTATTTCGATTCTAATTTGCGGGGGCCCACCTCCGATTGTTCCTCCTTCATATTAAATACAGTACCCGAGGTTGAACCGATCCCCCGTAGTCGTGTGTCTGTGTTGTTAGTCGGTGTGTGTGTGTACTTCCTACCGTAACCCATGGCGCTGGTGACTGCCCGTTAGACCAGCCGGCCCGGTGGCGGCGAAATTTGAAAAACGTGCGCACACGCGCCACGCTCTCTCTCTCTCTCTCTCTCTCTTCAGAATCGATAGAAGCGGAGGACGAGGGGGGTGGGCAGAAGGAGGAGAAGGGCTGAATTGCGTGGACTTGCACCGGACAAGTCATACCAATGATTGATGAGGTCTATGGAAACGAAGCAAAGCAGTGCGAAAAAGAGAGTGCGCGGATTTGTTGTGCCAGCCAGGTGCACCTCAACCTCATTATGTCAAGTTGTAAAAGCGTGGCTTTAATTGGTTTATGAGATGCCGGCGGCGGGTCCTTTTGGCTAGGGGGATCTAGAGCTGAAAGACCGGCGGACGGGCGGAAATCATAAGAAAAGGAAAAGAGCGATTGAGGTTCTCATCGAAACGGGATATATCCGACAAGGTCGGCTAGCCGGGACCAAGTCTCTTCGAATCAGCATCTTTGAGCCTGATTTGCATTGGAAAGGGGTGCTCTCGACGGCGGCAGATGCGCGATTTCCAAAGACACCAGCCACCAATTCAAAGGACGAGCGCAAGGCTAATCTGCCATGATATATCACTTTCGGTAGCACTCAGCATGGTTTCTTTTTGAAACAGATGAAGCGTCGCGGTCTACCAGGGATATTTGATACTATTAGCGGACGTGGTGCACAAGCAGAAGCAAGAAGAGAAGAGGAAGAAGAAGAAGAAATCACAGATGCCATAATTGGTGGGGTTAAGTGGATAATTGACTTGAATTTGAGATGGGCGCAAGTTCGGAAGAACGAACGGAAGAAGAGGACACGACGGAAACGAAAAGAAGATCGATTTCGACAGGGCGGCATTTTTGGAGGCGACGTTTCAAAGGGACTTCTCGCGAAATGCAATAGGACGCGCCTTGAAAGCGGGTAGGTCAAAATAGATGTGGATACTGTATGTACTTTGAGGGAAAAACTTGTCTACGCGGACACGGGAGACAAAGCTCATGTGACTTCTGAGCTGACCTGAACTCGTGTGCGCGAGGCGCGGAGCTTATACAGCGGGGGCAATAAAACCGGCGCGTTTATCGGCGAACGAATCCAGTTTACAAGGTGTCATATGGTGCTTTTTGTCCGCCATCAGAGCAACCTGTCGCGCTCGTAAATCATATCGTGTGGTTCTGTCGAATAACAGAGAAAAAGTTGCGGAAGAGGAGGATGTCTCTCAGAGTCGGAAGAGATGAACACGTAATTAGGGGTGCGAACGGGAAAGGAGCCGCCCGACAAGTAGATCAGATCTGTGTGAGAACATGCCGATGCACACTGAATTATTCACGATGAGTTCGGAACAAAGAAAAAGAGAAAGAGGGGCGCCCGCACGTGTGCGACATGACAAGAACAAAGAACCATAAAGGGACAAGTTGCGGTAAATCATTTGGGGTGCTGAGAAGCTGTAAAATCAGATAAATCAAATAAATGAGCGATGTTGACAAGTGAGTGAGCCAGTCGGCGGCACCAGGGGCGGAGCTGCTGCAACCCAGGCGCGCACACACCGTAGGCCACGGGAGAGGAAGCGAAACGACGGGATCGGAGAGCTCCCTCGGGCTCTCGCCCTGACGGGTACGATACGAGCTCAAACAACGGTAAACTGTGAACCGAATGTGTTGGGTTAGAATGTTGGGAGAAGCGAATACAGTGCGAATTGATCAGCGCGTATCAGTTGGGGCGAAGGGGGAAAGGCGGCTCGTTTCGACACAGACTCGCCCCTGATTTTGATTGACGGGTAGAAGCAAAGTGGGCAGAAGAAGCCGCAGAACTGACAGAACTGATAATCGATTTGGTTGGAAGGTGGAAGGCGAGGAGCACCAACTGCCGCCTTCGCTCCACGCGCTTATTACGCAAAATCATCGCGATGAGTGATGAGCGAGAAGCGAGAAGAAGGGGATGGCTATTGTGACTATGTGACGCAAGGGATAAGAAGGCATCTGGTGTTGACGGTGCCACGTCACAAAGGTAATACGGATTTGGCAATCTGGCATGAGCAAAGTTGGGAGAGTTGAAAAGGTACGGTAACTGATGAAGGTAGAAAGAGGAGAGGGATTAGTTTTGAAATGGACTGGTAAGTGAATGTGAATATGATTTGAATGGCTCCCCGCTCATCGGGAGAGCTGTAAAACCGTAATGCGACCCCGGCCATCCTCCAAAAACCGTAAACTTTTAGGGCTCCCCCTTGTGCACATCGGCAAATGAGAACAACAAGAAGAATCGGAGAAAATTGTGATAGTTGTCGCCTCCTAATCCACGCCCGTTTTGATTGACAAGCGGGAATGTGTGTGCCCAAATACCATACCCGTCAGTGGCATCCAAATAAGAGAATTCGATGGGGCGCAATAAGAAAACGCGACGCGTGAGCAGTCAAGAAGACGGAGAGGAAGAGGCAGGAGAAGGCAAGTTGAAACGAAAATTGAAATGTTTGATTGACAAGTCTTCCGGAGGCAGAAGAAGCAGACTCGCATTGCTTGCTTCCTATTATTTCCAACCAATAAAAGCACCGTAATCTGACGCGAAGAGCTTAGAAAGGAAGAAAAGAGGAAAAGGATGGGGGGAAGAGCGGGGCGATCGGGACAGTTTACAGCGCATCCACGATCATATCTGCTCTGGTTGGATTACGCAATCACTGGGTGCGCAACAGCCTTTCCCTCCTACACATCATTAGGCTCTAGCATTGAATGGGATCACCTAGATTTATGGACTATTCAATCGAAATGCGCTAACGCCTATTATACGGTCTATATATTGCTAAAACTGATACGTAACATAGTAAGGCTAGGAAGTGAAAGGATCAAGATTTGCACAAGAGTGAGAGTACGCTCGCAGAAAGTAAGAATGAACAATGACAGGCCAAGTGGACCATTTCACTGGGGTGCGACCAGTTTCTTCACATCATCTTTCCCATGTCCTCTCTTCTTTTGTCCATCGATCGGCCAACTTTGCTCCCGGGATTGGCGCTTTCCTTTTTGTTCTCAGAGTCTTTTGCAATTTAGAGATTAGACGGCGGTCCGTAACTCAAAGAGAACTAAGGGATGCCTTCCCTGAAGTAATTATCCTGTCAGTACACCGGAAATGTCTCAACTTGAAAAGAGATCGAGAGCAAAGTTCTGCCGTCGAGAACTCTCTGAGTACTTCCATAGTGCTCCATCACGATTGCCACGTCACAAGGTCATCAGAGATGTCATCGCGAGATCCCATTGTTTCCCCCAACTTGCTACGCATATCTAAGAACCATCTTCCCCTCTCTTTTGCTCACACACCGAACTCTAACAGCCTATTAGAGGGATAATATACAGTACATACTGTGAGGAAACAAATGAGGTGCCGGCTATAGATCTGATATGGACACTCCGCAAGTACCTTCTTCGGTTACATAAGTCTCTTCTGAGTCCATTGTTTGGCAAGGTCGATGGCAGAGCGGCTCCTTTTGACGCCGGGTTGCCCAATTATTTGCCGATCATCTCGACTGTTTTGTCATCACTTCCGAGACCGATTATCCCTCGTTCGGCGACCCGTTTAAGTTGGGATTGATGATGCGCGAAATGTTCATTTTACAGAAACAATAAACACAGATGTTCTACATAGTTCGATTAGGAAATGTTCGGAAATGATAGTCTAGTGGAGCTTGAAGGCGATCTTTGGGACGGCAGAAGTGTCGACGTCATCGTGGGGGAAAAGCGGATGGTTGACGGCGCTGAAAGATGCTGATAAGAATGAGGATTGCGAAGATGGAAGAACTAACAAATCGAAAATGAACAGACGGATTCTGCTCGGAACGTTGTCCAGAAGCTGCACGTCTTCTGGGCTCAGCTTGAAGTCAAAGGTAGAAATGTTCTCGACAATTCTGTCGGGGTTGACACTCTTTGGAATGGCAGAGATTCCCTGTTGAGTCAGGTGACGGATCAGAACCTGCGCAGCCGTTTTGTGGTACTTGGCTGCCAGTTGTTGTACGACGGGCTCGAGCAGCGGGTCACCCTCTGGCCAGACGCCGTCCGGACGAGCAGCCTTTCTGCCTGGAGAGCCGAGAGGAGCGTACGCGGTCAGGGTCACTCCGAGCTTCTTGCAGAGATCACGGAGCTCCGTCTGCGGCCAGTAGATGTGGCACTCGACCTGATTGTTGGCTGGCTTCACTTCAGCAGCATCGTAGAGCGCCTGAAGTTGTTTCGGGCTGAAGTTGGACACACCGATCGCCTGTAATGATATTATGATATTTCGATTCCCATCTTCATTCTGCGTACTCTTAATTTCTTCTCGTGATACAACTTCTCGAGTGCTCTCCACGTGTCAATGTGCGAAGTGCCGTCGATGACGAAGCCTCCGTCTTCCACGAGCGGAAGGAAGTTGCCGTCCTGGTGCTTGAATGGGCACGGGCAGTGGATCAGATAGAGGTCGATGTAGTCGAGTTGCAGGGCCTTCAGCTGGTGCTCCACACACTTTGGCACGTCTTCCGGAGCGTGGGCCGTGAATGGAAGCTTCGAAGTAATGAAGAGATCCTCACGCTTTACTTTTCCGGAGGAGATGTACTCGTGAAGCACTTCTCCGATGATGTGCTCATTCTGATAGAGGAAGGCAGTGTCTGAAAGTGTTTTGGTTCAAAGAATTTCGAAAGAGCTGTTGAACTGACCGATGAGCCTGTATCCCGCATCGAGAGCGGCTCTCAGAGCCACCCTCAACTCGGTCTCGTCCTTGGCTTGCCACGTGCCGAGTCCGAAGAGCGGAAGCTGAGCTCCGGTGTTCAAGACGATGGTTTCTACGGTCATTATCTGTAAAAATGAAAAGATTGAAAATTTAAAGAACGAAATCGAAACTTGTCCACAAACACAAACACGGGCACATGGCAATGAAGCGAAAAGAGACGAGAGACCAACAAATATTTTTCGATCGCAATTCCCAAGTCACCGAAGAGAGAGAGAGAGAGAGAGAGACGAAGCACACGCACGCGATACTGTTATTATAACGACGTGATTCTTTTGTGACATGGATTCGAACGGGGAAAGGAAATCGAGAAAAAAAACATGACGCTGGTGTTTTGTTGTGTTTGGAAAGGAAAACTGGAAAATAAAGTGGAAGAGGACAAGGAGAGTGTAGAGGGCGAGGAGAGTGTAGTTACAGGCGAAACGGTGGGCAATAACGGGAAGAAATGGACGAGAGAGAGAGAGATAAGAACAGAAGGAGATGATGATGTCCCGAGTGAGGTCAGACGATCGGAGAGCACTTATTGGTTTCTCGTTGTCTTTGATAAAAGCAACGAATTTTGAAGTTTTGTTGAATGACAACTGGAATTAAATACATTTAAAGAGGGCAATTCTCATACTGATAAAGGAAACGAATGAAAAGGAAAAAGGCTGGACAAAATGGAGGCGCGGGCTTTTCGAGGCCTGAACTTTGGACCCATTTGCAATCTGAATCTGCAGACTTCTCAGACTTGGATAGACGTATAGTAAGCGGGATAATCGGTCGGTCTAAAACTTGGACCCAATATACTTCAATTCAAGTCCAACAGGCTTGAAAAGTTCAGTCCTTCGAGCCTCATTTGCCTAGCCGTGCTGAAAATACAGTCACCCTACTTCCCGATTGAAGATTTTTGATATGAAGGAATTAGTTATGAGCCACCCACGTGCATTTCAGGGTATGCAGCCAGATTTTCTTCATTTTTGATGGCTGAAGATGAGTGCAAGTGCAACACGAATCCATTTTTAATTCAGTGACCCATCATCATTCGATCCAGGAAGTGTTGTCATGAAATAAAGCCCCACTCATCCAATAAAGTTTATTTTGGTTGTCTGAAAATCGGTTGTATGTACTGGCCAATTCCCATGCGTGGCGTCCAGTATTCTCGGTATTCGGCCTGAGAACATTGTGGCAAAACACGCGTGCCGATCCCCGAAAGTCAACACGAGTGCACAAATCTCGAATTCGACACCCCTTCATCCCGACGTCTTGCTCATGGGGCTCCTTCGAGAAACCTTCAATTATCTGCGCAAACCAAACGTATGATTACTCTCTCCTTTCGAAATTGCATTTCCGTTTTCCCTTTCTTCTCTGTTTGATCGGAATCTCACGCGCACCAAAAACCGAAACCGAGCCCCCGCTTATTCATCATTCCAATTAGGTGAGTCCGGCTCGCATTTCATCTCCGTGCACCTCTTTTTCATCGTCAACTAATCGTACGTGGGAAGGCAAGAATTCGCATATCTCCCCCGAAATCCATAGCCGAAAAAGAGAAGCACTTCGACGATATCATCTCGGGGTTTCTCTTCCTTGTTTAATTTTGTTTCGAAGCATTTTTTTTTGCTTTCCTCTTTAAATAGATGAGTACTTCTATTCCGCTTCTTTAGTCGGGGGGATCAGCCTGAACTATTGTAGGCCTCTTTCTCACGACGATTTCAATATCGTCAAGATTGCCAGTGGCCGTCGTCGCTGGACGTTCCTCTTTTTAATATTCAAATTTCACGTCGTGTGAGGTTGTTGTGAGCGTATTTATATTGGCAGCAAATAACGTCTTTCCTTGTTTTTACAGAGACGTATTCGGTTCTGAATGAAAGAGAGCCCATTTTGAGAGCAAATACCATAAGCTCCAAAATATCAGAGAACCTTTGCGGTTAATTTCACAAATGAAGATTATCCTTACTTGCAAATATTTACACGTTTGATCTTGTGCTGAAACCAGCAAAACAAGACACTTGTGCAGTTGGCACGTCATCCTCTTTCGCTCCTTTTCAACACAACTTCCTGTATCCTTCTGGCGCCATGACCTACTTTGAGCGTTTCGAGCAATTTCCGTTCCGCAAGTGACAACAAAATGTCAAACGAGAGCAGCATTTAGACAAAGAACCATGAAAGCACAAAGACTGCCCGTCTCGGCCCATTCCATTCATTTCCTCGTCATCGCTTCCGTTTTCATTTTCGAAATGATTCAATGAGTCCGAGAACAAAGGACCGGCGTCATTGCACACTGTTGAGCACGTGCTTCGGGCTCCGCGAATCGCCTGAGGGCTGTAATCTAGATAATTGTCTCGCACTTTGTCTTCTTTCAATTCCAAGAATCTCCGCCCACTCGGGCCAGCCATTTCGTACAACTCGCGTCGCTTTTCACTGGGTTTTTTGTGTGCGAGCTTCTTGGAAAAATTCATTAGAGGACGGAATAAATTATAGACTTGTCAGGGGAATATAGAAGCCGCGCCCATCACCACCAGACCCTCCTTCCTTCCGTCCGCTAAGCCCCATTCCTAACGAGAACACCTCCTTCCTTTCTATTTTTCTAGATTTCGGTTCGGTGAGTTGGTAGGTTACTGTAATTCCGCGCGAGTTTCAGCCAAATGGGAAAGGAGCGAGTGAACCTGATCCTGGTGGTTGGTGGTTGAACGCTTCTTGTCTCCTGACTAACTGTCCTTTCGGAATCCCGTCCCAGGAGCACCCAAACGAGCTCTTTCACGTCATTCACTACTAATCCTTATGTCTCTTTCACATCCGGTCACATTTCCCGTTTCGTATAGCTGAAACACTGAAAGTCCATCCAATTAGAACGTCTGCTGTCATCCGCACAATCCCGTCGTCATCCACTTTTCTGTCTGCTCCTGACTCATCCTGTTTGTCGCGCCCGTCTGCGAGACAGTAGCTCCCAAGGCGCCCAACCACCTCTTTAAATACTTCAGAATCGCTCGCTCCTCTCATTCTCGACAATGCGCTTCTTCGCCGCCGTCCTCCTCCTCGCCTTCGTGCTCATTGCGACCTTCGGTAAGTGGCTCACTCCCCCCGTCCCTCCAACCTTTCTGCTTCTTTTCAGATGTCTCCGCGGCTCAGTCGCGCATCGACCGCAGCGCCGCATGGTTTAAGCCGGCTCCGAACGTGCGCTCACCATCGTATTCCAGGTCGCGGCTCGGCGGTTCGCGTCTGCTCCCCCGCCGCATGTACCGCAGTCTGCCCAGCAACGACTATCAGGCGGTCTGGGAGAAGCTCGTACGTTCAGAAGTTGGCTATTAGAGCCACATCGAGTCTGGTACTTTGCAGGCCGATGCGGCGGAAACCGAAGAGGCCCTCTAAACGTTTCCAATCAATGCGACCATCCCCCAACTGCGACTCGTGATCTCCCATTCACTCTTCTTCGAAGCTTCTCTCATACAACCCGTCAATATTTATTCAAATCACTGAATAAAGTTATTTTGTGTTAAAACGCAGTGATCTGTTCCGTTTCCTCGTTGACCACAACCGTCTTTCCGCTCAGCGCTCCAATCACAATTTCCGCGAATCGGTCGGCGTCATCCGCGTAAACGTGATGTCCGGCACTGTCCATCACCTGAAACATTATCAGAAATGTCATTCTGGCACCAGACATCCCAACCAAGCTGAGCCCAACTATGCAATTACCGGATGTCTATGTGTCTACTGACGTGCGCCAGAGTCTTGTGGGAGTTGTCTTCTCAGAACAAATGAATGCTTACATGAGATTCCACGTGCGAGAGTTCAGAGAACATTTTCCTCGTCGACTTCCAGTCAATCCAGCTCTTCTCTCCGTGAATAAAAGTGACCGGGACTGTGGAGTCCAACTCGTGGAACCTCTTGCTCATAGGCTGTTTCGCCCATCCCAAGTTCTCCGACATGCTCTTGAAGGCCGCTTCTCCAGTTGGATTTTTCGAATTGGCCAAGTAAATGTAGTCATACACGTCATCCGAGTACTTTTGAGCAAGATCCGGACGCAGTCGTTTCATCAGCGTCGGCCCTGAATTATTTATTTTTTGTTTCGGAATACTTTTGCAGCTGCAATTCTCGATGCATGTGTCCTTTTTCCAAAAGCGCCTGCTTACCGTATGAGCCGGCGAGCCGGAGAATGGCGAGTGGATTGAACTTCTGAACGACCCAGAAAATGCTCTTCTGCCGAGTCGTTAGTCGGTTAGCCAGTTCGGGATCCATTTCGTTGAAGCCCCACGGATCGGCCAGCACGAGATTGTCGACTCGGCTGGGGTACTTGAGGGCGTATGACGTGGCGAGGTATCCTCCGAACGAATGGGCCACCAGGTTCATTTTCTCCAGATTCATCTGGTCCCTCCACTGCTCAATCGAATCGATCATCTCCATCTCGGCGGTCTCTGGATCCGTAGAGAACTGTGGACGCGAAGAACGACCGAAACCTGTGGCAGATAACGTTTTGAAAGGGAGTTATTGATGCGAAACTGACCAGGAAGGTCGAATGCATGGACTGTCTGGAACTGTGCGAGTCTCTTCATGGCGGCTCCCCACAAAGCCACTCCGGCACCGAATCCATGGATCAGAACGATCGGATAGGCGGCGCTGGGAGTCGGCTGCTCACAATTCACAGTGATTGTGCTGATTTCGGTTTGTTTGAACGGAATCTGAAGGAAGCACACATTGTTCCAAATAAGTTGTTGCATAGAACTTACTTGAACGAGTTTGGCGAGATATCTGATTCCAAGAGCCGACAGGATTCGTCCTTCGGCCTCGGCCAACCGCTGGCTCTTCGTCGGGCACGAGAAGTACGGAAACCTGAAAACCTTTCATTGCTTCGTTCACTTACTTCTTTTTCTTTCATATTATCCTACCAAGAACACCAGGAATCTGTGTTAGTTGTTCTCGAGTTTTGATCATTTGCATCACCGGCAATCATGGTTAGAAAGTGTGAAATGGACTGTTTCCACGTTCCCACGGAATGCCCTCATTTCGGTTGAACTGTCAAAAAAGGGAACTCACCATACTCTGGAAGTGGCAACAGCCGTCTCGGTCATCATTTCGAGTGTCTTGGGCCTCTGAATGCTCGCATTTCATCAATAGTCATCCCTCCGCGCCCCCGAGTAGAGAATCTTGTGTCCGCGTGTCTGCGCTCTCTCCACTTGCCGTGTTCTCTCGTTTTGTGACTGGGTTGCGAAATCATGTGTTTGCGGGTCTTTGGACACAGTTTTGTGTGAAAACGGAGAAAATGACGTCGGAGTTCATTTGGGCGGATTAGAAATGGAGAACATTCTGGAAACAGAAACTGCAAGCCACAGGCACTTCAGAATTGGAATCTAGAACTTCTTCAGATGTCTCATTCCACATTCCCATCAAACGTGAGCTCCAAAAAGTTCAGAAGCCCATCGGATAAATCTGCACCAAACCGCCGAAAGCGACGTATCCGTAGCTCTTGGAGATTACGGAAAGCCATGACGATCCATGGGAACAAGCTCCTTCTTCTCATCAACCCCCATAGAATCTCTTTCATTGCCATTCAAATTCAACAATGCTCTCAAATCTTCTTCTTCTTTTGGCTCTTACGACTGGAGTGACTTCTCAGTATCTGGTAAGTTGAGTCAGTGTCGCTCTATCGCGATTCCACGTGAAATCTCAGCCACGGCCGCCAGCTTTTCCCATTGAAACGTGTTACGTCGTTCTAGACGTATGATAATTTGTAGGATAATGCTAAGTATATGCTAAGTCTACCTGTGATTACGGCTTGGGTACTCCCCGGAATAAACAGTCGTTTCCGCACAACCCAAAAACGTAACAAAACGATTCCAGGAAAGCTTTAAGTTCCGTTTCCCAACTGATGAGGATTGTGGAAAGGGAACTGGAAAGCGCTCGGTCTTGGATAACAAAAAGGTTCGATCCTACAACGAATTGGACGACGGGGAAGTTGCCATCTGTTCTCTCGGTTGTGAATTCGACGGGCTCGGTGGAGTGGAGCATCAAGAACGGGAAAATCTGATGGACTTCGAGTTGCCAATCGAATCGGATACGGATGAAATCGCAAAGCGATTCATGGAAAATCTTCCTAATGTGAGGGTAGATACTGATCAGTTTCAAGTTAGTTTCAAGGAATCTTTACAGTTTACGCCAACTGAAATGGCTGAGGAGGACCAAGAAGAAGTGATTGTGATGAACAGCGGTTTGGAGGACATCAAGGAGCTTTCGGTATCCAAAATGATGACCCCATTGGTGTCGATGATCGGAGTGGGAATGATCAGAAGGAAGGCCAATGATATCATTGTTTGAATTATGAAATGAAGATATATTTGTTAACCAATCATGCTTTGATCTGATTTGATCTACCAACCGAACTGTTTGGCAAATGTTCCATTGATCGAGTTACCGAGAAACAAAGAAATGATAAGGAAGCGGGGGCGGCAGACGGTTTTTCGAAGAAAACAGTATCTCTTCTTCTGCCGCAATTCGGTCAATTTCATCTTCTAATGATACCTTCTCTACTCGTATTTCTTCTGTTTTCGCTGATTGATGCGAAACCACAACTCATTCCAGAGTTGTTGGCAGGTGAATACAACGCATTCTTACAGATTTTCAAGCCAACAATATTCTTTTAGGACTGCAAGATGGAAGATTCGGTGGTGGCGGAGGGCCGGATAGAGGAGGCATGGACATCGGACACGTCATCGGAAACATTGCAGCCAATATCGGAGAGCGGATAGGTTTGAACGATGCGGATGTGATTGGGGATTTGAGAGTGAGTGCCGATGAAAAGGGGAAGATGCCACGTCATAATTGAAGGGAATCTCACGTGGACCTCGGCCTTCACAATCCGAATGGTCCGCCAAGGCGAGGCACTTCTGCAGACGGTACCCGGGGCATCCAAAGTGCCAACGCGGACAACTTCCTCAGTTCACAGACATTCCCACCATCATCAACCAGGTTCTGTTCAACGCCGGAGACCTTCTGCCGAAGGTTCCGACACTGAGCATCCGTGATCCGTTGTCCGGATTGAACAGCGAACTCGTCGGCTTCATCAAGAATCTGCAATCGCAGTTCGGACAGCTCAGTTCGCAGCAACGGAATACTCTGCAGAACTCGTGCCAGTCGTTCAAATGCGACCAACAATCCACGCAGAATACGCAGGCAAAGCAGGAACTTATGGACAAGGTGGGCATTCTATTCTGCGAATCTTCCTTCCCTTTCACAATTCATTCTTCAATTTCAGATGCTTGCCTTTGATCAAACCGTCGGCGGAAAAGTGTCTCGTGACAAAATGAATCTTCGTTTCGATCGCACTCAGCAAGTGAAACAGGCGATGCTCAAGAGAGCCAATCTCTCTCATGTCGTCCGTCCGACAGCCCGTTTCCGTTTCATTCCGGACCCTTTTTGCAGATTGTTCCGGCCGACAACGGAGTCTTCGACCGAGACGTCCTCCTCACCGAACATCAGGCCGACTTCCTGCTCAACGAGCTCGGCGAGGCGGGCGTCGGTGCAGATGTTCCCGGGGCACGGATGCCTCGTTCGGGCCTCTATTTCCAAGAGAATCCGGTTCAGAAATGGGATATCTGGCATCCGATTCCGTACACTTTGGACGACTCATTAGGTACTCTTTTGCAACGGAGAACCACAGAATGGATGGGTTGTTGAGTTCAGAAGAGTCGGATAAGAAGGATATCCGGGAAGCGCTGCACGAGATCTCAATAAACACGTGCATTCTGTTCAAGTACAACGCCACTCCGAAGGGTTATCATCTGAATTACATGAAAGTTGACAGTCCCACTTTGTGAGTCCATCTTTAAATCTTCCAATCGGACAATCAGTCAGAGTTTTTGCGAATAATTGAGAATTTCACAAAAGATACTTCACAGACGCACTAATAAACAATCCTTGCAGCTGCGGTCTTTCCTACATCGGACGAACCGACCCAGCCAACCCAATCTACCTGAGCTTCCAATGCGGTGACGTCAGTTTCTTCTCTCTTCCCCGCATGTCTTCAAAAGGTCATCTTCTTTCCAGAATCGTGGAGTGGCAATGCACGAAACGATGCACGCCCTCGGGGTCAGCCACCAGCACCTCCGTCTCGACCGGGACAAGCACATTAAAGTGATTCCGCGCGACCCCATCCCGAAGCCCTTTTCTCTTTCAGATCGACTGGTCCAACATTGATCCTCAGCACTACGACACTTTCGCGATCGCCGATGCCAAATTGTACACTTCATACGGAACCAAGTACGCGTACGATAGTATCATGCACTACAACGCCTATTTGGCAGCCATCAACCCCTCCAAACCGACCATGATCCCTCTGGTTTGCTCTCTTTTTCCCCGATGACTCTGTCATTTTCCTTTAGGTGAATCCTCAAGAGAACCTTCCGAAATTGGGCCAAAGAGCGAAGCTAACCAGGGCGGATATACGACTGCTCAAGAAGATGTATTGCCGTCCGGGATGCGACGATTCGAATGTGCATTGCGGAACGTGGGCACTCAATGGATACTGCAAACATAAGGATCATAATGTGTGGATGTCTAATAACTGTAAAGCTAGCTGTGATAAATGTTGACTCCATTCTACTATTTTGAAGAAAACCAAAACGAAATACAACAATGAGGTAACAAAAACGCAAATTAACATAACAAAACAAAATTGTGTTGGCGATCACTTGGCAGTCGAAAGCCAATTGGAAATGTGGAAGTTGATGTTCTTCGGGGTGACTGATGTGTTCCTCTTCTTGGCGGCCTTCTCCAAATCATCCAGATACTTGCTCTCCACCCGATCGTACGCCTCCTTCGCATTGTCCATCAGCTGTCCCATCAGAATCCACGGCTTCCTGCAATCATTCGGAATTGGCAATGGGGCTCAGGCATCACCCATCTTTTCATTCATAGCAACGTGGCTCGTTTCCTTCGTGGTTTTCCCACAATTTCAATAATCGATTACGAAGCGCTAGCGAGCGGCCGCGGAGACCGTCCCTCCCCTTTCCAACAACATCCCATCAGTGCTGAGAGGCAATCAAAACTCTTTGGTTTGCCTCCTTGGAATGTTGCCTCTTTTCGACACTTTCCTCTATTCTTTCTTCCCCTTCTGTTCATACACGTTTCCTTTTCTCTCACAGAATTCTTTACAGACTGCCATGGTGCCGATCAAATTTCGAACTACTACCATTGGCGACTACTGGACTAACAACGACAATCGGTAAGTTGGCTGACAGCGAGTTCGCTACAAGATTTATCAGTTTTCAGCTGGAACATCGAACTTGGTAAGCATCGCCACAAGCACTTCTTCTTCAACACGGCAGCTATCGGAATGAACCTCGACGAAGGCTACCCCACCTTTGAGAACGAACACGGCAACGAGCGTCTCGAAGGCATTCTCGCGTTCATCATGAAGACTGCAAGACTTGGAGTTCCATTGAGAGAGGTGATCACGTTTCCTTTCGAAATGTCATCGTCATGTGCAAATAATGCAGATGGTGCAGGCGGACTTCGTCTGTCGTCGCGGACTTCTCCGCAACCTCGCGATCAACAGATTCAACCACACTATCATCACTTTCTATGCCGTCCGTCATCGTGGAGTCATCTTTCTCTGCGAGGACAAGAACTTCGGAGAAATTCCTGACAAACTGCGTCGTGCCATGTACTTCAATCTCAAATATGAGAATGTTATGACGCTGCCGGTGAGTGATAAGCACATGTGTAGGAGAAATTGAAAAGCGTTACTCATCACAGCAAGTGAGAAGTCTGACGGCGTCGAAGAAAGAGGAAACGAAAACGGTGATTCATGCGTCGCTCGAGAAGGAGGGAGCCGAGCCAATTCGCATTTACTACGCGGCCGAAATCGACTGTCTTGACAGTGGTGAGCACAGTGTAATGTAATTGGAATGGAAACTAAAGCAATACGATTGCAGATGGGACTCCAATCGAATTGAAGTCGATCAGCAAGCCACTGGAGGCCGGCTGGGACAAAAGCCGCAGCCTTGCCTGGTACATGCAGTGCTTCCTGGGAAAAGTGCCAAAAATCGTTGTCGGACAGAGACAGAGAAACCGTCTCAGAGCGGTACATCAACAGTATATCAGATCCTGACTATCAAAAATTAGTTTCAGTTCCGCATTGTCGAAGCGGAACAAGTGCGCATTCACAACCCGCACACCTGGACCCTCGAGGGATGCCTCGAACAGCTGCATTCTGCACTTTCCTTCGTGAAGAACTACATGCCGATCGATGGATACGCCTACAAGTTCACCGCGGTCCACGGCGCCGTTCACGTCTCCACTACCGAGTTCGGGAGTTACATCGTTCCGGAAAACTTCCTCCGCATCTTTCCTTTTTAGACGAATGTGACAACTCATCGCTTTCCTTCTTTCTCCCAGTAAATTTTGCATTCTGCCTTTTACTGAAAAGATTTTCTGTGTACTCCCATCTCTATTCTATCGCTTCATCATAGCTGTTCCCGTCTACTCTCTCTTTCTCTTTCTATTTAATGAATTGTAGTTTCTCGAACTTACAGCGATGTCAGTTGCGGATTCAACTTGAAGATTCCGGTTGATGGAACATTGTAGAGAATGTTGTTTGCAAATCGGGAGAGCTCCTGATTCCTGCGTCTGGCAAGCATCGAGAGCTCACCACGAACATCTGTGGCAAGGGCGTTCGCTACGTCCGGATCGTCAATGTCTTGCCGATAAATTCCTGGTGCACCGCCTTCTTCATCCTCAATCATTGAGGAGAGTTTGGGATGAGCCTGAATTGTATTGAGTTCTCGCTGGTAATCGAAGGAAATGGCTTACAATGAAAAGTGTGCGGACCAGAGAGACGATACAGAGAGATAGGAAGTCGTCCAGAACTGTGGCGATGGAGAGAAGTCTCTTGACGAAAGCAGCCACTCTCGAGAGCGGGACCGCCTTTCTTCTCAACACCAGCATTGTATCCAACGTCTTTGACGCCATAACAATTTGATTCTTCCTGTGTTCCGGTCTTTTTTCAAACGGAAGATGGTTGAGCACTCGATATGCGAGTCGATAGAACTTGGACGGGTCAATGTTCAGAAGCTGTCCGTCTCCAGAGAGAATCACGAAGACCGTGTTGATGCAGTGCAATTGGTCGAGGGGTTTCAGGTTTTCATTCTGAACCATATTCTCCATCGTCGAGACGATATCCTCGTAGAATTCGATGCTGAGAAGATGCGCGAACTTGCTGAGCCCCTCGAGCACGGGCTCTAGAAGAGCGGAGGTCGGCATGCGCTTCAAAATAGAAAAGTAGGTTTGGAATGCGAATTTCATCGCCTCCGTCGCATTCTTCAACTTCTTGGTCAACGACTCTTCCGCTTCCACTTCGAGAAGATCGGCTTCGAGTCTCTGCAGCTGCTTCTTGTATTTCTTCGCCGTTTTACTCGCTCGCTCCTTTTTCAGCTGGTACTTTTTAGCAACGAGAGCATCTTTTCCAGATTTCTTATCCTCGTTCTTCACTTCTGTGATATTCATCGCCAGAAGAGTCTTCAGAAGTTCTGGAGGCACTCTGCCCTTTCGCTTCGTCACTAGCGTGGAAATTGAACGGGCAGTGAACAATGTCATCTGAATATTTGCTAATTTTTTGATAGCTGAATACAGAATCTATACTCTCAAATGAATATCCTCCGTGAAAACAGTTCGGATGGCGTCGCAAACTTCTTTAATGACAGTATCATTTTTGGCGAGTGACAATCGAACGAGACTTGAAATAATATTGGTGGAATAGTTGAAATGGGGAGCCGAAACGACAATTCTGGCAAGAGCCTGAACGGAATGATAATTAGTATTTACATGAAAATTCCTACTTTGACGGACAGAATTCCCATTTTGAACGTGAACGTATTCTCGTCGTTGTGCCTGTCTTTTCCAACCAACTCTTAACAGGAATATTTGAATTTTCATGATTGCAACCAGTTTATACTATTTGAGAGCTTTTCGCAAAGCTGAAGATACTTGAGATGATATCTCAACAAAGATTCTTCGAAATTCACAAGATTTCTCGTTTCTTTCTTTTGTTTCTGAGCTTTTTCTTCGGCAGTTTGTTCGCGAATCGCATAACCGGGAACAATGTCCAGAAGAACCTATAATTAATAGTTAGAAGTTATGTAGGAAGTTCTTTAAAACTACCTGAAGGGTACTGGCCATTGCCAATTTCTGCACTTGTTCTCGGACCAGCGAATGAATCTTCTCACCGTTACATAAATTGTAGAGATCGCGGAGACGAACAATCTGGAATACAGAAAACTTGAATGAAAAAGAGCGCAGAGGTTTACATTTGTTTGAGGATTTGCTAACAACATATTGCAGTGCGAAGCAATGATGTTTTTGAACTCCTGGAGCAATTCTCTCCGCTTTGCGAGGAGTTCTGAGGCGGACAAGTGTGAAAAGTCCTCTCTGTGGGGCTCATCTTCTTCGCCTTCTTCCATCTCATCATTCTCTGATGCTTCTTGCTCTTTTTTCGATTCCTTCTCTCTGGTCGGTCGAATTAATGTTCCGTCTTTCAGTTTAATCGGCAGAAGCTCTTCTTGGCCTTCTTCTAACTGCCCGGCGAACTTTCTTTTCTTCTTTTCAACGTCGTCATCGTCATCGCTCTCTGGCGCATCTCCGTTTCTTTCTAAAACAAATCATGTGACATTACGAAGAAACACTTAGCACATCAGCTCACTTCTGTCAAGTCTTCGTTTGGCATTAGCAAAAGCGCTATTCTCCCAGTCAATATCCGCGTCCATCATATCCAAAGGCAGATCTTCTTCGTCTTCTTCGTAATGATACTGTCGGTCGGCAACGAAATCATCCTCGATCTAAAATTGAATAACTTTTTCGATAATATTCAAATTTCTTACATTTATCGCTCTTTGACGAAGCTCAGTCGATTTTCTGTTTTTGATATCAGCCATTCCGTCGCGAATCTCTCGCGACAACTTCTTTCTTTTAGCTAGTCTGTTCAGATTTTTTGTTGTTTTCCTTGTTTTATTGGTCTTCATCATTTTCAGCTTATCTTCACGAGAAGCGGAAGCGAAACCCATGTTTGCTGAAATACAATACAATTATCGATTTTTCTGAAATTTTTTCATAACTATGTTTTGGATATTTGATTTTTTGAAAGTAATTTGGATTTTTCTTTGGAAATGGCGAGAAATAAATATACAGCAAAATTATGGGAAAAACCGCGCCGCAGACTTGCAAACCCTAGTGAAAATGCAATGTGCGCGCACACTTTCTCAAAAGTCGTGGCGAGACCCGCCAGCTGACCGTACTTTGAAAGGACGGAGAGAAAAAGTCTCTTGAAGGTTCCCGTTTCTTCAAAGTTTTGATGCAAAAGCTAAACTTTTTCTCGACTCTTCTCGAAGGTACTCCGTTCGAACTGCCGGTTGCACGCTCCGCAGTCTCGTGATTGCATCATATAAGTGGCCGAATCACGGCAGATTCTCTCAATTTTTCTAACTGCTGCATGATGCAATTTTCTCTCCTTTTCCAGCTTTTCGTCTCGAATTCAATGTTCAAATGTAATTATTTCAGGCAGAATGCTTTCCGCACGATCATTCTTGTCTTCCGCTCGTACTATCGCCAGATCTACCTTCTTGAACGCCAGAAGTTTGTCTGACAAGCCGAAGGGACCTATTATTGGAATCGATCTTGGAACCACGAACTCCTGCGTCAGTATCATGGAGGGAAAGACTGCAAAGGTTATTGAGAATGCCGAAGGAGTCAGAACTACCCCATCCACTGTCGCCTTCACCGCCGACGGTGAGCGTCTTGTAGGAGCTCCAGCCAAGAGACAGGCCGTCACTAACTCTTCCAACACCCTTTTCGCTACCAAGAGATTGATCGGCAGAAGATTCGAAGACCCAGAAGTGCAGAAAGATCTGTAAGTTCAAGTTTTGTTTGTTCATCCTATGTTTTCGTTTTAGTAAAGTCGTGCCGTACAAGATTGTCAAGGCCAGCAACGGAGACGCTTGGGTTGAGGCTCAAGGAAAGGTCTACTCTCCATCTCAAGTAAGTTAAATATTCCTTTGACGTCATGATGCAGTATTTCACCTCGATGATGCAAAAGCGTTTGTTTTTAGGTTGGAGCGTTCGTTCTCATGAAAATGAAGGAGACTGCCGAGAGCTATTTGGGAAAAACTGTGAACAATGCCGTTGTCACTGTTCCAGCCTATTTCAATGACTCCCAGCGTCAGGCCACCAAGGATGCTGGACAAATTGCTGGATTGAACGTTTTTCGTGTCATCAACGAGCCAACTGCCGCTGCTCTTGCCTACGGACTCGACAAGGAGACTGGAGACAAGATGTGAGCGTTTTGTCTTGAATGAATTTTAAAAAATATTTTTGTTTGCAGTATCGCTGTTTACGATCTTGGAGGAGGAACCTTCGATGTTTCCATTCTCGAAATTCAGAAGGGAGTGTTCGAGGTCAAGTCCACCAATGGAGACACTTTCCTCGGAGGAGAGGATTTCGATCACGCCCTTGTTCACCACCTTGTCGCTGAGTTCAAGAAGGAACAAGGAGTCGATCTCACCAAGGACCCACAAGCCATGCAGAGACTTCGTGAAGCCGCCGAGAAGGCCAAGTGCGAGCTCTCGTCAACCACCCAAACTGACATCAACTTGCCATACATCACAATGGATCAATCCGGACCAAAGCATCTCAACCTGAAACTCACCAGAGCCAAGTTCGAGCAGATTGTTGGAGACCTCATCAAGAGAACCATTGAGCCATGCCGAAAGGCTCTCCATGATGCCGAAGTCAAGCCTTCTCAAATCTCTGATGTCCTTCTCGTCGGAGGAATGAGCAGAATGCCGAAAGTTCAGTCCACTGTCCAGGAGATCTTCGGAAAAGTTCCGTCGAAGGCCGTCAACCCCGATGAGGCTGTTGCCATGGGAGCTGCTATTCAGGGAGCTGTTCTGGCTGGAGATGTCACGGATTTGCTTCTTCTTGATGTGACTCCACTCTCCATTGGTATTGAGACTCTCGGAGGAATCATGACCAAGTTGATCACCAGAAACACCACCATCCCAACCAAGAAGTCGCAAGTATTCTCGACTGCTGCCGATGGACAGACTCAAGTGCAAATCAAGGTTTATCAAGGAGAGCGCGAGATGGCCGCCAGCAACAAGCTTCTCGGTCAGTTTTCTCTTGTCGGAATCCCACCAGCACCACGTGGAGTTCCACAAGTCGAGGTCACTTTCGATATCGATGCCAACGGAATCGTCAACGTCTCCGCCAGAGATCGTGGAACCGGAAAAGAACAACAGAGTAAGAATACATTCTGAAATGTCTCCTTATTTGAATTTTCTTTCCAGTTGTCATCCAATCTTCTGGAGGACTTTCTAAGGACCAGATTGAGAACATGATCAAAGAGGCTGAGAAGAACGCTGCTGAGGATGCCAAGAAGAAAGAGCTCATCGAGGTCATCAACCAGGCTGAGGGAATTATTCATGATACAGAGGCCAAGATGACCGAGTTCGCTGATCAACTCCCGAAGGACGAGTGCGAGGCTCTCAGAACAAAGATTGCCGACACCAAGAAGATCCTTGACAACAAGGAGAACGAGACTCCAGAAGCCATTAAGGAGGCCTGCAACTCCCTTCAACAACAGTCACTCAAGCTCTTCGAGGCTGCTTACAAGAACATGGCTGCTAAGAACTCTGGTGGTGATGCTCAGGAGGCAAAGACTGCTGAGGAGCCGAAGAAAGAACAGAACTGAACAGTCAACTTTCAAATCTTTACATCCATCATTCACGTGTCTTTTGTCGTTTCGACATTCTGTATTTTTTTAAAGTTTAGTCACTTGAATTTAATTGTTTCTCCTTCTCTCATTACCATAATATTCTTAGGTTAGGTTTTAGTTTTTATTCCTTAGTAGTTGGTTATGTTCTGTTCTTTGTGCCGAAAGGCGACGGTTTTATTGCGATAGGGTTGTGAAATTTAAAACTGATAGTCTCTATCGCTGAAATTTCACCAAAATTGTAAATATTTGCACTAAACCAAACAATTTGGAGCCCGAATGATAATAGAACGTCCGCCCCCGATCACATGATTTTTGTTGAAAATCACGGTTCTCCATTCACACTGATTTTTTTAAAAGTTTTGTCCCAATTGGTCTCCAAACTGAGTTTTTCTATTCATGCATGTTCACTGTTTTGCATGAGTTGTTTTTTTTTCATTTCTCTGAATCCCCAAATAAAAAGTTTTTCAAATCTATTCGTGCTGTGTTTTTTTCATTCTGTTCGAATCTGTCGTATACCCTGCTTCTCTTATCATTTCCCTTTTCTCTGGGGATTTTTGACTTTACTGAAAAACGGAAATTGGTTTTTGGTATTTGTCAAATTCGCTCAAAAACTAGTTTCGTCATATCTTTTGATATGGCGAGACGCACTTCTCCGTTTCGCAATGTCTCCGTCGCCGACATCTAAAGACGTCACCGGTAATGTTTGGTGTGAGCGAGCCTTCCGTCACTCCGTCATTAGCCCCTATATTTCCGAAATCTCATCACATCATCTGTCGTTCTTTTCTTATAAAAGCTCACTTTTCTCGCGGAAAACGTTCAAGTGCGACTCGAGAGGCCATAGAAACTCGTTTGAATTCAGCGAGGCAGAAGAGAAAAGGCACGCGATGTCCGGGGAAAATGAAAGTTTGAACTTGCAGTCTTTTTTGTCAGAACTTCTGAAGACTGCAATTACTTTCGATTTCAATTTCTAAAGGGGGCGGGTCTCGACACACGACCATCACACATTGAAGCGAATGCGATAGTGACCGATAAGCGGCGCCTATAAACTCGATCAGTTACTGCGAAAGTGTACTTTACATCTTTTGATATAATCGCGATTCATTCGCTGGTTGCTTCTTCTTTCTGTTTCCTCACTCTTTCCGTTTCTCTTTCTCTTCGCTCCTGGCTCCGCGATATTACACAGCCGCTTTCGGCGCCACACAACTGACTGCATGGGGATATATTTTTTGTAAAAACTTTCCGTGTTTTTTTTATTTCTGGTTCCCTGTCCCCTTCCCACTGTCCCCCGCCTCTTTCTCATTTCATTTTGTTGTGCTCCTCCTCCGCTTCGGAACGTGTTTCATCTGCCCATTCTTTTCGTCATGGGATCCTCGTATTCTAAGTCAAATGGCGGCGAACTCGAAGTTTTCCTGAACAAGCGACGTGGCAGCGTATGTTTACAGTCCACGGGCGGGAAATGCACACAGGGGAAAGATCAGCCGAATATTGGCTTGTTTGTTCAAAGCGTTAGCCTGAACTTTATCTCCTGTTTCAGTCGATTTCTTCGCAGTTTCAAGCAAGAGACTCTTTTCTCTCACTCTCCAAACAGCCAATTAGCGGGCGATCCCTGGAGACAATTCTTGATTCACTCCACTATGAAATTAGCGGTGTGTTGAGGTTCGGTTGCCAAAACAACAGCCACTTCGCTACCTTACTCTCCTCTCACAACCCTTTTCCTGCCTTTCAATCCTCGCCGTTTTACAGATGACGTCAACTGACAAGAACGTGTCCGTCTTGCTGGGTGCTCAATGGGGAGACGAGGGAAAAGGAAAAATCATCGACTATCTGATCGAAAACCATAAGATCAACGTGACGGCTAGATGCCAAGGAGGAAACAATGCCGGACACACGGTGGTGGCGAACGGACGGAAGTACGACTTCCACATTCTGCCGAGTGGAATCATCAGTCCGACATGCTTCAACGTCATCGGAAACGGAGTTGTCGTCAACTTGGACGCCTTCTTCTCCGAGTTGGCCCACAATGGAATCCTCTCCGATCCGGGATGGGAGAAAAGAATCATGATCTCGAGCGAGGCGCATCTCGTCTTCGGAGTCCATTCGCAAGTCGACGGACGCCAGGAAGATTCGCTGGCTGCCAAGAAGTAAGCAATCGTCAAAAAACACAATGCAATCTGTTTTTACAGCAAGATCGGAACGACCAACCGCGGAATTGGCCCAACGTACAGCTCGAAATGCTTCAGAAATGGAATCCGCGTGGCTGATTTGATGGCCGACTTCGACGAGTTCTCCGAGAAATACCGCCGTCTCGTCGAGCACTACAAGAAGCAGTTCCCTTCGATCGAAGTGAACGTTGACGAGGAACTCGCTAAGTTTAAGACGCATCGCGAAAAGTTGGCCGAGCTCAAGCTCGTCGGAGACACCGTTGGATTCATCCACGATCAACGCAAGGCTGGAAGCAAGTGCTCATCGAGGGAGCCAACGGAGCTCTGTTAGATATCGATTTTGGAACATATCCATACGTGACGTCGTCGAATTCGACCGTCGGAGGAGCGTGCACGGGACTCGGAGTGCCACCGACCGCCATCGGAAGCGTCATCGGAGTGGTGAAGGCGTATCAAACTCGTGTCGGAACGGGACCGTTCCCCACTGAGCTCTTTGATTCGGACGGTGACAAACTGCAACAAATTGGAAAGGAAGTAGGAGTGACGACCGGTAGAAAACGCCGTTGCGGGTGGATCGATCTGTTCCTGCTCCGTCGTTCGGCAATCATCAATGGATACACGGCGATCGCGCTCACGAAGCTCGACATTCTCGACACTTTCCCGGTGAGAGTTCCCTTTTGATTTTTCGTCGCAGTGTAAAGTGAAAGCCTGTGATGTCATTGGGAGAAGGGAAAGAGACGAGAAAAGCACATGACGAGTGTGTATATACTATGTTTTCGGTTTTCAGACTATCAGAGTTGCCGTCGGATACAAGCTGAATGGAGAGGTGCTGACTGCTCCGCCAGGTAAACAACGCTTTCAGAAAGCATGTAATTACATAGATCGATAGTTTTAGCTCAAGCTAACGCATGGGGAGCTATTGAAGTCGAATACAAGGAATTCGAGGGATGGAATCAGCCAACCGTCGGAATCCGAAAGTTCGAGGATCTGCCGGAGAAGTGCAGGCAATACATTCAATTTATTGAGGATTTCATCAAGGTAAGGAACAAACCGAGGGAACAGAACAGAAAATGTGGCGGCAACAGAAAAACAGCTGTTGGAGGTGTCATTAGCTTGGCTTCTGTCGGTCCGCCATTGCCAGTGACTGTCGATCGATTAATGGTGGTGTCATTGCAGGTGCCAATCGTGTACATTGGAGTCGGAGCGGAGCGTGAGTCGCTCATCGTCAGACAGTGAGCATATCGACAAACGACACCGTTCTCTTCAACGATTCCATATTTTTCTGTGCCTTTTTTGCACTCGAATTGGCGTGTTTCTCAGGGACTTCTCCTACACGCGACGACAATTTCTATGCTTTTCTCACCTCCAAATATCTTTGTTCTCATTATTATAGGGGCACCGGACAGAAAGTGCGCGCTGTTCGCAATCTGGCCGAATTTCTAGGCCGCGAAGTAATTTTCTACTGAAAATGTGGCCTAACTTTTCAAACTCGGCCCCGAGGTCGCTCAATTTGCACTGCTAAAAGAGTTTCTCAACAGAGCGCCATTTCTGTGCGGTGCCCCTGTAATCTTTCCAGCATAATAATCTCGGTTTCTAGAATGTATTTTTGGCACTCTGTTCTCTTTTCCCCCTTCTTCTGTTAGTTGTCGTTTTGCAGTTACCGCCTACCGGTTTCAAGGTCGTCTGTTCTTTGTTGTTTTGTCCCTTTCTCTTTCTCTTCCTCTCTCTCTCTCTCTCTCTCTCTCTCTTTTGTCGTATGAATTTGAAAATGTTGACTTTTCTTCGGCACTGTATGTCTTTTCGCCTGGTTCCTGGCTCCATCGCTGATTTCTTTTAGCATCAGAATACACGAAAGAGGGTGCATGCGATATTGTAGACGATGAAAGACGGAGAAGAAGAAGGAACGACGGAAAGGAACGATGAAGATAAGGAGAATCTCGAAGACTCGAGGGCAGAGACATCAATGTCAAACTCGACTTTCACTCCAGCACCGGGACGGTAATCGATTCGAAAAGGTGGAAATTCGAGAAATTGCATTGATTGTAGCGTGGACAATAAAGAGGCCGAAGTGGACGCCGACGGACTGCTCGATCTTTCCCGCTTATCGCTGACGAATCTGTCGAGGCATTTGAGTGAACAGTACGCGAAAGTGCGGCATTTGGATGTGAGCGGCAACGATCTCACCACGTTCGCCTACATGAAACTGTTCGCAAAATGCGAAATTGTAAGGGAGAAAATGAAAATTTTTGAGGGAAATTGAAAATTTTCAGCTAGACGCTCGTGATTGTCGAATCAACAAATTCGTGTCGGATTTCAATTATAACCTGTGAGTTCAGCGGAAATTTTTCAAAGAATTATTCATGAAGGCGAGAAGATTTCAGAAAAGAGTTATACCTGGCTAGGAATCATTTGAAACAGGCTTCTCAAATGGGCAGATTCGAAAATCTGACCGTCCTCGATTTGTCCTACAATCATATTGAGGTTTCGCAGAGGACGAATTCGGCGGTATAAGTTTGTTTTCAGGAAAATGTGACTCTTTCGTTCAAGCAACTCGAAGTTCTCGACCTGAGCGAAAATCATCTCAGCCAACTGCCCGATCTCAGCAAATGTCCCCAGCTCCGTTCTCTCAACTTATCCGGAAACAAAATAACCGATCTCAATGTAACCCGCTTTTCATTCCCTTTCTATTCCAATTATTTCGTTTCAGATGCTCTTCGCAATGATCTGCACCGCCCATCTCACTCACTTTTCCATTGCCTCCAATTTAATCGACGATCTCTCCCAATTCTCACTTCTTTCCGCATTTAAACAACTCACGCACCTGTACATATCCAACAATCCGTGCATCACCGATGTGCTCGACGATCAAAAGTTCGACTATCGATCCTACATCATCGCGTGTTGCTCGGAAAATCTGGAGAAGATTGACGATGAAGAGATTGAAGACCGAGTGAGAACGGAAGGCGAATGGCTTGCGATACAAGGCGGAATCCGCAAGATCGGACCCGGCAATCATAGAAAACTATGCGATCAGATTGCGTCTCACTTCCCGAAAAGCGACGACGCACCGCCGACGCCCGCTCAGAAGTCGTGCCACAAAGCGCTGGAGAAGAGGAAGAGCTCTCAGATCGATTCGGATCGAACTGTCAACTCGATATACTCTCCGTTTCGGGAATGGAACGGAAAAATAGAGGGACGAGGGAAACGACAGGAGGCGGACGGAATGGTGACTCCCACGAAGAGGGCCGATCAGAGTAACATGAGGATGTGCTCCCCTCCAGAAGCACGCAAGAACAGATCGTTCACATTCAGAAGTACACACCTTATTTCACTATTTCTCTGATATTATCCGTTTCCAGATGACAACTCGCCCGGCTCGCTCGATCTTCCGTACCCGCGCCCACTGAACTACTCGCGAACCAACTCGACAGACACCGTAATCCTCTCCTCCCGCACTGAAACATCTCTGTCGTTGGACGGAAGAAGCGAGATCACTCCCCTTCCAGTCATAGAGGACCCACCCCGCAACAGAGGAGAACGCCTTCCGTTTCGACTGCACAGCTCAGATCGCCAAGTGTTGCCGACGTTTCGATTGTGCTCGATCCGAATGAAGATCTCCCCAGAACAGTCCGTCTACTGGAGCAGCAAGTCACCGAATTGGGCAGACAAAATGACAACCTGACAGAGCTGAACAACGGACTCGTCGAGATGCTTGAACAGTTCAGAAACGAGCAAAAGATGATGTGGGCAGCAATCCGCGGATCGATCCCGAAGCCGCATAACATATCGTCGTCACTGCTCGCAGAAGACGAAGACGGTCTCCAGACGCACGTCGTCCGATGGGAAGTTCCAGCCGTTATGGGATACGAAATCCACGTGGACGGCAATTCGTGCGGACAAGTCGTCGGGAAAAACAACTCGGCCAGAATAACCGATCTCGACTCCTCCAAACCGCACGTTGTTCAAATACAGGTTCGTCTCCGTTCCTTATCAGCTTCTTATCAGACTGTGCTCTTTCAGGCGATCGGACTGAACGGAGAGCGTGGCGAGATATCGAAGGAGCTGCACATCCAACCACACTGAACCACCTAACGAGCTGTCTCTCTCTCTTTCTGTTGCGTGTGCTCCCTCAATAAATGATGTGTGAAGCTGAGCTTCGTGTGCAAACGCGCCCCGCTGTACCCGGGTCTCCCCGGCGGCTCAGCTGTCCTCCTGCCGCATGCTCAGCGAGCCCCGACTTCGAACCAGTTTAAAGTTGAGACTCGTTCGTCCGTCACATTGCAGGAGGCCTTGTCGCCAAAGAATTCCCTTCTCGCTCTGTCTCTCGTTTTTGTTCTTTTCCCTTCCATGGCAACATGCTCATTCCGCTCGAAAAGCCCTTCGGTGCATTAAGATTCTCTCCTCGTAGGCTTTCAAGACATTGCTCTTTTATCGATTGCACTCTGGGGGGTTTTTTTGCGGAAAGAGCCGCAGAAACAATCGGCCGGGGGCAGTAATATGATATTCTCTTTGTTTGGCTTTGTTTTTTGGTGCTCATGTTTTCTTTATTATTGGCTATGTATTATCTAACCTCAAGTAGAATGATACCGTTGATGCAAGTGCGCTCCACCAGGATCCATTGAAATGTTCCCATTTAAAAGTGCTTTGAATGTGTTCAGTGGAGCGTGGTTTCGGTCGAATTCGAATTTGTTTCATTCTCATCGCTCAATTATATTGTTGGCCGGAGAAACCACAATGAAATCGACCAAAAGAAAGGTTTTCACACGCACAAAGAGCATGCGAGTTCTGAATTCGTTTCCCGAAAGCAACCACCATTCTTAATCCTTTTCCTGTGATATTTTCTCCCAATTTCCAGATAATCTAAACTGTTTTCCTCCTTCCTTTACTACTCTGTTTTCCCCCAAATCCCGTGCTTTTTCGGAAACTTTTCTACCTCAGTTTCCCCCATTCTGTTGATTCGCTCGCATTGTTTGCCGTCCGAATTATCCTGGGGGCATCATCTCTGACTGATTTCACTTCTTGCAAAATGTCGCTGACCCCGGTACCGTAATCCCTTCTTATTCCGACCGAACACCTTGTTTAGAGCCTCCGGAACCGGTTCCCTCCGAAACTTTTCGCTCTATTTTCTTGTTTTTCATAACAGAAATCTTGCCTCCAAGTTCGGACTGCTCGCTCGCAGGTGTCTATGATGTCATCGAGCGAAAGAATGACAAATAACAAGGGCACAGATCGGAGGCCGTGATAAAGACGGCTCTGAAAACGCGCTTCCAGTGCACCTCGTGATGAAAATTGTTCGAGTTGAAACTGTGAAGAGCATGGGGAAGAAAATGTACAGAAAGGGATTTCGGGTAAGAACATTATCATCCCGCCCCCGCAGCAATCTCTTCATTTATCTTTCTTCTTCTTCTTCTTCTTCTTCTTCTCTGCCATCCCCGATCACAATCATACTTTCTTCACACGCCGATACCCCGACTTTTCACACCTTCACAATTCGCCTTTCTCTATTTCTTTACTTTTATTTTCACCTGTCTAACTTCTCCTTTTTGGGCCAACTCGCTCCGAATATCGAATTATATTCACACCTTTCTTGCGCGAGAGTCTGGTGATTTAATCTGCGGTTTTATGCGATTAGACCTCCAGTCGATCGTCGCTGCAGCCGTCGTGTTTTATTCAACCAAACATCTACCAGTTGCAGGCGGAATGACCGACGCCGAGACGACGTTCAGTCTACTCGACGAAGAAGAGGAGCGGGACGAGGTGGGCCCGTCGACTGCGGTCGTCAAGGGACGCCCTTCGCTCCGATCCATCTCGCTCTCCCAAACACCAAGTGCGCCGAGAGATTTGGAGAGTGGAAATGTGAATGGATATGGAAATGTAGGTCAGATGAGTTGTGGAGCAGAGCTGCACAAACTGACCGGCGGATCGACGACGTCGTTGACTTCGCAATCGAAGAAGGTCACCAAGTTCTACAAAAAACAAAACGAACTGCTCGAGAACTTCAAGAACGACAGCGAACAGATCGAGGTGAGTGACTGCTGTCTGCTGAGAGTGTAACAATCATTGATGATTTCAGCAGTTCAATCGTACCCGACGGCGGACGACTAGCAAGGAAGAGGAGACGGATCTGACGACGTCCTTGCCGACGACGGTCCCAGTAGAGAGGGCAGCCACAGCGCCGTTGGTAAAGCACGTGGTCAGTCTTTTACATCACTTACTTTTCCATCACTTTGAGTAAATAGTTTCCGATCTATCTGTTCCAACACGCACTTGCAATGTTCACTCACTCAATCCCGTTTAGCTGAATTCAGTAACGTTTTGTTTGAAGGATGGAACAGACGAACCGGAAGTAGTGATTATCGATGTGCCACGCAGTCCTAGGAACATAAGAAGGGTGAGTTGCAGGTCGACAGCCGAAGATTCAGTAACTGCGGACGACGTCGGTGTTTTCAGAAGCCGATGGAGAGAACGGACACAGAGAAAGACTCGATGGACGAGAAGGCGAAGGAGGACGAATCGAGAGCGGCGGCCCGGATGGCAAAGATCACATTGCTCGTCAACTTCATCCTGATGATAGCCAAAGTGTTCGCTTCTGTGCTCTCCGGATCCATGTCGATCATTTCGTCGATGGTTGATTCTGTGGTTGACATCACCTCAGGACTTGTCATTTCCCTTTCGGAGAGAATGATCAAGAAGAGAGATCCGTATTTGTACCCGAGAGGAAGGACCAGGCTGGAACCACTTGCTCTGGTAATTGTTTTGAAAAGAGAACGTGTTCTTGAACTGAATTAATTCAGATTCTGATCAGTGTGATCATGGGAATGGCCTCTATCCAGTTGATTATCTCGTCGGTGCGCGGAATTCACGAAGGACTACAGTACGATATGTACGGAATCGGAGAGGCGCCGAGGCTCAATGTCACCTTCATCTCGGTGATAATCATGGTGTGCACGGTGCTGATCAAACTCTCCCTCTACCTTTTCTGCAAACGGTACAAGGAACCATCCGTGAACGTGCTCGCAATGGATCACCGCAACGACTGCATCTCGAACACGGTGGCTCTGATCTGTGCGTGGCTCGGAACCAAGTACTCCTACTACTTCGACCCCGCCGGCGCCATCCTCGTCTCCTGTTACATTCTGTACACTTGGGTGCAAACGGGAAGAGAGCACTTAGCCAAGCTCTCTGGAAAGACTGCGGAGCCGGAGTTTATCAACCGAATCATAAAGGTCTGTCTGGATCACGACAATCGCATCTCGCACATCGACACCGTCTACGTGTACCATTTCGGAAGCAAGTTCCTTGTTGAGGTCCATATTTGAATGTGTACATTCGTTTGATTTAACGACGAATTTTAGGTTCACATCGTGCTCGACGAAAATATGATTCTGCGGGAGTCGCACGATATCAGCGAGACGCTCCAGTCGAACATTGAGAGCCTTCCGGAGGTCGAGCGCGCCTTCGTCCACACCGATTACGACTACGACCACCATCCGCACGACGAGCACAAAGTCGTCTGATAATATTTCACTCATCCGCTTAATTTCCCCCGTTTTATCCAGATTTCCTTTGTCTCCGGTTTCATTTCTTTTTCTTCATGACGTCCAGAACTTGAAAGAATCTCCCCTCCCCTTTTTATTCGGCATAATTGCTTCTGCTTGACGTGTTCTCTGAAGTTGGAATATTTTGAAATGTTCATTGTGTCACATATCCTTCCGTTTCTTTGAAGATGACGTACTCTCAGATGGATTTCCAATCAAAACTAATTCAAATGTAATGTTTAGTTTTCATTTTTTATTCGATTTACAACAAGAAATAAATAATGCATAGTTTGAATTTCGCGATTGTTTTGTTTTGTTTTGGGGGGTGCGGGGGATGGAACATTTCGATTTCTTTAATTTAAATAAACTTTTAAATAACTTAAAGGAAAGAAGAGAACGCGGAGAGACAGAAAGAGAGAGAAGAGACAGAGAAAGAGAGAACAGGGCAATTTTTCGCATGAAAATGGGGACGGGGGACGTCTTCTGTTGCTCACAGTCCTGCTTACTTTCCGCTGCTCAAGTAGCACAAGTTTCCGGCTCCGCAAGTGTATCCAGTCGGGCAGACTCCGTTTACGCACGATCCGAGGACTCCTCCGGATCCGAGCGGGCAGCAGTAGTTGTTCGTGTTGCACATGTATCCAGTTGGGCACACTTGGTTAACACATGGTCCTGAAAGAGAAGACATGGATTAGAGAAGAAGAAGAAGAAAGAAGGCGTCACGTACCAGTGCTGTTTCCGGACTGGCATCTGCAGCAGTAGTTGTTGCTCGAGCAGAAGAATCCCTGTCCGCAGAGTCCCCCGAGGCAGGCGGCGACGGCCGGTCCTCCGGAGCAGGCGGCTGAAACACGTCATCGCCTATATTTGGAAGAGGCCTCTGATAGGAGCTAAAGATAGGGCTGCTCCTTTGGCGGGTTTCGTGCGGGCGAGGCGTCGTGAGAGCGCAAGTAGATTTCACGAGCAAACAGAAAGGGAAGCGACGGTGAAGGAAGCTTCGCAAATATTTTGTATTTATGTTGACCCGTCGAAGGTGCTGGTGGACATCGAGAACGCTCGAGGAGCACCGCAGAGGCAGAGAGGGAGAGCGTTGTATCAATCATTAGGTAATCAGTGTGTTTGCTCGAACCGCCGGAAGCTAGTTTCGGGAGAGACACTTCAAGGCGAACGGCTAGACTGATATGGATATGAGCGGATGTCTGGTCGGGTAAGAATCATAGGAAAGCTGAAGGTTTTCCCACTGCAGCTCACTTCAGTAGGAATCATCAGGATGTGCGAAGAGAAGAAACTTACTGTCAAGGTTGTTGCTGCTTCCCGGGCAACAGCATCCCTGGACACAGACGGAGGCGACCGAGTATCTCTGGCACTGGGACGAAGAACTGCACGAGGAATAGCAGTTGGCGGGGCATCCGAACTGTCTCTTCTGGCGGAAGACTGTCGAGTTGGCGTCACGGAGCTCTGGGGCTGAAGCATGGAAAGAGTGATGAGGCCTTCTGACGATGAGCGTCGCTTACCTTGTTGGGCGTCTTCTGCGTTGAGGACCCAGAAGCAGGCGAGAGGAAGGATGATGCAGAAGGAAATGGCGAGTTGCTTCATAATGAGATGTGGCGGTACGCAAGAATAACCTGACCCTGGGCTGGCCTGAAATGAGATGGGAATGAAGGAAGGCTATGAAGGGATGGGGAGAAACAGAAGGAGAAGCGAGTGATAATGTAACTCGGTAAAGAGGCAAGAGACTGAGTGAGGAGCAGCTAAAGCAGGGCCAATAGGCTAAATGGTCATTTGTACGGGGGGAGGGGACGACTGACTGACTGACCGTCTTGCGCTCCCCCTCCGTCTGTTAGTTTAGACTCTGGCGCCTCCGCGCGGCGACGTGCTCTTTGCGCGGCACGAAACTCCCTGGCCCTCGTCTTGCGTTATGTGTTTGTAAAATGAAGTGGACGATTGATGTTCAAATACTTGAGTGACCCAACCGAAATTTCGGCCTTGTCAAAATGTCCAACTTATCCTATCACGCCGGAATCGGCGAACAACTGATAGTCTCTTTGTTCAGACTAGAACCAAAACGATAGAAATGGAAGCAGCGGGAAGGGAACGCATTATTGGAATGAGCATGTTTATTCAGAGTTCTGAAAGTCCAAAGAGATCAAAAAATTCCAAGAGGAAGTGATCCCGGGAGAGAAAAGGAAGAGGAGAGAAAGTTGCCACCGGAAGCATATGAGCTCAAAAGTGTCGGGCACCGTGCTCTTTATACTCGGCCGTGCACTTGAGTGGCGTCAGCGTTGCCGGGCCAGGAGTGACCGGTGTCCGGTTTTGTGGGCGATGCAACACGGCAGACGGGAAGCGCCGGCAACTTCTGTGCACATAATACACCTCCATTATGAGCTCTTTCTTGAGCACTCTCACGTGAGCACCGGGCATTGTGACGTGGAAAAACTGGAAGTGGAAGTGTTCCGAAGAGACTGTAGTTGGCCAACTCGACAAGGATGCGCAACCATGTTTCACTAAATCGCTGTGTTATAAGATCTCTGGTGTGCATGCACATGTCCAGACTGCGGTAAGTCAGAAGCGTCATTTGTTTTCTAGCCTTCAATATCCACTGACACATTCAGGTGATCTCTGAATCTGATAGTCCCAGAACATCTGCATCAGTGATTTCCCCTTCTGTTTCCCAAAATAGCCTTCTCGTGTGACGACCTATTTCCAAATCGTCCTCAACTCATCGAAATGTTCGCTTCCTCCCTCTCAACGCACACTTTTTCGAAATTTCCAACATTCCGATCTGTCGGCTTGTACTACCAAGCGGCTAAGTGCACACACATATCTTGTCGTTGAGAACACTGCACACGGGACAACGAATGTTTCTCTGTGTGTCCTCGCACACACACATTTCGGACTGTCCACTCACTGATAAACTCTCAGAAAGTGCTGTGTGCTCAAGTGATCCTGCTCTAGAGGGCGATGCGCCCCGGGCCGGCGGTGTCTCCACCTTCGCCTTCGCCTTCGTTTGCATGTCCGTCCGTCAGTGCAAACACGGAGCGAAACGAGCACAACGAAGACGCAATCCGATTGTGATCCCGGTGCCCAATGCCATTCTTTGACCGATGCCGCCGACGCTCGGTTATGATTGTATACACTGAGCATCCGGAATGCTCTTTCTCTCTCTCTCTCTCTCTCCTGCACGCGCGGCGGCATGCCATTTGATGCAGATATCTGTGTCGTTGGGAACTCGCTCAAAGTCTGACAGATCAGAATACATCTGAATTTTTGGCCAACTTATTTGTCCGACTCCCGTTTCTCACGTGAACAACCTTTAGCTGGGAGCTGAGATTGAGAAATGGCAGCGTGTCTGATAGTTTGAGCAAGAATTTGAGCTCCAAATAAATACGATTCATTGGTCACAAAGAGAGAGAGAGAGAGCAGATGGATCCGAGAGTTCAAAATAAAAGGACAGATATCATGTAGTAATCACCCTGTGAGTCACAGGTATCTAAAGAAGGGAGAAACATTAAGCATGTTAGATTTTCTTGGAAGCGTGCTCATTCGGAAGCGACTCGATCATATGGGCGTTGATCCCACGGGCGGCCGACGGGTGTCTCGTGTCGTAGGTGATCTGATCCGCACTGACCATCTGGGCGTCGAGGTCGTTCGGGCTGGTCGTCTCCGTCGCCTGGTAGGTGGCTGTAGCGTCGCGACGGTCCTTCTCTGAAAACGGAAAACACTGAAAAGGTCTTATCTGAAAAGGTGAAACCACGTCGTTTCTTGAATCCGATGAGAATGTTGCAGAGGAGCAGGAAAAGGAGGGCGAGGCTGATGGCGCCGACGCTGAAAAAGAAAGGAGTGAGAGGAGGAGAAGGAAGTGCGTGGGATGTACATGATGATGTTAATGAGGACGTCGTCCCCGCAGCACTTCATTCCGCAGCATTCCTTGTTGTTCTCGCATCCGAAGACCACTTCGGTAATTGGATTTCCGTCGGGGAAGTAGATCTGAAACAGAGCCGGATGAGTCAGAGGCATGTTTTTTTCTGAATTCCACCTGCGAGAAGATTCCATCGTCATTCGAGACGTTGTACACGCAAACATAGGAAAAGACGGAGGTGTTGTCGCTATCAGCGAACTCGACGAATTTTTCCTTGGACCAGAAATAGTGTCGGTCGACGAATCTGAAAATCGTCGAAGCATGCGTGAGAACGGGACACTGATCTATGGCTTCAATAGTACGTACCTAGTACATACACTTTTCGCGGACACAACCAGCACGTAGCATAGTACAACAAACAACACAACAAAAGTCACGGCGAGAAGTACTCGGCTAGCAGGATTTCCGTGTTTTTGCGAACTTACTCGAATGGCTTGTCGGGCGAGGAGAGCGTGTACGTCAGATTGGTGCTGCTCAGCAGGGTCGAGATGTCGTCGTTTAGGGTGACCATGGCCGATGAGTTGAGCAAGTGAGCAATCAAGCTCTCTTCGAACTCCGAGCCCGCCAGGAACGTCTCCCTGCAAGTATTCGGGTGAGTGACCGTCTCTTTTCACTTCCGGGTCTTACTTGACGTGTCTCTGGCCCGGCGGGAGGTGCTGGGAAAAGCCTCCGTGAAGTAGCATAGTGAACGCCATTGCGATTGTTATAATTGGAAGTCTGAGACGGTGAAGTCTCATTCTGGGAAACTGAAAAGACTGGAAATGAAAGGGAAGGCGGGGAGATGACGTGCGTGTGAGCCAGGTGCTGCGAAAGAGAGAATAACGTTTCTGATTGACTGATTTTATAGACTAAATTATAGTAATGCAATGAGATTCAGAAAGGGAAAGCGAGACGAAAACTTGTGATAAACGAGAGAAAAGAAGGGGTGGGGGTTGTTTTTACTGAAAGTAAGCGAGAAGAGCGAGATGATTATAGGTTGAACAACTTGGAAGTAGTGGGCGTACCCAGTGCCCGGTACCAAGAAACCGACAACCGACAACCGGCAAACTCGATTCTTTTGAATTTCCAGATGACGTGGCACTGAGTCTTGAAATTTTTGAAATGTGAAATCATTGCAATCTGAATTCTGAGATACTTCAGCTTCCCTCTAACATTCTCACTAACAGTCACACACGCCTTCAATGCATTGTGATTGTCGTTATAATCCTATGATAACGAGAACAAAAGGAAAAACGGAGAATGAGCACGAGTACTGCTGCGGGTGTTATTGTAGCTTCGCGAAAAAGCGGCGAGTCGGCTAACTCGGGGCTCAGATTCCCATGGCAACCGTATCAGAGAGTTTCGGGGCGGCGCGGAGTCTCATGGAGCTGGTTGTTTGTCTGAGGGATAGCGGGGAGTAATGAGATATCAGACTGCGAATAATTGGTTGGTTGGCCTCAATTATTGAAAACACGAGAAGGAAAGAAGGCACGGGAAGTGGGCACGTGCTCGGTAGACCTCTACAACTTTTGAGCAAAACTTCAGCAACTTTTGCCCAGAATCTGCTCGTTGCTGAAATGTTGTTCAAAAGCTGCTATCACCCGAAAGTTTGCTCACAAGATGCCGGCATTTACCGAGGAGGTAGAGCGCGTTTTCCAGACTTCCGCGGCTGCAATAAAAGATTGACACAAGTAAGTAACATGGAGCTGTGAGGAGGTAGAAGGAACCTTCTTTCAGGCATCTGACGGACAAAAAAAACTACCAGACGAGAAGAAGGAGGTGGACGAGCAAAAGAAGGAGGATGGAGGAGAAGAGAAGAAGGGCTCCAAGGAAAAGACAGAGAAGAAGGACGAGTAAGTTTATTGAACTCGTATTGCTGAAGAATCGCTAATGGAGGGTTTTTTTGTATTTTTTTCATAACTTTCTAAGTCTTCTCCGCTCAAATATGAATAATGTCTTTATAGTTTTTACTAATCATAAATATCCCTAATAAATATAGATCACAACAAAGCTCTTTCCGAGTTCGTTGTTGTCCCCACTCCACGACTCGTACCGTAACTTGCACTTGTACTTGTTCTTCCGAGAGATGTACTTTTCATATCAAAAGTAGAAACGAAATGTAAACATTTAATGTGAGAGAGAGCAGATTCTGGACAAAAGTTGCTGAAGTTCTGCTCAAAAGTTGTAGAGGTTTGCCGAGACAGAATCGGGAGACAGCACGGCCGACGTCATTGCTTTTCTGTTTTCTTCAGATTTCAGCTGTATTCGTTTCCTGTTCCAATTCGAGAGATTTACAGGGAACAAGGACACGTTACTTGTATCTTAAATGTTGTGTTGAAGGCTTGAAACTAGTGTCTTTCAAATTCACTTTTCCTGAAAGATCTCGGAATGCGCAGCATGAGACGCTGATCAGTGATGCGGTAATCACAAACGCATTTTGTTTAACACAGTTTATTCACACAGTTCTCAGACAATTGTCCCATTAGGTAGGCGTTCACATGTTGAGAAGAGGGTATCCCGCGAAACGAGCGAATCCTGGACGGCAGATGCGATTCCATCTGGCGGTTCCTCGCCAAGCTTTCCAGTTTGAGCATTGAATTCGGCCACCTCGTTTGTGCATGTACACAACTTCCTAAAGTTATTTCCCATGAAAATGGTATCTCTACTTCATTGTTACCTTTCTCTTCTTGTCGCGTGGCATGAGAACGGCCACGAAACGAGCCATTGGAACGGAGAACATTTGAAGTTGGTCGTATCCGAATTCCTCCGAAACTTTCGAGAAAGCCGGAGTGAAAACGAGCAGAAAAACGAGCAGAAGCTTCATTTTTCGGCGAGAAGAATGAATAGAATGGACAGAAGAGCAGAAGAAGTGGGATAGGACTGAATGAAAAGTTGCATTGTAGTCCGTACAGATACAATCCGAGATTGGCTAACGCAAAGAGCATGTGATAAACAAGTGTGACTAACCGGATGCAACTGCAACATTAACAAAATGCAAGAGACAGGCAAATGTCAGACTATGTTTTCAATGAAAAACGGAGTTAGAGGGATGGGGGTAAGGAGAGTTGTGGTCTCGTCGGAAATGGAGTACTCGCGGGAAGATCTTGGAGTTGACTTGACGGAAGCGGGAGTTTGGTGTTCTGTTTCAGGACGGAATTGCGAGAGGCAATGACGAAGACATCCGAAGACCAGAAGTACATTCACGAACCTGAGACATGTCGCCTTTTAAGAGTTATTTCTTTGGTGTGAGTGCATTCGTCTTTTAAACATTTTTTTCCAGTCATCCCTGCGCTTACCACAAGATAGTGCAAGCGATAGGGCTGCAAACGTTGAACATCCAGAAACAAGTATCACATCCGCCAAGGGGAGAAACGGAAAGAGCCGCGAGCATCTCCAGATGCGAATCTTCTGGAAACCCATTGGCCTTCACTTTTGCAATAACAGAAAGGAGGGGCGATATCCTCGGAATTCAGTCTATCTCGTTAAAGGCCGCTGCTACAATTGTTGATTTCCGTTGTCACGAGCACTGTGAACGAGGTGCATTGCACGAGAATCCAATCTGGAAGACAATTCAAACAGAATAACAATACAAATTCATTGTCAGCAATAGAATTTGGTTGAGATACTCTTCGGAAAACATCGTACAAGAGAGGCTGTTGTCATACAAATGATCGGTAAAGGCGGGAATGGTGAGAGCGGGCAGTCTTGAGCAGAAGCAAGTAAAAAGTGACACGAGAGAAACGCGCTCGTGAAACGGACTTTATTTGTTATTAGTTAATCATGACTCCTAGGAGAGGCTTCCGAAGAAATTGTGAAAATTGCACGGAAGTGAGAGGAATTAGGAAAAATAGTAGCTAGGAACGTCATCCAGCAGTAATTGAAGTCAAAGGAGCAAGAAACTGAGCTCGATCCGTCTCCGTTCTTTGTAGTCGCTTTATGAAACATTCATTACACTTGCAATCATCAGTTTGACTTTATTATCACAGAAAAGCGAAAAAGGATTAGAGTTTCTTTAGTTGAAATTATTGAGAATATCTGGGCGGTCCGGCAAAACGAACACGGTGGTCGCGAGGAAGGAAGACGTCGTCGTCGCAGCTGGGATCACGGGGAAGCTTCCTTCGGGGACGACGCTGTTTCTGAGATTTCGTTTCCTTCCTTTCTTTGGGTTCTCCGCCGCACATACAGACTAGCAGGAAGATGATTGTGCCCATGAGAATATAGGAAACAACACTGCAAAAGTAAACTTTCGTGTATTTTCTGTTCCCTTCGGTTACTTGAAGTAAGTAATCGGCTCATAACACTTGATTCCCCTGCACATTTGGCCGTATTTACATCCGAAAACCGCCGCCGTCGGTGCTGTCCCATTGGAGAAGACGTTTCCATCGAACGGCCAGTCCGGATGCGAGGAGAACACGATGCACGTCTGCGGCAGCTCCGACGACGGCACATAGAATCCGTACCAGTAGAAGGCGATTCCCCCGACACTGCAAAGACAATTTGGTTGCCAGGATACAGGCGTCTCGCATTCACTCACAACACGGGATGGCCCGGCTCTTGGATCACTTTGAAGTCTTTGATTAGTTTGTAGAGAAAGTCGAACGAGTTGATAGCGGAGATGGGCCCACTCGAAGCGGTTCCCAGAGAAGAGAACAGCAGGAGAAGAGCCAGAAGTTTCATGGCGATTGAAAGAAAGAATGGGGAAAAAGGAGAAAGAGGATGGAAGGAGAAGAGAAAATGGAGGGGAGGATGGGCCTGGGAGATGGTTGCCAGGCACAATTCTGACTTGGCGGGTACAATGAACTACGATGGAGGAAGAAAAAACCGAATACAATCGAAACTGCTGCAAATTCGGTGAGCAGAGTTCAGTTGATTTATAGCAGAATCCAGGATGACATCCGGAAGTGAGTCACTTGGACTAATGAGAAGAATCGTGACTCAAACCATGTGATTTCTTTAACAAGTTTACTAGTATTCTTTGAAATGACAAGAGATTGTTATGCTCGAAGAGGGCGGTACGGCGGTCCTCCGCGGTCGGCGACGACCACTGGCACGTATATGGAATTCATTTCGATGTCCTGATCGACCCGCGGTTGACGTCGACGGACGACCCAGTAGCGAGCGTAGACGGCCACGGAGATGATTGCGGAGATGACCAGAAGAGTTACCCTGAAATAAGTCATTTGATGTCTTGCGAAGGAGTTTCTGAGAGTTTACCAGAAGAGTCCTGGAGAGATGGTGTGTTCGCAGTGGTATTGCTTGCAAAGGGTCTCTCTTCCACATCCGAATTCCACTCCAGACGGACTAGTGCCGTTTGTGAAGGTCACATTTCCGAACGGCCACTCAATCTTGTCAGCCAGAAATGTGCATTTTTTCGGGTAGGAAGGCGTCCCCTTATAGTAACCTTTCCAGTAATAAAGCATTCCTTCGTGCCTGGAAATCAACTCATTTCTCTCCGTCCGTTTATGGGAAACTCACACAAACGGAGCTGACGGGTGACGGATGATCCGAACATTCATGTCAGAATCATTTGCATAGAAGTCGTCAATGAAATTGGAAACGGGTCCCGACAGAGGGACGTCGAACGCCAAAAGAGCGCTGACGAACAGAAGGGAAAGGAGGGGAAGATGCATTTTTGGAAAAGAAGACGGATGAGTAAAATCTAGGAGGACGAGCTCGTTCTTGGTTGCCAAGGACTTAACGAAACGAGTACGAGTGCAAATGGGATGGGAGCGATGGAGTCAGAAGGAGAGACAGAAGGTACGAAAAGTATTATTCGTCCTCTTCTCCTCCACGACGATCGTCACGGGGTATGGTGACTACAACGTTGGCTTGATTTCCTTGGGGGACTGACTGATGCTCTGCCTGACTAATGAGCGCCTGCACAGATTCTCGGTAGTCGTGCTCACAACGCAAACGTTGAGCTCGTTCCCGAAGATTAATGAGCCAATTGTTGAAGAAGTCGGGATACAGAAGGCTGATGAGAATACAGAAAACGCCCAAGAAGGAGCAGATGATGATGAGCCAGAAGATGAAATGAAATATCATTGGAGGAGACGAGTAAATGAATGGCGGGAGCGGAGCCTCTCGTTTCCGAGGCGATGCCGAGAGGCGCGACGAAATCGGATGAGAAATGGGAGAGGAGTAGGCGGCTCAGAGGCGAAACCGACAATTACGGAAGAGATTTTTCATGGATGCATCCGGAAAGTGACAGGTTTGAAATGACTGCAGTGAAAGGTTCTTCGGCACGCCGTTCTGTTCGGGGGAATTCAACACCTCTGCGGCACTCTCTGATTGACGTCAAACCGCTATTTCTGTCTAGAAATGTTTATTGCAATCGGTCAGAAGCGATTCTCGAATGGTGCCTCTTCTGATTAGGGAGGAGGTGTCAACAAGTGCCGGCCGTCCGGTGGTTTGACCTCGGATAGTCATCGTGCGTGACTGGATGATAAATACTCGTGTCTTTGAGCTTCCCCCTGATGTCCTCCGGTCAACTCGTTTCTCCTTTTCATGAGGTATAAGCCAAGTTGTGTCTTTCTGAGCACAAATATTTTTATCATGACTTGGTATCCGATTTATTTATATAAGAAACGCTGAATAACAATGGGCAGATAACTTAGGAGGGGAAAAAATTAACATGGTTTATAGGCGCAGAGGCCCGAGCGCAGAAGCTCAGTACTGACTGAGGAGGTCGTTGTCGCAGACGTGGTCGTCGATTTCCGAGTGCTTCATGATTTTGAGCTCATGAACCTCCAGCACTGGCTTGACGAAGATTTGGAGGGTATCGCTCTTGCAGGAGGTGGCGTGGCAGAGGAGGCATCCGAGGATCAGGAAGCCGGACAGGAAGAACGCCATCCTGCAGAATGGATTTGCTGAGAGGAAAAGTGTTTTAGGCCACTTACATGAGGTAGAGTGCGGAATCGGCGCTGAATCCGTCCCACGTCTTGCAGCGGAGCCCGGAGCAAAGGGCGTTGGGCGGGCATCCGAACTGGAGACCGGACGGAGGGGTTCCGTTGTTGAACACGACGTCTCCGAGGTTCCACTCCTCGGAAGGATTGTGCACTTGGCAGACGATTGGGAGCCCGAATGTCGGTTGGTAGTGGCCGGTCCAGAAGAACTCGGAGGAGCCGATCTTCAGCGGCTTCGACGGATCCGTGATGACCTGGGTGCCGTTGTCGAGGTACTCAAAGTATTCCGCGTACTTCTGGAACGGGGCGCCGAGGGTCAGAAGAAGGCAGGAGGAGAGAAGGAGGGCGTTGAAATGCATCACTTTTTAATGATAATTTCAGCTCGCTCCACTCCTTTTTATAGAAGAAAGCTCCGAGATGAGGGCGGAGCGTGTAGTGATAACAAGCTGAAAATGAGCGAAGAGGGGTACCTGCCGGCACCGCCGCCTCGACTAATGAGCACCAATCAAGAGCTTGAGTTTCTGATGAATTGAGAGAATAGCAAAAGGGATTTGTGAGCCAGACTGCCGTAAACAACGTGAGTAACTGATAAGAGTACGATTCTAATTATGAGAAAGTGAAGCTCTAAACTCTTGAACTACTGCTGCAATTTGAGAGTCAGAATAGACTCTTTTTGGGAACCAAAATATTCATAGGATGACTGTGGAAAAATGAGTTTATGTACACCGTAAAAATAAGAGTCTAGAGGTGAGGGGAGGGTGAAAAAAAGGAGATCGTAGAGAGCTCATGAGTTGGGAAAACTGTGAAATCGAAAGAATGGGAGAAGAGGTTGTATTCTAAACTTGAAGAGATCTTCTTGGCCCACCAGCTCCCGGTTCGCCATCGATCAAAGGACGGTTCGCGACAAGAGTGGATCTCTGAAAAACGTCACTTTTGCCGTGCTAGCCTTTCTGAAGGTCTCACTCTTTTTTGGATTTGTTCTCTTTGGTGCAAGGTGACAAGTTGCCACTTCAAACAAATTCCCACAATGAGAATAAAGAATTCCACCGTTGCCAGAATAATGTAGAACACTGTACGGTAGTGCTTCATTTCAGCTTCGGTCTTCTCTGAAACATACATATTTTTTAGAGAGTTCCCATTTTCCCCCAAACTCACGCGGACCCCGTCCTGGTTTTCGAGAGTAGTCCTTCAAAGGAAACAAAGAAATGTAGACGACAATCGCCGCGATTTGAGGAGAATTCCGATGAGAGCAATGAAGAGAATGGGCCATTGGGTGCTTTGATAATCGCCTCGAATGGAGCAGAGAGCGAAGAAAAGAGCGAGAACAGGAACGGCCATGCTCAGAAGGGAAACTGGGTAGAAGAGGATGGCGGGGAAGATGGAGACGAGCAGGTAGAACAGGATCAGCGACAGAGAGAGTCGCTGCAATTCTTAAGTTGAAACTGAACTCGCCTCTGAGACGAGAATCGCGCTCTAACGCCAAACTACGTGAGTTTCGGTAGAGCGCGACTAGCAGAATTCTACGGTGACAGTAGATGCACTTTTAAACTAAAAAAGGGGAAAATTAGAAAACTGACGAGAACGTGTGCAGATCCATCGTGCGGATGTGCATGTCCGGAATGGCTGGGCGCCTTCGACGGCCTCCGTTCGCACTGCGCATTCTCGTCCACAGGTCTCGTGTTGATAAGATCATGGCTGGAAGAACTGACGTTTCTGACAGCGAACCTCGACGTGTTATGCTTTGAAAACTTCAAAAAAAAGTAAATGTCAAGAGAAATGATGAGTAGTGTGTGAAATGGGCACGAGAGAGCGAGAGAGCGCAGTCGGCGCAAGGAGATTCACTGATCGGATTCCAGAGCGGAGCCAACTGACGGCCGGGCGCGACACGGGGCAATATGACCCGTCCATCAGCCGGAGGTTTTGAGAAATGTCGGTGATTATTTCGAGCAATAAGCGCTTCTTCTCGCCGACGCCTCGCCCCAAAAAATGTTTCTCGTCGGGGTGGTGGATGCGGCATCCGGGAGCGGAGGAAGCACGCGGGAGCCGGACGCGCAGAGACATGGACTAGGAGAAATGAGGGAAGCAATCTCATAAAATTCCACATTTTCGGGATGAGAAGAATGTGGATGCGGGCAGGACTGCTGAAAATTGGCGAAACTCCGTGGAGCATGTTGGAACTCGTCTTTCTCTTTTTCTCTCTTCCCAAAATTGGTCAGCTGCTGCTCTCGAATTTTTCTTTGAACGCACTGAGAGTTTGGAGAAGAAGAACAAACTGGAACAAAATGAACATAAACATGTCTCCCTAGGCTCCTGCTCATCTTCGTCAAAGCACACGTGGCTGGTCTATGGGGTCTTGTGCCAATAAAGTGAACAGCTAGTAGAATTAAAAGAAACTTTATGAGTAATTGAACTAGTGCCTTCTCGTAAATAGTATCTCAAAAACCAGAGGAAACCGAAAAGTTGCAACTTTGTGAGCACGTGGAGGTCCAGAGGTAAACGAAACTCTCGAGTTTCCGCCGAACTTTGCTGATTGGTGTGTTCAGCTGAAACTGAATATCTAACCAAACTGACTACGAAATATTCTGACGAATTCATCAATTCAGATACTTGCAAATAATCGAGTAAAAAGGTCAGCGCTAGCGAGAAAAAGGGAGAAGAAAAAAAAAGAAAAGAATGAAAAGTTTGGGGCGAGAAGGCGGGCGGTTTGGAAGGATACAAAGGAGGATTACAATGGGGTTAAAATTGAGTCGAAAAGAAGAGAAAAGTTGCGGAAAACGAGGACGATCCGGGGCGAAAAGAAACTCTGACGAAAATGGGAACAAATGATTGATTGCACTTGAGACGAGGAACGGGCAAAACAGAAGACGGAAGTGGGTGGGGTAATCAGTCCTTCTTCACTTTGCGACGGTTTCTGGTCGACAGAGTCTCCTTGCACAGAGTCAGCGGTCTTTTTACGTGGTTGCGACGGTAGTACAGGTTGCAGGCACTGAAAAGTTGAGAGTTACGCCCACAGAATGGAGAATGAATGGAAGAATTGGTGCCTATTCAATTCGATTCTAAAATTGGAGTCCTCGGCCAGAAGTCAGGGTCCCTCTCCGTCACACTCCCACTCCAATCATCACTTTCCCGAGGGACCCTTTCCGACGTACTTTGCCCTCAATTTAGACTCACTTGCACTCGAGATTTCCGTCGTCGTTCTTGCGCCACAATGTCGTTGTGCTGGTGGAACAATGAGAACAGATTCCATCCTGTCGTGGTTTCTGAAAACGCGAATAATAGGTTTGTGCCAGGAAAAGCGGTGATCGAGCTCACCTTTGGTGTCTTTGGAGCTTTTCCGGGAGTGCTTCTCCACTTCTTCTCGATTGGAGTGTCTGCGAAGTCCAGGTGCGTCAGTGGATACGTGCAGGGCATGTCCGTAGTGTTGTAGGGTTGAAGGGGTTGTCCGGCAGAAGTTGAATAAGAAGTTGGATGCACCGGATACTGTGGATGAGGTGGGTAGGGGGACGGAGGGAAAGCCTGCCATTGGTTGATGTAAATTGTCTGTGGCTGGTAGGCAATGTTGATCATCGGCCTGAAAAATGAGGTTGTTGACGGGAACGCGAAGATAATTTAGTGAGAAGTTAGAGATAAAACGGACCGAATTGATTTTTTTCGGACTGTTTCTAATGAGACCTTACCCCTGATAGTACTGATCGTAACTGTAGTAGTCATCGGCAGGCGTACACTTCTGGGGATCGCCCAAAATGCTGGCAATGGAGGGCAGCGGCTGGAGGACGGGTTTGGCAGGTAGCATGGCGAATGGAATGGGATGGGATGGCTCGCTCTCCGGGACAGTGCGCGAGCAGAAAGAGATAGGCAGAGATCCGGAGAAAAAGAGAGAAAGGTCAGGTCGTGTCCCAGTTGGGCGTGATAAGATAGGCGGTGCAACTGCCTGTGTGGCTCATCAGTGGTTTACGATGGAACCGCACGCCGTCAAAAGAGCGCAAACAAGTCATAGACATTAGCCTGCCGAATGAGGTGTTGTAAAAGCTGAGAAGAGAAAGTTCATAAAGAGCATATATAGAAGAACCACAATTTTACAGATTCTAGTTTATGACAAGAAGATGCCTTCCGTTTTGTCGTAGACCCATTCGTACAACTCGTCCATTTTGGCTTTGCACATTCCACCCGTACTCCTGCATGTGTTCCTTTTTTTGCTGCAAGTACGGAAGTAGCACAGTGATGTAACATCATCATTATCACATTCATTTCGACTACATCTTATCAAACGTACTTGCTGTTTACGCAACTTGTGAGACCATTAATGAGATCAGAAGAGAACGTTGGTATTGACCCATTGAATATTTTGTTTGCCTGAAACTCCTGTTCAACTTCAAAACAACTTTCCAACTCTTCACTACCGTATCCTGCATGTTCTGAATGTGCATTTCCGTGTTATTTGGGAAGAACCGCCACGGCCGATCGCTCGCCCGTTTGCTGTTTCCCACATCGTAACGCAAATGGAGTAGAGCGCCATCGGCCTGCAACCAAAAAAACAATAACGAGCTAATTGATGGAGTGGAGTGCAAATGGGATTTACGTTTTTAGTATCTTTCGGCTCGATAAAACTTTTTATCCAGTGAACCTGCGCGATATCGATGACAGAGGCGTTGAATACATTCTCAATCACTTTGTTGATCTGGGGTGTCTGCGGATGGGAACTCACTTTTGGCGGGCCTCCCCTGTCAATGAAAACGGGGTTGGCCACTCCGGAAAAGTCGGAGCTGTAGATGCTGGGCTCCATTGCGACGTAGTTGTTTCCGAATCTCAGAGCTCCGTACTTCGTACCAGTCATTTCTTTCAATGCGTACTCCAGAAGAGTTCCGTTGCGCGGAACCATGACTTCATCGAAGTCCGCAATCGTTCCGATGGTTGTTTTGATGTCAAGAATGCAAATGTTCATTGCCAAAAAGTAGGAAAAGATGAAGGTGCTGTCATCAATCTTCGGATACTTTCCAGCAATTTCTGCGGGCAAACTTCCGAAACTAGGCCACGAACGGAGCTCAATGAGTCCCTGAACTCGTCTATTGTTCGGTGCGCTAAACAAAATGAGCTACCAAGTTCTGATAATATTCTAGAACTCTCCTCGTTTCCTTTGTGGCCGAATGATAGAATACAATGAATCGGGACGCTCCTTGGGCTCTCCACGCTTCCACGTACAACACAATATTCTGCCATTGAGAGTAGTAGTAGACCGGCTGCAGACACATTGTCAGCCCGCTCTCCAGTCGCTTATCGATCTCTTTCACTGATAACTCGATTCGCCGGCTTCCCATGATAACCACAACCTGAAAATGTGCACATTTTCAGTTTAAGTACAGAATTAAAAGCGTACCTTCTGAATTCCTCCGGTGGCGAGAATGTCTCCAAAGAAGGTGTGTGCCACATAGAAGCATGGTTTGGCAGGACCGTATGTCGACGGACAGTTGCCTTCGAGGGAGGATCCGAAGAGTTTCAGTCGGGTCGGAGCAACGATGCCTTCGTAGAAAACGTCGACGAGAACGAAGCTGGTATCTTGAATGCAGGCATTGAGCGAGAAAAGACGCAGACGAGGAGGCGAGAATCTGGAGAAGGGGGATGAGGAAAAGGGTGCGGTCGGTGCTGTTATACCTGTAGTCAACGTTTGCAGTGTGATAGAAAGTGATAGGGAATGTGGAGTTGAGTTGATCTTTGAACACACTGAAAAGGAAGACCACGTGTCTTTTGTCAGAAGAAGGACGATACTTACCTGTCCTCGAAAGTGGCAAACTGTTGGATATGCAAGTCGTTCACGTTGATAAAGTAGAAAAGTACGAAAATGATGGTGAAGGCGATGCAAACGAAGAAGTGGGTCATGATGTGACCACGGAGGATGGTGCTGAACATTGCATTGACAAATGTGGAGAACTTTGTTGAATCAATGGGAAGGGCAAACACAAGAACTTCTATTGGAAAGTGATGAAACGTTGCATTTGAGCAGTATTTATTGTGAAAATTTTTTGAATATTTAAATTAGGCAGGTGAGAATTCATTATATATACACTGCTCCACATAATCATTGTTTCACTTTGATTTTTCACTGGAACACCCTTTCAAGTCAACTTTCAGAACAAGTTGTCAACATGAAAAGTGTGTCAAATTGCAAGGGTATTCAGGTTATAACATTTGTTTGACCCTTACGTGACAACCTGTTCTGAAAGTTGACCTGAAAAGGTGTTCCAGTGAAAAATCGGAGTGGTACAATGATTATGTTCCCCCTCCCAATTTCAGTTTATCGTAGGTATCTCAATTGTTAAATATTAACTCCACTACTAATGTTCACCATTCTGTACCAAGGGCGCCCTCCTCTTGCGGGGATGGTTCCCTTCATTTCCTATTCATCTTGCAGTCATACCCCCTTCTGGTGTTCCCCTCTTTTACCAGTGTTTCTTTTTTTTTGCGATAAATAAATGAAATAAATAAATAAATATGTGGAGCAGTGAATATATGTAGACTATTCAGTTTATGCATGAAACGGCATTAACCGAGCAAACATTGACATCAAAAAGAACAAGCACATTTTAAGGAAAAGAAATAAACAAAAAGAGAGTCATTTTCTGCCAGTGTTCCCATAGAGATGGACAGCTTTTGGGAGCAACGAACTGATCATTTATTCGCAAGAGGAAAGTGCAGCCAGAGTGCGAAACTATCTAGACCCTCGTCGGTCTCTAATCGGAGTGTCTGTGTCGCGTCAGAGAATGAATACATCGGCGCTCGTCTCAAAGTACCAATCTGCCAACTTTTCCATTCTTTCCTTGCACTCTGTCACCGTGCTCCGACATATTCCCGACGTTCTGAATGTAAATTTGAGTGGAAAGTGACGCGTTCCGGGTGAATAAACCTCATTCCATCAATGCACCTGTTCACCTCCACAATGATATTGTCGCTGTAGATAGGCACCGTTCTCCCGAACACTTTTTTCATCTTATTCACACTTTTGAAACATATTAAGAATTCTCAAAATCCTACCACAACTCCCAAGTTCTCCACGTGTTTCTCTCCATTTTTCGGGAAAATATTGAAAGGTTTCTTGAGCTTCTCCAGATTCCGGTGTCCGCTATCATATCTGTAATGGAGGAGAGCTCCGTTCGCTTTGCTCGTGACAATGTTATTTCGATTGAAACTGCGGACAGAATGTGTCAGAATCACGTCGATGGACGACGAGTTGAAGACAGTCTGAATCGATTGTCACACGTGGCAAATTCTTTGTTAGAGATTCCTGTGCCTACTTTCGGAGGACCTTCTTTCTTCAAAAACACCGGATTCAGTAGGGTTTTCCTATCGAATTCACTGTTATCAGCAGACACGTTGAGTGAAATCAGAGAGTGCCCAAACTCGAGAGCACCTATTTTTGTGCCGGACATCTTCTGTTTTACGAATGTCAAAAGTGTTCCATTTGGTGGAACAATGATTTCATCGAAGTCTACCACAGTTCCAAACACTGTTTCCATGTCAAGAACGCAAAGGTTCAGAGCGAGAGTGTGCCCCAAACGATAAGTTTGCGAATTGATCTGAAAGAGAAGTAATCTGGAAAAAATTGAAGATTCATGAAGTGCTAACCTCCGGAAACGTGGGCGGAAGTATTCCGAACTTTGGCCATGGTCTGATAATGAGTAGGCCCTTCAAAGTGTTTGATTCAGGTTCAGTTATTAATCGTCTTACCATTTGCTGATAATAGTTCAAAATCATTCTGACTTCTTGTGTAGACGAATGATAATAAACTATGAATTGAGTTGCTCCATGAGCACGCCATGCCTGAAACAAATGCTCTGAGAAGAGTTGCAAAAGAGTTATTAAACTTCAATGAACAGTAAAATGTTACGGAACTGGCTGTACCAATAGACGGGCTGCACGCAAACTGTCAGCCCTTTTTTGGTTTTTGGATATATTTGCTTCACTTTGAGTTCGATTATCCGATGATCCATGTGGATGAACAACTGAAACGACCGCTGGGCAGTGATATCTCTGAATGTTTACTTTGCCGATTTCTTTCCATTCTGACGTTGTCTGGTTGCAGAGAGAAACATTGAAAATATGCGAATTATAATAGCAACTCGGGGCCCAAGACCACGGACAATCTGCTTCGACGGGCTCTCCGTGGAGCTTCAGAATTTGAGAAGTCTTCCGAAAGAATACTTGCACCAGAAGATAACTTTCTTTTCTATTCAAACATGGATTCAGAGAAAAGATGCGAAGCTGAGCAGGTGTAAATCTACAATATCTAGAAATAAAACGTTCTTCCAAGTGTTCCAAACCTGTGATCCACGTACGCTTCATGATAGAATTCGATGGGAAAGGTTGGGAGTTTCTTAGGAAGTGAGTGTTTCCAGATGAGAAACGCTGAGATGAAGATGAAAAAGATGACCCATTTACGGGCTTTGTGTGAAATTTGAAACATCAGTTTTCGAAGTGAAGAAGCGCTTTTGAAAGGAAAAAAAGACACAGAATAAGCAATTGGAGAATCTGTGAGCAAAACACGTGCAAACGAGGTGCTTTATCTCAAAAAGAGGTGTCGTTCGCTTCAGATGAATCGTCGAAGAAGTTCCCTCACAATTTTCTGCTTATATAAGATGTCAAAAAGTTCCATTTTCGTCTACTGTTCAAAAAGTTCCATTTTCGTCAACTCGTGAGTTCAGTTTACTCTCTTTCTCCGATGGGAAAGTGACGATTTTGAACTGTTTATCCAACACATAAAACGGTCTGTCCCCACATGTGTGCTTTCAGATCACAGATCACAAAATGACGATCGGGCAGTCCGCTGACCACCGACCGATACAGAATTCGCATCCGAATCCGATTTCGAAATGTTCAGAGACTAGTAGATGTAGGGAGAGAACATATTTCTTCTTATGAATTTCATAACAATAGGTGTTCCCTGTGGCTATCAACGACCATCTATTGTGAAATCGTGCGTCTCGTCGCATAGATCATCTGTGCGAGGAACTGGTCGGGCAGCGCCGCAAACAGATTTCGAAATAACTCCGAGAGTGGAGAAGATCAGTCGCTCTCTATTTCTTTTTGACCTTCCTCCTGGACTCTAGTTGATTCCATTTTCAACATATTTCATCCAAACGTCCCTTATAACCGTGTGAATCTTATTAAAAGTTTATTTACAGTAACTCGATCCTTGATTTTTCCTATTGTTGTAAATATCAAAACCGAAACGTAGCTTTTCAGAGAATGAGAGAGATTGTGAGCCTTCAAGTCGGTCAATGCGGACACCAAATGGGATTGCGCTTCTGGGAGACAATATCCAAGGAGCACGGAGTGGAATCGGACGGAGTTTCCAAGGGAGAAGGCATCCAGAAGGAGATGCTCGACGTGTATTACAAGAGAAATGGAAGTGAGAGACCGTTCATTTCTGCCCTTTTCATTTCAATATGTTAACTTTTAAGACGATAAATACATTCCACGGGCTATTTTGGTAGATCTGGATCCGGAAACTATGGATTCCGTTCGAGCGAAACCGTACGGTCAGCTGTTCAATTCGGATAACTTTGCGAGAGGAAAGGCAGGAGCAGGCAACAATTGGGCTAAAGGATACTACACGGAAGCCGCGGAACTGGCGGACCGGGTTCTCGAACTGATCAGAAAGGAAACGGAAGGATGCGACGGTCTGCAGGGATTCCAGCTCTCTCATTCTCTAGGAGGAGGCACCGGGTCCGGATTGGGTGCTCTTATTCTTTCAAAGCTCCGTGAAGAGTATCCGGACAGAGTGCTCAGTTCTTTTTCAGTGATTCCGTCCAGAAAGGTGTCGGACACTGTCGTCGAACCGTACAATGCCACGTTGGCGATGAATCATCTGATCCCGAAGACCGACTTCACTTACTGCATTGACAACGAGGCTTTGTTCGATAATTGCCAGAGAATGCTCGGAAAGTCCACGTTGACTTACGGGGATCTGAACCAATTGGCAGCTCTCACACTGTCCGGAGCCACTACTTCCTTCCGGTTTCCCAGTCAATCGAACTCGGATCTCCGGAAAGTGGCCCTCAATATCACTTCCCCTCGTCTCCACTTCTTCATAACTGGCTCTGCCCAATTCAAAACCGCGTTGACAGGCAGTGAACTCGCGGAGCAACTGTTCGACTCGAAGAACATGCAAGCAATTTGTGATCCTAGAAAAGGAAAGTACATTTCGGTGAATGCAATGTTCCGTGGAAAACTGTCTCAGAATGAGGAGGAAGTGCTTAACATTCAGAAAAATAATCCGTCGAACTTTGTGGATTTCCTTCCGAACAGCATCCAGACGTCGACTTGCGAGATTCCACTCGGGGAGCACGAAGTTTCCGCCGCTTTCGTGTCCAACTCAACTGCTATTCAAGAGGTTTTCCAGCGCATTCTCAATGATTTCGATAGTAAGTTTGAAAAAAACTTAAATCTCACACAATCGATAACTCCAGACATGTTCCGCCGCAAAGCATTCCTGCACTGGTACACTGGCGAAGGAATGGACGAGAACGAATTCGCAGATGCCCGGGAGAACCTGAACAACCTCATTTCCGAGTATCAAAAGTATCAGGAGGGACCTTCTGTTTGAGAAACAATCTCGTTCAAAAGCTAATAAAACTTTTATCTAAAGACGAGAATCGTGTAAAGCAAGACTGATTCGGATTCACATAGAGATTGCATTTGAAACGAATGATCATGGCACAGAAAAATGTTAATTTGAATAGAAGAAGAGAAGGTGTTATATCTCGAGTCCAAGGTCTCTCCAATGATGAATCATTAGCTTCTGAGCGGCGAGAAGGGCGTGGTAGCGGACATTCGGATCCTGGACGGTCAACAGACGCATCATGGCTTCTTTTCCGCCGAGCAGCTCCACTTGTGTTTTGCCTCTCGGATAATATCGGACGAACTCTCCGATATCATGAGCCGCCACACACAACACCAATGGGTCGTTGCTCTTTTCAAGCATCGCAATCAGCAACTTGAGCAGTTCCTGACGATTCTCGTTGAGTCTGTGCGCATTTTCGGACCAAAAGACATCACACTTGTGAGCGGGAGACCAGTGCAAATTGCCCAAACGGAGCTCATTCTCGTACTCGTCGAACGACGTGAGCACTTTCACAACCTTTTGAAGCTCGCCTTTTAGGAAATGCATATCGTCCTGCAAAAGTCTATAAACTTGAATAACAAAATGAACTTACAAGTAGATCTGTGTCTTGGAACTTGCGACTTTCGATATGTTCAAGTTTTATTGGAAGACGATTATGAATCATTTGCAGAGCTGCTTGTCTGGAATCAGCATATTCTAGTGTTGGGGCGCGTAATCAGTCTTACTTCTTCACGTGACGGTCAACGTTAGACTCGAGTATGTTCCGCAAAGTGGCGATCACGATTCTGATAACTTTTTCCTTCTGACAGTTTCCAAGGATACCTGTGATGGTCTGGACCAGATTTCCAGCCAAAGCGATTTCAGCGGCATGGCTATTGAAGGTCAACAGCCACATGCAGAAGATAATTTGATAGTGTATCTGGAACCCACACTTGCGCGTCGAATAAAGGGCGTGGGTGAGCGATTCGTAGCCATTGATATTGACGAATGAAATACTGAAAAAAAAGCAGATGAAGACGACACTAAATTGCGTTTTTACCGGTACGAATCGAGACGGAACAGTGTCTGTATGCATCTGACGACCGTCGCGATGTAGTCATTGCTCGTTCCACGGCTGATCGCCTCTTTCAAGGAGCCCATGAAGTAATCTAGTTCGTCGCCGGCCATTCTGAAATCTTTATTGTTTTCTTAAACTTTGTAATTCTCACCTCGCTTTTCCGAAGACAGACATTTTGGTTAGAATTGAGAAAGTGATACTGACAATATACTGATCTTGGCGATGCAGAAGGCCTATAAAAAATGAGAACGGGGTCCTTTTCAGAAGCTCGCCGACGTCTTCGAACAACTTTGTTCTTGACGGGTCTTCTCGTAACATATCGTCGATGATTGTCAATGTGTACTTTACGTAGTCATCTTTCGAGATCTGAATGACGGAGAGGGCTGATTAGTGGGCTGGCTGCGGGATTCAGAAATACCTGCGAGATGAGATGGACGAATGCGTAGACGGCCCTTTCTTTGAACGCGGCGAGAACGGTCGTTCGTTCTTCTTCTTTTTCAGCTTGTTCGTACGTCACGATGAAGTCGTAATCGCTCTGGGCTATCATCCTCGTTCTGAAACACAAACTTTTTCATGATTTTAATTATTTCTCACCTTGTAAACAATCCCCAATTCGTTTTCATCAGTCGAACTTTGTCGGCTTCCTTTTGGAAGTGCGTACGAATGAGATCTTGGCTTTCACCAAAAACCATTGTTCACTAAAAAATTTTAAACTTTTCGACAGGAAAAAACAAAAAAGACGGAGACAGGGAGAAATGGGGTTACTCAGCGAATATTTTTTTTCTCGTTTTTTTTACGTCAAAAAAATCAATTTAGAGATTTAAAAAAAACGGAAAACAAACATACGCTGAATAACCCCAAAAGAGAAGACAATCTAAAATTTGTTCAGAATTGTCTAGAATTAGAATTAGAGCGCCCAACTGCCGGAGAAAACGCGCTCTATTGAGAAAATTGTGACCTCCGAATTTAAAATTTTGAAAATGTCAACACGTTTTCTTTCTGCCTTTGTCCGTTAGTTCGACTTTCACCTGTTTACCAAATTTACATGTCAGTTTTACTTCAATTGTTTCAATTTTAGAAAAAAATGTCAGATACTTTTCAGATAGAGAAATGGCTGATAGTGATAGTGCATTGAATGCTTCTATGGCGTGTCGGTCGGGAAGCGTCGATTTTCTGACAGAGGGGCTGAAATCGCTTCACCTCTCCCGACACCACCTTCAATCATCTGCAGGATCGAATGATTCGAAGACGTCGCGAATCGAGAACAGGCAGACCCGCAGCATAGTGCCCGAATTCTGTTCGTTCGGCCAGGATTTGCAAAAATTCGAAGCCCAAGACCAACTTTTCAAGACTTTGATGTCAGAGACCGTCAGAAATGCACTTATCAACCAAGATCCGTGCTCGATTCCAGATGAACTACGCGATGAACTGGTGCGCCAGAAGCGAAAGGAAGACGCCTTCAAGACGGCCCTCTGCGACGCTTTCCGTCGCACTCAAATGTGCTCGTACGGGGAGCACTGCAGATTTGCTCATGGAGTACATGAGCTCCGACTTCCACAGAATGTAAGTGAACACGGTGGAGTTGTTGAAAGCGGTTTTGTTTGTTTTTTTTTGCAGCCGCGAGGACGCAATCATCCTAAGTACAAGACAGTTCTGTGCGACAAATTCTCAAAAACCGGGGTGTGCAAATACGGCCCGAGGTATTTGCTGTCTATCACAACTTCACAATTGCAATTCGTTTTTCAGATGCCAATTCATACACAAAATTGATCCTTCACTGCTGGCACGAGCAAATGAGATGCTGAATTCTTCATTCGCCGCATTCAACCAGTCGTTGTTCATGCCACCCGCTTCTGCCGACTTCAGAATGGACCTCAACCAGAGTCTACCGATCCGCCGTTCCGACTACACTCGCGTCTACTCTCGCTCGACACGAATGCAATCATCTGATGCGGTCCCAACACGCACCCTCCAGTCTCAGCTCACTCGTCACGTGCATTTCTAGAGTTTTCGATTCATTTCTCTGTACCAATTTTCTCTCTCCTTTCTTCCATGTTCATATTCTGCAGGACGCATAACTTCGATCTCACTTCTAACTCTGACCGGTCGTGCCAGATCCCCCTCGAGTGTATTTAGACTTTATTTTATTGGCATTTCGAATAGTGTGATGATTGTTTTACGAAAATACGATTTTTTATTAAACTAAATCAATTTCTTCAAACATTTTTCCTCCTACACAGCAAAAACGTGTTTAGTCTCTTCTCGTTCCCACTCTGTGAGCGATTCCATCCATTGGCTACAGTACGTCACCGTACTCCGACACTTTCCCTCGCCCACAATTTTGCTTATACACTCGTTCAGAACGTGAAGGAAGGTAGAGTTGTAAACAGGAATGGAATCTCCGAAGACTGTCCGAAGGGTATTCCGAATCTTCCGAACGTAGAAGACCCCACTGTCGGGAAACAGTTCCATGGTGCTTCTCACTTCTTTCGCTACCTCCGTATTACTGTTGTGCCGATAGTGGAGAAGGGATCCAGAAGCCTGAAAAGAAGATAAAACCAAAGAGAAAGAAGGAATGTGCTCACCGTGACGGTCGATTCGCTTCCGATGAACTTCCTCACGGAGTGGGTCCCGATCACATCGACACTCGAACTGTTGAATGCCACCTGAAAGGAGGAAATAAAATGGAAAGCAGACTTTTCAAAATCAAGCATGTTTTCTATAACTTGTGAAAAAGACAAGCCTGTACCTTGGGAGGTCCATTTCTGTCCACAAAGACCGGATTCAACACTCCAAAGTAGTCCATGGACGAAATTTTCGGTTCGAACTTAACAAGTAGATGCGGGAAACTGAGGGCTCCGATCACTCCCGGCTCCATTGTTTTCTGTGCGTAATCTGTCAAAATGCCCTCTTGTGGGACCATAACTTCGTCGAAATCCGCGATCGCTCCGAGCTCCGTCCGCATTTCGAGCACACAAAGGTTCTGAGCGAGCGTGTGGCCGACGCGATACGTCGAAGAATCGAAAGAAGGGAACGGGAAGTGAGAGGTGGCCGAAGGAGACGGAGAGCCCAAACTCGGCCACGGTTTCAGATCGAGAATGCCCAAGTTCCGATAGTATTCGAGTAACCGTCGGACTTCTTTTGTTGAGGAGTGAAAGTAGACTATGAATCGAGTGGCTCCCTGAGCACGCCAACTCTGAAAATGACAGTAGTTATCCAATTTCCAAGCAGGATGTTTCAAAAACCTCTATGAAAAGCGCAATATTATGGAATTCCGAGTACCAGTAAACCGGCTGTACACACACAGTAAACCCGTGTTTCTCTTTCACCGAAACGTTTTGAACTCTAATGGTAACTGTATGATTGCCCAAGTGAATTGTGATCTGAAAAGGAAAATGATGGAATGGCGACTGACGGCCCTCCGAATGCACTCACTTTTTCGACGTCGCCGTCTGGCAATTGCGCCGTCCAGATGTACGAATTGTATAGACATTGAGTGGCCCAGTGCCAGGGACATTCTCCTTCCGTCGGCTCCCCTCTCAGCCGGACTCTCGTTCCTTTTCCGTCCAGTTCGACTACGATGAACTCTTTCGGAGCGACACACGGATTCATGGAGAACACCCGCAAACGAGGCGGATTGTACCTGAACTATCTTTTCGATCTCTCCAAACGACACTGGTCACATTAATACCTGTGATCTATGAATGCATTATTGTAAAAAACAATTGGAAATGTGTTATCTATCTCTTGTTTTTCCCTGCAAATCCTTCTTTTCCATCCGATTGCTCTCCGATTGCCTACCGTATTTGAAGGACCGTCGGAGCGACGTTTTCGTACAAATTGATCCGTTTTCTGCACGTTGATAAGAAGTAAATGGCGATGATTATGTTGGTGGCAATGATCAGAAGGCAAGATTTGACAGTGGGACTCATACTGAAACGAAAGAATGGACGAGCTCGGTAGAGGGTGTAAATTGTGGCTTATTTGAGATGGAATGCACCTGCCAGACTGGCAAACAGACAAGACGGAGGCAAGGAATCCAAAGTTGTTGTAATGTAACAGTTCTGTATCCGACGGGGAGTGGGCGAAGACGAGAGAAGCAAAAAAACCAGAGAGAGGGGTGCGCAGAGAGCATCCCGGAGGGCGGAGGAAGAGGCCGATTGGCTCGTAAACAAACTGACCGCCCGTCTGCCGTTCGTCCGTCCATTCGGCTGATAGTGACAATTGCACTTTGCGGCGGTAAACATTTATCTGATGAGGCGTACTTGATTTGGATCACTAATAGATTTCAGAACCATTAACTGAGTCACAATTTGAATAGAAAACAACTTCAGGATCGTCCAAACACCTGAATTAAGGAAGAAGTTGTGCGAAAGGACATGTTGCCGCAAAAACCTGACAGGCGCACCCTTCTGTACTTCCAGACACCATGAACATTGTACTAGAAGAGGTTATCCTTTAATTTCCAATGTACCCAAAAGTAACATTTTTAAATCTCGTGAAAAATCGACTCCAAACGGCACATTTTTTTCTGAGCGTCCTCATAATATTTCATGTTTCTGTTTTTATCCTTCCGTCGTTGTGACTGCTCTGAACTCCGGTTGACGAATTGTGTGAATGCGTCTGAATGAAGCCTCTCTGAATTCCCCTATGAAAATTGTTCACTTTGTTTTCTTCCATCTCTCCTGTTCAAATTCCCTTGAGTTCAGAAAATTGTTTCATTTGCTTTTCTTCTCTCTCCTGTTCAAATTCCCTTGAGGTCAGAAAATTTTTTCATATTGTTTTCTTCTCTCCCCTGCTCAAATTCCCTTGAGATCAGTGTGTTCCCCATTTTTCAATGTTCTCAACCCCTTACAGGTTAACTTATTCGATTTTTGTTTCCGATCCCATACAAAAACTCGAAACGAAAAAGATTTAATTGATCGCGCCTATGTAAATTTATTATTTTACATCCATACCAATAATACTGGAAATAACATCATGCACATAAATATTTCAGGGAATAAGACAATACAAATAACCTCATTATGTGCATTTTAGGTTAAATAATTCATGATGAAAAATGTGGGAAAGGCTCGACAAGCGGTAGCCTCATTTAGAATCGGAAGGTGAGGGAACGGGGGGTGAACATGACAAATGGGGTTACAAATTTGTTACTGTTTAAATTAGGTTATTATCTCATCCATCAGCTCGGCCTCCTCTTCTTGTGTGGATCTTCGAGGCTGCTGTCGATGTTGTTGCTGACCCAGTAGTTGCCGATGAGTGGTCGATGTCTGCGGATGGACGGAAGTTGGCTGCATATGAGGAGGTACGACTGTTGATTGCATTAACGGCTGTGGAACGAGTACAGACTTCATTAGTGACTGTGGCTGTCCCGAATGAGCCGTCATGTACACCGGCATCATTTGCTGGGAATAAGTACTCGTGTCGTAGTTCTGCATTGCGTGTGGCTGTTGCTGATAGTGTTGATACGAGCCCATCAATGGAGCTGGCATCACTGGAAGCGGCATGAGCGGCGCTAGACCTGTTTGCTGCATCGAATAATTGTTGGCTGGAGAAATCGAAGAATGAAATACAGATTGCTGGTCGATTGAAGTGAATCCTTCGGTTCCGTTGCTCGCGAACAGTACTTCGAGGGAAGCTTTGCTCGAAAGTGACGGTGTCGCTGATCTCTTCCTCTCGGACCGATTGCCGCTTCGTTCCTTTCGATCTCGATGTTCTCGATTCGAATTCTTCTTCTCAGGTGAACGAGGAAATGCACTTTTCTTCATGAAATTGCTCAGTTTCTCGTTGTTCTCCGGAATGCTCCAAAATTGCCTGCTCTTTTCTTCAGCAAACGCCACAAACTTGCTCTTCTGGTCACCAGTTTCAGTCACTGAACAGTAAAAATAATAAAAAAAGGGATTAGATAGAATAGTGATCGGAAAGTTAGTAGAGGAAAAAAAAAGAGTTCGTATTTCGAACATCGGAGCCTGTTCTCCTCCTTACCGCTGATTTGTGTGCCGTATATGGCAATATCATTGCAGAGCGGCTCCACCAAGTCTGCCAAGAACTTCGGAAGCTTCTAAATTAATATACGTTATTTCAGTTATCTAAATTTTAGACGCAAACCGCGATCTTGTGCATGGCCGCGCGAACTTTGCCGTCAACGATTCGCAAAGCGACCAACTTGTCCACATACTTCGATATTGCGCTTTTGTACGCGCTACCTTTGATGCTGCTCTCATGGATCCCAGAGAGAAAATCTTTCGGAATATTCACAACATGACATCTACCTCTGTATACAGTGAAATCTGAATTTATTATAGGTAACTACATTACTAGTTCTACAGGATACTTTTGCCCTCGATTCTCTTCGCTTCACATTTTACTTCTCCAAACGCAGGTTCGAGACGCTGCAGGAACACTTCATCAACTTCCGACTCGGATGGAACTGGAGCTGAGCGAGAAGATGACGCCGAGACTGTCGTGGCGGATTCATCTCGCTTTCTTTTGCCTGCACGTCTTCGAGCCTCCTCTTCTCCTTCCTTTTTCTTCAGTGCATGTCTTTTCTTCCGCTCGATCTCCCGCTTTTTCACATCCTCTTCCCGCAGTTTGTCCATAACTTCTTTTCTCATTTGCTCTATGTGCTCTCTGGCCTTCTGACGCTCTTCCTCTTCTTGCTTCCTCTTCATCTCCTTCTCCCGTCGTTCCTTTTCTTTAATCTGGCGTTCTCTCTTTTCCTGTTGTTCGGCAAGTTCTGCCTGCTGAGCAATCATCGCCATCTGTCTTCGATTCTCTTCACGTCGACTTCCAATCATCGTTTGCGAATCCGGAGATGATTCTTCTTCTTCTTCTTCTTCTTCTTCTTCTTCGTCTTTGTCATCTTCCCCTTCTACAGGGAAAACGGGGATTGGATCAATTCGAACGTCGAGTTCATTGCGCCAAATCGGATTGAACAAAGGAGCAGCATGTGGCTGTAGTTCTAGTTCCGGCCATACGGGGAGGCGTTCTACTCTCACATGGTCAGGATAGCTATACTTGTAATTATCGTATCCTGGAGGATGCTCGAATCCAGACGAAGTTGGCTGATTGTTGGTAGCTCTGGGACGTTCAAATTGATACGTCAAACTTTCGTAAATGGGACGACGGCGGCGAGGAGGCGAGGGTGGAGAATCATCACGATACGGACTTGAGGAACCAATGCGAATCGGTGACGATCTGGAAGGAAAGCAGGCAAGATTCACAGCAAACCGCAGGGAATCTCACGGCTCATAACGTTCACGTTCATCTGGAACTCCAATTCTGATAGGAGACATGTAGCCGATGGGAGGAGACATTGAAGGAGATCGATTTACGTCAACGTCCACATTCAGTCCATAATCTTTCTTGAGGCGCTGAAAAGAGTAAGTATTTTTTGTGAATGCAATGTTTTTCTAACCTTTTGCTCCTTTGCTAGTCGGATATCTTTTTCTTTCAGTTTCCGCTCGATTTCGAGCACTCTCTGTTGAGTCAATTCATATTCGGTCAGTGGCGACCGCTCTCTAATCCGAGATCGATGGTTTTTACCCGGATTCCGAGACATCTGCAAAAACGAGCAATATTTTGCATGTTCTTCGGAGTTTAAATGAAAGATATGACAATTTTCACATTGTTTAGGCTTTTTACTTGCATACATTATACAAATACATTCGAAAAACGTGGGAACATGAACGAAAAACGAAGTGCAGTAAATAAAAACGAGAAGAAAACGTCAGGCTCCGCCCATTCGCCAACAAAAAGCAAGTGCCGCGCGTGGTTTTGCAAAAGTGCCGCGTACAGTTGCAAAAAGCCCGATTTTGAGAACTCTGAATGCCGATCGGAAGAATACCTTGGAATACTCTCAAAAACCATTTGAAAATCTTCTGATTGACTATTTCACGACTGTTTTTCAGCATTAGACAGATGTACCGTGTTAAAAACGAAAAACAAGAACCAGAAAAAAGAAGAGCTCTGCTGAGAAAAAAATTCTGAAAAGTCTATAAATTCCAGAACGAGCACATTGCATTCGTAGATAGTCTTCAGATTCCTTCTGCATTCCTCAGAATGACCATTCGGTCGCGTGCGTCAGCAGGTCGGTGTCAACTGCAGAAAGGGGCAGAACAAAGGGGTGTCGCCTGCCCCGTGATTAGCCGTACTTATGATAAATTGGTTGTATCAACACAGAACGTCTTTTCCCTTTCCAACACATAGTTGCGACGGCAGCCAGCGGCAGCAGTGGCCGCCTGCTTGACGGAAAGAAAGTGTCTGGGGAAAAGAGACACATGTGCCTCGTCCCGAGTCGCCTCTGCGCCCACGACACGCAGCAGTCCCACAAATCCTTTCAGCAAATTCAAAGTCCGTCCCTCGGTTTTTGCGTCTTCTTCTCCGGTTTCATCGCCCGAAATGCGTTTTCCCGTGCCCCTTCTACTCGTTATATTTTTGCCACGTCTTCGCTCGAAGGGCATCTATTTTGTGGAGGAGCGCGACGGAAAAACTTACACGCAACCTTTGACCAGGTTCGATGAATTCTCTTTTACACTTTCTGAATTCAACCTTTTCTTTAGCACGTCTTCAGTGCAGATCGGAGAGCAAATCCGAGAGCTCTTCGATATTGACATCAATGAAAATGAGCCGCCCGGGAAGACCAATAAAATGGTGTCGTCTTACATGAAAAGCCTTTATAGAAAACTCGAAAACTATGAGAATGGGTGAGCAGAACTTTAGCGTTTCCAAACATAAACGATATTGTATACAGAGGAAAATACGATGAAGATGAGGTGAATGCGTGGTTGAGTGCGGATCGAATTGTATCCCACATTGCACAAGGTGATCTTCCTTATTCTGAACATTCTTGAAACATATTTCAGAGGTTTCCCACCGTCTGGACGATGGCTCGTACCGTATCCGATTTTCTCGCGAGAACGTTCCGTCGGCAGAAGGACAATCCATTCTGAGAGCTCAACTTCGAGTGCACATTACTGGAATCGTTTCCCCCATTTTCTTTTACATCGAAGATACCAAGTGAGAATCAGACAGCTGAACAATATCTGAAAACGTGTTGTTTGCAGCCTGCCAGGGGACACTGTCCTCGTCTCTTCCGATGATCCGAACGTCGTCACGGACGTCACAACGATGGTCGATAAATGGTCCCATCTCCAGAACTCTGTACTCCCCATTATCACTGCTCGTGCTTCTACTGGTAGTTGTGGCCTTGTCCCGTATTTCATTTGAACTGTTCATTCAGAAAACGAGCTGAAAATCGAGGCATTTCTGGTAATTGCTCTGAAAGACGAAGGAGCTCCACCGAAGAGAAGGTCCCGGCGAGCGGCGACGGCTGCTCCGCTCTCGGCGTCTCCCATGAGACAGAAAACGAAGCGAAGTGAATCTGCGTACTTTGAAAAGCGTAAGTGCTTCTGAATTCGCCGCCCACTCACCCAATTTCTCTTCAGCCGACACAAATGCGCTGTGCCAACGGAAAGGTCTCTATGTGGACTTTGACACCCTCGGCTGGAAGCAATGGGTTATTGCTCCCGAAGGATTCAGCGCATTCTACTGCTCCGGCGCCTGCTCGGCGCCCTTCCACAAGACAATGAATGCCACGTCGCACGCCATCGTTCAGTCGCTCATCCATCTCGTCCGCCCGAATGCCACGTCGGCGGCCAAATGCGCTCCGTCACACCTCACCTCGATGAAGATTCTGTTTGTGGATCAGAAGAAGAACGTGCAGATCAAACGGTATCGGGACATGGTCGTGGAGGAGTGCGGATGTCATTGAGAAGACGAGTGGATAACGACGGGTACGAACACATTCACAACATATTTCTTTGTAACAAAAAGGTGAATAAAGCTTTGGTTTTCGTGTCGAATTGGTAGTGATGGGAATAGGAAAACGAGAAGAGGAAGAGAGAAATGATGATCATAGGAGAAGGAACGAAAGGAAGAGAGAAAGAGCGAGAGGGAGGGAAATCACTTGAGCTCATCGGGAGTCTTCACCCTTCTCCAAGAGTTTGGAATTATGAGAGCGAGGACGAGGAGGACGTAGAGGATGATCGAGAAAACGGCGAACGCGGCCACGTACTCGATCCGATTCGCACACGACAGATCTCCGAAGCACGAGCTGCAGACACATTGGGTACAGTCGACGGTAAATGACCGGAAACTTACGGCTGTTCCTCGAGAAGAACTGTTGCGTATCCGAGGACGCACTGCACGCACGCGACGACGAGGCAACCGATTCCAACCGCTCTGTGAACTGGCATCAAACGGGCACGGAAGCTGCCAGGGGCACACGGACACAAGTACGTCAGGAAACCGAATGAGAACTGAAATGTTAACGAATAAGGATAAGACGGATAGACAGGGAGAGAGAGAGAGTACCTGTACAAGGTACACGGAGAGCAGAACAACACCAATCCAGCTGTGAACACTTGTGAAGTTGTTATACTGAAAGAGAAAGAGCTCTAATTGAAGGAAGTCCAAGTAGAAAGACTCACTCCCAACAAGTTTGTTGCTTCGATGATGACCACGAGAGCAGTGGTCCCGAGTCCGATTGCGAGAATGTGAAGGGAAGTGTGCAGCAGCTTTGAGAGCATTTTCGAATTGTATCGGTACAACCGATAGGCCAACAGCGCTGAAAGTGACAGAGAACATTGCACAGTTTCCAGTAACTTCCTCACCTTCTCCTTGGAAATAAATGAATGCGAGAATCATGAGGAAGGCGTGCAACTGATCTCCTCGTTTCCCCAACTTCTCGTCCTGATTTGTCAATGCTTTCTGAGGCCATCCCAGTCCATTTTTGAATGTATTGAAGAAGTAGCCGTTTAGGCATATACAAGTGAATCCGACAAAGTGCGTTATGGAAAGGATGATGTCAAAGTAGGTAGAGGAGGACGTCTGACGACGAGAGTCCGAAGACATCTGAAATTGGAATGAATTCCAACCGAAAAAACCAGTGGGTTAAAGAGGAACTGGGGCGTGAAACGCTAAGCAAACGGAGTAGGTGAGAATAATTCCAGATGATAACAGAATGAGTCACATTTCACTTCGAACCACCCACATTCCTTCGTTTTGAGACATTCATGAATCATGTTTGACCTAATTGAGAGATTGACAATATTCGTTTCAAAATTCAAGTTATTTAGTGAGCAGACATTCATGTTTACTTGTGGTAGGAACAGTGAAAGATTGTGTTTACTCAGGAAACCGCATAACACTTTTGTTGGGGTCTAGATGTACAGGAAATGAAGAATCATACTGTCAACAGGTGTGGTACATTCGCTCTACCGCAATATTCGAAACGCGTGCTAAGTCAATCAATTGGGATCATAATTTGAATGAAATAGTTCGATATTCAAATTGCCAATCAGAAACCAGGAATCGAAACTCAAAGAAAAGAGGCTGGCAAGACCAGAGATAAGAGGGTGAGGAGGAGAAGAAGTCGTACGGTTGGCATCGAGAGAATGTTGCTCTCTTCCCCTTATCACTTGTTAACGGCATACGTACGCACACCACACACTTTTGCATCTCTTTCATAAATAGGTGTACAAGAAAGAGAGATGGAGAGAGAGAGAGAGAGAGAGAGAGAGAAAGAGTGCTCCAAAGTGATTGTTGCTCGTGAAGGCGATACTAAAGAGTTTGGTCGTCTAATTGTTTTTGGGTGTGGTTGGCCTGGAATGTGATAAGTTGATAGAGGAAAGAGTGGGTCAGTCTGAAAACATTACGATAATCGATTTCTACTCTGCACCAGCCAAAGTTTTGAAACTCAGCTTTGAAACATTTCGAATTCTCCTTTGTTGTTTGACAATCGGGAACATTGTTGATTTTTCAGATAAGAATTTTTTCACGAAACTTACCCTTAGAAATCATCATTTGTTTGAGAAGTTTCTGAATCTGGCTTCTCCACTCTCGCTCCATGTTAAATTCTGGAATCGACGTCATTCTGCGATAATCACTCTCCGTCTCCTCTTCTTTTCCGCGAGGGAGACACGCAGACAACACAAGACTCCGTGTCGCATCAAAACAGTGGCCAGACTGTAGTGGCCATACCACTTTCTTTTCGCTTCCCAGTACACTCTTCACAAATGGTTACTCGGGAACAGTTCTTCTACTTCTACTTCTCACTCATTCTGCGCAAAAACAGATGGAAACTACTTCGAAGAGTGTTCTGGAACAGCCGCGTTCCCTTGAAATTGGTTGTGGATCAGAGAGGCGCTGGGCTCAAGTCGGTTCCGTTCGTCTTTTCAGTTCCCAAGTGTCTTTCTTTTCAGTGTCCTCTCCCTAAATCCGATTACATGCTTCTCACTTGGAATTCTCGACAGTCAACTCGTGAAAATCGCCATGACAAGTACTTTGGAGTCGGGAGAATCGGCGAGTGTTGAGCGTATAATGAAGGCGGTGATGGACAGTTCGGTCCGTCCCGCGAGCGTCCGAATCGGGCGGTGCGATGTATTCAACTGCTTCGGAAGTGATGCTATTCAGAGTATTTCGGTTGATGTAAGCTTTGAGAAATCATACTTTTCTGTTTGAAAAACTGATTTCAGAACATAACGCCAACTTACAAGCTTCACAGTTTGCCAGTGCCAATTGCCGAGGATGCGAAGCTCTCTCTGATCAGACAGTTTAGTGCGCCCAAGAACATCCGACTGGAGAAACATCATTTGGAACAGATTCTCAATACTCGGAAGTATGTACACTTGCTCATTCACATTCCTTCTCAAAATATCCTCCCTTTCCAGTGTCTTCTACAAGAATGACATAGTTCGTCTGACTGACTACAACGTGTACACGGACAAAACGACGTTCCTCTACTACAAAGTCGACGTCTCCTCTTCTCCGTGCATCCTCGACGCGAGCACTTCCGTCTACGAGTCTTCGGCAACTTCGTTCTTTGTTCCCTTTTCCAACTTCTTGCTCCGCAACCCCCTCACTCGTTCCATGCACTCAACTGCACATCGGATGTCCCAGATTTACTTTGCCCAGAAACGGATATCACGGAAGGCCCTGGTTCTTCTGGTGACTGGAGCATCGGGCTCCGGGAAACGGCTTCTCAGCCGCGTGCTTGCCGCTCGAACGCACAGAACCTTCTACGAAGTCGACGGTTACGAGATGGTCGGTGAGAATCCAGCGGCGTCCGAAGCCAAATGGTCTTCGTGGTGGGAAAAGGCGAAGCTCCTGCAGAACTGTGTGCTCTTCGTTCGAAATGCGCACGTACTCGCCATCGATCAGTTCAACGCTCTAGGTAATGAAAAGTTGAGATTCAAAGGTATAATGTACAACCTTCCAGACAGAAGAATCCTACAGTACATGGAGCAGAAACTGAGTGAATCGAGCAAAGCCACTGTAATCTTCTCGTGCACAACCGACATGATGTCCTCGATGTCCGCAAGTGTGAAGAGTCTCGCTCTGTACACGTTCTCAGCCGATTACATGGATGAAACCGAACGAAAGAGCTGGTTAGCATACTTTCTGGAGGAGAAGTTGGCAGGCCACGTGGCAAAGAAGACGTCTGGATTCTCGCTGGCCGAACTGCAGGAGCTGGTGAAAACGGGAGAGGAACAGAGAACGTATAATTGGAAGGAGGGAATGGAAAGGTCTACGAAGAGGCGATTGAAAAAGAAATGCGAATTTTGCCGATGCGATTGGAGCCCCGAAGGTCTATTTTGGTCTATTTCAGCAATCCACAATTTGAACTGAACTTTCAGATACCAAATGTGCGATGGAGTGATGTCGGCGGTTGGAGGAGACGAAGCAGACGGTACTTGAGAGCATTCGGACGAATCTGTTCGGGTCGAGAGCTCTCAAACGGTCGGGAATCATTCTCTACGGATCGCCCGGATGCGGGAAAACACTGATTGCGAAGGCGGTTGCAACGGAGTTCAAAATCGCGTTCCTCTCGGTTAAAGGACCTGAACTGCTAAACAAATACGTGGGACAGAGCGAAGAGAATCTGCGAAAAGTGTTGAACGGGCCAAACAAGCCTCCCCTTGTGTCATTTTCTTCGATGAAATCGACAGTCTGGCGCCCAATCGTGGCAGAAACGGAGATTCCGGAGGAGTTATCGATCGGATCGTCTCCCAGTTGCTCGCGGAGCTCGACAAGTTGCACAACTCTCCACTGACCAAGGTGTTTGTGATGGGAGCGACGAATCGGCCGGATCTTCTCGACAACTCTCTGATGGCTCCCGGAAGGTTCGACAAGTTGGTGGAGGTGAAACCGGGCGAGGACGTGGAGTCGAAGACGAAGATTCTGGAGGCGGTGTCCAGGAAGATGAAGTTTGAGGATGACGTTGACTTGAGAGATATTGTGAGTAGTTACGTGGATATCAAAAACGTAATAACACCTCTTGCAGGCGAGTCGAGTCGATGAGAAAATGTCCGGAGCACAACTGTTCTCGATTATCTCAAATGCCGGAATGGCGGCGATTGTGGAAACGATTCAAGAGCTGGAGGACGGCCGATCGGAAAGACAGACAGTACGGGTGGCACAGAGACACCTTCTTGAGAGTGTTCGAAATTTTCACGATACAAAAGTTTGAATAAATTCTAGATATTTGATAACAACTTTATGGTACAGAGCTTTCATGTGACGTCCTCCCCTTTCAAAGTCCTTCCAGTTCTGGATGCTCATTAGAAACGAGAGCACTTCTTTTCGCTTCTCATCCAATTAATTCTCCTTCCACAATCAACCCGCTTTCTCCTTCGTAATGAACGAGAAAGAAACCATAGTTCGGCCGGCAGACGACTGTTTTCTTTCTCCTCGGATGAGCGCAACGATTATCTAGGAATGTCAGAGGTTATCTCTTTACGTAGATCATAAAATAACTGTCATTTATATTTGCTACTTGTGACTTGAAAAAGAAGCCTTGCAGCAGTCTCAATTGAACATATTCAACCCGAATAGAGGCTCGTAGTGACCCCCCGATTCCCGACCGCTGCAACACGGAAATACTTGCTCTCCTTGCTTTCCGAGTTTCCACTTCCCGATTGCATCCGACAAACATGGCCTCTTCACCTGTCCTCCACCCATTTTTAGCCTCTCGCACACATCACTCCCTCCCTTAATGTTTCCATTTTCAGATGTCTTCTCGAGAACAGCATTTTCACCCGTTCTTGACCTGCCAACTTCATCGTTTTTTACGACGATTATTGGCAAGCCGCCATCGCCACCACACCATCATCGAAAACAACAATTTCACCGCCTCCTCCCCTTCTTCCTTCGGCTCTTCCTCTTGTTATTTTGGAAGATGGAGGTTGGAGACATTTGTGAATATCACCTAGACGTACACGATCAGAATCAGCCTCGCTCCGAGCTTCTCACGTGCTCATTCGGTCATGGTTATCGTGAGAAAACGAGCAGAAATAGCACTTTAGATGACATGTAACATTTTTCTCCCAGTCCAGGGACACGTTTAGAAGAAAGCCAGTCAGTTTCCAGTTTAATGACGTGATCAGCGCGTACTCATGTCTGCCGGGCTTCCAGTGAATCAGCCGGAAAAGAGAGAGCGGCAGGTGGAAATGATAGTCCAACGGGGCTTCCGAGCCGTTGATTCATCTTTCCCACACTTGGTGCCGGCGCGCAACTTCTTAGTTTCGAGGAGATTACCTAAACTCAATTTAGCCGTTAAGCTGTCTGGCATTGAACTATTTTCTGATGAGAAGAAAGCTTTAGGAGCACGTTTGAAAGCAAATGAACAGAACTTCTTGAATCAGGCCTGCCTCGATTTGGCCTTTTGACCCAGTTGCAATATTCGATTCGAACCTAAACTTCGCAAGTGTATGCAATCTTGACCCCTTCTCCTTCTTCCTCTTCCCTTATTCCTTTCGCTGCTCAAATCCACATTCCTTCTGATGACATCCATTCACTAACGCCATTCACGATTGGCACCATTGACACCATCAAGAGACGTTCTAACCCCTATCAATAATTGATCTCCCAATGCAATCTTTATTCGATTCCCAACGGTTTCTCGCTTCCTCGTCGCCGCGTTACAACTCGTTTTCGACCTTCTTGAGTTAAAATCTCAACTCTATAAATAATTGACGTCTCATCTCGTTCTACGCTTCCATTTCCTAATGACAATACTTCTTCTTCTTCTAAGTCTTCTTCCTCTTCCCCTTCATCAGCAGTATTGTGCAAAAAGTTAATTTCCTGGTCTGAATGAGTTCTTTTCAATCAAGTTTCCCTCTGTTGACAAGAAGCCACGTCACACGAAGGAGAAGACCTGCGTTCCGGCGCTGTAAACACACTCGGATTTTAACATGTCTTTAGGATTTAGAGCTCCGAAATGTTCGGGATCTCTTCCCGGACAGAGATGTGTCTCCATTGCGGAAGGCGGAATTGCCGTCCTTTGCGGCGAATCATTGATATTCGGGAAGTTGGCGACTCTTTTTTCCTCTCTGAATGACCAATGTCTACGTCAGACTATAGCGTCAATCTCGTCTTCTCACCCTTTTCAATAGCGGAGAGAATATTTATCTGAAGGGGACAGAATGAGCCTAATTTCCGTTTTTTTTTCTTACACTCTTTTACTTTCCCTTTAAATACTCACAAAAAAGCAGAAAATCTCAAAAATCAGGTTCGGTCTAGTGGAACGCGTGAGCATGACCGGTGTTCTCAAAGATTTCCGCTTCGTTACCCTTTCTAGTCTGTCCGAATTGTTCAGATTGTCCTTCCTTCAGTGGGCGGAGCTTGCTTCCATCAGGCACCACCCTCCTCTTTTTTCCCCGTTGCTCTCGAGATCTGTCTTGTCTCCGACTGCTCCCAAACATGAAAACAACAACAACAACAAAGTCCTTTCTATTTTCAGCGCCTCCTCATAATTATCTTTAAGACTCCCTCACTTCTTGAGTAATTATTTCGAAGCGAGTGCCTGGTACGGACTGGCTCTTTTCTCTTTTCAATTCATAAATGCCACGAGAAAGAATCTTGCTGAGGGTGGAATATCCGGTAGTCTCGGCTCATCCGCAGATTGATCTCCTTTGGATTTTAGCACAATTTCCTTCAATCCCTTCTTTGCTGAAATTTTGGACTGCAAGTTACAATCGATATCATCATCTTCTAAAAGTGGCTTTCACTCTTCTCACCGCCCACGTTCAGTTCTGGTATCACCCGACTCCAAAACCCCGGCCGCCACAAGTACAATCCACGCCACATCACCCTTGTGCGCAAGAACATCTCCGCTACAATATCGACTTGTCTGGAAAACAACCACATCACCCTTCTGCTCTTTTTTCTGCCTAATCGTTTTCATTACTCATGTTCTCTTCTCTTTCTTAAACGTTCCAACCGTTTCCATTTCCAGTGTACTTTAAAGACCAGCTCATTAGACGCAACAAAAAAAAACAGAAAACGACTAGAATTTCTGTTCGTAAGGCTTCTTTCTCTTATTCTGTCTTCGTGTCCCCCCCACTAATGAGAAGCCCTCGTCAATTTGTGCTTTGTCTGTCTTCCCGACCGCACCCAATCGTTGCTTTCTCTTTCTTTATCTCTCTCTCTCTCTCTCTGAATATGTTTATCCCACTTTTAACTTTCAGATGTCGGTCGACACCAACTCGACGACATTTTTCGATGATGATATGGACGACGATACGCCGGTCAAAAGTAAGCGGATCATCAAGTTCTGGATGATTCTCGCCGCCATCTCCGTCATCGGAATCGTTTTGAATCTGGGCCTTCTGCTCCGTCGGAAGTTTTCCACGTAAGTAGTAATCTACTTCCTCTTTCCACATCCCTTTTTCATTTTCCAGTAACCGTTCATCTTCCACCACTCGATCCTCGGTTTTCCTTCTCGGGACGATGGCGATCGCCGACACGATGTGCCTCTTTTCGCTGCTTTTCCTCCTGTGCCTTCGCTTTTTCGCTCTCCACCCTTACGTTCTGACGTTTGTTTGCAAGGTTAGGCTGGTTCGCATGCGATTTTCGGGGATTGCATTGCATTCAATCGAAAACATTCATTAGCCAGATGAAAAGGATGCGAGAAAAGAGGAAGTGCGGGTGGAAGTGAGATGTTTGGCAGGCGATGATCGGGGTCGACGTGCGCAAGTTTAGCCAAGAAAGGGGGCTTGATAAGCGGGGATGAGCGCAAGAAACCCTGTAGCAAACATTCCGAACTATGGTTCGAAATTCTAGTCCCAAGTACGAATCTTGCAGCTGAGTGTGTTCGTGATGCACACAACTTCATCGTTCTCCATCTGGTGCTGGCTCGTGCTCTCAGCGGTCCGATACGTGGCCGTCTACCGCCCGTACACACACCTCAAACTCAATAAGGAGCCGCGGCTCGCCGTGGTAAGCGCGCCCATCTTTTCGCCGAAATCTCATTTCACTCGCCGCCATTGTCACCTAACACACACACACACACACACATATTTCTATTCAGCTCACCGTCGCCATCTTCTGCTGCGTCTCGGAAGTGTGGGTGCTGTGGGACATTGGATACGACGACACGTTCAAGTGTGAGTGATGGGGACCGAAGAGCGCGCAACGAGAGCCGTTTGTTTTCAGCGTGCGGTGGAACCGAGACCGAAATCAGTCGCCATCTCCAGATATTCGAGATTTTCAGCTCTTATTTCCTTCCTGTCATTATGATTACTGTTCTGGATTTGAAAGTGAGAAAGAAGAGAAACGAATGAGATTTATTCAACCTTCGATTTCAGGTGATATTGTGCCGGACATGGAGGTTCTCCCATGGTCCGAAGAGAAGTGTGAAAGCAGTCAAACAGAAGTTGAGTGTCTATTCGGAAGGATGTCCGTGTAAGGGACTAATCTACCCAGCTCTTTTGACTTTTACCCTTTCAGCGCCCGAATCAAGCATGAAGAAGTACTCGACTGCGACAGTGACCATCAGCAAGTCTCGCTCAAACGGAGAGTTGACGACATCGAGTTCTTCAAGGTAAGCGAACTGATTGTGAGCAGCAGAAGCTCAATGAACAGTGATTCGTTGCAGATCTAAGCGAAGGCAGCACTTGCGAGTACTCAGAAGGTGTCTGTGCATCACCGTCTTCGACCTCTCCATGAATCTTCCCTCCTACCTGCTCAGACTTTATTTGTCTCTATCCGTATCGGAAAACATAGACTTCTCGACAATTGTGATCGTGGAGGAAATCTCGCAAATCATGTACTTTGCCCAGTTCGCTCTGAACGCTCTCTACCTGATCTGCATCATTTATGACGCTCCCAAACGGAAGTTCACGGTGAGAAGCCTCCGTTCCCCTTCACCTCTTTATTTCTCCCGTTTCTAGCTGCCAAGTACCCAGCTGAGTGCCGTCGGATTGACTCCTCGGGCGAGTCGAAAATCGCAACGGAGCACATTCGAAACGCGTCTTGTCTAGATCCAAATTCTCCTGCTTTAATGTGATCAACCTGCCAAACACATCTCACTTTTTTAAAAAATATGTATGAATGAATGACTTTGAAAGAAAACAAAAAGTGCACATGGTCCGCGGCGCCTGACCCGAAGCTCCGCCGCTCTCCGTTTCTCCGGCCGCTCCTGATCTCTCGTTCACGTGCAACCACAGGTGGATCTCTTTCATCATATGATTAGCAACCTCTCTCCGATTCTCGCACTATTTCTTGCGACACTATACATTCTGGAAGTAGGAGGACACACGGAGAAGAGGGCGGGAAAGCACGAGATCGTATCTGTGTTGATTAATCCATTAGATAAGAGGAGGAGGCGGGCCGTAGGGGCAAGAGGGTCCCGTTCTCGCTCATTCATCATCCTTCCTTTTCCTGTGTATCTTTCTATTTGGACGCATTGCACTTGCTGGCCGTCGAGCTAGTCGGACCGCAGTGCAGAGGTCCGTCACTTGTTACTTTTTGAATCTCCAGTACCCCTCAAGTACCATTGATCCCTTTTTCTAGATCATTCTCGACTGCTCAGATGCGATTTTCTGTTTCCTTCCGACTTGCAAGATTCCGAGTCGACCAGCCTGTCCGGCCCCTGACTGGACGGAATATTTTTGGACTCCGGTCCGGAAGTTCCACCATGAAAGTGGGTGTGAATTTCTTGGTAATTTTTGACCAAGTTGAAATCCGAGCCGGGCCGGATAATTCCAAGTCTGTACCCTTCCCAAGACTAATATGATCCTGGGAAGCCGTATGAAACGGTCATCTGTCATTCGGCTCTATACTAAATTCGCTCCATTCCATTCTTTGCCCTCTTCCCAATCGAAAGACAATGGAACAGTACTGCTGTTTTGGCCCCGACAGATGTCCAAACAGACCCGCAACATTCCTCCGAACCGTTGTGATCTCCCTCCAGTTTTTTGCCGCTAAATCGCGTATAAAACAGCGCGCCGTCTCGGACGATCCCGTCAGTTTTTGCCCATCGGTCATTCCTGGCCAGTCTTCAGGCTTGTGTTTGCTCTTATCAAAAATGCAAAAATGCGCGACCAGGATACTCTCTTGCCCGTTTTTCTCTGTTTATTTGCTGACCTTTTCCTTCTTCCTTGCTCTTTCTCTCTCTCTCGTTTTGCGCCCATTCATCCGAAGGCGCCCCGCCCTGCGCAGTTTCCCGATGACTCAACGTGTATCATATCAGTTCCGTATCATTTACAGTCACTTTCCACTCACTTTCCGTCATGCGTCCGATCGTTCTGCTCGCTCTTTTCCTCTCCGTCGCCGTCGCCTTCAACATCTTCCGCGACGAGGTCGTGCCCGATGAGCAGTTCCTTTCGGCCCGAACAGCTCGCGACGCATCCGACAGCAACAGCAGCGATTCCGATGAGAAGGACTCCAAGATTACTGTAAGTCCATGTCTCTTCCGAGCACTACATACTAACTCTTTCTTTTCAGGAAGGATCTGGATCTGGCGCCGTTGACGAAGACACAACAGAGAAACTGCGTCGTGTGGTCCGCGCCATCGAGGAAGGCTCCGGAGAAGGTTCTGGTTTGGAGGTCACCTCCGCGCCTGTCCGTTTCGTCCGCTCCGTCGACGTCGAAGGATCCGGATCGGGAGCCGAGAAGACCGACGAGTAGACAGACTTCCCACCTGACACTCTAATATTCTGTATATTTCGGCGTATTATTATCAGCAATCAATTCAAGCGCTCTTCACATTCTTTCCACCATGCTCAAAGCAAACCTAATAAATTATTATTATTTTTGTCGAAAAAATTGAACTTAAGGTCTTTAACTTAAGGTCCTTAAGGTCTTTTCTTCTTCTCCTTCTTATGCGTGGATCAAAAGCTTCTCTTGATGGCGTCTCGAATGTATTTAGGCGGTTCTTTGCCCTCAATGAGATCATCCACAAGTCGGGCGATTATTCGATCGATGTCCGTTTCCACGTAAACCATCTGCACGAATCCTCCCTCGACGGCTGGAAACAGAGTTATTCAATGGGAAGAAGACATTTCCTCGATTACCTTCAGTCTTTTCTGTTGCTTGGCTTCCCGAGTATTGGATATTCAGTCTCTTTGACACATAATCACCGATTCTCGAAATCTGAAACAGGCCCGGTTTCCCGCCGTCTCGCTTTCTGGTTGCACTCACTCTAGACAGAACCAGTCCTCGGTTCTCGACAACGAATGCTTGTGACTCGTAGTTCCTCAGTTCATTGCCCTGAAGCTCTCGCACTTGGACCTCCAGAAGCAGTCCTTCGTCCAGATATGCGCCCATTCGTACGCACGCATCGCTCACGATTCCTTCGATTTCCACGGCAGACTTGCTCATCCAAAGTGCGCAGTGCTTCATTCTCTGTCGCGCATTGCACAAATCGACTTGATTCTTCTGCAGAACCGATCATTTCCGATAATTCTGCACTTGCTGATGTCACCTACTTTCTCCGTGTAATTGGCTCCCGTGCACTGCACACTGATCGGCCATTCGTTTTTCTCACCGAACGTCGTTTTGAGAAAAGGCGACGTGATGGCTGCCAATGAGTTTCCAACTGAAAAATGAGGATATTTTTGGAAGAAAGATCTGAAATACCGAGGTATGTCAACGGAAAATGAGAGGATCCGTCGGTGAAAGGAATGCACGTGTTCTGGTCGATGTTCAGTGCTTCCAGGATGGCCGCTCGGGCGAAATAAGAGGGAGAGATGTTCTGACAACCGGGGAACAAGTCGACAAGCTGCTCGCGAATCATTCTCTGCACGACGACCGGATAGCCGACGAGGTGGACCACGTGGTTCTGCTTGTCGATTCGCATCAGTCCTTGCTGAGCCAGGTATTGTGCATGCTCTGTAAGAATTCGGTATAGGACGAAAGCGTCAAATGCTTACTTGACGGCTTCAGCAGAGGTATCTGTTTCTGACCGGCGTGATGGATGAGATTCGGGAGAGCGAGGGCGTTCAGAAGACCGTCCTTCTTTGAGCGCATCTCTTTTTTCAGTGCCGAGGCGGATTCCTGAATAGCTCTTTGCAATGAAGAATTTGCATTTCTCCTAAACCTTATCAGCCGACTTCCATTTCTGATACGTCTCGAACCAATCCTCGTAATCCCTTTTTACGGCTTCAACGTCGACTTTTAAATTTCTTGATTCCACTGCTGATTTCAGTTTTTCACTTTGTTCGAAAACATTTCTGAATGTAAGGATTATGAAATTTCCAATCAGAATCTTCAGGTTTCCACCTCAAATCGACCATCGGATCAACGACGTGCACATCCGAACCACCGACGAATCGAGCCGCCAAATGAGACATTCTGGCGATTTGTCGGTACGGAATCATCTGAAATCTATTTGATTACCAGTTTTCCACATCCACACAGATAGTCATTGTGGCAGTTTCGAACCCTTTTGTGATGCAAATGAGAATTCAAGTTGGCGCCGATCAGTTTATTATGTACAATATCGATTAAATGTGTGAAGCAGGTCATAGACGAGGAAATTGCGATTATGGGCAATGTTGACAATACAGAGTATCGAAGAGAAAAGAGAAGAGAATTTGTGTAACCGCTGAGAAAAGTTGGAGGAACGGGGTGAAGATGTATCCGAAACTATTACAAAAGGCAAGTGGAAAACAAAAAATTACAACAGAAAAGGAACGAAAACGGCTAGGCGAATTTAGGAGCGGAATGAACGAATTGTACACACTACTTCACACGAAATTAACAAATTACAGTAACGAGAAAAAGGGATAAATTATCGATGTACTGCGACGGCAATGATTTGATTGGATTCGCGTTGGTCTCACTTCTTCTTGATGTAGTTGTCCTCATCGTCCTCGTCGAAGACTTCCTGGTTTTGGTCGTACTCGTCGTAGTCTTCGGCGTCGTAGTCGTCCATTTCATCGACGTAGCCCGAGTACTTGCGAGACGAGCATCCGGAAATACCGCGCGAGCGCTGCTTCTTTAGAGCCTTGCTCTGGTTCGCAGCCTTCTGCTTCTTCGCCATATCGTCTTGCGCTGCAAAGGATCAACGTCTTCTATTCAAATAGACCAGACAAAGATTTTGCATGGAATTTTTTTCAGGGATGGGTTAGTGAGGAAATTCGGACAAAAAAGGCGAATTCGCTTACACTTGGTGCGAGTTACGCCAATAGCACCTGGTGCTCCGTTTCCGGCGACGACCACGTTCGGCGGAGTAGTGGAGACCTCGTCCTTCGCGATGGCAGCCTTCTTTTGCGAAGTCAACGAGTTGGCGTCGATAGCGTAGGCCACTGGATCTTTCTTGGCCATTTCCTTCTCCGCTTGCACCTCCGGATCACTGTCGTAGTCGTCACCGTTCTGGAGCGGCTTTGGCATCTTTTCTTGTTGTTCTAAATACTCAACATCTAAAAAAAGAAGCGATCGAAAAGGGAAAACATAAAATGGCATATGGAGCCACTAAATTAATCGAAATCTCATATAGAAAAACAGAGATTTATGAAAAGGACGTTATTATAAAGCCAAAGACCCATAGGTTACTTGTGCGGGATAAAACCTGATAAATTATTAAAATGAAACAAGAAGAAAGAGGAAACGAACAATTAGGCGTGGTATGGAGGACGAGAGTTGCTGTGGCCGTACTCCTTAAGCACCTCGTCGAGAAGTTCCTCCGTCAGCGTGAATTTCGTTTCCTTCGTCCCCTTCTTGGTCATTCCGAGACCCTTCATTCTGGCCTGCAAATACAACATTAGTATTGATTTGATGTAGATGTGGAGAATGTGACTCACGTTTTGCATGGCGTCCAAGACGATGTCCGAAACATGCTTCTGAGCGGCCAGTGCGATCATTCTGAAGAAAACGTAGAGTCTCTGACAGAACTCCTTTAGAGTGAAACAAACCTGGTGACACGAGGATCAGATCCTTCAACTCCAGCCGACTTCAGGAAGTGCATGGTGACAGAATCGGGAATGGTAGGAGGGTAGTCTCCCAGCTGCTTGATGAACTCGTGTGTATCATCCTGTCCAGAGTTGTTCTGTAACCTTATGCCTTTCCTATCTAAACGTTGCCGAGACGCACCTACATTTTCCAACGTTTTCTGGACGAACTGCTGCTGGTTGGCCGTCAGCGGCCTGTGAAGAGAATTTCTGATGTTTTGAACCGACGGCTCGAGTGAACTGTATTCGTGCTGTGGCGGCTGTCTCGACTGCTATAAATTCTAATTTTATGAACTACTAATAAGTCACGACCTCTCACGTGTGGAAGCGCCGGAGGAGGCATCGGGTTGTCGGAAGAAGAGCTTTGCTGCTCACGCTCCTGGTTGTTCATTTTCCCTGCAGAAAACTTGAATTTTTCATCAGTTTTGACGCGTGAAATTAAAACGAAAGGTCTAGAAAATCGGCCAAAAACAGTGTTCGAGAAAGGCACGCGCTCACACATCTGCCATTCAAAAATGTCTCGTGGGACGAAACTCCGCCCTTTTGCAACTGAGGCGCGGTTTTGCGCAATACTGCCGCACGTAAATACTTTGCCGCAAAATCTGAATCTGAATTTCGTTTTCAGATCGGGAGTTCGAGTCAAAACCGAAACAAAACAAATAACTTTTCAGAAAAGAAACGTGGAAAATAAGTAGATCAACGAAGATAATTTGTAAATGAAGCATTTCAGTCCTTTCTTTTTTTTCCTGTAAAACTCAGAAAGTTCTGATTTTCATTATCTCATTTCTTTTCTTCACGTGAATTATTTAGATGCCGTCTTGCCAATGCATCACAAATCTCTCGGACTGTCAGCCGCTCTTCTTCCGATGAGCACTCTTTCCCAACATTTATCAAATGAAATGGACGGAGTCATCAGTCATCATCCTCCCAAATCGGATATGGGTGAGCAACACAAGTCGAAACTGGGACGGCCTCTCCGAATTTCCTGTTATGCGACGTCGTCGAGATTTTGTGTTATTGAGCTTGTCGTCACGCCTCTGAAACCGCAGCCTCTCGATTCAAATTAAACGGACGGCGCCGATGCATAATCAAGTGATTATCCAGGCGGCTTAGAATGTGTATAAATATGAGGCGTCTGTCGGATACTTGTGATGTCCGTTCGTTTCTTTGAGCACCTTCTTCTTGTTCATGTAAACACAATATCTTTCTTGAATACTTATTTACGAAGAAACGAAAGGGTTTTAGAAGCCTTCCATTGATATGATTGAGTTAGAATATTCTAGGTTTAGCTCTTTCCGATAATATTTTTGTGATGAAATATCCCTAACTAACTAACTATTCATGTCTACAATCAGAAAGTGCAGTTTTACCCTTCAGAACTTCCACTCCTTCATCGAATTCTCATCCGATCTATACTCATATTTTCAGACTGACAAAATGAACACGGACCGTAGCATCAGCATCGGCATCGAAGTGACTCAGGCGGATCCGAGAAACAGAGTGAGACATGTTTTTTCCCCGGATGATCACTAAAATCTGTCCGGAAATGTGCTGATTCAGCCAATTTCCCGACCGATTCAGCCATCCCGATCATTTATAAGCAATTTGCACCAATTTGTCCCCCGAAATGTTAATGCTTCTGTCTCTTACCTAAGCCTCATTTCATTCACCATTATCCTCTTGAACCCTCCGGGACAATACATTCAGTGTCCCCGGTAAGTTTTGCTCTCACAAGGCCTTATCAGCAAAATAAGGCTTCAACAAGTCGCATTTGTAATCCCCCTCGTGACCGGCGGCTTTGCTGACGTCCTCGACTCGATCCGGCGGGATAAGTCGGCATGCTTGGATTATCTCAAATCGCGGTTACCACTGAAAATTTGCTGAAACAATCTCTAATTCTGTTTTCGTCTATGAGATTTTGACATAATCGGATGATCAGTAATCACTGCGCCTGACCAGCTAGGCTCCATAAGCTAGAAGTTTCGAGGCTCCATCTTCTGTCCAGGCCTTCTGGGCCTAGGCCCTAGAGATCAGAGATACGGCTTCAATCGGAAGTCTAGTTACGTTGCATCAAACATTCGAAACATCCAGTAAGTCCCTATGAAGAGCCTTGAATTAAGAATTAGACGGCGATTTGGGTGGGGAGGATGCTAGATGAGCAAGAAATAGCCGGAAGTGGCCAGAACCTTCTCGAATGTCCTTTCGTCTCCTAACGCACTTTCCTTCTTCTTCTAATCCGTTCATGTCGTGTCAGCGCCAGTCTAATATGGATGAGTGGCGTCCCTTCCGGACTCCTCCCCCTTTGCAACGTCTTCATAAATTATCTGTCGGCTCCTCCCTCGCACAAACTCTCTGCTCAGCTGACAACGCCTGCTGTCTAATCCCCTCATCTATTCATCCAATCCCCCACTCACTATCGCTCGAAACCAAAACCCAATCACTCCCATCTCACTTGGATGACCGATTTGCCCATCGAGAGTCTGAGTCTGAATTCGAATTCGAATTCCACTGAAACCCAAAGACAAAAAGCCCCGCGTCTCGCCCTTAACGTTCGAAATCCGTCATTGTCGCGCGTCAGGAAAAACATGGTGAGTTGTCCCCAAAAATAGACGAATCGAGTGTGAAAAGTTGTCGAATATCGGCGATGAATGTGTACGAACTCATCGCGTATTCCACGTGATGGTCGCCATCGAAAACATTCATAGATCATTCGTCATGTGTGGCGGCTCAAAAGTTTATCAAAAGGCAACTGTCGGCGATCATTGACTCACTTTCCGTGTCTGACCGATTGTCTGGGGGATCGTCGCAAATCCTCAAAATCGTTTGTCTCGACGGTTTCAAAGTACTTCTGACTAATGATCTGAACTTTTTTCTATCCATTGACCATGAGCACGACTCATAAAAAGGAAGGATAATCCTTTGTTTATGAGGAAAACCGTTCGGATGAAGGCGGGGAGATGCACGAGTGTTATAAATATTCACTGGCTGCTACCTCCCGCCCATTAGTTTCCATTCCATTTCTTTATCGAGTCAGTCTCAGGGACACTTCACTTTTTGAGACAGACACATTCATCGTTACCATGTGATTTTCCTGGAATGTTTATAGTATACATCAGATACCCATCCAATATTCAAGTCACGATACCTCCCCATGGTCTCGCCTCCCGCCTTTATAAACTTCGCTCGTCTGGCCACTTTTCCTTTTACTTTTCGGTTTTCAGTCCGGAAATTAAGCCTTTTTTCCCAATTTCCGTTCCCTAAAAAAACTTCGCACTTCTTCCAGACTCTCTCGACCGGATCGTCAATCGACTCGGAGACCAGCCACAGATCCAAGCACATCCCGATGATATACCAAATGTACGAATCACAGTACGAAGATCTTCGCGGAACCATTTACGGTCCGAGCTCGCCGGACTTCCATCCGGTCCAGGCCTCCGAGACTCTCCGTTCTTCTCTTCATGGACTCGGTCAGTCGCTTCCCCCAATCAGCATTTCATTCATATAGCCTGCTTTTCAGAAACCAAAGATCAAACCATCATAAACACGGTTCTCTACCATAACAACTTCCAGCGCCAGAAGATTCTGGGCGCCTACGAAGACATGTACAGCCGGGTAAGCTCTGAAGTGGAAAGACTATCGAAAGAATTTTCTGTTCACAGAAGCTCATGGAAGACTTGGAGGAGGAGTGCGGCGGATACTTCCTGGACATGTGCGAGGCTCTCTTCAAACCTGCTCCCAACTACGATGCTCAGTGCGTCTACAAATCGCTTGCCGTGAGTTTAGATGACGTTGAAATCATCCGAAATTTCGATTTCAGAACCGTCATGGAGATCACTCGGTCGCCATCGAAATCGCCTGTACTCGTTCCCCACGTGTAAGTTGTTGTAATCACCCGGATTGAAAAGAATGAGAGCTTTTCCAGCAACTTCGCGCTCTCCGCGACACCTACCACACGGATTATCGCAAGACTCTGGATAAGGACATCAGTGTTAAGGTATTCGAGGATCATCCGCCCGCGTGAGCTGATCGCAAGTGTCCACTTTTCAGGTGGAGGGAGTCGTCGGCAAGATGCTCAATCTCCTTTTGTGCAGTAATCGGGAGGAGGGACTTGGAGTGAAGGTGAACGATCAGCTGGTGGAGAAGCACGTCAAAATCCTGCTGAACACTCCGGTCGACGACATCGCCAAGAACGTGCAGCTCTTCGAAGAGCTCTTTATCGGTCACTCGTGGAAGCACATCGGTGCCGTGCTCGACAAGGTCGATGAGGCCCGGAAAGATGCGCAGGACATCGAGGCGATCATCCGTCGCAACAAGAACATCCATTCCGAAATCCGTCTGATCCTTCTCACTATTGGTGAGACCTTTTCAGCTGCTTTCGTCCAACAACAACCTAGTTCTCTTTCAGTTCGTGTCTCTCGCAATGTCCAGATCTACTTTGCCGAGAAACTGAGAGCCGCGATGACTGCCGAGCGTGTCGACCAATCCACAATCACGCGCATCTGCGTCAGTCGCAGTGAGGTGAGAAATGAGAACATGAAAGTGGAGAGAGAGAGAAAGATAATATTCTGCAGATTGACTTGCAAGACATTTCTCTCGAGTACAAACGAAAGTACCACCGCGCTTTGGAGCACGACATCAGCCAGCCGACGTCGGGCGAATACACTCGAATGATCTGCACGCTTCTCAGCGGATTCAACGAGAGCAGCTTCGCGCCGACTCCAGAATCAATTGAATAACAATAACAATAATCACGATTATTATGATCTCCAATCTCCAATCTCAAATATCCAATGCATGCAATCCTTTTATTATCCGACAAATACATACCACCTCACTGCATATTCGTTTCTTTTCATCGATGTCTTATTGAGCTACTCATTCATTAAAAAAACAGAAATTCTTTGAAAATCGAGATCATTTTCAATACTACACGAAAGTCCGTTCAGAAATTTGATTGGAGTCTGATAAATATTTTTTTAAATAAATAAATAGTGATTTCAAGTTATTCCATTCTAAAATGTTTGTGATTTGGGGCGTGGGACAGGGGACTATCATTTGGCCGGGGTTTGAGACGGAGACGCGCTAGGGCGTTTTTTGTGAGCACGGATCAGCGCTTCCTGGGTGGTCGAGAAGACGAGCCGCCCGTCGCGAGTCCACAGTTTTCCTTCGATAAGACTGCGTCCGCCGCCGGCGATCGTGCTGTGATTCTCGTAGAGCAGCCAGTCATCCACGCGGAAACTGTCCGTGTGCATCCAGATCGAGTGATCGAGAGTCAGAGCCATCGACGGAATGAAGCCGCGTCTAGAATGAGCACATTTGAGAGCAAACGAAGAAATGACTTACTTCGAATGCGGTCTGAGAGCAGTCTCAATCATCGTCGCATCGGAAATGTAAGCGGCAGCGGCGAGATGAAGCCGCGGGTCGTCTCCGATGTTCTCATTCGCTTTGATCCACACGTAAGAGCGATATGCATCAGTTGGATGACTGTGACCGGGATTGTGCTGGTCATCCTTCTTCAGACACAAATACGAATCGATGTCGACCGGGCGGAACTGAAAAAATAGCCTGTCTCACATTTAGAAGCAGTGGTAACTGACCGAGAAAATTCTGAAGAACGCTGGCGGAATCTCCTTTTGTTTGAAGCCAATCATGGCGAGAGCAGCCGGCGGAATATTTGGATTCTTCTTGATTCGTTCGAACGTATCGGACAAATCTTCCAGACTGTCCGGAGCCGGAACCTCTGGCATCGGCAGCTGGTGAACAATCGAATCGGCCTCCGGCTGAAAGTGCGTAGTTTTGAGATTTGAAAAGAGAAAGAGGGAAGCGTACTCTATGGAAAGAAATCTGAACGGTGAAGATGGCTTCTCCGTCCTGAAGCGCCTTCACGAGACGCGTACAGAAACTTTTTCCGTCGCGAATGCGATCGACTTGATACAGAATCGGACGCTCAACATTTCCACTTTGGACAAAGTAGCTGTGCAGACTGTTCGGAACGAATCCGACGTCGACGGTTGCGGTGGCAGCCGAAAGAGCCTGTCCGATGACCTGTCCTCCGTACACAACGGGCAACGAGTTCCGTCCTTTCAGAAGGTGACGAGCTCTGAAGGAGTACACTGATTTGAACGAAGGAAAAAGGAATAGAGCTTACAAATAGAGATTCTTGTCGACACGTTCCAGATTGAGAAATGTGTCAATCAGTCCGGCGCGGATATCATCGGCCCGGGACGTCATGTCTATGTGTGTCACGTTGAGAAGCATCGGATAGTGCGGATGACCGTTCTGCTCGTCGGTGTCCATGGATCGCGGCTGCAAACTGACAGATTGTGACGTTTTCTTGTCGGGCCACCGAGAAAACGTGGATTTTGCGTATTTGGAACACATCTCGTGGAAAACGAAAAAGTTGCACATCCCCAGGCTAACCCCGTGGCATGCCGAGCAGCTAAGCTTATCAAATCAAAACTTTTCCGCTCTAGAGAAGCGCATGATAAGTCACAGCTGCGCGGCCGGAAGGAAACGAGGCTAATTGAGGATGTTGCCACGCGATTAACCCAGAAAATAGGAAGGACGAAGCCTACAAGGCTAGACTTGACTAACCGTGGTCGCCTGGCTGACGTTTTGAGGGCGGTGGGCGAAATAGCTCGGCGTAGTCGGAGCATTGTTTGCGGACGTCGGCGACATCGAGGAAGGCATTCCGGTGGTGACGCTTTCGAGTCGCTGCTGAGTGATCCGACGTCCGGCCTACAATGTATCCGAGTAAGTGACTTTTGAAAGAAAGAACAACAAAAGGGAGCGGGTGGCGCAGGGGAAAAGAGACGAGGGACGAGGCAAAATACACTTTTTCGTTCGCTTCCTCGTCCTGAGAGCGCCTGCTTCATGAAGAGATGGGCAAGAGGGGAAGCGCGGAGAGCGAGAAGACGAGCGTCGCCGGGGAAGAGCGACGAAGGAGGGAGAGGCGCAGACCGGCAGAGGGGCTCGACGGATTAGCATGGACACAAGCGCGGGCAGGCAGGCGACGACGACAGGAAACATGGGTCTTTCCGAATGTCAGGGCGCTGTTAACCGTGTATATGCATGTTGACACATACCATGAACACATTTTCTATGCAAATGCTGAATAGCACATAAACACAAAGAATTCAGGGCGCGAAAGAGCGAAGCATGTTTTATTTCCCACTTAGCGAAGGTCAAGAAGAGGTTGAAATGCGCGGAAAACAAGAAAACATTCGTCATCGCCCCACAGTCCGCTGCCCCCTTTATATTTATTTTTCCAGCTGCAGCTCGGAGACGCACCGAAGATTAAAGTAACAATCATCATAGAAATCGGCTAAAGTGCTAAAGTGTTGGATGACGGCAAAATCTAAACACGCAAAGCCATCGTTCCTAAATATTCCCACAGCGGCCCAAGCAAAAAAAAAAAAAACAAAAAAGCAAAAGTCGGGAGGCGAACCTCGAGCAAACAATCGAAGTGAAGCAAGGAGAAACAGAGTCGTGTTTGCGCATGCGTCGTTATAATGAAACCAGTCACGGCAGGGGCGGAATCAGAAGTGCACGGACGACGTTAATTAGATTCAATGCGGCGAAGCGAAGAGCGCGCGTGACGGGAACGAAGGGGTGTTTATAATATACTCACCGTGATCAGTGTCTTTCTGAGCATTCTGCATCCGAGCATCTCCTTCAGGTTACTGAAAATTTAAGTGACGCAAAATTGTGTTTTTTGGGGGAACAAATTGATGAGCGATGCAAGACAGAAAGAGAGACGGAGATTTAGACGGAAAAGTGTTTGTTCGGGCACCAAATGCCCGAAAAGACTACACGTTGTACGCGTAGTCGAAGTGGGAGGGTGACGCAATCGGACGGATGATTGAGGAGTTGAGGAGACGACCAGTGCTGCCGACCACAGTAAACCCTCTCGGAAAGGAGCAATAATTCCAAATCATTGCCATATCGCGAAAATGGTTCTGTCGTGTTAAGTAGTCTACCCCTTTCCCCTTCCTGTTTTTTTCCAGAGATGTCAAATGACCAGAGTGCTTTGTTTAATCAGGCATCTGTTCTGAATTATCCTCAAGAGTGAAATTGACGGTTGCAGAAAGTATATCAATTCACAATCCATCTCAAATAGCCCATCGTCAATGCAGTGAACAATAGTACCAAATGAAAGAAAGCGATTTAAATATGTGGAATGAAGCACTGTAAATACCAACGATTTCTGTTCAAGCCCATCCCCCAAAATTGAGCTTATTCTCATCCAACGCCTTGTTGACATCCGTCTTTGTGGGCTCTTCATTTCCACGCTGAAACCGCGTGGTTTCCAAAGATCGGGCGGGTACAATAAACGTTTCGAGATGTGTGTTTGCCTCCTGCCCTGCCCCATCCGGCTCATCAACATGTTGAAGAGGACCCAGATAGTCGAAATTTGTTCTCCGCCTCTCCCATTCAGCTTCTTTTCATTTCGTGCAAAAAGCACATCCCGCGATGTTCGTCGACATTTTCGATCAGCTCTACATCTCGTACGCGGCGGTCGTCTCCACTCTCGGGGTTCTTCTCAACGTCTTCCTTCTCTTTCTGATCTTCTTCAAAAGTCCTGCCTGTCTGACTCCGTACACCGTCTTCCTGGCCAACACTTCCATCACTCAACTGCTCTACTCGATCTGTTTCATTCTAACGATACCGAGGTATGCGTGCGGTCCCTTCTTCTGACTAACTGATCACTTTCAGAGTGATATCCGTGAATCTGCGGATAGTCAACATTTATCTCGGTGTTTCTCAGTTTCTCGGTCACTGGTGGAGTTACATGATATTTGTGACGATGCGTACGAGTTTGAGAAGATGTTCATCCACGGCAATGTTCTTTTTCAGTGCACTTCGCAGTGAACTCCTTCCTCTCCATCATGCTTTCAATGGTCTTCCGGTGTATATCTCTGAAGACCCTTCGGTTTCCGACGTCTGGAGCTTTCGTCATGTGTATTCTAGCGTATATGATCCCTTTGAGCATGGTCGTCTGTATTCGGGACATTGACTTCACTTCTGATTTCACAATCAACAGTAACTATACTCTTTGGCAGCTGGAGAATTTGGAAAAGTACAATACGGTTGTCGGGACTAGTGTCGCACAGGTACAAACTTTCAGAGTTCAATAAACTTTTCCTTCATTCAGCTCTCCACACTCTGGGTCGCATGTTGCGTGAGTCTTCTTTGCGTTCCCATCTATAGTGTCATGTTCTACTGTCGCTACCGTATCCTTCGAATGCTCGAACGGCCTGGCTATCTGTTCAACACTACCACAACTTGGCAGATCAGAAGACTGGTCAAAGTGAGTATATGTCATTCTTTAACAAAAAAAACCATTTGATTTCAGGCACTGACGGTCCAATCCATGATTCCTGTTTTCACTCTGTTTCCCGCCTCGATCATCTTCCTGTCGACACAGTTCCACGTGATCGAGACCACAAAGTTCGGCTATCTGATCATATCGCTTCTGAGTTTAAGTGAGTAACCAGAAGAAATGAAATCAATCCGTGAAAGAACGTTCGTAAAAACATGCGTATCCAGCTGGAATAGTTATTGTCAACAAGCAGTTAGTTAGGTCTTGTTGAGCCCGTACAGAAAAGAAGAAATAAGGAAGTCAGAGAATCCGTAACGTTTGCCCACACATCCAAGTTTCCAGGCCCAACGATCGATCCCCTGGTGACCATATACTACGTGCAACCCTATCGAAAGTACATCGTCGACCTGCTGTGGTTTGAGGAACGTCCCGCCATCTCGCCGTTCCTATCCGGCAACGATCCCCGTTGCTACCGAAGCCGTTCGAGCAGCGTGCTCATGATGCGCAACACGCACTTCGTCTGAATCCGATCCGCTGAACATTGACCTTTCTGCCGCCTTGCCGATTCTGCATCTCGTTTATATTAGCGTGCTTGTTCTTTCCCAGGAGCCGTGTGGCCAATAACAAAAGCTTCCGAAGCGGACGTCATTCCCCGAACAACCCCGTGAATGTTGGACGTTTCGATTTGTTTGTAGCCCCTTCTTTCTCTTCTCTCGCACCGAATTCATTGAGTTTTAATTTCGGAAAGGATAGAGTGTAGGGTGGAGAAAGGGTCCGGCTCCCCGCTTATTTGTCCCCGTGCTGCAGAGAATATGAACAACTCGCGATGAAGCCCTTCCAAAACAGATTCTGCCATAAACTCGTTATACCTCCTTCTTCGTCTCCGAACAAAACAGATTGATTTCACTTATATTTTCAAATGTCGCCCAGCTATTATTAGTATTTTTGTCTGGCTTAGATGTTAACCTTTGAGACGCCGCCCACCAGAGTGAGGTGATGCTACCGAATTTTAGATTCCGAATCTCTGAAGTGAATCATTGTTTCTAGACAACACATCTTTGATCAGTGTGCATTGGTACGCAACTTATTCTGTCTTTCCCATCACTTCCTCCATGAATGCGTGCAAATGAAGCGTTGTTGACCGAGATTGGACTTCGTGTTTTCACACGTTTTCCTGAACTCTAGCTCTTCTAATCTCTCCTCCCATTTCAGTTGTTGCATGTCATTCTGGAGAACTGTCGCTGCTTTTTTCTGTCCTTTTACATCTGGTGAGTATCCTTACTAGCATAATTATGAGAGTTTTGGGAGAAAACAATCATGAATCGTCGTCTCCGTTTCAGACACATACATGGACACAGCCGATAGCCTGTTCGTGATCATCGTCACAATCCTTCTCATCATCGGCTTCTTCTCGAACCTCCTTCTCATGTACCTGATCATCTGGAGAAGTCCTCAAAATCTGACGCCTTATCGTATTTTCCTCGCGAACACAACAATCACCCAATTAGCTTTCGCGGTCATTGGCATAGTCAGTCAACCGAGGTGAGTCCAGAAACCTGGCGTTCTTTTGAGTCGCGACACATTCGTTCAGAGTTCTCTCCAAACACCAATACACTATAGTCTTTTACCTGGGACCCGTGCAATTCTTCGGAGAGTGGCTCAGCTACATGTCTTACGTGGGAATGAGTACGTGATTAATTGTTATGAATGACTTCCACGAATTGTTCAATGTTTCAGTCCACTTGTCCCTCAACTCGTTCCTCTCCTTGATGCTCTCAATGATCTACCGTTACTTCTCCATCCGCTTCCATCGCTTTTCGGTCAAAACTTCCGTTGCGCTGTGTCTAATCGGCTACTCCTACCCTTTTCTCATCTTCCTCAGCTGTTCGAACATCGTCGTCTCTTCCTCGCTTTCAGTCAACAAAGACATTCTGGAAGGCATGGTCGACAATCTTGAGAGCTATCGAATGGCGCTCTCCACCAACGTCTCCAACCAACCACCCATCATCGTGCTCCTTCTTGCTGTCACCATTGGGTTCATCCCAATTTATTTCGTCATGTACTGGTGTCGCCATCAAATCTACAAGACACTCAAGCAAACGCGCTCTGTGCACAGCCAATCGACAAGGGACAATGCGAGACGTCTTGTGAATGTGAGTCAATTCGAAAGCACTTGTATTTGACCCAGATTCTTGCAGGCTCTGACCATCCAATCAATTATTCCTTTGGTCTCCGTCTTCCCTGCTTCCACATTCTACTGTCTTTCTCAATTGGGTTTGGTGGAGCCTACATGCTACAGCTACTTCATCGCCCCTTGTCTCTCGTTCGGATGCATAGCTGACCCTCTCGTCACCATCCGATGCGTCCTTCCCTACCGTAGGTGGGTTCTGAAGATGTGCCATCGCAGCTCATCCGAAATCACAATTTCCAATCTCGAGCGGAGTAAAAGTGAGCACGCGAGCAAGAGCACCAGGCGCATATTTCATAAGCAATGAGGAAATGCATTTGAAATGAGGGAGCTTAGGGAGGAGAGGCAAGCAATAATAATAATACGGGTATTTTCTTTTGAATTAACGATTCTTCATTTTATTATTGTCAACAAGAACAGAAAAATAACAGAAATACAGATAAAAGTCGAAGAAATAAAGAATTGCTCGAAGCTCGTGATTTTCTCAAAAGCATAATACGTTCTGTTCAATAGCCCGTGATTGAGTATTTATTGGAGGGAGACTTGAGCGAAACTGCAGAGTTCTGCACGAAAAGCGACGGCGCCACCTTCGATGAGTCGTAATTTCTGTGCGTGATCTCGCGGAGGAGGTGCACGAGTCCGAGAAAATCGACGCCCCCGCTCACTGCCAGAACCTGGGGACACACGTTAAATTGAGTTGACGGAGTCACTTGAGGACCCACTGAATTATATTTAACCACGATGATTGGGGCGGCCAGGGAGGTTGGCACTTTGCCAGGTTGCAATGAAAGCGGAACATTCTGGTTCTTCAGGTCGAAATATCTCATTTTGTTGTTCCAGAAAAAGCCTGATGAGGAGTAGAACAGATTTCCAAAGCTGAAGATTTGTTCAAACGTTCTGCGTTCTAATTAGACTCACTCATCTCCAAGGGACAAAGTCACACTGACAGTCATGTTGTTCTCGTCTATCACAAGCACTTCCGTCGATCCGTCCTCGGTGAAGTTCACCGAAGACTCCTTGATCTCAGCGCTGTTCCGTTTCGAAGTCTTCGCAAGTTCTTCTGCATACTTTTTGCTGCTCTTCGCAAACATCGGATCCGCTATTTTCGCGGCCAATCCCACGCTGGACCGGACCACTTCGTTAACCTTATCCAGATTAGACATATCTGAAATTGCATTTTAGTTAGTAGACGTTACACAGAATTGCAAACTTTTGGTGGCCAAGTAAGTGTTGGCCAGGACCGCAAACAAAGAGGGCGGCCCCGGTCCGCACAACTTTGTGTCCGTGTCAATTTCCGTACAGATTGCTGCGTTCACATCGCTCTCATAGTCTTCTAGATCGGAAACCGTTAAGTATCCTCCCAACTCTTTCACTAATTTCTGTGCCATCTCTCCATGATAAAATGCCTCCAACGGGTTCTCGTATTCGGATATTTCGGTCAAAGTGGCGGCTAAGGAACCGCAGAACAACTTGTCATTCTGCTGGTTCGCTTTGAAAAATGACGACAGCGCAGATGTGCGGGAGACGTTTTTCAGGTCCTCCGGAAGTTCGAAGCCCTGAAAATAATCATATTCTTGTCTTGTTTTGATTCAATTCAGTTCTAAACCCGAATGCATTGCTGGATAGTAGGAAGAACAAGTTGTTTGAAGGGAACGCTGTTCGAGGTGAACTTTTGATAGGCACGGAAAAGCCCATTGAGCACTCCGGGAGTTCCAACAGCTTTTGCGCCAACTTGGGCCAATTCAGGATGCTTTTGAAGTTGCTCTACGTCAGTGTTCAATGGAGCACTCTCTCTGCAATTCATTAAGTTCAGGGGAAGTCCGAAGTGGCTACCTGGCCATGATGGTCGTCGCATTTCCCGTTTTGCTCTTCACAGTCATCACCATTCCTCCAGCCAAACTTGCTTTGTTCGGTGCCGCTCCCATCAGACAGAAGCTTGCCGCGATGGCCGCGTCGACTGCATTTCCTCCCCGCACCAATATAGACTTTCCAAGTTCGGAACACGTTTGAGAGACTGTGAATACGGCTGCCCGTAGGCTTTCATCATGCTCGAACACTTCGACACTATTGGCTGCCTCCAGAAGGGTGCTGTGATGAAATTCTGAACGAGATTACTGGAATTATTGTTAGAGGACCGAGTTGTGAGCCTACTGGTTGTTGGAGCAATGGTAACCACTCGTTCTTCGGTGGGAGCAACATCTTCCGAGAAGTCAAAGTCAACTTCTTGCGGGGACTCCGAAGTGGTTTTGTATCTTCTGCGGAATGTGAGCGGAGAACTGCTCGGAGACATTGTTTGCAGCTCGAAACTCTGATATGTTCGTGTGGAATACGTTTGAACAGAAGAGCCAGTTCTGGTGAGGAAAAATGCGAACAGACCGAGGACGAGAGCTAGAATCACAATGAATTGGATCAGAATTATGATCCAGGGAATGTCGAAGAGCCTGGAAAAGTGTTAGAATCTTTAGAAACCAATCTTGCTTCTGTTACCTACATCCCTCGGCGGATCCTTCCGATGGCTGGCGGTGGTTGAGGTGACGGTGGATAGATTTCCACATTGCCCAGCTGACTTTCCATCCAATGAGTGTCTATCGAAAAGTGCGAAATTGTGAATTCATTGAGAACGGAGGCAACAAAACACGAAGAGGGACGGAAAAACCAAAACAATGCTCGACAAGACGACGCGGATTGTTTGAGAAACGGATGAACAAGAGGAAGAGCAAGGTGTGAACATTGGAAACGAGAGCACTCATTCCGACAGAACAGAAATGTATATGCGTATCCAGTGGGCAGAGGATCATCCATCAACTGATGAGCTGACCACCTTGTTTGTCCACATTCCGAGCCGATTCGCGGGCCCAAAGTGACGATGATAGCTGTTTAAACAGTAATCGAGTGGGTGCGTGAACCTGCGCGGCTCCAAAAACGGGACACGGACGACCTGTTGAGAACGTATCAAGAGTCTGAGGGATTGACCATTCATTGATTGAGCCGCCCGAGTTTTTACAGACCAAAAAAATACAATCTTTATTCATTTCAGTGGTTGTAGTTTGAATCGAGACAACAGGATGTCGAGACGAAAAAATTAAGTGTGGTTGAGAATGAAGACTTTGTGAATATGTTTGTATGATTTATGAACTGCGATCGGGTTCTTCATAAAGTCAGGATTGAATTCCGGGTTAATCGCTCGAATACACTTCCTGATATTGAGTTTTGTGATTTCTTGAACAGTTCTAAAATCAGAGTCACGTTAGTAATCTTACGTACTCACTTACTTATGATTGCGTGCCGATAATCGTGCACTACGAACATGAGAATGCCGCTGTCAATGGGCGGGTACAGACTGAACAGGCAGTAGATCATACCGGACTCAAAGTCGAAATCAAGTCTGAAGAGAGGCGCACAGAGGACGGGAATGAATGGAAGATGGAAGATGATCGAGGGGATTGTGATTTGGAGAACGAGAGTTCGGAACAGTTGCTCTTGGAGCCGACGGTGCGCGACTGAGAAGCTGGCGAGCTTCTCGTTCATTTTCTGGTTCATTGTTGTGCCGCAGTATATCACAATCACGTATTGAATGATCTGAAAACATGAAGTCCCAAAAATGATAGTCAAATAGATAAATCCCACTAGATCGAACAAAAGACCCGCGATGAAGGCGACATTGTGCCACCGGACAGTATGATCTTCGTTCTGAAAAGAGTTAATATTACTGTATCTGGCAACGGGGATCTGTGCTTATAACGCACATAAACGACGACGAAGAAGCCGACAGTTCTCTCCACATCCATTCCGTAGGTGTCGAACAAGGACTCTCTCATGTAGTTCCGCGAATAACGGTCAGACGGAGCACACAAGTAGATCATGAAGCTCCAGCCCATTCCAATGAGAAGCACGTAGCCGAACCAGAATATGCAGCGCCACGTGTTGAAGTACTTCAAGTTCTCATTACTGAAACTTTACATATAAAACAGAAAAGCCCTTTGTCTCAGAAACTACCAGAAAAGTATCCAATAACGGAAGACAAACTGAATTGCGACAAGTGAGATCATGGCCGAATACACGCCAGTGTAGATCATCAGAGCCACTTCCACCTGTTTGAATTTTCCCCAATCGGCTTCCAAACTGAAGAACACGATACCACAATTATGTGAGTGAAGGTACGGATGCAAGGTGGCTTTCATGAATGTGAAGAGAATTCCAATCGCGGCGAACAAAATTATCATGTACTTGTATACTCCGGTGATCCGTTTCGTGTATTTGATGGTCATGTAGATGAGCAAAAGATTGATGAGAACGGTCGAGGCGAAAACCACCTTCGACGCTTCGATAGCGAAATGGTAGAAGAGAAACCAAGCCATCGGAATGAATGAAGTGGTTGCATCACGAGCCTCGAGGCCCCGCTAATTTCCGGTGGAGCCGAAAACATCCGACAGTGTCAAACGGATAGTCACCTTTTTGCGTGGAGGACTTTAGCCGAGCAAAGTACTGATTGTCAACCGTAGAGAACCACAGATTCATCAGGCCAAGTGTTCGGAAGGGAAAATAATTCCGAACGAATAGAATATCGGAATTCTGAAAGTTCAAAACCTCAGCGAACAATCAAACTACATCGTGACTGCCATAGTTTGTGTTGGCGCTCATTCGCATTGCGTAATCTCAACCAGCGAACAAAAAGTGATGGGCGAGACTGCAATAGATTACAAAAAAAGGAGAGACAGTCCGACAGTCCGCCCTTGTCACTTTGGTTCGTATAAAAATGTTGGTTGAAGGTTGAGTTGACGTGGTCGCAAGAATGCACTTGTACTCCTCTATCATCTGTCTTTTATCATTAACCAGTTATGCTAGTGCCGCCAGAATTCTCATTTACAACCCAATGTTTGGGTTCAGTCACTCTAAATTTATGTCAAAGTTGTCGGATGCGATCGCAGATGGAGGACACAAAGTGGTCGGTTTTTGAACTGTTCTTCCGATCGCTCACGACTTGTTTCAGACTGTTTTCCAACCGTTTCACTTTGAAATGAAGAATGCAAAAGGACTTATCAGAAACAAACAAACCGAGGTGAGTGCACGGCGAAGAGGGCAGATGATGACGGACGGTCTTTTGCAGATAATCAACTACTACCCGGAGAACTTTGAAGAGTTGAGCAAAATGAAAACGGAAACGTTTCCGATCTTTTGGGATTCGAAATTAATCAGCAACCCCGTGTTCGAAGCAATTATAATGCCCGGATTGATGGGAGGACTCTTCAATAACACTGCTCACAGTGGGTGCTTTTCAAGCAAATCACATGGAAATAGTATTGTTTCAGAAGTCATCAGAGACACGAAACTGCACGGTGAATTGAGAGCCAAAAAGTTTGACGTGGTCATCCACGAACCATTCGAGTTGACGGGAGTTTGTGAGTCTGAAACGCTTTGAAACAACCTTCCAGACACTCAATTCAGATCTTGCAAATATCCTCAAAGTCCCTCACATCCCAGTTCTTTCAATGGTTCGTTTGCACCTCGTTGAATCTCTTTTCGGAAACCCTTCTCCACTTGGATACATCCCAGAAGGAGGCTCAACAATGGCACCGCGAGCAGGGCTTTTGGATCGATTGAATGACATTGTCAAGTTGCACTGTAGCTATATCACAATGTCAAGAATGTGTGGAGAACAAGTGAGATATCTCGAGACAGCTCTGGGAAAACAGTTGCCAAACTGGCGGACGCTAGTGGCCGATGCTCCGTTAATGATCGCCAATTCCAATCCGTATCTGGATTACGCGGTTCCGAGCACTGCTAATATTGTTCGAATCGGTGGAATGACGATGGATTTGGAGAAGCTGAGCAAAGTGGAGGCGTTGCCGGAAGAGTACGAGAATATTCTGAAGGAAAGAGATTCGACGGTGCTCATCTCTTTCGGCTCCGTTATTAGATCTTTCGAAATGCCCGATTACTTCAAGTGAGAAAATTTTACATTTAACACTTTTCAACTCAAACAAACTCTTATCCTATACATTTCAGAGCTGGAATAATCAAAATGTTTGAGAAACTTTCCAACGTCACCTTCATCTGGAAGTATGAAGAAGATGACGTCGAGTTCCAGAAGCGTCTTCCAAAGAATGTTCACTTGAAGAAATGGGTGCCCCAGCCTGCTCTTCTTGCCGACAAACGTCTGAAAGTGTTCGTGACCCACGGAGGATTGGGAAGTACGATGGAGTTGGCGTACACTGGAAAGACTGCTCTCATGGTCCCGATCTTTGGAGATCAGCCGCACAATGCTCAGATGCTCGCCAGGCACGGAGGAGCAGTCGCTTATGACAAGTTCGACCTAGCAGATGGAGACAAACTGGCGGCCGTTGTAAATGATTTGGTTACCAATCCAAAGTGAGTCATCTGGAAGGGAAATTAGGTTTATGTAAAAACTTTGAAGGTACCAAGAAAATGCGCACACTCTTCTTGAGGTTTTAAGAAATCAGCCGACTGATCCAAAGGAGGAACTACTGAAAAAGTTGGAATTTGCAATCAAGTAAGCTAGAAACTTGAATCTTATCTAACTATTAACTCCAATTCCAGATTTCCCAAATTCCGCTCTCTGAATCCGGCTCTCAGCACCGTCGGTTTCATACAATTCTACTATTTGGACGCGCTGGCTGTGATTGCTGTGTTCGCAGTGGTTTTCGCTTACTTCTCGTTTAAATTCGGTGTATATATGATCTCAAAACTGCTCCGGTTGAAGCAAAAACAAGATTGATAGGTATATTGTATACGTATATGAACTACATAAATTATATGACATTATACTGCATGGTACATATCACTCTTGTGACGCCTTCTCCTTTTGGATACTTTCTATCACAAACCACGAAGTGACCCCCGGTTCTGCCCACTACATTCGCTACAACGTACAGCCACTGGTCGGAGAATATAAAAGGGGAAAACGACTGGCGGACAGGTCAGTAATCGGCTGCAATGCATGTGAATTCGCTGATTCTTCTCTTCCTTTTCCTGGCGGTCGGTCATGTTTCCGCTTCAAAAATTCTGATATTCAATCCGATGTTCGGGTTCAGTCATGTGAAGTTTATCAGTAAATTGGCAGACATCATCGCTGATCGTGGACACGATGTGGTACGTTCGTGATCTTTGAGATTTCGGAGAATTGTGCTTATTTCCAGACTCTTATCCAACCATTCCACAACGCACTGAAGAACACGGAAGGGTTGGTGAAGAACAAAAACATTACGATTCTCAACTATTATCCGGACCACTATGAAGAGTTGACGAAGACCGAGACACAGACGTTCCCGCTCTTCTGGGATTCTGGAATTATGAACAACGCGATCTTACAAATAGTCACATTGCCTTATGTGCTGGGGGCGACATTCAAGAAAACGGCGACTCAACTGCTCAGAGACGAAAATTTACTGGAGGATCTCAAGAAAAGACAATTTGACGTTGTCATTGCTGAAACGTTCGAGCTCACCGGAGTTTGTAAGTCTTTCCCGTCTATCTTCTGACTCAATCCGTTAGTTGACAGACCTGGCTCACCTCCTGGAGATTCCTTGCATCCCAATCATGTCCACAGTTCGCTTCCCAATCTACAACAAGCTGTTCGGGCAACCATCTCTCACGGGATACGTCCCCCAAGTTGGATCTGAGCTGGCCCAACAAGCCGGATTCTTTGACAGGTTGAACGACGTTTACCGTAACTTCTGCGGGGATATCGCTCAAGAATGGTTTAATAAATACCAGAACGACTTCATCCAAGAAGCCATAGGAAAACCCGTTCCGTTTTGGAAGGATCTGGTGAAACAGTCGCCGGTCTACATCACCAACTCCAATCCGTATCTAGACTTTGCGGTTCCCACAACTGCCACAGTGGTCCATGTCGGCGGAATCACTATGGATCTGCAGAAGATGAGGAAAGTTGGACAGGTGCCGGAAGAGTACGAGAGCATTTTGAGAGAGAAAGATTCAACGGTCCTCATCTCATTCGGATCGTTTATCAGGTCTTATGAAATGCCGGAGGCATTCAAAGCTGGGCTTATCAAGATGTTTGAGAACCTCCCGAACATCACCTTCATCTGGAAGTACGAGAAAGACGACGAGGAATTCAAGAAGAGACTTCCGAGCAACGTACACTTGAAGAAATGGGTGCCCAGCCTGCTCTTCTTGCTGACAAAAGTCAAAGTGTTTGTAACTCACGGCGGTCTGGGAAGTACGATGGAAGTGGCGTACAGCGGAAAACCGTCCTTGATGGTCCCGATCTTCGGAGATCAGACGAACAATGCTCAGATGCTCGCCAGGCACGGAGGAGCAGTCGCTTACGACAAATTTGAACTACAAGACGGGGAGAAGCTGACTGCAGCAATGAATGACATGGTTTCGAATCCAAAGTATGAGAGGAACGCGAAGATTCTGCTGGATGTACTCACGAATCAACCAATAGATCCAACCACAAATCTCATAAATCATCTGGAGTTTGCTATCAAGTGAGTAGATCGAAAGTTTTAAAAGAACACTAATTTCCAACTCTCCAGGTTCCCGAATCTTCGTTCCCAAGTGCCTGAAATCAGTGATGCCGGGTTCATTGCCTATCACTACGTGGATGTGATTGTGTTCTTACTTCTGGTCGCTGCTGCCGGAGCATACCTTTTCAGCAGACTTATCCGAAGAATCTCCATTAGAATTATGAGTAAGAAACCGAAAAGTGATTGATAGTATTCCTACAAAATCTCCAAAAGTTACGTGTATTTGACCAATAAAAGTTAGTTCGATTCATTGGTCTACTGATTACGCCATGTAGCAAAACTATATGATAATGTCCGAGAAATCAAACACGGTTAATCAGAGACCAAAAGGTTATCAATGTCATTGTGAATGAGAAGAGATAAAAGTGCACCCGCACAATTTATTAAGAAATTAAATCAGTGAAAGAAGAAGACCAACAGAAATGTAATTGCGCCAATAATAAGTGATGGAACAGTGATAAGGAAGAGAATCACATCGAGGTAGTTGTAGGAGATAAGTCCGCAACGGGCGAGAAGAGACAACTGGTACAACCAGTTTTCCGTGTTTTTATCAACCACTTTGTGGCCAGCGTCAGCGAGAACATCCGTCAGTTTTCCGAGATATTTAGCATGACTGTACCCGTATATTGGATTGACGATGAGGAAATTATAAGAGGAAACTGTGGAGGGAAGAAGGGAAAGGAGGGGAAAGGACCGGGATAGCATTATGACTGATGCCCAAATGTAGTCATGTTTCCAGTATTTATACATTCACCTTTGTAGCGCCACTCCATTCAATACACTGAACTTTGTAGTGAAAATAGAAGAGGCCGTCTTTAGATGGGATATAACATTATGACTGATTCAATACACTGAACTTTGAAATGTTTATTGAGACCCGTGAAGTTGCAAATTGTTACTCGGTTCTGGATTTTCTCGATTGTACGGTGGCGAATCTCCGGACAATTCGGAGAGTCAATTTGACTATGAGATACAGGGAAATGAGGAGAATAACAGAGAAGAAAAAAATAACGTCAAGGTAGTAGAATCCGATGAGTCCGGAGCCGCTGATCTCCGGGATCTGTGACTTGAAGTGAGGGAATCTGAACAAAGAACAGTTATATTGGAAAATAAAGATGAACTTACTTGACTGCGAATTCCACATGCTTCAGAAATGTTTCTTTCGGATCAATCGGCTGACTCTCCAGCACGTGCTTCAGCTCTTCGGCGTGCTCTTTGTACTTTGGGGAGTGTACCATGTCCCTCATAGTGGCCGTCAACTTCTCTCCGTTTGGAAGTTCGTACTTGTTGTACGCAACTGCTCCGCCGTGTCTCGCCAGCATTTGCGCATTAAGAGGTTGATCACCAAACAGAGGTATCTGAAACATTCTCTCATTATGCGCATCTCCACTTTCAAGACCATCTTACCATAAGAGCTGGTTTCCCGGAATGAGCCACTTCCATTGTGCTTCCTAAACCTCCATGAGTCACGAACACTTTCACTCGTTTATCAGCCAGAAGAGCAGGCTGTGGCACCCATTTCTTCAAGTGCACATTGCTCGGAAGGCGCTTTTGAAGCTCTTCGTCGTCGATTTCATACTTCCAAATGAAAGTGACATCCGGAAGGTTTTCGAACATTTTAATCACTCCCGCCCTTCAAAGTATACAAGTTGTTTTCAAAATAAAAAGTCTAATTAAATAACTCACTTGAACTTGGGTGGCATTTGATAAGAACGCATGACGGACCCGAAAGAGACCAGGACAGTGGAATCCCGTTCCTCCAGTATCTTCTCGTACTCTTCGGGCAACGGATCCACTTTCTTACATGCTTTGGAGTTGTAATCCCACCAATCTGCACAATGTTCCCAGGCGATGGCACTGCGAAGTCAAGGTACGGATTGCCGTTCGTCAGAAAGATCGGCGACCTCTTCACAAGCTCTTCCCAGTGCGGAACATCTCCGCCGATTGCGGCTGCGTAGACTTTGTGCTGCTCTTCGAAAAGTCCGTGGAACATTCTGGATACGAACAATTTGGTGTACACATCATTGAGACGGTCGAGGAAACCAGCGTTCGGTGGCAGGTTTGAGCCTTCTCCTGGGACGTAGCCGAGAATTGAGGGCTGTCCGAAAAGGGATTGAGAAGGATGACGGACGGAAGACATAGTGGCAATTGGGATCACACCGATAAGGTGAGCCAGATCTGGAAAAAAAGGTTCCCTTGAGTCATTCCTTTTCAGAAACACTTACAGAATCCTGAAGACTCGAATGTTTCTACGATGACTGCGTCGAATTTCTTGTCTTTCAGTTGCTGATGAAGATCCTTGTCTTTCAGAACTCCTACAAATAGCCGAATGTGCTCGTGAGCCGAACCTCGTGAACTCAACTTACTTGTCGACTCTTTTTCAAACTCTTTTCTCAGCAAATCAGGCATCACAAAACTGCTCAAAACGACGTTCGTCATCATTGGCGAATCCCAGAAGTCTGGGAACGTCCTCGCCTCCTTCTTGAGCATTTCTTCATATTTATCCGGGAAGTAATTGAGAATCTCTACATTTTTGTTCTTCACGTATTTGTCAGAGTTTTTGAAGACTGTGTGATAATGTTGGAAGACAGTCTGAAACGAGACAACTGGAACAACCAGTTTTCCGTGTTTTGACCTACCACTTTGTGACCAGCGTCTGCGAGAACATCTGCCAGTTTTCCGAGATATTTGGCATGACTGTACCCGTATATTGGATTGACGATGAGGAAATTATAAGAGGAAACTGTGGAGAGAAGAAGGGAAAGGAGGGGAAAGGACCGGGATAGCATTATGACTGATGCCCAAATGTAGTCATGTTTCCAGTATTTATACGTTCACCCTTGTAGCGCCACTCCACGCAATACACTGAACTTTGTAGTGAAAATAGAAGAGGCAGTCTTGAGACGCAGACTTTTCCAATAGTATTCGAGTGTCTGACTGATAAATGACGAGTGACACCCGACCGATAAGAGACCGTCCGACTGACAGATTCTTGTAAATCTTTGAAAGAAACTTCACAGTTATTACTGTTTTTTGAGTTTCTTTGAATGTAAAACAACTAATTTCTGAAAAATTCGAAGCGTCAATTTGACTACTATGAGATACAGGGAAACGAGGAGAATAACGGAGAAGGAAAGAAGTACGTAGCCAAAGCAAAGAAGAATCCGATTCTTCGAATCCCATTCCCCCCGATTCTTGGAACTTTGCAGTCCATCCGAGTTTTTTGCTTGAAATCCTTTCCGAATGGCTGACTTTGAATATCGACTGCGTTGAAGCGCTGAACTCATTTCGGATCTCGTAGGCTTCTTCGACTATGGCTCTCCGCTGCTCGATTAGTTCAAAGTTGGTCGTTTCGGATTGCGGAGTGGCGGTTGTTGATTGTGTGGGAAACTGAAAAACATCAATCTTGTACATACCGCAAATACTGTATTAGAAGGGCATGCCCTTCTATTTTTCTGTGTTCAAAATGAAAATTTCTAAATTTTAAAAGCGTGTGAAGCGTTTTAAAATCGACTTAAAACTGCTCTAGCTCACTTTGCTGGGTGCCCTTCTATTACAATATTTCCGGTAAGTATTTACATCAACTCATTTACGAAAATGGAAATCATAGATTATATCAAGCTTCTCCTTCAGCTCAACAGAACGACAGTTCACATAAAAAAATCAACAAACAAAGAAAGATAATTCGAAAAAATTGCATTTTTGACCAAGTGCGACTAGGGACCCTTGTTTTTCTAAGGGGATCATCAAAATACCAGCTGAATACCAGGAGTACCCGGAATACCGAGCAACGGCGTATTTCTGTTTACATTGTGAACAACATTGTTCAAGCCCTCTCTCGCTCACAAAACACCGAGTTCCCAAACCCCGGTGTTTTGGGAGCGGGAGGGGGAGCGAACCATATAAAAGGACCGCCATCTTTTGTGACTTCAGTTTTTTCCTTCCTTATTCCTTCCTTCCTTATAATAAATATTCTGACTATTCCATGATCGTGAAATACGAAACATGGTGACCCAGGCATCGATGAACATACTCCGTGTTGAGGATGAAGCCACTGCGAGAAGAACGTCGCATTCTACTCGCGCGACTTCATCCTCAACACGGAGTATGTTCATCGATGCAACGGAGCCGGTTCATGCTCGACAGCACGATGCGGATCACTCGGACCCAACGAGGAAATATCGGAACTCTCTCGATCATCTCGCACACAACCCGGCTTCACCGCATGCACGCCTGGATGTGGAGGATGGACCTGCAACTGCTTTCACTTCAATCCCGCCTGCCTGTTTTTCCGCGTCTACGCAACACCTACTTCGGACACCATCTACGAAATCAGTCACTGCCCAATTTTTTTGGTGAGATCAACATCAGCACAGAACTGTCCTCAGGGGTCAAGTTCACCATACCTGATACCAACATCAGCATAACTGCAACCGGATTCAGTGCTCCCCCCCCCTTCAAGTGCATCAAGCAACCTTCATACAAGCCTACACTCGTGGAGCCTGGGTACCCAACTGGACTGCCTACACGTTTGCACAGCATGCTGCCCCCGGAAGGCCCACTAAAGGATTAGTGGGTGAACTACAATGCAATTCCCGATCCAATGCTATTCGGTTCAATTGCTATTTTGACCAATCCCTCTGTCACTGCAATGGTTTCTCAACTCAAGTCAATTGCCAATGTTCCACAACCAAGATGGCCGACTATGGTTTGAAAAACAAGCTGCCCACTGAACGACTCAACCACAAAGTGTTCACACTCAGTGGAACTCCACATGTGGTTACTTCGGCGACTCAGGAAATGCTGATCAACCTACATGTCGAACTGAGATTCTATCATGTTATGCAGAACAAATCGGCGAATTATCCGGATGTCATTCGTGCTATTCGGGAGCTTCCGTGAAGATCAACTGTCGATCCAGAAAGCATAGGTCCGGTCTTCTTCATTGCCAGCACCACTTCGAGACCACGATCAACTGCAGCCCTGATGGAAGTATCAACGATCTTCTGATCCCGTCGGACAACAAGTTGGTCAATCTCAACTGTTCACTCGAATGCGGCAGACGGACGAATCTCTTCATCAATGGAACCCTCGACACCATCAACACATTCTCTGACAACAGTTCGTTTTACTCCTTTGCCTATGATAGAATAGTTCACACCGCCCTTAGTCTAGGAGACCTAATCTCTAATTTTCTGAGTTCCTTCACGAAGCCCTTCAAATACCTATTGATAATTTTTCTTAGTATCGTCCTTATCGTTTTCATATTCATCCCCCTTTTCAAATGTTGTCACCGAAACTATTCAAGACTCTTTAGATATAGGAGAATTAGAAATCTAAAGAAAAAATGCAACCTATCATAAGTCCCTTCACTTCCCTTCACTTCTCGTTATCCGGAGTGTGAACAACATTGTTCAAGCCCTCTCTCGCTCACAAAACACCGAGTTCCCAAACCCCGGTGTTTTGGGAGCGGGAGGGGGAGCGAACCATATAAAAGGACCACCATCTTTTGTGACTTCAGTTTTTTCCTTCCTTATTCCTTCCTTCCTTATAATAAATATTCTGACTATTTATGATCGTGAAATACGAAACATACATATCGGTCTGGTTCGTAGTGGGAGCTGATAGAAAAAGAGTGAGAGAAGCAAGCAAAAAAGAAGTCCAGAATTCATTTTCAGAACAAATAAATTAACCCGTTTCGACACAATTATTATCCCTTGAAGTGCATTCCTCCGAAGCTTTTGGCGGTGTTGCAGAAGTTGTCCATTTGGAGCTGAAAACAAAAGCCGATAAACGTTTGAATTATTGCAAGACAGTGATTTTGACAGCGCAGCGGAGAGAGGAAGAAAGTTCGGCTGCTTATTTCGCGGCACGCTACCCCAGGCCTTTTTCCGCGCGGCAAAACTTCTAATGCGTGCTGTTCAAAGAGTACTCATTCATTTTTATGATTGAAACTTGCAAGCAGCAACGAGAAACTCCCAGAAATGTGTAGCGGTTACTGCCAAAACAGCTTTTTTCAAAATATGGCAGTTTCGTGTGTGCTTTTCGTGTCTCTTTGTTAGTTTACATCATAATGACTCATGCCGAAAAAGCTTGAAAAAGTTTGAACCTAACAAAAAACCACGAAGCTCCGTATCGCCGCAACGCTTTTGAGTCGCGTTGGCGGTAATTCAAGTTTAATTCGCTTACGTTGCAGAGGGCGAGTCCCTTGGCGGCCTTTTTGGCGCACTTGCAGAAGCTCTCGTCGCAAGTGTTTCTGGGGGTCTTCTTGGCGTAGCACTGGGTGTGCAGGTTGCAACACACATCGACCTTGTCTGAAATTAATCAAACTGACAGCTACCGTAATCCTCCGCCAACTCACTGAGCCTTCCTTTGCAGTCGTTCTTGATGATAAGCTCGGCGAATCCGGACTGCAGATTGTCGTGTCCGCACGAGAAACGCGCGGAAACCATTGTGACGATGCAGAGGGAAACGAGCAGTGAGAGCAGAGTTCCGTTCATACTGAAAGGGGAAAAAATGAGTGGAGATTGGACCGGGAAGAAAGTGTTTTTGAGGAAATGAAACACTTCTGGATGCGTGACGCTTCTTTTAAACGGCGCCATCCAAACAGGTAGAACGTGTTTTTTCCCAGGTACGACGCATATCCTCGGCGTCTGGATTGATGGATTGCCGATTGCGCAGTCCCCTTTTGCAATCGTTTTTCTTTGTAAAACAACCGGGAAGCACACAAACTTTATCAACGTGTAAATTCGTTTATTCACTGGGGGTGAAAACCTATTTATAGGCTCATAATACTATCAGAAGAGATCAAAAAGGGGGAAGCGGTTCATAAGAAGTCAGTTATGTCATCATATCAATCACATGCTGGGCGCAATGTTCGGATCCTGATCCTTCGAGAAAACCGTTACGAAGAAGAGCGTCGGAAGCAGGATGAGGAGACCGAGGAAGACTGCGAAGAAACAGAGGAGGAACGATTTGGTCTCCGAGAGAAAGCATGGTCCGCAACGGTACGAACGGGTCTCGTCGCCTGGAATCCAACAGTTACATGTTTTCTGCAATTTAAAGTCCACTCACGGTCTATCTCGGCTTCAATGCTGGCCAACGGCTCCTCGAACTGCCGCTCCTCCTCGTCGTACGTGGGCGGGAACGATTGTTGCCACGTCAGATTGTTGACGTCCATGACGTAGACGGGCGGCATCTCATCCTTCGAGTTTGCCACAATGGTTTCGTCAACGGTCTCGCAGTACTCTGGCGGCGCACTCATTTTCGCAGTTGCCAAGAATGGGGAAAACGAAGTGAAGTTTGTTATTTAAAAAAAGAGTTATGATCTGCAAATACATCAGAGGGTTAAGACCAATACATCAGTGTCCTATTAATAGACGGGTTAAAAACGGAAAAGTGATAAGGAAAAGTGATGGTCGAAAGGGCGGGTCGGGTCGGGAGCCTTGTCCAAGAAAAGCAGACGGACTGAATCGAAATTGAATTGGCAGAGGGAAGAATTGTAAGCAGAACCATTTGGGCCATCAAAAGTGGCATTCAGGCATCGGTTGCTAAGTGGAAAATAAGTGAAGAGAGCAGGATTTTCAATGCGGTCGAGTCAAATTGGGGAAATCGTCACGAGTGGGCGGAAAAAAGGAAAAGAGTGAACATCGGAAATGAGATAGATTCTGCTGTGGCCAATTTCCGGAACTCGTCAATTTTATGGAGAAGACAAAAGAGAGGCGACACCCAAGAAGAAGAACAAGAAGGCGGAATGAGAGGAAGGGGTCAAAACATAATAGCATATTCATATGATGAAGAAGAAGAAGAAGAAGAAGAGAAGAAGAGCTGAACGGAGCAACGGAGGCAAGTTTATATGAAACGGAAGAGAAAAGTACGGAAAAGAAGAAGAGCAGAGAAGAGAAGAACTTGAGCACTAATTGCAGAGTAGTCTCACGAACTTTTTGACGTCCGGAGCAAGATGAATGAACACGAGTGACGCGGAAAATGAGGGGGAGATTGGGTAACTCAAAATGCGATTTTTTATCAGGGAAACGAGGTGATGCAAATCGGAGAAGACACCTCGGGCGGGAATCTCTATCTCTTATAGTCAGTCTTCCCGTTCAGATCATGAAACGGCAAACATGATAATTGTGCACATTCTCTTTCGCTTCGGTTTCAGTGGACTCGTTTAATGGTACATTTGGCTACTTCTCTTCTTCTGTTCTTGAATAATTTCATTCAGTAACTGGAGGTTCCACCTGCGAAATGTTTTATTTCCGGTTCAAAGTCGGTGTGTTCAGCTATGAACTTCACAGAATCTCCAAATTCCTCGCATTTTCCATCTGGTTATATCGTATTCTTCCTATCGTTCACGCAGTCTTTGCCACGTTGACTATTGGGGAAACTCTGAAACTACAAGAAAGTGCGAGGGAACGTCTTCGAGTGGACCATCCGTCAGTGCCTTCCGAAGTCAAAGTCAATGGTTATCATCGCTGTTGGTACCGTTATTTCGACTGTGGTCTACATCATGATCTACTTGAAACAGAGTTATAATCTTCCGAAATCAATTGTCAACATGCAAAGTATGCTCATTCTAAGTCTATTCATTCAGGTTCAGCTTTTGCTTCAATAAAGGCTTCAATTTTTCGAAATTACAGGCAGGCAACAGTGCACGCGGTTCTCATTGCTGCTCCGATTATAGTCTTCGTCTACGCTCGGTTCGCGGTTCTCACTAGTGACAGCCAGTTTTCATGCTCTCTTGCCCCCACGTCTACCTTCTTCAGATCTCGGACTCACGATGGTCGTCTGTCTCACCCACCACGGCTTCGTTTCCACGTGTGCCATGATCCTCTTCACGAAGCCCGTCCGTGATAAACTTTTCTGTGTGCGACAACACGACCGGAAGGGGAAATTGTCCGTACAACCTACCATTTCCTTTGTGCGCACTAATGAATGATTCCGAAGTTTTTGTTCGTCCGAATGAAATTAAGGGGCGCGCAAAACTTTTTGAGCAAATCCTTTCTCACAATTTGATTTGCATCCGCCACAAACTCTTTTCCACATAAATCTGAAAAGAGAGGCGGTAAACAGATGAAATTGCTCATTGGCCACAACTTGATGGAATCCAGAGATTGCACGCTTTCCGCTCCTATCATCTACAAGTAAGTTATGATTTCTCTAACGCATAATGAATTTCCTTCTAGAACAGTCATGCAAGTGTCTCATTCCATCAGTTACCCGACTTACTTGGCCGTTCTGTGGATTCTGATCCGAGAAAGATCGAAACCATTCCAAAAGTACAAATACTATCTCATTGTGCACATTCTCATGTAACCCAGTAAACTCGAACCGTTTTTCCAATTGGCCAATTTCAGAAACATGGCCTCAGAAACGTACGTCTCCTTTCTCATGCTTCCGATGACATATTTGCCGCACATGGCATTCAGAAACACTGGAATTCTCTCTCGTTTCGGGTTCAGCGGCATTTTACAATGGTACTTTCTCGCAACTATGGTCATGCGTGAGTTCACAATTTGCTCTCTCATTTCGAGAAATTATTTCAGTGACAGGTGGATCTATTTGCGAAATGTTCTATTATCGTTTCAGAGTGAGCATATTTGACTTCAGGGATCACAAAATGTCGAAATTCCTCCTTTCCTCCTTTTGGTCGTACCGTTTATTGACAGTGGGACACGCGGTGTTCGCAAGTTGCACAATCGGAAGAAGCATTGAATTGCAGGAGACTGCGAGGGTTCAACTCTGGCTGGTAGTGCTCTTCTGGAATTAGAAAAAACTATTCCAAAGTTCAGAGCTATCCATCGCTGCCTCCCGAGATCACTTGTTATTCCGTCGTCTTTGCAATCCCTCAATGGATCAACTTGACCGTAATGCTCATTTACTTTCTGATGACTCTTCTGGCGGTTTCTTCTGTGATTTGCTCGGTCATTTACATGAAAATCTACCTGAAGAATGGATATACCCTCTCCGCAGCCACCGTTCGCATGCAAAGTATGCTCATTCTCAGTCTAATCGTCCAGGTCTCACTCTCATTCGGTTACCCTCATTCAGAGTCGAACTCGACACTTTCAGGCGGTCGTGCACGCCGTTCTCATTGCTGGTCCGATTATTGTCTTCATCTACGCACGCTTTTCAGTGCTCACCATCGACAATTTGGGTCTCGCGGCGGTAGTCTGTGTCACTTATCACGGATTCTTCTCAACTTGTGCAATGATTTACTTCACGAAACCAGTACGAGAGGCGTTGTTCTGCCGCTGCTGCTCGAAGGGAAGAAGATCGGTGAAGAGCGTGATGTCTGTGCAGCCATCAGTGTCCGCTCAAGGATCCATTGGCAAAGATCAGAAGCTGTAAATAGAATCGGTCAATCAATTACTCTGTCTACAATGAGGTTTTAGTCGGTATTAAACTTGATTACACGGGTTTTCAGGGGTGATGCCACAAATTGATTCAGTTTTTCTGATGTTGTACATGTGTACGCTAGAACAGAACAGATCACAGAAACGGGAAACCGGATGGGCACAATTGAACTGAACAATGAAATCATTCGAAATCTTGGAAACATGTGACCTGCACTCCAGGATGTTCACACTTTCCAGGACAAACGACGAGATGAGATTGTGAGATATCATACGGGGAAAACAATGAAAACAAAAGAGAAACGATGCGATCTGAAAGCCGTAGATCAGCAGGACAAAACCCGTATTTCCGAATCCGTAAGACTCCAAAAATCGCTCGCGTTTATCTCTTTTCTCGTCAAATTGCCCTCCTAAACGGGCTGCCAGTGTAATTCCTGACACTCTCCGCCCGCTTTCTCTCTCCCACCTGCTTCCTAATCAGGCTGCAAGCAGATGGGCAGCATCTTTATCGAAATACGCGTCATCGAAACAAACTGGAAGTGATGGTGAGGAAAATTACGATGAAGTCTCTGCAAAATCGTCTAGCGTCGTCGCTCGGGCGGTGGTGTCTAGTGAAAGGCGGGATCGACGACCACCCGACGGAGATGTTACAAAAAACCGAATCGGCAGAGGGGCGTTCGTCGAGTATATAAGCTGCCGGAGGTGTCAGGAAGGCAAGCCAGTCTCAACCACTGTCCTCACCTTCAGCAATGCGCTTCTTCGTCGTCTTCTTCTCCATGCTCGTCGCCGCTTCGGCCTTCTTGTTCCCATCTTCCGGAGGAGGTGGCTGCGGATGGTAAGCCCCTTTTTCGAAGCCTTCCAGTCCCTCATCCAACTCTTTTTCAGTGCCCCACCACCACCACCACCATCCTGCGGATGCGGAGGAGGAGCTCCACCACCACCACCACCGGCCTACGCCGCCCCAGCTCCAGTCTACGCTGCCCCAGTCGGAGGAGGCTACGCCGTCGGAGGAAAGTAAATCGCTTTCCCCTCAATCGAAAAACAGTTTCTGTAAATTTTGAAAACTGATTCAATAAATGACTCATCATTCGCAAATGTGTTCTTTTCGTTTTTGAAACATCGATGGGCTTCTGATCGCATCGGGAGAAGAAGGTGTTCGGCGAGAACGAAATGCCACCAGACGCTAATTTGATAAGATTTGATCGGATATAGGTGCAATAAGTGAGAATATCAAGAACATCGAGAAAGGAAATATCATCAAAAACATAGCCTCAGGGGCATTTCAAAGTGAATGCGTTGTGTTTACACACATAGTTTTTCATCCACGAAACGAATATCAGTCAACAACGGTTCCTTTGTTAGTCATAAAGTTGGGCGGCAGGTAATTTGCGAGTCTTGAGCGCATTTTTACCAATGTCCGGCATCAATTTGCCACACTGATCCGTCCGTTTTTTTGCTATGACCTAGATGAAACGTAGGCTACAATCTGCGGCAGAATAAAGGTTTATGGATTGTTCGAATCTATGATTTCGTGAATGCAAGCCTGCCGAACCTGATCTCAGATAATGGGCAAATATTCTGAAGAACGATGTGGCGCGTGATGATTGTCGGGTTCATAATTGTGTGGATGGGGTCTAGCAGCAGTTGCTGCGCAGCCTGACTATCCAGTCGGTAATACATGGAATTGTGCTCGGAGTTCCCAACTTCATGTTCATGTATGCATTCTCTTTTGGGTACGAACAAGAAGGTGACCTTGTATGCAGAATAACTTGTGATGAACTTTATAATTCAAGTCCTTGGATACGTTGCGCAAGAGTTCCTTGTCAGCAAAAGTGAAGGCCACGCACTAGTGTGAATGAATATTATTAATGAAGTCGAGCGCTGCCAAGACAGTCGTAATCCTTTTTTGTTATTGTCTATTTTCTGTCAAATTTTGAGTTGTAAGCGAGAAATGTGATATTTTATTGCCGGAAACATCTTTATTCTTATTCTCCTTTATACACTGGATCCCTTTTCTCTGCGAACGCCGCCATCCCTTCCTGCCTATCTTTCGTCGGAATAATCTGAAAAATCACTTTGACCCTCTTCTCTCATTGCCAGGCTGACCTGAGCATAACACTGCTGCTCCACGGTAAGGGCGCTAGTAATGTCGGTCTGTGATCCCAAGTTGATGGCTAGTTTGGCCAACTTCACGGCGATCGGACCGCGGGAAGTATTTCTCGGGCGATTTCCAACGACTTGTCGACTGGATTGCCGTCTACCACATGGTTCACAATTCCCAGTCGTTCTGCGTCTTCTCCGCTCAGCACTCTCGCCGTGTAGATCAGCTCTTCGCTTTGGCAACTCCGATGGTTCGGTAGAGTCTCTGGGATCCTCCCGCTCCGGGAATCAGCGCCCATTTCGTTTCGATCAAACCCATTTTCGCTTTCGTAGCTGGAAATTGGTTTGAGATAAAGTTCTTCAGAATGTTTAACTCACAAGCCACTCTGATATCGCACGCGAGGGCCAGCTCCAGACCACCCCCCAGAGCGTATCCGTCGATGGCGGCGATGACCGGCTGCGGCAGTTTCTCGACCTGGAAACTTTGACTCTTATAGTTTCATTCATTCCGAATCACTTCAGTGAATCCGTCTCGGAGCCCGGTGACGAATCTCGCCGACTCCTGATGATTCATCTCTCGTCGCTCTTTCAGATCTGCTCCACTGCAGAACACGTTATCCACAGCCGACTTCAGAATTACCACTCGAGTTTTCGGATCGTACTTGATCTCATCAAACACCTCTCGGAACTGTAATAGTATTCGAAATTTGAAAATGTTCAATGGTCGATCGCCTTACCTGGTCCATGAACACTCTTCCCAAAGAGTTCCGTTTAGCCGGACGATTCATGGTAACCAGGGTGATTCCTGAAAAAGAGAACTTCAACTGTTTGGCCGATCTGAAACGAACCTTCATCTTTTCCGGACAGACGCTCCAAAAAAATTTCGTTCGCTGGGTTTGCAGTACTACTGTAAGAGCTGGAAAATGACCGGATGGCCAACTGACGCAAGTGGAGAGATAGCTTTTGAGCAATCATTCTGAAACGGAATATTGTTACTTTAAGCATTTTTATTGTCGAAAAAGATGCGAGAAACCGAGAGAAACAGGGAGAAAAGGGCGGAAAGATGAAGAAAACAACGATGTGTGATGCGTGTGGAACCGAAGAACAATCAGAGAAGTAGGAGGACCAGAGAGCAAGAGATGGCTTGATTGCCTTGCTTATTTGAACTCAGTTCCCTTCTTATTTCATTCTGATCTCTTTCATTTTGTATCTGTGAGCGGTTCCATGAACCCTTTTGATTTCTTACAGCCTTGCCCGAGATCGGCGGAAGAAAAAATGTTCTTTTGCGGAATGCGGAATGGGTTGAAATTCGAAGGTTTCAATCACGTTCTCCATTTATGCGATATGTTGCCAGGGATTTCCCTATTTCAATTCAATTCTTCAAAACTAAATCGACTTTGAAAAAACTAATTTCAAAGTCAATGTCTGATCCCTTCTATATTATTTATTAATCATGAATTGGTCGACATTTCATGAACGATAATCCGAATAAGCGGCGGTGAAAATATGGTGCAAGTAAATGTGATCGACGGCGACGAAGCGGACGAAAATATTTCAGAATGTTGAGCTGTAAAGCAATGAAAAAGCAGGAATATTTTTGGAATTCAAGAAGAAGGGTTTCAGGATGAAAAAAGAGAGACAGAGAGCATCTAACTTCTAAACCGTATATTTAATTAATGACAGGAGAGAGGGAAAAGCCAACGTATCCGTATGGATATCGAGAAGCGATCTTTGAAGTGATATAGTCTAGAAACGAACAGAAATGATAATCGAGGCGTGACAAAAGTGATTGATAATAAAATAAAAAGAATATAAACTTTTAAAAAGCTCATTTAAAAATTAGGAACGAGTGTGACTGCGAGTAGAAGACGAAGGTCCCGCTACAGAAGACGTGGAAGGTCCAGATCCAGAAGTGACTGCACGACGCCTGGAAAGAAACATTGAGAATTAACTTAATGTTACAGGTGACTCACTTCTGAGGTCGTTGAACAGTGTCTCCCGGCTCATCCTGTTCCATCGGCTGCGGCTCTTCCGACTTTGGTTTCTTGTCAACCTCCTTCTTTTAGAAGAGCTCTCATTACTCGGGCTTCTCTGTCCCGACGAAGAAGGCATGGAGCTGTCATCAGCAGAGGATTGATGACGAACGGAACTGCGAGTCGTGCGTCTGGCGTCGGCTGGAACCTCCACAACGGGGGTGCTTCTTGTCGAACGACGTGAACTGATACGCTGGGCCTGAGCAAGTGGCTCTGCCGGTAGAATGACAGCCTCATCGGATGCATCCTCGGCTTGCGTATCCGCCACAATTTGAGCGATGATCTCAGCCTCCTCCGCTTGCTCAACAGGCTCGTCGTCAAGGACGACGATCGGGCCTCCGTCTAGGCGGTTATTGTCCCCGTTTTCCTCGGCATCCTCTTGCTGCACATTTTCCATGCGAACAGGGAGTATATAGAGATTCTCCTGCTGCTCGATGTCTTCTGCATTGTAAGGTGGCACCTCTTCCGGATTCTCAAGCTCCTGCGGCTGTCCGTCTTGGTTGAGCTGATTATCTATCGCCTCAACCTCTTGACGAAGCTCGTTGAGCCGTGCAAATTGGGCAGCTGAAACGATAATTGCAACGTTGGAATTCTAAATTCGATTTTTTCAACTAACCATTCATGTCGTCGAACATTTGCTGATTCACTACGATCGGAATTTCGTCGTCTTCCGGAATAGCTTCCAGTTCTTCGCCGTTGTTGCCTCCCACGTTCTCCAAATTATCGACAACGAGTGCATTAATCTGAATCCGTCCGCGCACTTCTCTGTAGCGTTGAAGATTGGCGTTCGCGGCGCGAAAAGCGTTGATATCGGGCTCGACGCGTCCGGCGACGACGTCCATTTCTTCCGGCTGTTCCGGTTCAATATCCTCGACTGCTGGCGCGGCCCCTTGGCCGTTGAACTCATCGAAAGGGTTCTCGCGTGGAGCTCCCCAGTTGTCATCTTGAGCAGCGTCATCGACTTCTGTAACGAGAATCAGTTATTTTCGCCAATTTCTAGTGCAGACACGGGTACGATCTAAATGTATGTATAGTTAGAAGAATTTGCAATCTAATCGCAGTAAATTAACAATCTAACTAGATCCGGTTAGAAACGAGAATTAGCTAGCTAGATTAGAAACGATTTGCCTGAGCAGGTAAGAAATTCAATGCACATTTAGTTGGCACCCATGTTTATGATACTTTACGAATATATGAAAATTAAATTGTATTTTATACTGATAACCAAAAAATGTTAGCACTTTACGGCACGGGGATGTGTTCACTCACGAGGGATTTCATCACGAGGATTATCAATTGGCATGGCCGGCATGGCTGGCATCGCTGGCGGCTCCTGTTGATCTTGGTCTATTCCAACTTGCTGGTTTCGCATGTTTTGCAATTGCTGCTGGATTTGATCTTGTAGTATGATCTGCGCGAGCTCCTGCTGCAGGGGTGGATGAGCGCGCTGTTGATTCTGCATTCGTTGCTGGTCCATCTGGTGTTGCTGTAGAAGTCGCTGCTGATGGTTGTGTTGCATATGTTGCTGCATAGCCTGTTGATGATTCTGCTGGAACTGCTGTTGCTGCATATGTTGATGTTGATGATGATGCAACTGGTGATGGAGCATCTGATGTTGCATGACTATTTGCGGCGGAGGGCCGTTATTCTGCTGCTGCTGTCTTTGCATTCCTCCGAGATACGGCTGATTATTCTGTTGAGGCGGCGGTGGAAACGCATTCGGGTCGGGCTGACGACGGATCGGAGCTTGTTGGGGCATCTGTTGAGGCATCTGAGGCGGCATCATGTTCTGCTGTTGCTGCTGCTGTTGCATCGGAAGTGGGTGTTGATGCATATGCGGATTGTAATGATGTCCCATTGGCTGCTGGCCCATATGCGGCGCCGGTCCCATATTCTGCATCTGTTGCATTTGATGGTGGTGCGGCGGTCCCTGTTGCTGTTGTCGCGGCGCCTGTTGTTGCATTTGCGGCATCTGCGGAGGCATTTGTGGCATCTGCGGGGGCATCATATTCATATGCACCGCCGGATGCTGGTTGGGCATTGGAAAACCGAATCCATGCATATGTGGACCTTGTTGGGGATGTCCTGGTTGCGGATGCCCTTGTTGCGGTTGTCCCGGTTGCGGAGGTCCTTGTTGCATATTCGGGTTCTGTTGCGGCGGGAAAGGCTGTCGGAACTGCAGCATCGCTCCTGGCGGCATCATCCGCATGTTTCCTTGCTGAATTATCTGCTGCTGCTGTGGGAACTGAGGTGGACCTGCGCGACGACGGGCATTAGCACGGGCCACTTGTTGCTGATTGTGTATGACTCCGTGGATCACCATCATCGGATTGTTGTTATTGCGTAGTGGGGCCAAATCGTTCGGATTGACGTTGTTGGCCGGCGCTATTCTTGCATTTCCAGGAGCAACTTGGCCAGCCGCCGCGTCCCCAGGTTCAGCTGCAACTGCCGCGTTGCCATTCGCTGGCGGAGCCTGAGCTTCGGCAGGTATCTCCACATCGTAGTTCAGCTCAGTTTTCAGTTGCTGAAAATTAATATTTGACAACGTGATCATTGAGCAACAAACTTTACTGACCTCAAATGGATCCCAGAACACCGCGAACGCGTTGTCAATAGTTGCCATCATTTCGTTGCTAATTTTTGCCACAGAAGCCTTGTAGACCTCAGCCATGCGCTCTGCATTGCGCACTTCTTGCGCCAGGTCATCAGCAGTCGACGTATCAGTGATCTTGCTTTCAATCGAATTACTCATGTGAGCAAATATTTTGAGGAGCGCCTTGAGCTTCTGCAATTTATTGTTTAGTTCAAGTGTGCTGTGTTTTAAAGTTTTACCTCCGAAGCTTTCGTTTCAATTATTCCTCCGATCGTCCGAAGATGCGGCTTGATTTCTTCGAAAGCCTGGTACGCCTTCTGCGCCGCTCTGTCAATCGCTTCCTTTGTGTCACGCACGTCTGTCGACGTCAGCGCCTTTCGTTCGGCGACTTCGTGTCCGTTGTGCGAGCGAATTGCGCATGTCGAGCAGATCTGCTTGCCGTTTTCGTCGCACTGGATACAATCGAAGAAGATGCCGCCGGCGAGATTAGCATTGCACTGCTTGCACATTTTCTCCATATGCCTCTCCTTTATCATTGGCGTCAGTTTCTGCACCATTTCCTGCACACGGTAGTTGACCGGCAGTCCGTCCGCTGGCACGATCGTTGGTTTTCTGCACTCCGGACATTTGATTTCCCATGCTCCTTCTTGGATGCGACGCCGATGGGGAAAAGCAATCGCTCCACGAACAAATCCTGGGTCCCGGGGGTCCATCCGTGGCAAATCGATCAACGCCGCATCGTCTATCTGATCGTTGAGTCCTCCCAATCCGGGCAACCCGTTGAGCAAATTCGGATCCCCTGCCGCGTTCAACAAGACTTGCGCTGCTGCTATGTTGTGCAGACGTGGCCCGTCGACTTCCACATTCGCATTCGACTTCACTTGATCCACTAATCTTTTGACGCAAGAAGAGCACAGCGTGTGGCCACATCCCATTTGCACCGGTTTGTCGTACACATTGTAGCAAATAGGGCACTCGACGACTGGCGCCCACTTTTCCTGAACAAGGTTTTTGTTTGAAAGTATGGAGAAAACCGGAAAAACTCACGTAAGTCTCTTCGGAGGAGTTGCTTGGTCCCGCGATATCCATAACTGATGATAGACGTTTAGCCAATATATGCCAATGTATTATTAATTTGTTAAGTAACTGAATTACCCTGCAAAAATGGACAATTTGGAAACGGGTGAAACGAAACATTTCGCAACGATGAATCAAAGAAAATTGGATAAGTAAGAGGCAGAAAATTGGGAGGCGACGGGGTCGGAAACGGACGGAAAACAGCGGGTTCGAATGAGTGCTGTGGGGCGTATTTGCAACCAACGAGAGAGTGTGTGGGGATCCGAGACGCAGAGAAGAGCACTTGTTTATGATCACCGGAAAACGACTGCGAATCGATCGATCAGTGCGCACTCGCAGTGTCACACGCGTTAATAATTGTGTTAACGAGTGTTTAAAAAAATAAAATTTCTTTGTATGTCAGCGTGTTCAGCGTGCGACGAAAATTCTTAAGATAACATCATGATTGATCAAAATTTATGGCGGCACTTCTGAGGTCGGCAGCGAACTTTATCAGCGTCAACCGTCTGAATGTGATTCATCAAATTCAGGGCGCACTTGTGTAATACATTTAAAATTTAAAATTACACATTTTCCAAAGACATTAAGCTGACATTGAAAAAAATTGCAGAAGCGCGTGACAGTTTCGAAATGGCAGGCGCCAATGATACTAATAGGAAGGTTCTCGTGAATGAGGAATAAACATTAGCAAGAGAAATGTTTAGACTATTTACCGATTCATTCGAACGGACGCAAAAATGGGAGACATTGAAGCTGGCGCGCAACGCCGCCGACGAAGGCGAGTCGGGTCATATATTCATCAAATTGTGCGTGCATGAATCGAGTCGACACAACCGTCGTCTTCTTCTTCTTCTTCTTCTACTCCGCTTGGATTGTTTCAGGGACCAGCGAGCATAATAGGATAATAGGCCGTCTTTCTTTCTCTCTCTCCGAAAACGAGAATCGATGGTGCGGATGGTGTCCGCTCTGTGTGTGTGCACCGGGATTATCCCTACCACTTCTATTGGTTTACACCGCAACGGTCATGATTATTTTTGCGTTCGTTCATCTGTGCGCGGATTAGGGACTGAGAACGGAGACGAAGGACAGGAAAGAGGGACCACTTTGACAGCTGCCAGGGCCAGAGACCGAAGGTGTTCGTAATTGAGGAGTGGTGAGAAGAGATGGCAAAGGCCGGCCCTTGGTTGGTTCGGCAGTTGGCTGGCTACGCCGTCTAGTGTCGAATTAGAATTTCTGAGCGGCACGAAAGGAGGCAAAGAATGCAAATTGAAGTGCTCGGCCAATTTCAGTGTGGCCGCGAGGGACGGCAGGCCGACCGACCGACGCAATTTGGCTGATTTCGTTTCAAGAAGAGAAAGAGAATTGGCAGCAGAGTAGTAGGAGAAGAAGAGAAAGTGAGAAGACGGGGGAAAAGGACGACGAATGGCTGCTGCAGATGAATGGGACACAATGCGGAGAAGAACAGCGTCCCGACGGACACTGCCAGGCTACTACCATGTATACGGAGGTAAGAGAGAGAGAGAGATGGAGGGGAAGACGCGAAAGGCGGGACGATGGTGCCACGCACTAACCAAGATCGAATTGATAAGGGGAAAGGGTGAGCAAAGATTGATTGTAGGCGACACATAGGAGAGGACGCTCGAGAGCCAGAGAAACTGGTTGTTGAGACTTCCATTCGAGTGAACTCGCGTAGGAAATGGTTATCCAACCACGGCATCTAATTCCTTCCAAATAGCCATGAAGGTCGTGATATTGTTAGGCAGGCATTAGGCGTCAGATCGAAGACCTCCACTCTTAGTCCGCTCGCTTTCTCTTCTTGATCGTCACTCTCACTTTACTGCCTCTTTTTGACTGACTCCCGGCCGGCCCGCACACAAACCAACCGATCATCGTCTCTTTCTCTCCCTTTCCGTCTTCATAAAACATTTGCGCACGCACACGCACACACACACTCCCACAGAAAACCGGCGCCGCGTTCGAGACGACATGTAGAAACTGATAGCACACATGATTGGTTGGCGTTTTGCAAAAAATAAAAGTAGCAAGCGAGGAAAGATGATAGAATACACAGCGGGTCAGAAGGGCTGAGGAATCGGGTGGGTGGATGGATAGGGTGTAAAACTTAAAGCGATCGCAGCGGACCCGTCTCTGAACACTGTGGGATAGTGGTGTAATCAATCGAGACGAGACACGATGCGTTTCGTCGCCGTCGCCGTCGCCGCCGCCGTTGTCGCTCGTAGAAAACATAACTGTAATGTCCGGGTTATGTGGGGCGAGCGATGTGGAGACGGTGATAAGAATGGTACAATAATGACATTCGGATTTGGAGGCCGTGACATACTGGTCGTTAGTTGTTTCTGGTTCACTTCAGAGATGAAATGGAAGAGGAGAGAGTAAGAGGAAAGCATAATGGGACTACTGCACAATAGTTCCGCTTCCAAAGCGTTTGTATTCAAATCAATATGCAAAGCAGTTTTGTATATATTCTATTCATCGGAAGAAGAGGGAACGCATGAAGACCTGACGGCTTATGTACCGTACCCGCCAATTTGTATAATTAGACTAGCGCCTCTCTAGAGATGGATGGCCAAAAACAAGCAGCGGGGCTCACTTGCTCCAAACAATTAGCTCTCTCTTCTCTCTCCCCCCTTCCATATGTCGCCGTCGACTGGCACGCCGAATTATGGTACAATTTGGGTGTCATTCGGCTATAACAAGCCGTCGCTCTCTTTTGTGCAGAGCGATGTGTGTAATGAATAAATTAGATCGAGAAAGAAAAGGGAAAAGAGTTGGCGACGAGGCCGACACAAAGGATTATCGAGTGGTGGTACGAGGAGGAGAAGTAGATGAGTGCGAATTGATTGACATGTTTCTCAAAATAGAAATGAGCGAGTACGAGGACGCCGACGACGGAAGCCGGCCCATAAATCGTGACATTGGCGGCGGGGCAGGAGGAAAAGAAAATTGAAGGGTTGAGCAAAGGAGAGGAAGCGCTCGAGATGAGAAGGCGTCCAACAACAATCTGGGCCGAGGATCTTTCTATTTCTGAACAGGTGTTTATCTCGGAAAATCTGCCCCAAATGACCAGATGGCAGCGGCGGCGACCACGGCTTATCAGACAGCGAGTTATGGTCTAATTGGGTGTGTGGTGCACATTAGGGAGCTCATGCACATGCACCGACATGTACAATTTCTTTGTCCTTCAACTACATACATGCGCAAGAGAAAAAGGCGTCGTGGGAACACTGGCAGGAAAAAAAAAGGAAATTGGACGGGCTCACTAGGGGAAAGGAAACGAAGGATTTCCATCCATTTCATTCAAAAAAGAGGACACGAAGAAGAAGAAGATGGAAAAGGCGAGTTGAGTGGCAGTTTCGAGGACGATCCGATGAAATATTTGTCATTGAAATGCCACGACTCCCAATATGGGGCATGTGAGAACGAAGAAAAGGCGCCTACAAATATTTGCAAGCCGTATTCCGATTCCGTCTTTCGATTCTTCTCCTCGCGAGTAATCGACTGTAAATGGTGTGAGACTGCGGATTGTAATTACGGGAAAGGACACAATGGTGTCAATGTGACGAAAGGGAACAGGTGGTCGCGCAGATTATGGGGACGGATGAATACGGCGGAAAGGACGATCCATTGAGGGTCAGTCTATGAATCACAATCGATAACTGACAAACTGCTGATAACAGCGTCACATAAACTGTTTTCTTTTTAGATAATTCCATCCCAAATGATTCCTGACTGTCACCTGGCGTCTCTCCGTTTGCAGTATTGTCTATTTGCAATCACATCCGTCATTGTTTCGTCTTGTGACTGTGGTTACTGTAGTTCACTTAAAGAAATGGGTTTACAGCGAGACCGAATTCTTCAGATAAGGCCTGTGTTATCTTTTGGCCAGTTTCTTGGGAACTGTACACTTTTTTCCCTTTTCGTTTCATATCATCAGCGAAGAATTGTGTGTGTGTGTGTGTTTTGGGGGCGAAAACGAAAAAAAAAGTGCCCAGCCGTCAGTTTGCATCGAAAAATCGTCGAGAGACAAGGATCCACACGATAAGAAACCTGTCGTCGTTGGGCAGTTAATTCAGATGTTACGCACTCCTCGTTATCTCCGTCCCAAGTGGTCTTTTCGTGTCCGTCCGTTCAACTGGTTATCTGATGAGTTTGCGACGAATGAATGTGACCGGAAAAGGGGAAACGAACTGGAATCGAATGGAAACCAACCGATGGGGACTCGAAGAGCACCGAGGCCCTTCAAAAATGAATTTGCTGCTCATTTTCACGCCCAATCGCACATTTCACCAGCCGTTGCCACTCATTTCCGACGCCAATGGTCCCTCCGAATGTTTACCCACACAGGTGGCGGCTTTCGACTGGAAATGGCTGACACGGAAACAAATCTCCGTGGCTTCTACTCGGAATTCAGAGCACTGATGAAACTAATTTAAAGGCGGCCCGGTCCTTTGCCTATCGGCTATTTGCTTTTCTTTACTTTCTTTCCCTTTCTATCTCCTGGAGTCCTCGTCCACCTACGGCGGCGGCAAACTTTCGAAAATCGCTATCCAATTTTAAATTTCAATCTTAGCAAGGCTTTACTTCTCTCACTTCTACTTGTTCATTGCAAATGTATGAAGTAGCTCTGAATCTGACAGACCTTCTCCCGAATATCTAGTCCCAAAATACGCCTCCTCGTTCAGTTTGCAGCTCGCTCGTAATAGCTTCTGTTCGGAACAAACGAGTCAAATGTAGCTTTGTGCAAGAGAGATATAGGTCAGAAGGCGTTGAGAGGGAAATGCGGAAGTGACGTGACACCATCTGACCGCCCGTTAATTAACGGACCTGCAACAAAAGCGGAAAAGAGCCGCGAAACACAACAATCCGGCCTCTTTCGACTACAGAAGACCCGTTTTGGAAACAGAAACAGAAACCAATTGCCGATAACACTTGCTTTTTCTTGGAAAATGTCAAAAGTGATCATTGCTGAATGACGTTTCCAAACTGAATTATCTTGTTCCTCTCCACAGAGTGGCAGATGCTTCATAGCATATTTTCCCGAAGGTACTGGCACATCGAAAATAGATGTCTGTGATTACTTCAGGTTGTTTTGATTATAAAATCATCTGAAAATCAAAGAACTCGCGTTCGGATTACGTAGCTATTCTCCTTTGAATCGCACAAATGCTTGATCTCCGATCCTCAAACTCCCCCCACTCAATGATCTACCAGTGGAAGCACACAAGCACCGAATCTCGAGTGTTTTCATTGAATCCAAATCCTTCTCCGAATACTCCCAGACAACTTTATAATATTTATACAAACTCTCAAACCACACAGATCCATCTGAGATTGTCTCGGCACAAACATTGGCTCCACGGCGAAGACATGTGTTTCCGAACATCATAAACTTCCGGCCGAACGCGTTATTTTGTGTCTTGTCCAATTATCAATCAAAACGATCCGCCCCACTACCTTTTCTCTCTTTCGCTTTGTTTCGTTTCTGTGAATTCTTGTGACACACGGATGATTTAATGAGAAAACCGTCGTAAACACAATTCAATTTCTTGTGCGCGCCGCGAGTCACGGAGCCATCCAGAAAGTTTCTCAAGAGGTTTTTGTGGAAATTGTTTGTGCAGCTGGTCTCCGGGACATGTGTCAACAATGTTTTGCCTTCGCGGACCTTCGGAATCGAAACCAATTCGCCGGACGAGCTCGCGGACCTCGCGTGACCACGCTGAAAACACTGATTGGATAAAGATCGAGAAGAAGAAGTAGGTATTTTCAGATGAGGTGCACTCCGAGCCATGACCTTCTCAGCCATTCTACGTCTCTTTTGTCTTGCTCTCCGACTTGTTAGGGTCCCCGGATTCAGGAAGACCCAGATGAAAACACAACTGCAAGCGCGCTTCGTATTAATTTGAGTCTGAGAAAAGTTAGTGCTATTCTGCTGGAAAATTGACATGTTCTAGTGACAAGTGGGAGACACGCACACGCCCAGACGGACACCGTTCCACTCAAAACAAGGTCCCTTGCTCATTTTTCTCCCTTTTCCAATTCTTCTCACTTACTCCCCTCCATATCGTTTTCCGCTCATTCCGAATTCACAGCCAAACCCCATGAACCCTTCCGATTACCTGCCCGCCCCCTCCGTAAAGTTTCGTCCCACTTCATCTCCGCGCTCTTTGCCGTTTTTGTCCTTTGTTTCTTTACGCCGTTTCCGCCAATATTTCTGTTAGGCCCTTTTGCCTCGCCTCGTTTGCTCATAAACATTCGGGTCGGTCCCGTCACCGCGAAGCCGTCAGTTCGAAATCTGAGCCCGAATCTGAATGACTGAATCTATCCAACTAGCCGTTGTTTTCTTCACTTTCCCCCTTCACTTTGACGAGCGTTTTCAGCCCTTTCCAGAGCCCGCGTTGCCCTTCTCTGTTTTACCTGTCTCGATTCGGTCGGATATCCTCTACGTGCTTTGTTTTTTTTCTCGTTTTTCTCCTCGCTCGCATCTCATCAACGATCTGCTCGCTTCGTCCAATTTCCTGGGGCGTCGGGAATCTTTTTCCCTCCAGAATCGTTAAAATTCCTTCCAATTTCATTGCATTTTTCGTCGCCAAAAAAACTCTATTCTGGCGCCCTTTGACCGGGTGGAAACGGACCACAAATCGGGCCGCGAATGAAAGGCAATTAGGGTAAATGGTGAGTGCGCATGCATAATCGAATCCAGAAGACGCATTTCGGCGATGTCTTCTTATCGATGCTCTTCCAGCCACATTCCAGAAATTCAATTATTTTTCGCATTGTTCAAACCACGCCCATCATTTTGCAAAGAGCTTTCGAAGATCGTTCTACGAATTCTGTTCTGTGGGTACTTCCATTTCGGGGATCTCCGAACCTCCAGTAACGTTCTCAATTTCCTGATGTGCTCCGCTTCCTTGTTTCTATTTCTAACTGCACTTTTCTTGTTTTCTTATTGTTTTTAGTGATGATACTGTCTGCAATTGAGTGTGATCTTAAAACATGGAAGACTCAAGTCCTGAATTGGGATAAAAAGGTGATATTTCAAATAACAAAGAAAAATTTACACGATTTCGAAGTTGCCACTTGTGAAATTTCAAAGACCACAGCTCATAAACTTGGTGCTCAATGGGCGGCTCAATAGGAAGGAACCATCTGATTTCTCCTCGCCCCTCTGCTCTCGAAGCTCTTTCGAATACAAAGTCTCTCTCTCTTCTTCTTCTTCTTCTTCTTCTTCTTCTTCTTTGCTCCCGACGTCATAATCCCGCATCCGTTCGTTCCTTTCCGAGTATCAAATGCTTCTCCACAAATCTTCCGAAGCGGAACTCTGCTCTCGTGTTTTCGTTCTTCTGGCGCCACTTCCGAGGGCCCCTCCCTCACTTCCCCTCGGCCTTCTCATCACTGACTATTGTTCAATTCAGCTGACTTCGAGACCAAATCATGTTGAGCACAAATTTCAGAGAAAATGTGATTCGCATCACCGACTTCGCAGAGGTTATCATTTTGTAGCCAATGGCGACCGGATGTACCCAGCGCCCGTGACTTTTCAACATAAACTTGCTTCCTTCCTAACAAGTTTATGCGTCTTCTCAGAATCCATATCTCATCTCTATTTCCGTCACAAAAACATCCAGGAGGTCCGCTCATAAGTGCCAATTCCCATTTTCGCCTTCTTCTTCCTCTTCTTCGTTTCCCGACAATTCGGGAAAGTTTCACCCATTTTTGCCGCTCTTTTCAATAATTCAGCAGTTTTTGCGAGACCGATGAAAAGTTCGAAACACTTTTGCCTTCCCTTCCCTTTTTCCCCGTTTTCCAGTTCGCGCTGTTGTCCCTGCTCCCATCAAATTGTCTTCCTCTTCTTCTTCTTCTTCTTCTTCGACCTTCCAAAGCTTCCGGCGCTTCTCTTTCCACCCGCCTTATTATAATAGCCGTCGCAGTTTATGGAAAGCGGAAAACAGCTGACTCGGCGGTGGTCACCCAAATACTATTACAGCATGTTTATTCCCCAGACTACCGTGGACGCAGAACACCGGACTGACCGGAGGATGCGTGGGGGAACACGTCATAATTTTGAGAAGGGGCACCGAAAGAGATCATCTCATTAATAATGTGCTCTTGGAGCTTCCTCGATTTCCATGAATGTCATTATAGAACGTTTCGTTTCCGTTTTGATCTTGCGGGCTTCAGAATATTATTCGGAATAAGAATTCTTAGAGGTTTGGTTATTAACCCCCTCCCGTTATCACCGGCCGCTTATTGTTATCAGTTTCGAAGAATCGAGTCAAATTAGGAAGGGAAACCTTTGAAAATGTTCTCCATCTCCGATTCTCACATATAAATCTTGTGACGATCTTCAGTTGAACATAAAATGAATGGTTTACAGGCGACTTCTGATCTCATTCCTCCCAGATCTTTGTCATTTACCCGAAAGTTCTCTGCTCCGATCCATATCCTCAAGTTTCTTGAGCTTTTCCCCTTAAACAAACAAGCCCAAGTTTGGGTGTGCTCGTTTCCTATGTCTTTCACCGATACGTACTAGTACTTTTTGTGTCATTCTTCATCCGTCTCGGAGATTAGAGCGAACCGGCCACTTCTTCCCTTTCCTTCTGCTCTTTCTTATTTTCAACTCGAGAAGAACTCTCCGTGCAAACCTTGAATGGTGGTCAGCGAGTGGAAAAGACTTGATAATCAACTTTGTGAATTCGAATGATAAGCCACATGTTTGTGAGGGAGTGTGTGTTGCCTTCAATTCAAACCGATTACCTTCCCCGCTTGCCACATTATTCTCCTCGTTTTAATCGTAGCTCGGAATCTCTAAATCTCGATACAAAGTGCATCGAGCCAACGTCTTCTTCCTCTTTTTCATTCCGTTCACGTCGTCGTCACCATCTTCCTCTTCCAATTCTTTAATTTATGGTTCGCTGAGCACATCGCACCGCCCATTTCCAGACAAAAACACTCGAACTTTCCCGTGGTTCTCTTTCTCCCTTCTCGTTTCTTGCTTCATGCATTCCTGAAATTCAAGATCTTTTTTCAGAAATGTCGGCGAATTTCTCGCATCTCTGCTTGACCGAAGAACAGCAACGGATGTCGGGGACGGCGTTGGAGTACAATTTGCAGAGGTAAACAGACGGCTTGACCTATTCGAGATCATTTCAGATGTTCAGGTACTTCTATCCAGCACTAGCGATATTCGGTATTCTAGGCAATGTGCTCAATCTCACAGTGCTCCTAAACCGGAGCATGAGGAGTCGCGCCAACTCATTTTTGGCCGTTTTAGCATTTGCCGATATCATCTTTCTGTTTCTTCTCTTCCCAAACATACTCGCCAATTACTCTCTTTTCACATTCAACTGGTACTATCGGTGGTTCTACTTGCATGCCAAGGTGAGATCGGGCTACCAACTGAGAAAAGATCATCGTAACAAACCTCATTTCCTGTTGCAGGTACACCTAATCTCTCTCGCCAATTGGTGTTCTTCGGTGGCTCACTGGTGCGTGATCGCCGTCTGCGCCGACCGACTTTTGGGCATTCAGAACCCGCTGTACGCTCGCGCCACGTGGCACTGGTACCCTCTTTCTGATCTGTGACACCGTTCCAAGAGCATCTTCAGGTGGAAACTGCCGTTAGTCACCACGATCATCGTGTTCACGTGCGGCCTTCTGACGTGCTACCAGCATTTTGAGTACTTCTGTCTCGTTCGATCCTACTGTCGCGAGACGCAACTCTACTCGAGGTGTTTGCCAGTAAATGCAGAGTGAGTTCGGTCATTTGGAAATTTGGAATAATTATGAATGATGCCGATGACTGCGCACGGCTCGAATGACTCATAAATTTTGCATTTCTCGAGAAAACAGCGCGAAGAGAAAACAACATCTTTTTGGAAAAGAAATGTGCTGGCGTGGCAAGGAAAGGGTGTCAAAAACATGCAAAACGAGCCTTGACTGACTTTCAGATGACGCAAATGACTCATTTCAGAAAATGGTTTGGACACCGCCCGAATCCGTTCTCCGACCGCTACCAGAGCTTCATCGCCATGTGCAAGCTGGCTCACATCTTCCTCATGATCATCCTTCCCATCATTCTCCTGCTCTTCCTCAATCTGACACTTCTCTGGGCTCTCCGGAAACGGCAGAAACATTTGTCCATCGGGAAGGATTTCAATGCGGACCGGTAAGAACCTGAGTCAAATCCCCATCTAATCTCTGCTTCCTTCAGACGTCATAACGATGTACACATGCAGAAAACAGAACATCGCGTCACTTTGACCGTCACTTTCATCGTTACAATGTTCACTCTCACGAACGGGCCGTCGGCTCTCGTGCATTTGGTCATGTATGCAACTCATCAAGAGCTCTACGATTTGACCATGATATCTAGGTATCTCCAATCCATTATTTTCCGTTTCTATTATCTCTTAACTTGTTCCAGCACACTGGTGATCTGCGGGAAGGCGTCAAACTTCATTCTTTTCTGCCTCGGCTCCAAACACTTCAGGCTAAGGCTGCTCAAGTTGACGCGGAAGAAGATTAACAGAAAAATCGGTGAGTTCCACCGTTCAGTCAACGAATATCCGTCGCTCCTAACATCCTAGTGCTCCATAAGAATTCGTACCTCTACAAGACGAAAGGAACGTCGTTCTCGAGACTAGGATAACAGGGTGCACACGAGCATATCTGTAGGTTTCCGTGTGACCTTCTCACTCCCTCAGTTCGATCCGAACTAACTTCCCCAACCACACCGTTTCATTCCTTCGTTCCACTTTTCTTCTCTGCTCCTCTGTTTCCATGATTACGTGTTCAGGCCGAGTGGTCATCCTTCACGAGAGTATGTCCACACTCTTCACTGTTATCCGGCACTGGCGCAACACTGGATCCCAGAACGGTTCGCCCGCCCGTTTCTTTTTCGGCACTTTCTGAACCACTTGCACTCGGGCCACGAACAGCACGCTTTTGCACTTTCCCACTTGCTAACCCACTCTGTTTCCACTCATCACGTCTTCCGAGCTTCGAGATTCTTTTTCCACGTCTTCAAGATTCACAAGTCCCTGTTCATTCATCCACGTGGCTTGTCTCACTGATTCCCTTTCTGTCCCACCCAGATTCCTTCCCCAACTTACCAATTATTGCGTTTTCAGACTCCATAACCGGGTCGCTAGTGCATACCACCAAGATGAGCTCAGCCTCCTCCCGTCGTACTTCTGCTCCAGTTCAGGAGAAGAAAAGATCCTCCTCTTGTGCTCCATTGGTTGTCAAGAACAGAGCTCTGAGCACAGTGGAGACCATCTATCAGCCACTTTTAAACGGTGTCCAACGAAAAGACGATCTCTGAACGAGACGAGTGATAATCTGAAGCCGGTACAAGAATACACATCTCCTCTTCGAACACACAACGATCTCTGACTTTTATTCTCCGATCTGATTCAATAAATTGTTGCATTCATTCATTTATTCATTTGAAAACAAAACGAAATAGAAGGGAATACCAGTATGAGGGGAGTTCTCATTTACAGAAGATAAAGCGTAGTGGTTGTGGGGATTGGGAGAGGGGTGCAGAAGACCAAGTGAATCACATTTTGACATGTTTTGGAAGGATGAGTAAGTGTTTCGAATGGGTACCCTTGGGGAGAAGACGACACAAGTAATTGGATGCGGGGAAACTAGACGGAAAGAAGGGAAAATGGAAGAGGACTACAGGTTGGTACAGTCCACAAAGTGGTCCTTATCGAACGAACGGCAGAATCTCTCGAGCTTCGGACGCATTTTCTCGTCGATCATGCTCATTGCTGACATTCTGCAATTGTGTTTGGTTGTTTACACATATTCATGTAGCAGACATTTTGAATCAAAAACTCAGTAGCCAAAGTGAATGTAGCTCAGGCAAGAATCAAAAGTGATTGTGTTGTATTACCTGACAACAAAATTATTGCATCCGTCCTTGGTGACCTGCCACCGCCAATCCACGTCAATCTTGAGAGGGGCGAATGCTTCCACTTGTGTCTTCCTACTGTCGTAGCCAGTAAGACCGAGACGCAAGTACGGTGTCTTCTGAAATGCTTGAGAGTAAAGAATGATGATGAGCAAGTGGAGGATACCTTTGGTTGTCCGGGAACTTGGACATAAGTGAATGCGTTCCTCCAGACTGGCAGCTCTGTCCAATTCTGCGCCCTCGTCGCGTAGTCCACGTTCGTTCCTCCGTCGCACTTTCCGTCGTCGGAACACGTGGATAAGTGCCATCTGATGGCCACTTTATCCCAATGTTTGCATCTCAGCACTTGGTTTCCTTTCCACGAGTACGTCCGGCTTCCGATCAGTTCCCAGTCATTTATCTGTAATTCCTCGAGTACATCATGGTTCTCTCCCCCTCTCCGACTCTCTCATTTTTTGCCAACCCCTCCCGCATCCTGATTTTCTTCGCGCCGAGAGCTCTGCCATGATGTAATGGCATCTCGTGTCTGTGTCTCTTCAGGTCGTCCCACTATTCGCACTCGGAAGAGTTAGAAGATATTGTGTAATACAAGTGAAGAAACTCCTCTCCTTGCCTCTTGCACCGCACTCCTCTCCGGCAAAACGTTGTCGATTTGTTTTCCCATCCTGATTCCCTCGTTTCCTTGTTTCTAACACGTTGTTCATCGTTCTGAGTTCAGATGTCTGAATATCTCGGATGGCGTGACCGTAAGCCTGCGCACGGTAGCAGCCGTCACTCAGACTTCGACCGAGATATCATTCCGGGCGGAGCGCACACGAAGAGCTACGAGAGCTACGTGAAGAACATCTTTCATCCGACGAATAGGCTGAGGAATAAGGTTGGCTACAGTAGGAAACGTTCAAACTGAATCTGTTCAGGACAAAGATCAACTGATCCGCGACCACGGACTTTCCGCCACGAGCATGTTACGCGCCGAACGCGAGTTCGGAAGAAGTGCTCTGGACGACAAGTACGACAGAGATCACTTCTTCGAGAAGATGCCTCTTGAGAACCTCTATGGCGAGTTGGGACTCAAGAATCCGACGGTAAATTAGGTTAAATCAAAGACGAAACTTAAATACTCTTTCCAGACAACCTCGTACCGCAGTTTCCAAGTGTACGAGCCGAAATCGTCGTCGGAATACTTTGCGACCACTTACGAAGCGGAGAGAGAACGGAGAAAGAAGGATTTGGAGCGAGAGATTGGGAGTTATGACAAGGAAGAGTACGAGGAGTACACGGGGCAGCCGAAGAAGAACTTGTACTCGTCGCTTTCCAGTTACAGACCGGTTAGTTCAGATCAAACGTGCGAGAATTCAAGAGATCGTTTCAGCCTTTGAGCAGTTACAAGTCACGCGAAGATGAGGAGTACGAGAAGAACAACAGGAAGACTCTGATCGACTACAAAGACTTTGACAGGTAACTAACTCGAGAGAGATATCGTTTTTATTCCAATCCTATTCAGCTCGCCTCTCTCGCCGTATCTCTACCAATCTCACCCGTACGTCCGCAGCCAAGACTCCAGAATCATCGGCTCCAACTTTGTGCAACTCACCTCGCGCCCGAAGGACCAGTTCATCTCCAAGATCGAGGAGACTCTGGCGATGGTCCGTGATATGCCCAGATACTAAACCGCTCTTTCGCTCTTTCTTCTTCTTGTCTCCGATTCGCATGCTGTCCTTCCGGTGTCTTTTTATGTGAAGAGACATGAATCTATCGTTATTTCTGGTGCATTTTGACTGTCCGCGCTCTTGCGACCCAAATCCGTACTAGACTATTTCTTGCTCTTACTCTTTCTCATTGTAAATAAACGTACTCACCTCCAAATGGTTCTGCCACGTGGCAATCGGCAACACGAGTAGAAGCACAAAAAGAGCATTGTGCTGACGTGGCATCATCGCATAGCGAGACGAGTTTCTGAAAAAAGAGGATAAATCGTCTTGATGAAGTCCCGGCGGGCAGAGGCAGCCGGGGGCTAATGCGAATAAAGAGAAGATATTAAGAAAAAGGCACGCGAACTGACAGCGGGGGTAATAAGTCATTGCGGGCGGCACATGCATACTTTTTTTTTGACATGCATTCATTTTTCATGCCCCCACGTAGAAAGGGTGAGAGAAGTAACCCAGAGAGGGTGCCAACAGCGACACGCGTTTCAAGTGGTTCCTTTTTGATTTGAATCAAGGATGTTGCGAAATGGAAATGGACAACAACCTATTGGAATAGAAGGGAATGAATGTTAAGGAAGAAAAAGCAAGAAGAATCAATCGATTTGTTTGCACAGTGGGCACGCAAAACCGCCCCGACAGCCAGAGTTTTTGCGCTTTTAACAGTTTCGGCCGGCCGCCTCGTATCAACAGAAAGGATGGATGAGTTGTGTGAATACACAGAAAGTATGAATACAGACGGATGCGAACGGAAGACAATGTGCCGGGAAATATTCTTCTTTCGGCTCAATTTTCATTCGGTTATTCACATAAATACATAATCAAGCGGTCCTTTCCAAAGACGTGAGCTCTGGACACCTACACCAACGAATGTGCCAATCAGCGAAACTAAAGTTCGAGCGGCAACAGAGAAGGGTAGTGGGGAGAAGACAGCACTTGAAACGAATCGAATCGAAATCCACACCGAAATCTGTCAGAAAGAGTTACAAAGAAGAGAGTGGCATCGGCCTAATCAGATTAGAAAGGACGAAATGAGAAGAAGAAGGCTGGAGGTGAAATGGCACGGCTGTTATCAGAATGCGTGTTCGGAAGAAAGCGAAAGCCCGGAAGCGCATCCCTGAGTGGTCTAAACCCGGGGGATTATCTCGACCCAATTAACATTCGGATGCGCATAAAATGTTGTGATCGGGGTATCTATTTCTCTGCGCTAATTTATTGCCTGCATGTCAGATTTATTATGTGTGAGGAAATTCTTCTGATGAGGAGAATGAGAAGGTCTGACCCAGCAGCAGAAGAAGAAAAAGGAGAAGGAGAAGGAGACGACGATTGATTGATTAGCTGAAGGCTTTCACGCCAATCGTGTCGATGGGAAACTGATCTGACCCGAATGAAGAGGACGGCTAGAGATCGGAAGGCAGGGAACGGTGCGTAATTGAAAATGAGTGGGCGCGGGGAAGGGAGCGAGCGTGTTCGCACAACATTGTGAATAATTCAGTGAGGATTCGAAAGAAACAAATGAAGCGGCAGCCACGACAGGCTTCTTTTTTTTCTTCCTCTTGCGCGAAGCGAAGCAGAGGGGAATTTAATTGAGAGCCGGACCGGAGGAGCACGAAGGACGACCGCGCTGACCGAACAGTGATGAGCTGGAAGAAGCAGAGGGAGAAGAAGGAGAAGAAAGTCAGAAGGGCACTACAAACAGGAGCCGCGCTTGCTAATGACGTGGCAATTGTAGGCTTAGCGAGAAGCGAATGGGGGGAGGAATGCTACAATTCGAGCGGGGGAAATGGATGATTGAGGGGTGAGAGGAAGCACTCGCGTGTCCTGTGTATACTCATAATCGCACCCGTACTTTCGTAGGAACTGAGAACCCCATGTGACGTGGCATTTCCGAGGTGTACAAACACCGAAAAGGCATTCAACTGGAAGGATGTCTCCGACCGAGTGGAACGAACAAAGAAGACAAAAAGCAAAAAAAAAGAGAGGTAACGGGTGGCTCCACGCGTGGCTATACGGGTTTCTTCGCATTCTCATCAGATTTTGTTCCACTTCTGTTCCATTCATTCATTCATCCCGCTGAAAAAAAAGAAGGAGAAGCGAGAGTCCATAAATGGCGACAACCTAGTCCGTTTGCTTCTCCTCCTTCTCCTCCCTTCCCTTGTTTACCACCATCAACACCAGCTCTTCCACACTCGGACTTTCAACGACGGCGGCAAAATCCGAGCAAAGAAAGCTCGAGGCCCTCCTCCGCCGCTTTCGTCGTCATCTAATTAATTTGGCGCCGCACGCCCGCTTCTTTTCTTTTTGAAATCCCTCTCTCTCTCTCTCGCAACTAAGTGCTCTCTGCCTCAATAGTTAGTTTCGAACGAGATATCTCCCTTTTTTCTATTCTGGGAGATTGAGAAGACAATGACGGCGGGTCCTTACAAATGTGACAACTCGGAGCAAACGACGACAGCGGCCCGGAAGGATCGGATCGAACGAAAAGAGGAGTATGGGGAGCGGTTAGTGAGAGGTCGCAAGAAGAATGAAAGTGAACGAAAGCGAAGCGGTCGGACGAACGAAAACAAAGAAATTTTCAGAAGACCGCCACGGAAGAAGAAAAAAAGAGGAAAATGAGGATAGATGGATGGAAATGAGCGAGATGGGGAAGAAGAAGAGGCGGCAACAAGAGGAAACGAGTTCGTCACCGGAAACTGGTCACTTCTCGGAAGAAAAAGAAGAAAAAGAGGCGAAATGGAAACCGAATGGGTGGAGAGTTAAAAGAGGAGGTCACGGTTCGCAATCACGGGTGGTCTCGCGGCTGGACACAACGGCAACTTGCCATGAATTGAATGGGTCCGCGTCTTTGCAATTTCGGGGGCACGGTTTAAACAGCAAGATTCTGGCAATGGAGCTCTACCTTTTTTACATGGCTTTATCGAAAGACTGTCGTTACGGTAAATTTAGCCGCAGATTCGCAAATGAGAGTGGATTTTCAGAGTTAGCAATAAAAGTTCAGAGCGGATTTTCAGAGCGAGCAAGAAAGAAGAAGTGACCACAATCGCAATGCCATTGTTACGAAACAGACATTCTTGTGACTCAATCGAGGAATAAAAAGAGAGTGTAAGTGAGGCGAACAGTCTTCTCTTCCTCCCACTCTCTCTCTCTCTCTCTCTCTCTCTCTCTCTTTCTCTTCTTCGTCGTCGTAGATAATTGCTGGAAACATTACGATACCTCGAATGACTATCGAGAAACCGAACGAAATCGGCAGACGCCACAACGTATTAGGTGTCTCCTTATTGCGAACATTCTCGCATCGTCGACTGAATCGGCAGCGAGTTTCCGTCTTCAAAGTGGGCCCGAAAAGCTCTGGGGAGTTTCGTGTGTTTCTCGGCCGCAGAGAGTTTATAATACAAGTTCAATCTGACACGAATATTCACGAAACACACAACTCTTTTTGTGCATATCCGCCCGCGCCTTCCTGTTTGAGTCCTTTTGACGATCGCCTGAGTGTTCGTGACAGCTTGTCGGTTCGCATGAAAAAGAGTGGTTTCAGTCGACCGAAAGTATGATTCGACAATTGAAAAAAGTGACTAGACTGCTATAAAACCGTGAAAATGTAGTGACAATTCGATCTCAGAATCGCAGCCGCTGCCCTCTGGGGATCCATTAGTCTACGCCGTCATCACGAGAGTTTGAAGCAATCTTTGCAAGTACCACCAGCTTCATTCAAAAACCAAAGTTTAACAATCCAATTATTATTAGTTTCTTCAAATTCCCACTACAAGTCGGCTGGATCGGCGAGCAGCGCCTTCTTCTCACTGGTCGTCGCTGAATTTCTCATTTTTATGACTTCTTCTAAAATTGGATAGAAACTGAAGAGTTGTGCTCGGTGCTATGCTCCGTTCTGACCTCCCCCTGCCTCCTTCTCTTCGCTCGCCGCCGCCGTCGCCGCCTTCACCGATTTCACCGACTTCTCATCGTCGGAGGCCTCGAGCAGTCCCTTCACGAGCTCCTTGTCCACCTGCTTCCGTCCGGTCGTGATATACACGCCGTTCAAGTGCTGCTCCACACGACGGAGCTGACGCTTCTTGGCAAAGTGCTCACAGCCTGAAATGTATATTTCTCTTCTAATCGTCTTGGTTCCACTTACACATATAGATCAAAGCCAATGGAATGATAGTCAGAATTCCGATGGGTCCGATGCTTGAGGTGAAGTTGTTGTACCATCTATAGATGTCCTTCGTGTCCGTGATCTCGCAATACTTTCCCGAGTAGGGCTCGGTGCAAGTGCACTCGGTCAGGTCGTAGTTGGGCATTCCGTTGCCGTGACAGTCGATTATGTCGCAGTCGGCGCCCGCCCATCCCAACTGGCACTCGATGCAACTGCCGTTCTGAAGACGTTCGTAGCCGGCACACAACATCTTTCGGTGGCAAAGAGTGCCCGTCCAGCCATCCACACAGAAACATCGGTCCCCTGCAAGCATTTTGGATTGGGAACTGTTCAAAGCTGGGCACCAACCCCGACCTTTTGAGTCCCGAACTTTTGCCAAGGTGGGAGTTTCCATAAATTTCATACTTAGCAAGCTTCTTAAGCTGAGATGGTACTATCTTGGGTTCAAGTTTCAGAACGGTCGGATAATTTACTTTAGAGAGTGGCGCCCAGATTCAAAAAGCCTTGAATGCATCCTTTTTTTCTGGATAACGTTCTGTGAATTCAGTGTTGAAATTAGAGCGTGGTTTCCGGAAATTTCCGGTTACAATACAAGCATAGTCTTCTAATTGAAAACGAGAATTAGATTGAATACATTTCAGCACTGGTAAATATTTCCAATTGATCAGAACACAGTACATTTAAAATTCGCAAAGTTCACAACAGTTTTGGTCATAAAACAATCCGGTTTTCTCATTTGAAAACGGCAGAATCGTTGTAGTTTTCCAGCAAAAAAAGTGAACGAACCTTCTGGAGTTCCATTGATGCACGGCTTCTTTTTGCGCAGAACGGCGGCTACTAAAACTATTAGTATGGCGGAAAAGAGGATCCTCCGAAGCATGTTCTGACCAGCAATTACCTGGAAAACACAATGAAAGCACTCGGAAACCCGTGGCCTCCTGATTCTAATTCGATTTATTTTTCCTCCAAAGTCAAGTGGTTGGTTGGAAGGTTCGAAAGGAAGAGAATTCGGTGAAAAAATGCGGCGAGGGCAAGAATCGGAAGATTGTAAACAGCGAGCGACGACGGGTTAAAATGATAACTTGCGCAGGAGAGAGAAGACACAAATTGGAAGTCAGAAGACGGAGAATGAATGAAAGAAGAAGACGTGCGAGAAGAGAGGGAGAGATGCGGTCAATTGGCGGCGTCGGGCACGGACCGTCTAGTAATCAGTTGCAATGATTGGGAGAAGAAGACAGATACAAAGATAACCGCCGCCTGTAAACAATTGATTACCAGAAGGGACGATAATTGGGAATGTGCCGACGAGTCTGAAAACAGTTCCTGATTGCGATTCTATATTTCGAATGGCCCAAAAGAAGATGAAAGTAAGGACATTCATGTGCTCACAAGAAAAGAAAAGAAATAAGAAGATTAATAAAGTCTCTGGCAATCTATTTTACATCATTTTATGCTCCGAGCTGCTTGTAGAGGATGGGCACGTAGTCGTCGTACTCGGCCTGGTAGAGATTGCCGTAGACGGGAGTTCCGAGTCCGTGCTTCTCCACGAACTTTGCCGCCTTCCATCCGCCTCTCTTGTCGCCTGAGCGGTTCGTCAGGCGGCCATGTTCAGCGTCTTCAATGCGTCCCGTCTGCTTGTAGATGAGGTAAATGTACCGATGGAGGCCGGTTCCTGGTGGTGGGCCGGCGCCAATGTACTCGGACAGGGTGTCCCCCTTGGCAATGTCGTTTCCAGGAATGTTCACAACAAGCCAGTGGTGCCACTCGCGGTAGGTAGGCTCTTTGCGGGACGGCGCATCTGGATCAGTCTTGATAAGCGTGTAGAGCGCTCCCGGCTCGGCCTCCCACTTCACTTCCGGCACATCTTTCACCTGCTTCGGGGTCAACACATTTCCGAGCGAAGCCTAAAACGCGTTTCACATTTTACTTATTCTCTGGTGCAGCAGGTATACCTCAACGCCTGAGTTGAACTTGACGGAGACAACTTCGACGGCGGGTTGGCGGCCAAAATGTCCGGAACGACCTCGTGCTTGACGAATGCTTCAGATGCCATTGTGGCGAGACCTCTGTAAAAATTATTGAAAATAGGGTTATACACATCAGGTAAGAAACGAGAAAAGAGAATAAAAACCTCTGGAATCTAGGAGCAAAACTGGAGGCGACGAATGGAACTCTAGAAGCAACAAACAGGGCGGGGAGCAGGGATCTCGTTACCAAGACGACCATCCTTCAATTTTTTATTTGTTTGCACTATATTTACTTAGTGTTTGCTGTCACACACCAAGAAACACGCATTGCGGATCAGTTGAGTAATATTTTGCAGGAAGAATGTTCAGAAAGTAGGGCGGATGAGGAGATAAACATGTTTTCGATTCGATTTCGATTGTCAAACAAACGTGGCAAGAAAGGATCACAACTAGGTCAGTTTCCTGTCTCACTTTACGTTTCGAGCAAAACAAATTCAAAACAGTGCAGAAATGTTCGATGAGCAGCAAAAAGATCGACAGTTGTTTGTGAGGGATTGTCCTCGAGTAGTACACATGGTTTCGTTGCGAGACTATTTTACAAAGTTTAACATGCACCTTTAACCTATGGTATATTTTGGAAAGAACGCTTTGAAAATAACCAGAAAACTGACTGCTGACAGTTTATCAATCAATAGAAAGTCAGCCATAAACACAATTGTTTGCGGCAGGGAACATTCCCGCTCCTTTCGTTTTTGTTTGCGATAAAAAGAGAGAAGTGCGCTGGAGTGTCGTTGACCTTTCCTCTGCGAAAATTCCTTTTTCAATTTGAGAACGTGTTTTCAAAAACCGAAAAAATGACTGATTTCTGGCTAGAAACTGTACCAGAACCTTTCACTGATAAGTTCAAAGTATACACAAAACGATGAAATTATCAAGCCAGTGCACGTCGTTGACGTTATTCAAAAAAAAAGAAAAAACGTTTTATTCCACAATAAACGACCCATAATTCTATTTACGCAACATAATTTGGCTGAAAGTTTCGCTCAGATTTCAATGGGATGACTCTTGCGATTCGAGTGAAGCGGCGACCTCTCCTCCTGGTTCCGACGGCAGTGAAAAAAGCAGATGAGAAAGATGGCGATGATGATGAGAGCAATAATGATGAGCAGGAGGGCGACGACCATTCTGAAAGTGCAAGTTGCGCCATAGAACGTTCAAAATGAATATTACCGATAGATTCCATCGACAGACTGCTGTATCCTTCTCGTCGTGTCGTAGTTGTCATAAATGATTCCTAAACAAAACACATTGCCTTTCAGTTTCAGAAGGTGTTTCATCTCAATTCTCACGGAGACCAGTCGCATGCACACGCACGAGAGGCACGCTAACTGCTAAGACTAACCGTCAGCGAAAAGAATACCTAAAAGACCGTTGAGAATGGCTTTCTGCTCCTCGCGAATCGACGAGCTATAACTATCCATTCGAGACATGGCTGCTGACGAGGTGACGTCCGCTTTAAGGACTCATTGATCCACAAACTGCAAGAGATGCCCGTGAAAAGGGGGCGAAAAGGACGACGGAAATTGGATTAGAGAGTAATACTTCATGTGCTCCCAAAAAAACAAATGGGAGGGGAATGTCCTTTTCGAAAAAAGAGAGTGAAGACTTTTGAACCCATCGCAGTGTTAATTGAAATTTTGGAAATGGAAACGAGAAGGGCGGAAAAGTACGACCGAAATGAGGGATTTCAGAACAAAAAAGTGGTTCTCGAGAGCTCGGAGCAAGCGCAGAGAGGCTGAAATCGAGAGCCGGCGGTCCAGTGCACCTGCCGTTTTTCCCTCATCTAATTTCGCTTTCAGCAGGTGTCAAATTGGATCAGAGGCGCGAAACGCGAAAAAAAAGCTGAGATTTCATGTTTGTGGAAAGGAGAAAAAGTAAACTCTTTTCACTGGAAACTGGGGCGGATATCTCTTTTTGTTTGCTCAAACAAGACGTCTTGCGGGTCCAAATATCTGGTGGCTCGGCTCAGACGAAGGAAAAAACGACGGAGCACACAGTGTCGGCAGATGCACAACGCACTAATGAGCACCCAGGTATCATCAGAACGGCGACGTCACATCTGAATCGGGATCGCGCGAGCACACATTTCAAAACAACAACTGTTTCGAGAGTAAAAAAGGCGCGACACAAAAGCACAAAAGGTGAGAAGAATGGGTGTGCGGACGGCGACGACGGGAGGATGCGCGTGTGCTCTCGCCGTGCTCAATTATTAGCGAGCCGAGGAAGAGAAGAGCCGCCCGTATTCCGTTTCGAGTTTGTGTTGCAAAATTGCGGCCGCCGGAAAAGAAAGACATCAGTTTCTATAAACAATGGATTAGAAATGGAATGGCCAGAGAGAGATTAGCGACAGTTTGCACTTTGAGCACAGAAGGTCGGGGTCCGAAAGGAGAGAGAGAAACAAAAGAAATCCGATACGAAACTGGTTCGCGAAAGGAGAAGAGAAAGAAAAGGAAAAGGAAAGAAGCTAGGGGAATCGAGAATCAGCAGGTGAAAGAGACACGCGAGCACGCACAATCATTAGCAGGAAGATAATGGAGAGAATGAGGAGAAACGGAGGCGGGACTTGGATATATGTTTATGGCTCGGGCTCGCGTTGTTGTTCGAAATTGGGCAGCTGTGAGTGATAGCGGTGGTAAACAGTGAAAAGGGTGGAAATCTGCGAGACGAGACTGAAGCACGTGGTGATCAGAATATCAGGGCTCTCGCAGGCCTTCTAATTGCTATTTACTCTCGGAGTTGTTGTTGTTGCTATAGTTGGCATAGAGTAATGCTCTAGAATAAAACAGCGAAGCTCACATCAAGATTCATGGAAACAAGAAAGGAATAAAAGAACATTGGTCACTTTTATGGGTTGGAATCTGAGAAGTTTGATGATGATGGACACATCAAAAACATCGTTTCTCGAGCTCGAAACCTCACCAAAAAGGAGGAGGAAGATGTGTGTTGAAACGAACAAAAAAGTGAGTGAGCTTCTGGAGAAAAGACTTCTTTTTCGCCGTCTTTTCGTCGCCGAGCACACACACACACTACCATAATTCGATTGCGCCACGCTTTGATTTTCGAATTTCGGCTCACGCGAATTCGTTTATTCGGCTTGCATCGAGTTCTAGAAGGAGCACATTGAAAAATGTGGCCATCTGAAATATCGAAGAAGAAGACGGAGGAGGAGGAGTGGGAAGGAGAGAAAGAGGGAAATGTTAAAATCACACATCCATTAGAAGATTATATGTAGAGGGAGGAAACTCGAGAGGAAGGGTGCATTTATGAGCACTCGAAACGGACGGACAGAGTTTCATTCGGATCGGACGGCAATGACATGTAATTCCTATCAACTAACAAGTCGACAGGTGTTGCAAAGTGACAAGGCTCCGACGAAAACTGATATCCGAGGGGAGGCGCCCAGGTACAACCAGTTGGTATTCAATTTCAATCGACCGACGTTTTGATGCACTCCAGACCCCGCCTATTTCGGAATATTCAGGAGAGGCAGTCCATTTCCGTTCATTCTAGAAAGTGCATCACAGTTTCCGAAGGAGCAATCGAAAGGCTGTCAACTAACAAATTGCTCATCAGAACATGGTGTACACTTTATCAGTCTACAAGAAACTGAGATTTAATGTTTTAAATTAACGGTATTGAGATCTTATCAGCGTCTTTCAGTACAAAACGGCTTGTGACTCTCTTAAAAAGGGCCCAATGAAGCGTTAGATGTGGAGAATACACAAATAAATTTTCGGAATCATCTGAAATAGCCATTTTCCAAGAATGCTGACAAGAACTGTACAATTGGTCGTTTGAAGGAGTGAAAGAAAGACGGGCGGCAGGGGAGAGTCGCGCGTATTTTCGAAATTAAAGATGTCGGAAGTTATTGAATTAGTGCACGCTCCAAGTGGCTTATTAGTTAGGAAGGGCGGCTCGGAGCACGAAGTGAGAGAGAGAGAGAGAGAAAAACAAAGAGATTGAGAGGGCCAAGATGGATTGACTTCATAATTCTCTCGAGGTTTGAATATGAATTCCGACGATGAATGAATGCACGCGCGGCGGCACATTCTCGAACTTTTTGAGACGACGACGAGACACGCCTCTTTTTAGCTCCCGTGTCCGTTGGGAATCGACTAATAAAATGTTTGTCCTCGGGAAGGAAAACCAGAAAAAATGGATGGGAGGGGAGTGTGTGCACGAACGGTAGTTCATCTTGTGTGCTTCTAGAAGACGTCTGGAATTCTCTCTTTTCAGATGCACCCCTCAAAATCTTCAGTTTCCTTCGTCGGTCTGCGTCTCTGATCGGCAGAATTCGTCAAAGACGAAAATCAATCGGCGCAACCTGTTTGGACGGTGTCTCCCGTGTACGCGTACACAAAACTCTTCTTCACTTCAATTTCAGTACTCAAATGGATCACACCGTCCACGATCCTCCCTCGAGTGTGCTCAATGACAACTGCTCGGCCTCCTACATGACTCCCTACGCGACCGTCATCGCCATGTCCGGCCTTTATCTGCTCGCCATATTTTACTTTTGCAAAAGTGAGAAACAAATTTGGTATTTTTAAGCTAGTTCATTTTCAGAATCGAAAAAGATGTGCCAACCCATGTCTGACAGCATGTATCCCTATCAAAAACGATTGAAACAGTTGGAAAGAGGCAAGTGTTGTTGTCTTTTTTGTTCATTTTGAGCAGCAAGCGTGTTTCAGAGCTCAAAAACTATTTGATTGACGAGGAGAGCATCGAAGTGGACGATTATCACATCGGACAAACCGCCGACGGCTTCATTTTCCGGGGCGGAGTCTTCCCGAAGACGCGCAACCGATTCAATGCGAAAGTGACGACTGCGGTGAAGGTTTGTGGCCGGAAACACGTGCAGCCCTCAATCCAATTCAATTCAGATCAGCTTTCCGATTGTGACCAAGTCGATCAGTCTGCTCGAGGACGCACTTCGCCTTTCGAAACTTGACCATCCTAATTTGATTCGTCTTCTCGGCGTTTCGCAGCTCTCTTTTACGGGTGAGAAAGAGTGAAAGTGTGAAAAAGAGAGCGATGTTTGACAACTCAATTTCTATTGTAGTCTTCCGTCCGATGATAGCATTGGAGTGGCTGCCCGGTGGCACTCTCTCCGACTTTTTCGTCTACAAAGTCAGGGTGAGCACGAGATTCTAGTGGGGGGACGGATATTGTAGCGTTGTCTGCAGGAACGAGAGGACCACGAACGGAGTCCGATCCAATTGAAAGACATGCTTTCGATTCTCTACCAAATTTCGCAAGCTCTCAAGTACATTCACTGCAAACTGGATGAGTTTGGACAGGAACTGACGCACGGCAGAATATGCGCTCGGAACGTTCTCATTTCGGAGCCAGATCTCAAGAAGTGTGAGGTCAAGTTGGGAGACTTTGGGGAGCCGCCGATCGGAGCACAGTTCGTGACGCCGATTGTGAACTACATGCCCCCGGAAATCCTTTGCTGCGCGGAAAGAATCCCTCCGCACCGCCCGGAAAACGATGTCTGGATGTTCGGAGTGCTCATTTGGGAGTGCTTGACTCTCGGTGCGAAGCCACATTTTAGAAAGTCTGTGGAGGAGATCAAAAAGTGAGTTGCATTCGATTCCGATCACAGAAAGAAATCCGTTTCCAGAAGCTTCCGTCTGCCGGATCGTGGCCTTTCGTGCCCTCCGACCTGCCCGCTTGACGTGTAAGTGACTCAAGAAGCAGGTGGAAACTGGCTGCACATGTCCCATTTTCAGATGGACCCTGGTGACGGACTGTCTCGCGGATCCGCACATGCGTCCGCGCTTCTCCTCTTCCACCAACGCCTCCATCCCAACTCGTCTCTCCGAACTGCACCACATCGTCTCGCCGGCGCTCTTCCTCTACCCGATACCCAATCAATCCGTTTGCACGTGTGCAGAGCATAATTGCCATAGCATTCCACAGTATTGATAGTCTTCTTCTGTAGAATACGTGTATTTCTGTTCGATCTCTGATCCGGTCCATTCTTTTGCGTGTTTTCGGGTATTCACGATGAGCCGGAGGGCGCACATGAAATGGAAGAAAACGAAGGAGGAAGAGGAACCGAAATAGTAGCTCCCATAATAAACATATCAAGAATTTTCGGGTTTGTGTTTTATTTTTATTGAGAGGATTTGCAAGCACATGAATTAGTATACTTCAGAGGAACATCTATGGAACATCTGTTTTCAGGCCGAATTTTTGCGTAGTAGTCATTAGTTTTGAATCCAATCGGTGCTATCGTATTCCAAAGGACCTTGCCAGAAGTCCCTTCAACAGAACTCTTCCAGCTCTTCCTCTCCGTACCTTCCCGTTCCGTAATCAAAAAGTAGTTAGCCTGGGTGGCTGCCGCTTCTTCTTCTTCTTCTCCTTTTCCCCCTTCCCCTCCTTCTTCATCCACTTTTTTCTTTCCTCATAACACACAACCCGGCCGCTTATTCTTCTTATCCGACCTAATCCGGCATGCACGTCGTCTCATTCTCACCCCCGATATAGTCTCTTCTTTCTTCGTCCCGGAATATTCCGAAAATCCGCGGTGCTTTGAGAGCGATGAGCCCCACCCGATAATTTCCGTAAATTCATCTTGCGCGCCCTCCTCATCGTCTCCCCTTTCCTCCCCTTTTTTCTTCGTGTTCACTCAACCAACCGGGAGCACGTCTTCTGCTCCTTCTTCTGCTTCTTCTTCTTCTTCTTCTTCTTGTCCTTCATTTCGACGTCGACACACACACACACACACACACGATTCATAAATTTTTGATATCGAAATAATTCGAGAAAGCGAAGCTCACACAACATCCAATTTGTATTATTCCTTGCCGTGTCATCTCATTTCCCTTCTTCATCATCATCTTCTTCTTCCAGACCTTCTTCATCTTCTTCTTCCTCTTCAGGTTTAGTGAGCTCTGGCTTCTCGATTTGCGCCATTTCTTGTTTTCCCCGCTGAAATTATAGGGTCTGTAATGAGTGCGGGAAATATGGTTCCGCTCCACTTCGGTTCACTTTGTTGTTCTCGTCTCGTTCAGTACTAGCTGAAGAGTCTCGAACACTTTGGTTCGTCAGCGATGACGTGATTCCTTTAGAAATGGGTCTAATAACTCTTAATCCGTATATAACTTGGAAGTAGTTTCTGCTCGTTTTGTTTTATCTCTGGAACTCCAAACTTCCTGGTCTCGGCCGGAGTCCAAAGTCTACTCGGTTTGTCCTCCAATCACCGTAATTTGTACTAATCCCTCCCCTCTGTCACCTGACTCACGAACCCCTCATTACCCGCCGAGCATCAGAAACCCCTCGCCTAATTGCCGCCGCTGTAGGCGTCGATTTACAGCACGGCGGATCCCCCTCAGCAAAAAAAAAGTAAGTGGGAGCAGATCGGAATCTTTTCGGAATCTCTCCGAGTTTGGCCGTGATGCTCTTCGCGCGCGGGCAGCTTCTTTGGCCACTTTGCTCGGCTCTCCAGGCACACGCACAAACATACATTGCCTAAAAATTTACTTGCGTTTAGGGCCAATTAGAGACGAGTCGTCGTCGTCGGGGGGCTCACGGAGCCGAAGAAGGAGAAGAAGCGGCGGCAGCGGAGAAGACACGACGATGAGAGGAGCACGTACTTACATGCACACACATACACACCAAGGCCGACGACGAAGACGTGTGTCCCGAGCACGCACATACACCTGCACATTGTTTTTGGAAGAGAACCGCCTGTGTCCGCTGTTTCTGAAATTGTTTTTTTTTCGTTATTTCCTGTGATCTACCGGCTGGAGTCACGTCTTCTGAGGGCCGTACTTCACGGGCATTCAAGTGGATTTCTTGAAAAGTCTACGAGTTTTCCATCTGCAACACTCCTCGTGTTAGCTTTACAAGAGCATTCTGAGTCATTCTGAACATCTCCGATTCGCTGTTTACCTTCTCTCTGAAACCCTTTTTCTTCTTCTTCTTCTTCTTCTTGACCAGAGTTCGCCATTTACCAGATTGTACTTGTTTACGTACTCGTCCATAAATAATGAACCATAATGTATCGCACTGTGACGCCCGCGCGCAAGTAAAGTTCTGATACAATCGGTTTCCAGGAAACGAGGGAGCACATTCACATAAGAATGAGTTGCTGAACGCCGAAGACACAATGATGGCAGCCAACTCGATCGTCGTTCAAAAGCCGCCGAGCACGTTCTTGTGCTCCTTTTCCCTCTACGCCTCCACAATTATCATGGCTTTCCTGCAGACTGTGCTCACGGCGCTACTCGCGTAAGTTCAGCCTCTGCCTGAGATGCCTATATTTTACACTTTTTCAGAATCCTGTACCGAGTGAAGATCGAGGGGGACAGTGTCATTCTGCGTATTCTCTTCTGGATCCACGTATTCTGCTCGATTATCGCTCTTCTCTTCTCTGTCTTCTGCCTGGTCAAACGGAAAATTGGCTCCACTTACGAAGTGGTCCTGCACGGATACCTGCTTAGTGTGGTCAGTCCCTTTCCCGCCCCTTCCAGTCCCTTCATCCGGTCCGTTTCAGCTGATCAACGGTCTGACCGCTCTGTTCGGGTGCTCTACGTGCCGCTGTTCTTCCTGCAGACGTCGCACTCTCTGATGGAGGGTCTCGACTACTTCATCTGCTTCACGCTCTCCGGCGTCGTGCTCTTCTTGCAATGGGCCGTCAAACAAGTCACCGAACAAATGCTACCGGTTATGGAACACGACTTCAAAGTCTGAATCTCACTTCCCCTTTCAATTATTTCACATTTCCTGATCTGGTTCTCTTTTTTTGGTCGAAAAAATAAACTATGAACTCGGTGAAGTTGGAGTGTCACTTCAAAAAGCGATCATATTATGCAAATTCGTCTTCGCCGAGTTGACCTCTCAAATATTTGGCCATATTTGCCACCTTTTGCCTCCATTGTGCTCAAATCCATGTCATGAGCACTTGTTTCTTTTCTCTCTCGGTGGGCGCCACTTGTCTGTTTGTTTTCAATTTGCATCGACTCCTCCCGAGGCTTCCTCCCTTGTTTCTGCCGGTAACTGCCCCGTGCTCCACGAGGTACTCGACTCGCTTCCGGCATATCTCGCATTTTTGATCATCCGTCAATCGTACCGAGCCGCCGACATGCATCTCCTTCTGACGCTCTCCCTCTTTCTCGCTGATTCTCTCCAGACGACGTCCGCGTTTCCCAGCTCGCACATCGATTGGTGCCTCTATTTTCAACGACTTCACATTTATAAACCAGAGTGCAAATTCTATGATGACGTCGATTTTCACGTGGAACGAGAGATACGGGGTGAGTATTCTACTAACATTATGAGACTACAGTAATCTAGCAAAGCAGCGAGAAGTCTACCGACTACTAAACTTATGAGAATCTAATTTTCTAGCAAAACCCATCTCAAAATCGGCGGAATTTTCGGTGCTCGCCCTGCAAATGGCGCAATGCTCTGCCCATTACATGTACTGCACCGAAAACTACCAGTGCGGTCCCAATCATTTGGTCAGTTTCTCCCTTCCATTTCTCATCGTTCCCTTCGTTTTCAGCGGTGTATCGACATGCTCCGCTACCGTGAGTGCTGTGCTCCGACTCGTCGCGAGTGCCCACCGGTCAGCCACCTCAACTTCCGCTGTCTTGTTCCAGAACCTGTAAACTGGTGTGACGCCGATTCGGATTGTCACACGACTCCGCAAAGGAGGTGTTGCCCGACCGGCTGTAATTATAACATTTGTATTTAATTCTCACAGAGATCTTATTATTATAAGCTTGAAACAAATTAATGAATGTTATTAAACAATTTAAATCAGATCGTCATAACGAATGTGGGACTTTGATCACGCCGCGAACAGTCTTTTTCTGCGGACGATGAGCTGCGACGACGCCTGAAAGGACAAACTTTATCAAGAACTTGCTTTCGGCAGATACCTCTCTTTCCGTCTCCTTTCCTCTTTTGATTCAGATCTCCGCGAACGTTTTCTGCCGCTTCGGGAGCGGGACCGACGCCTTCTGTGCCTCTCGACACTGCTCCTCCGGCTTCCGCTTTCTCTCGATCTTCTCATCGCAGCTCTTCTCTCTTTCCGATTCATCGGTGTCCGGGAACGAGATCTAGTCCGAGACCTACTGTCTCGTCGGTGTTTGCTGTGTCGCTTCCGATGTTTGTCTCTGCTTCTGCTCCGTGTGACTCTTCTCAACGAGCTCCCAGAACTTAGACATCGACGTCTTCTGCTCGCACTGCTCCGACTCCTGATATACGTGGAACTAGAAGATCGAGAAGAGCTTCGTTCCATTCTCCGCCGAACAATCGGCACTTGCTCAGTTCTCGTTAGTCTTCCGAACAGTCTGCTTCCCCGTCTATTCCGGAACGGTGGGGTCACAGAGCGAGTACGAGCGCCGAACGAAACCGAATTGATAGGGATTGATCCATAATCATCCCTGAAGTGAGTAAACTGCGCAGGCGACGGTTCGATGCGTTCTGTTCCGTCGAGTCGTGGCGGGAATGCCCATTCCGGGAGAAGACCTCGAACCTCTGAAGTCAAGTAATACTCGACGTCTCTCGGCTCTCTTCCTTTCAAGATTCTGTAAAACACCTGTTTTGAGTTCAAATAGCTGTATGGCCTGGTTTGCTCACTGAAATCGCATCTTGGCTCGCGCCTTGTACATCAGATCAACGTGCTTCATGGCCTGCAGAAGATAGTCTCCATCCTCCCGAATCCGTTTTTCCACGTATTCTTTTTCGTCCCTTCAAACTCATAATTTCTCGTTTTTCCCTTCCGAATCCGTCTCACCGAAACTCTGGATCTTGCCACAATTCCTCTCGAACTCTGTCCAAAATCGTTCCCAGCAGATTCTTTCCCGTGTTGATCGCGCCCGAAACAGCCGTCTCGATGTCTTTGCCTGTGTTCTCACCCATATTTCCGTCGTCCTTTTCTTTCCATTCCCAATAATCACTCATTTTTCAGATTTCTCTGCAAATTTAACCCGATCAAATGGTTAAAAAGGAAAGAAAAGGGCGACGAGGGAAAGTAAGCGAAAACATGAGTACCTATTCCCCAAACGGTGTCGAACGGACTGCACTCGACGAGTCGGCTGCCGGTCGAGAGGAAAAGCGCGAATCGGAGGTGCCGGAGGGCGCGGAACTTGGCCGTGCATCCCGTGTACATCACCGACTCTTTGTGTTCGTTCCATCTGAAAACCCGCACTTTGCGACGTCTTCTTTACCTCGAACGTACACAGAATCACTCCAGCCTTTGAGTGCTCCTTTTGAGCACATCGTCTTCATTTCTCTCGGACTGACCGAATCCAGAACAGACTTCATCAACTGGCGATCCATCAGAAGAGAAGCCTTATTAAACCTGTAATCTATGTGGGTCTCTCCACGAATTCGTTTCCGTTTCCCTCACATGTAATACTGTTCTGTGCACGAAAATCTTTTCATTTCCGTTGAATTTATCGCTCCGTCGCAATCGAAATCCGCCGGATGGTGGTTGGAAAACGGACTGACCTTCCGGAAGAACAGAGTGAATTCTCCGTCCTCCCTCCGAATCCGCAACGTTCCCATCTGAATTTCAACTGCTTCTCACGCTCCATTATTGCGCTCGGTATATTACTGCTTCAACAACTGAAACTCATTTCGCTCTTTTTACGTATTCATTATTTATTCGGATTGAGGGCGAGTATAATAAATTTGACATTTTACGAATAATAAATTTGATTTGGCGGAGTGAAAAAGCGAAGGAGTACTCCGGGAACTGTGGACAGAGAAAGGACAGAGGAATAGCTACAGGAGAGTGGAAAGATGCATTTTTTTGGAATTTGCGAAAGAAAGGGTGAAATGGATAGATGTTTTGAAAAAAAAGCGTCCCAAGAGAAACAGAAAAGCAAAAAAAAAGTATTAATTAGATGTCATCAATGTCCAAGTCGTCCTCCTCCTCATTGTTGGCCTGCACAGCAGTTCCGTTCGTCGCCTTCGACTCCGTCGCAGCTTCCTTGGCTGCCTTCTCACGTTGCTGGCGCAGGAATTGACTCTCCTTCTGGTCGTCTCCGAACTGAAACAAAGCAAGTGAGTTCGGATTAACGAGATTAAGTTTCTTACCGCAATATCGTCATCCGATTCCTCGTCGGACTCTTCTTCCGCATTTTTCAACCATTCGAGGAACACTTTCGCGTTCTCGATAACTTTTTTTGCAAATGACTTGGAAACGTACTTGCTTGACGGCTTCTCTCCCCAGGTCAGAATCGCTTCTTCTTCGCAGATATCGGCTTCGTACAAAGCCTTGATGATATGCGCAGATTTGGCAAGGAGAGTGCTTTCATGCTTGTTCACAACCTGTTCGATTCCTCCAAGCATGTAGCGCTGAGCCTTCTTGTCGTTCAGAGTGAAGCGGAGCAAGAGCTTGCGTTGTTTGGGGATCTGTTGCTCAGTGAGAATATTCTCATCGAACAGAACATTGGCGAGAAGAAGCGAAGCCTTCTGCTTCAGCTCCAGTCTCTCCGCTTCATCACGCAAAGCATTCAAGTCCTTGGTCTCGGTGATACGTCCTGAATTTTTTTTGAAATTTGAGTTGAAAGAAAGGGTGGTTTAATTACCTTCATCCTTGGCCTTCACAAAGAAGGTGTGAAGCATGTCGAGACGCTGCTCCTCGCTCTTCTCGAGGTCCTTGTCCAGAACGAGCTTGCCCATTCCCGCCGACAGCATGCCATTCGGCTCGATTGGTTCCGGTTCCCAGTCGTCGTCTTCGTCATCATTCGAACTACCCTTGTCGCCGTTTTGGATTAGCTCTGCCGCTACTGCGGCGGCTGCGTCAGCGCCCGATACCTTCTTTCCGTTTTTCTGTTCTGCTTTCGCTGAAAACAATGGATTTGCATGTTGATTATGTGTGGTCATGTGAGTATATTATATGCAAATCAGCCTTAAAATATTTCCCCTATTTCTGATAGTTCACTAACAAAAGTCGACATCGATTTTCGGCGGGTTCTTCATGATGTACGTCGCCAGCTTGTGCTTGTTGTCGATATCGAACGAGCCTCCGCAAGCTTTGCATTTGCTCTTGATGCCGGTTTTGCGAACAAACTGAAATCAGAAACGAGTTATTTAGCTGAAATAACGTCTTCTGTTCCTCACCAGTTGAGTTTCCGGATTCTCACAGGACTTGCACAGAACAAACTTCTTGATGAATCCGTCTAGAATATCCTGAAGCTTATTGGCATCGTGTTCTCCATTGACAATGTAGCGCTCGTTTTTGGCGTCAAAGTTTGTTTGAGCGCCGAGCTCACATCCAAAGTACTTGGTGGGGTCTGAAAAACAAAGCATTTCATTGCTTTCCATCGGGCCTACGATGAGGTGCCCTGTAAACATACACATTGGCGGGCGCTCGAGAGCCTTCGCAATCTCCGACATGTTTGAGATGACCGTCTTGATTCCGTTGCCCTTTCCTTCGACTTTGGCCGAAAGCTTTGGCATTTTGTAGCGGTAAAATGGGTCAGCGACCGAACGATTCACGTTGAGAGCCATGGCGAATGCTTTTGTTTAGACCGTCTTCTGAAAATCGCTACCATCCACTGTGAGCATTAGGACTTCCCGTAGGCCGACACTTACAAGAAGTAAATATCACGAGTCCGGTTGATATGTGGATTTGGAGAATTGCATACACTGTTGTAAACGATCTTGGCTTGGCTGGCGTCGAGAGATGACGACGCTATCGATTCGCAAATCTTCAGTTTCTTTCTCTTTCTGGACAACCTCCCTGAAAATATGATGGTGATTGATACTCTTGACAAACCGATTATGTGCCCCCACTATCTATCTCTCCCCTTCATAGGTGGGGTTTATGGGCAGCCAAAAAACCCGCGATGACAGGCGTAAGAACGAACATACAAATTATGAGAGCGCGAATGCAATGTTCGACGTGGAACTTTGATAATCGCATGAATTTTCACAGGTTCCGAGAGACTCGTTTAGTGAAATCCCTTTTTCCAAAAGTGATTTTTATAGTTGAACTGTGTTCATTTTTATTGCGCATGTTCAGTGCGGAAAAATGATCCTGTTGGACGCTTTATTCAATCGTTTATTGACACTTCGCGCGTTCTGCAGATTTACGAACTTTTTGCTTCGATTTGTCACCAACGCCACGTCGTGATCTAGTCAGCTGGCCATCGCACATGATAAGCGGAGAATAGATTCTGGTCATGTCCTTTTTCCGCACCGAAGCAGCGCTTAATCACCGGAACGACATTTCAATGTTGTGCTCGTTCTGACAATCGAACATCCCAATGTTGAAGGAGTGGAACAAATCGTTGGCGCAAACTAGTTTCGCCCAGTACGATTCACTTTGCAAAAACAACTATTTGTTTATAGCTGCAGGGTTCACTTTAGTATAACCACCAAGAGCGGATTGGAGAAGTTGACCCAAAACAGACCTCCAGGATTCGTCCGAACAGGCACACACGGAGATTTAACTAATGATCACTTTTTTCAAAAATTTCACCCACCCCGTTCTCCATAGCAACGTTGCAAAAGAGCACGAGGCTACGAGGATGCCACGTGTTGAGCTTACCTTCCTGAGGGTTGTCGATCATATAAGTGCAAATTGGCGCGAGTTTGTGTGGGCACAAGAACATGCACAACTGGATCTCCCAGTTATCTGATGTGGTAAACCAAGTGTAAGAAGTGGGCTTCTGCAATAATGAGTTTTATAGTCAGGTTTTGAGCTATGACGAGAAGTTACGAAATACTTGACGAAATGAAGGAAAATTGGGGCGGAATTGATGTGTGTCTATGCGTCGATGCCCGAAGGGGCTTGCTGGACTGGCTGTGAGCGGCCAGAGGCGCGGTTTCTCTAGTGTTCTCTAAACCATCTGCGTCTCGCTCGCCCGGCATTGTCAATCGCAATGTCGACTACCTCATCCCGCTACACGTTATCTCCTCCCGTTTTCACCGGTTTGCGCACTATTTCTTCGCTTGTCTTTGTCGTCTCTGCTGTGATGTCATGGAGAAGAGAGTCATAGACAGCAGCCACGTAACTTTCAATATTTTCGTTGTGTTGAACACTGCACAAAAACGGAGAGAAAGAGAAAGGGTGCTCGATAAGAATTATCATCTTTTATGTATACACTGTACTGGATGGAAATTGCAAGTCAGTACAAACAGAATGACAGATTAGAACTGAACAGCGAGAAAAGCAAAAACTGACAATTCCCCCCGACTAAACGGAAATGATTTTTGCTAGGTGGAAAATAAAAGGGGCGACGTGGAAATGAATCATACACACGAAATGAGGTCAAGAAACAGTGTCATTCAAACCAAAGAGCGTTTAATGCAAAATATCGATAACTTTTTGCTTGTTTCTTGAAAAATGCGGGTAGAAGGTATATGATTTTTGACTGATTTTGTTCGTCAATAGCGAAAAAGTCGGTACTAAAGCTAAATGATCAGAATTGGCCTAATTTTCATTTAAAAAAAACCTCGACAAACCTTTATAGACCACGAACAGTTGAGAATGAGCAAGAATTGCCTTTGAATAGTCCAAAAAACCGCGAAAACGCAAGATTGCTGAGTCGCGGACGCTCTCGTCTCGAGACCCGCTCGGCAAATAAATGCGTGCGCCTTTAAACAACTGATGTATGCTGCATTGATCCAATGCATTTACGACGACATACAAGGAAGGAAAACAAAACATATGTGCTGGGAACTTGGTGACGAATTTTTTTTTCATTTTATTGAAAGAAAAATGGTAAAGAATAGGCAAAAAGTGGAAAGAAAACGTCGAAAGGGATGGAATCGTTTCGAGACCTGATTTGAAATCGGTTTGTGTGCCTTTAAAGTACGATGAAATTTGGCCCGAAATGTTAATCGAAATTTTTCTTCACAAAATTTTGCAGATGCAACAGTACGCTGCGCTTTTTATACTTTTTGACACTAAAAAGGGGAGGGACGGCTTTTTGCAAAAATTATTGCTTGCTGCGATTTTTGTTAGCAACCGCGCTAAGTTATCAAAATTTCGTGTTCAGGAGCCATGCACCCTCGGTTCGGCGTTAACAACAATTATCCGATCAACATCATTCTTATGCAGCCGACAACAAGTCATGAGACGTTTCTACAAGGATCCGATTACGTAAAATTAGGCCCGAAAAATGGAAATCAACGCGTTTCCGTTTGCAGGTGGATTTCGAAGCGCCGAGCAAGTTACGAAACTGGCCGATCGCTGTCGATGACAAAGTATTTTTTGTCGATCAAGCGATATTCTCAAGAAATTCCGATTACTTCCGCACTATGATGGAGAACAAGTCTTTCCTCGAGGGCGCCATTGGTCTTTTGAGAATACACGACGAAACACCAGACGACATTCATACACTTATCACCGTCATTTCTCCCAATTGCCTCGGTCTTTACCCGGACGCCATTGATGGTTTGTATGGACTGTTCATGGAGATTATCATGTTTTTCAGAGGAGAATGTGTGCACGGTACTCAGGTTATGCGATAAGTTTTTGATGGCGAATTTGAAGCAGAACTGCATTGACTTTCTTCAAGATTACCGGTTATACTGAAAATCAACAAAGGCCAGATCATAATTTCCCTTTCAGGCCGCAATCGAAGTCTGTGTGCGATGTGTTCTCGCTCTTCTACAAACTTTGTTTCTCCCTGAATGCCGAATACGATCACGATGAGATTCTGGAGAGTTTGGCAGTTCAGGCTGTAATAATTGTCGGTTATTTCGTGATCATCTTCATTTTCCAGATGTTCGTATGTCTCGATGAGCTTGTTACTCCTTCGAAAATTCTCGAATTTTCCAATCTTCTCACACGTTTGCAAACGGAAAAGGGTCTCAAAGATCGAAAAAATGTGAAGAGAGTCGCTGACGCAGTTCATCCCGGGTATCGAAAACACGACGAGATTATCACGAACAAATATGTTTTTGCTTCCAGCGGCGCACTCTTCAGACACCGAATCTCGTTCAACGAAGAAGTACAGGGTCTCGGGTGCCACCAGTGCTCGATGCGGCCGCCCGCCCGACAGTCGCGCTCTAAAAACAGTAGGGCAACTGGCGGAAGTGCTCTGTGAGCTGTGATTTTTCAGGAAAGCCATTCATCCTCTCGCTATGCAGATCCTGCGGTCGGGAAGTGTGCGTGCAGTGCCGACGGAAACTGTGCCGACGACTCTTCGAGGAGTGGATCAACGAACTCCGGTCCTAAAGCCAAAACGTTTATGTAGTAGTTTATATATCTTCCCTATGTATTTACCATTTTGTACTATTTCCATGAGCTATATAATATTGACTAATAACTTACATTTCCCCGGTGATCTCTCCCTTTTCCCAACTTCTGCCTATCCACCCTATCGACCTCTTCTATTGTATCGAACAAACATGGATTGAGACCGACCGAACTGACGACCCTCCGGCCGCGAGCGAGCGAAACGAGAAGGAGAGAGTGAGCGTTTTGGTGAGCGAATGAGCGACTGGCCGGGCAGTCAGCTGAGTGCCCGCCTCGACGCTCACGTTCAATTTCTCGTGTACTCCTCGCCCGTGACCCGTCTCGTCCCGATGTCTTCAGTTCTCGGTGTATTACTCCAATCCAATCTTCTAATCTCAACCCGATTTCCTTATTCACATTTTTCAACCCTATTTCTAAGCATTAGCTAAAAGCAAAGATGAAAGTGCGGCAGTCACTCCTTAATAAACTACCCTATTTCTCTTTGTCGAAGCCCGATCCATTCCCCTTCACTATCATTGACTTCCGGGAACGAATCAAAGATCTGCTATTGCGTGTCCAAACATTCTCCCCCATTCTCCCTCTGCCGCAACAGCAGCGGCAGGCATGTGTGTGTGTGTGTGAGCGAGGCGAGGCGTCTTTCGATAGGCAAAAGTAGAAAAAGGGCCCGGATGACGTCTTCTGCGGTGGTGGTGCTCCTGATCTCCGTGGTCCGAAAGGGAAAAAGTGGATACGGGTCGAGTCTACCTGGCCGTCGTAAACAACTGAGAAAGGATGAAATAAATATTTGTTCTGTGAATTTTTTCGTACCCGGTATGAGCATCGCCGACGCGAAGAGCCAATTCTGACTTGAAAGACCTCTTTTATTGGCCATTCAGGTTCAGTTGGAAGTGGCTCAAAGTGCAAGAAAATGGGAGTGCGTGGGCAGTGCATTACAAATGCTTTTGATCCCTTTGTGCTGAAACAGTGGTCCGCGCATTCGTGCCCCATTTCACTCGACTCTCCTCTTTCTCCCGTTTTCGTTCTTTCGCCTCCCTCCCTATCCTCCTCTCTTTTCGCCTCCTTCCAATACTATTTGTTGGCCACGGGGGTAAAAATGAGCGTCTTCTTCTCCTTCTTCTTCTTCTTATTTTTTTCTCTTCTTCTTCGTCGACCGCGTTTGCATGCCATTCCCCTAAACGTCCGTTTGCAGGTAATTGGTGGATCGACGACTTCTCTCGACGCCGTCCGAAACGACGAAGACCAGCACAAGACCGGCGGTCCCCTTCAGTTCCATCCCACGTCGAGAAGAAGACCACGTCGAAGCAGCGATCAAAGTGACAGTGCCCCTCGCCGAATCTCTTCAAACCTTTCTTCTACGGGTACGTCAATCGATTCGATTCGATTCGCGATAGGATGCGATGCAACCGCGCTCTATTGTTGCTTAAAGACCCGTGACGTCACGTCACGTCACGTCAGTTCAGTAGAACGCGGAACGGAAACGTCGTAAAACATTGATGAATATGAGGAGAATGAAATTAGAGACAAAACAAGACATCGAATCGCTTTTATATTACACACCGACAGGAACAAACGTGCCTGTTGTTGCAGGTATTGCAAACCTCTCGTGCTCTATTCCTCAGGACATTCGGCCTTCCTTTCTCGAGATATCTCTCCTTTCTTTTGTAAGTCTTTCCGCTCTTCCGTCTCTCTCTCTCTCTTTCTCTCTCTCTCTCTCTCTCTCTCTCTACCTCTATCTCTGTCTCTGTCTCTCGGACGCAGTTGACTGTGACGTGGCAAGAAAGATCACCGTCCAATCAGCACTCGCGAATCATTACGATTGTTTTTCACTCTTGACCAGTGAGAAGAAGAAAAAGAAGAACTTGTTTGTCATCTGGCAGCCAACACTTTGCGCTCTCCAAGCGATAACATTTTCGAAGCAAGCTTTAGACACATGTCAATGGAATAATATTTAGGCGGATTGACTTGAGAATGTCGTCGAACGGATACGGAAGCAGCCACGGCGAGCACGTGAGATCCGCCTCGCACGCCGGTTCCTGGTACAATAGTAATCCGAGAGACCTCGACAGACAACTCACTAAGTGGCTCGACAATGCCGGAGACCGCATCGGAACCGCCAGAGCACTTATTTCTCCGTGAGCATCATCGCGGCCCGGTCTGTAGAGATTTAGCATGTTTTCAGACATGCTGGCTATTCGTATTGCGGAGAGACTGCCGCCTACGCATTCAAGCAAATCGTGCCGCATACTGTGTAAGTTACATCGACATTTGATCTCGAACTTATGTGTCATCTTTCAGTGAGCGCATCTTCATTCTCGGTCCGTCGCACGTCGTCGCATTGAATGGATGTGCCATCACTACGTGCAGCAAGTACCACACTCCACTTGGAGATCTCACTGTCGATCACAAAAGTGAGTCTCAATTTTCAGTCTGAACACATGTCATCTGATACTTTTCAGTTAACGAAGAGCTCCGTGCCACTCGTCACTTCGACCTCATGGATCGTCACGACGAAGAGGCGGAGCACAGCATCGAGATGCAGCTGCCGTTTCTCGTGAAAGTGATGGGAAACCGTCGCTACACTATCGTGCCGGTCCTTGTTGGTTCGTTGCCCGGATCCCGCCAACAAACATACGGAAACGTCTTCGCCCATTACATGGAGGATCCGAAGAATCTGTTCGTCATCTCATCCGACTTCTGCCATTGGGGCGATCGCTTCAGCTTCTCGCCGTACGATCGCCACAGCAATGTGCCGATTTATGAACAAATTACGAGCATGGATCGACAAGTGAGTGAACGAAAAGGTGAATGGCCGAGAAGATAATCTTTTCTTGCAGGGAATGAATGCTATAGAGACCCTCAATCCGACGATCTTCAATGATTACCTCAAGAAGACACAGAACACGATCTGTGGACGAAATCCGATCTCGATAATGCTGCAGGCAGCAGAGCACTTCCGTCTCACCAACAACCACACCCACGAGTTCCAGTTCCTCCATTACACCCAATCCAACAAGGTATCCTTTTCTGGTCCTCGGTCACTTCAACCTCTCTTTTCCAGGCCCGTTCTCCAGGCGACTCCTCCGTCTCCTACGCAGCCGGAGTTCTTTTCGTCCATCCGAATAACTGAAATCCCCCGACTCTCGGTCCGCTTATTATTATGTGTAAATTGAATTCGATTATAGGCGTTTTTGTATTCCAGCTCGATCCGCGAGAGCCTTCCCTAACATTTTCTAAACTGTAAATATTTCTCTTTCTTTCTGTCCTCTTTCAGACTAAGCCCATTCCCCCTCTTGCTGCTACTAAATCCTACCTTTAAACAATCAAAACGCTATCGTTTTCTATGATTTTCTTCTTTTCAATTGTGTGATCAATAAACAATTTTGAACACACGACGTTTATTTTTATAAAAAGTACTATCTCTTTATGGGTCCGTACACGATGTACGTCGGTTTCGTTCCGTTCACGCTCTCCAGCTCCTTGTCGGCGGCTCCCGAGAAGAACGAGCTCGCATCGACAATATTGACTTCCTGCTCGGCGAGCGGAGTCGCGTACGCCATTATGAACTTTCCGTCGATCTCGATTTTGCAGTTCAGGTCGCCCGCAAAGTTGATCTTCGCCACAAAATCGGCATGCGCAGCCACTGATTCGAACGTCGTTCCGAACTTTTCCTCGGCTTTCTGTAATGGCGAAAAGGTATGAATCGTTTGGATCTTAAGACTAACCGCTTGCACAGCTGTCGCCATTTTCTGCACATTACATGCCGAGAATCCTTCTGACTTTGCTTCAAGATACGCTTCTTCCATAGTCTTCTCGAGTGTCACGTTGCAGCAAAGGAATCCGGAAGGGTTCGTGAAGCATTTGGGACCGGGCGGAGGCGGCGGCGGAGGGGGAATGACGACTGGAACGGGAACGAAGAACCCGTTGTTGCCGGCACCTCCGAGACCGCCATTCAGGAAGAAGGAGAGCGGAGAGAAGCCGTTTTTCTGGAAGGGAAACCAACGAGGTTAAAATATTTTCGATATAATGTGTTACCCCTCCAAGCAAACTCTGATAGAACTGTCCTCCGCCGAGAGCCGTGTAAGTGTGTCCCCTCTGTGCTTGCTGCTGATCTGTGCTCAATCCTGTGAATCGGTTGTTCAGGTTTTGAGCAATTCCTCCGATACTAAAAAAGAAACATAATCAGTGATCAGGAGGTATCATCCGACTTCTCTTTCTTCAATCCCACCGTTGCGGCAGTAGTTGCAGGACCCGGGGATATTGTCGTCACTTCCTGAACTCCTGGAGATTCAACTATTGTAACCGGAGGGATTGTCGGAGCAGGAGTAGAAGGAGGAGGATTAGGAGGAGGGACAGACTGATAAGAGTCTGAAGCGGTTCCTTCCGAAGAAGGAGAAGGTTGAGGAACGACATAAGTTGAGACTGGCGGAGGAGGCTGTGGAGCACCTTGCGTCGCTTTCTTGTAGTCGATGTAGCTCATTCCATGGCTCTCCGAAGTGTGGGCATTTTCACCTGAAGGTCAGAAAAGATTGAGAATAAGAGAAGAGCAGTGTATACCTGAAATTGGAGGATGATGCTCTCCAGCTATGTATCGTGGTGGTGCTTGGAGAATCTTTTCAGATGGAGGAGAGAACTGAACAGAATACTTTCACTGGGAGATATTCGCGATACCTACCGTAGCGGGAACATACGAATCTCTCTGGAAGTTGCTGGCTGCGTCGGCCGGGAAAGTGTATCCACTGGGAAGACGAACGAACTTTTGTTTGCGCCGGCTTCTCTGAGCCGGATAGCTCGAGATGAGCATAAAAATTAAGATGACTCGGAGGAATAAAGAACTCATTGGAAAGGTGAAATCTGGAATGGCAACAGTCGAAATGACAATAATTAGGACCTGTGTTCACACTTGGATGCATTTCAAGTGGCGTGTTTTTCGTGTCAAAAGGGAAGATTTATGGGATAACTGGAACGAGAGTGAATAATAATAAACATGCAGGTAATGCGAACAGTCATTACGTAATTCGCCGAAAAGTGATCAGACAGATTTCGCAATTCCGAGGAATAAAAACTAGAATATGTGGAAATTGTGAGAAGATTTTCCAGTTACTGCACATTCGCTACAACTTCATTCGTTCTTCTTTGGTCCCAAATCGATTGGATTTGTTCGGAAGTCAATAACGGCTTCTTGCGTCAGGCGCCATTTGGACACGTGTGGAGAATTTTCGCGATAAAAGTCAACCACAAAGAGTAAATTTATTGCATAGCTTAACGTGACAGTGTTTTAGAAGACAGAAAACGGAAATAAGTTAATGGAAAAGAATGAGAGAGATCTCGCGATTCGGAGAAATTATGACTCGGAGTTTCGGGTTCAGAACTTGAGGTGTCCGGCGCAAGTGCGGCAGCAGAACGTGCCGTATCGCTTCTTTCCGCACAGTCCGTTCTTGACGACGAGGTCGCAGGTGCTGGCGGTTCCCGAATCGACACAGGTGGACGGGAGATGGGATCCGGACGGAGTGGCACGAGGAGTGTGCTTCGGAGTGGTTGCGATGGTAGTTGGAGCAGGAGTGGGCTTCGTGCCCATTGAGAAGTTGGGAGCAGGAGTGAGCAGTGGACGGGGCGTGGTTCTGGTGCCATTCAGTCTCTTGATCATCACCTCGACGCCTTCGCTCATACGGGATTCTTGCCCGGCCACACAGGAATAGACTCCAGAATCGATCGTGTGAGCGTCCTCGATCTCCAGCGTGTCGTCATTCTCTTCGGTGATTCTCGAGCCGAACTGAAGAAGTCCTCCGTTCTTGTACCACGTGATTGGTATTATTCCGTAACTGTTGCAGCGAATTCGGAACTGAAAAGGAAAGTTGAATGCGTTTGTGAAGTTGGGGCAACTTACAGTCATCCCAACAAAGATCGGCGCCTTGTCGACGATGTAAATGACCGGAGTGGTCGCAGACGAGAGCTGAGCCACCTGCGGCTCTCCCGCTTCCACTTTCACGCTCGAACACAGTCTGTAGCAGTCGAGCTCCGTGTCGAACTTGTTGCCGTTTCCCTCGCATCCTCCGTAGTAGAACACCTGACAAGACTGCGTCACCGGGTCGTAGAAGTACTTCTGAACGTCCAGTCTGCACGGCCCCGTTTCGAATGGCAGCGTGCACACTTCCGCTTTGCTTTGGACGATTCCTCCGGCTCTGCAGCTTTGCTGGCACTGTTCCTTGCTCACAAACCGGTTCTGATTGCCCCTGCAGCCTCCGTACGTGAACGGTTTGCAGTCGAGATCGTTCGAGTCAAAGTACCACATGGAGATAGAGTCGATGCACGGCCCGGTCGATCGTTCCCAAGTGCAGAAGTCCGTGGTGTTGGACCACGAGGTCTCGGCACGACACAGAGATTCACAGTCTTCTTTTGAGGAGAACGAGTTTCCGTTTCCACCACATCCGGTCCACATGAACATTTTGCATTGGGAGGAAGCTGTGTCGTAGTGCCATCTGGAATGATTGGAAACATTGAAACTTTGAAGGCAAAGGGTACAAGGACAAATATTTAGTGAGTGAGCGAGAGAGCGAGGGAAAACGAGGCGGGAATGGTTTGTGAACAAGAAGGCGAAACGAGGAGTTATCATCGAAATGTTCACATTCCAGCCTGCAGCGGTAGCTTTCAAAGTCTATGAAAACTGTACGTCTATGAGACTATGACTCAATGTTTTTCCCGCCTAATATATGCGCATTTCAACGCTCTCTTCCCACTCAAAACCTGGCTTTCAAACGCACCTCGGAATGGCGAGCTGGCAGTCTCCGTGCTCCACCGGCTTCTCGCACACCGCCACATTCCGCCACTTGCCGCATGCTCGTTCGCATGTTTCCTGCAAAAAGATCCGATTTCAACTTTACTCCCTCGCCTCGCCATGTTTGTCCCGCTCCCTTTTTGGTAATAAATTCTCTTTTTCCTGCCTTTTCGACGAGAGATTATCGTGAATGAGGAGTGTGGGAGAGCAATCGCAAAAGCTGAATAAACGGAGAGAAATGTGAGGGACACTCGCAATCGTTTTCCACTTTCCAATTGCCAATCACCAAACCAAAACCAACTTCGTTCCCACATAAATCAATTTTCGTGTTCAGTTTCTCCCGGGAGCTCTTTTTCCCCTATTTCCGTCTCTTTGACACTCACTAGACAAACACGCGCACTTTCCGTTTGTCTTCTCTTTTTCTTTTCTTAGTTACTTTTGCTCGGTGCCAATCCAACTAGTACATACAGACATATCGATTTGCCACTTATTTCAGAGCATGATTCATCGGCTTCTCCCCCTTTTGTCCCTTGTTTTCGTCGTCGCCTCGGCGGCTAACATGACATGGTCGGAGAAGCAAGATTACTGTAGATTGGGAACGAACGACTTGCGAACTTGCGAAACTTGCGTTGGCAAAGGATCGGTGAGCACAACTGATTTAGAGTCTCATCTGAAGATTACACGTTTCAGGACTGTTTCTGGTGCGGAGGCAAGAAGAAAGAGTGCCTGCCGTTCGACTGGTACTACCCGGACTGTAACATAAAACACGTCAAGTACAACGTGTGCTGGGTCAGTACCTCGGCCGCCGCCGTCGTCATCGCCATCGCCGCCGGCATAATCGCCGTCATTCTGATTGCCTGCTTTTGTTATTGTTGTTGCAAGTGTAAAGAGTACAACAGAATTCACAAGAAGGCGAAGGCGCAGAAAATGGAATGAGCAGAGGATGACCGCTGAACGAGAGATGGAAATGCGGCAGAGCGAACGATCCGATCAGAGGAAGGCCGAGCTGGACGCCTACCGAATGAAGTACAATATTCCCGCCAAGACTGACGGAAAAGTGTGAACGTTCGGAGAAAACGAAACTATATTGTGCGTCCGGGTATACTATTGTCTATCTAGCCTGTCTGTTTTCAGTAGCCAAATGAATCTTTCGAACCGTGTGATGTTTACTTTCAATGAAAAACGCGAGTTAGTCAGCGCAAGGTACACACCAAACTGAGGTGGATCTCCGCATATATAGCGGCAAGGAAGCTCTCATTTCCAGATGAGTCACTTCCGATTCCCTCTCTTTCTTCATCTTTCATCCGACGTCCGACAGTTGAAGAAACCTGTTCTTTGTTTAGCCAACTGCCTTCTCTCTCCTCTTCTCTCACCTCTTCACGAGGTCGTTTCCAAATAAAAGGAGTCCTGAGACAGACACATCTTTACTTTCAGACGATGACGTCCGTTTCCCTTCTCTCTTTTTCGGCTCTCTTTGTGCTCTTTGCCGGCTCCGAGGCGGTTTTCACGCAGTCCGCAGGAGTCAAAGGAGTCCTTATGTGTGGTGACAAGCCGCTGGCCAACACGAAAGTCAAGCTCTACGACGATGATACTGGTTGGTTCAACATTATCTTATTGGGACTAATTCAATGTTTCAGGACCGGATCTTGATGATCTTCTCGCCGAGGGAACAACCGACTCTCTTGGACAGTTCCTTCTTTCCGGACACACTTCCGAAGTGATGACGATCGACCCGAAGATCAACATCTACCACGACTGCGACGACGGAATCAGCCCTTGCCAACGAAAGGTCACTTTCAACATTCCAAAATCGTTTGTCTCTTCCGGCGAGAACCCGAAGACCTACTTCAACATCGGAACGATCAACATGCAAATCGTATTCGAGTCGGAATCCCGTGACTGTCTTCATAGAAAGTAAACGCTTTCTGATGCTCAATCTGATCTCTTCTAATCGGATACGTCATACCTTCCTCCATTACCTTTTCTCTTTCTCTTTCTCTCTCTTCTCACAATGAACAGTTTCTCTCTGTGTACGTCTTCTCCTTCTTCTACACTCTTGATCAATCGACCCGTCTTGTTGATTACTGATACGTATCGATGGCAGGGAGAATGTACTGCTTACGGCTGTTATCATCTCTACTACTACTACTTCTATTTTTATCAACTGCTGCAACCAATGATCTCGACGAGAGAATACTAGGCGACGTGCATCGCATTCTTCAGAAACGGAGTATTCTCGACAACGTTGCATTGGACGATCCGAAGGCGGAATGTAGGAATGGAGGAATCTTTGCGGGAGGAATATGCCATTGCATAAAAGGACAGACTGGACCGAACTGTGAGCATTTTGAGTGCGGTGAGTCAAGAGAAAAAAGGTTAGAAAACTTGACTTTCTGTTCAGTACACGGCCTCTCTGTCGGATTCCGATTCGATCCGGAGAGTCTTCTTTTCAATGAACCGTGCATTTGTGAGAAAGGATGGAAAGGAGAGCTCTGTGACTTCCAGCCGGCCGAAAAAGTTGGTTTTCCTCTTCTCAACAATGCAAAGAATGGATGATGTTCTAGTGTGGAAATAAAGGATCTTGGAAGAAGGACCATTGTGAATGCGTCGGTAATTACTTCGGAAGTGAGTGTCAGTACACGAGCAGGTGTGTCGAAGGATTCTCGAGGAACGGACGGTGCATTTGCAATGACGGGTTCGAAGGCGACTGCTGCGACAAGATCGTGTGCGTCTATGGAACACCAGGTGACTATAATCTATACAATTCCTCTCAAAATCACTAGATCTCAACTTCTAGACTTCAAAAACCGAACTCTATCGTGTCATTGTCCTGAAAAGTACACAGGCCGTCGTTGCGAAAAGTGCAAACGACAGGGTCCCCTTCTGGAACCGTTTCCCGATTGCGGATTGGATCCGAGCCGGAAGAGACACATTGAGAAGGCGACGATGCTCCGAGCGAAAGTGAAAGCAGAGGTATATCATAGACTCCGAATAACATATCGCTTTTCGTGCTTTCAAGATTCGGAACCGTTTGCGGATCATTGCCTTGTGCGTGGCGGCGCTCTCGCTGGTTGCCATTGTTGTGTGTTTGGGAAGAGTCATGCATAAGAAATCGAGAGATGCGGTGAGCATCGGTCAACGAATGGTGACTGATGGAACTAATTTCAGAGAGAGCTTCGATTTAAGGAGAACACGGCGGAACGACATCGCCTCCTCACCAACCAAGTGCGCCTACAGAAATTGTGAGAAATTGTTTCGCAATTGTACAAATGTCCTGTTTCAGCGAGGAAACAGTTGCTCAAGAGAGTTCTCAGCTTCAAGAGGCCGAAAGGCTAGAAGAGAGAGGAAGAAGGAAGAGTGAACCCGCCGTCCTCAAAGTGACAGTTAAGAAGCCGGAGAAGATCAAGTTGAAAACGAGAGGGCCCGTCCGGAGAAAGGATACAAAGTAGGAAAAACTAACCTGGCTGGTGAAGTGGTTCGCGTTGGCGTTGCAGCCAGAATACATGAATGAGACGCATTCCGACTTCTCCGAATTGTACCTGAACTTGTTAGTCTTTCATAAATAAAATGTTCCGATCCTACCTCCATCTGAGAATGTTGCCATAGCAAGTTCCTCTTTGTTCCGCGAGCATACACAGTTCTGGCAGAGCCTGGGTGTCTACCACGATGTAAGCGTTCTCCTCCTCGAGTGTTTCCACTTCAGGATCATGATAGCCATCATGAGAGTCCATTCGAGGATCCGTCAGTCTGACCTCTTCCAAAGATTTGGAAGCTTCTGACACACTCTCCACCTTCTCTTCAATCTTGGCGACGCACGAAGTTTCGCACTTCTCTCTGACCTCGAAACGATTCGTGTTTCCAGCACATCCTCCGTAGTAGAACTGACGGCAAGTGTTCGATTGAGCCGAATAGTGCCAGACAAGACGGTAGTCACTGAAATACACTCCCATGCTTCGGATGCTCTTTCAGATGGGCTCTTACGCGCAAGTGCCTGGATCCGGAACGGCGTAGCAGTCAACGCGTTCTTGTTCGGTCGGAGCACGGTGATGACGGGCAGAGACAGACCGAGGGAACGGAGCGTCGCGGCGCACGCTGTGTTCGAACGATTGCCTGTGAGAATGGTTTATTAGGATCATGCAATTGCTTTCGGGGGCTTAATATCTCTTCACAATCACACACTATTGAAGGAAGCCCCTTCTGCTCTTTATAGTCCACGTCACGAAATTTGATCTCTCACACGCAAGTTCTTTGTCTCACCTGAGATTGAAGGCGGCTTTCGGTTCAAGAGCATCTTCCAGAAGGGCCAGCTTCGGCAGTTCGGTTGTAGTCGTGGTGGGTTCTTCTATAATCACTCCACTCACAGTTATCAGAACATCATTCCGTGCGATTCATTCATGCAAAGGAACATTCACATGCATTGGGCATTCCATAGGATCTATCGAGTTTATTATCAACTTTATTTATTATCAAAAATGGAAAATCGGAAAGCGGAAAACAATTGTAGAGCAAAAGGAAAAAGAAAAGGACATTGGGGGAGGGGAAGAATTGGAAAATTTTATAAATACTAAAGGCAGTCAACGGCTCGGAAGCCACGCCCAATTCATTTCACAAAAGGGCTGAAGTGAGGAGAGGAGAATATGGGGAAAGAATCGGAAACAATAAAAGATGCGGGGAAGTAGATGCGGGTAAGCGGGCGGATGGTCTACTTACGTGGGCAACGCGACTGGCATTCTTCGATCGTCGCGAATCTGTTCGTGTTTCCGAGGCATCCTCCTGAAAAGAGCACAATTAAAAGTGAAAGGACGGAGCGAAACGGTTACCGTAGACGAAGGTCTCGCACTGCTGGTTGGCAGAGTTGAAGTAGTAGTAGGAGTGCTTTCCGGAGCATGGTCCCGTCACCTTCGGCAGCGAGCACGCGTCCTTGTGGTTGGAGCACGCGGCCTTGCACTGCTGCTCGTTCTCGAATCGGTTGTTGGTTCCCTGGCATCCTCCATAGTGGAAGCGGTTGCAAGTGCCGTCCGTCTGGTTGTAGTACCATTTGGTGGCGAAGTTCGTGCACGGTCCGGTGTCCTTGGCCTCATCGCAGACCGAGTTCGATCCAGATGGTCCGTCTGAATTATTAGGGGTGACTGGTGAAGTAACTATGCAACTGCAACAACTCTAATAATACAATCCAAAAAATAGAACTGATAATCTCTCCTAGCATTTCCGAACATTTCCAACTCATAACTATGTCCTACCGATAGCACTGGAGGCATCAGAAGCCGGGTTGACACAGAGCGATTCGCACTGATCCTTGCTGGCGAATCTGTTGGCATTTCCTCCGCATCCAGTGTACTTGAAGGTGACGCACGATCCGGTGGCGACCTCGTAGTACCACGAGTCGAAGGATCCCTTGCAGCGTCCCTGGTCGACGTTCAAATGACATGCCTCGCGCTGCTTGTTGTTCGCTGAAACAGACGGGGATGCAAAAGAATAACGTGCACATAAACTGAGAACTTATTACGATCCCAAGACCTGTAACTGAAAAGTTGACTTACATGGAATGACGACTTGGGAAGCTCCGGGTTGTGGTGGGGAGACGATGTTCTGGGCTGGGAGAGCTGGCTGAGCCGACTCGGCCCCGCGGGATGGAGATCCTCCGTGGACGAAGAAGCAGCGCTGCTCGCACTCCTCCTTTGAGCGGAAGCGGTTGAGGTTTCCTCCGCATCCTCCGTAAGTGAAGGACTCGCACTTTTGGCTGAAGGCGTTGTAGAAGAACTGCTCCGAGTAGGTCTCGCATGGTCCGGCGTCCTGACGGGAACGGCAAATGTCCTCCATCGACTGACGTGGCTGCTGTGGTGGAGAAGCGGCGGCTGGCTGTTGCTGTGGCTGTTGCTGTGGCTGTTGCTGTGGTTGTTGCTGTGGTTGTTGCTGTGGCTGTTCGGCAGAGACAATGTCGATCTGCTGAGATTCCGGAGTCGGAGCATACTGCTGGATGTTTCTTGGCGGCGGTGGTGGGGCGGCAGTGGTCGGCTCAGTGTACGGTCCGACGTCCTTACAGAAGAGGGAGCATTCCTCGAAAGAGTTGAAATTGTTGGCGTTTCCGAGGCATCCTCTCCACCAGAAGGCGACGCAGTGCTTCTGAGAGTGATCGTAGTAGTATCTGGCCTGGAGAGAGTCGCAACGAAGTGGTCCATCGACACGTGGCAGGTAGCATCTTCCTTTTCCTGGCGGCTCGACGCAGATGGTCTCGCACATGTCCTGGGTTGCGAACTTGTTCTCGTTTCCGCCGCATCCTCCGTACCAGAACTGAGAGCAACGTCCCTCGGTGGCGTCATAGTACCAGGTCAGTCTGTATCCGGCTCCGCAAACGTTTCCGGCGTCGCTCGACTGGTTGCAAGCGGCGATCTTGTGTGGGGCGACGGTTCCTCCCATGAGGAATGGTGGAGTGGTGGTCGGTGGGCATCCGGCTCCATCTGGTCCGAGGGCCTTCGTCTCTCCATCTGGGCAGCACCCGTGCTTGGCATAACGGCAGTTATCGCATCCATCGTTGCGTGGTCCGAGAGCAGTCGTCTCTCCGTCTGGGCAGCATCCGTATCTGGTGTACTGGCACGGGCATCCCTCCTTGTTCTCTCCGCGAGCACGAGTCTTTCCATCTGGGCAGCATCCGAACTGGCTCTGGGCGCAGCTCTCTGGGCATCCGTAGAATCCGGCTCCCTTGGCAACTGACTTTCCGTCAGGGCAGCATCCGTACTGAGCGAATTCGCATCCGCATCCCTCGTTATGAGATCCCTTGGCGGTAGTCTTTCCGTCTGGGCAGCATCCGAACTTGGTGGTTAAGCAGTTCTCTCCGCAACCGGTTCCGTTCTTTCCGAGGGCAGCAGTCTCACCGTCTGGGCAGCATCCGAAGTCGCTGAGTTCGCATGGGAACGAAGATCTCTCGCATCCAGAATAATGGGGTCCGAAGGCAATGGTCTTGCGATCTTTGCAGCATCCGTAGAGGGAGGCCGCGCAAGACGGCTCTCCGCATCCTTCGAGATTGGCTCCACGGGCAAGAGTGACGTCGTCGTGGCAACATCCGAATTGAGTCTCGTTACAGCCTCCGAGAGTGAAGGACGGGCATCCATCGTTACCCTTTCCAGAAGCGGCAGTGAACCAATCTGGGCAGCATCCGAATTCGGTCTTCGAGCAGTGGATGGTGGCGTTGGAGACATCAGTCTCGTTTCCGAGGAGTTCTCCCTCGAGGAGGGTGGCGATTGGAGCAATGGTGGCGCACTCGACGTCGGCGGCCTCTCCGTTCTCGTTAGTGACACTGCAAAGTCCGGCTTCTGGAATGTCGGCGTTCGGGGCGTCTCCAGAAGATTCTTCGGCGGCGGCGACGTCAGCTTCAAGGTTGAGTGGGGACTCGACGAACTCCTCGCATCCCTTCGAATTGGCTCCGGTGGCTATGGTCACATTGTCAGCGCAGCATCCGAACTCGGTCTCCGAGCAATTTGAGCATCCGAAGTTAAACTCTCCGGTGGCGAAGGTGGTGTTGTCTGGGCAGCATCCGAACTCGGAGTCGATGCAGGTTGGGCAGGCGTCGATGTTGCAGTCCTGTTTCTCAACTGGCTTCACGGATTCATCGCACCACTCTGGCACCGGCTTCTTGTCGTAGTTCAAGCAGACGGCCACACGGTCCTGTGATCCTCCTCCGCACTCGGCAGTGCATTCGGTCCACGAAGAAGCGTACCACGTTCCGGTGCACTTCTCCTCGTTCGTGCAGTTGGTCTTTCCTTCCGGCTTCTCAGCCTGGCAGTGTCCCTCGTCAACGACTTCAAGTCCTCCGTTCTGGTGGATGGCGCAGATGACACGACGGGTCTTGTGTCCGTGTCCACACTCCGTGGAGCACTTGCTCCATTCGCTGACGGTCCATTCGTAGTTGCATGGTGGCTGGGTGGCGCAAGATCTGGTGTCAGTTGGAAGTTCGGTCGAGTTGTCGGCGAGGCACTTCTCGAGCGGGTAGGCTCTTCCCTGGGTGTCTTTGCAAGTGACCTCACGAGTCTCCTCGGTTTCATTGCAACGAGTACACTGAAATCATTCAACGGTTTCCCTGTATGCTCTCTTTCAGTTCCCTACCAATTTCCAGTCTCCAGTCAAGAAAGTGAGTCCCTCGCACGGTCCCAGATTGCAAGTTCTCTCAGTTTCATACTTGGCCTTCTCGTCAGCCGGGCACGCATCGGCGGCCAGAAGTTTTCCCTCTTCTCCTTCTTTTTCGCTGCGGCAAGTGACCGATCGGTACTGGAAGGCGTCTCCACACTTCTCGGAGCAGGCCGACCACGGACCAGCTTGCCACTCCGGGCAGGCGAATCTGCAAACGATTTGTTTATACGGGCGCATTCTGCTCTACTGCCATCTGGCATTGGTATCGCACAGAGACCAGCGATCCCGGGGAATAAACAAATCACACAAAAGAGTTTTGTTTATGGCAATCTCTTGCCTACTCACCGATTGCAAGTCTGCTTAACTGGCGGCCTCTCGACGGTGCAGTTTCCGTCGTCGACAGTGACGCGACGTCCGTTGGCGTATACCTGGTGGCAGTAGACGACACGGTACTGTTGTCCCTGATCTCCGCAGGTGGACGAGCAGGACTCCCAGTCTCCGGTGAACCACTCGGCGGCACAGTCCACAGTCTCGCAGCTCTTCTCGAACTCTGGCTTTGTGGCGTTGTTCTCCTCGCAGAGTCCGTCCTCGACTCGTCCCTTCGACTTTCCGTCAATGCAATAGAGGTTACGGGTCTGCACTCCCTTTCCGCAGGACACGGAGCACGGAGTCCACGAATCGAACTTGTACATGTAGTCGACTTCCTCGTCCAACGGAATCGAGAACTCGTACTTGATGGCAGTGTCGCGAGAGCCCTTTCTGAACAGGAGAGAGACAGTCAGTTCCTCGCTGAGCGGTCCCTGTGCGGTCAAAGTCTCTGGCTCGGCGTCGTCGTAAACGAAGATGGTTCCTCCGACTTCGACCTCCTTCTCGACCTGGATCAATCCGTTTCCGTTGAGGTAGAAGTGATCGGAAGCGTTCTTGAGAGCCAAGTTGTTGGTGCTTTTTCTGGCTTCCTGGATCTTGATATTGGTGGCTCCCTCCGGAAGCTTGATGATATCATGATATCCTGGGGACAGATTGCGCTCGTCGAAACGTCCTTCGATGGTCTTGCAAGTGGATCCGTCACCGTCGCACTTTCCGCACTTGTCGAACTTGAGGGAAGAGCCGAGCTTTCCGTCGCATCCGACTGGCAGACATTCTCCGTCGACGCAGATATCGTTGCTCTTGGAGTCGCACTTGGTTCCGTCGACCACCTTGTCAGCCCACTTGTAGTAGAAGTTTCCAGACTCCGGCTTGCACACCAGCTCGCACCTAAACAGCCAGGGACGTGGAGAGTAGAGAAGTTTCCGAAACTAACTTGTTTTTTCCCTTGTACGGCGCCCACTTGTGGTAGTTTCCGTCGAGAGCCTCATCGTTGAACTTTGAGCACTGCTCGGCACGGAAGTCGCCGCCAGAGGTGCATGGCTCCAGGTTACAAGAGATGTAACGGACGGAAGCACCAGTGCACTGTCCGCTGCAAATAAACTGATGATAACAGACAAGCAGAATTTGAAGGAGATTTGATTGAATTCAAATGTCTAATTCAATTATCAAATTATGATTTGAGGAGACGTGTCAATGACGAGACAAGAAGAAGAATAATTGAGGAACGACCTTCTACTGAATCTACCGTAATCACTAACCTGCATTGTCTCTTCTCGAGCTTGACACCTCCTCCACAGTCGCGGGAGCACTGGTTCTCTGGAACCCACGGTCCCCAGTTGCCAGTTTCCTTTTGTCCAGACTTGTCCACAGTAACCGAAACGTCTCCGTCAACGTACACCTGATATGCCTGTCTCTTCATCCTTGAGCTCGCCGGATCACGCTCCGGCGGGGAGAGAGGATGGAGGTATGGCTTCTGGAAGACGGCAGAAATGAGCGTTGGCCACGCTCAGCGGGATCCTTACCTGCGGAGCATTGCTGCCGAAAAACGAAGACAGAGAGAAGGCCCACGTTGGGACGGAGCACAGAAGAAGGGTTGCTGAGATGAGCAGCAACCTCATTGTGTGGCGTCTGCAGTTAGATCACTAACTGGTTAATGGTGGATATGTGTTAGGAAGGAAACACACGCACACGAGCTGAAGAAGGATGAGTGAGAAATGGGGTGGTCGGAGCAAGTGGATTGAAAAACGACGGTTATATAGGCAAGTGTGAATTGGCTCGAATTTCGAAAATTGCCACAAATCTGACGGCGAATTGGCAGCGATCTGTGAGGCGAGAACGGAGCGATTCTGCGAATCCTTCTTTTTTGTGGCACGCTTGCAAGCCCCTCCTACATCGGTTGTGTAATGTGAAATGGAAAGACGAAGAAGAAGAAGAAGAAGATACACGCTGATGGGGTCGAATGTCGTGGGGCAAGCGGAGCGGCACACAAATGTTTGAGTTTGATAGCGCGCAATTCATACGGACCTCGAGACGCAGAGAACGGACTGGGTCAATTGTGATAAGAAAGGAAACGAGAGCCGGAAAGGAAATGACGGACTGGTGTGGCTGGTGTGAAGAGACGCGTCCGATCGGAATGGGCGGAGTTGTGCCAGATGGACGCGGGACTCGATCCGCACGCCCCGCCCCTTGAAAGACTGACTCATCGAGGATCGGAGAGCGGAGCGGGAGGAGGAGTACGGTGAGAAGAGGCTTCTTCTTCTTCTTCTTCTCTTCTTTTCTTCGTCTTCGAGATGCATAAGATTTATGCCTCCACGCCGTGAGGTCAACTGCGCCAGACGTGTGTCTCCTGCAGAGTTTCACTCGAGTTGCATTCTGTTGGACGAAACGGAAATGGTTTTGTGATGAAGGGAAAAGAAGAAGAGGGAGGCCGGAAAGTGATAAGAACTGGGCGATGATTGACGGGACCTTGTCTCTCGTCAGGTTGACCAGTGAGCCCGGAGGTCTCAAGTTTCAAGACGTTGCGTTTTTGATGATTGTGTACAGAGAGGCTGGGTTTGTGAAGTTAGAATAACATGGATTTGATCTTTAGCCAGAGAGTTTCTAATGTTGCCCGAAACGTAAAGTGAGATCAGCCACCAGACACACTCCCCTTTCGAACCAAATTGAACACATGCACCGCAGCTGCAGTACCGTTTTTTTCCGATCACCAAGTACTCGGTTCCATCTTCATCCACAGCTGCATCCCTCGCTCGTCCATTCCAATCTGAGTCTGAAAAACAATCCGCGCAGCTGTGGGCTCCATCCAGACACGGAACGATTCCCCAGATGTGCTCCACCTGCTCCTCCCTCTCTTCTCTTGAATTGGTACCAAAAGCAGATGCGAGTGAGAAATTGGTGAAAGTTGTATATACGATCAAGAAGAGTCTCTATCAGCTTGAGTGGCTCGCACTTTTGTGTGTAACATTTTTTCATCGAGTATTGGATCTATACGAGCGCCGGTGCCGACCAGCAAAAAACTGTGCTCCGTGCCGCCCCAATCCGTCTTTTCCACAGCACTTCATCATCTGAATTGTGTGGGCTCGCGGTTGGTGTAAAGTGCACACACGTCGCCGACTTCCATCATCCGGCATTGTTGTTGTTGTTGTGGCGACGGATGACTGCCCTGTTGGATGGCTCTCTTCGTTGATTTATTTTATTTCCAATCGAAAAGTATAAACACAAACGAAACGAAAGGAAGGGAGGGAGGGGTCAAAGGGCTCGCATTTCGCCTCAGTTTATGACGGTCGTCCGGGTGAGAGATGGAGCCGTTTTTGTGGCCGAATCCGACAAAATGCAGGCTCGCCGATGGGCCATAAAGCTTGTTTGGCACAGATGGCGGAGATCACGGCTTGGCGATAAAATGCGAGGTTGGAGGTCCGAATGTTGCCGAAAAGTTGAAAGAATGGGGGAGATTGTATGGAAAGTTCCGAAGAGCACGTTAACAAGCGCGCGTCGCATGCGTTGCAACGAGCACATTCTTCCCCCATTAAGCCTGGCTCAAGAACGTGTTCAACGTTTTCTCACGTGTTCTGTTCAGTTCAAGTTTGTTTTGAAAACACGAGTACAAGAATCGTCGCTCAATGATCGTGATGGGACCATCAATTGAGACTCCAGTGTTGCCGGATTTCTCAGAAACTTGACACCCGCCGGGAACACCCAGCTTCGACCAAAGATTCTCGAGTGACACGTGTTTTGAGACCGCAATCAATCAGCAATATCATAACTGTCACAACAGGAGCAGCGCTCATTGCTGCTCTCTTCATTGGCTCCTCCAATCAGTTACACGTGTGCTTTCTCGCAAATTCCTTGCGTCCGTCTGTTGGTTTGTGTCCTATCATCTTCCAATATCTATCCCAATCTCTTCAATTTCGGATCAACGGAGGGTGGCGATGAGTCAGCCCGAAGAAGACGGGTCCGAGCCGGGGAAGAGAGGAGAGCACAATTATTTATGGAGGTGACAGGCGCGGGCAGGCGGCAACCAACCTTTCGCAGATTAATGGCGGATGGAAAAGAGAGGGAGATGGAGAGGGAGAGAGAGAGAGAGAGTTGTAAGCCGCCAGAAAGCTGCCTCTTCTGTGCCACTTGGACTTTTTGCAACACCGGGGCCAATTGCTGTCTCCCAACGGAAAAGAGAACTGATCGAGAGGAATTCGAAGGGATCATTGACGCTTGAGATCATCCAATTCATAGAAGATTTCTTTCAGCTTCTCTGGTTACGGTCGTCTGAGCTTCCGCAGCTTCAGAAGATACAGTAATCCAACATCAGAGCATCACAGCACAGAAGGTTCATTGTCCTCCACTGCACACGGCGTCGTGACGAGAACACTGAAAATTAAAATTTGAATTTCCGCCAACGGTCGATTGCGTAGCGCCCCTATCATAAATCATTAGGACAAAGCGAAATTTTTGAAAATTTCATCAGAGCGCTTTCGCATTTTGGTACCCTCCACGACTTCGTGCTCCACCGCCACTTTTCCAGACTTCGAAGCTTTCAGTTTTCACAGTGTTTCCGAAGCTGTCACTTCTTTTCAATTCTCTTTGGTCCGAGTGTAAACGGAGTGTAACCGCAGTTGACCGGGTCACAAAAAGTGCGCGCATCCCATCGTCGTAAAGCCTGTCTCGGACGGCTGGCAAGATGCCAAATGCTTCTGCCACGACACGTTAAATGTAGAACAAAGTTTATTGTTTCTTGCGGTAAACATTCGGGATTCCCTCTCAATGATGTCACTCAAACACAGTCTGTAAGTTTTCTATTTGCAAATGGAAAGAAGACGAGGGGACGCACATGTGGAACGGTGGAAAATAACGATCCGACCGGTCAATCCATCTGAAAAGCCGACGTGTCTGAAAATTACATGGCAGCTGAAAAGGTCCGATTGATCAGGAATGAAATTTTTTACTTGTTCTGCGCTTTATCATCAATTTTTGGGAGGAAAATTAATCGAAAACAGCGAAATGGAAAGGCACGTAGAGATAAAACTTGTAATATGCACATGTAAACTGAATTATGCGAAAATCGGCAAGAAGATCACTTTTGCTCAACGCGCTTAAACCAACGGCGGCAGACGATTCCATTGTTCTCCATTTTCATCACAAGCTGGCTGTTATCGTCGATCGTGTAGAAGTAGGTCTCCGCGCTTGTTTCTGGTTCGTTGAGACGGATGTGATGCTCCGAAAGCACGTCGTCCTTGAAGTCGAACGTTATCTGAAGAAAGGACTTGCGTTTTTGTCCGTCTGGGACTGATATTCTCGAACCTGGTGCTGGTTTCCATCCAAGCCGGGAGCTTCGAACTGCTTTCCCAGTTCCCATCCTTGGTAGTTGGTGTTCTTCTTCGAAGTCAGATTCTCCATATTGTACCTGATGAATGTCGCTTTGTAAACTGGGAACCAAAGTAATCAACTCACTTTCCGGCCTCCGGATTCTGTCCGATGACTTTGGTGAGTCCGGCCAATTTTATCATTTGTCGGACGAACCAGTTGACGCCTTTCGAGGAGAGAAACTCGTCAAAGTTTTCACTTTTATCCAGCTGATAGCGACCAAAAAACTTTTCAGGGACTGACATTCTGAAATATTCACGTTGAGCGCCCGCTTTGCATCAGAAATCGCAAAAAATCGGAGCTACAACGCAATAGAACTCGCACGGAATAGAACTGTTACGATTTAGAACTGGCAGTTATATTTTAACGTTGCGAGTTCTAAATTGTAACAGTTCTATTTCGTTCGAGTTCTATTGCGTTGTAAGTAGCGCCAAAAAATCTGTGTAAAATTTGGGTCAACTGCTCTGGTTTCGAGTTCTCAGCAGAGCGCGTTTGCATACCCCTGGAGGCATCGTTCTGTGGTCTTTCTGTGCGTCCGTTTCAGGAGAAGATCTAGTTGTAAACAAGGAAAGAAAGATGAAGGCTCTTCTGCTAATTTCCCGACACCGTCCATTTCCTCGTGTTTTCCATAGAATCAGAAGCGCTCGAGAGCATAATCAAAGTTGACACGTCACGCCTCACTTGGCACGCCGCCAACGTTTGCAGCACGGACTCGCTCCTTCATTATTTAGGCTTCTGTGCTTCCAGAATAAAGAAGATGTTATGAGGAAGCAGCACGCGAAAGCTGCGAGCAGGACACTTTAATCAGATTGGCCAGACATTCTCGAAATGATCAAATGTGAAGGCAGGAGCCGGAGACGTTTCGGGACCGAGAGACCGCGCGAGGCGGAGAGACGCCGACAGGGCGGGGCATCCACAACTTTTCGTCTTCGTTTTCGTTTCGGCCGGCCTGCTCGTCTCTTCATTTCAGGAAGGACATCATGCTCAAACTCATATGTTCTGCTCTGCGTTTCCGTCTCTTTCGATCCATGAATTCCTCGTTTTTCTCCCCTTTCAAAAGCCCCTGTAGAACCTAGTTAGGCGGGAAGATATCAAATTTCCATCGGGACATAATAACACGTTTGAAGCAGAAAACGGAAAAGAAGACGTACCCGCGTGACGTCTTCTGCTCAGGTTGGTCTTCATATTCCATTCTGGTCCGCACCCACGTCTGCCTTCGGATTCTTGTTTCACTGCTTTTCTTGATTTGTGCCAGCTGATTCATTCGTGGCAAGTCCTGTCATTCCAAAAGTGGATTGCAACGAACGAAAAAAAGAACACAAAAGAGGAAAACTTCAGTTCTCTTCGATATTCTTCTTCTATTTTCTGCCGGACATAAACATTTCAAAAATTCGAGAGAGAGAGTGAAAAGAGAGCCATCACTCATCCGCCCATGAAATATTCACTTTCTGTTTTTCCCTCCACTTTGCTTCTCTCCTCGATTGTCGTTTTCGGACCGTAGAAAATATCACCTGTCGGTCATATACGAAAATATATACTTTCAACCATGTATTCAGAAAATAAATCTTTTCGGAATTGTGCTTGTCTGTGGGGATCCCTTTTCGTCCCCTCTGACTTGCATTTTTAGATTTTCCTGAAATCACATATTTTTGTGTTGTCCAATCTATTTTTCGGGTGTTGGAGAAATTTTGACATTCTCAAAAACTGCTAAAACGTCTTACCTTATTTTGTATGAGCCTTTGAACTGCTGTATTCGCTTCACAAAGGCTAGTAATGCCGCGATCCCGCGTGAAGTCACGGCCGCGAGTTCACGTTGAGAGCGGTAGAGCGCGATTGCTAAACTTCTACGGCAGCGATACACGCGGAGTTTTAGGCAGTCCGTTTTATAAGCTTTTCAAATTCTGACGACGCCTGTCATTTTCTCATAGTCTACTGTACCACTCTAGTTTTTCTTCAAAGGCTCTACCTAAAAGGAGTTGTTCAAACCCATAGATTGATGAGAACAATTTTCCTTGGATAGTAGGTCTTCTTGTTCTAGGCCACGTGTCAAGTTGGTGGTCCGATCGGATAGCTAACAGGCCCTATTGCAAAATGAGTCAGCACAGTTCACAAAGAGCTTTCTCTGCTGCTTCTCGTCCTTCTCCTTCCTTCTCCTTCCGCTCCGCCTTCTTCGTCTATCCGTCGGCGCGACATTAGGTCCGGTGCCTCCAATTGACCCGACTAATTCAATTTGACGGTCCGCATCCCTCTAAAAGGCCTCCTTCTTCTCCTTCTCTTCCCCTGCCCCATCCATTCATTCGTCCGTTGGCTTGTCTCCAATATCCTTCCGAAAGTTATCTCGGCGACGAATCGGAGGCAAAACGCGTCACAAGAGACATGTCTTGTGGTCCCTCTCCGCCCGTCGTTTCAACCCCTATAATTTTGTGAGCTTTGAGACACACTCTCTGAATCGGCGGTGGATCACTTGAGTGCAAAAAGAGAGTATTTACCAACGGATTGAATTCTCTCTTTCTCTCTCTCTCTTTCCGATTGTATTCTTCCATTTCTGGAATATCTGAAATTCGTATTCGGTCAGAACTCTCTCGGCTCAGACTTCTTCTCGCTCATTTCCCGCTCATTGGCCTCATTATTATTGGTTCGATTACTCGAGAGCACTATTTCCAGACTCATCCTCTTTTTGCGCCGCAAATTAATTGGGCTGATTAGGCCGCAAAAAGCATAAATGTGTTTGAGTCGAATTTCATTTCACAGCTCTTTGAGACCAGGGATGGGCAGAAACTTTTCGAGGCCGAGTTCCGATTGGACCCAAAATTTTCAAGCTTTTCAGATTTGAATTGAAATTGGATTGAGCCCAAGTTTCAGACCGATTGGATAGTGTGATCTGGAGAAAAGCCCGCAATTTTCGTAAGCACCAAAACCTTTTCGGGTGTATCTTCGATTCAGATAATCCAATCGGTCTGAAACTTGGAGCCAAGTCACTTCAACCCAAGAAAAGCCTGAAAAAGCCTGAAAAGCTTCAGTCCTATTGGAACTGGGTCAAAAGTACAGCCCTGTTTGGGCACTCTTTTCGAGTGTTCCCGTTTGTTTTTCATCTAAAACGTCTTCGTTTTCCCAACAGAAAAAGCAATTTCTCTCTCTCCCTCCCTCTCGAGTGCTTTTGCCCATCCAAAACACTTTCAGCAGCCGTCCTCCCCGTCTTCCACACATGTTCTGAATGCTGGACAAGCCGAAACCCAGCGCAGAGACCTCCAAGGTTCGTGGTCCCCTCCAGTGCACTCTCACATCTCGGTCATTTCCAGGATCCTCGCAGACCGCCGAAAGTCGTCATCACGCAGCCGTCGTCCAATGATCTGATGCCACGTGTCTCCATCGACACAATCGATTCGTATCACCGAGAAGTGTCCAAATCAAAGTGCTGTACCATTTTATGAAGGCACACACTAATCTTGTATAATTCAACTTTGCATGTGTTCATGGAAGGATTGTATATGTCGGAGGGGGTAAAATAAAAAAGTGTATGATAAAATAAAATGAACAACAAGAATGAAGCGGATGGGAGAAATGAGCGTGAGTGTAGGACTCGGCTCATGATGGTGGAGAATCCTAGTGGAAAACTGACAACTTGGGTCGGAGACAGGGAAGCGAATAGGGTGAATACAGCGAAAAAAATGGAGAGGGAGCGTTCAATCGATTGCGATAATTCAAAGTAGAGAATGCCGAGATCCGGACGATAGGCTACACAGTGGAAAGGGAACAAGAGATTATACCCAAGTGGGAACCGTCTCTTGGAGATTACAGGACAAAAGTTTGAGTGAATATAAATTAAACAATTAAACGAGAGACAGTTTACTCGGGATCGCGGATTTGGAAGGTGGGTGGAGGGAGGAAGCTTTTACAGATAAGAAACACTCACAAATCACCCACTTACAGCAGAAATCTTCTTACTTTCGGGTCTTGGACCAATTGGAGACTTATGAGCATTTTGGCGGGAAAACTAAGATAGGAAGGGGAGGCAATCGGGATAAAAACAGAATGAAGGGGGGACACAAGAAGATTTAGCGCATGTCCTCATCGTCGACGACTTCATCCGGCTTGAGGATTCCGGGCACGGCGCGCTTGCGTTGCTGAGCTTGCTGGATCTCGGCCTCGCGCTCCTCCAGGTACAGATCCGAAGTGTCCTCTCCGTTGTGCTCCTTGATCTGAATCAGGAAGTCGCGGAGATGGTTGCGCATGCTCGAGATTTCCGTGTTGAACGAGAAGAATCCTTTGATGATTATGCGGATTTGGTCCCTGAAGACAGATTTCAGTTATTGACATTAATTAGGAAGGTAAACTCACTGATTCATGTTATCAAAGTGCGCCTGGAAGTTTCCTCCGATATGATCGTAGATGAAATCCATGTTGGACTGCTCCGGCTTCTCATCGTTCAACGGAACCTTGATCGAGAACTCTGGAGCACGGAACAGAGCGCACAGCACTTCAGCGTAATAAGTCAGACCTGGAAAAGGTAGTGGTTAAGATCCTAGTCAGTGGTAGATCAGGCCATACCAGCGACGTGAACCTGAGAGCTATCACAGGCGACGGCGAGAACATGCTTGAGCAGAGCGATGTAGTATCTCTTGTAGAACGGCTGAGCGACCTCGTCCGGCTGCTCGGCAACACGACTCAGCAATTCCTTGAGAATGTCGAGGCCTGGAAACAGAAACGAGTTTATTCCGACCAAACAGTCAACTTCTAATTTGTTAAAACGATTAGGAATGGCAGACTTTCACTTTCAATTCTGTTTTCAAGTTCACTCTGTCCGCCCTCTCAACCAAAGCATCGAGGCGTCAACACGAAAAAATCCTCCTATTTAAAAGTACTTCAGTCGATCAAGATGACAATTTGAAAGAATCCGTCTGGGTCAGTCCAGAGGGACCATCATTCCATAACATACAACATACATTTTTTATTTGTCATCATTTTAGAAACGGTCTGCGCCTCCTTCTGTTACTTTTCGATTCCTTCTCTCACTTTTTCTCTTTTCGCAACAAAATAACAATCGTCGGAGACCCGCAAGGCCACAAAGAACAGTTGTGTTTCGTAGCGTATATTTACCCACCAGTCCCGAAACGATGACTTTCTCGCGCAGAGTCTCTTCTTTACATGCGCAGAGCTTTCCTCTATAAACACCGCCCGACGCTCTACTGTTCAAGTTGCACTTAGTTAGATACATTTCCTATTGTTTCAATAGAAAACTTTTTTCAGAAGCCTCTTCTTGCAATGCCCAATCAACGCCATACTACCGAGTGTGTGGATGTGAAAGTGCTCCAAGAGCACATTCATTTCCGCAACGGGCGTGTTGCTTTGAATCGTCTGATGAAGGCCCCAATGTCGGAAAAGATTTACAACTGGGAAGATCCGGATGAGACGAAACGTGGAGTGCCCAATGCGGGGCTCGTTAACTTGTACGAGAAGTGGGGATTTGGCGGTTTCGGAATCATCTTCACTGGAAACGTCGTCATCGATCCGAAGCATCCGTACGAGGCGGGACAGGGAATCGTCTCCAAGGAAAACGACACACCGGTCATGAGAGATTGGTTTGCTAAGATGGCGAGAGCTGCGAAAGCAAACCACGCGTTGGTCATTGTTCAAATCAACCACGTGAGTTCTGGTAAAAATTTTGCACACACCAAAAAGTTTCATATTTCAGCCAGGAGCGTGGGCTTTCACTTCGTATACCGACAATCGTGGCAGAAAGCACGTAATCAGCGATGGAGCTGACGACATTCTGAACGCGCCAAGAAGCGTTGTTCAAAAAGAGCTGATCGATCGTGTCGTTTACGCCGCCAAACTGCTTTCAAATTGTGGATTCGACGGTATTCAGATAAACTCTGCCTTCGGAAATCTGTTCTGCCAATTCTTCTCGAACAACAACAAAAGAACGGATGAGTATGGAGGCTCTCTGGAGAGTCGCGCTCGTCTCCACATCGACTTATACAACGCCATCCGCAGGGAAGTACCTGCTGCGAGTGGATTCCTCGTCGGACTGAAACTCAACTCTGCCGATTTCCAAAACAATTTCTCCAACGATGATCTTCGTCGTCTATGCGAGATCTTCGACGAAACTGGATACGACTTTGTCGAACTTACAGGAGGATCGATGGAGCAGGTGGTACAGGAAGCTCAGCAAAGAGCTAGTACCGTCGCACGTGAGAACTATTTCCTAGAGTTTGTCGAGAATGTGAACAAGGCTTTCCGTAAGACCAAAGTTTACATCACCGGAAACTGGCAAACTGCCGCCAGAATGGTCAACGCAGTCAACCTGGGAATCACTCACGGAATAGGATTGGGAAGAGCCAGTGCTGCTGAGCCAAGTGAGTACAACAATTATTCATAAACAATATAATTTAATGATTTCAGATTTCCCTCGTAAGCTTCTCAGTGGAGTTGCCCATGCCACACTCAATAACAAATTTGCTCCGGCTGATTTCCCGACTGCTAAGCACGCAGCTCATTTCCAAATCAAGACCCTGGCAGGATCGTCGATCAATAATGTCGTCAGGTAATACAGAAGCTACATTTGCGAAAGAAACCCACACTTTCAGCCCAACTGACGGACTGCCTGACTTCACAGATGATAAAGAAGCAGCCAACTTTGCCAAAAAGGCTGCAGACTACATCAAGTTTGTGAGTGCAGATGGAAAACCAGACACGTTCGCCGAAGTTATCCAGTACACTCCAATCCACTCTTAGATAATATATAGCTCAGCTCTGACTTGTTTCAATAAACGTTCTTTTGCAATTGTTATCCGAAATTCTTCGAAAAAAATTGACGTATTCCAAAAAACATCGGTTGCGTCTGACTAGAACATCCAAAAAAAGACCGCAATTGTGACTGTCAGCGTCTGCTTCAATTGACCTCCTGCACTATCTCTCAACGGTGTTAGACCGAGAGAAAGGGCCAGAATTCGGAGTTACAATTGTTCAGTTCAAGAGGAAGCTGACCACTTCAAAAAAGGATTCAATGAGTATGGAGCTCGACTCAAAGTCATTGGAGGACAGGATCGACACGCGGATGTGGATGTGATTAAATACTTGCGATTGAGTCATAAGAGCCAATAAAATATTCTGAATTTTGTCTGTCATTCCCACAAACTTACCAATCTCTGCCACATTGCGCATAGTGTGTTGGAACGCCCAGACGACAGCATCGATGACTGTTCCGAGATCCTCCGGGGGCATTTCCATGAAGACCGAGAAGCACTCCTGCACCAAAGAGAGAACAAGCTCAAAGAAGTTGGTACGATGCTCTGGGAATGCCTGAAATAGTGAATAGATGGAGGGAAAAAGTTTGTGAATGAACTACCTCCATATCTTTGTTGATCATGTCGATACTGCACTGGAAGACAGCACCGAGAATGTTCGGAACTTGTGGGGAGAGGAGCGGCTGAAAATGAAAAGAATAAAAAGTTTACCTTCTATAAAAGTTTGACTTACCCCAAGCTGGGTGACAAGAATGCTGAGCAGAGAGAGCACCTTTGGCTCTCTGGCCTGTGGAACATTTTTCTGATAGTCGAAGAGAACGGCATCGAAGAGCGGAGGAACGATACTGTCGAGAATGAGCTTCGCGTCGGCGTTCTTCGAGACGAACGTCGACAGAAGGATCAGAATCTCTCGTTTCACAGCTCGCATCGTCTTCACTAACGGATTTTTAAGAGCCTCTTCTCCGGCTGTCGTCACCGCACGGGACACCTTCTCCGACAGAATTTTGTAGAGCGACAGCAGGTCGTTGTAGATGTTTCCGAGCTGAACAACGAATGCCGATCCGATCGATTTGCAAGCGGCCACGTTTGTCTTCAGAATGTTGAGAACTGAGCGAACCATCTAAAAAAAACCGTATTGATTGAACCGCTAAAAATGCTCACCTCGTGCTCCTCGAGAACGCTGTCATTTGCACAGGCCGCGCCGATGATGTCGCTCCACGTGCGATTCGGAATTTCCATCAGTTGGGTGATCAGCGCCTCCTGAAGGTTTCCGTCTATCTGCGCCGAAATGATGTGTCCGACGGCCTCGTAAAAGACGTGCACCTGAGAGTGCGACAAATCGCATATGATTCCGGTTAGATTCTCGAGCATCTCCTCGACGAACGGCTTGTTCTCGGCCGGCTGAACTATCACAAAGTGTCTCTTGCACTTGATGGCGATCTTTATGAACGTGTCGCAAGCCATGTCTTGTACTCCTTCGTGAGTTTCGTGCATGAACTCGAACAGCTTGTTGATCACCTGAAAAAAAAACAAAATAGGAAAGAACTCATATGTAAACTGCTGCTAACCGTCTTGAGGAATTTCCAGTGAGCTCTGAGAAAGCGAGGGTACTGTCCGACGACGTACATGATGTTCGAGGCAATCACCGCCTTGTTGTCCTTTCCGCGTTTCTGTTCGCACAGACCAAGCAAGTCGCGTATGACAAGAACCAAGAACCGCTTCTCGTCTTCTTCCACCATCGTTCCGGAGATCGACCCGACAGCCCAGCAGAGACGATTCAAATTTTTCCAAGAGAACTCTCCTCCGTTCACTTGTGACGCCAACTTCTCCGTCATTTTCATTTCTGTGTCCTTGTTGTCCAAATGCGTCAAATAGACGAGAGTCTCGCGCATATTCCGGTAGAGAGCAATCGAGTCGGTGTCCTTGACCATCTCACGGACCACTTCTCCTTGGTCGTTCTCCTCAATCAGAACTTCTTCCGGCTTGGCCATTCGGGAGATCATCGTCGAGCGGAGAACAGAGAGATAATCGCGGTAGAGCTGGCGACGTGGATGCTCACGCATTTGATTCATCATTCCGTAGAGCGTGCTCGGTTGGATGAACGGTGAGATACGGTACAGCTCGGCAGTAAGCCAGCACCAGCAGTCGAGGCACACCTTGAACACTTCCATCTCTTCGATCAATGTGATCTTCAGAAGCAGTTGAATGGCGTAGTCGTGGGAGTCACGAATCATCGCCTTCGATTCAGTGAGTGGCTCGTCGGTCACTTCGATCAGATGCACATGCTCCTTGATGAAGCCAACGAGGAACTGAGCAAGACTGTTGATGAACTTCTGATCTTGATCGGAAGCATCCTTGTAGACGGCCGCAAGATCTATGTCAAGACTCAAGACGGTGCTGATGTGGCGCATAGTTGAGCAGAACATCTTGGTCAGCTTCTCGTTGTAACTTGGGTCGTTCGTTTCCACCTGAATCTGCGAGATCTCCGTTAGGCATTGAAGAGTGATCACGCGGTAGACTTCGAGCGAAAGGAAGTTGTCGGAGAGTAGTTCGGTGATGTTTGTCTCGAAGACGTATCCGACCGGAATCCACGTCAGAAAACGTTGCAACGTCTTGAGCGTGGCTTGCACCATTGAATTAGATGGGCACTTCTCCAGAATGTTGACGCAAAGAGTGAAAACTTCCTGGAATTGTCCGCAGAACTGTTGCTTCAGATGTTGCTCCTTGGCTTGGGTCAGGTTTTGCGATCCGGAGTCGAACACTTCCTCACTCAACAAGCTCAGAATGTTCATGTTGTTGATGCACACAGTCTCGTTAGTCTTCGACGATTCGACGATATCGGTGATGAACGATGGCCACTGCTTCGGCCAGTCTTGCTTCACAATCTGCACGAGCACGAGGTTCAGCTTGTGCAGCAGCAGCTGGTTTTGGTCCATGATCGATTGTTCGGAGGACAGCTCCAGCATCTTCGTGATGATGTACGACTTGATGCCGTCACGTTGCACTTGTGGCAGAGACTTCCACTTGTGCTGGATGACTGTCTCCAAGATTTGAAGAGCAAAGTACTTGGACTCATTCAGCTGAGAGAACTGGAGGATCGCGTCCACCTTTGTCCACGATTCACGATCTTCCTTGAGACTCATGAGGATCATATTGGCCTCCGCCTGCTCCTTTCCGCTCATTCGGTTCATAATTTCAACCACTTGGTCCAGAAGAGCCACATCGATTCGGTCGCCTTGAGCGAATTGTTGCTTTGCTTGGGAAAGCACATCCATTGCTGTCGCAGCCATTTCTTTTCTGAAATCATATTTTTCTCACACTTTGTCTTGAATTCCGCCAACCACTTACCAGTCTTGTTTCAAAAAGTCGGTTCAGTCTCTCACACTCACGCACACGCACAAAAAACGGCGACAATGGGTACGTTGAAAAGTTTGCAGTGAAACTTGAAAATTAAGCCAAAAATCTGTCGCACACACTCTCACAGTCACTCACACAACGATGATGATGATGGTACGTTCGATCAGCAGGCCCTAGTTCTGAAAAAAACAACATTGGAAGGGATAACGGCCGAATTCGGTGAGAATAGCACGAACGGAAGGGTTTAAAGTAGATCGGAGAACTGGTGACAGACGGGAATGGGTTCACCCCCAAAAAGTTTCAGTGGCGCAAGAACCGCCCAAAATAGAAGAAACCCAGGCAACTTCCGGCAATAATAAATCATTTTTCACTGAAAAGTGAGAGAAAGGGAAGGGATACGACGAACTGCCGACCGAATTCTTCTTGCTGTCACGATTTTGGTTTTATCAATCAACCAAAACTGTATTTCGAAATTACTCGGTAACATGATAAGGTGAACTGCGAATCACTGTTGTTTTGCAGGATTTCTATGTCCACCGCGGAAAAAGTTAGGCCACGGGGGGGGGTCGCAGCGGAATGGGGAGATACTGGCGCCGAAACAGAAAAGAGAAGACAGCGCGGAATTCGAAGGTAGACGGGGAAAGAGCGATGTTATTGTAAGCAGTGACGGTCAGAAATCGATCGAGACACCTCTATGAGTGCAGCCGTCCCGTCGTCATGTGATGTGCACGCCCAGCGAGCGGCCGTCGCGCTTTCTCATTCGGCAATGTGTTCGTCAGTAGCAGGGCAAAAACCAAGAGAAGAGAAACAAGCCGGGAAAGAATTGGACAAAGGCGCGAGAATTTGAATGAGGTTGGGAGCGGACAGTCATGTGCTGTTTACGCAGTACTGCGTAGACATGGCAACACAGAACAGAGGCGCAGACAGGCAATTCGTGGGAAGAATCTGAACACGACGTCGGATCATTGAGCGCATCGAGCTGTGAAGGTGGTGACCTTGACAACACGGCTCTGCAGCGGAATAATCCGCCCGCGCGTAAAATGAGCAGCAGCGATGATGAAAATAGACGGGCAGAAACCAGCACATCATGCGACACCTATTATTGAAGCGCAAAACACGATGGAGCAGATTGGATGCGCCGGCGAAGAGACGATGAGAGAACGAACGAAGGCGTCGGAGGATGAGGAAGAGGAGGAGGAGGACCAATTTTATCACGAGACACACCGCAAGAGCAGTCAACTCGCGGCCTTTTTCGTTCGAATTCGTCTGCGCGCTCGGCGTTGTTCGGTAGAGCGCGTTTGGAACAGCGATAGTGCGCAGTCGACAGAACACAGAACAATTGATTCTGCCCGTCTCCCACGATCGAAAATCGTGAGAACGTTTACAAAAAGCGCAAAAATGTCATTTTGTCAATTTTCAACAACAATTTTGATCAGTTTCAACACTTACTTGCTATAAATCGATTGTACTTGTTGTCAACACTTGTTCGAGAACAGTTTTAACGATCGAATAGTTTTGACGGAAAAAAAAAAGAAATTCTTGAGTTGTGGACGTGAGAGAGACACAGCTGAATGACTATATTCATACTCGGTGTCTTTGCGCGCGTTCGTGGAGATGTTTTTTGGGAAGACGGCAATATTGTTTCCAGATGAAGGAGGTCGCACAAAAAATAGGAATACGGAAGAGTTTGAACAGATTTATGCGAGAAGTGAGTTGAGAGAAAGTTGGACAGACGCAAATAATAATAATGAAACACAGTTAACTGACGATGGAAAACTGGACTTCGAATCGGTTTCGTTTCAAGTTCTGGAATTAGAAGCTGGCAAAAGAGATAACGAATGCGCTGATATCATTGAGGTTTTATTAGAAACTGCCAGCGTGAGATTTACACACATTCACAAGCACCCAATGATTAATCATTCATGGCTTCAGAGATCCGGTTGCCCTGATCGTCTTCTGATCCTCCAGCTTATCGATCGATTCTTCCTGCAGTTTGTTCATTTTCGAAATGAAATACTCAATGATCCAACAGTGAGCTTTTGAGTTGTTTTGATCACATTTCAACGGCATTTTTAAGGAATTCCTAGAGCTGATGGTCGAGCTGAATCCCATCCGAAACCCTCTTCCTGGCTCGAAAAAGAACGGAAAAGAGTTGAAAACAGAAGCAATTCGGGCGATTAGAGAATGGGAAAAACAGTTTGCGAAGGACGACGCGAGAATGAAATGCTTGGCGGTGACGCTGAAAAAGACAAAATTCGTGGAATACGAGCAGGTGATTGTGGATTTGGAAGCGGAAAGGGAGCGGAAGGCAAAGATTGCGGAGAGGAAAATGAGGATGATGCAGAGTGTGAGTGCTTCGGAACTTGGCCGAACTTCCAGTAGGTGGGCATTTCCAGGCTCTCGTTGCGTACGAACGGAAGTTCCAGAAGATCAAGGAAGACGCCGATCGACTGTCGATAGAAGTATTTAATACATGGCAAATGACCGTGACCTCGATCATATTAATTTAGATGGATACTGCTCTCCGAATCCTAGTTCCTTCCTTCACCGAAGATAACGTGGATCCAAACGTTCCGGGAACTTCCACTCTCGCCACGCCGTCATCTTCTTCAAAAACCCTCGACATATTCATTCCCGACCTCGCTCCAGAAGTCATTGTTTCTTCTGAAAATGACGCCGTTGTCGAGGCGTTTCTCGATGTAAAAACCCTTCTCATTCATAGAGTTCAAACCCTTCGAAAGTCAGTTTCAATTGGTTTTCCATAATTTCTCTTATTTCATTGCAGATTGGCAAAGCGGTTGTTGGTACTGAAACAGCACGGACAGCCATTGGCGGATAAGATTGTCACCTATCGGGACAGTCTGAAAAAGAGAGTTCTGAAAGCGGAAGAGCTGAAAATAAAAGGCGATCCTAGGGAGACGGAGACAAAAAAGAAGAAGAAGTTTGACGACGGTTTCATTGACGTCGAGATATCGATTGACGACATTCTGATGCTGCAGTACTCGAAGAAAACGGAAGAAGCAATGGAGAAGGAGAAGGTCCAGAAAAAGATGAAAGGGGAGACGAAGACAATCGAGAAACCGAGGGAAACGGTGAAAGCAGTGCCGTTCGGACTGGATCTGAAGTACTGGGGAGAAGATCGGGAAAAGGTGGAAGTACCGAAGAACAATGCGGACTGCCATCGCTTCTGGAGATCAGCCGATGAAGGGACTGTGGCTGGAACTGCTCATCACAGCATTTACACTCAGCGACAGTTCACTTTCGTAGGAAAAGCTGCTAAAAGTGACAAGGTGTGTCGCGCGACGCTTCCGAATGGAGCACTCTGTCCGAGAAGAGACTTCCTCAGCTGTCCGTTGCACGGAAAGATCGTCGACCGAGATGAAAAAGGCGAGCCGATTGCAGAAGAAGATCGGCGAACCGAACGGAAACGGGAAGAGCGGAAGAGGCAGAAAGAGTCCGAAGAGTTTTCTCGGAAGATCGAGAAAGAGTACGAGCAGAAAACGAAGAGGAAGAAGAAGCACGATGTGGAGACGACGCATTCAGAAGACGTTCGCAGTCGACTACAGAAAAAGTTGCTGGATCCGAAGACAGTGCAGAGAGTGTCGGCGGTGCTGGACGCGGCGCAGAAGAATCGGCTGCAGAAGAACTTCGGACATCAGTTTTCTCATATGTGATTGAATAAAAAAATTTGCCCCCGAGAATTGGAATTGCATAGTATTGTCCATCCGGAAAGAACACAAAGTGACGTGCGTTTCGAAATTTTTTCAATGCTCACTGAACACAATCAAGATCTGATTCAATTAATTTGCGATTTCGAGCAGTTTCTCGTGTGTGGGTGAATGAAATCATCGTATTCTGCGGAGAATCTATTTACAAACAGTCCCTTCTGGATTGTTTGTCAAGATATGTGAAAAGTGACATCCGAAATGACGATGATCGTAGTCAATTACCGACGTCACTCATTTGCAGCCGCAGAAGAAGAAGAAGCCGCCCTCCTCCCCCGCTTGCCCGCTTCTTCCACCCTCGTGATCCGATTCCCTTTCACCCACGACGCGCATGAATGTTTCATCAACCCAGCCCGACCCGAAAACTGCAAAGTCCACATACAAAAACGAGTAAAATGTCATCACAAATGAGCAATCACTTTATTGCAAATCTCTTCTCTTCGTTTCCGTCAACTGTGTCTCATTTGTGTGCGTCGTCAGAGTGTCATCCGAATCGGAGGGGTCGTGGCTTCTCGTGTCTGAAATGATTCGAATTGTAGTCGTCGAGTGACTCGTATTGTTCTGAATCCGTCATGCGGACGCCGGACGAACTTTGACGCATATCTCGGAGAAGATCAGATCATTGCGGGCTTCTCCCAGCTTTACGTATTCGTATATAATTGCTATACTACTAGATATACTCTGTCGGTATTTTATTTTCGTGTAGAGCACCGAAAAACTTGCGAATATTCAAACCCGTCTACACACGAAAACACGCGATTATACGTAGGAGCCATTCGTGGTAGGCAGGATAAATTAAACGACTATTCAAAGAGTGTGATTGAGAAGAAAGGAAGTGAGCACTTGCGAGTGAAATGGAATGCAGTCAACACTGTGAGAGTCTACGCTTTCCAGACAAATTTTTGGGTTCCGTCGCCCACTCGAAGTTTTGGTTATGAAAAAAAAACAAAAACAAAAAGTTCCTGAATTTGACAGAATGCAGCCACTTACACGACGTCGGGGCCCATGTTGAAAGATCTCGGAGGTCGTTGATAGGCGACGGAGAGCACGTCCGGGATGTCCGACCATTGGAGGATGACCTCGCGGAGGGGAATTGCTGAAAGTGGGTCGGATTGGGTGGAAGCCGTACAAAGCTTGTGTTCGGATTATCCCCTTAAAATTATATACTTTGGGGGGGGGGGGCTCAGCTCGCACAGAGAGATTCAAGTCAGTAGATTGGATGACCCCGAACTGGCTTCTCCAGTTACCGTAACCCCACTTACACATGGAATCAGCGACTGTTGCGAATACAATGATAATGAAAAGAGGGGCGAGCCACCACAAATGGGACTCGGATCGTCGTGTTGTGGCCATCGACCAGCAGAATGGCATGCAAATTGACAGAGGTGTCTTCGTCGAAAAGGGGCGGTGCGGCAGCGGCACACACACACACACACACGCACAATACGGCCCAGGCGCTGTCAACGTGATATTTCGGACACTTGGACGGCTGGAAAGGGGAGGAGCCGCGGCTTCCAGGTGACGACGGAGGAGGAAGCGGTCGAGTGGAATCGCAAGAGATGTCATTAATCGGGACAATGGAAGAATGACGGGAAGAAAGGGTGGTGTGCGAGCGAGCGGACATGATCCGGATGGGAAGCGAAGGGACCACGCTCCTTCCAGTAACAATGACGTGGCGGAGAGAACGGGAATCGAATAAGTGACGGCTGCAACGACTGAGAATAGGACTGATGTAATGATGTTTGATGCGTGGAACGGTAGAATACAAGACATGTCTTCTGATTGTGACCATTGCGGAAGTCCTTTTTCGCCAGGTTTGGGATGGACTCGAGTCAGGAGGCCAGCTATTCCACTATTCATTTTTCCTGCAGCCTTTGCAGGTAACTGAATACGTAGGCAACTACCAAAGGTCAAAGAAACACTCTTGCTGGTTCATGACGTTTGGACGTTTGGATTTCATAATGCTACTTGATTGACGGAGGAAGATTTCACGATTTTTGATCGGAGGAACTGAGTTTATAGAAATTAGAGCCTTTGTCATATTACTTCCGAGTTAGCAAGGAAACTGCAAACAAATTCGAACATTACCATTATACAAGGCTCTTAAAACTGGGGATCGGAGGCCGATCTAACAGTCGGAAGCTGCTCCGCCGAATATTCGATTGCCGAAGAAGTCCACTGTTCGCGTTCACGCTCAAGCGTTATTAGGCTTCTGCACTTTTCTGGTCCTTATGCGTGCGACTCACCGGATCTATGATAATAGGCCTGAATCAGAAATGATCACTGAAGCATTTGCGTAATGTTTTCTTCATCAGATCACTTGCTCTGAAAGGATAAAGTGACAAATCTTCCAATTGTACTATTCTGTTCCTTAAAAAATGAAGTATTGCGTGAGGTCATAGCTGACCTGCTTGCTTCATATTCTACTCAACTCACGCACCTTCAGCTACCGTACCTGCGCACGTACAACCCGGAATTCATCCGTTTTCCAGGAGGATGGAAGTGTGCTCTGCTCTCGACGAATCTCGACGTCAGAACGCATTCCCAATTGCATCGTGTCCATGTACTCCTCCAGACACAGTCCGCCAGATTCCCACAGCCTTGAGGAAAAACATACGCCTACACACACTCATTTGTAATTGAAAAGGTGATGCGACTATATATCCTTATTATTTTGATGGTTATTTGTTGACTCAAGCTCATTTCATTCAATTTCATTTCAATTCGAACGGGAACACCGAGCAGGCTGCACAATAATATAATAAGCGTCCGCGCAATTTCCACGGAAACACAATCTGAAAATAGAGCCGGCGCGTCTGAGGGGCTCCGGTCCCTAGAAGTTTCGAGAAGTAAACAGTCAAACTGAAAATGTTTTATTTTTATTCAACAGAAAAGAGGACAGGAAGAGAGAGAAACAGACAGACAGACAGACAGACGGAATGTCATCATTGTTAACAGTGTTTCTGCAGCGTTTTCAGATAATGGGACAGAAAAGGGACAGAGAGAGAGAGAGAGAGAGAGAGTGTGTGTGTTTGTGTTCTTCATCGGTATTGGGGGGACGAGATGGAATTTCGAGAGAGAGACACGGAGAAAAGGGAGAGAGGGAGAGGAGTAGGAGCCGGATTATCCGAAGCGAAGAGGGCGCGGACCGAGGCCTCGTTTCATCGATCTGAAAGAATCGTTCAACTCATCCTGAACCAGCTAGGATCCTGAAATTTCGACGCCCACTCACCCATGATCGTCGTTGAGAACGTAGTAGGCGTAGTTGTTGTCATCCGGTCCGAATTGTTGTAAGTAGGTGTTCACTGAAAAGTACGCACGATGATGCTAAATGCAGAAACAAGTGGGTCTTACAGATTCTGAACGCATCCTCTTGATCGACCAACGGCGCTGCGAGGACCCACGCGAGAAGACACGAGAGCAGAACGAAGAGCCGCATGTCTGGAATGTCAGAAGTTGAGGATTCTATACAAGAAGACATGGGGTGGTAGTCTATTTGCATTCGCTAATGAGATTCCGAGCATGATGAGATGGGAGGGAGCGGATAAAAAGATGAGTATGACGATGGGCTCGGGCGAGAAGAGGAAGTGCCCGCCACTACGGTAGGCAATCTGGGATCGAAAGTTTCGCGAGAGAGAATGCCACGTGCCAACAACAGAACGACGACTACAAATGCATGAATCGGTCGGTCGCACATAGTTTTGGGTTTCACTTGGAATGTGTAGCCGATTGAGCATAACATCGGGGTTTGGATACGAAGTGATGTTTATCTGGGAATGTGCGAGTGTGAGAGCAACTCGGATGACGTGGAGGCCGTGCAGGGGCATCCAGTGATTGTAGCCTAATGTTGGGTTTGGATGTGATCAAGATTGTTCATTGAGCTGGATGAAGGAAATTGGTCGGAAATTGTGACTTGATGAGAAATAAGAAAAAGAGGACGAAGTCATTCTTTCCACGAATATTGAGTTACGGAAAGATTAGGCGGAATCTGAAGTTTCGCAACATTCCGAGGACTTTTGCGAAAGCCACCACACATCTGGCTAGTTATAGCCTACAAGTTGGGCAGGGCTCGCTGGTCCGGAACACCCGACGGATCCGCCCCTGTACTCGTCTGCTGATGGATGGGTCATCCATCAAGCAGTTGAATGGAAGCGGCGACGTGTTTTGAGACAAGACGCACGAATTTTTAATCGTCTCGCCCGACACACGACTCGTTACGAAATGAAGAGTGGGTGGGGGAGATGGAGTACTACAGTAATCCTGTGTTTGAGGAAGAAACGAATTGTTGACGAGCAAAAAAGAGAACGCTCTTGCAGAGAAAGTGCATCGGCAAAAAGCAATTGGAGGGAACAATGACACGAAAATTGGATGAGAACTATGAAAATGGGGGGAGGGGACCAATTGAAGGAGAGTTTTACGAGTAAGAATGCGAAACGAGACGAAGAAGTCATTTTCGAGGAAAGATCGGAACTTGAATTATGCACATAAATGGGCGTCGCGTGACTGGCATATGAGACAGGTATTCGCCACCGAAATTGTGGGTGGAATTTCAACGTGGGAAGTGAGAGCAAACTGCTGTCGATGTGTTGCTCGTTGGGCTGAAGACGGGTCATTTGAGACGAAAGAAGAAAGAAGAAAGACAGAGAACTTTGAGCCGTCGGTAGGAAGAATAAAAGTAATGGGTGGTAGAGACAGGTGGTTAAGACGTCCGAACTTTTGAAAACGTTTATTACTATATAGAAGTGGCGCTCCTCAAGTTTATATGTTGTAGTCGGAGCAGCACGTCACTCTCCTTTTATAGAAAACGAAAAGGATTTGAAAGATTTGAAAGTATTTGAATATCCATTTTGAGTTTTGTGATGTTCAGACAAAAATAATGACGAGCACACTGACTCTCGTCTTCTCATTCTCAGTGATCAAACATAAACTACAATGAGAGAGAGAGAGTGACGGAGTTCCGAAACGAAAACATATTTTTGGGGCAGTGGCATGTCTTCTGAATTTACTTGTGATTCATAGGATGCGACAAGTTTGTCACGCAAACGGGCCACGTTTATGAGAAAGCGAAAGGAGCGGAAGACGTCGTCATTTTTATGGGAGCATGTAAACTCTTCTGAATTACAAATGAGCGATAGGTGCGGCGTGATGGGATCGTGTGACGTCATGAAACACGAAGATCGGGTATATCACGTACCGCCTATATAAGGACTTCTCAGGATTGATAAGGGTCGAGTCAAAGACGCGAGAAGCAGCTGAAAATGTGGGTGGTAATGTCATTTCGGAATAAAGACTCGGCAAAGCGTCAAAGATGAAGGGAGAAGAAAGAAAACCAAGTTCATTATATTTACAACAACCACTACTAATCGGACGAGTTGTCTAGTTCTTGAACTTTCGGAGACGACGAGCGCTCGGGGCGATTCCGGCGGCTTCGAACGCAGCGTTGGAGGCGGTGTTGGAGACGGCGGACTGAAGCGATCCGACGGAAGAGTCAATGAGTCCGGAGGAGGACTGCGATCCGAAGTCGGACGTCGGAATGGCACTGTTGCCGGCAGAACTGAGTTGCTGTGGCTGGTAGCCAGAAGAGATTTGGTCTGGCTGAAAGAGAGAAAAGAGGCGATCTTTGTTCTTTCTAATTTTATAATTATTCTCACACTTACCGAAACCTCGATTCCCTGCTCGACGGGCCCGCCAATCGGTTGTTGTGGTTGATAACTATATCCCTGAAAGAAGATGTGTAAAGAATGTTTGCCGAATGAGATTATCGGTGTAAGAATGACGTGCCTGAGGGGCGACGGGTTGCGAGACGTAGCCGGTCGGTGGCGGTTGAACGCTGAAACAAAGAGAGTGAGAGTTTGGGTGAGATCTTGAATAGCTGGGAGTGTAATGCGATAAGTTACATACACTCTACGGTGAGAGTACATTCGACGATTCCGAGCGTCGTCCGTCTCGATCACGCTGAAATAGTGAGTGAAACAAAGAAACTGTTAGGCGAGGGTGAGTACATGACATCTTCGTCGTTGTATTGATCGCCGGGAGGGGAAACGCGAGTTGAGTAAGTAGTAGAAACCGGTGGGATGTAAGAAGGTTCATAGGGTTGATAAGATTGAGGAGGTGGTGGCATTGGTGGTGCAGGCGGGTAGTAGTAACTGGGATTAGGGAAAGAAACATAGAAGAATAGAGTTGAGACACTTACGGTTGGGACTGAGGTTGGACACTTGGGGTTGGTCTTAAACGCGGACTGAAAGGGTTATTAGTCTGTTAACAAGTTAGAGTCACACAGTTAAATCACAAAGGTACCGAAACCCAAACACTGTACTTACTAAGATGGTGGCGGTGGTGGTGGTGGCATTGGAACCTTGGCGTACAGGGGGATCTGAAAGATTTCTTTCGCTTCATCTTGTTCCAACTGCTTCTCACCCTTTCGTATCCGATGATTTGGGGGGGAGCGTACGCCCAACTGGTGGCTCCTCCACAGCACGGAGAGCTGATTATCGGAGCACTGCAGCATCCGCCTCCGAAGAGGAACGCGCTCGCGTGTGGGACGGCGACGAGAAGGAGGTAGAGGGCGGCCAGAGAACGGTGCATGGCTGGAATCTATTGATGAGAATTGAGAAGAGGGAGTACAAAAAAGTTAAGCCAATTTTGTCGCAACAAGAGAAGACAATACGATTTGAATATGATCGACACCGTTTCTTGTGGGTTCCAGCCCCTCCTCTTCGTTTGCGTTGTAACCTTTTTAAGGTCTTGCAAGTACCTGCCTCAAAACGGGTTATCTGCCTGCGCACTCCCGCTCGTCCACTCTTTTCGCGCGCTTCTCACCCCTCTCAAAAAGGTGTCGGTTTCAGTTCGAGAAGGCACAACGGGCGGGTCGGTTATCAATCAAGTCAAGACAAAAACGAGGTTGTCCTCTGTCTTTATTTCATCGTCGTAGTTCAGTAAGAAAAGCATTTTTGGTGTGGATAAGAAAAAAGCGATGGGAACACGTCTATAACACAACAAAGTCTGTGCTTTCTCTCCGTTTTATCTTGATTCGGATGCCATCGAACGGTCTGAGAATCAATTCGGGCACGGGTCGCAGGTTCCGTTCCGTCTGCAGACTCTCCACTTGATACTTCCGGAAGAACCACGAGAGGACGGTCTTCTCCTCGAGGATCGCGAACTTTTGGCCGATGCAATTGCGCGGTCCAGCTGAAAAGGGAATGAAGGCGTAGGGATCTCTTCCGGCGATGGCGTCGATGTCGAAGTTGTCGGGGTTGTAGACGTCCGGATTCGGGTAGGCACGAGGATCACGGGCTGCCGCAATCGGGGAGACGCACGCCGCGAGGCCTTCTGGCAGCACTATTTTCTGGCCACTCGGGTGATCTGAAAGCATGTTTCTCTTAAATTAGACAGACAGAAAGTAGTGTGACATCACCCTCACCGCCCCATTATCTGACTCTCTCACCCGTTTACCCTCTTGAAAAACATCACAAAACCACCTGTTGCAACCTCTGAGACGTTTCTTTTTCTGTTCAGAAATATCTGATTTCATCTGACTACTCACACACAGGTGATATATTTCCGAAATGCCATCACTCACCGATAGTCACGTCTTCTGACAAGCGTCGCGCAATCAGAGGAACCGACGGAAACATTCGCAGTGATTCTTTTATGCACTTTTCTAAATACGTGCACTTTTTGATGTCCTCCATAGTCGGACTACGATCAGTGGCAAACCCTGAAGGTAGGAAAATGAATGTGATCTGGACTGTGCTCACCAAAAACTTCATCGAGTTCTTTGTGCAGCTTCTGTTGGCACTCTGGATAGAAGCCAAGCCAAAGGACTGTGAATCCGATGCCGCTGGCAGTTGTGTCGTGTCCTTCGAACATGAAAGTGTCCACTTCTTCCCGGATGTCTTCGTCGGACAGTGTCCCTGTCTCTTGCTGAATCGTGAGCAGCAGGTCCAGGAACGCCTTCCGTTTCCTTCCTCCGCTCTCGTGCGTCTCTTCATTCAGCAGCTCCTTTCTCTCCTGAATCACTCTCCGCGTGAAGTCGTTCGTCAACTTCACATTTCTGTCGAATTCGAACCCCAATCCAGACAGATACCAGATGGGCTTGAGCCAGAACCACGGGAACTTCATGTGATTCCAGATGACTTCCGAGATCCGCTTCACCGCGTGCACATAGTCGTTATTCTCGCCTAATTGAGCATTCACTTGGATTCCCATTGCAGTTTCTGAGATTCCCACGATAAAGGATTGGAGAGAAATGAAGACATACCACAAATAATATCGAGCGTACATCGTTTGAAGTAAGGGAACCCGTCAAAGTAATCGCCATCGACGTGCTTCTCAACTGAATCCACGAGCACCTGCAGAACGAATTCCATGGAAAACAATGGGATCTTACTTACCTCCGCGTGTCTCGCAAAAATTGGAAAATAATCCTGAATGATGCTGAAATGGAAAGTGGGCGTGAGCATCTTTCTCCGGTGGAACCACTTCTCGTGGGTGCTCGTCAGAAGTCCAGTTCCGATCCATTCACTCATTTTATCGTATTGACTCGGCTTCGAAATGTTCGTGTTACTTTCCAAGACTGGCTAAACATCAAAGAGTTTTCTGAGAAACAGGGCCTCGATGCTCACCCGAATGCACTCGGAAGTTCCTAAGAAAACAATCGGAACCGGTCCGATCCAGACGAGCATGATTCCGTCGATTTCCCCGTTCTCAGCAGCAATCTCTCCGTACTTTGCTCTTCCGAACAAATACTTTTGAGCCCATTGCTCCATTTGAAACGTGAAATCGTAGGGATGCCATTTGAATAAGTGGGCGGACCTATCAGCGGAAGGGCTGGAGGGCCACGGACCATCTGAAAAGGTGTTAATAGAAGACTGAGATCGCGTAGAACAATGAAACCTTCAGATTCGTGGCGCACTTTCTGTTGATCCGCCACAACTCGATAATCTGTTGAAAGTGGAGGAAGAGAAAGTAGATGATATAACCGATGATAATACTCAGAAGAACGATCATTGTACAACTGAAAAGGAATGGTGTGAATGAAAAGGAACGGAACGAGAAGAAGTGACAGTTGGAATGGAAATTAAAATTGAAATTTGAAACACAGTACGAAAACTGGTTCGGTCAGTGCGATGGGTGAGTCGATAAAATCCCATTACCTACAAGAAAACGAAATCGTCACGCGGCGGACAGAGACGTTTGATCAACAGTTGTGATAAGTTTGATAATAGGCGAAAGGAGACGGATTGTAGTCCTTCAGCGAATTTGTAACATTCGAGAAAAGACAGAAGGACAGAAGGCTACAAGAGGCGCAGTAATCTTTTCATTCCATGTTTGTGTTGTCACCTCTGTTACAGTCGTCTTTTATTCGAATCGTTCATTCGCTTCTCGCTCGTTTATACAACACATTTACAACCGTCTTCTGTTCTTCAAAATCATCTTGACGCCGTCGTACGGGCGAAGAATCAATTCGGGAACGGGCCGTCCTTCCGGCCAGTGCTCTACGCTGCTCACTTCGAATCGGCGGAAGATCCACGAGAGGACGGTCTTCTCCTCGAGGATCGCGAACTTTTGGCCGATGCAATTGCGGGGTCCCGCCGAGAACGGAACGTAGGCGTAAGGATCTCGTCGGGCGACTCGGTCCGAGTCGAAATGATCCGGAAAGAACTCTTCTGGACGTTCGAACTCTCTGAAACTGGAATCATGTTCTCAGGATCCCTCAATCTGTCACCTCGGATCTCTGGCTGCTCCCAGCGGTGCAGCCAATACTGTCAATCCTTTCGGCAGACGCATAGTCTTATAAATCGGATGCGGAACCAGCAAGTCCTCGGTCAGCTTTCTAGCAATCAACGGTACCGACGGGAAAAGTCTCAAGGCTTCCTGCAATGTTCCTTTCCAATAATTTCACTTCCATTACACTTACCTTGATGCACTTCTCCAGATAAACCAACTTCTTGATGTCCTCATTCGTCGGCAACCTTTTCGTATCCTCGCCGAACACCTCGTCAATCTCCTCGTGCACCTTCCTCTGATACTCCGGATACTGGCCTAACCACCAGATGGTAAATGCCATTCCGCTGGCGGTTGTGTCGTGTCCTTCGAACATGAAAGTGTCCACTTCTTCCCGGATGTCTTCGTCCGACAGCTTCCCTTCGCTTTGCATTTTCAACAGGAAATCAAGGAAGGCCAATCGTTTCCCTTTCGGGTTCTCGGGGTCGTTGGTCGTTTCGAAAACGCTTTCGTCAAAGTCCGTTTTTCGGGAGGTGATCACCTTCAAAAATATTTCATCGATGTTTGGATCTTCTCAAACACCCGTCTAACTGGTCACAAACATTTGAACCGACTACTGTGTAAGGGTACACGGATCTTAATTCTGTTGCAGATCTTTCAGTTTACGGCAGTGAGAACATCAACACCAGCAAAAGAAAACCCGATTATCATAATGTTAAAGGAACACATTCAGATCAGATGAAAATTGGACTCATCCTATTCGAGTTTGCAACTGGACCAGCTATTTGCCCAACCCTGGTCCAAACTTCGAAAAGCCTGCACCCCACCTTTCTCGTGAAATCATTCGTCATTTTGACGAGCCGATCGAATTCGAATCCGAGCCCTGTCAGGTACCAGACCGGCTTGGCCCAGAGCCACGGAAAGCGCTCGTAGTTCCAAATGATCTCGGAAATTCTGCCGACCGCGTCCACGTAATCGTTGTTCGATCCGACCTGAGCATTCACTTTCGCCCCCATTGCGGTTTCTGAAACAAGTCGTGAACAAATGAGTACAATTCGGTCGAAATCACCACAAATGATATCCAGTGCACATCGTTTGATGTACGGGAAAATGTTGACGACGTCCTGGTTGTTGGCCCTCCGATTGAGCAGGTCGACGAGCACGAGTCCCTGCTGCGCGAACACCTCCTGATACCGCTGGAGCACGTTGAAGTGAAACGTCGGCGTCAGCATCTTCCGCCGTTGTCGCCATTTCTCGTTCGTGCTGAAATTCGTGTAATGAATCTTCAATGCTCCAAGTATTCACTTGCCTGGTCAGCAAACCCGTTCCAATCCATTCCATTATTTTCCCGTACTGCACTGGCTTCGTTATATTCTCTGTGCTCTCCAATAAAGGCTGAAATGCTTAGTACTCCGAAATTCTCTCCGTTTTTTCCCGAACCCTCATGGCCTCGTGCGCCAGAATGACTGCAATAGGAATGGGTCCGATCCAGACGGAAATGACGCCCGAACTGTTCGGACTCATTCCGAATTCCCGCGCCCATTCTTCCAGCTGATAAGTGAATTCTAAAGAAAACAGTGAACAATTCTGAATATTCTTATTCTGGCGGACTCCGATTATTTAGTTTGAATTGATAGGCGGATCCGATGATTGGAAGAGCATGAGGACCTGATATTTTCTGAAATTCGCATTTACCCCTAAAAGCTGACCTATTTGTCAAACCTTAAATTCTAGATTGCAAATACGATTAAGTCGGTAAACCTCCCAAAAAGTGCTCCAATGGGAGAGAATAACATAGACAGAAACCGCGGCGATAACTAGAATCCACAACATTTGCGCCGCGCTCAGATTTTGAAATATTCAGACGGTAATTATATAGTGGCTGGGGAAAAACATAGATTGGCTGATAACTGTTAGCTGTGAGCCACGAGGTCTAGCGAGCAGATGAATCACCGTCAAAACATGGCAGGGGAGCACTTTTAAGTGTAGGCGTGAGTAGCGCACTAATAATACCGTGATAAACAAGGTTTAATAGAAGGAAAGAAACAAAAATGTGGTGGAAACAGTAGAAATCAACAAGGAAATAAAACAAGAGACGTCTAGAGGAACGAATGGTCTGACAGTGAGTTGACCCGCTTGGCGACATGAGCGACTTGGGCGAAATCGGCGTCGCTGAACACACTCTTGCTCTTTTGCTTCTTCTTGTTTGATCGTTTTGGCTCCTTCACACCTGCAAACCTCTGGTTGTTCTTTGTACGCCCGGTACACTTGTCCTCTTTTTCGACAATTATGGCATGTACTTAGAGTCCGTATCCAAGTATTTTGTGTCAATGAGTGTCAAACCGGAACAAGCCATAATTGTTGTTCGAAACACAACGGGACGCAGACGCGCATAATTTTTTGGGACGACAAATGTATTAATGATGCACGTGCAATCATACCGATAATTTCCTTTTTCTCTTTTCGCAGATTCTTCAGATCAGTCTTCGTTTTCATGTGCGCTGCCACCAGAACTCGCCCCTTTTTCTTGTCCAATCGGCGACTTTCTTGGTATTTCATGTATCTGGAAAAAGAATCTTCTGATAAATCATCCCGATTTTCCGCTCACTTCAAGTTCCTCTTTTTCAAATCCTTCGGTTTGAACGAACGTGCCTGATCGATCAATGAGAATCCCTGAAACTAAAAGTACTTCACTGCACTCTTTCATTTTTTAACCTGTGATGCTAACCGATCGTCGATATAATCGGTTCCTTTCGAAGTGCTCGGTTTTTGGACTATGTAGTTTTCTTCTGCAGACAACTGCACTTGGCCTTTTGCTGCTGCTTGCAGTATCGTCTTGACATTCTCTCTGGCTACTGCGCTCTTGTTCTTTTTCTTCTTCTTCCCTACTTCAGTGATGCCGTCTTCCTGCTCGATCGACGTCAGGAATTTTTTCAAGATTTCCTCAGACATCTATAAAAGCTCTCTTACTTGCTCTATTCCGATCTGTTCGTTTAAATACCGCCAACAGCTCGCGACTATACGCTCATATTTTATCCCACTACATGGAAGACGAACTTTGAAAATTTAACAATTTATTTGGAAAGAGAAGCAACAACGCGGCGGTGTTTAGGAGTTCGAGTTTGGTCCGCGCTTCTTTCCTGGTCCGGAGGCAACGTTGACGAAGCGACGGGTGTACTGAATGCGACGGAATGAACGTCCGCGCTTCTTCTTCTTCTTGTCCTGCTTGTCAACCTTTGGGGTCTGGGCACGGACCTTTCCGGCACGAGCGAGGGATCCGTGGACCTTTCCTGAACAATTTAATTTGTACCGGTAACTAAATCAACAATTATTACCTCCGAGAAGTCTTCCGTTGACGGAGAGGGTCGAGAGGTTCTCGATTTGGCATTCTCCGAGAGTGAGCTCCTCGCTGAGGATCTTGGATCCGTACGAGATGGAGAAGTCTTCTCCGGCTCCGATCACTCCCTGAAGATATGTTGTGAGTAATTTCGCACCATTCAAAAATCAAGAGCTCACCTTAATAGCAGAGAGGGTAGTGGAAGCATCCACGTCGAGCGTGTGCGTGGTGTTGTCAAGGCCAAGAAGGAAGATCTGCATCCTGAAAACGAGCGAATTGGATTTAAAAATCGATAATTCAAGAATTTCTCGGCTGAAAACAACGGAAACAAGTCAAAATGAATGTGCAAATCAGTCAAAATTAAATATAAATCAAAACGCTTTTCCATTTCACCGAGAAATGGCTGAAAATTCACAAAAAAAGCAAAGAAAAATCGAAATACGCGATGAAATTTGCCTGGTTGCGCAGACACACGCTTTAGCGTTGAACACTCAGCCAAGTACGCAGCCAAAGCGCGGGTCTCGCCACGATGAGCCGTTTTCCCCCTCTTTTTTGCGCCGTTGTGTGGTGTTGTTTTCCAGGCCTAAAATATTTTCGTAGTTTTTCCTCTTTTTTGCTGTTAATTTCTCGAAATATTTCGCTGAAAATTTCTGAAATGTTCACTTTTCCCTGCGAATTAGAAATTTATGCACGGTATTGCCTTTCATCTTTCTATTTCCGTTTATTTTCCATTTAATAGTTTTTCCGTTCAGTTTTTACATTCGCAATCTCGGAATTTTGACGTATTTTTTACAGGTAATGTCCGCTTTGAAGAAATCCTTCATCAAGCGCAAGCTTGCCAAGAAGCAGAAGCAAAATCGCCCAATGCCGCAATGGGTCCGCATGAAGACCGGGAATACCGTGAGTTCCTTTGGCGCTACCTTCGCCACTGTTTCAAAAAACCGTGTTTGTTTACAGATGAAGTATAACGCCAAGAGACGCCACTGGAGACGCACCAAGCTGAAGCTGTAGGCTGCTCATCGGTCAGCTCCTCATCCGGACGTTTGTCACCCAATCTGTTGTTCAATTTTCAATAAAGCTTTTTATTGAAAAGGTATTCGTCGAGTTAATTAGATAAGAAGTTATTAAAATGTACAGGATTGTCTACAATTTTTATCGCCTTCTTCGCACTTTGTCCGATTGTCGGAATGCTATGCAAGTTGTAAGCCCTTGCGTCGCTTCGCAATAGAGATTAGAGGTGAAAATGTAGGAAAAGTGGCCTCTTGAGCAAATAACGTCTACACTTCCTCCGAACGTTGCTTCTGCGGCTAGATTAATGCTTCTCTTTGATTCTGCAGAGCTGTCGCTCATGTTCTGAAAAACAAAATGGTGGGCAAAAGTGAATTCTAGAAGGTTACCTCAAGCATTAGTTTTCTCAAAACTTGACTGCTGCATTTGTTCTCATCAAGCTTCTCATCTCCTGTGTCAACTTTGACAATCTCCGACGATACAGTTGTTGTCTCCAATGGCTCGTCTCTGTGAACGTGGATCGTTGGCTCTGATGGTGCTCTCCGGATCTCTTTTCCGCGGTACAACCCTCCGCTGCCAGTCATGTCGGACACCGTCAGATCCTCGTCGTTCTCTTTCGGGAAGTAATCGGTATTCGTGCTTCCGTCAGCGACGACCAACTGCTGTGCAGGGCTATCGCCACTTTCACCCAAATTATGCAAAATGTCGAAGATCGAGTACTGTGGCTGTGGCTGAAGCGGCACTCCAAACGCGGCAGCTCTCTAGAAGGAGGGAACAAGTTCAATTAGCTACCCGAAACCAGCAGATTGCATAATAAAGTGGACAATCTGATTGATCCACTGCTGATAACAAAAGGACTACAGATTGTCTCAACTAGTTTTCGGAGAATGGAATGGAAATTGTAACGTACCAAATCAAGCTCATCCGGTACTGAATATACACGTGGACCAGAGGAGGGGCCTTCTGGGATCGGCTGGTCGTAGGCCTGAAATGTTCCAAAGACTGAAAAAATATGTACTTAAGTGAACTGACCAAAGTCTTTGCTCCTCGGGCTCTCGCTGGAGCACCAGCACATCCGGAAGGCGGCGGTGGAGGACAGGCAGGCGCCGGAGCACATCCACAGGCGGAACCACCACCGCCGAAGAAGAAGGCGTTGGTGAAAAGAGGAGAAAGAAGACAAGAAACCGCGAAGAGCGTCGGCGAATGTCTCATTTTTTAGGTGAAATGTGTCGTGCGGCCCGCAAATCGTCTTGTCTCTCGTCGTCGAAGAAAGGGGTGACACAATAAGCAGGACTGTCTCGGAGGAAATGGACGGATGCGAGGATGGAGGGGACGGAGGATCACGTAAGACCGCCCGCCCTTTCGCTCGGAACCCGCTCCTTCTTCCTGTGTTTCCACACGATGCCATCGGGCCTCTCGGGTATCAATCATGTCTTCGTTTGCCTCCCTCGACCGACGGCTTCTCCTTGTTTCAATCCGACCGAGAATCGGGAAATAGTGCGGGCGGAGGTGGAGACGCAGCGATCGGTGTATCTGATCGATGGACCAACACGCTTTTTTTGGCGTGGACTCTCGGCGCGGATTTTCGACAGGTCTCGCTCTCTCGTCGCAGGATTTTCGATCCGAAGATTAGAAAGAATCCGTCGAAAATCTCGCATCTTTCACACTTTAAACACACTTGAAATATTTCAACATTCATTCCAATTTCGAACAAAAAGAAACCGTTACATGAACGAGGAGAGGGTTGTTTCGAGATCGGGCGCAGAAATGTTCGATACAAGATGATATGCACATGGAACGGAACCGTAGTCTGATAGAGAAAAAAGGGAAGTGCGATGAAGCGCACTTTACAGAAACAAGAAAACGAACGAAAAACAGAGAGGTGCCTAGATGTCACATGGTTTCGCATAACTGCTGGGCTTGTATAGTAGGGTGTGCGTGCTGTTCATGCGCGGCGTCGAAGGGCCTTTGATCGAGATGATCGATTCTGAAACTGAAGGAATTCAACTTTGGAAAGTCGGCGACTGCACAACGCCACCTTTGTATCGTGTCGTCATTGTCCGACTGGGAGTCACTTCTGTGTCGTACACGTTGAACTTGGAGAAACTGGCAACCATCGTATTCCAGGAAGCGTCCGCGCTTGATTACGGAATCTGGAATGACGTGGCAATGTCTTGGAAAGTCATTGGTACGGACGGGTACCTTGTTGAGTATGTATAATAGAAGACAAATGCGGATGACGAGTTGACAACCACCAGCACGTTGTTGATGTCATTGAGCAGAAAGCCAAAAGCCGTCGAGAATAGCGTGTCATTGTAAATTTCAGCGATGTTGAGCACAAATGAGAATGTGTAGCACACGAGAAACACTGAATTTCAGAGATAATTAAAAGTGTCACGACATGTTTCATTTACCGATGACTACCATAATCATCATCTTGGCCGTCGAGTGCTCCCGCTTCACACTAGCCACCAATTCCCTCCGTTGCTCCGATGCTTCGATGATTGTACGAGCGACCTAAAGAATATTAGATGAGATTAAATAGTTGATGGCTGAATGACCTGAAGGTTGAGCACGCAGAGAACGATGAGCGGGAGCAGGAACTGTGAGAAGAGGGTGGCCACGTTCTGGTACCAGAGCATGAAGTGCGGATTCGAACGGAGCAGCGGCTGTACTCGCTCCTCTACCGACTTGTTCGTCGCCTCGAAATCGATCGTCCACTCCCAGAAACGGACGGCGTTGTATGCGATGCTGAAGAAGACGACGACTGCCACAGTGACGAGGGCTCTGTTTTTGGAGCAGTAGGTGGTGACCATGAAAGGATGGCACACCGCCAGATACCGGTCGATTGTGATGGAGACGAGCAGCCAGACGGACATCGACTGGAACATGATCGTCACCGGATACAGGTAGACCATCGTCATTGCGGTCACCGAAACGGGAATCCACTCTTGCAGTTGGGTGCTGGCAAAAACCGGGATCGCGAGAAGACACACGGTAAGATCGGTGGCGGAAAGAGCGGAGAGCAGCACGTTTATGCTCTTCTTACGGAACGTGCGACGCGTGTAGATAACCAGCGAAAGGAAGTTGGTGACTATGCCCACGAAGCACATAATTGTCATGAGGGCGACGAGCACCCGGGAGAGCAGAGCCAGCATGACGGATGATAAGAAGAGAGTGCTCAGCAGTGCATTGGTGGGTGCTCTGAAAACGGATCGGGTCATCATACGGGGAAACGGAAAAGGAAGAGAGGGGAAGAGAGATGAACTTGAATTACAGGAGATATAATAGACATTCGTCCACATGCATCACTTTTTAAAAACGGGGCTTTCGTTTTCGAACAATTTTCAAATAAAAAAGGCTTCCCGAAAAGAACGCGCCTTATTATTCTTTCAGATCCGTAAAAGTGCGCTGTTTTGATCGCCGCCGCGTTCTGCCCGCTTTTCACATTTATTCAATTGGCCTCGTTCAATTTCGAAACCCGCATCAAAAGAGCAAATCTAAAATGTGCTCGGGAGGCAAAGAAACAGCAGCACAGCACAAAAGGAGGTATTGTGAACGAACGAATTCCGACAAGAAGAGAAAAAAGGTGAAGAAATGAGATGCTGCTCGGCGCGCGCCGCCGTGATTAATCGTGTCCGGTACGCGGATGAAAGGGAGGAGCGAGGGGAGCAAGAAGAGCAAGAAGTCGAGGAGGATTTGGACGAAAAAAGAAGGAGAAGGAACACGTTATGAGGGCAATTATGGGCTCTGAGATGGGGTCGGCGAGAACAAGATATGGGTGGAGTACTCGAATGTTTCGGAGGAGACGATCGGTGGCAAAAAGTGGGCGGAGTCGAGAGGTAGTTGGATTCAACCCGAAACGGTAATGATAAGCAGTTCAGATGGGACATGAAATGAAGAACTGAAACTGAAACTTGCTCCGAAGCTACCGTATACCTCCACTGATAACAAGCAGATGATTGCGAATGGACCAGGGTTGGGAAAAGGCTTTTTGGGATCTGGACATTTGGGGCTCTGCGATTGGATTACTTGATCAGGAGATATTAGAGACGGAAAGTCCGGCGGTCCTGCCCTTTGCTTGAGAATTGTTTTTCCAGTTCCTTTATTTTGTGGTCCACACTTCAAAGATCTTCGTGCTCAAAAGATCCAAGGATCTGCTGTATCTAATGAGTCCTCTTTTGTTCTAGCCTCTATCCAATCTACTCCAATATCCGTCAGTTCAAAGTTCATAATCTATAAACCATCAGTGTGATCTAATGTCAACGAATCTGAGTCGAAAAGTAGTAGTAGAGGTTTCCGAAAGGGAAATAACTAACAAGTGTCGGATGTCCTGACGCATTGAGCCAAAACACTCGGTGAGTAGGACATCTTCCTCTCTCCAAACATACTACATAAGCAGAAGCGGGCGGGGACATCGAAACACACACATCACGAAATATTTTGAGGTTAATTTAATTCCATCATCTGCTGTCGCTTCCTCATCCCAATTCATCTATCAAGTCAGTCTTGTCTGCTTTTTGCCCTCCCTCATTTCTCACTTTCACTTTCAGTTTCACAATTTTAATTGGCATATTATATCTACTGTCGGATTCAACTCGAAAATGAAGAAGCAGAATGGGACGTCGTGTCTGGGGGGTGGTCGGCGGGAAAAACAGAAGGAGAAGGATAATGAAAACGACGACAAAGAAGGAGAAGGAGGAGAAGAAGGAGCCGCCCGTTTTCCGGGAAGTTTTAGTCATCCGGCAGGAGTGAGTTGAATGCGAATCCAAAGTGACCTTTGAGGCGAGAGAGTGTGCGAGGCGGAGAGACGCAGGCGCACACGGTTTTAATAAAGTCTCACAAAGGGTAAGCAATCAGAAAGAGAGTGGGGTGGACAAATTAAAATTGCTCCGATTGGGTTCTTCGAGCAGAGCGTTTCTTGTGAAAGGAAAAGGGTGTAACAGGGAAAAATAATGAGGAACAGGCGTGAAGAGCATTCGAGTGCTCACTAGGTCCCTATCGGCTCTCGGACAGACTAAAATTTGGGCTCTTCAAGCCAAAGTGAGTCAGTAGACGAGGACTGCGTCACGTCACTCAAGTTTGGCATGAATAGTGTTACTCATGACTTTTGCCGTTCTTCCCTTTTCCTGCCTGCACAGCCGTATAACGTGAGAACGTCATCTGCAAAACGCGAAAAACGGGAAACGAGAGCGGCGAACTCAAAGGTTTCAGAGAAACTTCTCGAAGATGATAGACAACCTTCTCATTTCCTCTAGCTTTATTGGTTCTTATGACAGCCCCCCAACCACCTCGTTAAACCCTTCAAGAATCCGCAGTAATAACATGCCTCACGCAAACTTTCATGCCCCCGCTTCAGGTGGGGAATTAGAAAAAACCAAGGGACAACGGGAATTGGAAAGGGGGCGAAAACAAGGAGAAGAAGTGGGCCGAGAGCTGATTGCATTTCGATTGACGTGGAATGAATGTTTCCGGGAAAGGTGTGATTCTGAATGAAAGGCGGTGACAGATTGGATTTGGGGCGAAAACCAGCAGCCAAACGGGAAAAGAAAGGGGAAGGTGCTCCTCAACAGTGCATTCTCGGAAAGAAGAAGGAGACAGGTCCTTTGATTGACTTTTGGGAGCAGTCAGAGGCGAGCTTTGGCAAATACCAGATCTCCGGATTTTCAGGCTTGCAGGGGCTGTTTTTGAATCAGAGCACACCCGGTCCTAGAGACCTTTTAGGACCCATACATCTGACTAAAGAATACAGTTTAATGTTTGGTTTGGAGTGTACACATTGAATGTTTCAAGCCTTGATCAGCTGAGTTTATCCTTTTGATCCAGTCGAACCCATACTTGACATGATTGTTAGTATTGGAATAGAATGTGATGAGTGAAAAGTCCGTGCTTCCCACTGTAACCGAGACTTTTAGCCTCTCAATTTGCAAAATAGTACAAAAAGGAGTTGTGAGTTGATCCAAAGCCCCCCAGTAAGCGCGTACTTGAAAGGACCAGAGTATATCCAGGAGCCATAGATCCGATCTTGAGTGGGCGTGTCGGAATAACAATCGCAGAAAGGCGACACTTCCGAAAATAACACTTTTTTGCACGGACCCCTGGAGGCACTGATGCACTTCCAGTTGCATACTCACTCGTCGTAAACGAAGCGAAACGTGGGGCGCAAGATATGAAAAGGATTCTGAAGGACTTCCTGGTTCTGACGTCTTCTCCTCCTTCTCTCTCTCACTCGCTATGATTGTTTCCGGTGTTCTTTAATTCTCTCTCCCCCGATTTTTGGCAGAAAAAAGGAGCCAGGAGCACCAAATTAGAGAACAAAAACGGGCGGAATTCAATGAATGTTTTGTTCGAACGGATCGAGAAGGGGAAAGTACTCCATAGACGAAATGACATTTCGACCAAAGACTGCAGACAGATTCTGAATGCAAATCGAGAACATCAGGAGGCAATGCGAGGAATGATTGTGTTTTGGAAGCTATGAATCGAGTACAGACATAAACGAGAAGTTGGGGAGCGGGGATCTGTGTGAAATGAGAAATCTGTGAGTGTAGCGAAGAACGAGACATCCGAAAACGAGGAAATGCGGTTAGAGTCTGCGAGTTTCCGAGATGATGTTCGTTTTTTACTGCAAAAGTTGTAGTAGTTTGAAGCTTGGTCAGTCTTGGTTTAAAGAAGATGTTGTACTAGCTATTGTGCTCTTCAGAAACTGTGCAATGAAAATGTTGGCCCAAAGAACCCCGGACCCTAACTTTCAAAGATTATCAGTCTTGGGTTTGAGTATTGTTTTCTGGAGAAGCCAGTAGAAAGCGGGCTTAATTTGATCCCGTAATAATAAAAGTAATGTTCATATTGTGAGAGTCTTGAGACCGAGATCAATCACCAGATCAGCTGATAGTTTCTGTCTGAGGCGTATACATAAACATGGCAAACTTTCTAAATCTCTTTTACTTTGAGCCTTTAAGAGTTTTATATGGTTTTCCCGGAAACGCGTTGCTTTTCAACTGGAACGATCAGCCTCGGGGCGAGTTAATACTGGCGGGGATGATCCGCCGAAAATGGAAAATTCGGCAGAAGGAGTAGAAGATTTGGAGAGTAAATAGACCAAAATATGGCCCCGGAGCTCACATTTTCATCATTTCAATGAAAAACCCCACCAAAAACAAGTCTGCCGAGAGTGTTTCGGACGAATCCCTGCCGAAAGACCTGCTTAGATGGTTGGGGACCGAGCACGGACTCATTTCTCATCCCGGCCGCCCGATTCACTTTTGTTTTGATGTAAACACGAACGGAAATTTATTGAAGAGCAGGAAAACGTATGAGGAGGAGGAGTAGGAGGCTAACATCAGAATTTCCGAGTGGACCGTCGGTTTGCCAGATATATAGACACGGAAAACACGGAAAGATTGTCAACATAAACATGCAGTTAACGGATAGGAAAAGTGGGAGGGCTGATGAAGTGGTTTGACCTACCGGACGGCTCGGAGACCATCCGGAGGGGGTGGGAAGAAGGAAGGAAAGGAAACGAAAAGAAAACACTTGAAGTGGGCCTTCTTGAGCCAAATGGGAACTAACTGAGAAACTGGGACTCTAATTGACTCAGAGATATCAGAATCAGAATCAGATTGTGTGGAGTTGAAGCACGAGCACATCCACAGTAATCCATTGGCAGTCGAGGACGAAGAAGAAGAAGAAGAAGAAGAAGAAGAGACATCTTCTTCAGAATGAATGACTAATCAATTTAATAATACAAAAAGAAACATTGCGTAAATGACACGACGAGAGAACGCGCGCGAGGTGGGGACGCAGAGTGATCGCTTGAATAGGCTCGAAGCCGGCGAAGCTCCCGAAGGCAGATAGGAGGAATGAATTGAATTTCAATTATTTAGTGGTCGCTTCATCCTCACAAACGACTGGTTTATCCGATGGAAATGAAGAGGAAAAGAAGGGGGAGCAGAGAGCAGGTCGACGAGGAGTCTGATTCCAGGAAAACGGTAGGGATGATGTCATTCGGAGAAGGGCACCGCCGGCCGGGAACCTCTTGTTATTCACCATCCTCCATCTCTCCTTCATCCAAACGTTTCATAGGGATTTGCGAGCATTCAAACACTGAACCGAGAATAAGGTGGTGATTCTGAGGAATTCCGAGGATTGGCCACCAAATTGGATCAAGCTGAGGGGGCGGGCCGGCCGATTGTTACGGGTCTAGACTCTGCAACCACCTGGTGACGTGCAAGAATGATTCGTTCTGTGAAAGCGTCCGGAAATAATCGAATGTTGACGGCGTTGTCCTTGAAGGCGAGGGAGCAGAAAGAAGAAGTTATTGGGTGTCAACAATCGGACGGGACGGTTTGGAAGCGGAGCCACTTTTGTGCAACACGTGAGCTCATTCACTTCTGCAAGATGGTCCGTGTTTTCGTCACGTTTTGAACTGGAATATTAATGTGCTCCACGATGCCTGCTTAAAATGCACGAAAAGTGAGCTTTCTGGACCCTCTGAAGACTTTTTCCTAAAACTTCTGTCCAAGACTTGTGATGCTTGCGAATTTACGGCCCGGATGATGTTATAAGTTGGACAACGGCCCTTTGATGTCATTTTTGAAAACTTGAATCTATGCCCGGTCCGTGATATGGTCCAAGAGGATTTGAAGGGACACTGTCCGTAATATTATTCAGTAAAAAATCAGAAAAACTTGTCTTCACGTCAATAATATTTTGTGTGGTACCAACTTCTCAATTCAATCTATCTTTGTCCCGTGTCAACAACCAGTTGACCTCCAGGTTACCATGTGACAACAATCGAAAAAGAGAAACGTATTATTGTTATGCAGAAGCGAGAGTGAAAAGGCGGAAAGCGATGAATAAACGTGTACATGTGCAAAACGGAACGGACGGGGACCCGGTGCAAAAAGAACAAGATTGGAGGGGGTTATTAGGCGATTGCGTGGGCGGGAATGCCGTCGTGGCAGTCGTCTTTTGCCGGATTTCCCTCCAGAGGATCCGGCACTCCGGCTGCCTCCTTCAGCTGATCCACCAGTTCACGCGTCGATTTGAACACTTTACCCGGTCGGAATGTGATCTTCCGGGATATCAAACCCATCTGGAAACGTTTCTTATTCAAACTTCAAGTGGACTGTACACTCACATCACTGATAGGGTAGATGACGTGCATGTGGAGGTGGTGGACGGAGAGCAGCGGAGTGAAATGGAATCCGATGCGAAGCATGTCCTCCACAGTGTCCGCCTCACCTTCCTTCTTCAGCTTCTCGCGGAGCAACTCGCGTCCTGTTCGCTCCATCTCTTCCACTGCAAAATGCGTCGTTTTTATTGAACTTTTACTATTCATCGGACAGGATTTGACCCCAGAACTTCCGCTACCCTTCCCTTTCTGAATGAACCGTGACTTACGCAGAGGAATATCAGCAGCGGTGAGATCGGTCGGTTTGGCAATGTGCTGCTTGCTGAGCACGAGGAAATGGTGCTTGCTTTCGGTTTGATGTCGTTTATGACGAGGCACTGAAGAGAACGTGACTATTGCTCCAGCCGACCCGCTTTCCCACTCAAACCTTCTCCTTCTCCTTCAAATGCAGCTCCCTCTTGTTCTTGGCGATATCGCAGAACTTGCAGCCGGAAACTGTCGTAAGCATTGAAGTCATCCTGAAAAGAAATTGAATACTGAAATGACGTCGACGGGGAATGTGACCAGTAACGGAGCCAGAAGACGGCGAAAACAGAGAATAGGAGGAGAAGAATGTAGGCGACCACAATGATGATCATGACAATAATTGGAGAGAAAATGAGAGGGAAAGGGGCGAAAAAGATAAGGAAACGGTGCTATTGGGGCAACGAATCGGTTGGAACGCATTGAGTTGGATGGAAATGTGAAGAGAATGCGCGGGAAAGGGAGAGACGGCACAAATGTGCGCACTTCTCCGATGGGCTCCATTTCAAAATAGGGACCAAATATGTGCTCATCCTAGCGACCGAGCCTCTCAAAGCGCCAAAGACTTTTGAATAAAACATTGTTACGCATGTCGAACACGGGAATTTCGGGCGGGAGTTCGGTCGAAACAGAAGGAAGAGTGGGGGCGAAACGGACAGAGATTATAAATGGAGAGAAGAGTGGAAACAGAGAGAGAGAGAGAGCGGTAAACAAGAGAAAGAGACGCAGATGGGAGAGGGCGACGGGAGCGAGGAGAGGACAAAACAATTTGTATGTGTTGTGATGATGAGAAGCGACACGAGAGGAACGAGAGAGAGAGAGAGAGAGAGAGAGAGAGAGAGAGAGAGAGAGAGAGAGAGAGAGATGGAACATGTGACAACTGAAATATGACATGATCCCTCTTGTGATACTCGTACTCAGTGATGACTCAAAGATTTCGAGTGTCGTATTCAAAACCATTTGACGTCGTGCGAAAACAGAAATGATGAGATCAGAAGATGTTCGAAGATTACCACTTTGAAAACGTCCGAGAAAGTCCTGCCTACAGCTTTTTTTGTTAAACGGAGGGAAAGAAACAACAAGAAATCAGGAAAATGGTAGAAAATATTGACGACAACTTCTGTCTTGGTCGCCGCAGGAGGGACCGGGGCCCCTCTTTCAGCCACGTTGCCAACCACCAGTCTCAGTTCAAAGATAATATTCATTGTCGAAATAGTTTCCCTTTTTTGCAATTCAATGTTCTTGTTTATATTCTTTTGCATATTCTGTTCCCTCTCATTAAGCGATGAAACAACAGTGGAGGACAGTTGTTTCCTGGTTCTTGTATTGTTCGTACTACACTACACTTTGTCCAATGGGTCCAATCCGTTAGTGTCTCTTCCAAAGAGCGTCCTTTTTGAAAAGTCAATCATATTCAATTGACGGACAGGATAGGTTCGAATGGTATCGCAACTTTTATTCAAAGCAGACGAACGGGACTGCGGTAACTGTGGCAACATTCATGTCCCCCAATAAATTCTATTCAGTTGAAAAAAGCGTCCGGAATCAGTTTATTGTACGCGTATGAATTCGAGCATGAGATCACGATCACTTTGACGTCTTGGAAATTGACAGGGTACGGGAAAAGAGTAAAAAGTTATAAAATGTATGAATAACTAGGTATCTCGTATATTGTCGATACCTGAATGATGACGGGAAAGAAATTGGAGAGGCTTTTGAAAGTTTAACATTTCCAAATTATATTGTAAATTGCCAAAAAAGGAACGGAACAAAGAGGATAGGAGTGAGCGTAGAGGAGCACGGCGACTTCGAGTCTCTTCCGATCATAGACAGAATGATGGAGAGTACGTCAAAAACTATTCATAGACTACATATTCATAGCTTTTCCGCAGAGCCCAAGTACGAATTGTCAATGTGTGTGACTACGCTCTATGGCGCCGAGCCCAAGTGGTTACAGATCATTGAAATGATTGAGCATTACAGGTTACAGGTACATGCCATCCATCTAACTTTTCCGGAATGGACCGAAGTCTTGCAAGTCTGCTTTTCATTTCTGTTTGTGTTTTCAGGGTGTTGAACACTTCTATCTACATATTCACAATGCAACTACTTATGATCTAAAGATAGTAAATGAGTACGTCCGAACTGGAGAACTGGAAGTGCATTACCTCTACGAGAGAGACCAGAGAACTGACGATCACTGGCAAATGGTTAGCATTGCGGACTGTCTGATGTGGTCGAGAAAAGAGTCAAAGTGGACGATATTCGCAGATTTGGATGAAAGGATTCTGATGACCGAGTACAACGGGACCATTCTCGACTACCTTCGAGAAATCAAAGACGAAAAGATCGCGTCAGTGAAGTTCAGACAGCAGTGGATGTTGAAAACGGAACTGTTGCCCGAGAAGTATAAGGATGAGAAACAGGTAGGCTCTTCCCTTTTAGCTAAATTCAACAGCTTATACTTTTAGATAGAAGAATGGATGCCTACTCACCGATGGCACAATTCCACTGGTATTGGTCCGACAGGGCATACCACAAAATGCATCATAGACAGCTCGAAAGTGTTCATTCATTATGTGGGTGCACAATGTAGAAGAGTTCTTTCCTGGACACGAATACTACGAGTACAATCTAATGCCTGAGGAAGGCCTCGTCAGGTAACTTCAGTTCTCGTTTCGATGTGAGTATTCGTTGCAGACATTATCGAGATCAATCACTCGGCGATTGGGGTCGGAAATGGTTGAAAGAGACCCTTCAGTTCGGCCGTTTGCAATTGACAGACTATCCGCAAAAGTACCTGGAAGAATTAACAAAAAATGTTAAACAACGGGCTCAATATGTTTACGGGAATAAGTATGATTGACTGGTTCATTGACAGTGTGTAATAAAAATTATTCGAAGATTGACAGAACAGAAAACATGACTGACTTCACAATTTCTCCGTGAATGCGCTTTGAAGCACGAAAAAGAGCAATAGTGTGCTCTTTCCCATTTCCTCTGTAGTATGCTCTCGGATCACATCCTTCGGTAGCCGTGCTGCGCTTCACATCGCATGTTGTGTAGAGTGTCATTGACTGATAATCGAGTACAAAAGTACGCCGCTTCTCCGTTATCACAGTTGCCGAGACTTCCTCTCCTCGTCGCAAACATTCACACACCACCCTCGTCCGCCCGACTGATCAGTATCAGAACATTCCGAAAATTCTTCCTCCCTTTAGAAATGCATAAATTCTATCGTCTTCTGCTCATTTGCCTTCTCGTCTTTCTTCTCGTTTTCGAGGCATTCTACAGTGGCCACTTTTTCTCGTCTCCTACTTTCAAACGTTCTTCCGGATATGTCAAGTTTTATTCGATCAGTGAAAATGTTGCTTCAACTGGTCACATGTCTTCCACAACTGAAAAAGTGAATGCGACTGATGCATCGTTGTACTTAATTGACGGAATTGATCGATTCGCTTGGTACCTCAAAAGAGCAACCAAAGATACTGTTAGTTTCCATACTGAATGATATCCTATTAAACCTTTGTTTCAGTTGAAAAAGGCGTCGAATATTAGCACGCTATATGGCTACGAGTTTGAGCATGAGATAACAGTGACTGTGACATCCTGGCAGAGGACTGGGCACGTTATTCTACATTCATTTTCATATGAACGGTTTCATTTTCAGCTTCCGAGTGTACTGTAGATACCTGAATAAATCAAACAAAGAGATTGGAGAGGGTGAGGAGAGTATCACGTATCCAGATTACATGGTGAACTGTCCGAAAAGAACCGGTACCTGGAAGATTGGAATAAGTGTGGAGAAGACGGGAGAGTTTGAAGCACTTCCACTTGTGAACCGGATGATGAGAGGTAAAGGAAAGATGAAGCATAAGATAAATTGAAATTTGCAGAGCCCAAGTACGAATTGTCAATGTGCGTGGCTCCGCTCTATGGCGCCGAGCCCAAGTGGTTACAAATCATTGAAATGATTGAGCATTTCAAGTTACAGGTACACGCCTTCCATCTAACTTTTCAATTTTCTTTTGTGGTTTTATGGAGTTGAACACTTCTATCTTCATATTCACAATGCAACAAATTACGATCTGAAAATAGTGAATGAGTACGTCCGAACTGGAGAACTGGAAGTGCATTACCTCTACGAGAGAGACCAGAGAACTGACAACCACTGGCATATGGTTAACATTGCGGACTGTCTGATATGGTCGAGAAAAGAGTCAAAGTGGACGATATTCGCAGATTTGGATGAAAGGATTCTGATGACCGAGTACAACGGGACCATTCTCGACTATCTTCGAGAAATCAAAGACGAAAAGATCGCAGGAATACAGTTCAGACAGCAGTGGGTGTTGAAAACGGAACTGTTGCCCGAGAAGTATGAAGGCGAGAATCAGGTAAGCTCTTCGATGTGTGCTCTCATGAATTGTTTACATTTTGAGATTGAGAAATGGATGCCCGCTCATAGATGGCACAACTCTTCAGCCATCGGTCCGAGCGGCCACACCGCTAAATGCATCATCGACAGCTCGAAAGTGTTCCGAATGTGGGTGCACAACGTGGAAGAATACTTTCCAGGACACGGTTACTTTATGAAGAAGTTGACGCCGGAGGAAGGACTCGTCAGGTAACAGATCTAAATCGTTTTCACATTTCAATTCGCTCCTTCAGACACTATCGCGACCAAACCCTCGGCAGTTGGGGCGAGAAGTGGTTGAACTCGACACTCCGATTTGGACCGCTTCGTCTCACAGACTATCCGACAAAGTTCCTCGGAAAACTGACGACGTTGGTGAAGAAGAGAGCCCGTTACGTGTACGGCAACGAACACGAATGATTCGCTCAGTATTTATAAATGCAAATGAATCCGACGATCTCAGTGCACATAAGGTAGATAAAAGCTCCACTTTTACATGTGTCTTCTCTCTTGTTACGGTGGTGTCAAGTTTCTCGTTCATAAAACTTTTATGAGGACTCTGGAGTTTAACAACTGTGAACAATTGATTGAGCAATCAAGGACGACTATAAGAAACGTGTTGGAGACTACGAAGCAGAAATCATCAAGCCGAGAGCATCGCAGTTCTTCTGAAGACAGCTTACGAAGAGTATGTCGCTCTTCACAGCAGCAAAACAAAGGAATCTACTGCCTACCCACAAGTGATCCACGTCTCCCCACACCACGCCATCAACTCCAATGATGTCCATGCAACTTCCAGCGTCCTCTCCAGCGACGACACAGAAATCCAATGCATTCAATGCAACCACAACATCACGTTCCAGTTCAAGCAGCACAACAAATCCAACAAATCCATACAACTCCAGACTCCAATTCATGTGCAATGAGTGCAGTCACAGCTTTCGACCAATGAGCCATCAATACCAACCAAGTATGATGACATCAATCCCAATCCAACTGCCCACCATCAATCTACCTGTGTTCCATGGGGATCACATGGAGTAGCACTCTTTCATCGAGCTGTTCTCGTCACTCATCGATATCCAACCAATGGCAGATATCATGAAGATGCACTATCTTCAATCTTCCCTCAATGGCGATGAGAAGAAACTCATTCAACACTTGCCACTGTCCTGATCCAATTACGCGATCGGCAGGAAGGTACCATACGATCACTATGGCGACGTACGACGTACCCGATTCAATCTCATGGATCTTATTCATCTGATCGAGTCCAATAAGTATTCCTGGTTTCGCGGTGGATCGAGGAAGGATGGCATGGTGGTCACTCATGAGATGTTTGATGGTGGTTTCGTCGAGGTTGCAAGTCGTGATGGAACTCGTGATGGTGGGAACTTCGGTCAATGGAATGGGGATCTTCTTGTCTTTGACGTTGAAGGTGACAATGAATCGTTTGGAGTTGAAGATCTTCGTTGCGTCCTCAGCAAAAGAGTAAACGTTGAACCGTTTCTGGTCCAGGGTTCCAGTTCCAACTGGTGGGCAATTGTGCGGTGATGTAGCTGCGGTCACTGCCATGATCGAAGAAGACGACTGTCGGAACGGGGTGTCCATTGTTGTTATCCACAGGAATTGATGTTGCCATCTTTGCGATCGGGAGATGTGACTCGGCGTAGTCCGAAGCATCTTGGACGTACGAGACATGTGGAGCTGCAGCTGGGGTTGATGTTGTTGTCAGTGAGATGGTCATTCCAGTCTCGTTCGATTCTTGGGGTTCCTCGAGTTGGCTGGTCACTACGGAAGTGGTGGAAGTGTTGTTGAACCGTACTCTGCGAGAGTCCGTCTGCGACTGATGGTAGTTTCCAGGGGAGAAGGAGCGGTTGCGAGATTGTGAGTCCCCGTGTTTGTTGTGACGAGGAGGTGACGTTAGACGCTGTCTCCGAACAGAGCAAAGCGCTGAATGATGGTTTCCTTTGCAGTGATAACACGGGCGGGCTTTTCTGCATTCAGTGCTGCGGTGCCCGGTCTTCAGGCATTTGAAGCAGAGATTCCTTTCTCTTGCACGTTTCTTGCGTTCGTCGTAACGGGCTCTCTTCTTCACCAACGTCGTCAGTTTTCCGAGGAACATTCTCGGATAGTCTGTGAGACGAAGCGGTCCAAATCGGAGTGTCGAGTTCAACCACTTCTCGCCCCAACTGCCGAGGGTTTGGTCGCGATAGCCAGGATGTCACAGTCACTGTTATCTCATGCTCAAACTCGTAGGCATATAGCGTGCTAATATTCGACGCCTTTTTCAACTGAAACAAATGCTTAATAGGATATCATTCAGTATGGAAACTAACAGTATCTTTGGTTGCTCTTTTGAGGTACCAAGCGAATCGATCAATTCCGTCAATTAAGTACAACGATGCATCAGTCGCATCCACTTTTTCAGTTGTGGAAGACATGTGACCAGTTGAAGCAACATTTTCACTGATCGAATAAAACTTGACATATCCGGAAGAACGTTTGAGAGTAGGAGACGAGAAAAAGTGGCCACTGTAGAATGCCTCGAAAACGAGAAGAAAGAAGAAAAGGCAGATGAGCAGAAGACGATAGAATTTGTGCATTTCTAAAGGGAGGAAACCAAAACCAAACTTCGGCGCCACTTTTTCGTTAATCGCACTCAACCGAACTTCTCGCAGATATGATTGACCTTATGTTCATATAACTTTCTACCCTACCCTCTTCTAGCATAATCGCAATTCCCCTTTTTTTTGACACCTCTATCTCCACGTACTGTATAAAATCGTGATAAATAATAATAATAATGCCCTAGCACACACACTCTCTCTCACACCCCCACGGCCGGCTGTCTCCTCTGCGTCACTGCCAGGCCGCGCTGGGTAGATAGGGGAGAACTCCTCTAAGGGAAGGGGGGCCTCCGTTGTTCAGTTGGTTGTGATCGCACCCGCAATGCGGTAGGATGAGGGTTCAACTTCGGGGTGCCCATCAACTTTTTTGCCATTTTCGTTTTACTTATTACAATTTTTTACAATCGCACTAAGACAACAAAGTGCTCACTGGCATCACTGGCAAATGGTTAGCATTGCAGAGTCAAAGTGGACGATATTCGCAGATTTGGATGAAAGGATTCTGATGACCGAGTACAACGGGACCATTCTCGACTATCTTCGAGAAATCAAAGACGAAAAGATCGCAGGAATACAGTTCAGACAGCAGTGGGTGTTGAAAACGGAACTGTTGCCCGAGAAGTATGAAGGCGAGAATCAGGTAAGCTCTTCGATGTGTGCTCTCATGAATTGTTTACATTTTGAGATTGAGAAATGGATGCCCGCTCATAGATGGCACAACTCTTCAGCCATCGGTCCGAGCGGCCACACCGCTAAGTGCATCATCGACAGCTCGAAAGTGTTCCGAATGTGGGTGCACAACGTGGAAGAATACTTTCCAGGGCACGGTTACTTTATGAAGAAGTTGACGCCGGAGGAAGGACTCGTCAGGTAACAGATCTAAATCGTTTTCATAATTTCAATTCGCTCCTTCAGACACTATCGCGACCAAACCCTCGGCAGTTGGGGCGAGAAGTGGTTGAACTCGACACTTCGATTTGGACCGCTTCGTCTCACAGACTATCCGACAAAGTTCCTCGGAAAACTGACGACGTTAGTGAAGAAGAGAGCCAGTTACGTGTACGGCAACGAACACGAATGATTCGCTCAGTATTTACAAATGCAAATGAATCCGACGATCTCAGTGCACATAAGGTAGATAAAAGCTCCACTTTTACATGTGTCTTCTCTCTCGTTACGATGGTGTCAAGTTTCTCGTTCATAAAACTTTTATGAGGACTCTGGAGTTTAACAACAATGATACGCAAGTACCCGTGCCACAGAAATGGAAAGTGTCAAAGGGCTGGAAAGTGAAAAGGGAGGGGGGAATGTGAAAACTAAGAAATCTAGACATTAGCGGCCGAATGCGGACCGGTCGGGAATGGAGCGGGAATGCAGAACTGGAGTGCGCAGTTCTGCCGTTTTAGATGGATCCGACGGGAGCGCAGATCGTCGGAGATGTTCACTTGCCATCCGGGAGAGAGCACGAACGAGAGGAGCACTGATTCGGCGTTGGTCGGATCGAACAGAAGGCCAAAGTCCCAATCGATCGGAACGGAAGATGGGTCCAAGAGGGCACTCTGCAAACGAAGACAATATTTTCACGTGAACTTCTTCTATTCCTAACAATGCATGCATTAATTTCTGCCTGAAATATTGTGACGTGGCAATGTTTGCAAAAAAAAGCTCACGCACCGTCATCAAAACGCGAATTCCTTCGACCGAAATGCGGCATCCGATTCCACTGCGCAGAAGGATCTTTTTCGGTACTTTTCCGTTGGTCGCCCAGTGAATGAGCGTCTCATCGGTCAGTTCGTTCAAGAAACAAGGGTAGCGGGGCTGGATTTGGAGGATTTCCAGATGAGGAAGAGACATCAACACCTGCAAGTCGATCGCTGAGTTTCAAAACCTTGACGTTCACGATACCTTGTCAGAAATGAGCGACGCGTTGAATGTGCAGAAGTCGAGGTAGAGACGCTTGACGGTCATCCGAGCCAGCAACTCGGCGAACTGCGTCCACGAGAGTCGGATGTGACACAGCGAGAGGGCGACGGTTGTGACTTGTCTGCAGAAAGGGTTCGCGTGTTGACACGTGTCAAAAAGTCAAAAAAGATGTGATATATTTCAGTCAGTCAGTTTCTTCTCTCATCGGCACACTCTTGTTTGACATTTTCGACATTTTGATGTGTGTGTGTCTGTGTGTCTGGGGTGTCCGATGAGAGAGAGGCGAAAAGGGGGCGAAGGGAATGACAGTTTCGCTGCCATACGGCTGTTTACAGTAATACTCGGCCAACGCGTGGAATTACTTCAGGATTGCGAAATGTTCAAGAAAACCTACTTCAAAGAGTTCGGCTTGGCAATGAGCATATTGTAAAAGTCCTCGTCCAAAGTGACACCATCAAATGAAAGCTTCTCCCCAAGCACCACTTTCTTCAGGTTCTCCTGCACAAACGAGGTGGTAGAATCGGAGGAGCAGGAGGACTCCTCGACTCGTTCCACTCTCTTTATCCCCTTCTCTCTTCGCATCGTCACCACCGTTCTTCGCTTTGGAGCCGACGTGACTGCTCCGAGACGGAGACGGCCCACTTTTGAAGGAGACACTTGAGATACACGGGACTCGATGCTGGAAATGACACAATTCAAGAGACGTCAAAAGCAGAAAGAGCGGACTCACCAGAACTCCTTCACGCACGGCTTTCCTAGATTGTACTGTTCCACAATTTGATGAAACCGTTTGTTGAGGCGTTTCGCACGTGCCACATCTCGCGGAGACGAAGTGTTCATGAGCCGAATGAGCACGTCGTCGGGCATATCGCCGAGATTCATCCTGGAAAAAAACGATAAAAATGAATGGAAATGGAACGGGTTTGGCACACATCCGAGCCGGAAGGTCACAGTCTGGAGCAGTCAAATAAGGGAAAAGAAAAAAATTACGAAATGAATGGCATGTACGGGAAGAGATTCGAGAAGCAGGAACAAATGGTGCAAATGAAGAGTGTGATCCAGATCCACACAAGTTTTTCTAAGCCCCGCCCCTTTGGTGCGCTCGATCACTCTGCGTCTTTCGGCCACGATCCGTCCTGACACCTCCGAATCACCGGAAGTGGGAAAGATGCTAGATGATTATGATGAACTCACGGTAATCGGACGGTCATCACGCCAATTAGTATGTCAAGTGAAAGTGAGAAGATTAGCAGAGACAAGAAAAGATGGGGCGAGACAGAGACAGACGTCACCACCTCGGCTCCACACACTTATATAGGAGCTGAAATTGGCAGGCGGCCAAGAGTGAGAATCCGAAGAAAACAGCTGGTTTGAGTGGCGTCGTGCTTGTTTGTGGCCGATCAGAATCGTGCACACGACAATCCGCTTATCAGGCAGGGACTGCAAAATCTGGGCGAGGTGCCAATTGGTCTGGTCATGCCGAGAAGGCATCCCGGAAGGCGGCAGCGGGTGTCAATAAGGAAGAGGACAAGATGATGATGGAAAGAAACAGCAAATGTCACGGCGATGGACATAAATTGAATGAGAGTGGGAAAGGGGTTACTGTTTACTAGCGATGGGGAACCGAGGGGAAGGGAAAGCGTTCTGATGACATAGTAAGATTTGTGAACCGGAAAAAAAAGAAGTGGATGCGTGTGGATCTAGACGATCTAGATGGTTAGTATCAGTTAAGGAAAGTATTCCTACGAAACGCGTCTCAAAAACGAATCAAAAGCCTTCAGCTCTTCAGATTGTCAATCTGTCCTCCCAAAGAAGTGATGGGAGCGGCGAGCAAAACAAAGCGGCGCGTAATATGAAAGAGATTTACATTTCAATCATTTGTACGAGACAGGTCAGCCGAAAAAAGTGACAATCTGCCGAAAATCTGGTGCTACGGCAGGCGGGGCGGGTCCGGCACGGGGGCTCTCGTCAAAATGAGCGATGTCTGCCGTCTCGCATTTCAGAGTGAACATGCCGGAGAGGGAAGGAAAAGAAGGGAAGAAGGAGGAGAAGGAGCCAAGCGGTAAGTACTTGGAAGTTTTGAATGACACACACAAAACGCAGATAAATTTGAATGATGCCGGGGGCAGTTATCCGAGACAAGCTGTCAAAAGATCAGAAGCGGAGAGGAGCGACTGGAACAACAGGAAGAGGAGATACGATCGGAAGGTGTCACATGGAGATCAATCCGCCGAGAGGAGTGATGGTAGGTTGAGTTGACAGTCGCACTGAGAAACTGACTCGAAGAATGGGGTCTTCTGGAATGAGAAGTCATGAAGACCCTCATGGAGGACGGAAGACGAAGCAAGCGATGAGAAGCTCATTAGAAAAACGAATGGCGCCACTCATCGCGAGTCCGCTGGGAAATCATCGTGCCCTCCCATCGTCGTCGTCGCCATCAACATAATCATCATCATCAAGCCGTCGTCGACGTCGACGTCGTCGGCATGTGTCAGAATGAATGTGCTGCACACTGGCTTGGCTGCCTGAGGTGTGGTTCAGGAGGCTGCGACGGCGCGACGACGGACTGTCAATCTCCGTCAGCACTTCATCCATCTCGACGCTAATATAACTGTCGCCGCCAATCGACGTCTCTTCCCTCATCGCGACGCTCTCCTCGTCGGCCGCCCTCCTCGGATCCCACGCTGAACACGTCGGCGTCGCTCGTCGCCGCGCATTCTCTCGCCATGGCTTTCGGCTGTCGCCGCCTCTCTCCGAGGCTTGTCACTCATAATTCGGGCCCACCCGTCCGTCCGTCCGTCCGTCCGTCCAGTCAAGTGTGCGTGTGTGTGTGTGCGTCTGCAAAGGGTGCGCACACACATTCTGACACTGCCGAGAGGCTCCGAAGATTCATCACTGATTGAACGGAAGACGAAAGGAAGGAAAAAGAAAGAAGAAAGAGAACGAGACGGGCGGTCTTCCAACCTTGTAATTGTACGCCTGATTAGGCACTCGGAATAAGAGAATACGGTAGTCAAGGAAGCGGAAACAATGCGACGAGTCAGACCAGATAACAAATGTTCGGTCACCTTGGCGGAAAGGAGGCAGGCCAAAAAAGAAGACGTCTGGCAAGGGATTGGGATGTTCGTGGCCTACGAGAATTTGTCAATGGCACACAGAGGTCCAAGGGGATAATCAATCGGTGGGACCACAATGCATTTTAGAAAAGTTTGTCGAGTCTTCGGGCCGCCTATCACTTGTCACTTGTCACCAATGTAACGTTGATTAACGGGGGTGGTCCGATGGAAGAATACATAGAATGGATTTGGATTTGAAGCTCTACAGAGCGAAAGAAGCGACCTGACCGTCCGATCTCACACCGACTTGTAGAGCATCAGTGATAAGGGTTGCAGAAAAGAGGAAACGGCGAGTATCATCACTCACCAGACCACCTTTATATGCCGATTTTGCGGGAAAGTACATCCAGAATAATTGGCAGGTGGTCGACACTGGCAGTTCCCGTGCCGGCCCGTACCTGCCGCCGCCTCAAACTCGACGCTTATCAGCCGATAACAATGACGACGAGCACAGGAATGGAAGAAGAAAGTGACAGAGAGCGAAGCAGGAAGAAGAAGAAGAAGAAGAAGAAAAAGGCGGAGGCGGTTTCAGATCGAAAGGGCCCCCATAAAGCAATCACATAAAAGCGGCGGTACTGTAGCTATCTCTGACCACGATCTGACCGAGGTACGATACTTAAAACCGACTGATGACACTGTCTTTGTTGCGCAGAACAAGGAGGCGAGCAGATGGCGGTGACAGGACAAAAAGTTGGTGGCGCAATCGAGTAGGAGACAAATTAATTTGTCCCGGGGCAAACGGGATAATGGGAGATTGCGTGGTGCAGCTGTCCCACAGCCTTTTCATGTATGCTCAATGGGCAGGTGAGAGGGCACTTCTGATGGGTACTTGTACTAATCAACGGCAAACAGTGCGGAAAAAGAGAGGGGGGGGGGATTTGAACGGCTCTCAATGGCGGCTGACAATCAATTTTGAGGAGAGAACGGAGGTGAGAGAGAGAGAGAGAGTGAAGCTGTGACAGGTTGTCTCTCGATTCGAAAATGTTTTGAGTAGTTGGACAGACAGCCTTGTGTGTTGACAGAAAGACAAAAGTAGTGAAAGTTTCGATTTGAATTTGAAAAGGAAAAGAAAAAGAAAGAGCGAGTAAGAGAATGAAGAGAGGTCTGGTGGTAGCCTAGGGCTTACCTAAGATTCTCTAACATCATCCTATGAGGAGGCGGGTCTTACGTGCTCCGTTTGCACTCAAAGGAGGATGTAATTACAGACATTCAGGCGGATTAGTGCACATTGACAGTTCTCACCACGCAAAACTGCAATACGAACATCAAAAAATGGAACCCAAGAACAGTGATGGGCTGACAACAGATGACTCAAGTAATTGTTGCATCAGATAGCAAACGACACGACATCTGCTCACTTTCACGCAATCCATTAGAACATCCTCCAAAATGGCCAAGTGCGAATAGGTGAGACCTGCACATTCTCTCGCTCGGTTTCCCTTTTATTCCCGGCCTTATCGGGGGCTCTTTTCCTGGTATTCACCGCCCATTTTATGGCTTTTATGACTTCAAAACTCGCTTTCTCTACAGTTTTTATGCGTGTGACAGGAGGCAAAAAAAGTGCAATTCGAGATAGTGAGGGTCTTGTGATGAAGAGACGACGAAACCGTATAAGTAAAGAGAGAGCGGTGATAAAAAAGTGCTCCAAAACTGCTGACCTTGTATGTACGGTAGATCAAAGGACCATCTGCCCATCCGGGATGTAAATCACACGTGAGGTGCTAAAACGGAACCCATCAGATAAATGTGTCCGGCTCGTGGAGAGACCGTATGACTAGGTGATGCGTAATCGTTGTAATTGGAGACAAAGGGGCGACTAATGAAAATGAAACCAGTTCTGAATGGGTTCGGATTACGGTAACTTTAGTACACGATGCCACCGCACCCATCAAGCATCCAAGAGGCCGAGTGATAATAAAAAGGGACCGGTGAGTCGTCAGGTGACCATGACCGACCGGCCTAATCCCGAATGAACGGACGGACTGAATAAGTAAAACTAAATACTTTGGGGGGCATGCCAAAGCCCATAAAAATTTTGAAATATGGTCGATGGTTGGGTTGGAAGCGAAGGTTTTCAACGTTTTGCGGGCTGTGGACACCCATCCAATAAATCAGTTATAAGATGATTGGCACGTCGCCAAAAAAAGGGGAAAGAACCGAAGCGACGATGACGACGACGACGTCTTCAAGGTTGGCGCCAGGAGCCAAGGGTGTCTGAAGATGATCTGCCAGATGGATCAGAGGGCCAGGAGCGATCGGAAGCGGTTTTTGAGAAGATGGGGGGCTCAGGAGAGAGACGAGCCCATATGTTCTTTAGTATCGTATTTCGCGCATTTCATCGGCTCCTCTGGCTCTTTTTATTCGCCACCCGATGTTCAGTGTCTGCGTCGCGTCGGATCACACACTCTGTTCGACGTATTCTCGGGGCGACGGCGGTTGTAACTCGAATGCGACACATAAAAACGGGACGGCTTTTGAGTTCGCCGCCATCCGGTGGTACCCTCGAGGGCGCGGCGAAAGCAGGAAAGAGAGAGAGGAAGAAGTAGAAGTACCATTTTATGAGGGGGTTATAAAAACATACGGGGGGTAAGAACATGGGATAATGGTCGTGGAAGAAGCTGAAGAAACTGGCGGGGTGGGTGGAAGTGAGAGTTGAAATGACTAAAGGGGAACATCAATGATGGTGTTAAATCTACGTTGAGAGTGAGGTGCGGATGTTCCCATTCCCAATCTAAAGTTTAGCATTGAAACCCAATTAGTGTTCTCTTGAGAGAGACCTTCAATTCGAGACGAGGTGCCAGACACGCCGCAATCACGCTCGAGAAGGTCAGACGGTAATTGGAAAACAAATTGAAATCATAACACTCCTCCTCCTTCCTCTTCTCCTCTTTGCCGCCGCTTCTCCGTTCGATTTACGGTCTCGGGATGATGGTGATGAGAGTGGCGTAATACGATTAGGTAAGTGGCACTTTTTGAGTATTTATGTGCCCTCAAGGAGGCAGAAAAAGAGGCCGCTGATGGAGAGCGGCCAGAAGATTATTGACCTGGGAATGGGAGAGACAAAAGGGAGGAATAGAGAGGGAGGTGTTCGCAGTTTTTGATGTGACCAGAAGCTTCCGAGGGATTCCGTTCAATTCAGATGCGGTTGGTTGAGTTGTTCGAGTGCAGGACTCAGAATTATAATGAATATTTACATTGTGAAAAACAACAATATATTCGTAGTCTAATACCCACTGGAAGAATTGAAATGAGAAAATACTCATGAATATTTCCAATTATGCAAATTCGACTCGAATGAGCGAAATGAAGAGGAAGACACGAAATGTCAAAAAGAATGACATGACACGAGACAAAACGCAACAACAATTTGTGGATTAATTTCAATAATCGGATGGGTATCAGGCTCAGGGAGAGCTGCTTTTCTGTGGGATTAAAAGTGTTTTTTTTTCAAGGATGGGCAAATTTCGAAGACTTCTTGAGGCCTCGACTGTTGACCCAGCTTCAAATTTTCTGTAGGACACAAACTTTGAAGTCTTCTAGAATCTCGGGCATGGGCCCAAGTTTCAGGCCGAAAAAGACTGCGAAAAACATGGACTATTCGGGCTTCCGCTCATATATCTCGGGACCAGATATTCCGATCGATCTGAAATTCTGACCAAAGATACTTCAAACGAAGCCTAAGAAGCCTGCAAAATTTGGGGCCAATCGGAAAATTGCAAATGATCATTAATAAGTCAAAAGTCCCTGTCTCGTGATCAGGACCGGTCAGCCCTGATTGCTTCTCAATCGTTCAGATTTTAAGTAAACTTTTAGCTTCCAATAATTAACATTCCTCAAACAGGTTTATTTTAGAAATGACTCATTCCGAATGAATCACTGACAAAAGTCCACGTTCACTCCAATTCGATCACCGATTTCGTAATAGCAGACTATTCAAACGTCTAAAAACCTTTCATGACTTTAATTTTTCTACTTTTGTTTACTTATTATTTCCTTTTATTGCATCAAATACAATTCGAAATTCCAAAACGAATTCGTACGAAGCATGCGTTTGAGTTTGAACTGCCGCCAAGGGAGTGGCGCGTCGCGTGTTGCGTCGCGGCTCCAGCTGTCCCCTCTTTTCGTCGCGTTCTCTCTCGCCCGGACACCACGCTGTCCTCGGATTTTCCAGTTTGACCGCTTGTTTGATTTGTCATCTTTCCTCTCAAATAGCTTCTCTTCTTCTGGAATGTTCCCTCTCCCGCCATTTTATCGATTTTCGTGACGAAACACCGAATCTTATCAATATTGCCTTTTAGGGGTAGAAAAACTGCGAAATATGTCGGACCCGGTGGCTGATTTCTTGGCTCGCGAGCAGAATTTGTTCGCTGACTTCGACGGAGCTCCACCAGCTGCTGCCGCCGCTGAGCCAGGTAATAATTGAGCGACAATGTGATGAGTCATTACTTTTTTGCAGTTGCCGAGGCTCCAGCAGACCCAGCCATCGAAGACGATTTCGGAGATCTTCAGGTATCGCATTACCCAGCTTTCTCCTCAAATTCCTTTTGTTTCAGATCGCCGCCGATGCTCCTCCACCAGCTGTACATCCTACCGACTCTGGCGTCGATTTGGACGCATTCGTCGAGGACAACGTTCCGGCGATCATCGTTCCCACCGAGCCAGTGCCAGTGCTGAACGGAAACCACGGTACTCCGTCTGGCGCCAGCTCGAATGGACCATCTCCAATTCTGTCGACGTTGCCAAGAATTGAGGCTGAAAAAATTCGGCTGTGGAAGGCTCAGCAAGAGGAATTGCTCGCCAAGAAAGGTACTTTCTACCCGCTATTTGAAATAAAATTTCCGGTTCAGACGCTGCTGAAGAGAAGAAAAAGGCCGAGCTAAAGGCCAACGCAAAGAAAGAGCTTGAGGAATGGTACAAGCAGCGCGAGAAGACCCTGCAGTTGTCGCATGACGAGAATCTGTAGGATTTCCTTAGTTTCATCAGGCTGTTGACGAATTTGTTCGTTTTTAGGAAGAACGAGAAAGCGAATCAAGAGTTGTTCGCCAAGCAGCAGGATGGAGAAGCTCAATGGGAGACGGTAAACAAACTCGTGGAGCAGCATAAATCGAAGAGTGGGAAGGACTTGAGCCGTCTGAAGACATTGCTCTCCGGACTGAAGCACGCCGGAAAGTAAACGTATCGGGCCAATTTCTCTATTTTCCTGTGCTACAATTTGTCTTCTTTTCTCACCGTTACTTCCCTTTTTATCTCCGCATATTCGCTTCCTGTTTCTCCTCTGGGAACTCGATCGCAATCTAATTAGAAAACTTTGAAATCTAATACGAACTCGTTTGAAATAGAATTTGCTTCGATTAGATTGCAAAATCTTCTTATTAGATTACAATCACTGCAATTTTTCTAATTAGATTGCAATGTGTTCTAATAAGATTGCAATTTTTTCTTATTAGATTGCAATTCAGGAAAAATATATTGTAATCTAATACGATTTTACTGGAACTTCAATTAAATCTAATTAGATTGCGAAATAGAGCGTTTTCTTATTAGATTGCAAACTCTTCTAATTAGATTGCAATCGAGTTTCCAGAGTCCGCTAAATTATTAATGTATTTATGAGTAAAAGTAGTCAAGTTCCTCCGAATCGGTTGTCATTCACTTCCCCTCCAGCCACCACCATCCTCTTCTTTTTTACTGCATCCCCCAACCCGAGACAATTTTAATCAGTGTTTCCGAGCTCGACCTTTTCCGATAATCCTTTCTTGTGATACAGAAAATGAACCGTTTTATTGACTAGTTCAACTTTGCCCGCAGCTTTTGTTGTAGCGTATCTCCCCGCTGGCCCCGATTCTTGCTGGGTGTTGTGTTGTGGCATGATTTATTTATTTTTATTTTGAAAGCGCCACGGCACATCGCCTAGCCTTTTCAGATGAGCTTCGGAGATCAGAATCCGACGTTTGACGAGCTGATGGAAGTTGTGGAGAAACAGCAGGAAGTAATCGAGATATGCGAGCAGCAAATGGAGGCGAGCCGGATGGAATCCCGGAAATTGGCCGAAGAGGGAGAGAAGAAAAGCGAGATTATCCGGATTCTGGAGGAAGCCGGCGATCTGTTGAGAGCAGAGATCGACGCATTAAAAGTGAGGACAGAAAGTGTTTATAGTTTAGAGAGTGTGACGTATTGTTTTGGTTCTGAGCAGAAATAAATAAACAAACAACAATAGGATGATTACAGAGCGAGAACAAACAGTTGGAGCAACGGAAAAAGGAGGAAAAGGACGGGAAGGGAACGGAGAGCGAACTGGGAACTGTCGGAGAAATGCGAATGAGATGCAAAGAGGTAACTCAAGTTTTTCAGATTATATTGTTGCAATTGTGGAATTTCTTGAAAATATTAAGCAAATTTTGGTTTTTGTGACCGAATTGGAAAATTTCTCTCAGACCGAAACTCTGCAGACTGCGGGTCAAGAATCTTGCGAGTTTCAAACCAGTTTGCCCAGTCCCTTGCAAATCTAGAGTTTCTGGTTATCTGAAGCTGAGAAATTATTGGTCGAACCCTCTTTTTGAAGCAGCAACTTTTACAGTTGAACTACGAACTGGAGCGGCTGAAAACGCGTCAGTCGTCGCTTGAAGTGGAACTGGAGACCGAAAAGAAGAACCACGGATTTGCGCGATCCGAACTGGAAGAGGAGAAACGGCTGAGATCGGAGGAAAAGAAGCAGGCGAACGAGGCGATCGAATCGATGAGAACGGAAATGCGAGAGAATTGGCATAAGCAGCAGGAGACGTTGTCGACGAATCAGATGGAAATTGCGAGAATGAGGACCGAGTTGGAGATAAAAGAGCAACGGGAGAAGCAGTTGGAAAGGCACTACGAGGATATAATGGACGAAATCACGGAGACGCGGAAGGAGAAAGCTTCGGCGATGGCCAGGAACACGGCGATGTCGGCCGAGAATGCAGAGTTACGGGCCAAAATTCAGCAGTTGAGAGTGAAATTGCCACGTAGTGAGCATGATCTAGAGGATATGAGCAAGTTGCTCGCAGATCAGAGCCATCTGATTTCCGCGTTGAGAGAGGAAGTGAAGTTGTTGGCGAGGAAGTTGGAGTCCGACGCAAGGGACCACAGGTTAGAAGGGAGGGAGCGGTTACGGTACTCATCTTTCCATTTCCAGACAAAGTATCAAAGTACTGAGACACGAGAAGCGGGAGCTAGAGGCCAGAATCGAAAACTTTTTACATGTTGAATAATATTCGTGAACTCACATTTTTTGTCAAATTAATTTTTATCGTCATCATCATCACATGAATAGAGTTATTCTAAATTTTTGATTGGACAAAAATTCCATTTCACTTTTTTATCGTTTAGAAGAAATATCAGATATGTACATGTAAGTGCCTTCTCCTCCTCCGCCCACGCGTTCTCAATTTCAGCTCTTCCAGATTGCTCGGAACTCTCTCTATCATCCAAATCCTGCTACTGTCCTACACGTACTGGGCCTCCGAACAGAGCCACGACGCGAGTGTCAGGTGAGGTAAAGGGAAACGGCGAATGGGGGCAACGCCTTGCCGGGTGTCTCTCGTCCCCTCCCGCTGTCCCTCGTATCACGGGCAGCTGAGTCGGTCAGAATCGAGGCCCGTATAGCTCAGTGGCAGAGCGTCTGTCTCGTAAACAGAAGGTCGGCGGTTCAATCCCGCCTGGGGGCAGCCGTTTTGGGATTTTTTTCATCGATTGCCTTCAGAGACACGGTCAGTTTCGTGCTACTCGTCCACTTGGGAGCGTCGATGGCATTGGCATTGATGTCGATGCGAAAAAGGGCGTTGGTGACGCCAAACATGATCGGACTGTCGCTGTACACTCTGGCAGGTGTGTCCGACGATCAGAGACAGATAACGAATTGAAATATTGTTTTGCAGGTTCCCTATCGCTCGGGCTTATCAGCCAGACGCACGAGGACCCCGACGCCGAGCATCTGGCAAAGTGCTCGGTCGGACTGCTTGTCTGCGGTATCCTTTCGTTTGGGACCTGCTGGTGGACGGTCTACAAGAGCGATTCTAGAAATGTTTCGATGTAAATAATGAAGAAATTCCTTGTGCATATTTTATTTTCAATTTTCAAGCGCGCGAAAGAATTTGGAGAAACGGGGAGTGAGGGGACATCGAAAACGGGGACAGAAGGAAAATTTTGAGAGGGAGGGGGACAGACAAAGAATTCTAGAAGGCAGTGGGAGTGCTGGTGATTCGGAGGTCTCCCACTACGGGTGGTAACCTATGAAAATGGGTCCCGCCGCGAAAATGCCGACGCTACCGTACTTGAGCACATCGTGACGGGGCGCGGGGGAAACATGAGGACATGGAGAGATAGGGACAATTCAGAAGGATTCCGGCATCGGAGCAGAACCATTCGCTCCTCCGGACGATACAATTCCACGTGTCAGGAGATTAATTTCGTCGAGTTGGGGAATAGATGAGGTGGGGGATAAATGATTGAGTAAGTGGGCGGTGACAGTGGGATGGAGTCGTCGGTGACAAAACCCGTGTGCACGGAGAGCGAACGGTTTACAATTCCGAATTGGGGGAAAGAAAGAATGGACAATCTATCATGAGGCTCATGTGGTCGAGAAAAGAACGGAAACGGAGGAGGCGCTGAAAAGGGAAGAGATGGTGGGGTTCATGATGGGAAAGACGACGTAGTAGTGGGTCCTATGGACACGTGGCTCCGTGAGCGCCGGCCACGTGGCAGAGCAACGTGGCCAGGCAAACTCGGTGCTGTCGTTTGACCAGTCAGATTGCAAGTAGGGGCATGAGACTCTTTGTGTTTGGTTGTCTACATGTTTCGTGGAACCCAAAATTGTGTGTGAGAGAGGGGGAGAGAGTGATGAGAAGGGAAAGAGTGAAGGTACAGGCCTAGACGGGTGGGGACAGAAAGATAGAGGGGGGCAAATAAAATATGTGAAGAGGAAAAAATCGCTAGCTGATGGTGAACTACGATGAGGTTGAGATGATTGCAGATGGAGAGCATCTCGGACGGTCTTTGATTCTGAGCAAGAAGGGGTTCAGATGGAAGAGAGCTGAAAAAATGGGGGCTTGAGGGGAACGAATGACAGCTATCACTCACCTTGATGATCCTTTGATGGAGAAAAGATTAACGTCCGGTCGTCGATAGAGTGCTGGTGGACAGACAAAAACTCGTTGGCAAGGAAGTCATCCCCTTCTTGCTTGTCGTCAGGTCGATCATAGAGGTGTTGTTCGGAGGGATCAGCCCGTTGACAAGTCAGACATCAACCGAGGGTTTTACCTATCGGCCCGAGACAACAAAGCACGGCGTTTTCACGGCATGTAGTCGTCTGAAAGAATCAGAAAGTCTTCTGCTGTTGCTGATGAAACGAAAGTTGAAACGGGAGGAAGAGAGAGAGGGAAAGGTGAAATGGACGGACGCGCGGGAGACTGACGGTGGTCGATCGGAGGGAGGTGCGGAAAGAGAAGGCGACGGACGGAGGGCGCTAGACGAGGACCGGTTCCGTTGCAGTCTGTGTGGCGCAGCGCCGATTCGCGTATACTACGCTAGGCGTTAGGCTAGGCCTAGCCATCATGAGATAGTCGACACACGACGACTTCAGACAGGGAAAGGAGGCTTGAGAGGCAGGGGGGCAGCCTGACTGGCCACTACTATGTGCTACTGCTACTGCTGCTTCTGCTTCTGTTGAAGTTGGCAGTTTGCCAGGCGAAGCGAATGCGCGTTTCGAGCGGAAAGAGGGGCGGAGGCACCCTGCGTGAGCTCATCGATCCGCGGCGCCAGTCGGCTGGCAGCGAGCCAAGTCGGCCGAGGTAGCGTGTGACGACACAAGAAACTCAGACAAAAGGGGTGGGGCCCGTTTCTTCGGTTGGGGCGCGTCGTCTTCTCCGTCTTTGCTTCTCGCTATACGAATATTCGAAATTGTGCGTGTCTGCGTCTACACTGCCTGCCCACACTCTCTCCCTCGCGGAGCTGGAGCTCGAGAGGCTGTGTAAAGGGGTGAAGAAGGGGCGAAACGAGAGTGGGAGAGTGAAGAAACGGATTTCAATTTCATGTAATTGCTTTTTGGAGCAAAAGTGACGCGAGAAGGCGCGAAAACGCTGGATACGTCGGTTGGAAAGGTTGGCGCGATGCCAGGGAGAATGGAAAGAACGTGCAGGAGTGCGGGCGAAGGTATGTGTGTCATTCATCGAAAGTGCAGGAGAGAAAGAGAAAGTGAATTCGGAAAGCGCGAGCGGGAGGAGACACAGAGAGACGGTATTTGATCACGAAGAGCAAATAATGTTGCGGAGTGCCGCTGCGGTTGAAACAGTTTGGAGACAGTGACCGAAGAGATCAGATGATTTACTCGAGGTCCCTTATCAGCGGGGACCTTGAACTACGAAGTTTTACGTGAATCATCGTACTCGCCTGCAAAATACTAGTCCCGTCAGACACGCCGTGCTAATCCGTTCTCTCATCCATTAGTCATGTTGCTCGATTACGTTAATCTCAAAAAATATCCCTCCCCGTTTCTCTCCGCTTTTTCTCTGTGCTTTTGATGTCATACAAAGAGTTCATGCTCCAACGATCAAAGCTCACTCACTCCCAGCTGCCGATCTTCACGATTGAGGTGCACTTTTTCTCATTCTCTTTCTAACACACACTTTTATTTTTTGTTTTCATATACCTCCCGGGGGAGACAACAACAAAAACAAACAAAAAACGCGACGCTTTCTCTTCCGGCACACTCTTTCGCAAAGTGGTCGGGAAGGCGACCACTCTCCAATTATTTTTTGACGAGGAAAAAAAGAAGACTGCTACTACACGCACGCATGAGCAGAAGGGGCAAATAGAAATAAGAAGAAGGAGAAGCCGAGAAAAGGGCATTCTGGGGGGATTCACAGATGACGTCAGTGTGAGTCAGAGTCAGAAAAAGAGGGGGATGGAATGGAAATGGGCAAACAAAAGAGATCATTATGGATGAACGGAATTGGATGGGAAACGGAGAAGTCTACGGGCGAATGGATGACGATGGCTTCGGTCCGGATGACGTGGGGGAGAAGGAGGGGGAAGTGAGCATTCTTGTAAGTATGCAAATGGAAAACAGTGAGTCAACGGAGTGGTGTGTGGCCCTTTTCGTGTTTCTGAAACGAATAGCAAGACGCACTTTCGAGTACATCCCGAGTATCCCGGCTGAAAAATCTTTTCGAGAATCAATTCAATCGCGTCTACAAATATCAGATTTCAGTGTCCTTTATACACATTCTTTTTGAGTGGGTGTGTTTGGAATGACTCATTCTTCTATTTCTACATTCTCAGGCCTTGCATAAACCTTCTTCATTCAGTTTTCAAACATCTGCAGTGAAATTTTTTGAACATGTACTTATAATAAAAGCCTATGAAGTGAGGAATGAGGAAAACAAGACTTTTGAAACCGGGGCCCACTTTTAAGATTTTCAGGTGCGTGCCGCCGGAGAAATACTGATTCATCTTTCTCGTTCTTTTCGTGAATGTGTTTTTTGTTATCAAAATTTTGCTAGAGCAACAAAAATTACTAGGGATCACTGCCAAAACAGCTTTTTCTTGAAATATGGCTGCTCGTGCGTTCTTTTTTGTGCCTTTTTGGGCCCCGGTTCCAAAAGACTTGTAAACAAACAAACAAACAGACGGACATACCCGCGAAGACTTTTATAAATAAGAATGATAACTCGTAATTCATAAAAACGAATTGAGAAAAACAACAAGAAAAAAGCGTAGAACCCGACGGAAGTGCGATACTTTCTCTCTCCGCGCACACGACCCGATCTCCGAAAGTACACAGTAACTGGTACCGCGCGGTACCCGACCGCCTCCTGCGTCTCCGCTTTCCGCGTTCCTTCCCGCATCGTATCCGCGTCCCTTCTTCTCACAAGACCGTCTTCATCGTTCTGCGAGCAGCGACCACTGTGGTGCCTGGCGAGAAGAGCGGTCTGCAATTTGAGGATATTAGGAGAGAATACAATGAGAACGGACTTGTCCTGGCAGAAGAGAATCCTTCGGAACGCTGGAAAAGTGAACATCATGACGAAAGTGGTAACGATGGAGTGAGTGGAAAAGAGGCAGATGAGGAGGTTGCAGAATGATTCCATTCCCTCCACTGCCAGAATCACAACGGCGAGCAGAAGACCGATTGGGACGGCTATCCAGATTATGAGCACGATTAACTGTAACGGGGTTATTTCAGCAAAGACAAATTAGGTTGGACTTTTGACCCTTTTGCTATTTATATTTATATTCACAATTATGAGCTCAAACCCAAACTTACTAGTTAGATTTGAATTGAAGTACTATGGGTCCAAGTTTCAGAGTCTGCAAAGTTTGGGTCTCATCGAAATAGTGCAACTGAGTCAAAAGTTCAAGAAGCCAAAGACTAAACTCATTAATTACCGACCTGAGCAACCAGACAGACGACTGCGGCAATCTGTTTTGCATACGTCCTTGCAGCCATGAATTGACGATGACCATGAAGCATGTGAAGAATTTGAAAGTAGACGAACAGAAATAGAGAACAGTAAACGGCGAATGTGAAGATCATCGTGATGAGAGTGAGCATGACGGCGACGGAGGAAGTGGAGTAGAGTTCCGCATTGGGAAGGGACAGAAGCGGAAGTAGCCGAGGGAACAGCCTGGTCGCCAACGCCGTTTCTTGATTCTTGTCGAGATTGGAGCAGCCGAAGAAGATGGCGACGAGGAGAGGCGGGAGATGCAGAAGGACTTTGATGAGGTACTTCTGGTTGGGAGCGAGAATGTTCTTGTTGCCAATCGCTGCGACGCTCTGATGTTTGCGGATGAAACTACACAAAAGGGCGCAGATTTCGAGGACGATCAGCGTGAAAAGAGCGTTCTGGAAGGGAGATTCGTATTGAGAATGGTTCGAATGGAATCTTATAATCACTATCTGATAATGGGTTTTAATCGAGAACCAATTGGAGAAGATGCCATGGGAAATGCCGAGGAGGGCCGGGAAGAAGACCGTCGGAGCGACGAGCAGGGTGAGATGGAGGTCGACGAGGAAGCACACTATCTGAGCAGCAGAGGTTCTGATTCTAAACGCGATCTCTGAAAATTACCTGGAAATAGAGCAAGTAGTTGCGATAAGAGCCAATGTTTCCAGATTTGAAGCAGATGAGGTAAATGGCCAGACTATTCATCAGAATGCACAGAACACCGGAGGCGAAAAGGAAGCGAACCTCGAGAGAATAATCGTCAGTAACCATAAGTATAATGATTCTAGAAAAGCTGCTAAAGGCTGAGAAAAGACGAAAATTCAATCAGTTCTAAGCTGTGCGAATGTGCAAATTCAATTTAACGTAACTGGCGGACAGGTGGAAAGTTTCAACTGGAAACAATTTGATCTTTTGGTTGGTTGGAGAAGTTACAATTTTTGGTGGCTTCTGATCTATGACTTTGCCAAAATTTCTGGAATTAGGCTTGAGTACGCAAACATCGAGGGGGCAGGAGTGATAAATTGAGTATAAGAAGCAGAAGACGTTATTTCAAACAATAAAATGATTCAGAGCTTTTCGTTCTAATGATGGACCCATAAAGTAGAGAAAATTAACAATTAGGAAGATGTTTCTGGCTGGACAAAGATGCTTTCTCTGTATCTCTTCAACTCGGCAATCGACTCTATGATGTCGTCGAACGCCCGATGTGTGCACTGCTTCTGCGCGTGCTTGTACTTCGGATACCATCTCTGAACGAGGCCCTTGATGGTGGAGACATCGATGCAACGGTAGTGAGCGAAAGTGTCGAGCTTCGGCATGTACTTCTTGATGAACAGACGGTCCATGTAGATGGAGTTGCCGGCAATCGGACTCTTTCCTGGAAGCACGTGCAGCTTGAGGAACTCGATCACTTCATCCTCTGCCCGCGTCATTGAATACTGGCTGCCGATGATTTTTTCCATGAGTCCATTTTCGAGAAAAGTTTTACGTGGCCACTCTTCCATGTTGTCGAGCACCTCCTTTGGCTGATGAATAACGATATCTGGGCCGGTGGCGATTGTGTTCAATTCTGAGTCCGTCACGATTACAGCAATCTCACACAGCGTCTGAATGTGAAAAACTTAGTAAGGAGTTAATAAAAAGTGATTACCAAACCTGCTTCTCAACATCCAATCCAGTCATCTCGCAGTCGATCCAAATAATCCGCTGCTCGATTTTGTCACAAACATGGTAGAGCGTCGAAGTCATTGTTCGCCTGATAATAGGATTATTGATCGACTTTAGAGCAGCGGAGAGCATTTTCAGACCTACAATACAACGAACATTTGAGAATTTAAAGATCTGGCGCCAAATTTATTTGTTAGAAAAGTAGGAAAGTTGAGAATGGGTGAGTGCAGAAACGAGCAAGGAGTTGATTGACGAGTTAAACTTTTCAATTAAAATATATTCAGGAAACATATTTCCTATCTTTCGTTCACTTTTTTATGACAAAGCATATGAGAATCACTTCGAGAATTGTGCAAAAAATTCAAAAAGCTGGCGAATACTGCAAGTGCGCTCTACCGCACAGTGCGAAGCGTATTGAACCGCGACGCCTTCAACGAAACAAAATTTCAAACTTTCGAACTTCCGTTTTGCCTCGCCTATTCCCTTCTGCTGAAAGACCGGTTTTTGCTAGTGTGCCAGGCTGTAATCTGCTAGTTTCACATTGTAGAATTGCCCTTTTCCGCCGAAAATCAAGATTTGCAACGTTTTCCGTTTTTGCAAGACCCGGTTTCCAGACATTTGGCAGCGATTTCTTCTAGATTGAGTAAAAATGACGAGCAGACAAGCTTGAAATGCGGAATGTCGCGATTAACCTCAAAGTTAAGGTTTGTATAGGTGTAAAATTTCGCAATGTTTCTGTGGAGAAAGTGATGAATCAGCGCCGGTCACAGCACTTTTCTTTTGCAGATTGGTTTCACATAATGCTGTCTCAAAACGTGCTCGGACCGTCGACTTCGTTAAGCGGCACTAATAATTCAGCACTTCAATCGTCCGTTCTTTCCGACGGTGAGCTTTTTCTTTCATAGAAAATAGCTGGAAGGGTTTCTCGTAGATCTTTAGTAACCTTTGCTCTCGATAAAAATCTTGCAAAAAAAGTTTGAACGATTCGCTGTATTTTTGGACGTCACAATTCGCGTCTACCCGAGATTATCTACACGAGATTGACATTTTTCGCTTTGATCCACAATGAGATTAGGACACAAAAATAGAAATGAAAAACTCGGTTGCCTTTTTTCAGGTGCTCTCCTGTCCCATTCTCAGCCCACACGAGAAGAGCTCAAAAAGAGTTTCGAGACGCGAGAAGGCGTTTACCGGAATCTGCAGTTGGCCGAGTTCTCGCGTCCTCGGCCTCTTCCTCAGTACCAAATGTCGACCGGAATGGCTAATGCCGCTGCAAATCAAATCGTCGCCTCTGGCTCCACAGTTCGTGTCAGTTTTCTGAATCTGTCTGCCAAGAATCCGGATGCGAACGAGGCGACGACGTCATCCGCCTATGACACGCACAAAAAAGAGCCGAATGGGCCGTTTTCGCGACAAGAACAGGTGTGTTATGAGATTGGTGAGAAGGAGAGAAAGATGGCGGGAAGATAAAGAAAGAATAAGCAAAAAGAATGGAGTCTGAAGGGGACGGAACATGCGCAAAAAAATTCGTATTTATAGGATGCAGATGACGTATGGGCCGACAAGATCTGCTTCAATGTTGGAAAGGAACTATATGTCTACTCATACAGGTGAATTTTAAGAAATTATTAATATGCCTCTATATAAAACCAATTTCAGAGGAACGTGCACTCAAACAGATCTCTCTCGGCCAATCGACAAGCGGGTTTACAAGGGAACGTCGCCCACTTTCCACGCATTCAATCAAGAAACAGCCGATCCCCGGTCTTGCCAGTGAGTTCTCTAATCGTTTGGTTTTTTTTTTCATTTATTACTGCATTCAGGCTGATTATCGGCTTTTCCCTCGGCCAACTGCAAATCATCGATCCGCTGGAGAAAACGACGGCATCGCCCGTTAGCAGGCTGTACAACGAGGATCGTTTCATCGACAAGACCTCCGTCACTTGCATCCGCTGGCTTCCCGGTTCGTGTCCCCGTAGCCTTTTCCTTAAATTTTCATCTGCTTACAGGCGAACCCAATATATTTTTGGCTTCATACGTGTCTGGTAACATTTACGTGTACGACGATCGAATTCCGCCCGTCAACAGCAATAACAGTAGCAGTAGCAGTACGGGTCCGCCATGGATTCCTCTGAAAGATGTAAACAAAAGACTGGCAACGGAAATTTGATGATTGTTCATTTTCAGGGAGAAAAATGGGCAGTTTATACCTGGAAAGCGAAGAACAAACGGAATCCCGTTCATAGGTGGCAAATCGGGGAAGGAGCCATCCATCAGTTCAACTTTTCCGGACCGGATGCGAAAATGATGGCGACCGTCGGGCATGACGGATTTCTGCGAGTCTTCAATTACCGGAACATGGAATTGTTAGCGATGATGAAGTCGTATTTCGGTTAGCATTCTAAACATTTGTTGCCAAAGAAACTAGAACGTTCAGGTGGATTGCTGACACTCTCGTGGAGCCCGGATGCAAAACTCATTGCAACTGGCGGCGAAGACGACCTTTTGACGGTGTACAGCGTAACGGATAAGCGAGTTGTCTGTAGAGGGCAAGGTCATAAGAGCTGGATCAGCCAGGTTCAGTTCGATCCGTTCCTGTGCACTACCGAAGAGGATGGAGAGCCTAACGGTGGCGGAATGCCCGCTGCAACCACCCTGGACGACGTCTCGAAAGAAGTAACGATGCGGGCTGGTCATCTTCCGTCGACGAGTGCGGATCTGGCCGGAGTTATGCACGCGACGTCGACTTTCTCCAGATGTTCACTCGCCTCTTTCAACACACTTGGACCCAGTGGAAACAGTGTCTGTTATCGAATCGGTAGCGTCGGACATGACACATTCCTGTGCCTCTGGGACATCACCGAGGACATGCTCGTGCCGGCCAACGTGCGGAGACATCGAAATTCAACGATCATTGCTCCGGTGACGACTCTGGAGATTCAGACGAGTCCGACACGTCTCGAGGATCTGGAGGAGGTGTCACCGGGAGGAGCGGGAGCTTCGACGTCATCAGCAGAACCGACTTCGCAGCCACAGCCTCAACCAGTGCAGAAACCAGAAAAGCCCAAAAAGAAGCGGTTGTATAAGAAGGCTCTCACTCTGTCGAGATTCACATCCAGTAACAATTCGAATCAAACTTCCAATTCAACTGGAACTCACAAAACCGGCACACTGACCAATGGATCTGTTCTTTCCGACGGGTTAGCTTTACCTATGAGACATTGAATAACTTATATTTCCAGGTCCAGGAGGATTCCAGGACTTACTTCCCAAATCAGTTGTTGCCAGGAAACACGTCTTCTGGGATCAAAGTATTGTCCAGGAATCCGAGACGTGCCAATGATTGGTGCGAAGTTCTTTTTTCCCGTGCTTTTTTCAACAGTTCATTTTAGAGCCGTTAATGTGCAAGAAGGTTTCGCACGACCGTCTGACCGTGCTGGAATTCCGCGAAGATTGTGTGGTCACCGCTTGTCAGGAAGGCTTTATTTGCACGTGGGGACGGCCGGGCAAATGGCAGCCTCCGAAGCGTGACGCCGTGAACTCTCCGGGAACAGTCAGTCCGGAGCCCGGCCCGAAGCCTTCAACCTCAACCGCCCAACATTCTTACGGATATGCTTCCGAGATGTCGAATGGAGTGCCACCGTCTCGCTCGTCGAGTTCCTACAGTAACAGTGAGTGAAAATTGCTCGGGTAACGGTGAATAACCTGTTTCGAAGAAGTTTAGACGAGCAGCAGCTCCGCTCGCCTAACGCCTCGTCCCCGTCGTATCGGGTGGCCGCCGCGAGCACTTCTGTCTATCACCGACCGACTTACGCGTGGCAGAATGTCAACTAACCGCTCCCTGTTCATCTTTCCATTCGGGTTATGTTTGTCTCAATTAGGTCCTATTGTCGTGTGTCGATGAATATTTATATATTTGTAATTTAAAACTTTTTTTTAAATATCTAGGTTGTATACATGTGAATCATCCCGGCCCAAAACCGTTTCTCATTTTAACAAACTCCCTCACTTGCTCATCCGCCTGACCCCTTCTGATCGACGAGTTATACACTCTTTTCCGCCAGTTCTTGTACCTTTCCTCTCCTGTATCATTCTGTTCTTCTTTATTAGTCTCTTCCTGTGCTCTTAGGAATCATGTGCCTAGTCGCCCTCGTCAACCAATCATTCTTGTCTCTGTTCTGGTCGAATAAAGTTTATGAGTACATCTCCTTTCATTCGCTCTTCGTCACTTTTTTTCCGAGTTTATCGGTTTTAATTCCCGATTTCATATCTGTTCTTTCCTTCTTTTGCAATTACATTTATCTGCCTAATCAACTGTTTTAGAATGGCTGATAACGCTACACAACTCGAAAATCGGACCGTGAGCACAGATGAGCTCGCCGTGTACGATCGGCAGATTCGACTTTGGGGAATGGAGGCGCAGAACAAGTGAGCTTTCATGGATCTTTCAGATTTTATCAATATTCACTTTTTCAGACTCAGAAACGCGAAAGTTTTGCTGATCGGAGGCACGCAGCTCGGAGCAGAAGTCGCTAAAACTATGTCTTTGGCGGGAGTGGACGAGATGCATCTGGTGGACCACCGGCTCGTCGATCCTTCCGATATCGGGTGCAACTTCCTATACAACGCACTCATCGACAACTCGAAGAAGACAAAATGGGCGGCCGGCTACGAGTTCCTCTACAATCTGAATCGCAACGTGAAACTCGTTATCAATGAAGAAGATCTTCTAGCGAAGCCGGCCGAGGACATCGAAGGATACGTTCAGAAGTTCACCATTGTAATCGTGCTCGACGAGAGCTACGAGCGGACGGTCAAGTTAAACGAGATCTGCCACAAACATCACATTCGCTTCGTCGCTGGCTCGATTTTCGGATGGATCGGATACGCGTTCTTTGACTTTGACGGTCACACATTCTTGACGTGCGTTTCTGATCGTTGTTCCTTTCTATTATGTGTCTATCTTCAGGAAAATCGTCGATGAAGAAAGCATAGCCGCCACAGCCGTTACTCTCGACGACGCGGTCGAAAATAAAACAGTTGTGGACGTAGAGAAGGAGGACCTATTCGAGCAGAGACCCTACTCGTACCCAACATTTGTCGCCGCATTCAATTCGAACTTTTCGGCAAAGAAAGTCTTGAGAAAATGCAAACGTCTCGTTCCGCCGTCCTATTTCCTGGTCAAAAGCCTGCTCCGCGCATCGAAAGAAAATGTGTTTACTGGAGAATTGTCAAAGGATATCGAAGCACTGACGAGTATCTGGAAGGAGGAAGTGGCGATTGGAAACCACACGGTCGAAATGCAAACGGTGCAGCCAGAGAAGTTCGATCAGTGAGTCCTTCTGTTTGCTTTCTTTTCTATAACATTACTTTTCAGTTTGTTCTCTCCGGATTTCGCCCCAACGGCCGCCTGCATCGGTGGAATGATCGGCCAAGAAGCGATCAAGACTATCTCGGAGGCAAAACTGCCGATCCGCAACATCTTCCTCTACTCGGCCCTCGACTCGACCGGTATCGCGTGCGACTTCCCTCTCGCCTAAGAATCGGTGCATAATCCCCTTGCGTTCTCTCTGTCGAATCTCATAACGTATTTATTTATGTCATTTTTCAATCACTTTCACCAGCCACACTTTGTCGATTTTTATCCCGTTTTCACGATTGTTCTGTTGCAATAAGATAATTCATTCGTTTAGAACTGAGGTATGTACAAACTCAATGCTTCCATCCGAAAGGCGGCGGCGGCGGCGGAGGACCCGGTGGAGGCGGTCCCGGCGGAGGTCCCCATGGCGGAGGAGGTCCCCATGGATGATGGTGATGGTGTCTCATCCAAGGCGGTCGCCGCCATCGTTCCCGTTCCCAGTCGTCAAAATCTCCGGGCGGCGGGGGCGGTGGCGGAGGTCCTCCCTGCTGCCAATTCTGCGTCCACTCGTTCTGCTGTGGTTGCTGTTGTTGTTGTCGCCACGGCGTCGTCTGCTGAATCGGAGGCGCCCACGTCGTCTGGACGACTGCCGGCTGCCGACGAACGGGCGCTACAGTCACTGGATTCGAAGGGGGCGGCGGCGGATCGGTGGGCGCCGCCGGGATTCCGGGAGGTCCTCTGAATGAGAAAAGCTCTTTTCTATCAACCGCTCGGATCCGAAAAACAGATTGTATCTCAGCTGTCTGTAGAGATATCGAAAAATTGTCAACAGATAAAATGTACACAATGTTTTAATGAGCATGTTTTCAGTTGATTACATTTTGATATCACCATCGGCAGCTGAGATATATGGTCTTAAATGAACGGCGTTGGGGTGCCCTTCTGTTACAGTAAATCTGCAGATCATGTAATCCAATTCAACTAAATTTTGCACTGAACATTTTCCATAAAATAACCAAACAACTTAAGGGTCAAAAATGGAAAGTGACCGAAAATCACATGCTTTTCCCAATGAATTTCGAATGAAATTGTCACTTTCGATCAGAAACTCACCTTTGCTCGGAATAGCTGAACGACAATATCAAAAGGAGGAAAAGAAGAAGTCCGTCGGTCATTTTCTGTTGTCCATTCAACACAGTTCGTGCGAATCGAAACGAAAATGAAGAAGAAGAAGAGGAAGGAGAAGAAGAAGACAGAGAAGCGGTCGTTTTTTCTCATCAATTCGTGTCCCTCGTGCCCTGCCCCCAAGTTCGACAATCAGTGTAAACGCGAGAGAGTTCGGAGACGGCGGAGACGCAGAAGCAAACGCTTTCTTGATGTGATTATTTTAGTAAGGGACACAAAGAAACTGAACTGTAGGTCAAAGATGAAATTTCGTTCGAATAGTCCAATCGTTGGTTGTTCAATTCCTGAAGGGATTACTGTAACCGCATGCGTGTGTAAACCCAAACAATCCAATTATTGTCCTCTTTTTTGATGAAAAAGGTCCTGAGCCAACAAACATGGGCGTCCTTCTTTGCCTTCTTTTTCCCCTTTTCGTACTCGCCCTTAAAATAACACATTGCGTGACGAATAAATTCGTGCGAGAATATATTGAAACGGATAATAATAATAATTGTTTCTAGAATTTTAGAATTCATCTTTGTGTCCCATGACTTCTCGAGCAATCGCCTCTTTCCTTGAACCTACAACGTTTGAGCTTTTTGAAAGTGTGCGTTAAACTCTAAACTCACTCGTCGAGAATTTTCGTTTGTCATCCGCGTACTTTGGACAATCGTACATTGTATCCGCGACGATCTCCGGCTCGAAGTCGTCGTGCACTTTGTCCGGTCCTTCCAAAGCGAAAACGCCAATGTCCTTGAGATATTCCACGCGATAACCATTCCCTTTTGCCTGAACAAAGACCGCGATTTCATTTATTTTCCTGAAATCTTACGGAGGAGAAGAATGCGATCCAAGTGTGTTTCTCCCAGAATCCCGTCCGAATGTGTTTGGCTATAATCTCAAGCACGGCACCTGCTCTCCGATGAACGGTCCCTTTCTCTTGACAGAGAACAAAAAAGGAAGGATATGAAGTTTCGAACTGAAAAGAAACAAGTAAAGTTGACTCAGAAAGTCGGAGAACCTTGAAATCCAGTCGACGTTCCCACGCGCCGTTCAGGAACTCGGAGAGTGAGTTTGGAACTCCTGGAAATTTCATTGTTTTTTTCTTTTCCCACTCATTTCTTCCTCACCACGAACTGTGACCAACTCGAGTAAAAGTTGACGATCGGAAGAATCTTGAATTGGTTCAGAAACTGAATGGGACCGTTTTCCTCCTCAACCGGAACTTCCCGGATCTCTTCCGGGATTGCCTAATGATGCCAAAATGTGTGTACAACAATAAAAGTATCGATTCACCTTTGAAATGTGTATAACTTGGGCAGAAGCTATGAGCAAAAAGATTGACTGCCACATGTCACTTTGGAATGATTGAGGATTCGGAAAGTTCACGTTCCCCACGACTACTGTAGCCGTCACTTGACGTGTTCTGCACAGGAATACATTCTCAAATGCGCATTTGTTCCGGCTGAAAAATCGTGTTGTGCCACGTCAGTTTGAAATGTAAAGTGTATGTCATCTATGCAGTCGTTCCTCCATAAATCCTCCGCCTACCCAATTTACATTTAGATTGATTCCTCGCATCCCTCCGTTGCTCTTTTTCCCCATTCCCATCCTCCTAAATGTCTGAAAGCTCAGCTCAAATGGCAATGTCACGGAACGGCTCGTTTTCCGCGAAAGACTGGAATTTCCTTCACCGGGAAGCATTCAAATTGTGAGTTGTTTCTGATTTCAATCAAATGTCAAAGTCGACTGCGAATCAAATCCGTTTCACTTTATTCTAATATACATTTTTTGTACTCAGGAATGGCGCGACGATGCCACTGCGGTACTACAGCGAGCACTCGTTCTATTCGAACAACACGTTGCTCTCGGTGAGCTATGCGCGTTCCGATGTGGGCTCATCTGCCTTTTCAGACTGATTTCATGGAGGGCATCTTTTGGCTGACAGTGTTTACCCACGTCTTCAGCTATACATTCAACTTTGTCCTTCTTTACGTGGTTACCAGCAACAAAGGTTAGCTTCTAGTGCTTTCTCAACGACACCTTTATGGTTCAGCAATAAAGACAAAGTCCTACATCACTCACTTGATCTGGGTCGAGCTTCTGCTCAATGTCTGCCAGCATTTCTCCGTGGAGAAGGTGCTTCAGATGGAGGATCAGACCCATGTGAGTCTCGTCAAAAACGTGTGCATCTTCTTCATGAGCCTCCAAATGTGGACGGTCAACACAATCCGCTATATAATGACGTTTGTGATGGCCTCGAACCGCTTCGTCTGCAGTGTCTATCCGGGTTTCAACAAGTATTTCGACTCGGAAATGATAACTTTCTTCGGTGTTGGCATCTGGGTACTCATCCCCTTCACCTTCCTGCCTTCTGAATTCCATTCCCTTCAGCTCATCGCTTTCATCGCCTCCTGGTACCTCCTTCTGCTTGGATGCTTCCCCCGTTTCAACACCGAAACGTTCGTTATGGACACTAGTTGCTACTTCCTAAAATGGGTAGGTTGGGTGGAACAGAACAAGTAGAGACGGATAATAATACAAATGCAGCCAGACTTCATCTACAAATCCCATTATCTTCTGATTCTCACTTTGGCTCTCAACATTATGATGGTCGTTTATGCGAAGCTCCGAAGAAGCGGATGTTTCAATGTTGGTGAGTTCGGTTTGTAGCCTGGCTTCAGAACCTACCGTAACCCTTTCAGCCGTGGCTCGCGTCTCCGTCGTCGCCGCGCAACGCCGTTCTCGCACCGAAACAGTCTTCGTCCTTCAGTCCTGCATCGTTTTCCTCTTCATGGCCTACGACGCAGTCTACACTTATCTCCGTAAAGCCTACGAAACTGTCAGTCCTCACGACGATTCACCTCTTCCTTTATAATCAACTTCCAGGAGTTCCACCAACTCCCGCAGAACGCTCAAATAATGCTCGGCTGGCTCAACATCTACTCGGCCAACTACATGAATTTCCTGCTCTACTTCCTCTTCCACAAAGTCAACCGAGTATTCGTGGTTCGCACGATTCTCTGTGTCAAATCGCGTAAAATCAGTCCCTCGTGAATATCTTCCTGTTGCTCTCTCGCTCTTTCTCTTCTCCAATTATCTCACCCCTTCATTAATCCCCGTTGCTTTCTGTCACGATTTTTCTTCACACGCCCCGCTTTTCTCTCTTCTTTTCTGCTTCGAAGGAATGATCTGGCAAGGTCCGGCGTTCGCGATATTCATGCACATTTTTGTGTACATTTTCAATATTACCGTAATTGTAATGTTGAAGCGTAAGAAAGGTATGTCATGATTAGTGATTCCGCGCCGAGTTCAACGCATTATTTTAGTAGTGTCCTCACGAATCTACATGATCCATATGATTATTTCCGAGCTGATAATGAACATTTCTCAGAATATTATCATCGAGTTTCCCTACTTCTTCCCACAAGATCCGGGTTTCTCAACGAACTCGCAGTTCTATGAAATTACGAATTTTCAGCGTTCTACACGTTCCCCCTAGTCAAGTTCTTCGAGATGTTCAACGTTCTCGGCTACCAATTCAAGTTCTACATTGCCATTGTGATGGCCATCAATCGGTTGTGGGTAGTTGTGAAGCCTCTCGGCAGCGAGGTTTTCAGTCCGAGATGGCTGAATGTGTACTTGACCGCCGGATGGCTCGTCCTCATGTGCCCCGCTTTGATCGTTCTCATACCGGATGACTGCTACATTCGCACCGACCTAGTGGAGTTTCAAATCATGACTACTTGCCTGGATCCGGAGAGTCACAAAACAAGAATGGTCGTTGTGAGTGTCTAGGCTACAAGTTGGTCATGAAACTCAGATCTGCAGATTACTGTAATCAACTCTCTAATTCACATCGTCTTCCCGTGGCTCGCCGCCTCCATCAATCTCGTTGTTTATGTTTGTGTACGAAGAAGGAAAGCGAATAGCCAAATCACGACAAAGTCAGGAGAAATGTCGCTGGTCATCAATTCTCTAGTGGTTTCACTCGTGCTCGTTACAAACTACATATACAATTACGTGTTATTCTTTTGTAAAGACGTGAGAGCCTTCCGATTACCGCTTGCAACAACCTCTGTTTCAGGAGATATCCAGTCAGTCTGCTGCCGTCCAGTCCGTGTTCAGTTTCTTCAATCTCTACGGATGCTCCTTCTTCAACTTCATCGTCTACTTCATTCTCAGCCCGACAACACGGAATATCATGCTGAGTATGATCTCCGCAAAACAAGTGACTCGTGTCTCAACTCTCGTCGCCGCCAATGGTTAATGAAACCTTCATTTCATTTCTGTTTACATAAATGCGTGTGCTAATAAGGAAGCGGAGTGAATGTGCAATCGGGGGTGACGTCTGATTCCTGTCTGTTCACCTGGTACATCTTCTGTCTCTTGAGCACTTTCACTCCATAGAATACTCTTTCGGCGGCGAACAAGAGGATTGAGATGCCACAACCGATCAAATAGATGTAGAACAGTTGCTCCAGGTGCTTCTTCAGACTGAGCCTTGTCTTTTTCACTTGCACCGTGATGTCTTCTGCCTGCTTTTTCGTCCCGTAGCCCGGTCCCAATGTGATGCTCGCTATTCCGGGCAGAATTTTGAGAAGCGCTTTGTTGAACCTGCGTTTAACTCTAGATTACTTTTGTCATCGTCGTACACGTACATTTGACAGAGTTTTCGGTTGCTGATACTGAATCCGAATGCCACGTAACTCAGAATTCCAGTGGTGTCCCGGATGACCGTCAGTCCTTGTCTTTTGTCCCAAACACTCACTGCTTGGGGAAGAAATTCAATGTCATACTGCGAGTAGAATACACCTCCTTTTCTGGAAAAATTGAACAATTTAACAGACGAAATATCGCCCATACTTACTGTATTTCCTTGATTAAATCAACTTCTTTTGCCCTCACAACAATCGGATTTATGGCCATTGCCCTTTCGATGTTCCTCTCGTTCTTTTCCGTGGATCCTTCCAGAGTTAAATTGAAGTAATAGGTTAGATAGGTTTCTTTGTTCAGTAGCAACTCGATCAGTTGATTCTGGTGGAGAAATGGAATGCGTGAGGAGGGAGGAGCAGTCAAACGGGAGTTCATGGAAGTCTGGTAGTACTGGGCAATGCTCATCATCGCAACAATCAAGAATCCCTCCAAAAACATTGTGGAAACCACCGTCGGGTCCTGCACTCTCTGCTTCAGCATCAATCCGAACGTTTCCAAAACGCTGCTTGTATAAATGTTAAACTTGGATCCAACTCGACTGTCCCAGTACAAAGCACATGCGAATCTCACTGTCGAGACGCCCATAATAGTTGCCAGGAGGAGGAGCCACATGTCGGTTGTGAATGGGGCGAACACAAAGTTACGGAAGTCATTTTCCGGCGGTCGTTTGATTATGTAAACCTGTTGAAAGTACCGGATTGGGAACGTGAAATGGGCAAAGTTCATGCGATCCGGAGTGATTCGCATCGAGAGACCGCTCATGTCTATCTGGTCCTTTGCCAGGAGACCCATTATTCCGGAAAAGTTGCCGTCCGGTTGAAGGTTGCCAAAATCATTGATGACGTCGAATTCTCGTTCTGTGTCTATCTGAAATGTTCCGCCATTACTGATATTCCGTTCGGAACTCACGACTTCCCACTGCCAATCGAGAAGCGTCATAACCATCGAAATGATTTCCATCTCGGCTCCGGGCTTGGCGCACGTCTTCTTCGGCATTCGACGGAAACAGTTGAACGCATCGGGGTCGTGCTCGAAAAGGCCGACACGAATCGGACGGCCCAAAGGGGACCACGACATTTTGAGTTGTTTGATTCGGGATCCTAGACTTTCTTTTCTTTTCTTTTTTCAGGGTATCCAGTTACTCTCCATCTCCACCTCTTCGGCTCAAGTGCGCACTTAAAAAAGCTCATTTGCAATCGTTTATTGTTGAAATCGGATAATAAATACAGAGTAATACGAAAGTGAGGAATGTGCACGGAAAATGATATCAGTGGGTGAATCAGTAGTTGAGGCACGGCGACGAGGAGTTATCCATGGAGTACATGGACGGGTTCGCGTAGACACTTGCGATGCACTTCAAACGATTGTACTCGTTCTGATCGGCGAACTTGGCCGGATAATAGTCGGGGTCGTAGTAGTAGATGAGTCCTCCGTAGCTGGCGGGAGCACATGTGCAAGGAACCTCTTTCCAGGTGGAGGTCCAATCCGGTTGGTAGCTGAGATTGTAGAAGATTTGATCGAGCGGTACCGGCATGTCTAGAAATGGATATTGGGAGTTATCTGAAGTGTGAACTCCTACTTTTGCAAGAGAGGGTCTCATCGGCGCCGACTGGAGCATCGAAGTATCCGCAGAACCACTTGAAAGCCTTGATTCTTCTTGATTCTCCTGGTCCTCCAGGATTCGTTGCGTCTTCTCCGGAGCACTCGTTGTTGATGATCAAAGATGTGGGTCCGAAGATCGGTCCCGTGTATCCGGCGGCTTCGTTTTTGGATCCACTGTTCCAGTTGCCCATGATAATGTCGTGCATAGCTGGCTTCGGAGGCTGTGGGGTCATGTAGAACCAGAGGGAAGCCATGATAGCGAGCGGCGGGTCCATCTTGGTCATCACAAGATTCGGCTCATTCAGAAGATCGACAGTGATGTTGACCGACTTCAGCCAATCCTGGAACTGTCCGTAATTGTAGTTGTAGGAGATTTGAATGGCTCCTCGTCCGAAGTAGCATCCTCTGTACGGAGCAGCCGTGTTATCGACTGTTGCGTTGGAGCATGGGTAGAAGTAAGTGATTTGAGAGGAGGCGGAACAATACTGGCCGGCAGAGGCACAAGAGTTTCCATCGGATGGGGTGTATCCAGGGGTCTTGGGGTCGAGGAAACTGCTGGTCGGGCCTCCTTCGAACCAATTGTAGAATCCGCCGCGGTAGAAGCAGTTGGATGCATCCTGATCGGCAAGAGTGCTGAAAACAGAAAACCCGTCGAAGAATAGCGAATCATGAAACGAACTCATAGAGGGCAATGTTATTCTCCCCCGTTTCTTGAATGGCGTGCGCGAAGAAAGTGGCCAAGTCCCTCTTCTTGTTCTCTTCTGCAGTGTACACCGTATTCGTCACATTGATGGCAGTGCCGAACTCTGGGAAGTATCTCGCCGCAATCACGAAGCTTCATAAGAGTACGGCCAGCAGCTTGACGGTCCCCATCCCAGATTCGCAAATGGGAACAGATCTTCGAACATTGCCTTCGTAAACCACGATTCCAGTTCGGAAGCCGCCAAGTTGTTCGGGTCCGTCGGTTGGGTGCACGACTCTGGGGGACCTGTTCCGTACTTGGATGCTTTCGGACAAGACGAGGCATTTCCGTAGTCAGTTGCGGACACGACCGAGTTGTCTGAAAAGAGAGAGAGGAAGTCGAGATCGATGGGGGACGGGGGAAATCTTACGTGCCAGAAGGATAACGACTGCCAGAACGAGGCTTCTTATGTGAGTCATGACAGGAAACCTTATGGAAGCCCTTGCCCCCTCCCCATCCTTTTATACCCCTTCTCTTATCTCAAGATATCTTCCACCGGGTGTCCTTGCCTAATAACAGATCATAAAAATTTGCCTCCCCACAAGATACGGAACTTTCACTTTCGCCCACTTTTACGTATTTCATTTTTGTGTTTTCGTTGAAAAATTGCTTGAAAGCTTTTTGAAAGACACGGTTTACATGATATTTTGAACTAGCTTCACAGATCTTTTAAGGTCTCCTCAGACGGGATGTCCTCGTGTAACGGGTTCGTTCTCAAAGATCAGCGACACTCGACATCCGCATTATCTATTCGTATTTTGAATATATTCCGGTATATTTCCGTGTCTCGCCGCCCCCGCTCACCTTCTGTTCCGTGGTTGTATCGATGAACTCTGGAGTCGTTTGAAAGCGTCGTGTTGATCGGAAGCGCGTCGTCCAGGAGACTGTTCTGCAGGACAATAGAGTTATTTCGTTTTGAATGAAGCTTATTAAGGTGCCGTTGAATTAGAGGATTCTTTTTCACGTTAGTTTCGACGGAGACGCCTGTTACTTCGAAGCATTCAAAAGTTCTACAAAACAACTGTACGAGATGCACACATACACATTCCCACGACGCCGTTTCATCACAGAACCGTCTACGCTGCTCACCTGCTCAAAACTGTCCATTTTCTCGACATTGTACACAATCGCATTGAGTACCGATAGCAGGTTGTTCCATAGCAACATTGGCAAGAATGGGGGGAATCAAAAACTGGGCGGTTGCCGCCGTCGTGCTCTCACCCCAATCAACTGAGCACACGGGGCGGTCTATTCAAAAGTGTGTGTAATGTATCGGTCTCTGCCCGTCCGCGCGGAAGCCGCGAAACCCGTACAAATAATCGGGAGAAAGAGCCGCAATCTCTGAGGGAGGGGTTGAAAAACAAATAAGAGCAGGAGCGAGAGAGGAGAAGCTCCCCTACCACTTTTGACACTAAGTCGTGTCGCCGTAAAAAGAGATGACAAGTGGATTAGTATGGAAACGGACGGAACACAAAACAATCGTTCATTTGAGCATAAACAACACACACACACACAGATAATACAAGACCCAAAACCCGATGATGTTCAAAACAATGCATTATTATGCAAAATTAAATTATTGTTCCCTAGGATGATAGTTCTCGTACACGTACTTCGTTCTCGCCTTCACCGCCTCCGTCAGATTCTTCTGGAACCTCGCCGGATAGTCCGTCATGCTCATCGGACCCATCGCCACAATCTCCTTCAGCCACGTCTTTCCCCAGTTCCACATCTGAAGATCTCGGTAATGACGGACGATTCCCTCGTCCGTAGTCAGTTCGTGCACGTGGAATCCCGGAAAGAGCATGGAAGGTCGGTGCGTCCACATGGCGAGCACTTTCTCAGGCATGATGATGCACTTGACGGTGTGTCCAGGAGGGCCGTACACGGAAGAGTTGTGCCAGCGGAGGGTCGGGGTCCACTCGTCGATCTGAAAATGCCATTTGAAGATGTAACTTCGTTAGTTCTCTGACCTGCTTGTCTCCTTCATACTTTTCGGGCATGAATTCAGTCTTCATGATCCATTGCTGTCTGAACTGAACTCCTCCGATCTTCGCATCCTTCACATCTTTCAGATAATCAATCAACAATCCCGGATACTTGGTCATCAGAAGCCGCTCATCAATGTCGGAGAACAGACTCCATTTCGACTCCCCGCGACTTCTCAGTGTGCAATCCTGAAGGTACATACTCTACAAAAGTTCATCTGAATCGGTGCTCACTCTGAAAGCGACCATCTGCCAGTGCAACAGCTCTCTGTCGTTTCTCTCCAACAAATAGGTCAACTCGACTTCTCCGGTTCGCACGTAGTCCTCCAGAAGGGCGTTGCTGTATTCGTCGATATGAAAGATGTAGAAGTAGAAGTGTGTCATGCCCTGTGAAAACATAGAGTTGGAATGAAAATAAAAAGATCAACTCAAGACAAAACCTGTAATTTATAGTGTTCTATCAATTCTGCGAGAAGCAGCCACTTGGCTTCTTTTCCGTAGATTGGCGACATACAGAAAGAGAACTCGTGTTTGTAATCTGAAAATGGAAACGTTTCTCTTTGTTTTTATAGGGAAAGAATCAAATTACGAACCTTTCTTCATTCGATCGACGAGAGCGATCGGATAAGTGTACGTGTTATTGGCTCCAGTACTGATCGAAAGTCGCTTGGTTCCTTTCCGTTTCGGACAGTTCACAACAAATTCTGGGAAATTGTGTGATTGGAAGGCTGGCAAAAGCTCGTTTCCGGCTTCGTTGAAGTATCGACAGTACAAAATCGCTCTGTAGAATTATTGAGTTTAGAATTGCAGGACCATCGAAAATCATTGTGCTTTAGCGATCCACAGCAGTCTGTGAATGGTCCAAAACGAATATTCTACGGAAAAGAATTCGCTCGGTTTTTCTGGATGTCCGTCGTTGTTTTTTCAAGTTAGGACCGGATTGAAAACTCACTTGTACTTGTTGGGCGTTGTAATAGAAACGGAATATTCGACGTCGTATTCGTAGGCTCTGAGCAACGAAACTCCATCAATCTCCGGCGGTTTCTCGTTCTTCAACTCTTCCTTCCACTTCTTTGCATACCACTCAAATCTGTCCATTCCATCTATTTTGTACCAGGGAAGATCTGAAAGTTACCCTATGTCTGAATAATTAGAGGAATGTACCTTTTGGATCCACTTCCACATTGCCTGATATTTGTGGTATTCGATTGGGCCGAAGTGTGACTGGAGTGGAATTGAAGCTGTAGACGATGATGAGAGTGAAAAGAAAGACGGCGATGAGCGAGAATTTGAAACTCCGTGGATCCATCTGAAGAAAAAGGGTAAAGCAGTAAAGCTGCAACTTGTGAGATTACGGAAAAACTGAAGAAGAGAACAAGCGGGGCCACCGGCATTGTACAGAGAGAATTGTAGATTCACACTAACAAAACAAACACGTTGCAGTGACACATAAAGTCAGAAAAGTTTCCACAATATTCTAGCTTTTTCTCTCAATTTTTGTCAAAAAGCGACAAAAGATGGAAACCAAGGATGCTCACGAGAAGAATACGAAATGGAAATTTGACTTTGCCAGACAACGGGCCCTTGGAGACCCGTGCGAACGTTTCGAAAAACGAGGAGAAATGCAAAAGAACGAGAACATTTTCGGACGCTAACCGGTAGAACCCATAAAACCAAAGCGGGTATGGATGCGAGGAGCCGTGCAATAAACACTTTCTCCTTGTTTCATTGCGTTTTGGAAATTGGCGGATGACGAGCGAAGGCAAACAGAATGGAAAAGGACGGGAAACCTCTGCGTACTATTTCTTATCAGTTCAATTTCAGTTCACTCTGGACTCGCCAGCTGGAACTGAATTACTTAGTCTAGAGGACCGTGGTCTTACGGAAAGTGTCTGCATTCGGAGTTTCACCAAAATAGGTTTACCATGACAGATTTCGTCAACGAATTGATGACAAAACAAAAAGCTTGAACAATTGATCGAAGAATTACTCCATTTTCGTGTCACATTGGGTTTCTTTCAGAGGTCGCGGTCCGACTGAATCCATATACTCATTCAAGAATGACGGACACACCTGGAATGACAAACAAAAATATTGTCCGTTTATGGGTACTGTTTGCAGCATACGTATCGAATTTTAGAGTTTAGTTTTGTTCACAGCAAAAAGTGTGAAAAAAACGTATTTATTAACTGTGACTGTTATCATTTTTGAAAGACTTTCTAGCACTGGGCCCGGTGCGCGGTTTCGCCGTTTGCTTGTTTCTCATAACCGTTTGAAAGTAGGCTGGCAGAATAGCGAAACGCCTGACGCCTTTGAAAGTCGGGTACAGGCGGCCGTCCGCCTCCGATGAACAGGCGAAGGTGGCCGAAGGACGAGGAATTCAAGTTGAAATTGGCGAAATAGCACGACGAAAAAGTGCGCAAGATGAAGGCACATTTTCAGTTTTTCCTTCCATTTTCGTTGACCACGATGCCTGAAAGAAGGTTTTTCCGGGGAAGCACGTTGAGTTTGATTACAACTGACCCCGATGGTCTAATTTATTGAATTTTACGCTTGCGGTATGTTTTCCATGTTCGGACTCATCACTTCCTTCGTTCTCGCGCATTGCTCCGTCTTCACTTCTTCAAAACATTGCTCTTTCCCACTCTTCGGAAATACCTGAAACAACGTTTTTTCGGGGAAGCATTTGGAGTTCACTCTGAAAGATGTTGAAAAAGTTTAAACTATTCGATCAAAACTTATTGCGAACTTTGGAAAATAATTCAGCATGCAATGCGGAGCACCTGTGTGCATGGCTTCGATGGGTCGCATAGGCGCATTCGGAAAACTCGCATCGTTTCAATGTTCTTCGTGCAAGCGATTCATTCATGGAGTGTGCTCCTTGTAAATAACAGCAGACGATGAGCAGAGACTTCTCGATCGAGCTGTCTCTGTTGCAAACAAGGGTCGCAGACGTCATCAGAAGACTTGAAGATGCTCATCGATGAAGCGATGGAAGCAACGAATGAGAGCATGGAGAATGACGTCGCAGTTCTCGAAGACGCCGTTGCGGAGCAGGAAGAACTCGAGACCATGTTGAAGAAGTCATCGGGACCCACACGAAAGCCTCTTGAAGCCGTTTTCCGAGCAATCGACTGCGACAGCCGCATCTGGTTTCAGGAATTAGACGGAAATCAGGTTCGAAAACTTCATCGATCGCCGAGCATCGTCCAGGTACTCGACGTATTCCCACACAGCTTCGAGGTCGACGTGATGAGCCAAGTCATGCTCAGTTTGGATTTTATGGTGTCGAACGCCGCCAACAAAGTGAAGGCCGACGAGGAGATTGACGAGATCGAGAAAGTCGTTGAAGAGCTCGTTCGAAATCTTCGCATCATTCAGCCTGATGCTACGCCGACACCGAAACTCCACATGCTGGTATCATTTACACTACACCATGAGGGCACACGCGCACCATTGTCTAATGATCACTCATCAATGATGAGGTATAATAGTAGCTGAAACAACAAATAACATCAAAAATAAACTCACATGTAAGGAAGGAAGAGGAGAACACAACACATTCTCCACACACACACACACTCTCTCTCTCACACACACCTCTCACTGCTGGCTGTCTCCTCTGCGTGTCTGCAAGGCCGCGCTGGGTAGATAGGGGAGAACTCTTCCAAATTTTCACAAAAGCACATAGCCAAGAAACTGAAAATAAAAGAGTTGTTAACATTTTACACGAGTTTTGAAGTTTTGTTTATTATTAAATGACTACTTTTAGTCTCCGAAAAGACCTGAAGCCATTAACAAATTTAGATCTCCTAGAATTAGTAGACACATTAGGAATCAAGAATTTCCGAGGAATCTTTATGAGAGACACTTTGCCAACACAAGGAATTAAAGAAAAAGAAGTAGGCATAGTAAATTTAGATTCTTTAGATGGTCAAGGTACTCATTGGGTATGTTACTCCAAGAATAATAAGAAGATTTATTACTCTGGTAAATGGATTGCGATTTAATTAGAACTCATTCACATCTAATAATGGCACAGTAAGACACAGTACAGTTCTATTCCGAGCGGTTATATTTCGTTCGAGTTCTATTCCGTTGTAGCGCCGGATAGCACCTAAGCACTCGTATTCTCGTCCTTTTTCTGCTTCTGCATGCGATGACGGGCGTGACTGCTGGAAAAGTAGATTGGAACGTTGTTTTTCGCATCGACTCACAAGCAGTAATCCAAGTGATGCTGGAAGAGCAGCGCCACAGTGATCGCCACCTTTTCTCTGTCGCATCCGTGAATTTCGATCGCTCCACTGAGTACGGCTGCAAAAACATTTCATAGCATACTATCTCAGATATAATTTATACCGATTGGAGGGTTAATGAATCGACTCGGAAGGGAAACTTGTGGTTTTTGTGGTTTCGTGCTGACAGAGAAGTTGTAGCGTATGTTGTCCGGAATCATCTGAAAGAAATACCGTTTTGGTGTATTCGTCGTATATTCTTACCTCGGTTAGCCATTTGTTGGCGACGATCTGAACAATATGCTTCAATGAGCCTGTTTGAGCTGGAATTTCGGAAAAAAAAACAATATTTATTGCTTTGTAAAGTCTTACTTGGATCTTCTCACTTGTACAATCCAAGTTTCCAACCAGAGTTTCCGGCTCCTCTAGAAACTTAGATGATTCCAGTGTTGCCTTCATCGAAGAAGTTTCCTTTTCCGGTTTCGTCTGGCTGTTCGACACTTTTTCGGACAGTTGCTCTGTGTTCGGACAGTTGGACAGTGCTCAGTTGATCTTATGTACCTCTGAACAATCCCAGACACATTTCGTCATCATCTCTATGAACAATCTTGAACGAATCGTCCTTACTCCGTTCTTCAAAGTCGGAAAAATCTGTTTCTTCCGATTCCTCAAGGTCCGGTTCCGTCGATAGCGAATCATCCACAGATGGCCTAGCGTCGTCAATAATCGACTGAATCGTAACGCGTATCCTTTTCATTCTGCAAAAATTGAAAGAGAATTGTTCTAAAAATTAAGGCCAGCAAACGAGTGAGCATGAAAAACGAGTGAGCGATGATGCAATAAACAACAGAAGACGAGGAGAACATTTCAAAAATTGAGAAAAAAAAGTTGTTCCGCGGTGCGCAGAGATTGCATCATTTCTAATTAGATTGCATCATTTCTAATTAGATCCCAAAAACTCCTAATTAGATGTGAAAAGTCCAACTTCTAATTAGATTCGAATTTCTGTTTTCACATCTAATTAGATTTAAATTAAACCTGAAAAACTTCCAACTAGATCTGAAAATCATGCTTTCTTGAATTAGATGTGAATGAGTTCTAATTAAATCGCAATCCATTTACCAGAGTATTTTGATTCCTTCGGTTTAGATCCACCTCTAGAACTTCAAAAATATTTAAAAGGTGAAGATAAAAAATCATCAGTTGAATTCTCAACTTTTCAAATTCAGGAATTCGATACATATCATTGTGGTTATTACTGTTTACTACTTCTAAAGTTACTGGAACATTCCACATTTACACATTCAATTCTTTCTCTTCTTCACTAACGTGAATGCTTGCCCATTCCTTAGGATCTCCTATGTAAGGGGATTAAATCCATATGCATTTGTATCATATGAATTAGGAATGATAATTCGTTTGAAATATAGTAATTTTGATGCAGTATATTCATTGTCAAACACAACTTTCTCCTGTTCTTGAGTATATAGCTGTTGTTTGATACTTCGAATACAATATTGTTTCTTTCTAACAATAGTTTTATTAAATAGACTTTTTCTAAAATCTTCAACATTCAATGATTTTACAACATTTTTCTTTATTCCTTTACTTTTTTTAGATTCTTCTCCAGGTTTGGGTACCTTTGAAAGTTTAGGATTTTTTTGTTCTTCCTGAATTCTTTTTTTGTAATAATCTTTTAGGCTTTCACGTGTTTCTTCAGCAATTTTATATGCATATTGTTTGGGTTTCAAGGCTACAAGTTCTTCCATCATTAAACCATTTAATTCATCTTTGAATTTGCCAACAACTTTTTTTTATTTTCAACATTATACAAAGGATGGCAGGGTGGATATTCACTAAAATCGAAATTTCCATTACCAAAGTCTCTTAACTCTGGACAAAGCGGAAATTCATTATGCTTATGATGCAACTCATTTGGATATTCTAGGTCAACTTCTAGGATACATCCCTTTTCCTGTCTATTAACTGACAGCTTTCGACTGAAAACCACAATAAATCAAAAATGTGCCAAAAAGAGTGAATAGTACATGATCACTTTTCCACCAGATCTCTCGAGCGTTTCACGTAAATCGGCTGCTATTTCTTTGCTTGACAAATTCCTTGGCGAATTGTGAATTACTTGGCGACGTCTATCTCTGCAAAAGTAAATATAGAGCATTTCATACGATAATTTGTCACATACAGTAGATTAGCGACTGTTTCCTTTGTCATTCGAATCACTTTCGCTTCCAATTCTTCACACCATGGCTGATTGAAGCCACGGAGTAGGAAGTCTGAAAACAATTTGGACGCAAGATTGAGAAAGGGATAATAATCTGTTTCTTTATCCGTTCTTGTCAGTTTTTTGAAGTTTTCCTGAAAAATACGATTTCGTTTAGAAATGGTGGGGAGAAGAACATACATCGCAGATTTCGCGAGAAAACGGAGTTCCTGTCTCTTTGTTGTACAAATTAGCCATGCCAAATCCAATGGGATGCCAACGTCCATTTGAACTGCTCTCCGGCGGTCCATTTCGGTCACACTCTACTCCAGTTCTCAATTGCTCCCGGAGAGCTGTTATTGGTGCGAAATTGTGATGAAGAACTTCTGAGAGTTGGGAAGAGACGCCTACGCGAACGTATTTGACTAGAGGACCGCAACTGGAAATTATGTGAAATCAGCTTGCCAATAACATGTAACGAAACGGAAACAAACCAATTTTCTTGCCGCTCACACGATTTTCCGCACCGGTTACAAAAGTAATGCGTGGAATGAACAGTTCTTTAATGATTCCAAATTTGGTTTACATCCAAAACAAACTTGTCGCTGTGCACGGTCAAGAATCTCTCAAATTCTGAAAGAAATGACCGTAGATATTTGTTTAAAACTCTAGTGCACCTCTCTGTGATAACCTAGACATACACGCCGATAGCAGAAATTGAATAACGTTGTCGGGTGCTCTTCGAACGGCTTCTCGCAAATCTGCAGCATACAATCATAGAATGGCTCTACCCGAGCGTTTGCAATATTTTACCTTCATATGTGTCGGTCACTTCGTACTGTTCCTCGTGTCTGTGTAGCTCCTCTGCTTCGTATTGTCCGCGAAATAGGCCCATTTCGTCCTGTCGCCCATTCGTATTGTCCAGTCCATCTTCTGATTCGTATTGTTCATGCGCGATCGCCGATTCTTGTAAGACGGCTGAAGAGCCGTCACTCCGGTTACTGCAGTTGGCGTAGTTGCCGATGGTGCTCTCATTGCGCGTTTCTGAAAGTTAAAAAAAAATTGAACATTTTCAAGAATTATAACACTAACTTGTCAGAATGAGGCGTGCTCCTCGTCCAAAGTGCTTGTGAATGCATTTCGGCATGAATATAAATAAAGAAGTCAATGAAAAATTCCTGAAAATGAACGAAAATAGGAGAAAACACAAAAAAAATGAACGAAAATTAATGGGAAGAGCAAAATGCGTTCTCGGCCCCCGATTCTCGGCCCCCGCATATTGCATCCACGCGCGACCCACGCGCGACGCTCGAGAAACCGTCGCTCGGCGGCGAGCAACTGCTTCCCTCTCTTCTCATCCTTCACCCTGTTTTCCTTCTCTATCTTCTGAGAACAACTTAATTTTTACTAGGGCAGGGCTATTGGCCAGTCCGGGAACCACTTTGAACCACTATTCCGGGCTTTTCGGAAAAAATCGGCTAATGATCTACATATGTCGGGACCAGATGATCCGATCGGGCTGAAACTTGGTTCCAGTATACTTCAATCCATGTCCAAGAAGCCTGAAAAGTTTGGGTCCGATCGGAATATTGCAAGTGGTTCAAAGGTGAAGGGCCGACCAACGAAAAGCCGGTGCCGGCCAATTGCCTAGCCTTAATTTTTACCAAATCAGTCTGACAGATGCAGTTAATACTCATAATGATGTTCATCTGGACCTTCCGTAAAACCTACATTAGAACAGGTCCCATTACCGTACATTCAAGACCTTTTATCTCAGCTGCCCATGGAGATATGAAAAAATCGTAACAGAAAAAAATGCTCATTAAAACATTTCGTAAATTTCATCAGTTGACCACTTTTTGATATCTGTACAGCAAGTTGAGATATGCTCGGAACTCTGTGAATCCGTCTTGCTTGCAATAGCAGCAAATCAGCCGTTTCCGTTGGCGATGTTGGCATTATGCTTCCATAATGCATCCACGGCCAACGGCGAACACAGCCGCTCGAACTGATAAGGCATATTCCTTCCACGCGCGATCCGTGCGTTCTAGAGGACAGTAACGCATATTTTATGCACGCGCGAAGCAAATTCCCGTTTCTGTGCGCTGTGGATCCATAATGGATGCTATATGCATGCACCTCCACGGTTTCTCCACGGTGCTCGCATAATGCATGCCTCGCGTTTTACCTGTGCCTGCTGATACTGCTAGTAGGGGCTCGCACGACAAAATGCGCGCGTTCTCGCCAAGGAGAGCGACAGGCTAGAACAGAAAGGTCTAGAGATAGAGTACAAGTACATGTTCAATGTATAGCAGAAGACACTCCGGTCAGATTGAACGAGTCAACTGTTTTTGTAGCCTAGACAAATCCACGGAGCATTTTGTATGAAACTTTTATGAATGGGATACTATTGAAACTGGGATATACTCTACCCAGGGCCAGGACTAATGCGTTTTCTCCAGAGAACAAGCGTTCACTGTCTATCGCTACGAAACATCACTGAGAGAGTTTTTTGACAAGAGAAACCATCTAAGCAATATATTTTGTAAATCATGATCTGATTCGTGATGAATACACTGCATCGGCTATACTTCTGCTCGCAGATCTTCAGAATTGTCGCCTTCCACGCTCGGGCGTCGCCAGCAGAGGCATATCTGACACACGCGCGAAGCATATTACGCGCGAACACAACGACCGTTTCGCAGCTGTCCGAGACGTTCGACTTCTAGCAGTTCTCATTCTACAGCAGCTCGGAAATCTCAATTTGATATTCGATACTGGAATGGATTGACAGTCATCTTGAGGTATCATTTACAAGCTCTGATAAAAAATAAGTGTATTGCGATTCGACTCGGCCGGCCGGCGAATGTCCGGCTTGCACCTGGGAAATCAGGCGAGTTAAAGTGGCATTTGTTGGATTTTGACAGCGATTTCAATAAAGATCAAGAGAATTGATGTGAAAAAGCCAGAAAGCATAAAAATAAATGAAAGAAATACAAGATTACTTTTTCAGAATCCCTATAAAATGTATTCAGCTTCATCACACAACGAGCCGATTGGGCTGCCCTCTGGCATAGTAAGCACATTCGGACCCTTTCGAGTCCGAAGCGGAATCAAGCGGAAAGGCGATATTCATAAAAACTTTATTTCTTGAACTTAAAAACAAGCATAAAATTAGTATTGGGGTGCTAAAGTAATTACAAGGCATTTGAATCATTTGATGGAGAGATCGGGAGGGTGATGAGATGAATCAGGGTCATAATGAGATTGGAAGGATTTCATTGAGGTTTGATGATTTTTTAAGAAAATTACGAAATCCCTAGAAAACAAAGATAGATGATAGTTGACAAACAAAAACACAAAAAAACAAGGTAGAGAGAAGAAAGACTATGCCGCATTCTAGTTGGTACAGGGATTTACAGCACTTATTCAACATCACCTGTTGTTTTGTTTGGAAGCTGCAATAGCCATCTCAACGCTTTCCTCTCCGTTTGGATCGTTCTTTATCCCGTCCGTCTCTTTCGCTATTTCGTTGAGATCATTCAGAAAAGGAACCAGAAGAGGCACCTCTTCGGCAAAGACGGCTGGAAGATTCTCAGAAGTGTTCGAGTTGTTCCCTGTCGCCTCTCCCTTCTCATTCGAACCATTCGCGATCTCGTTGGCGGTCTCGTTCACATGCGCCATTGGCAAATCCTTGGACGATTTGTGATGTTTGTTTGCCACAAGTGCCTGTAATGAGAACGAACTGTAAGATTGCAATGATATAGAAATACTCACAAAAACCAAAGTGACGGCAACAATAGATGTCATCACCACGACCACAAAGAGAGCTACGAATGGGTTTGCCGAGAATGAGCCGCTCAAGATGTTCGTGGGAGTCGCTTGCACATGATGCACAGTCGGCCAGATGGTTTCGGTGACGTTGCCGATGGCGTACTGACACGAGTCACTCATGTCTTCAATGTCCCCGAGACAGATCGCCAGTTGGATGGAACAGTCGCTCTTCACGTACTCCACGCAGTACTCGTACTTGAATCCGCACGAAGAGACAACAGCTGCAAATCCTGTACATGTGCTTAGTAAAAGATCAAACGGTAAGACTCACTTCTCACTTTTCCGCACTCTTTTGAGACGTAGTCGAAGTAGTCGCGCATTCGGAGAGAGGATTTCTCGGAAGCCTCCAGCACAAAGATGGCATTTTTAGTATCTGAGATTGTGAATGGTTGGAGAGATTTGGAAGATGAAATTTACCTCGCTTTGTCATGGATCCATTCAAAAATCCTTGAAAACCACGATTGAACTTGCCTCCGACACTTGCCGAAGAGCTTTCTCCATCTGAAAGTGCTAACATTCATGCTCAATTTCTATATAATAGAAACGATGCTCACGGAATTCGGCAGCTTCTTTGAAGAATTGTTCCGCTCGGATGGGAAGTACAGATTCGATCGCGTTTACGAACATCTTGCAGCTCACTTTCTTCGAGTCCATCGTCGACAACGTCCTCTGAATTCATGATTCGAACAGTTACCCCATATACATTCAAATACCCGCATGCTTTCAAAGTAATCAGTATCGCATTGATCCCGTGGCAGTTGCTGGTCGTAGCAGTTCAGATGAACGGCACTCAGGTGATTGAAGTCCACTGAAATCATTCTTTCTGCGGCTTGCAATGATTTGCTCAACTTACAGGCCGCTTTTTCGCAAGCCTCGTTTGCGACAACTCGAAAGATGACTTTTCCCACTGCGCCAAACTCTGTGCCAGGGTACCAAAACTCATATGGGATGTGCATGTTTGAAGTTGTTTTTGCGTCCACTGAAACAAAAAGTGAGATGAAATGATGAGAGGAGGAATCGTACCAGCTTCCATGGCCTTCTCAAACGCCACCTTTGCCGTTTGACATCCTTTGGAACGAAGCATTGAAGACTCGACTGCTTGGATGGTCAAATAAGGCTACAATTCAACGGATCAGGCTACAAATGATGCTGCCGGAACTGACCAAGATCGAATCGAACACTTCGTCCGTCAGGTTCAGCTTTTTCTTCAACTTGCTAACCTCCAGTCTAACCTTCGTCTCGACCAAGCACTGCTTCTGCATTACCATGAATGGCTCGGACAGTGGGTCTAAATTCTTCCTGATTCTTGCTCTCACAGGAGCTGTCTGCTTCTCAACGACTTCCTTGCGGTAGGCTCCTCCAAATTTCCAAGCAGCGAAACACAAGTTGTCCATATGCTGATCACACATTCCCCTCGATTCGCCAGTCTTCGGACCAGCATCCTGAAATATTGTTGTGTTAGATGATGCCGTCACACACGTTTTTGGCACACTGATCGTACCTGAAGACATTGACAAAATTGTTTATTGCACTCCTCGAGAGGTCTTATTTGTCCGTGGCAGTCCTCACTCTTCGATTGACAATAGTCCAATGCTTTTGTGTGCATCGGACAAGTACGGTACAGTTCCTTCAGGGAAATGTCCGTTGGCATCAGGAGACCAAGACTGAAAACGTTTGTGTAAAAAGGTTGATCGAAGGAACGGTCTGAAAAAAGAAAAACAAACCTGTGGATATGAAGATGGCCACGAGCAAAACCAATGACAGTGCCATCGCTGAAAAATGAATCGATTATAAGTAATCAAAGTGCTTGTTTTTTGATTACACAACGAAAGCAATAAGAAAACTTTCTGCAAAACATTGACCTGCACATCAAACTGCCCGATAGTGTCACAAATTGAAAAGTCATACACCATTGGCGCCAACTGATTTCTGAGCGCGATTTCATGAACCGATGAGGGACGGAGAGAAAGAGAGAAACGCAGAGAACCGATGACTCATTGTTTCCAAAGGGTTGGAGGGTACACTATAAAAACAGAAATGGTGTTGACTGATAGGATCTCGGTTTGACTTCGAGTGTTCAAAGAGTTGAAAGTGTGAACATGTTATGCACAAACGGCCATTTTGGAATTGATTGTGAAAATGAATGTGCTCAAAAAATTGTATGCTGTCTTTTGGTTTTTTTTTATAAGAGCTTGATTACATGCAGTTCCGAAACAATAATCATTGATTCCTTAAACCACTTTTTGAATTCTGGCTCCTCTGACTTTCATGACCTTTCAAACGTTTTTCTGCAAACAGAAAGAGAGCAGAGAAACAAATACATGCAAATACTTCGATTGAGGAGGGCAATCACGAGTTATAAACACAAAGAGAGAGAGAGAGAATGAGAAAAAGAGTGAAAGAAAGGGATGGGACACCCTCCGGTTCGCAACGTTTCCGTCGTGCCCATTAATCAATTGACCCCAACATCAATATGATGATATCAACCGAAGTGACGTTGTTTTGCAGAGTTGAGAGCGCAAACTGAGCGTCTGATAAATTGTTTTTAGAAATTGATGGGCGCGAAAAGAGTGGAAAAAGGAACAATTGACGCGATAGCAAGGTGAGACGTTCGTCCTTGAAATGTTTGTTAGTCACGGGTCCTTGGCACGCTGCCAACTCTCAGGCTTACAATATTTCACCATGGATCACTTTTATTATATTATCAAGATCATCAGCAAAAAGGACGACGTTCAAGGAATGGCAGTAACTATAAATAAATGCAAGTACAACTACAATAGTTCTCCTGCGGGGATCTTTTCCTCGTAAGTATAGTACGCTCTTTCAGTTCTTCTCCGATACCAAATGAAAATGAAAACAGAGACAAGGAGAAGGAGTGTGATTGAGCCGACGAGGAGCAAAAGTTGAACTGCTCCGTTCGCCCACAAGGAAGATTCCGAAAAGGACAGACATGGGCTGTCATCAGGAGAATAGAAGTAGACACTGCGCAGAGATTTAAAATTTTCTATCCATGACATGAATGGAAGACATTCATTGTTCAGAGATTCGGAACTGTTTGTGATCAACACCTGGAATGTCCAATGAGCATTGAAGAGAGTACAAACGAAGAGGGGGTACTCACATTGTTACACGCATCCCAAAAACTGCTACATCTTTCCGTGTTCCGATATTTTTGATAACATTCTCTGTGATGCTTGCAGCAAGTATTATATCCTTCTGAAATGCTAGTTCAAAAATGATTTAGGGTGAGATAGACGAAAAACCTTTAAGCCAAAGGCATCCCATTCCAACGACGATTTGAGTTGTGTACGTGTCGAATTGGTTCATTCCGCACTTCCAGGAGCCTCTTCCCTCCACTTTCCTGATTCGATTCGCGTAGGGCGGCTGCGTTTCTGAAACATTCCGAGTATTTATTTGCGTAAGCTCCTTATTATTAGTTCTCTTTACTTTTCTCGAAACTACTCAAAAGGACGCCGATGCTCTGTTTGCATTCCAAGCCGTCCAAATTCATTTCCATACACATTCGCAGCTCAAAAACGCTCAGGATCGTATTCGTTCTTTTTTGGAAATAATTGTGGAGACATGAAGAGAAAGTTCGTCTCTTGTCTGGACACTTGTTGTAGACTTGACGGACCAACGGAGAGTCATTGCCGCTCAGAGAAATTTCAGGGAGAATGAAGTTGGCGGGCAAAGGAGAATTGTAGTCAATGTGATCTTTCATTTCAGACGGGAAGCGCCGACATTGCTGGAAGTCAGCCGGACTGGCAGAAGACAGAACGTTCTGAAAAAAAAAGATGGAAAAAGCATAGAAGCTATAAGTTATAACACAGTTAAAACACACATTATATGTTGCTTCCGCTAATAGTTTTGAGAAACGTCCTGCCCTAAGGACCCCTATTTCATGACGAAAGACTATTTATTTCTATCTGCGTCTCCGGTTATTGGACCAACACAACTAACCTGGTTACATCCGTAATATTGCTTGTTACAGTACGTCTCTCCCTTCTTCTCTTCAATACAATCATTCCAAACTGCACAGCAAACATTCAGATCTTTCATGAGACTTGGACATTTTTCCGGAGGATTTCTTTCGAAAACGCGGAAGACAACGAGTGACACTGCCACTCGGATCCATTAAATTCGGGAATAACGGTTGAATCGTGAAGGCTAAAGTCGTCTGGAAGTTTTAGAACTTGTAGCAATGCGAGTGTGGCGAGGTACATAATAGCGGAATATCGGGGACGGTGACGAGCAACCTCCCGGACTTGCTATCACGCAGAGAATGGGCGGGCACAGGAAGTAACGGACTGGCCACTGATAAAGAGGAGCAAACATCCTTTCCTCTTCGAAGGGAAGTAATTTGGCTGATAAACGCAAGAGACGAAAACAAACGAGCACGCTGGAAGAAAAAGTGACGTCTGATTGAATCTGGACAATTGCACTACTACCAGTTTTGATTATCCACCTTGAAAGTTTCAGACCGATTGATTGGATTACCAGATCTGAAAATACACTGCCTGAAATGGAAAAAGAAACGTTTACTCATTTCGGGAACATATTAGTAGTGCCTATTGTGAATAAGAAAGATTGAAGAGGTGCTCATAAAAATGCAGAATGAAAAGAGCAGGCACATTTCCCATTCAGCATGCTCATCAGAAGTCACCCCTCCCTCTCTCTCTCTCTCTCTCTCTCTCTCTCTGCTCTTCTCATTGATGATAGGAATTCGTGTGTGTTGGTTGGCTGATGTTCATTGAGCAATTCGATAGTGTTCGCATTTCGTGTCCCCAAAAACCGCACAACTTCTTTATTCCTGCTCGATTCTGGAGCATTCAGGTTCAGTTTCGGTGGCACTTTGGCTCTTTTATTGCATTTCAGATCTCTCTCCTCTTCTTCTTCATCTTCTTCTGTTTTTCAAACGCCCCAACTTCCTGGTATTTACTCCTTTCCCCGCTTTTCCATCCAAACTTTATGCGCGGTGCGTCGTGCCGAAATCCACGGTCGTTTCTCTCGTCTCTCAATTTACGAGCTTCGTCAAAACGGAGCCCCGTCTCTCCAATTTGGGAGATGGACGGCACGATAAAGTCGACGGCTTCAGGGGGCGACGTCTTCAATCATTTCAAGTGGCGGCGTTCCGTCGTGATCCTGTTTCCCTTCTTTCTATTATCTCTTTGCGACAACCTGCCATCCTTTTGTTATCTTTGTGTCATCGTCTCATTTGAAAGTGATTCTTTTGAATTCCTTACCTCTTTTTTATGATTCAAAGAAATAATGTCAAGTATTGTCAAAGTTCCAGATATTAAACTATTTGTGACTATAAAAAGAGAAATTTGCAGATGGCAGAAGACGTCCTTTCTCCCAAAACATTCCCCTCCCGAACATTTAGTATCATTCTCTTTCTTCCCGGGAAAGAAAGTTTTTGCCCACTTCCAAAGGTGTTTCCCTTGGTCGACGGCTCTGTTTTATTATGCATTAGCCATGAGGAGCGGGTACTTTGGACACGCGAGGCACCCCCGCCGCCTTCTCCCGGCTCCCGACCCTCTTGGCTCCAAACTCTGAGCCTCTCCCGATGCCATACCGGCTATTCTGGTTCAGACGAATCAAACGGGCTCCGTAATTAGTGACCATCCAGCGTCCGTTAAGCCCCTTTTCAAACAGATTTTGCCTCGTTCCTCCGGCGGTCATTCCACTCCGTTTTCGTTTATTTTGGTTTTCGGAGCCTCTGAGAACCAGAGACAATAGGCCGGCTTCAGATGCCATTTGCACACCTTATTCCTTTATGAATTCGCAGTTTTCCTGTTTTCATACATGTCCGTCCGTCATCAGATTCATTTCATTTTCTCAAAAGGGTCTAGAAACAATAGAACCGGACCCGTATTACTGTAATGAATACATGTATTATCATTGCGTGCGCGGGACTTTTGTTTCAATTCTTTTATTTGTTCGCTTCACAGTATCATAGTTTCCATTTTTCGTCCCACTCTCGTTCCATTTCAGAGTTAGCATGAAATACCGTCTACTTACTAACGTATTACTAGTACTAACCACTTGGAACCTTGCCAGTTCTTTTCCAATGTGAGTACGGTAGCAAATGAAGTTCAACATCAAGAAGTTGATTAGAACGTGTTTGCTCTGAGACTCGAAATGATGATAGTTGTCATCGGTCCCTTTCAGAAGTGATTCGGCGGAACTTGCAAACCAATCCTACCGTCTTCCCACCAGCATTTCCCCTATTCACTATGACCTCGAGATCAAAACGTTTCTGCCGGGATACGGATGGAATTCAGACGCCGAGAAGAATCTGACATTCTCCGGAACCGTCGTGATCACCGCAGATGTCAATGATATAACCGATCGGATTGTTCTGAACTCGGATTCCCTCAATATCAGTTCGGCTCAAGTTGTTTCCGTATGCATCAAAATCAAGAGGAACAAATTCCAATGCATTCATTTGTAGGAGAACTCAAATGTGAAAGTGTCATCGGTGGAAGTGATCAAGGAATCTCAGTTTGTCATCTTGCATTTGTCTGATAGTATCGAACCACAAGAGGGAATCGCTATTCGTCTGGACTTTGAAGGAAAGTTGCGAAATGACAATAAAGGATATTATATTACAAGATCCACAAAAACGGATGGAGATGCGATGTAAGCAAAGTGTTTTTCATACCGGATATTTCATTAGTGCTTGTACAGATTTAACGTAGTAACCCAGTTCGAGACAACTGACGCCCGCTACATGATTCCATGTTTCGACGAGCCAGAGTTCAAAGCCACGTGGCAAGTGACTCTCATCTATCCGAGTAACTCTACTGCTCTGACTAATACGATCGAACAAGAGACGACGCAACTGTCGGACGAGTGGGTCATGACGGAATACAAAAAGACGGTCAAGATGTCATCGTACCTACTGGCCGTGTTTATTGGTGACGTTGCGTACAAAGAGGCCATAACTGACAAAGGACTTCGGGTTAGAACAGATATGGTGCATCGGCTATGAAAAACACGAGAACGTTTCTAGATTCGAGTATACACGAGTCCGAACAAAGTGAATCAGATCGATCACGCATTGGAAGTGAGCAAAATCACTGTGGAGGGATTTGAAAAACAGTTTGGGATCGACTTTCCGATGGAGAAAATCGACTTTGTCTCGGCACAACAGTTCGCAGCAGGAGCCATGGAAAACTGGGGATTGATCGTACACAAGTCAGTTTTACCTGAATTGAACACCTTGGGACAATACGTGTTTTCAGAAATCCTTATCTGGTTGGAAATAATTCTCAAATCACAACGACGGTGATCCACGAGCTCGCTCATCAGTGGTTCGGTAACTTGGTGACAATGGAGTTCTGGGATCAGGTGTGGCTGAACGAAGCATTTGCGACGTACATGACTGCCTGGGGTTTCACCTACTTGTTCCCTGGCTTTGATCGAAATTTCGTGAGTGTAACGGTTTGAAACCAAGCAGATAATTCAAATGTTTCAGTGGATAACTAATTCTCAACAGAAACGTGCATTTTACGTGGACAACACCGTCGCACTGACCGATTTGAGCCGTGCTTCCAATGGAGTCATCGAGATTTTATCAATCAACTACACCAAGGGAAGCTCTTTCGTTCGGATGATCGAAGAGCTCATAGGTGTCGACGCATTCAACAAGGCAATCCGCTATTATTTGAGAAAGAACAAGTACGACAATGCCGACGCATCCGACCTTTTCGCCGCTTTCCAAACATTCATGCCGTTCAATCTAACTGGTCCCGACGGAAAACCGCTGCAGTTGGAAGAGTTTGCAGAGTGCTGGACTCTTCAAAACGGACATCCGACCATTTACGTGGAGCAAATCGACGACGGAAAAGTTGTATTGACTCAAAAGATGAATGTGGAAATTGCGAGAGGATTCGAGGACCGCAACACGTGCGGATATAAATGGGACGTTCCAATTTGGTATCAAGAAGGTGGAAGTGATGAAGTGAAGCTGACCTGGTTGGCAAGGAACGAGCACAGCATTGAACTGGACGCTGCTTTTCCTGTGATCATAAATGCAGACTCAAATGGTTTCTATCAAGTCGTTTATGACAAAACGTTGTACGGACAGATTGCCGATCAGTTGACAGCGTGCAATAAGGTACTTTCTAGTTATCGTGTTCAAAGGCAATCTTTTTCACAATTCCGACAGAACTACTCGGACAGCACCAAATTCCGTCTCCTCCATGATTCGGGACACTTTGCCGGACAAAGAAAAGTTGAATTTGGTAGCTACATCGATATTGCGAGAGCATTGATCAACGACACGAACCCGATCATTCGTCAAGAGGCAATTGTCAGCCTCTGGAACTTCTATGATTGGTTATCCAGTCAAGTTGAAGTGGATAAGAAAGGTGTTGATCTGGCAAAGGTTTGAATTCGTCTCAAAACGCCGAATTACTGAATGCAGAATTTCTAGGACGCCATTCCGGAGCAAGATGAAACTAGAGGATTTTTCGATGATTGTGGCCCCAATGATGATTTCTTCAAGTGCTTCGAAATCAAAGGAATCGAAAACAACATAATGTATACTTGCAACGTCCTGAAAACGGACAAGCATCTTCCGGAAGTTCGTATCCTCGAGTGGCTGAAACAAGAAAAAGACACAGACATCAGATTGCCCTTAATCCAATTTTTAGGATGTGCGAACGTGGAAACTCTGAAAAGGTACATTTAGTTACTGTCATTGAAAATCATAAAGTATTCAGCATTCGTGGCGATCAAACATACAATTGGACCGATGAAGACACAAAAACCTATGAGCAGTTCACGAATCCAGAAAGCCAAGCAACAATGAACGGAAATCTGCGGTCTCAAGAAAAGGATTCCGTCATTCGTTTTTCTCGACTAACATTGTTTAACTCTTTCCTCATTTCTTCATCTAATCCTTCCGGTGCTCAAATCTGAGGGTTCCATTCATTATCGGTTATTGTAGTCATTTCACTAAAAATGAATTACTTCTATAACATATCTCAATCCTCCTTACTAATAATAACTCTTCCAAAAATGCATTCTCCTAGTCGGAGAGGCAAAGATCGCTCTCCTCTTTTTCGTATGAATGTGAAATTCTCGTGTGCCTCAGCCGGGGGCCATTCCATAAAAAAATGATTGTGGGGTGGTGTCGAAAAGCGCTTTCCCTCCCTGAAATTCGTGTTTTCCGCCGACCAGAAACAGCCCCTAATCCTCTTATTTTTTCGTTGACCGTACGGCACCACTTCATGCCGAGTTTCCACTGTTTTTTGCTAAACTCCTTCACGTCGTTTTCTTTTTCTTTGCGTCTCTTCCTCTATCGTCACGTTCTCTCCCTTATCATTTCTATTATTACTTGTTCGGACGTGTCCTCCATGCTTCCTCTCGTTCCGACTACGGCTCATTCTCACAGGTCTCTGATCATTCGTACTCTTGTACTTTTTATGATCTCCGCAACACGTTTACTCCTTTAGATGGGACATCCCCCGCCAAAAGACGAGAAGAAACGGTGTGAGGTGAGAGCAATCGCCCTGCCGACGTTCTGCACTTTGCTCGGAATCGTTATCACTGCGTTCATCACATGGCACATTGCCAGGTCCATTTATGCCCCCAAAAACAAGTGAGTTACGCCTAGTGATAAAGAAAAAGGGAAGAAAGATTCAGATATGATGCTCCAGAAGCGAAGCACGTCGAAACGGGACCATCGGCCGCCGATCTTCGGTTGCCCACTTCAGTTGAACCCATCAGTTACGAGTTGGCCATCAAAACCTATCTGCCAGGGTTCGAATACAAAGCGGCCGACAATAAAAGTTTGACATTCGAAGGACAAGTGAGTTAGAACAACATCTACAGTAATCCTGTGGTGTTTGCCAACGCTTACGGCCGCCAATCCTTTGTTTTGCAGGTGACCATCGAACTGAACATTACACAATCCATCAGGAAAATAACGCTAAACTCTGTCGATTTAACATACAATGACACGATCTGCACGCTTAACGTTGATGGCAAAGAGATTCCGATCCGAGTGGAGCCGCATCCGGACTTTGAGAAGGTCTTCTTCCACCTGAATTCCGCCGTGGGACCAACCTCAAATGCCACGTTGAAGGTGACGAGTTTTCACCCTTCATATCCTTCTAGCTCCTCGTTTTCAGATCGGTTACAGTGGACGTCTTCGTACTGACATGACTGGTCTCTATCAGACAACCTATACGAACAGCAAGGGAGAGAAGAAGATGGCGGCAGTGACCCAGATGGAGCCGATCTACGCCCGACGCATGGTCCCTTGCTTCGATGAGCCCGCTTTCAAAGCCACGTGGAAAGTGACTGTGATCCATCCGAAAGGAACGAAGGCAGTGGCCAACGGAATCGAGGAGGAGCCCACGCAGATTCAGGACGACTTCATCAGCTCGAGTTTCAAGACGACGCCGAGAATGTCGTCGTACCTGCTGGCCATCTTCATTTCCGAGTTTGAGTATAACGAAGCAATGACCAAATCGGGAGTCAGAGTGAGTGATAGACACGAAAAACGAACATTTCCCTCGTTTTTTTTCAGTTCCGTGTTTGGTCGAGGCCTGAAGAGAAGAACTCGACGTTGTACGCAGTGACCGCTGGAGTGAAATGTCTCGAATTCTACGAAAAGTACTACAACGTCTCGTTCCCGCTTGAGAAGCAGGACATGGTCGCATTGCCAGACTTCTCGGCAGGAGCCATGGAGAACTGGGGTCTCATCACTTATCGGTGAGCTCTCTTTGAGGTGATTAAACTATCCGATATCGCTTCAGTGAGAACTCTCTGCTCTACGATCCGCGAATCTATCCGGGAGGTCAGAAACGTCGTGTCGCCGTCGTCATTGCGCACGAATTGGCTCATCAATGGTTCGGAAACCTGGTCACCTTGAAGTGGTGGAATGATTTGTGGCTGAACGAGGGATTTGCTACACTCGTAGAGTACCTCGGAACGGACGAGATCAGCGACAAGAACTTCAAAATGGAGGAGTGGTTCAGAATGGATGCCCTCTGGATCGCCCTTGACGCCGACTCAGTTGCCTCCTCTCATCCGATGACGTTCCAAATTGACAAGGCCATCGAAGTAATGGACTCGTTCGACAGTGTCACTTACGACAAGGGAGGATCCGTGCTCGCAATGATTCGGAAGACCATCGGAGAGCAAGTGTTCAACGAGGGAATCAATCACTACCTTCGTCTTCATCAGTACGAAAACGCGCAAGCTTCTGACTTGTTCTCGGCTCTCGCGGAAAAGATGCCGGACAGTGTGCTCGGACCGGACGGAAAGAAGCTGAATGTCACTGCGTTCGCGGATCCGTGGACGAAGCAGATGGGGTATCCACTTCTGAAGGCAACTCGACTGAATGACACTGCAATTCAAGTGGAACAGGAGAGATTCAAGGTGCTGAAATCGGCGAAGGAAGAGGAAAAGTACAGTCACCCGAAGTGGGGGTGAGTGAATTCATTTCAATGCGAATTGAGACCGGGTTACTTTCAGATTCAAATGGGACGTTCCCGTTTGGTACCAAGTCGTAGGATCGAAGAACATCACAATGAAATGGATGCAGATGAACGAGCCGCTGATAATCCATTCGGACAAGCCGATCATTTTGAACGCGGAGTCGCACGGATTTTACAGAGCCGGCTACACGGATGACATGTGGAATGAGATCATCGACCTAGTCCTGGAAGACCACACCCAGTTCTCGCCGCTCACTCGAATTCGTCTCATCGACGACGCGTTCGCCGAGGCTATCGCCGGAGTGCTCAACTACAGTATCCCATTAAGACTGATAACTTACTTGACGAAGGAGAGCGATTATATTCCGTGGGCGGCCACTCGGACCAAGTTCGGCGTGCTGGTGGATATGTACGGAACGGACCCGGAAAAGGATATTGTGCAAGACTTCCTTATGTCTCTGGGAGCAAAAACACCGGCGAAGAGGAGCATTGAATTTGTCTCGAAGAACTATTTGGACGACACTAAATTCTTTGAAGTGTAAGTGAAACGAATACTGTTGAAGGGCGATCGAAGCTGTGTTTTCAGCCTCGGAGCTCAAGGAATCATCGCGAATGACTGTGAGATGGGAGACAGTCAGTGCAGTACCAACATGGCGAAAATGTTCAACGAAGAAGTAATTGGAAAGTGCGATAAGGATAGAATACTCTCAGAGTGCTCCCAGTTAGTGTTTCAAGATTTTCAAGAGTTCCCATCGTTCTTCTTTTCAGAATCTCAGCTCCGTTCCGCGCCGACGCCTATTGTCAAGCTGTGAGAAATGGAGATGAGCAGATATTCGATAAGGTGTTCCACTGGTACAAAAACGAGCGAAACCAGGTCGAGAAGGGGAATCTGATGGGTGCGTTGGCGTGCTCCAAAGACATATTGACGCTGAAAAAGTGAGAAAAGGGATAAGTGTGATCTGCATTGAATACTGGATGCTTTAAGATTGTTGCTAGATGCGATGAACCCGAATAACTCGTCGTTCCGTCTTCAAGATTGCGGTTCTCTGTTCCAGAAAGTCTGTGGAAATGACGCCGCCGCTGATTCGATGCTCAGTTTCATGATTGACAGATGGGCCGATCTCAAGGAAAGGTGAGCTTCGTCCCGCCACACTTTTCCTCCTATTCCAACCCGTTCTTGCAGACTCGGCAAGGATCGCAGCGGGTTCCATCGCATCCTGATGTCCATCGTCGGCACAATCAAGAACCAGCAGGGACTGGACCAACTGAGAGAGTTCCAGCAATCGGATGGGTACTTGAACACGAAGAAGGCGGACGAGGACTACGGTTTCCGAAAGATGGAGGAGTCCGCGGAGGTGACCATCGCTTGGCGGCAGATCAATCTGAAGTTCGTCACCCAGAAGGCCGCGGAGCTCGCAAAGAAAATCTGAATTCACGGGACATTCCTTCCTCTATTTATTCGCTTTTCACATATTCTGCCTCGTTCACCACTTATCACTCGCCCAGACTTCTATTCACCGCTTCCAGACTTTTCCTTTCCGTGTACATTCTCGAGCCGGACGTGCTGACGAACCATCTCGGTGTCGCCACGTTCGCACACTTTGCTTTCCGTTTCTGCCATTCTCCATTATTTTCTACGAAAATTCCCTATTTTCAATTATTCTTTATTCGTGTTTCTTTTGTACATTGAGAGATCATTATAAAAAGATAATTCTGTGCATGAATAGAATAAGGATTGGTATAAGAATTGTGAGTTGGCACACGGAGCATCTCGCGTCCATTTCGGTCAGACACGCGGCATCCAGGAAGTCCAGACGACGTTCTATGTTCGCCGCAGCGCCTGTTTCGAAATAATTCACTGCCGGAGCTTCTCATTTTCAGTTCTTACCGCAGGCGGCCGCTCCGCCGCTCAGTCCGCAAGCCTGAATCATCTGTTGTCGCACACAGTCGGTCACGTCGAGAGCCGACCTGCAACGGTATTCTCATCGCCCTCTGAACGCCGTTCGATTCCAGCATGGGGCACCGAAACTTTCGGACAAACTCACGGGCAAACGTTCTGATCTATTGTGAGACTAGACTGGCCGCACTGCTGCATTCTGTTTGTCAGCGGAACTTGTTCGAAGGATCTTTGAAGACAATCAATGTTCCGCATGAACAGCTCGTTTCCAGTTCCACACGCGAACTCGAAGAATGCGTGATTCTGCAGATACGCGAGCGCTTCGGCTTGTGTGTTTCTTCTAAACATGAACTTGAATTTTTTAGATTTGGCAAGGGACGAACGCATTCACGTAAGAGTAGAACGTCTCAAAGTTGACACAATAGGTGGAAGCAGAGCCCAGACAGCTGGTGAGCTCTTGAAAATCTCTGAAATGATAGATTTCGGGTGGAAGAGCAGATGAGGACAATACTTGCAAATAACGGGTAATCCGTGGGTCATCATCTGGTTCTTCAGGAATTCGAAACGTGGCAAATAACCGTCGTCAGGAACTACTCCATACTTACCCAAATACGAAATGTAACACGTGTACAGGGTCTGAAAACAATCATGAGCCTTTCTTAATCTTGCTTGAAAAGTTTCAGCTTTTTTTACCTGCGGAGTGGTGCATTGTCCATGAGCCAATTCAAATGATGAGAACAGAATAACCACAACGAGTAACATTTCAAGAGTGACTCAAAATGGTAAACTGACAAATATTTCGAGTGCAAAATCGACCCGAACCGGTTCACTTTTCTGTTTTTTTACTCGGTAAGTTCAGCCCCAATTGAATGGAAATGTGAGTCAGAAAGAGGGACGAAACCAACAACGAATCAAGTGGTAACCAAGAGGAATTCCTTTTGACGAGTGACCATCCGTGGTCAAACACGGATGAGTCAGGGGGTGTAAACAGTGTGGGGAATGGTGTACGCTTGGATCAAAGTAGTAAGAATCCATACGGAATGGCAACGAAGTAGAACAGTTTATTGATGATAGACAAACATACGTTATCAATTATTATTATTAAGATTACTTTGAGACTGTCAGATGTGAAGCCTGACGTTATCCCTGTAGAATTGTGCTCTTATTTGATTGTCCTCCTCTTCGAGTTCACTCTTTCTCGATAAAATCATGCGGAGATTTCCACGCCGAGCAGCCAACACTCTCGCATTTCTCTCCGCACCTGCTACCCTAATGCGTCTGCGACACTCAGTTTCCGCCGCGGAAACTTTTCTCATAGTCAACAATACGTCCATGTGTCTGTAGCTCATTTGGACGACTCTCATCATGAGCGGGTTTGCTTCCATCATTTCTTTTGAAGAGTACGCTTGGAAATGGAATATGTTGTTCTTCAGTCGGACGGACGCGTAAGTGTACTTCTTGTGCTCCGATCTCCGTCTCGACTGCCTGAAAATCGAAACATCACTAATCACACTTTTAAATTCATTCGCGGAAGAGCGGCAATGCCAGAATTCCGAATAGACTTACAGAAAGTAAAACTTCCTTTTCCACACACAAACGACCACGCCCAGTAGTCGACTGACATCCGTTGTCTCTTTCATCACAATCGAAATGTTCCGCACGACGTCGTACTTACTGTTCGACCAGTACGAAATGAACGTTTTGATCGACGCGTTATCGAGAACAGTGTCGCCCAGGATGATATTCTCCGAATCTCTGATAGTCAGAAGGTCTTTTTCTTCGACCCATCGAGCATTCAAATACGCCACGTTTTGAATTTGAAGGGCTGAAATCAGAAAACTGTTGTGAAAACAGTCATTGACAAGAACAAGCTGACATGTCTGCTGCTGAAGAGAAAGTCCACTTTGGCAGTGACACGGAAATGTTTCACAGAAAGATTATCGATCAGATGGTTCAAAACGTCCGACGGAATGGGCTTCGAACCACCAATGTCCACGTAATCGCTGTGTGTGAACAGAGGATCCGACAGCAGTCGTTCGAGATTTCCCGGTTTCAGTTTGTCCCAGTGTACGCCCCACGCGATGGACTTGGTTGGAAATACGTCAAGCAGAAAGTTAAGAGGCGAAATGGGCTGCAATTAAAGTTGAAGCGAATGGAAGGAGGGATAACAGGGAAAAAACCGGCCCTGGCAAAAGCTCGTAGACTTTTCGAGGCCTGAACTTTGTGAGACCGCAAGAACGCATAAACGGGCTGAGAAGCCGGCAAGTTTGGGTCCGATCGGATTATTGCAGCCGAGTCAAAAGTTCACGCCTCAGAAAACCGGGGCCGGCCTTTCTCCGAGCCATGGGGTATCAAGAAAACGCGAACCTCATATTTTTTCTCGGGCGGTCCTTGAGATATACGCTAGTCTCTTCGCGACGATTCAAGTCCATTATCAATTGAATTGATGGTTGCGCGTTCTCCACACGAAAAATGTACCTCTCCACCTTCAGCTTCAATGCTTTTATCCGTTTAGCGACCTGAGTGGAAGTCAGCGCCAAGTGCACTCTGAAAAGGATAATAATCAAAAACTGAAAGTGTTTGTGATCACTCACTTTTCCCGATTCTCCATTTCCTCGAAGATCTTTTTGAATGGAAGATACGGGAGAGACATGAGCATAAAAGACGACATTTCCGAGTTCGACTCGAAGAGCGCTGGCTGAGCGCAACTGAGAAGACGGGGCGAATGGGCAATGATCGCTTTGACCCTATGGGGCGCGCGAAAATCGAGGGTGCAGATGGTACGAGGAACAAAATAATGGGGAGAGATCAAAAATAACATTTGAGAGAATCGATTGGTTCTTTTTATTTGAAAAAATTTATCAAAGTAATACAAAGTTAGCAATAGTTGACCGGATATCAATGAAACATAGATCTTTATGGGAGCGAAGTCCACGGATTGGCGGTTAGTTTCGCTGCCAACTCATCATTCTTGATGTTAGTCTTGAGAACGATCGGACTCCACCGACTGGAATCGAGGTCGAGGAAGAACTGATCCGTGTCGATCATCACTCGTTTGTTGGAGATTTGTGGACGGTATTTCGTTGCTGAAAATAACATTTTGTTCGAACGATTCTTCAGAGTGAACCAACTTAGCAAATCGAGTCCGATGATTGGATCGAGTTCCGGATCATCGGGAAAGGGTCCCCACGGATGGTCCGTTCCGTAAATATTCTTGTCGACGGCCACTATCACCGGATTGCCGAACGCATCGAACATCTGCGTCTGCTGGGGGACTGCCGTGCCATTTCGATACTGAAAACATGTCAATTTCTTTCGAACTAACCCTTTGATTGCTCACCAGACTCGATTTCTCTTCGCGACGCCTCTCTCCCCTAGGTTTGTATCCACCGCCCTCGCCCCGGTCCAGTCTCTCTCCTCGTGGACCAGCCAATTTGATGATGATCCGCCCACTTCCGACTCTTGTTCGATGCATTTCGACCAGTGCCATTTGCTGATCAGTCTGATTCCCGAAGCGAATATAGCCGGTTCCTTTCGAGGATCCATCGACGAATCGGAACATTTTGGCTCCTCGGCACGAGTAGTATTTGTCGAAGACGCGGTACAACTCGGCATCGGACATGTCGTGCGGCACATTCGAAACGTGGAGGTTGAATTCAGAATTGCTGAAATAATTAATGAGATACCGGTGATTTTTTTCTTTATAGAACTTACGGATTGTAACTGTCGTTGGCAAAGCACAAATTGAAGCGGATCTCTTGAATCCGGGCACTTTCACTCCGTTCAAATCGTACAGAGTTTGACGAGCCTCTTCGAAACTTAGAAATTCGATGAAACAGTAGCCTTTTAGCTGAAAACGGTGCAGTTTTGAGCTTACAGATCCGACCAATTACACTCACCTCGTCTTTGACGTAAACTCGTTTCACTTTATACGGAGCATGATTGCTTTCCTGAAATTTTCAACACTTTTTGAAAATGCAATCATATTATCCTTACCGTGAATACCTGATTCAGCGTTTCTTCTGTCCATTCGGACGGAACATCTCCAATCCACAGAGTTCTTTGCGCATTGTTTCCGGACAGCGAAATGGCCGGCATTTGTGGTGCGTGCACTGGAATTGTGATGATTGTTGATTCTTCTTGCGTTGGCGTCGACTGAGTCGATGATTGCTGATCTTCTTGCTCCATTTTTGCCTGAAAAAAAACAACATTTGTTTGGAAACGACGCGGAAACACGCAGAAATCCAGAATGAAAAATAATTTGGATGGCATTCAGTTTGTCCACGAGGAGTCCGAGGCAAGCGCGACCTAAGAAAAACAGGCGGTAGTTAGGCCGTTTTCAATGCGCGGATGTTTGAATTAAGTTTGCCATGAACAAAATAGACGAGAAGCAGTTCAAAATGAACAAAAATAAAAGCAAGAACAAAAAAAAATTGAAATGCAGTTGATATTAACAAATTGTTCGTCTCAAAATGTTAGTTTTTATCGTTAAATGAGTCACAATTGTTGCCCGGAAAAGGGAGAGGCGATGGACATTTCATTCCCATTTTCAGTTTGAAATTGACTAATGTGAGATGAAAAAAGGCAGGGAAGGTGGTAAATGATGAAATGAAGCAAAGTGTCCATCAGAATTTTCTCCAATAACTCCCCTCCGATGAGTTCTCTTCCGTTCCGTTCGCGCACTTCCCTCTGATTGCGTTCCGATTCTTCTGGATGTCGGCTCTGTTTGACTGTGACCCTTCTCCCCGTTTTACCCTCTTTTTTCGTGTCGAACGTAGTGTTTCCTGTAGTCAAACAGCAATCCTCTGCCCTCTTTCTCGGCAGATTCGGTGCCAACCTTACTTTTGCGATTATGTTTGCTTTTGTACTCGTTCCGTCGCAAAACGGACCTCAAACCAATCGTTTTTCTGTCTCTTTTTCAGCCGTTTCTCTGTGAGGAAATGGACGGGAGTGGTTGGCAAACCGAACGAGTTGTGACTTTCTATGGTTTGTCGAAACGAATAGTGCCGCCTGTTTGTGTTATGAGTTACTCGCCCCTTCCTTCCGTTGACGAACTTTTGAGCGTTTGGTTTTGATTGTTTCCGTTAAAATCTCTCATGCCATTCGATACTTTCAATTTGCAGCAAGCTCGGGAAAAACGAAAGAGTTTTCGGCAATTTTCAAAAATTGCGTCTTACAAAGCGAAATGCGTAATTTACTGTAGGAACAATGTAAAATTATAAGGCGCGGCACTGTACAACCATCGAGGGTTGAGAGTTGAAGCGCAAAGTGAACGTACTTGTGAACGTACTTATTTAGAAAAACCGATGTATCTTCTCCCCTCCTGTGCTCCCAAGATAACCTGATGTTTGACATTTGATAAGCGATCAAAGCGAGCCCCCTCAAAGCGTTCCCTCATTGATAATACCTCACTTCTTCTATTGTGCTCTTCTCGGCCGTAACTGATGTGTGAGATCGACCTATTATCATCGTCGAATGGAACGACGGACGGCAAACAAACTTCTCGGTAAACTCGCTCTCTTTCTGATCCTTTAAAAAGTGGCAGTTTGAAAAGAGGTCATACATCTCCACCACTTTGAATTCGTCACGAAATGGATAAGGAAGTAGAGATGCAACATTCTAAGCTATCACTTTTTTTTGCATCACTTACAAAGTTTGACCTTCGAGCCACTATTTGCATGCTCTCCGGAGCAACCAGTTGCCGCGCACACATTCTCTTATTCCATGCGCGACAAACAGTTTGCTCAACTCTCTGCTCTTATCAACCTATTTTTACCAGCCCGATTACTTTCGTTCGAGTGGTTCATGACCCCGGCGCAGTGTTTGCATGACCCACAGAAGTACTCTGACAACACTGATAAATACGAAGAACATCAAACGATTATTTCCGTTTTGTCCCGCATGGATTCGACCTTTTTGTTTGCGCAACCCTCCCGGCTTTTCGAAAGAAAGTTTGCTCGGCTCTATCTTTTTTGTGATTTCTTTTTTTTCATCCCTGCAATACACATTTGATCTTCGAGTAGGCGAGATTGAGTATTCGCATTCGGAATTTTCGATGAAATTTTGATGAGGCGGTCGGCTTCGCGGAAATCTTGCAGAGAAGAATTTTAAAAGGTAGGAAGTATACTCCGAAGCCGTGTGTATTGCCGAACAATTGTTACTCACAGAAGTCAGTCAAAGTATCGGTTCTGAGCAACTTTACCTTTGTGTTATCCCTCAGCGGACTGAAAATAAGTCAAGTTCGATCCGAACTTGTTTGTCTCTGAACCGATAGCATTTCTATTTCAATTTCACAACAGTAGAGACATATTATCTGCTGCTAATGCGCTCGTAATCGGGCCGAGTTATGACACTCCTCGCCGTGCTGCTTTATAGCGGTTTTTGATACGGAGCAAGTATTTACAGACTATAAACTCTTCAGGTAGTTGCTTCTTATTTGCCAATCCAACCGTACTACACACAATACTTATTTCCGTCGTCGTCTCTTTAGCGGCTCGGTCCGAAATCTTACCAGTAGGTGGTGCTCCGCCTTGTACCCAACGTGGGCTCCACCCTTGTGCTCCCAGTGCTCCGCAGTCTCAGAGTCAAAGTCAAAGGCAAAGGAGGCCATCCTCAAAAGACAAACAAACCAAGTGTTGCTCCCTCCCTCTCTCTCTCTCTCTATCTTTTCCCTCTTGCGCTTCCCGCAAAGATGCTCCACCTGTGCGTATGTGACTGTTGATTGATTTCCAAGATCTTCTTCATCTCCATCTTCTTCTTTAAAAGTCATCTGGCTCCGCGGCGGGCACGTCTACTATATTCGCTCTTTCTTCTTTTTTCATTGCTCTGTGCTCGCTTTTGTGTCCGCTCTCCCGTAGCAACTCGCCACCGCTCCAACGGCACGAAGAAGAGCCCTTCTTGAATTATTTGTGACTGGATTTGTGCTCTAAATGACAAATTTTTTCTGTGATTTCAAACTTGCTGTACACTTTTTCTGCCATTTCTCACTTGTCCCGTACAAACTGTGGCTCCGGGTGTTTTCATCCGGAATACCTCCCGCCTTAATCTCCTCTCCTCTGATCTCTTGACGTCAAAACCACTTTTCGCCGCCGTTGATCTATGCAAATTCATTCCCCCTTTTCGGTCTCACTTTCCCCTTACAATACCAATTTGTGTACCCCCTCTTAATCTCTTTCTCCATCTTTCTTGTTCACTGTAAATCGGTCAAGCCTCCCTTCCCTTTGCTTCCCTTTGTCGCCTAATAATCCGTCCTTCCTGACCTACAGCCACTTTCTTTCTCTCTCTCTCTCTCTCTCTCTTCCTTTTTTGAGTGAGAAGTGTCCTGTGGATGGACAATAATCGTCCTTGGCGGCAGAACGGCCGGAAACTGTCTGGGCTCTGCTCTCTTTTCTCACTCTCCAATATCGGGTTTCGCGGAAGAAATCTTCATCCGAGAAAATCATTCGAGACGCTTTCTTTTATGGTTTTTGAACTTATTCGAGTGTTTCGATTCTCGATTCTGCATCTTCATTCATAAATCCCTAGTGCTTCGTGCCTTCTGACACCTTTTCTGCTGGTCTTGGCCGTCGCTGTTCAATCACGCGAACAAAATATTTTAGAACTGATATCCTGAAAATGTGTCTAGACAACCACTTTTTCCCATTTCCGAGAATTCCATCTTACATTTGTCACGCATTTGTCCATCCCATTCCATTCAAAACTTCTGCACGAGCGCCCCGAAATCCGTCTCGTCATTCTTTGGCCGCATGTTGTTTCACGTCTCGTCTCCGTCCATAAATCCTTCTCACTTTCGCCCTCATTCCCACCCGGCTATCAATCCCGATTCAAAAACGATTGGGCCGTAAGCCATCGGCCATTCATCGTCTCCGATCGCACAAATATCATCATGGCCTCTCTCTCTTTCTCTCTCGTCTAGAGGGGCGTCTTCCGACGAATCCAGTTCGCTTTTCGTCAGATCTCATCTCCTTTTGGCTTTTCCATCCCATCCCCACTTCCCACCAAAACAGGCGACCGTCTGAAACATGGACCTCCATTCGATTACCTCCTCCCTCTCTTCCTCTTCCTCATCTTCCGATTACGCAATTCCAATTGGCAGCCATCAGTCGGTCGTCCGACTTCTTCTTCCGTATCTCACTTACTCCAATTATACACTTTCGCCCTAATCCGTACAGTTCTCCTCCGTCCATTCGTTGGGTTTCCATTCAAAACCGTCGGAAGTGGGAACATTTCGCTCACCAGATAACTCACCAGATAATTGTCGACTAGAAAATGCTATGTTTGTCATGCCAAAGCCAGTTGTGCTTGTTTCTGAATCTTGGCCACTTTGTATGAAATTTCTTTGAAACCTCAAATGACACAGAAAGCACGTTTTGATTACTCCGGAGCGGAAAACGAATGAGGAATGGGAGCAGGCACAGAAAACGTAGCCACACTTTTGGAGAGCATTTTGTGTGTTCCCACCTGCTCTGCCGCTCCTTATCGCTTTGTGACTTCACGACGATGTCGACAGAAATTCCACTCTCTTTCTCAACTATTTTCTATTTTACTACGTACGCTGCCACGTGGCAAATTGAAGTGACGTGAGGCTCACTGAAAATGGTCAGGCGAAAGGGAAAGTTCAGTGTCAAACAGCGGATTGTCCGCGTTGGACTCATTGCTGACTCACCCGTCGGCACTGTTTGTTGTGTCCGAGTGTACTAGTACAAATGTTGTACTTCCACTTTTGGCACACAATACTTTTATTCGAAAAATAATGAGTTTTGCATCATCAATTTGTTTCGAAATCCGCAATGGTTTGTGCCGTCCTCTGATGGTTGTGATCACGAAATGATTCGATTGTGACTCGTAAAAGTGAGTGATAAATTCTCTGTTGCTCCGTCTCTTTCTCCTTCTCTCCCTTTTTCATTACTCCCATCCACCTTCTTCTCCTTCTCCCATTCCTCCAATGACTACCGTGACCTTTCTAATCATATTATCAGTGTGTTTCTTTTAGTTTGCCCCCTCTTCTGATAGCTTATCAAGTACTGCTGATGCCCTCGGTTCTCTGTGTTCCTTTACACTTTTGTACTGCAATGCAATGCAAATCTTTCAATATTACACCGGAAACTATGCAAGGAACAGTCTCGAAGTACGCCTACACTTCCTCTGACACCTACACCTTTTGACCTTTGAAACATCCCAAGTTCAGGGCCAACGTGATTCACCAGGAAGCGCCTTATCAGTGCTTAACGCTTTTGCCTATCGCTTATCGCTCTGTAACTTTGGAGCCCAGGCGGCAAAAGGAAGAAAACAATTAAAAGTTTCTCTCATTCACGAGACGACGAAGTGTGTCGCCGTAGCTTGCGTATTTGTGGTTTAGAGTGGAAAGTTCAAAAAGAAAGCATTAACTGATAAGAAACCACAACCTATCGCACATTTGCCGGACAACTGAACCGTGGTTTCTTACTTGTACGGATGCAGAAACTCCAGCTCTGATCTTCCCATCCAATCTTTTCTAGGTCTTGTACATTCCTCAAGCCTCATTTGCCAAAATATTCTGACCGAAAATGTAGCCAATGCTCCAAACCCCTTCTTTTCCACAAATGAGTCAAACTGTACAGATGCCAATTATGTAGCCGTTGGCTTCGGTTCGTCTCTTGCCACACACACACACACAACATATTCCTGTTTCGGCACAAGCCGCTCTGCGTCTCCCTTTATCCCACTCTCTTTCTCCTCGGCGCCCTCTTACACATCGCTCGTTTTTCAGAAACAATTCTTCGATCGGCTGCGTCAGATGCCCTCCAACTTATCCTCTTGATCTGATCATACATACACTCCTACCTCCTCCATTCCCATTCTTTTCTCAGTCTACGCCCTCTCTTCGCACCACAAAAACGCGTGGGAGAAGAGTCGACGGACGGCGCCCTCCCTACGAACGTCCCTCCTCAGATGACACGACTCTTCATACTGCCCGCCATATTCGGCATCTCCTCCCTCTCACTATGGTACATGATATGCTCCGCTCCCGGCTGGCCCGAATCAGGTAAGAGTACTGTAGAATGGGACGAAGCCGAACAGTAGCCCTTTTGCAGAAGGCGGCGTGTTCGAAATCCCGAAACAGTTCGACAATTTCACAGTGCTAGCTGAGAAGTTTCGAGCGTACAAGGAAGACCATTTCGGCTACATCACCACGCTTTTCATCTGTGCCTACCTCTACAAACAGACGTTCGCCATCCCCGGATCGTTTTTGCTGGTGAGTCTTTCTATCAGCATACATATTGCGCAAGTGCGTGACGTATTCTATTTCCGTCGGCTGTAATCACGGTTTCTTGTTGCGTTGCTGCTGCTGCTGCTTCTGTTATCCGCTGCGCTGTTGTGATGATGATGGCACTGTGCGGCGGCAGTGGCGGATAAACTTGATTCCGAGCGGGTATTCTCTTATCACGTCACGAAGGGCCCACGCGACGCCACGCAGATAAACGCGTACACAAAAAGATGTGGGATGAATAGAGATGCGGCATAATTCGATGTGAAAAAAGAGAGAAAGGCGAAGAAACGTTGTGTGAAAGGAAACAAAAGCGAAACCGGACACTTTCTATTCCAGAACGTGATTGCGGGAGTCGTGTACGATCTGTGGTCGGGATTCATCCTTTGTTGCTGCCTTACAACGCGTGAGTTTCTTTTTCCATTTCTTTCGGAATGGATTTGACTGCGAATGTATGTAGTTGAATTCGATGACTAGTCACAAGAATTCGGGTTATTTTGAGCAAGATAGTATGATCAGAAGAAACACTGAATATATGGGAGGAATAAGGGATTCAGATAGATGATAGTCGTATTTAAGGATTCTAAAAAGGCTTTCCCTTAGTCTGCAGCTACCAAGTTTTCTGGTGTTTGACCCGTTACACATGTGAAAGTGACAAAAAATGATACGGTTAATTAGTGATCCGCTAATCTCATCAGTCGATTTTCCAGTTGGAAGTACGCTATGCTACTTGTTCTCGGAGCTGTTCGGCAGGGAGTACGTCTTTTACTACTTTGGCACGAAACTGACGTACCTGCAGCAGAAGGTAGGAGCTCTTGGATCCATCGGTGCTCTGTTTTACCGCTTTCTTCAGATCGATGACAATTCGAATCGGTTACTTCCTTTCCTGCTGTTCGCTCGAATGTTCCCGATTTCGCCGTCATGGCTTCTGAACATCGTCGCGCCGTTCCTCAACATCCCTCTGCCCATTTTCGTTGTTTCCGCTCTTTTCGGTACGCCCGTTTTTCTTCCCTTTCCGTCCCATTTGACACTCCATTCAGGTCTGGCGCCCTACAATTTCATTTGCGTTCAAGCCGGATACATTCTGAGGGATTTAAGATCTTGGGACGACGTGTTCAGGTTCGTCGCTTCACGGCGATCCTTTTCATTCTTCTTCTGTTTTCAGCACAACAACGATGCTGAAACTGTTCTCGTTCGCGTTGATACCACTGGCCTACGCGATCTACATTCGTCCCCGCGCAAAGAAACATCAGGTGAGGAGAGGGCGAAGGAAACCATTTGCTCACGTTGTATATTGGAAAAGTAAACAGGACGACTGTTGACATGGCACGGGCGGCAGAGACTACTTGACTTTTGACAGTTGGCAGTAAACGAACGAGTCTAATCTTAAAGGATAACAAAATTTATGGGGGAAAAATCAGAGGGATCCATGACAAAAGCCAATCGTTTTCAGCTGGTCTCCAGTTCCGACGAAGACGAAAAAGTGAAAAGGATGGAGATTGTGTGACCTTTGCCTTCCGATCCATCCAACGACAACATATCATCTTGCCAATCCACGTCATTCTCACCCAATTCCTTCTCGATCGACTTCATAATAATTAGGCCCTCTTCTCTTCGATTATGAACAGATTTCGATGAAACCAACCACTTGACGTCCTTGAATAGCCCTCACTCCTTCCATAGATATTCACAGTCTTGCAGTTTCACTTCGATTCTTCGCTTACTTGTACACACCGGTGCCTTCTCTTTTTTTTTTGTATATTTATTGTTACCTGTTCTTTCTCAGGCTCTCATCCCTCATTTCACTTATCCGTTTTCTTCACTCCAACACCCGAATTGCCTTCCTCTCCCAAAATGTGCTCAACAAGTTCAAAATGTGTATCGTGTTTCTTACCAACATCATCATCATCTTCAACTAGGATTTTCTCGTTCGTTTTGTTTGTTTCGTTTATTAGACGCAGAAAAATGTTCAAAAAAGAGATGAAAATCGAAAATATGTTGTGTGTGTGTGTGTGTGTAAGTTGGGACATAACACAGAAAAAGAACGGAGAGATATTGGGAGAAGACGCAAAGATATGCGGGAAAGCGGAGAATGAATTAATCGGAGGATCGAACGCAAAATGAGATTGAAAAAAAATGAAGAGGCAAGCTGTATTCAGAATTCAGAAGTGAACAATTCAATCACTTTCAGTTACTCGAGTTTTTCTTGGCGCAAGGCACTTTGGATGGGTCGTAAGTCAGGTCGTAGCTCGAACTGGCACGTGTCATAGAGTGACCCTGAACGAGAAATTTCAAAAGTGTCCTCGGATCTGTTGTCTACCTGTTTCAGATTATCCATGATATAGGCAATGATGGCGAGCCAGGCTCTGCGCAGTTCTTTGTGCTTCCTGACCGCCTCGCACCGTCTCCTCGCACAGTCCATGATCGCGTCGCCCAGATCGTCCCACACGGCGCTCGAAAGTCCCTCGGCCTTCAGATGACGGTGCTGTCTGCCCACTTCTGTCAAATAGTTCGTGATCCGAGTGTGCTCGTTGTCGAGGTTCTTGATGACCGTGTCCAGAATCTCTACAGTAACCCGACAGTGCATCACCGTGCAGTCCATATCGTTGTTCGAGAACACCGCCACCCCATTGGCCTTTGCCAGAAGCTGTCTGGCTTTGGCGTTCCGGTTACTCAGAGTGGCGTACAGACTGGTGGCAAACGGGCCGCTCGCGCCAGTCGTGAAAATGTTGGGCCAACTTTGAACGAGAAGCTTCTGTTGGTACGCGGACAGTCCTGAATGACCAGCGGGTTTTTGTGGACAATGTCCTTCACTTACCAATGACTTCGTTCAAATTGCGACGGGTTGGCGACGGCGGACACGAAAGATCTCCAGTGGATCGTTTGGCCTGAGAGAATCAATAAGAAAGCATTCGGAGATGGCAATCTGAACGGATACCGTTAGCGGAAGACGGAGACTTTCCGACTCGGTGCCTTCAGTTCTTGATCGGCCCATTTGACCGAGATGAGGGCAGGTTGTGTGGGCCAGAGGGCTCAGTGAGTTCTTCTCCTGAAATGGAACTAGATATTGTAGATGATTACAGATTGCTCACCTTCCCAACGCACTCTCCGTTCTCCATGATTCGCTGTCTTCTCAATTCTTTGCGTCCATTCTTCTCCAACGAATCGAGCGAGTCTTCCGAAAACGTGCGAGTGAATCTAGAAACGAAAACGGGCAATTCTCAATCATTTTCCGTGCTCCGCTTCTGATTTACGGCGCTGCCGCCCCCGAAGCTGATTGGTTTCGGTCGCGGTTTTCGACATGTCAATCATTGCCAAAACGGGAGCGGAAAACAGAAGAAAAAAGGACGAAAAATGGAAAAAGACGAAAGACTAGACTTCAGTGCTTTCGCTCCCATTATGACTTTGAGGATCTCGTAAAACGGGCGGCTTCGGAGGCTAAAGTGACATACGGCCGCGTCGTCTCGTTTCGTGTTCAAATTTTGATGAATGTGCACGAAACGAGCGCGCACGAAGCCGGAAAAGTTTGAATTTCAGAAGAAGGTGGAGGAGGAGAAGGCAGGCAGACAGGTGCAACGGCTTACCTGAGGGGAGAGCTCACGGAGCAGCGGCGGGTGCGCGTGATCGAAATGACAGGCATCATCGAGTGCTCCATGTTCTGAAAATGGGAAAGAGAGATGGGTGAGAGCAGAGGGAGGAAGGGATTTGATATTCAATATAGTCCCACGGCATTAGAGGGGCTCTCTGAGCTTTTAATGGGAAACAAATACCAACGGGAACGAAATGAATGAAATAAGCAAAGAGAAATATGTTACCAAAGTACTCTAGCATTCACTTTTTTGTTTCTTCGTTTTTCGGGTCGTTTTGAGTTTCCGTCGCCCTAATGGTATTGGGGGAGTTTCCAACGGAATTAGCTCGTAAAAGTGTACCCGTACATGTGGTCCGTGCCCCCTTTCCTTACCAGTTTTGCGAGCGGATGATAGAGGGGCGCCACGTCATACGGCAGTGCCAGCGGTCGCTCCATTTGTCTGAAAATGAGAAAGAGAAACATTTGGGAAGGAGAAGACGTCAGCTGCAGGTGGAAACGAGTCGGCAGGCAGTCTGTTTGGGGGTGAAAAGTAATATAAATCTTGAGCACAAATTGGAATATGAATTGGAAAGAGAGCTAATGGCAATTCGAAGCGACAAGGCAGTGAGGGCGAGACACGAGATTGATTTTTCATGGGCCCACGCATAAAAACATCGAGGACAGTGTCCATAGATATCAAAGATCCCGCAGCAGACGGCTCTCAAAAGCACAAAAAGAGGAACATGGTCCCTGCGAGCAGTCGGTTGATTGGTGCCAACTTTGTTAGGCGGACCGAGTCCCTTGACGGAGGCTCTTGTGAAATGGATGATTACCCCCACTTCTTCTTCTTCTTCTCTTTTCAGATCTGTGTCCTTTCGGGTAAGAAAGCGAGCTAAAAGAACGTGGAACGAAGAACAAATAAAAAAAAAGAACGCGCGGAACCGGAGGGGATTATATCTTTTTCCAGAAACGAAGGTGCAAAACAATCGAGTAGTGGTCAATTTGGATTGGAAGGAAAGAGAATTAAAGCCGGTTACCGTAATCCTCAATCTAGTCTATTTAAGTTATATTTGTGATTTTACGGACCAGATCCTGCCAGAATAACGTGTTATTGTTATTAGTTACAAAATGACCGATCGGTGTCATCTTTTGATATAAAAATGCCAGCAAACGCCTCACGTATTATAGGGGCACCGGACAGAAAGGGCGCGCTGTTCGCAATCGGGCCGAATTTCTAGGCCGCGAAGTAATTTTCCACTGAAAATGCGGCCTAACTTTTCAAACTCGGCCCCGAGGTCGCTCAATTTGCACTGCAAACGGAGTTTCTCAACAGAGCGCCATTTCTGTGCGGTGCCCCTATAATAGGTAATGCAGACGAAAGAAATGAAACGAAACAACTTTGACGTCGTCCACTTTCCAGAATTAGAAGCGGTTCCACTAACAATGGCGGCATTCGAAGTTGAGTCAAAAGTGATGAGCACACGCACAGAGCAAGAGACAAACACACTCACTCGGAGCAAGGCGGAGCACAAGACGGCGACTCGTCAGAGGCAGGATAATTAAAGAAGTCCACTCCACACACTCACCCGATGACATCCGGCTGCTGCCCCATCCCCATCCCCATTGCCTGTCCCTTCTCGTTCCAGAACGACCGTCGAAGATGATGAGGACGAGGAGCAAGAGTTGGCCAGGCAGAGTGGAGCGAGCACAAATGAAAGAACAGGCTTCTCCTAATTAGATGCGCCTCCGCTCTTTGCTGCTCCAGAAGACGCGACGACGACGGTGGTGGAAGAGAAGAAAGCGACGGCGAAGACGACAATTGTTTTCATTTTGCAAAACAAATTTCCGTTTTACTCTCTCGCTCCGCAACTGCGTGGGTCTTCTGCAGAATCTCGTGCACGTTACTGTGTGTTTTGATTGGGGATTTGGAAATGAGGGTGAAATCCAAAATGAATAGAATGATCATTGAAAAGGAAAGGGTATGTGTGTGTTTGTTTTATGTGTTTTTCTATAGACGGCGTCACTATACCAAACGGAACAAAGTAAAAAGAGGGAATCCGTAGTGAGCACGTCATCCTAGCAACCGGGTGAACTGCTAAAGGAGCATGAGATCGGTTGGGCGCAATTTGGAAGTAACTGATTACTTGCCAGGCTCAAAGAATGGACGATATCAGTATTAATATAGAACAAGATTAAAAGGAAAGCAAAGAAAAGCTCGATGGGGTTTCTGAAAGTTCACGTGTTCCGACGACTTGCCTAGACTTTTCATGCATCAGGAAATAGGTGCGGCGAGAAGGAGACTGGAAGACATATCCAACTGCGATGAATCGAGTGCAAATAGAGACACTTTGTCCACGAATAAGAAGAAAAAGAAGAAGAAGAAGAAGGGCACAATTAAAATATCGGGTGTCTCCTCCTCACACGTCTCCCACTTTTTCGCTATCGCCTATTATACATTATATATGAAACAATATTTTTTACTTCGTACACTCGTGATGAATAATAGAGATGCTCTCTCACAATTGAGCACGCTTCAGGCCTGACAAGACAAGCGAAATAATCTTGTGTCGTCTGGAAGAGCAGCGGATTATTTGGAGCGCGGAAGGGGACCGAGGCCAAGATTAATTATGTTATCAAACGCTTGTGGGCTAAGAAGTTTCCCACAAGAGTGACGCATTCTCTTTCTTTAGAGCGTTTCCCGGAAAGATGTTTGAAATCCTATTGCCCTTGGAAACACACGATTTTCAAATGAATTCCTTGAAGAGAAACGTGAAAGAGAGCTTTCCATTCTCTCAAGTACCTTCCTCCACTGAAGACGAGTCAAGAGGCGCACTATTTTTGGAAAACGTTTTGACTTCGATCGATGGATTGCGACAGAATGATAACTTCATGATTATTGGGCAGAAGTGGAACAGTGGGTGTTCGTGTAGGATGTCACGTCATCCGGCGGGACTCTGCTGACACGGAACTAATGAGAATTGTCTCAGGAACTGTTTTCGTGCCAATTGTCGGCGGAGTGAGGGGATCTTTGTCTTGCCTGGTTGGAGACAAGAGATATTACGAATCCATGATAGCCGTTCAATGAATGTGAATAATTCTTTTGAGCTTTCATATAGAATCATACTACAGTGTACTCAAGCCGTGGACACGAGGACTGTTCGCTCTGTCACAGTGTTTAGGAATGATAGGAGGATAAGTTCAGATTGAGAAAAAGAGATTCGTCGTCAATTTGTTGAAAAAATCGGTGTTAGTTAATTTTTCTCGGGGTCTGAGGGCTATAACTTAAAAACACATTCGTCCTTTTCTCTGCAAAAACTAGTCCAAAAAAGCCAATTTTTGTGTGAAATCGCACGAGAATGTACTGAAGCAGCACTCAACTGAATAAAAGAGAACTACTCTTGTCATATTCAGCTGCCAACGTGTCGTCGGTGACTCTTCAACAGATCTTTTACACCCTTTTTTGCTTCGAGCTTTTGTTCGAGTTACTTTGCATTCGTTGCAGCTCTCAAAGACGTATAAGAAAAGAAATGCTGGAAGAGGTCGGTGACCTTTCGTTCTTGACGCTAGGGCGAACAGAAAAGGTTCCCTAGAAACGATAATAGTCAGAAAAGTGTTCCGAATGAATCATTCGATATTTGCTGCTTATGGACTGGAAAACTTTCGAAGCGGCGACAAAAACGAGAGTATGGTGTGGGGGGTGCGACGGGGAGTCTCTTCTGAATAATACATCCAGTTTTGCATTTTCCGCGAGCGAGCCCCGGCAAATTATAAACACCTTGGGAATGGCGGCGGCGGTCTCTTCTCCGTTTGCATCGTCGTCTTTTTTGAGCGAATGAAAACGTTTTATTCGATGAAATGAGCAAATGCTGAGACTGAAAATAAGTACACAAATGAAACGTTTGGCTGCTGGCGTCTTATTGCGAGTTACCGTAACCGAATGGCACAGAAAGAAGAAGTCAAAGAAGGGGGAAGATACCGTCGACCAGACAATAATCGGTTTGAAGAGGAAATAGGCAAAGAAAGTTGAGGGTGGGGACTAGAAAATGTCATAACAGTGGACAAGAAAGGTAGAAAAGGGGAAAGAAGAGACCTGGTTATGGTTATGATTTCGAAGAAGTGCGCGGAAAGTTCAGAAACTGATAACGCTTTCGTTTGTAAAAGAGCAACGGCTTGTTGTTCTCCTCCAAAGGAATCCGGAACTCCTCGTCGATTCCGTTGTCACGCAATTTGACGGGAGGAGAGCTCGCTGGCGCGTGCACCACTGACGCCTTGTTGACGACGACGGGCGAACGGACCGACGGCGGAGGGGTCTCCAATTCCACCTGCAAAACAGTGATTTGCAATTCGGAATGTGCTCCGGAATGCCCTATTCGACACCAATGCTCACCCGTCCGTTGCTCTCCACACTCCTCCTCCGCATCCTCCGTTCCCGCCGTCGTTCGCGTTCTTCCGGCGACTCGTACGCATTGAACGTGGCACTGATCCTCTGAGTGTTCTGACTGTTGTGCACGCCCATCGACGTCGAATGTCGCATTCCGTAGCTGTTATCCTCGGTTCGCTGGTTCACTTGACGCTGACTCATCGGCTGAGGTGCAGAGATCTGGCGATTCGCTGATTCGTCGATTGACGTCGTTCGAGATAGACGACTTCCGACGCCGAGATTGTTAAAGGACTGGAAGGACGTGAATGTGTGACGAAATCAGAAATCAATCACGGGACGAAACTCACATTGATGAGCCCTTTGAAGTGACTGATAATGCTATTTGATTGAGGCGCTCCGCAGCTTGCCGTTCGGTGCATTCCGTTTCGCTCTTTTTCTGATCGGGACAATCGACGCTCTGAATTGAAAGAGAAGAATAGAATACATTCTTAGAGTGTTAAAAACTCACGCTGAATGGGCGAAGCACGTGGATTCAGAGGAGACGACGGAGAATTCCCGCCTGGAGAGGTATTCGAATCCATCGATCGAGGGGTGGAAAGTAACGAAGCTTTAGGCACTGCTGAAAGAGCATTTTGCCGTTTACGTTTTGCGATAAGTCAACTCACGAAAAGCGGGATTCAGTCTCCCGAGCACCTTCTCTTCGTCTGCTCCGCCGTCCATCATCTCCTCGCAGCTCGCATCGAAAGATCCCTGCCATTTGCTCATTATCGTCTGAGCAGTCCGTACATTATTTGCTGAATTGTCGTCCATCTGAGCATTCGTGTTGTCGAAAGAGGAGATCTTGTTGGTCTTGGCTCCGGGCTTGTAGCGATTATTGATAGATAACTGAAAAAAGTTAGATTTCGCTGAGACAATGTTCTCGAGGTGACTTACCGTAATCGACTTGTTGCTTCTCGTCTTGTCCATAGGCAGTCCGCCGGCTCTTTTGATCGAAAGGGAGCTCTCGGCCATCTGAGGTGTCTGTTGTGTCTTCAGAATCGAGGACGGCAACTGGAAGTTCGCTTCCACGTCAGCTGATCCTCCTCGGAAGTTCTCTTCGTCACACGCTGCAAATCGAGCATTCACAGCGTCGATCACATCCAAATTGACAGTTCCGTACTTGGGTCTGAAAACCTAATTTGATGATTCGTTTTTTAAGATTTCGGGATTACTTCAAGAACTCGTGTCTCTTGTACTTTGGCTTCTCAGCGGCCTTTTCGTGTGTGCTTTCGAACCCCGCCCCCAGATTCGCCATTTGTCCGTTCGTCTGCTCGTCGTCGTCTTCGCCCATTGTGATCGGGGCCTGAGTGTCCAGTGCTCTGTTCTCATTCCTCTGATCTCTGATAACTGCGGTCGTGTGGGACTTCAGACGAGCCGATAAATTCCCATTTGCCTGTTGTTTTTGTCTCGTCGCCAGATTGTCGTATCCCAATTCCCAATCGTACGGATCGTCCCACTTGATGTCATTTCTGAAAAATATTATTATTGCTATTGTGCAGCTGCAAAATAGAAAGCTCACTTGGAAACAATTTGATTGAGGAGGGACTCCAAGTAGTTGTAGTCCGGAGCGTCCGCGTATCCCAAAGTCTTCAGATGCGCAGCGATCAGGTGCAGTTCATGAGGACAATCGTCGAGAAGAATGTTCAGATCCGCCTCCTCCTTCATCTTGCCCACTTCATCCTTGTCCTTGATCTTTCGCCATGGCAACTGTCCTTGCAGAAACTCGGTGAGCATGTAGAAGAGAGACCACAGGTCGTCCTGCCGTCCCATTTCCTTGTTCTTGTGTGCGGTCACTGCTGCGTACCGAACGGTCCCTCGGAATCCGGCGGCACTTCGCGGGCTTCTGATCTCTCCCTTCGCATTCAGATATTGACGGGCCAAGCCGAAGTCGAGCATGTACACGTTGCGCATCGTCTGGGAAGTGCGCCCCATTGCAAAGTTTGACTGAAACAGATAGGATTTCGTGTCGTTTTTTTTCCCAGTCCAACTAACTGGTTTGACATCTCTGTGCAAGAATCCGATCGAGTGAATCTCTCGTATTCCGTTCAGAATCTGCAGTCCGATCCGGACGGCTGTGTTCAGACTGAAACACTGTTTGGGCGCCTCTCGCCTCAAATCGGCCAGATTTTTGCCCTGCAGACTCATCACCAAGTAGTTGAACTTGTCGTTTCGTCCGCACCCGTAGAATTTACACGCGTGTTTTTTTCCTGGAAAAAATAACCATCTCATCACAACTTTCGTCTTTCAGATTTCTCCGCCGCCCCGAGGCCGTTTTGTTACTTCCAGAGACGCCACGTAATTAGATTTTTGATGACGACTCGAGCAAAAAAAAACGGAGCAAAAAAGCAGAGAAAAGCGATGATGCGTCATAAACAGAAGAAATCAGAAGAAGACAAACCTTGAAGTCGTCTGAGAACTGCGACCTCCATTTTGAGCACTTGCTTCGTCGCTTTGCTAGACTCGACCTTGATTGCTACCCGCTCATGGTGATTCTGAACATCTGTGGCCTCGTAGATCTCTCCGAATCCACCGCCACCGATTTTGGCCTTCTGAAACCGATTCGGACATTAGAAGATCCCTCAATCGGACGGAAACTCACTATTTTCCATCGCTCTCTGATGACCTGTCCGACTTGAAGAATCTCTCCTTCAGATGATGATGTCATTATTTCATCTCTGAAATGAATAGTTGAATGAGTGAAAGGGAGAGAGAGGAAAAGAAGAAATGTTGGGCGGAAATCACAAGAAAAACGAATGTGGAAGTGGTTGATGAGAATGGCATATTTTGCGAAAGGGAGGGGGGGGGGAGCCGAATGGAAAACAGATGGGCGCCCGAAGAAGCGGACGAGGCGGCCGAGGGGGGAAAGAGTGACAAATGCACCAAATATATGCTCCAAATGGTGGGTGCAGCAGGCTCAGCCACACCACAGAATGCTCTCGAAATGACCAGCCGAAAAAGTATCAAGCGCGCCAATCTTGGAAAGAGTCCTCCCTCCTACTTGTCTACTTGGGGGAAAAGAATGGCGGGATGGAGAAGAAGGAGAAGAAGAAGAAGAAGAAGTTGGAGAGCAGTCCGATGGGGCTCATAAATCTCGTCGCGCATCGCCGACGTGTCACCTACTACTTCCCATTTAAAAACGCATTCATTCTTGGAGAATTCGGGTATGGGTTAAGAGCGGGCCACCATCTGATATATCCCATATGCTCAATTTGCCAACCGAGCAAAGGTTCTAAGCAAAACACGATCGTTGCGAAACTTCAGAAGGGAAGGAAAGGAAAGGAGAGACATAATTGGGGCTGAAATCGGACACCCACGGTCTGCTTACAACGTGGCAATGTTCTCAACGTGTTGTTGCTCTTTTCTCACGGCTCTCTGTCGTCGGAGATGAACAACGAAATAAATATAAAAACGAAATCGATAGCCGTCGGGCGAATCTCAAGAAGAGCAGCTCCGGGCCGGGTCCCCGGGAACAGCTGACACGCATTCCCCCGCGTCGGTTGTTGAGCCAGAGAAGCGCCGGTGAGCCAACTTGCTCTGGAGATTGACGTGGCAATCGACGGAAGCGAGTGTTTGAGTGCAAACGTGCTAAAACCGGAAGGGGGCGAATGCTAAAAATATCGGCGAGGAGGAGATGGTGGTCAATGATGACGACGACAGTGAATGGATGAATGGTGGCGAGATGAGGAGAGTAGTAGTACGGGCCGAGACCGCCCGTTTTGTTTGGATGACCATGAATAAATAACAGTGGTAAAGTAAATGGTGGACGGAGAGAGCGCGGAGAGGAGGAGGAGGAGGAAAAGGACCAGAATGAGTGGAATAGGGTCCGTTTTGTTTGAATATGAACCAAAAGAAGGGAAAAGCGAAGAGATAGTGGGAGAGACACAGGGGTGTAAAGTGCATTAGAGACCCGGCGGATGGACCATCGGTCGAGAGGAAACGCGCGGATAATTGGGAGAACGGAATAATCAGGGCGATAAAGGACAGGAGAATGCGGAAAAGAGAGAAAAAAGAGAGAGAAAAAAGAGAGAGAAAGAGAGAGAGAAGTGTTGCGAAACGAAAGGAAACGAAGGGATTAGAGATGGACTGGGATTAGGTGAGGAAGAAATTTTCAGTTTTGACGAAAAGCAATGAGGAACAAGCGCATCGATCACTAGTAACAGCCTTGTTATCTGGGCGTACACTACGAAAAATCAAAGAGAGCAGGAGAAATGAAGAAATAAGGAAATAAAATGAGTTTTTTACTCGGTGTGTTGTTTCTACATCCAACGAAACGACTGAAATGCCGGGGCGACATGCCACCGGGAACAAACAACTTCTCAAGCTTTTCATTATTTCAGAAAAGTGTGACTAAATTGAACCTTCCGGTTCTCCGAAAAGGGCATTGAATGGGTTCTAATGAAAAACGAAACACACACGCAATTCAATGGAATCTCGATTTTTCTCTGCTCCCCCATCACCAAAAACAGAGGAATGCGTCACAGTGAAACGGGGATGAAATGCATGAAAAGTGCAGACAGTCGTCGTCCGTCCGACTCGTCAAACGGACGACTCGTCATCCTTCCACTTTTCCGGAAAGTGGAGGATTACAAGGCGGATTAGGAAGAAGCAAAAAGGCGGGAGGAGGAAGAGAAGGCGATGACACGTCAGGACACATATATGTATGCGGGAAAAGGCGGGAGAGCAATTAAAGTGACAGCCGGACCGAGTCGCCGGAACATATTGGGTTTCGCGCTCTCTCCGACGGACGCCTTCTTGAATTTCCATTCCTAATTCAGAGCGTGATGGTACAGGGCGAAAGGGCAAGTGAAATTGAAAACGAAAGAAAGGTGGACCGGGGGGTTCAGTTCAATCAGTTGGGATGGGAAAAGCAGGAGGAGAAGGAGGCAAAGAGAACGAGTTGGCTGACTGCTGCTGCTGCTGCTGCAGTCGGGGGCCGATACAATCGGATAACGTGATATCGAGAGGGAAGCTGAGTGCACAGGTGAGACAGAGGTCGCCAAAGAGCTCCCGGGGCTGGTTGGCACGCGAGCGCGGCAAAGCGTGTTTCCGGAAGCATGCCGCGCGGAAAAATGAATGCGCGCGAAAAATTATGGCGCCCCCGGGAGGTTACGAGCATTGAGTGGGCTGTGCTGCTCGCTGCAAAACATTTTCACCTGCTACGATAGAGAAGAAGATCGTGAAGTATGAAATCTCAAAGCTCAGAAACTGAGCAGTCTCAGATTCCATTCGAAAAAAGAAAGAAGCAGCTATGCAAAAGTTTCGAGCTGAACTCGCGGAGGGAACACATTCTCCCCAGAGAGAATACACAATGATTTCGTCTTTCTTTCGAGGCGCGAGGAGGTCCAAATCCAATAGACCTTCCGAGATTCTCCATCTTTTGTTTTCTCTACTCGAGTTGAAAAAAACGACACATCGAAAGTATGTATTCTAAAAGTGAAAAGTGAAGAAATTCTTGTGAAGACGACTAATCGGATTGGCTAGCTTTCTGGAAATCCTTTGTGCAACAGAAGGGATACTTGACTGTGAACACGACGGAATTGTAAACGAAAACGAAAACGAAAACGAACCAACTGACTGCCGTTCGGTCTCATCTCTTTTGTTTTTCTTTTTTCTGCAATTTGCGGCGTGAAAGTGAGATGGGAGAAAGCATAAACGAATGGAATGAAACAACGATACGATTCATTCTTCTTCCTCTTCTTCTCGCCGTTTTCTCCGTTGTCACCGCCCGGGAAATGTATGAATCTGGTTTTGAAAATGGGGGAAATGAGGAGAAGAAGAAGTAGGTTTTTGAACGGATAAAGAGCGAGAAGAAAGCGAAGAAGAAGACCGCCACGCATTCATTCACTTTCCATCTCTCTCTCTCTCTCTCACACGCACACAATCAGAAGACCCATTGAAACTGACTGTCCGGAAATTGTGTTAGGCTTCTGGAGAATGGACGTTTAGTGACGACGACAAAGGAGGGAAAAGAGTCTGCAGAAAACGATTCAAAAAAAATGATTGAAAGGGAAGGAGATCAATTAGACGGATAAGGGCAGGTGCTGAGGCGAATCCTTTCCTAATTAATCGCTAATCCCAATGACAAGATGCCTATCTTTTTTTAGTTACGCAAGACGAAACATCATAAAGAGGTTATGAGGCAGGAAAAGGTCGTGAACGGTAAGGTTTTACATTGGGAAATATTTCGGCTGTAAGTTGAGCACAATATAGGGGCTCCGAGGGGAAGTAGCGAGAGCAATTTCGATATTTGTTGGTTCCAGGAAACAATTGAAACACAAGCCGCTTGGGTATCAATTCCGGAGATCAAAAAGCAAAGAATCCAGGCGATTCGAGTAAAAATAAAGAATGAAACGGACAAAAAGTCATTTTGCTCTTCTCTTTCGCCGCCGTCGCCGCACTCATCCCACACACATAAAACCACCAGAACAGCAGTTTCCGAAAAGAGCCTTTCTCTTTTTGGAACGAGGAGCAAGGAAAAAGAAGCGAGAAGACCAATCTCATGGAAACATTCATCATCGGACTCAACTATACAAGAAAGAGAGCAAGAGCACCCGTCCCCCTCCCCGCTCTCGACCCAACAATACGCGAGGAACGAGCCGAGGGGGACAATGAGCCCCCGAGAGCCAGCGAGAATGCGCAGAGTTCGACTTCCTCGCCCGAAGTGGAGAAGCAGTTCCTATGCCGACCAACACGTCTGCGTCTCTTCATCCATCCGCACTCTCTCGCCTCTTCCATCGCCACCGACGATTAACACGGGAAGGCGGGAAAAGAAGAGGAAGCGGGGAGACATTTGCATAGACAAGTGTCTGCCCATTATGAGATGTCCGGAACAAGAAGCGAAAAAGCAATCAAGTTTACACTGACGACCTCTTCCGAACGAATTATTCAGAAGGGCAGGTGAGGGGAAGTATACAAGTAGTACTAGTAAACGGGAAAAGGGTTCACAGAGGAAGGCGTCCGGCCCGCTTTCGACAACTGAACCCCATGGGAAAATGTCTCTTCTTCTTCTTCTTCTTCTTCTTCTTCTTATTCTTCTGTTGAGCCGCCGCCGCCCCTGGATTTTTGACACATTTTTGTTTTCCTTTCACTTTTCGACTTGCGAGGGTTTAAACTATAAGGTTCAGATCGACACTTTCATTTATATACAGTTCACCGATGATGAAAATGCGAAGATTCTAGTTGATACAGTCGGTGGTCTGTCCCGTGTACTGATTCGCCAGGTTCAGAGTTCCAATGTCGTACGTCTTGCTCGGCGTCTTTCCGGAAGAGACGTAGTTGTCCGGGATCGTGATTCCGATCTTCTTGTAGCACAATCCGTTGTAGTTGCACTTGTGGTAGATGTTCAGTTTCGGGTCGATCGTCGAGATTTCCGTCTTGGATCCGGACAGACGGAACTGACCATTCGAATCAGAAGTAGTTTCTTGCAGCAGAACATCAAAGGCTGAAAATGAAGAGGTCCGGAGAGATGGTTTGAAGCTTGAACTTACTGGATTCCTTCTCGTACAACTTCAGTTTGACTCCAGAAGCGGGCTGTCCATTGCAGATGAGCCTTCCGGAGACGGCCACCGATTGCGTCCTTCCGACACCCAGAAGGGCGTAGGTGGAGGAGAAAAGAGCAAGGAGCAGGAGGAGAGAGGACGGAGAGCACATTCTTAACTTTGAATAACTCTCACCGACACCACCTGATATTTATAGGGGGCGCTGCCGAGGGGGAGCACTGTTTACTGAGAGCAGGAAAAGACTAAAACAAAGTTAGTGTTTGCGCATTTACTATTGGCACAAGTACGAAAAACCATTTCATTTAACATGTTATACACATACAAATTCAATAAACTCTCTTGGTTTTGTCGCCGATCTTTATTTTTGTTCCGTGTATCGACGCCTCAATTGATACAGTCTGTAGTCTGCCCCGAGTACTGGTTTGCCAGGTTCAAAGTGCCAATGTCGAAAGTGCGATAGGCGTCGCGCCCGGAAGTAACGTATTGATCCGGGATGTGGATGGTGAACTTTTTGTCGCACAACTGAAAAGATCAGTGACGAATTACGGCAAGCCGAAGGGAAAACAGTTCGGTTACCCCGTTGTAATTGCATTTGTGATAAACATTCAACTTCGGATCGATTGTGGTGATCTCCCGTTTTGAGCCGGCCAATCGGAACTGTCCGTTCGCATCGGTTCGGCCCTCTTCTATGAGTCGGTCGAACACTGAAATATTTCAGTTCAGTTGAAGTTCCGTTTCAGAAGTGACCCAACTCACAGATCTCATTCTCGTACAACTTGACCTTCACGTTGGCCGCCGGTCTTCCGTTGCAGATGAATCTTCCCGAGACAGCCACAGCCTGCCGACTTCCAATTCCGAAAATGTTCTTGGAAATGACTCCCTGGCCGAATGCAGTTAGGAAGAGAGCAAAAAGTGTGAGTAGTGTCGACTGCATTCTGTATCCAATCCAAACTACGATTTTCGCTCTTCTCTAACTTATATACCGTTTGGTCTCTTGTGAGAGTTGTCAATATTAGTTATTTCTGTACATTTTCTTTCTGTTTATTCGACACAGGCAATTGGGAAATCAATTAACGCGTTTTCATACTTTTGGTCTCCATTTCATACACAGATGAGCGATCTGGACAAACAGTATCTGACTCAGCACGTGGCACAAAGATCGCTGAGTCATTTGGAGAACGGGGGTGGGACACATATGGTGACAAACAGACATCTTGAACTTTCTGTAAGAAGGAAGCACACCGAGGGATTGGAATGCCGACAGATGAATCGGAAAAGAAACAATTACGGCACCAATTTGTTTTTCGGATTTAAACTGTTGTTGCCAACTCTCTTATCGGCAAAGTCAATTAGAATCAGGTTAAGAAGCTCACATTTATTTTGACACGAGTTTTAATCACGATGCAGATCAATTTCAGTGATCAATTGAGACAATCAGTACTTTGTCCCGCATACTGATTCGCCAAGTTCAACGTGCCAATGTCGAAAGTACGAGCAGGATCTTTGCCCGTAGTCACGTACTCGCTGGGAATGTGAATAGTAAACTTCTTGTAGCACAACTGAAAACAGGAAAGAAACAAATGAGTACAGAATCTAAATAGTTACCCCGTTGTAATTGCACTTGTGATAGACGTTCAACTTCGGATCGATTGTGCTGATCTCCGATTTAGAGCCGGAAATGCTGAATGCGCCGTTCGAATCGGACGTTCCTTCTTCCATCAGACGATCGAACACTGAATGGATGCAAACAAATGAAATTTCAGCTCAATTCAATTTACTCATTTCGTTCTCGTACAATTTCACTTTCACATTCGCGGCCGGTCTTCCGTTGCAGATGACTCTTCCCGAGACGGCGACTGCCTGCTCACTTCCCAGACCGAGCAGGCTCTTCGATATCAACTCTTGTCCGGAGACGAGAGAAAAAAAAGAAAGGAATAAAAGTTGCATCTTGATTGGAATTACACAATTTCATCTTTTGTGCTCTAACCTTTATACCCGTCCGAGCCGAGGTGGCTGTGTAAATATTGAATTCTTTTGCGCATTTTTTAAAGTCAAGTCAAGTCTTTATTGGGATAGAGTACCGTGGTTTGGTATTGTACGGAATACAACTGAAGAACAATTAAAACGTGTGAGCACGGACTGACTAATGAAATAGTTCTGCTATTCCAATCTTGTTTCTAGTGAGGTGGTGACATCTCACTGTAAGAATCTTATATGACGTTAAGATAACATCATTTCAACTCCCAAGTGTGGCTTGTGGCAAAGTAAACTGTCTTCTAGTTGAACTGAACTTTGAGTACAAACGACGAGCATTGTGAGGTTGAGATTTCTGAACATCCGAGCGCGCGTGGTGGAGGTTATGATATCAAGCAAATATTCAACAAAAGTCATTAGGGATCAGTATTTGTCGATGTTTCCAAGAACCGTAATCTACCCATCGTCCCAACCTCTCTCCGGCGTTGTGCCCACCACACGACGCGTCTTCTGCCAACTCTGGTAAACTTTATTCTGATTGCACCGCCGCATCGCCCCGTCAATCATATCCGCATTCTCGTGTCACTTGTCCAAAGAAAAGCCGCGCGGGCGAGAAGAAATGTGACCCGGAGAGCTGTCAGTGCCCTTCGCATCATTACACTGTTCCCTCGTTCCGACGATCCGCCTCTTCTTCTACAAAATAAGACTGGAGGAAGAAAGAGAGAAAGAAGAAAAGAGCACTTTATGATTCACTTTGAAATGGATGCTTCGCTTTTTTGATGAATTGTTGATAACCGAGAGCAAGTGCACACTTCCTTTTCGAATTGACAGATGTCTTTGGCGGAAAGACGAATTGCAGCTGTGATCGGTCAAAGGACACGGCCACCTGTTTTGAATCTGGCCGGTCATTTGGGTTCGTCGTTTCATCGTTCCTTGTTTGATCGAATTCAACGATTACACGCATTTCATTTCGAATTATTTGGATTGGACGGGGAAGGTTATACTGTACCGTGCCTCCCGTTCCACACCAACCTGCCACCATTCCGAAGTGCTCCCTTTCCGAACCCTGCTCATGCTCCCCCATGTTCCATCACTTCTCTCCCCGTCGCCATCGCCTTCCAAACTATCCGGTATCAGTGCTGGGCCGTCCGTCCAGACGGTGTCAATCGCCAGACACCCCGCCGTGCGTCGTCCAAACGACACCTGCACCACAGCCGTTCTCCGCCTTCTACCCCACCAGCATTCTCACATTTCTCGACGCGAAAAAAAGTTGGGAGGCGGGAGGAGGTGGTGACCTCTCTGTGGGGCTCGGAGCGTTCCAATTTCCCGGGGCACACATCTGTGCACTTCTTCTCGCATTTCACCACCGACAGCGGCTTCTGCCACTCGTTTTAGTATCGTTCTCCCATCTGAATCGTAAACCGCCGCTCGGTTCGTTTGTTCCCAGTCGTGTCTCTTTTGTGCAACATTGAATCATCATCATCATCATCATAATCGACCGACGGCCGTCGATGACCAGTCAGTTGCCCTTCGTGTAGTAACAGAGTGTCTCAAGGATGGCACTGACCTCCTTTTTCATCTTCCATCCCTTCAAATATTTATACATCAAACTTATGTGGACTGACCGAAAACCTTGAACGGAACAGTCCGTTGCCGCCGCCGCCGCTCGTCAAAGTTCTCGTGTATTCCAGAGAGTTTGCTCTCAAAATCTGTCACTAACCCGGTCTTATCACCGGTATCATCCCCACCTTCGTTATCAGTGCCCAATTCTTCTTCGAGAACTCTTTGCATCTCTGAACTCTCTTCTGATTTCCCACTCTTTTGCCACGTCAAGTTTACCCTCTTCGCCTAGTAACGGGGCCTGCTCGTGTCGGTTTCACATCTTTTTACTCCCACAAACAAATCACACCCACTGAATGTTTGTTGTTTGTCTCGTCGTTTTTGCCACCTCCACAACCTTGTAAGGACTCATTCGAGTGGAAGTTCCCCGTGTCTATCCGTCCCGTCATTCATTCAATTACCTCTCCTCGTCCGTGTTTTTGTCAATTATTATTATTGTTTGTTCGGGTGGTCACAGTTCAAATGAATCACTTCAGCGATGAAACACAAAAAATCAACGCTGCTGTTACTCTTGCTTTCACTATGGACACGGGCAGCCAGTGCTAATCCCAATCAGGCATTCTATCCGTACGGAGAGCCGGCTGGAGACAGGGTAGCTTTCCGAAAAAACCGTCGTCCCTGCTAAACTTGATCTTTCAGAGACTTCCCTATGCTACAGACCAGAGCGCCATTGCCCTCGAGGTTCCGCTCATTTTCATGGAAAAGAACATCGATGAACTTTTCCTCTCGCACAATGGAATCGTCGGTCTCGGCCATGCTGTGCCGAGCACAATCCAGCCTCTCGCTGCCATTCCGGACCCGGTGATCGCCGTCTTCTACGCGCCAGTGTCCGACGGAATCATTGACTACCGAGTCACCAATTCCGACCAAGGACTGCTCACCAAACTGACCCAGGACGTGCAGAAAGTGTTTGCCGATGCAGCGGAATTCCATGGTCTTCAAGCAGTCGTTATCACATGGACAAACGTTCAGAATGCTGAGAAGGACGGCGAAGCGAGCTTCCAGCTGGCAATCGTTTCGGACGGCATCTCGACCTACTCGATCAACCACTACGGTTGCTCCCGTGGTCATCTTCCATGGGTTACTACGCGCAAACTGGATTCGTTCACTCTCTCAACAAGATTCAAACCAACGTGAACTCGGGAGGACCGGACGTCAAAGAGCTTGTGAAGTGAGAACAAACCGTCTGAAGCACGTGGCATTCGAGTAGATCCTGTATATTTTCAGTCTTTCCAACAATCAGTTCGGCAACTCGTTCATCTTCCGTGTTTCCGGATCTGCTATTGAAGATCCGAGGGACGAAGGAGGCGATGATTACGATTACAACAATTACGATCAGGAATACGAAAACGAGCATCGTGAGTCCAAAAAGCAACGAGACTTCAAACAAGATGTTTTTTTTTCAGCGGCTGACTGTCCGAAAGACAAGTTTCTGGAAAACTGCCCGTCGGAGTGCAGGACTATTAAGGACGAGCGGGGATGTCCAAGATGTATCTGTGCGGAGAGACCTTTGGTCCCTCAAGAACCAAGACCAGAACTCGAGAACAGAGTGGACGAGGACGACGAGGAAGAAGAGGAGGAAGTAGCCGGAACACGTTACGAGGAGCCAAGAAACGAGCAAGGATCAGCTGTGCCAAGTGAGAACTCTAGAACAATCAATGACAAAATGACAATTTCCAGAGATGTCCTGCTCGCAAAGAGACGAGAAGAGTTGCCACGCCAACTCGGTTTGCCAAGATTTCGAAGGCGGCTACTGCTGCAACTGCGACTCTGGATTCTACGGAAACGGAAAAGAATGTCTTCCGAAAGGAGAGCCGCAGAGAATATCTGGAAGTTTCGAGGGAGTCATCAACAGAATTCAAATCGACAAAACTGAACTTCACACTTTTGCCACGTCAACCGATGGAAATGTGCACACGGCTGTGTCTAAAGTGAGTTAACTTCAAAATGCTCTCAACTTGGCCATAAATGCAATACTCCTTCAGATACCTTCGGATCTCGGTCATCCTCTTCTCCTTCTTTATCCGATCGGAGGAGTCATGGGATGGCTTTTCGCTGACGTTCAGTCTCCGAACGTCTACAACGGATTCCAACTGACGGGCGGTCTCTTCAACAGAACCGTCACTCTTCACATCGGACAGAAGTACTACGTGACGATCAAGCAAGAGTTCTCCGGACGAAGCATCCACGACTACTTCAAGTCTCACTTGTTCGTCTCCGGAACCCTTCCGGACGTTGCTCCCGGATCAGAGGTGATCTTCCCAGATTACGAAGAAGAATACGTCAGGGAAAGAAGAGGTGAGCGATGAGAAATCGAGCAAAGAGTAGAGGAAGGAGAGAGTTACAGAGAAAAAAAGACGAGTAGAAGGAAGAGGTGACATTTGAGTTGAACGCTTAGCTTTTGTTGTTCTGTTAAGCTCTATTCTTTTGCTTTCACAATGTTTTGTTGTTATTTGGTTCACGCTGTGTCCACCCTTCTTCTTCAAATCGGATTCCTTCAGGTTATTTGACTACTCGCGCTGCTTTTGACGTCATCATCAGAAACGGCGGACAGTCGGAGACCTACAGAATGAGCGTTGAGCAGCAAATCAGTTTTGAAGAATGTCCATTCAAAGAGGTAAAATACAACTTACCTTCAACTTTTGATGAATAACTTTTCAGTTTGACCGTGATCACTCAGTGAAGCTTCACGTGAAGAGAATCAATGTTGTCTACAACGCCAACGAAGGAGTCGTTCGGTACGGAGCGAGGAACTTTGCCACGAGATCCAGTGGTCAGGCCCCAGCTTCTGCACCATCTGGAGGTCACTTTGACCGTCGTCAGCACGGACAGTCCCAATTGGCTTCTGAGAAACCGATTCTGATTCCAAGCCAGCAGGAAGAAATTCGTATCCCCAGCGACTCTGTCTGTGCGCCTGGAAGACATCAGTGCACTTTGCCGAACATGAATGCCGCATTGTGGAGCCATCCTACCGTTGCGAATGTGAACCGGGATATCAAGCCGCCCACGACGCCTCTTCCCCACTCGGATGGATTTGCGAAGACTTGGATGAGTGCCAGAGAGGAGATCACAACTGTGATCCGCATGCCAAGTGCACCAACCGACCGGGAGCTTTCACTTGCCAATGTCTGCCGGGATACCAAGGAGACGGAAGAAGTTGCGTTCGTGAGCAGTCTTCTCAGCACGAGCAACAACAACCTCAGCAGAACGTGAATGTTGGAGCCACCGCCGAAGGACTTTGTACGAATCACGGACAGTGTCACAAGTGGGGAGAATGCGTCTTCACATCGGAGCATCCGACCGGACGGTGCAAGTGCAGAGGGTGGTACGTCGGAGACGGAGTCAATCATTGCGGACCGCCGGAAGAGAAGCCGAAGCACAATGCGAACATTCCTCAGAGAGGAGGACAACCATGCGGAAGTCATGTCTGCGATGTGAATGCCGAGTGCATGCCGGAGCCAAGTGGAGGGTAAGTCTGAACGGAATAAAGGAACGCAGGCTCAGAACAAAACCATTTGCAGTCAGAGTGTGTCTGCAAAGCGGGCTTCTCCGGAAACGGTATTACGTGCGAGAGTCTTCTGGACGACCGCCATTCTCACAGAGCTCATCAGCAGCACCAGCAGCAGTCCGGATCTCTAGGTAAGCACTTGCTTTCTTCGGTTCACAGATCACGCTTCTTTAGGCACCGTTTGCCGCTCTCACGAAGAGTGCTCCGAGCACGGAAGCTGTGCTTACCATCACACTCTCGGTTATTATCAGTGCGCTTGCACTGAACCTTACGTCGGAAACGGAGTTGATTGCACTCTTCCAGGATCTTCGGCTGCAGGTAATCAAAGTTTCAAATGCTTCATCACCCACTTTCTCCCACCGCTTCACACCTTTTCCCCTTGCTTCAGCCTCTGATATTGGTTGTGATGTTACCCGCGACTGCTCTGAATTCGCCGATTGTGTCTTCGAAAGAACGGCGGATAAGACCAAATTCGTGTGTGTTTGCCAAGCGGGATACACTGGCGACGGAAAGTACTGCATGCAGTCCCAGCTTGCCATTTCAGCCCTTTCGCCTGCTGGTCAGTCCCAACTCATCCCTCCGGTTCCACCCTTTCCCCTCCCTTTCCAGGTCCTCATCTGCCTCAATTGCCCCAAACTCCGTCGATTGCCTCTTGCAATCCGAGTTGCGGACCTGATGCTCAATGCGTTTACGACGATCACAACAGGTAACAGATTCGCGTTATAGGATCATTGAGTGCATTCCATTTCTTACAGAGTGTATCGATGCGAATGCTTTGCCGCCTTCGCTGGCGATGGGTACAATTGTGTACGACTCGCCCAGCCAAACACGGTGCCGGCACATCCAAAAACATGCATTGAGTCATCCGACTGTCACATTAATGGTCATTGTGTCATCAATGACGACGGTGCCGGCGAGTACATCTGCCATTGTCTGCCGGGCTTCAGTGGGGACGGATTCGTCAACTGTCAGGGCGCCGATCAGTGCAATCCATCGAATCCGAACGCCTGCCATCAGCACGCGCACTGCGTTTACGACGAACGCGCTAACGCGCATGCTTGCCAGTGTGTGGAGGGATTCAAGGGAGACGGAGTGAACTGCGTTCCGTTCGCTCCTGCGACCAACTGCAATCTGGAGCCACGAATCTGTCACGCCAATGCTCAGTGCGTTCTTCGTCAAGACACCAATTCATATGAGTGCATCTGCAAACCAGGATCTTCCGGAGACGGATACACAAAATGTGAAGTGGCTGGTGAGATCATAGCGACAAAAACATTCAAGACAGAAATGTAAACTTTCAGAGACTCCGCGATGCTCAAACTGCTCGATCCACGCCTACTGTGCCCAGAATCCAACGAACGGAGCGTATCAGTGCAAGTGCAATGCCGGCTACAACGGCAATGGATATCTGTGCGTATCCATGAGCTCCTGCCTCGACGACCGTTCTCTTTGCGACACCAATGCCGACTGTGTGCCTGGAGAAGCCGGGCACTACGTTTGCAACTGTCATTACGGTTATCACGGAGACGGAAGGACCTGCTCTCGTGAGTTCGAATTCAAATACTGTTTCACACTTAGACAAATACATTTCAGCGTACTTTTTCTCAATGGAAATTAGGTCAGGATCTTCTAGATTCTCTGATCTGATCGTGGTCCTTGTCTTTTTCCTTATCAGGTTACTGTCCCGTTGTGTTCGTTCCCTTTGTTTCATTCCTCACGCATTTTTATTGGGTTCCATGTTACAGCTATTATCTTTTACTATGAAACGTTCGAACATTCGTCTCATCCTTTTCATTTTCAGCCGACTCATCTACTAGAAGTGACAAACTTCTGGTCGCCCGCGGCATGGCCATCTTCGAACGCTCAACAAACCCTGACGAGTACGGAAAGCAGCTGATTGTGATCCCCCACCATATCCCTGTTGGCATCGACTTTGACTGTCGCGACGAGAAAATCGTGTGGAGTGACATGTCTGGACACTCGATCCGCACCGCTTCAATGAACGGAACCGAGCACAAGTCGTTCCTGAGCAAGGAACTGAGCAGTCCTGAAGGAATCGCCGTCGATTGGTCCTCTCGCAATGTTTACTACGCGGACTCTTTGAACGACGAAATCGGAGTCGCCTCGTTGAACGGAAAGTTCAAGAAGTCTCTGATCACGGAAGGACTCGTCAATCCCAGATCCCTCGCTCTCGATCTCTACGGCCGTCATCTGTATTATTCGGACTGGCATCGTGAGAATCCGTACATTGGAAGAGTCGACATGGACGGAAAGAACAACCGAGTGTTCCTCAACGAAGACATTCACCTTCCCAACGGCCTTGCCATTCTGCCCAACCGCCGTGAGCTCTGCTGGGTAGACGCTGGAAACCACCGACTCTCGTGCATTCAATACAATGGAGCCGGAAGGAGAACTGTGTTCAGCAGTCTCAACTATCCATTCGGACTGACTCACGACGAAGAGCAAAAGTTCTACTGGACTGACTGGAAAGAGTGAGTTAATCGCGGCATCAATCTCTCAGAATACACTATTCGTTTCAGCAACCGCATTCATTCTGTGGGTGTCTACGGAGAAGGCTACCGTAGCTTCCAAATCTCGCTCGGCGGTTCCGGAAAGGTGTTCGGCATCCTGGCAGTGCCCAAGTCGTGCGTCGGCCCGGCCACTCCGTGCGGCGAGGACAACGGCGGATGTGCTCATTTGTGCCTTCCGGGCAGAACGGAGCAGTCTGCGAGTGCCCGGACAACACGAAAGTCAAGGGATGCTGACAAGGATCCGCTCTTCATCTCATTTCACTGCTTCTCTAATCTTCCTTTCCATTACTTATTTATTTGTGTACTACGGTGTACCTGTTGCTTTTAAGTTTATCCATTATTTTATCTTTCTTTCTCACTAAAAGTATGACTTTGAATTCGAAAACCTTCATGTTGCCCATCAATATTCTGCAATTTTCATCAATTCCATGATAAAACCTCACTTCTTTCCTCCTTGAGTCTATTTCGCTCAAACCAAACTCCGAAATGTGACGGAAAACAGGAAAAGTGGGCGGGAGCGAGCACAAATCAGCGACTGCGACGGCGTGATAAAAGCATGGCGGACAACGTGCTTGATAAGAGAGTGAGGGGCTCTCGGAGCGACAACAATGAGATCCTGGAGCACCGTCGTGTTGGCTGTACTTGCCACGTCTGCATCTGTCTTCGGACATGACTCCGATCCGGAAATGAAGATGACTACGGTGAGTTTAGGTCAAATAATCGGATAGGTCAAGAGAATATTAATACTAGAGAAAGTGGATTTCAAGAGATTCGGAGTAACTTTCCAAAATCGACAATATCACCCATAATCGTCCGATCATCATTCTTCTGATTATGATGCTCATTCCACTCTCCTAATTTCAGCCTCAAATTGCAATGCGCTGGGGCTATCCGGCAATGATCTATGACGTCACCACCGACGACGGATACATTCTCGAATTGCACAGAATCCCTTACGGAAAGAGTGAGACCATTTACCAAGAGACACAAATTCATTTGACCCAATTGCAGCCAATGTGACGTGGCCAGGCGGAAAGAAGCCAGTCGTGTTCATGCAGCACGGACTGGAATGCGATTCTTCCAACTGGGTCGTCAACCTTCCCGATGAGTCCGCCGCGTTCATCTTCGCAGATGCCGGATACGATGTGTGGATGGGCAACTTCCGTGGAAACACCTACAGTATGAAGCACAAGAACCTGAAGCCGTCCCATTCGGCTTTCTGGGAATGGTCGTGGGATGAGATGGCGGAGTACGATCTGCCGGCGATGATCGGCAAGGTTCTGGAAGTGACCGGAGAGGAGAGTCTCTATTATATCGGGCACTCGCAGGGAACACTCACTATGTTCAGCAGACTTTCCAATGACAAGGATGGATGGGGAAACAAGGTATGAGCACATTCTGCGGAAGTCATTGCAATGTGATATTGCAGATCAAGAAGTTCTTCGCCCTTGCTCCCGTCGGATCTGTGAAGCACATCAAGGGAGCCCTCAAGTTCTTCGCCGACTACTTCTCTCTTGAGTTCGATGGATGGTTCGACGTGTTCGGATCTGGAGAATTCCTCCCCAACAATTGGATCATGAAGCTCGTTTCTGAATCGATTTGCGCCGGACTCCAAGTGGAAGCCGATGTTTGCGACGACGTCATGTTCCTCATCGCCGGACCAGAATCGAACCAAGTCAACGCGGTAAGCCCTACAAAACCAATATGCCACTACTCATTCCTTTTATTTTCAGACTCGCGTCCCGATTTACGTCGCTCACACTCCGGCCGGAACTTCCACCCAAAACATCGTCCACTGGATCCAGATGGTCCGCCACGGAGGCACTCCATACTATGATTACGGAGCGAAGGGAAACAAGAAGCATTACGGACAGGCTAACGCGCCGTCTTATGACTTTACCAATGTGAACCGCCCAGTCTATTTGTACTGGGGAGACTCTGATTGGCTGGCCGACCCGACTGACGTCACCGACTTCTTGCTAACTCATCTGAACCCAGCCACCGTTGTGGTATGTATCAAAACTGTTCAACCGGATTTCAAATGTTTCTCTTTCCAGCAAAACAACAAATTGACGGATTACAACCATTTGGACTTTATTTGGGGGCTTCGAGCACCCAAAGACATCTACGAGCCTATCATCGAAATCGTGAGAGAAGACGTGCTGAACGGAAGTGCCTAAACTGCATAATTTCTTGTCATTTGACTCTAATCCTTATCAGAACTGTGTCAGTATTAATTAACTGTACATAAACTGTGTGATCTTTGTGAAAATGAAAATCAGCTCCTGCCCTGATCAGTATCGCCACGAAACGAATGACGAAAGCGATAAGGGCTCGGAAGATAACGAAGTCACAAGGCCAACACGTTTTCCGCGATGATCGAGAAATTTGCGAACTTTCACGAGATTGACATGCAGTCGGGGAGCGGTTGGATTCTGAAAAAGAAGGAAACTTCTGAAAATCTGAAAATTTCTGCCAGACTAAGTTCTGAAGGTTATATACTCGATTGCGTGCCCGCAGACTACATTCTAGCCGACGTAGGAGGGGACGACAGCGTAGTGATCGACTGTTATCACTTGACATTTACCTTCCCATTTCGTTTTCTTTCTCTTTTCCCAATAAAACGTTAGGTTGTGTTCGTCTTCAAAACATTTTTCTGAAACACGTATCTTTTCAGTGATTTCCTCAAAAATGCCGAATAACTGCCGCCGTTTCGAAGGAAAAGTGGCGATTGTGACGGCGGCGACGAAGGGGTGAGTCTTCGACTGCTGCTGCAACACTCGGCACACAAAATCACACTGATAAAACTACGGAATTGTTCAGAATCGGTCTCGCCATCGCCGAACGTCTTCTGGCCGAGGGAGCGTCCGTTGTGATTGGCAGCAGAAATCAGAAGAATGTGGATGAGGCGGTCGAGTATTTGAAGAGCAAGGGGCTCACTCAAGTGGCCGGAATCGCAGGACACATCGCCAGCACTGATGATCAGAAGAAACTGGTTGACTTTGTAAGGGACATTTATACATTTTTTGCTTTACAGGAAAGAATTTAACTGTAACATTTTCAGACCATTCAAAAGTTCGGAAAAGTCAACATCCTTGTCAACAATCATGGAATCAACCCGGCATTCGGGCACATTCTCGAAGTGACCGATCAGATTTGGGACAAACTGTTTGATGTGAACGTGAAGGCCGGCTTCCAGATGACCAAGCTCGTGGCTCCGTTGATCGCCAAAGAAGGCGGAGGCTCGATCATCTTCAATGCGTCCTACTCTGCCTACAGAAGTCCGCCGGGAATCGCTGCCTACGGAGTCACCAAGACGACCGTCGTAGGGCTCACAAAGGCTCTGGCGATGGGACTAGCGAAGGATAACATCCGAGTGAACGGAATCGCTCCGGGAGTTATCAAGACCAAGATGAGCGAAGTGGTGAGGAATTGAAGAAGCGACTGCTTGCAAAGTGTTCATTTTCAGCTATGGGCAGGAGGAGAAGAAGCCGAAAAGGAACTGACGGAAGTGCAGGAGATCGCCCTCGGAAGGCTTGGAGTCCCAGAAGATTGTGCCGGCACGGTGGCCTACCTCGCTTCAGATGACGCCGCCTACGTGACCGGAGAGATGATCGTCGTCGCCGGAGGAGTTCAAGCCCGTCTCTAAACTACATATCCCTTTTATACGTACACCATTTCTGTATGATTGGAAATAAATCAGTGCCGTTGGCTGCCCTAATTGTTTGCTTTTGCTCACCAACCCATTTCACAACACCCGTGGTGGTTTCGTTTCCGGTGCCGGCCCTAAATCAACCGAAATAATCGGAGGGCGCGAGATTTGACACTGTTTGCTCTGCTGACTGACCATCGGCGCCCCGAATCCGCCTCCTCCCGCGAGGCACTGACATTTGCACTGTGATAGCCAGTCTGCCTGCCATTCGTCCCGTTTGATGTGCCCAGATGCGACGAATCTTGCTCTGCTGGCTCGCCATCGCCGCCATCATCATGCAGACGGTGTCCGCGAAGAAGTTCATGAAGATGTTCGCAGATGCCGGCATCGGGATTCATTGTCCTTCCGGTTAGATTTATGCATGGAAGTGTCTCTTCACTTTTGATTATTTTCAGGAAACAAAGTTTATATTCACCCTATCAGTGGGGATTTGCAATTGTGCAAGCAGCAGCTAGGAGTCTACAATGAGACAAGTTGTCCCGGAGGAACTGCCTGCGAAAGGTTTCCCATTCTTATCCCTGGTTTTCAAGTGAGTATGATCCTCTGATTCATTTAATATCTTATTTGGTTTCCAGGACTACTGTTGCTGGTCTGAAAACAATCCAGAATCCGAAAACTCCTCGGAACTCTCCGAAATTGTCATGCCCATGTCGAAACGGAAGCCGGGGGTTACTGTAGAGCCAATTGATGAAGAGGAAAACGAGAAAACGTTTCCGATTGACGAAGAAGAAGAAGAGGAAGATCTGAAGATCGAGAGGAAGAATTTGCCAAAGAAGAGAGTGAGTGAGGAAGAAGAGGAAGAAGACATCGAGTGGGAGTTCGAGACGACGACGGTCAAGCCGAGGAAGACGAAAAGCAGAAAGATCCCTGTTATCACCACAACAGAACCACCCTTGCTCATCACGACGACTGTAAAGTGAGTAAAACAATTATCGCGTAGCTCTACAATACAATTTTCTTCAGAAGTACACCATCTCGTCGACCTCAATGCAATGATCCAGAGAAAACGGTTTTGATTGACTACGGAAACCGATTGAGAGATTGCTACTTTACAGTTAGTTCCTTATTATTTCGAATATTTCTAGCGTCAAACTTCAGCAATGTCTGCGTGGTTTCAAATGTGAATTCAACCGCGAAATCCGTCGATTCATCTGCTGTGGAAATGAAATCGACGTGCCACCGGCCGGACTTCCCACTATTCCCGAGCCAGTTCCTGTTCTGAAACGTCGCCCATTCCGGCCAACTAACAGACCATTCGGAAGACTGAATGACGGGGAAGATGAAGAAGAAGAATACGTGACGGGCGGCCCACGGAACCCGATTGTTCCGATCAGTCCGATGGGTCCGATGGGTCAGATGGGTCCAATTGGCCTCCGAAAGTGGAACAGATGGTTGGAAACAACATTGAATCCACCGCAATTCCGAATCCGAATAGGAAAGGAAAATACGACGAAGACGATGACTATGAGGACGGCGACGGAGGAAATGGATGCGGAGGAAACGGATGCACATTCGGAAGAGGAAGAGGTGGCCAGAACTTGGGCGGTGGATGCGAAATGAACTGTCGAAGGAGCGGAGGAAGAGGCGGAAACAATGAAGGATGTGAAATGGGATGCAGAAGAGGAAGTAATGGAAATGGAAATGGAAACGGAAATGGAAACCGAGGAGGAGGAGGAGGAGGAGGAAGCAGTCAAGAGTGCGGCAATGGGGGATGTCCTTGGAACGGTGGAAATAACAACGGGAACCGTCCCAGAAGACCTCGTCCCGACACTGATTTCGAGGAAAATGAGAATGGATGCGAAGCGGATTTGAGTGGAGCGGGCGGAGGGAACAGCAACGGAGGACCGGTGCCTCCGATCCCAGAGCCGAAGCCTCTTTGCAAAGGACTTCAGTTCAAGAAGTCCGGCGGGAATGGAGGAGATGGGAATGGCAGGAATGGGGGTGGGAATGGAAACAACAACAACAACAAGGGACCACCTCCAAGGAATAGCGGGAACGGGGGTGGGAATGGAAACGGAAATGGCAACGGCAACGGAGGAAGACCCATGAAGCCTTCCCGCCTTCTGGATCCGGCTCCAACCAATCGAGAAGAAATGGACCGCCACCTCCACGATCTGGAAGTGGAAATGGAAATGGGAACAGTAATGGAAACGGAACGGAGGAAGAAACAGTGGAAATGGAGGAAGTGGAAACAGAAGAAGCAACAATAACAATGGAAGTGGAAGTGGAAGTGGCAGCAGCAGCAATAACAACAATAGCAACGGAGGTAATGGTGACAACTGTGACTTCGATAACCGTTGTGGAGGAGGATATGGGAATGGAAACGAGAATTTGCGATTCAGCAGTCGAAAGCGTAAGTTTTTCCCATCCGATCCCATCTTTTCAACTTCCCTTCTCGTTTAGAGCCTCCGCCATCGTCGTCTAACAATAATAACAGCCACGGCGACAGAAAGGTACCTCGTTCCGTTCCATTCTTCCCACCTCATTCACCCAGTGAGTTCCTCTCTTGCATGACTCTCTTTCGCTTTCTCTTTCTGCAGTAATCCTAAAAACCGGCAGAATTACAGTCCACAAGTGTCCGGAAGGAGCAGAGTATCTAGATGGATTCACCGCGCCCAAGTGTCTACCTCCAGCCATTGATTCCTGTCCAATGACCCATAATAAGTAGGCATTTCCGCAAATGTGAACTGGAAATCTAACCTGAAACTTGATGTTTTCAGATGTGTTTATTCCGCCCGATTCGGTCATCACGTCTGCTGCAAATCGCATTGAAAACATGAGTAACAACATGTCACCAGAAACGAACATTCCGGCAATTCAGAGTTCTATAATTTATTTAGTGAATCAATTCGGTTTTTTTTTCAATAAAGTCCTTCCAGTCACCTTCCGTTTGTTTCAATTTGTTCCTTTCCACCGTCCAAACGCATTAGAGGCACCCATTAGTGGGTGGAAGGAAGCCTCCCTTCTTTGAGAACATCTTCAGATGAAGCTGTCCTTGCTGCCGCTAATCCTTCTGTTCACTTCTTCTGTTCACTCAATATTTCTAGTTTGATTCGTTCTCGCAAAGCTCGCGCCTCGCAAATCACAAAGTCATGGATATCCTCTCCATTTTCGTCCTCCAGATCGGATCGAACCGATTCTCCGCCTATTGAGGTCAACCTTCAGTCGGGGCTCTCCTCGATTCGCACGCTCTCTCCGCGTCTCCAGCATCTCATTTATTTCTTAGAATTCCCGACACGTCGCCTCTTTTGAAGAATCGACACTTCGCAACTTTGTTTCGTTTCCATAGCGCTTCCTCACTTTCGCTCGCCGATTTTCCCCCCGCTATCAACGCCCTGTATCAACTATCGCTTTCACTTTGCCATTGACCGTGAGGGCCGACAAGATGGTTGCCAACCGCAGCTTCCACACACAAACATCCTTCTTCGCCCCCGTGTCTCTCTCTCTTTCTCTCTCAAAAACCGCTTCGAAGCCTTTTTGTGATCGTGTCGGCGGGGGATGTATAAGTCCTCCTTGCCTCATCTCCCGTTTCACTTTCCGCCCACTCTTCACCGAACCACTTGCTTACCACAGACCTTTTTCTCCGCTATCTTTCTCTCCTCCCACTTGGGTCCTGTTTTATTCCAGGCAATGAACCTACTGCATGTCTTCTTTTCATCCCTAATCTCAATCGTAGTGATAGAGTGCCAAGTGAGAGCCCTTTTCTTCTTTTTCACGTCAATTCACAGTGTTCTAGGTCGCCCCAATTGTGCATCCGGCTCTGCTCGAAGGTCCTCAGAATGAAGTGGTGCCGTCGCTGATCTTTCCAACCAACCGAGTAGCCAAGAACCGTCTGCGATCCCGAGTGTTCCGTGATGCTTCTTCACAAGGTAAACGACCTTCCGATGACAGCTTTCACCTCCGAATATCGCATTTCAAGGCTACAAGGGGCTGATAGACAGTCCCCGCTTGTTCCGTGCTTCTGGCCGTTTTCATAAGCGGGTTCAATCCGCCACAACGCACGATATTCAAAGTGTTCCGTTGCCACAAGGTCAGTGTGAAACTGGATCAACGACGGTTAATCCGAAAGTTCAGACGCCGTCCAAATAGTCTCGTACAAGTACGATGCAGAGAAGCATAACGAGAAAAAGATGTCGGACAATGATATCATTACGAACGAGGAAGCCGAAGACGTGAGAAAAGCAGGAATGATTATTTGTTCATTGACTTTATGTTAATTTCAGCACGCGCGTGCGATCGAAAGAACGACGATGGCTGTGAAGATCAGAGAGGAAGAGACGACGTCGACGACTGCTCCGGTGACGACGACTACGCAGATGCCGGAGCACAACTCAATCAATGAAATCAACGGATCCTTAAACAGCCCGCAAACCCGTCCGAAAACATTCTCACAAACGGTCACGGCCTACGGATCCGCTGGCCCGTCCAACCCAATTCAACAGGTAACTAAATTCAGTTGACTTTCATGAAAACGATTACCATTTCACATTCAGCTACCTCTTCAACCCCAACCTCCTCTCGTTTTCTCTCCACAACCTCCACTCGCCCCTCCGACTTTCACCATGCCGAGTCTCATTGCTCCTGGCCAGATTCAGCAGGGAATCCAGCAGCAGAACATTCCTCCTCAGCAACCACCACCCGCTTTTCCACAAACTCCGATTGGTCTGAACCCGATTGGAATTCCTCATCAACCATCGAATGCTCTCGTGGCTGGAGTACCGAACTTCCCTCAGCAGCCAGTCACTCTCACGCCCACTGGAACCAATCCGACGCCCTCTGTGAGTCTATTCAACTTCATATCTTCATCTTACGTTTATCCTCAGATCGGAGGACTGTCCCCTAACCAAGTGAACCCGGGAGTCTTGCCCCAACAGCCTCTCCAACCTCCGCAGTCTGCTCTGTCTCCGAATGCGAACGAAGAGAAGCACGACACTCACGAGCAGTTGGGCTGCGGATATGACTGGCTCACCAACTCCTGCAAAGACGTCTTCGCCCTCAACTGGTGCGGGAAGTGTCACGACTTTGGAAACATCTTCCTGCACGACTGCAAGTGCGTCGCGCCCCTTATTCCCCTGCCCACAACGGTCCGCCCGTCGCCCCCTCCGCCGCCTCCGCCGGCTCCTCAACGACATCCGCTCTTCTTCTGGCTCATTTGAGCGGCTCTTCTAATAATCCTGATGATATTCACTATGATCTCCGTCCGTCTCTTACTCTCCCTTCACACCCATGTTTTATTTGTTTGCAACTCTGGAACGTCTTCGAAGAAGAACAAAATGTAATTATTTATGTGCATTCTTATTCACCATAAACTTTTCACTTTCACTCTGCCTCTGCCATTTTTTGATCATAATTTTTGGTCGTATTTCTACTGTACAAATGCCAACGCTCCAAATCTTCCAGAAGATGCTCGGCCTTCTCCGTCAGAATCTCCTTGTACTCTTCCACGTCTTCCGAGTTCGAATAGGCTAGTTTTGCCTGAAATTGACAAATGATAAAAACACGTGCTGATAACGATTAAAACGATTTCACCTCTGCAATCGGGCCGTACATCGGCAGCATGACCAGGCCTCCGGTTACAAAGTAGTGTCGATAAGACTCTTTGAGCTACAAACAGACGCACGGTTACAGACTATTTTTGATAGACACTTGTCACCTGCTCAAGAGTGTAAGGAGCTTTCTGATCGGCGAGGGCATCCACGAAGTAATCATAGAATTGTTCGACGAGCTTCTCCCAGTACACTTGACGATCGGAGCCGGAAAGGCAGGAAAGGAAGAGACGGACGAGGTCTTCGGCCGGGTTTCCCATGTGAATGAGCTGATAATCAATTACCCTGCTGACGGAGAAGTGTCCCTCGTTCTCTTCCTTCCACAAAATGTTCGCCGCCCAGAGGTCTCCATGCACCAGGACGTCACGTTCGATGCCTAAAATAAAACCTCTCTTATCGTCTCAATCAACAAGACTCCAGTGACTATCACTTACCCACATACTTATTCAGGTTGCATGCCAATTCGAAGTTGACCAGTTCCGTTCCGAGGGCCTCCAACTTATCGGCTTTCTCGGTCAGTCTATCCCTGCTGATGTTGCGCGTCTGCTCGAAGTTTCTCTTCATTCCATCCTCGTCCATCATCTGTCCCACTAACTGTTTGAAATCGAATCCACTGATGCTCTGCCGCTCCTCGTCACTCAAATGGAGCCCTTCCACTTGAAGCGTTGCGAGAGATTTCAGGACCGGATGCAACTCGTGAGGCTTCGCATTCGCGTACAAATGTCTGATTGTGACATTATCCACAAACTCCATTCCAAGAAATCCTTTTGTCTTGTTATCCGCCGAGAATTGCTTCGAAAAGTAGATCTTCGGGCTCAACAGCACGTCATTCTGATTCCACTTTTCAGTGATCTTATAGAGATTCACTTCGCGGTTGTGCAGAGATTGGGCCTCGTTCTCAAAATAGCCCAAAGCTGAGCTTCCTGCTCTTCCGTGATGTTTCCCGGACTGCTCGCCTTCATCTTATCAACCAATGCGTGCACGTGGAGGCAAGAAGTGATTTTTAGAATGAACTTGTCCGGAAGATGATCGTCAGACACTGTCCATTCCGGCTCCACGAGGATCACACGGCTCATGAATCCCTGTAGACGAAAAATGAGTTAATATAGGATATAGCACACGAAAGCAGACTCACATTTCCATCTCCGATCACTGTGTACTTGGAGTTCGATCCGAGTCTCGCCCCGGTGTTCATCTGCTCCGCTATCACTTCCTGCACATCCTCCAGATGCACATGAGTATTGAAGAGACCTTCGCCGTTCTCCAGAATAGTCGACTGCTTCGGTGTCATTGTTTCTAACACACAATCTGAGTCAGGCGGTGACCCCTCGATTAAATACTCCGGTGCGCTCCGTGGTTTCTGCCGCCTTCTTATCAATCAAGACACAAAATGAGGCGTCCTTTATTGGGAGGCGTTTTCCGAATGAATACGGTTCCATCGCGTCACGTGGAGACAAGAAAACGAGCCATTTTAATAGCAATTCATGAAATTGTAGTTGGCGTGCTTTCCGGAACCAAACAATAGAAAATGAGAGAACTCGGAAGAACAATGTTTGGTTTTCTAAATTATCAGCGTATTCTGTAAACTTTGTCCAGTTTTCACATGTCTCATGCCTCATGTTATTTTCTTTTGTACAAGTGAGAGTCGAAGCTACGTTTTATTCCGCGGAAGCATCATCTGGTCATCTACTTCTCGCCTATCCCAAGGACTGCTTCAAGAGGACGAAGAGGACTGACTTGAGGAAGAAGACGTCTCAATCGGATATCTCTAAAATCGTGAACATCTCATTTGACTAATACATGATCAAGAACGTTTTTCAAACACTAGTTTTTCATATGCGAAATTTTCAAAATTGAATATTTGTAAATTCATGCCAACTGGAAAGCCCCCGCGTCCCCGATGTTGCGAGAAAGAAGTCACTCGCTCCGCATAGTAATTAGAAAGGGATCAAACACCCTTAGCACACTGTTTCAATGTTCTCCATCCCCCGTTCAGATCCGAAAAAAGGAGAGGGTTTCTTTGTGGGATTAAAAGTTCTCTTCCTTCGCCGACCGCCCGCTTCTCCGTTCTCACTTTCCAAGGATTAGCCTCAATACAGGTTGGAAGGGGCCCCCAGTGCGGGGCACACAAAGGAACTGTAGCCACCTGCATTCTTCTCGGCTTCTCCTTCTTCTTCTTCTTGTGAATCCGGCCGCTAACCACACTGTCCAATTCAATCCAAGGCCCAGAATGCTGAGTGCTCTCATCCTCCTCCAGTTGCTCATTCCTCCCAGTTCGCAGTTCTTCTTCGGCGGAGCTGGAGGTGGAGGCGGTGGCTGCGGATGTCCGTGCCCGGTCCCCCCGCCCGTTCCCATCTGTGCTCCTCCTCCGATTTGTGCTCAACCTGCTCCGTGCTCCTCTCCTTCCTACGCTCAACCTACCTCCTATCCTCCTATCCCTCCTATCCCTCCTACTCTTCCTACCCGTCTTCCTATCCCGCATCGCCATTCTATCAAGTGAGTTCCTCATGTTCCATGTTTCCTTCTTTTCATTTCCTTCTTTTCAGCCCGGTTGGTCTCCCGCCTCTTCCTATTCCACTTCCTACTCTGCCGCTCCGCCCCCGCTCCTCATCCCTTCCGCTCCTTCCTACGTGGCTCCGGTCTCCGCGCCCGTCTACTCGGTGGCTCAATCCATCCGGTGCCCGGTCCGTTGCCTCCTTCTCCTCTTTTCGTTCCGGCTCCTCCGCCGCTTCCGATCTCAGTCAATGACAGATATGACAAGTTAGTATTATTGGTTTAGTCTCAAAGCAAGTTAGCCCGTTTCTCAGAATCGCCATCGTCACTTCCATCGCCACGACGGCCTCCTATCAACAGATCGGATACTCTCCGGCTACCGTAAGAAAAAGAGACGTGCCAGGAAAGTAGTGTCCGATTCAGAGTATTTATGAGAAGCAGTACGACGAGGAAAACAGTTTGGAAGGGATGGCCCCGCCCCCGCCGCCTCCGCCTCCAGTTGATCCTCCAAAGTTCGTTGAATTCTGATTTTGGGTTGAAGCCACGATTGATAATAATTTGTAGGGAGCCTATTCCAGTACCGATCACGTACGACTACCGTACTTCTGAAGTGATGACGCCCACGGGCTACTACAAACCGGCATATGTGCCCAATTACATCGAAGACGCCTCGGAAGAGGGACCACTCGTGGAAAAGCAGGGATACTGGGCGAAGGGACCGCCCATCCCGTACTCGTCTTCCAAGTACGACCAGTTTGAAAACAGACACAACATTCTGAAGCGAATGAAGACGGAATCAATCCCTCGGACGAACAACACTTGCAATTCGATCAAATTGGCCAATGTGATGATGAGAGCGATTGTGCAAGACGTGACCGTTTCGAAGAGAATGATTCAGCACGCAACGAAGCTGGCCTTTGATGGTGCAAAATTCGATGTGTTCTGTGCTATCGGCGAATTCAGCTACAGTATTCACTCGCGTAAATACTGCGAAGTGACGAAGGAGGAGGTAACTTGCTTCGCATTCCGTTGACCGATATTATCATAATGGTTAGATTAATGTATTTTTCTGTAATACACCACTTGGAATAAATGAGGAAAAATCAAATTGCACTATTCCCGGTAACAGAAGAAAAAGTGATAATAACACACGAAAAAGAGTGAAAAGGCCAAACGGTGTTTGCTATGGGAGGAGGGAGGACAACGCAATAAATTACTAGGATAACTTGGTTAATAACTTAATTAAGGCTTTGGGGGCATGAATCACAAGGACTATCGATTATCACATTAGCTTTCGTTCTGATGCGCCTGCATCCATCACAGTAGTTGTTTACCCATCTCTTGTAAATCGTGAGGCAATAAAGCTCTGAACAAGTTATCGAACATTTTGAGTGCATTTTGGAGAGTGCTTGGGATTGATCGGGAGAGCCAGACGTGCTGGAACTGTCCACGAACACGAAGCATTCTGAAAAGAAGTAGTGTAAACTGCACTCGTTGAGGGAGCTCACGTGTTGGCCAAGTCAGTTCGAATCGGCGCAGGCAGGTTAATGACTCCGACCCGCCCCGGTGAGTACGGCAGTCCTTCTTCGAAGCTTTTCTTTCTATCAATCGGATGTGTCCCGTAGACACACATGTACTGCCCCAATCTGCTCACAAGTACCATCAACTCGGTGACCAACCGAATCTCTTCAAGAACCAGCGCAAGATCGTAATTGTAAGGGAGGAGCTTGCTGGCAGCGTCGAGAGCAGAAGAAGTCCGTTTTAGTTCAATTCGTGCTTTCTTGAATACGACCGGAGTAAGTCTCTCCATATTCATATTCTCCGGATTCAGAATCATCTCGACGAACACTGAGATCGGCATTTTCTTGTTCGCGGATATTCCGAAGAGTGTCGTTTCTGATGCCGATGAAATGTCGGCATTTGCATTCGGAGAACTGCTGCTATTCGGTTTCCAGTATCCATACGCGTACTTTGTCAGCTGATGCTCCACTTTTCCGAGTGTTTGTACTTGCTCAAACAGACTGACCATGTCACTAAAACAGATAAATGATAATAGTTTGAGCACCTTTTCTCACCCGTCGAGAAGCATGTGATGAGCAGCCACCACTGGCAGAAGGAAGGCGTACTTCTTCATATCAGTCGCGCTATTGTAAGCAACGCCGACAGAGGCGAGCATTGACATGTAAGAAAGCGAAGGTGGCATCGCTTCGCATCCCGTTGAAAGATCGCAGACCATCGAACCGAGAACCGTCTGTCGGTCACTGAGCTTGGCAGCCAGCAACGCCTTTTTGGCAACCGATTCCGGGGCAGCGCACAGATATCCATCATCGCCAGTTGAGAATTTTATGACGATCGAGACGCGAGGAGACACGAACTTTTCAACATCGAACGGCCATGTTCCCTCGACGCACAGAGTTATGAACGGCGGAAGCGTCGAGAGGAGAGAGCTGTTTTTCTCATCAACATGGGTCGAGAGGAAGATGCGAGGGACACGTCGCTGGATAGAGGTCAGCACTGGAATAATAGGATGGTCGAATAGTAGTTGTGAGAACGAAGTTACGTTTCCGATCCGAAATGAGAAGACTAGCAAGGTTCGGTCCGAAGTGAACTACTTTGCAAAGCGGGAAATCGTCGAGGAACTGATCGATAATCACTCTTGCTTGGTCACCTTCCAAATAGTTTGATTGCGTGTCAATTGATGGCACGAACTTAAAAGAAAACTTCAGTTTCAGGCATGATTTCTAAATTACCGTAATGAAAAGTTCTTGACAAACTTGCATCATGTGGAACAGTTCGCGATTCGTATACGGCAGCTGATACCGATCAGTCGTTCTCACTTCAAAGTTTATGAACAAGTAGTTGGCCTTGCAGGAAGAGAGACGCGTCGCCAGTTTCAAAACCTGAAAATAGATTGATAATAAAAACTCGATCAATTCCTGAACATACCGTATCCGGGTTTAAGATTCTGCATCCAGAGAAGTCTTGATAAACGGCTCTGAATGAGCGATCGGGCTGATCTCTGATGGTGAGTTCCTTGATTGTTCCGTCTGGACCGATATCCGGTAATTGCTTGGAAACACCACTTCCATTCAGGAAACTGTGATCTCCACTCGCATTTCCATTCGGAGTGCTTGGAACGTTGGGCACGCCGTTTGGCAGCTGTTGCCCACTGTGTCCCGCCATTTTTTGTTGAGCGTATTTATGAAGTCTGACAATTTGCACAAAAGTAGCGAACGCATGCCTAATTCCAGCGTAATCAGATCCGACAACTTCGACTCCTCGAACGGCGTCGATAGTGAGAGTGTAGGATCCAGAAGGACGGCCGTCTTCGAACACTCCGCACGTTACTTTTCCTTCCAGTGCAGAGGTTTCGTGATCGGCCAGTCGGTGTCCTGTAATAGTTTCTGGATTTGTGATTAGTACTAGAAGAAAAAGTAAGCCACCTCTATATTCAATATCAACTCCGACGCACGTCAGAAGGGGCTTGCTGAGTTCGATGATTTGCATCACTTGTCGCGGATTTGCACTAGAACAGTCATCGAAGTACACTTTCAGCTTTCCATCTTTAGGAAACTCGAAGTTGCGAGTGGAATGATGCTTGATCGAGATCAACTTTGGCTGTGGCCAGAGCAAGTCGGTCCAAGAGTCAATATCTCCGTCTCGGTACTTGTCGTAGTTCGGACTGTCGGTGAAGATTTGTGTGGTCAGCGTTTCCGTGCATGAGATCAGCGACATTCTGTCATCCATATCGTCGACGGATCTGTGTTGTCGCACATCTCTCGCAATTTGATCCATGCTCAAAAGCGACAAAAGAGCAGGATTGTGTGTTTCGGCGATGGCAAACGCATCCTGACCTTTCTTTGTTTTTAGAGACGGATTCGCTCCGGAAGCGAGCAATAGTTTGACTATTTCTCCGTCTCCCTTTTTGACGGCCGTATGCAGCGGAGTTTCATCTTTCTCGTTGGCCAAATCGACAGATGCTCCGTTAGTCAGTAGCGACTTTACAACTTCCAGAGTCGAAAAATCGGCAGACCAGTTCAGCAACGTGTTCTTTGTTTGTGGCGTGTCCACCGAATCAATTGGCACTCCAGCACGAATGAGTTGGCAGAGACGTTCCGTTCTGCAAACATTTCAATTTCGTTATTTCTTTCTTTCTTTCTTGCTATGGAAAAGTTTGATAGAGAGGAATTGGTGCGAATCAGCACCTATTCGGATAGACGCAACAAGTGGCCACTCGCTATGCAGGTACACTTTCTCATTACAAAAAATTTTCATTTTAGAAATTCAGGCTCAAATGACTACGGGACCTGGCATCAGTACTCCAGGATTCTTCCCGCAACCACGTGCTCAGAGCGACTCCAACGTTGACGATGTTCCTCTGAACAGCGTTTACGTGGCCAGTGCTCTGCGCAACCGGCAAGACGCGAAATCTGGATGATATAATTTATAAAGCTTTCTTACTTATCCATGTTGATAGATTGAAGTGCCTCTCGTACAAACGAAAGTCGTACGGCTTCCGACTTGCAGCATTGATATGCCGTCTTGCCCTGCGAGTTCTGCACGCACGGGTTGACACCGCCGGAGAGCAGAGAAGCGACGCTGTCAGCAGCATCTGCAAAACTTTTTGTAATAGAGCTATTGGAAATGAAAACTACCTAGGTCTACAGCCTTGTGAAGCAGCGTTCCTTCTTTGCAACACAGTTTGTCAACTTGCGCGTGGAAATCCGTCTGAGCTTCTGGAACAAATTACTTCCAGGTTGCAAAGTTTAGAGAATACTTACTCATTTGTGACAGTATGGAGCAAATGACGTCGACACGGCCGCTCTCGAGGCACTGCAAGAGCACCGGAGCGGCTTCTTCCTTTTCACCCATGTCGCTGAAATTGAAAACGGAAATTTAGAAATTCTGGAGGATGAGGGATAGAGGAAAGGACGGACAACACGGTCAACTAACACGCTTGAGTGGTCGGAAAGCTCACAGCAACACAGAGGATGGGAACACAAAACGAATTGTTGGAAAGCCGATGCAAAGCGGCTGCAGCTGCGATTCCACGTTGGTGGCCGAAGTCGCGAGGACTAGGATTCCGGCGGAGTGTCGTTAGCGCCTCTTGTTTAGCGGAATTTTTTGGGAGCTTTGCAAACTTCTGCGATGTTTTTCCGGACGTTCTTTAAGTTTTCCTATAGAATTTCAGATCAGAAAAAATATTTTTAAGCATAGTTTCTTTTTGCACACAATCTTCTTCTGGCTGTATTGTCTCTACAAACTTTTTTTCAGAAATGCGAGTAGTTTTACAACGAGTAACCCGAGCAGCAGTGACGGTTGGCGATGTAGCCGTAAGTTGTATTACCTTTTCTGACCTAAAATCGATAATCAGGTAGGCTCCATTGGAAGAGGACTATGTGTACTCGTAGGAATTCATCGGGATGACACCGAAGAAGACATGAAGTATGTAATTAGAAAGATTTTGAATTTACGAGTGTTCCCGGCATCCGAGCAGAAACCCTGGGATAAATCAGTCGTAGATCTGGATCTGGAAGTGCTCTCCGTCAGTCAGTTTACATTATACGGACAATTCAAAGTAAGTGAAGTAAAGTCTGCAAATTTTCATAAAACTTTCAGGGCAACAAACTGGATTTCCACACGGCAATGGCACCGGCAGAAGCATCAAAGTTCTACGCACAATTTTTAGAAGCTCTGAAGACAGCGTACAAACCGGAGAAAATCCAGGACGGCAAATTCGCTGCGATGATGAGTGTGGACATTGTGAACGATGGACCAGTCACCGTTACCTTCGATAGTAAAGAAAAATAATTGCAATATTTCATTAGCTCCTTCGATTTTTTTTTGATGATCGGTTCATCTCCGCTGTTTTATCTTCTGATTGTCTCGAACAATCCTTCTAATTCTCAACTTCAGATGGTTTTTGAAAGACTGCAAAGCGAACTTCACGAGGCCATTGAAGGCGTCAACCGGTACAATCCGGAGAACGTGAGCGATCTGGCGGCTTGTGTTCAGGCCATGGTCACCGAAAACAAGTACGACAAGGACATCGTGCTCACTATCCTCAAGCTCTACCAGCTGAACCCGGAAAAGTTGGTGAAAATTAGCAATGTTTTGTTATAAAATAATTTCAGGTATGATGAGATTGTCGTCCGACAGGTCTTGCTCAAAACGCTGATGGTGCTGCCGTCCAGCGACTTCGCTCTCGCCAAGTGTCTCATTGACACAAATCGACTCGGATCGTCGGAACTCCGCAGAATTTTCGATCTCGGAGCTGTCCTGGAGTCGTGCAACTTTGCCGTCTTCTGGAGATTAGTCAAGGGAACCTACAAGGTAATCACTATTCTCGGAATTAGATTTCATTCATCGAATTTTAGCCAACCACGAGCGTATCTGAGCAGTTCAAGTTCCCACAGGAGATCGCCAAGATGATAAAGCCAATGGTCGGATTCGAGGAAGCCATCAAGCAGTGTGAGTATACTACGACAACAGCCGATTTTACTCTTTCCCTGTTCAGATGTCTGCCGCGTCATAAATGTTACGTTCCAAAACATCGAAAAGCCGCTTTTGAGCCGTCTACTTGGAGGAGCCAGTGACAACGAAGTGAACGCGTTGGCGAAGAAGTTCGGATGGGAAGCGAAGGAGAACGGAAAGGTCTTCTTCGTCGCCAACCACGACGCCACCATCAAGACGAGAAACATCGACGAGAAGATCCAATTCGGACGTAAGAGCCCTTTATTTACGTGCTTTCCACGTGCTCCTTGCAGATGTCGCTGATCTTCTGACGACCATCCAAACCCCGCTGACCCTCTGATTCGTTCGTCTCCGTCATCCTATTCCATTTGTTCTTGTTGCTTGGTTTGTGTGGTTCGCCCATATTTATATTTATCTCCTGTTCCTCCCTCTCTACTGTCTCCTCTTTATAAACTTTATTCGTTTGACTTCTCAGAAACAAAACTAGTGAGAAATCAACACTGGCCAATCAACAATTTGGCGTGAGGAAAATTGGCAATGATTTTGACACGATCATTCATCAGATGTTTCGTCACTTCTCGCTGCAACGTGTCCAACAATCTGATGTCCGCGTCGATGAGGTGGATCTTGTGAATCAGCTCCTTCTCTTTCGATTCGGTGCATCGTTCACTCGTGAACTCGTCCACCCACGCATCTTTCCGATTGATTTTCTTCTCCAGTTGTGCTCCGATTTTCTTCTTCCTGTTCAGATTTCCAATGGCTATCAAGCAGGTTCTTTTAAGTTTATCGATTGCTTCAATTTGCGTATAGCTCTTGAACTCGAAGTTCGTATTTCTCACGGCCACAAGCGCAATGTAATTCGGTTTTGTCATCTCTGACTTTCTGAAACTTTCTGGAAAAGTGGCGGATCGTAAGTCCCACTCACATCACATAGTGCATATGGGAAACTTTCAACGCGGCGACGTCGGTCAGAAGCTCGAAAATGGTGACTGGGGCCTTCAGTTTCAGTCTCAAATTCCGCACGATTTCGTGCTCGGTTCGACTCCACAATCGCAAAAATTGATTCATATCGCGACTGGTGAAGTTGGTGAATCCCAAGAAAAGAGTGTCGGCGTCGCGGACATTCATAATATCTTCGATTTCGACCCATCTGGCCTCTTGGTAACTGACCGCGCGGAAACTGAATGCCTTCAACTCGACATAAATGAAAGTTCGAAAGCGGAAAAAGATGATTGAGGACTGACCTTTTTGTTGTTGAAACCGTTTTCAATGGGATTCAACACGTGCAATGCCAGCAGATCTGGATAAAGACTTTCGATCATCAGATTCATTGTATTCGTGCTGATTTCAACGTCTCCGCTCAGTTTCACATACGAAGAATTCACAAAAATGGGCGTCTCGAGCAGTCTTTCCAGGGCTCCCGGACCCAAAACGTCCAGAGTGAGTGTGAATCCAAACGAGCCGGCCGGAAAAATATTGTGCATCCACTCGAGGAGACCGATGATATCCGTCCGAACACTGCACACTATCTCCTCATCCTCGGATCCTCTAATTTACAATTCACATTTTCTGGTTTAAGTTCGATACAGGGAATAGTCGAAATATTACATGGGTCCCAAAAAATGACTAATCGTTCGATCTCGAAATGAAAAATGCTCAAAAAGATGCAAGGAAACGAATGAAACTGAGTGTGAGTCAGACTTTTTCAGAATAATTTCTTGGGCTTGCACCGATCACGTTCACTTCTAATTCTCCCCCACCTTTCCATTTGCAGCGTGTCTGTCTTGAGGTAAACTCTCGGAATGGACGTGGCACTCTCCATCAACACTTCGATATATTGTCCGTCGTCGTAGACTTTCACATGAAATCTGTCGACCGTAAACTCGATCTCTTTGATACGTTCGCCCATTCGCTGTGAGCAGGACGCCAATTGAACTCTGAACAGACGCAAGTTCTGGAAGTGCTAGAAGACAAGCGACAAACCTGTCCAGAAATGACACATGGGCCAGCGTTTTTCTCAGCAGCTTCTTGGGAAATTGCAGGATTGGGAAGGTAGACATGATTTGGTTGGGTTTGATTTTCAAACGGAGCAATGGATTCGTAATAAGTTAAATTTCGAAGAGCTCGTGATAGCTGAGCCACGCGCGGAGCAGCCGACGAAATAGCAGGTGAGCCGAGGGGAGAGACCGCTAATGAGGGAGCATATAATGACGGGGCGATTTCGGCATGAAATCCCGTGTGACGGTGGTCGCTTTGGCAGAAATAAAAATATTCTTTGGACATAAAAAAAACAAGTTTATTTGGAGAGACCCGCATTATGTACATATAAGTTATCCACGCCTTCATCACGCCTTCTTCTCATTCCGCGGGCGTCGATCCGATCACTTTGAGTCCGTCGGGAGCCCGAACGACCCATTCGGGCCATCCGCCAAAGTAGATCTTTCCGTTGTAGCCGGATCTCGTGAGCGCCCACCAAACCATTGAAGATCGCAGCGATGTGGAGCAGTAGATTATCTGAAGAGGGAAGAAAGTGGACTGAACACTTCCCATTGATCTTCTCACCACAGGTTTCCGAAGTGACAATGCGTTGTTGTTGAAGAGACCTCTCAAGTGATCCGCGGCCTTCCACTGACCGACTGCCCAGTCGTAAACGGCGTCCACAGGAATGTTCCTGGCCCCCTTGATATGCCCGTAAAGGGCTCCTTGAGCAGTCCCCAGGAACTCGTCCTTCGTCTGCGCATCCACCACATCGAAGCTATCAATCTCGGTGTTCAGAAGCACGTCGTCATAAGTAATGATGACAGAGTCGTTCCACGAAGCCAAGAAGTCTCCCTGCCTCGGCCTCCCCGGAGAATCGCCCTGCTCCGTTTTGTACTGCCCGCTCCTCGCCTGATGCGTCTTCCACCCCAAATACCCTCCGGCCAGAAGGGACACCTTCTGATGTCCGAACAATTTGAAGATCCACACAGTGTACGCACTCCAGATCATTTGTCCTCTGTCGTAAACGATGACATGGCAATCGTTATCGATGCCCTGAGCTCTTGCGAATCTCTGGAACTGCAGCGGATGCACTGGAACTCCGGCGTGACTGAGGTTCGAGTGAAAAATGAGACGGGACGACTCGATGTGATCGACCGAGAATGCATCCCGACTCTTCGCTTCGTCTCCGCTAGCAGCTTCCAGAATACATATCTTCCGTTTCGTTATCAGAAGGGTCAACAGATGGTTCGGAGTGATTTCCATGTCGGATCTTTTGGCGAGCAAGTTGGATTCCGTTGAGGGACGCGGCTGGAAAAGGGCTATTCGGTTGTGAAAATGTGTCTGAAGACTTACGAGTCCGTAAGATTCTTTCTGAAAAGTGCTGGACGAGGAGAGAAAGAAGAAGAAGGAGAGTATTGTGGCCAGAATGAAGACTGCCAGAAGGGTTACTGTAGCAGATACACACGCGATCTTCCATCGCTTTGAAGTGCTCTAAAAGAATGATTGAAAAAGATTATCATTTCGAAACTCTTTTTAAGAGGTAAACTCAAACCTTTTCCTCGCTTCTAGGATAATAACTGGAATAGCTGTCGCCCATGAAAGGCGTGGATTTGAGTGTGAACACTTGCATCGGCTCTTCGCCCATTCTTCCAAATGACTCTTTCTCCGCTCGCTTTTCCAATTAGTTTCCCTCTTTCTCGCCTCTTGACATCAATTCCCCTCCCTTTCTCACTTTCTAAGCATTTTTCCGGCCGACAATACTTGTGATGATGAAAAACGCGCAAATTACAGGCGATGGGGCGGTCAGAATATGCATCTCCTCATTTCGTTTTTTTTTTCGGTTCGAATCAAAATCTAATGATGGCTTTGATTGATTGGTGGGTGATAGAATGGTGATAAGGATTGCTGAAGTGCATCGTTTCGCGATGAGACAGAGGGGGCAATAGGCCTTGAAAATGGGGGCGAAAGCAACTCACACTCACATTTTTGGGGTTATGAATGGCAATGTGAGTGGGCGTCATCGGCGGTGGAATCGGCGGCGGCGTCACCATCATTGGTACTTTTTTCACCTGAAAACGGAATGGATTGGGGGGTTTGGAAGGAATCGAAATGCGAGCAGAAGGTGAAACTCTCATCTTGAAGTAGTTAGCTACCCAAATACTTTCAAGACAATGTATCTCAGTTGGATGTAAAGATACCAAAAAGCTGTGACTTGACAACCTTCTGATGTCTCCACTAACAGCTCAGATATATTGTCTGGAACTCCCTCTGATTCCAGACCAACCAACTCACCACTCTCTTCTCATTCCTTCTGGACCTTCCGAGTTCATCGTAAAAGTAGTCGGGGTCCTCATACTCTTTGTGATCCGCCTCTTCGACCGTATTATACACCTCTTCGACAGTCTTCGTCTCGTATTCCCGCTCTTTCGTGGGTCTCACACCGACTGACCACTTTTGCATTTCTGAAAAGGGAATATTGAATGAATGGAGAAGGGTCGAGAGGGAGAGGCGAAAAGTAAAAAGTGTCTCTTAGGGGGCGCTGAGAGAGAGAGAAGTGAATCAGCTACAAAAATCTAATCGTTTAGGTTGGCCGGCCCGCTGCTGTTTTGTGTTCCAAGGCCGTTTCGGCTTACCTTTTCACCTACATTTCCGTCGTGTGCCCTCCCTTTTCGGATCACTATTTCGGGTGAGATACCTCATCCCCTTCCCCTTCGGATGGTCATCCCCCCCTTATCCTCCCCCTTCGCGCATTTTTCCTTCTTGAAACAGATCTGGTATTTGAGGAGAAGGGGGAGACAAAAATGCGCGTAAAGAAAGTGCAAAACCGTTTATTTAATCGGCGACGAAATCATTTTTATCACACGATAATGACAGTGTTATATGAGGAAAGCGAACGGAAGAAGGAATGGACTGAATGGCAGAACAAACTGGACTTTCCAGTTTAGCGGAAACACTGATATGGTCTGAGAAAGGGGCAGATTCTCAGGCGAGGACGAATTCGAAGCGAGTGTCATGCCACGTGGATTCCAGGGGAAGAAGCCGTCGCTCGAGCACTGAGACCCGATCGTTCTGGTCAATTGCTAAGAGAGTATGACAACGAGTTCCGTATCTGAAATTGAATCTACAGGTGCATCAGAGAATCCGAAGGAAACGTACTCTCTAGTTCCCTCCGGATATTTGATGAATATTGACGACAGCGGAAGGTTGTACTCATCTGAATTCGCTGTCTGCAATTGAAGTTGAGAATCCGGATAGCAGGCGGTTTTGTCCGTTCCGATCCCTATCAACTCTTCGAACACCTCCTCCACCGTCATTTTGTTGGAATTCTGAAGACGGTCCTGCAGGAGTTGCTTTCCGTATTCCGCTTTTTTGTACGGTTTAGACGGAGGACTGTTTGAGATGACATGGAATTCTAAAAGAAACCTATGCGTTAGTGTGCTTATTCAGAGGAATCTGCCGACCATTGTCCCATTTGCATACTTCAATAGTGTCCACTTGCTGGTTGGTCAACGTCTTCACATCGTACAATTCATCTTTGTTTCTGAAATGCAAAGTGGTAAATGAGAAACCGAACTATTAACTAGAACCTTTCAATGCCAACTAGTTGAAATCCATTGTATTTATGCGCAGTTTCGCTCAAAGACTCCATCATTTCAGAAGTATCCTCTGCGTTCAGGAACGCGTTCAGAATGCCTCCTCGGCTCGAGGCGCTCGCATCTTTCGATGATTGCGGCTGAGTGATCGACAGCATCATTCCCACTCTTCCCCGCTCATTCAGCCCCATCCACGTCCCTCGGGCGACGTCTTGCTCGTCGACGCCTGAACCTTTTCCAGTTTACTCTGGCCGACTCTGAGTGAGCATACCACTGAGGATCCCATCGTGCCAGTGCATCGCAGCCGTCGGACGGTGCAGCTGTTCATCGCGATTGTTCAGCAGAATCAGTTTGTACCTGTCTAGTTTCGTTCGAGCCACTCGGATGAACGCGATGCACATGATTGCGCCGAAGAAATGGGACGGAAAAGAGGCATTGGGCAGTTGCGAATCATCGATTGCATCACTCGTGTTTGCCCTCTCTCACTGCCCAATGATCTATGATCAGTCTCCATTCTCCAGGCAGAAAAGGCTGCAAATTGAGAAAACAGAAAGTTTCGCACGGAATGTGAACATTCATAATCAAGAGAAAGAGAGGGAAGAAAAACTAAACGAGGCGTTTGGCCGGTACCGGAGCAGCAAACGTGCGGCAATTGCGGCAGGGATGCGGCATGGATGCGGCTATCGGGGAATGACGCAAGCATCGTCTGTTGACACAGAATGTGCCATTGGGCCCAGAATTTTAGGCCTTTTCGCATTTTTTTGAAATTCATACACTCTTTGATCATTCTTAACCAATCCAAAAAAATATAATGTTTCCAATTCGGAAAAGATATAATAAAAGTAAGTTTTTTTCTAAGCAAATTGTGAGTTGTTGAATAATAAATTTGCAGTCTTCTCGGATTCGCTGAGGGCCGCTGGCAGGCTCAAGGAACCGGCAAGTTCTGATGAGGAGGAAAGGGAAGAGGATCATTTGGAAGTAGACGCCAGTGAGGATGATTACAGTCAAACCTCGCTAAGTATCGATGACTATAAAAGTGAAGGTGAGTTTTAGTTATTCTCAAAAGAGTGACAGTTCTCTTCAAACTGAGCGTAATTTTCATTTTTCAGAAGAGGAATTCTGGCGCTACAACAAAGTAGAACTCGCACGGAATGGAACTGTTACGATAAGGGACTCGCAACGTTAAAATATAGCTGCGAGTTCCAAATCGTAACAATTCCATTCCGTGCGAGTTCTACTTCATTTAGCGCCGAAATTCTTACACAACTGTGAGACATCATTTCAAGTTGAAGAAATTGAAAACGCATTTTCAGATCCTCCGCGCCCAACGGAGTCGATAGAGACTTCCCGTAGACCGTTCACGCCTCACAACAGTGGAATGGACATCTCGCACACGCACCCGTCTCAAAACTACGATGTCGACGACTATTATAGTGGATTCAGACAGATCGGGAGCGGAATTGTTGAGAATACTAACGCGTCTCGAGTGGTCTCCCCTCCGATACAATTATTTCCAACCATTCCATTCCAACCACTTTCAGGTATCTTTTCATATCCAATCTACAATGGAAATTATCAATTTTCAGTGAAAATGGAGAACTGTTTGAATTCTGGATACTTGGACATGCAGAGAGTTGGAGGACTTCTTTTCCATGCTTACGCAAACGACGAAGAAGACGTGGACACTGAGATCGAGTTATTCATAAAGAACAATTCGACGAAAGTGAAGGGACCGCTTACCATCAAGAGGGCAGATGTCCGCAATCCCAACTGGCCGGCAGTCATCGCCTGCGGACATCAGCTGATGGTACACAAGCGCGACTATGACATAAATCTACGTTTATTTTTTAGGAACAGATCAACTCCCACAAGATTCAAATATCGTTGTCAGGAATGGGCCCATCGAAAGAGGAGTTCTGCGATATCACCGGAGCTGCCTTTAATGTGCGAAAAGAATATTTTTATCCGCAAGAGCCGCCGTTTTCCGTGAGTTAAATCAGTTTGTTTTGAAAGAGCTAACTGATCTTTTCAGGGAGAAAGAATCTGCGTAAGTGAATTGAAGACTACCAAGCAACAACCACATGTTCATCTGAAGAGCATCCTGTTTGCGCTCGTTTCCAAAGTGATCAAGAATAGGAAACGGTTGAAATAGTTTTTGTTTAGAGTTGCGCAGTGCAAACTCATGTCCAAGCAGTGACTTGGGTGCTCCCGCAAGAGAAGAATACGAGTGGTAGGAATCCGAAGCCATTCCCGGAGTCATTCTTCAACACTCTTTACGGTTCGTTTCAGTGCTAAACTTTTCATGAACAGTTTCTTCCAGAGTTATGCCTGGAGTACTTCGGACTCAATTACGACGAATTGGACGTACCGTACAGATCAGCGTTCCGCGATCTTCCTTGTCTTGAGCCATACTCCGACGAGTCGGGCAAACGCCGCTTGTTTCAAAAACTCGCAACTGCACGAAAAAGCTTTGTTACTGGAACCTTTCGAACCCAATTGAAAGCGGCGCTGTATGTGGACCGTGGAACATGTCTCATGAACAACGTAAATCTTTTCCAGTGTGGAACTGAAATACTCGACTTTTGTCGCACCACAACTTCCACAGCAGCACGGATATTTTCAATACCGAAAGGTAGTATACATCTGAAATCAATCAGTTTAGCTCAAGTCATCTCGTTTCAGAGAGGAAGAACATCCAGCACGCCGAGATCAATGGCTCCTAATCACCACATAGAAGATATTCCGAATGAGCCCGATCAGAGTGAATGTGTGGCAACAACTGTGCCGAGAATGAAGCCGCAACCTTCTCCGATCGTCTCGATTGAAGAAGAGGTTCCTCTTGTGACAAAAAAGAACAGAAACGGACAAGTTCGTGACGAAAAAAGTACAAAAATGGAATTGGAAACCTCTCCGGTCGTCTCGATTGATGAAGAGGTTCCGCTTGTGACAAAGAAGAGCAGAAACGGTCAAGTTCGTGACGAGAAAAGTACAAAAATGGAATTTGAAACCTCTCCGGTCGTCCCGATTGAAGAAAAGGTTCCGCTTGTGACAAAGACGAGCAAAAATGGACAAGTTCGGGACGAAAAAATTACCAAAATGGAACCGCGAAAGAACGTCGCCAAGAGGGCTCAGCGCCGAAACCCCAAGAAAAACTGAATAAAATGAAGTTAGCACATTTTTTTACTATTCGTAGTTTTTTTCATGTTGCTCACAATCTTCAATCAATAAAGTTTTGTTAGTTTTTAACGCGTCTAACGAGAGGGGAAGCGAAATGAAGCGGCGGTCCAACATAATAGAACTGGGCAGAATAGAACCGCGACATAATAGAACTGTTTTTGTGTTATTATATGAGCATTTTGTCCGTTCTTTTTTAACTTTCGCAAAATTTTAAGTAACTTTCGCAAAATTAATTAACATTCGCAAAATTTTCTGAGCGAAGACGGAATTCTGCTCAACTCTGCTCCCATTCCGAAAAACAATGGAAAGGTATAGAGGATCAAGAGTTGTTAACGATTGATGAACTCGTCGCAAGTACATCATAATTCCACTCTTGGAATGGATTTCTACACTTTGTTCTGATCTTAGTTTGGTCTTCTAATTGCAGATTCCGTCATCGTCTGATTCATTGTCTTCTTCTCGCTCATCAACTATTCGATTTCTTTCTCTGATGTATTATAGGGGCACCGGACAGAAAGGGCGCGCTGTTCGCAATCGGGCCGAATTTCTAGGCCGCAAAGTAATTTTCCACTGAAAATGCGGCCTAGTTTTTCAAACTCGGCCCCGAGGTCGCTCAATTTGCACTGCAAACGGAGTTTCTCAACAGAGCGCCATTTCTGTGCGGTGCCCCTATAATATTCCTGAACTCTTCTCGTTCCCCCGAGATTACCCTCCACGAAGAAGGCGTGCCCGACCGACTGAAAACTTTGGAACTGAACTCTCGCCAAGTTTGGGTCCTATTGGATGACTTATTCTGTCCAACCCTTCCGGGCCCAAACAGCAACCAACCTTCTCCTATTTCTGTCCGAACTTTCCAGACGCTGAGCCTCGGAGTATGCTTTTTCTCACCTGCTCTCTATATTTCAAGTATCAAAAACATAATAACGCTAACCACCAATTTTCGAGTCGGCGTCTTTCGGTTTCTCGCATTCAACACCAAAATGACAGCTCCCAGTGGTCAAATTTCCGTTCGTTCAATTCTCCCATTACGTTGTCACCTAATCTGACTGCTCCGATCGATTCACTCATCAACCTTTATATACTACGTGGTTCCGAATCTCAATCGAATCGCGACGTGGAGTGCAAAAACCGCCCGAATTATTGCGATCGGATTGGTATCTGTCACTCTATACGCCTAATTTCACCATTGCGTTTATAGAAAGATAGAAGAAAAAAGAAAGGAGAAGATTAGAAATGAAATGCAAAAATAAATTAGGCGACATAACAGTGCTACATGATCAAGTTAGTGTATAATACTAAAAAAACGGAAAGTGATATGGGTGGAGAACAGGAGAAAAGGGCGGGATGAATCAGAGGCGGACGAACGAAGCGATCTCGTGGATTCCGAACTCTTCGCTGTACGACGACGTGGTCACGAACGAGACCTCTTGTCTGAAATGATTCTTAGTTTCACTTCGCCGAAACAATAAACTCCTCACTTCTTGAGATCCTCCCACTTGAAATCGACGCCAGTGTTCGTCAGAGTGGCTCTTCTCTCGTCCGATCCGTCAGTTCCGATGAGCGCCGCAGAGCGAGACTTGTTGATCAATCCGATTTCCTTCTCTAGACTGTTCCGAATCACCTTTTCCGTTTTGGCCAACGACAGATCTTGCTTGTGGCAGACAATCAGAATGGGGACCTTTTCAACGTTCTCGAGGGCCACGAGATAGAAAAGTTCGGCGACGTCGCGAGCATTCTTCGAGAAGGCGGCCGAGTCGACGACGAAAACAATTCGGAGCAGCGCATGGCTCTGAAAATACAGCTTATTGGATTGATTGGAAAATGAAAAACGGTCCGTACGTGAAGATGAGTGTCAATGAGCTTCTGACGAAGTCTGTCGTTTCCCGGATAGTCGATGATCTCCTTTTCCTTATCCTTGATTCTCAAAGTAATCTTGTTTCTCGACCAACGAAGTGAACGTCTTCGTAGTTGTTGCTAAATTATTTAAAAAATCAGGATGAAAATGATTTTAATTTTAATCTTACGATACTCAGCCTCCTTTTGAGACAATTGAGTGAAGATTGTCGTCTTTCCCGAGTCCATAAGTCCGACAAACAGAATTCTGTTCTTTTTTGCACTGACCAGGCTCTAAAAGTAATCAGTGTTGATTGAAAAGTAAAACAGAGAGAAAACCCGGAAAATGAAGATCAGGATAGTCAGCAGGCCGATGATAGCGGTCGCCAAAACGGCCAACGTCTTCGAATCGTTGAAATCCATATCTGAATTTAATGTTGCTATCAAAAAGTGAGCACTCAACAGTACATAGATAATCGTTGGCATCATACCAATATTTACAAATTAAAACATAAATATGAATTAGGCTTTTTGAAAAATTTAATGCTGGAAGAATAAAATAAAAACAAAAACAATCTAGAGACCTATTGTTTCGACCGGTAAAGCTAGTTTTCCACGCTGTAGATTCCTTTGATTCGCTTCGGCAAATCCGTCTTTCCTTTCACTCGCTTCACTTCCTCGAATAAACACTGTTTTCCGTCTGAAACGTGAAACTCGTCTCCCAGTTTATAGGAAAAATAGAGAACTCACAAGCTGGATCGTAGAAAATTCCGGCAAACTTCTCGGCTGCTCGTTCCCGGACCCAGACTCTGGTCGAGCCCGTTATCACACTGGCGAGCTGGACGATCACGTATCTGAAATTGGCATTTGCGAGAGAACGCGTGCTTTTGAATACAAAGCTCACTTTGACTTGGCTCCCATGACTGTCCAGAAGAGCGAGGACGATGATCCAACACTGAAATTATTGTTTTTTTTTAACAAAGAGCATATATTCGGCCTGAAAATAATGGAATATCTCGGCCAACTGGATTTCTGGCAGGCTGCCAAAATGATGTGAGTTGCAGACACAGAGTACGAGCCTGCGCGTGAGTGTCTCACATTTTACGCGCAAATACTTCCTTTCTGCTCGATTACGGTAGATTGTGATGCGTTATCAGGAATCTCGGCAAGAGTGAAAATGAAAAATACTGGGAACGCAGGAAACGCACTGAAAGTGATGAGGACAGTGGATATCCTACAGAAACACTAAGGTTTAGGCCCAGACAGACCCTCAACCGAATGCACTTTTCCTTCTCATTTGCATGCACCGATTCTTCAGCTGAACATTGTCTTTGTTGTCTTATGCAATAGTATTCGACACTGACAATCGTCCGTCACGAACCCATAAACCCTGATTCGTCCCGGCCGTCAGTCCGTTCGTGTAATCGTTTTTTCTGAGGTCAATTCCCCGATGCCTCTCCTCGCAGAAAAACACCTCAACTTTGCGAATTCGTCCTTGGAATGTCGCAAAAAGGACTAGTGTTCTTTCATTCTACCTCATTCTCACAAGAAAGGGCAATGCGTGATCGAGCCGATTCCATCTTTCCTTTTCTTTCGAAAAACCTGATTTGCCATGCATAAATATCTTTGGCTGCCGAGGAGAACGGCGAACGGGTTGGCAGAACGGAAAGGGCATTTCAAACTGTTCCGTCTCGCTCATTCTTCGTTTTCAATTTGTTTTTTGTCTTGTTTTGAACTGAATAAACCACTATCATTCCAGGTAGAACCAAGAATTGTATCAGTGGGAGCCAATCCAATGAGTTCTTCAGGAACTTGTCAGGTTCACACTCAATTTGGTCCATGGCTTGAAAAGTTTTAAATTACAGACTACTTCACTAAAAGATGCATTTCGGACTCTGGAATTGCTTTCCGAACGATATCCGCCACAGACAAAGACTGTCGACGTGGCTTCTCTTGAACCCGGTCGCATTCTGGCAGAAGATATTGAGGCGGAAACGGACATTCCTGCAGTTCGAACGTCTTCAGTGAATGGTTTTGCAACAATGGGTAACAAGAAAATTAGAGACATCGAACGTGAACTAAATAAATTCAATTCCAGTGAGCTATATCGGAACAAAGAGAAGGATCGTTGGATTATCCACTGTTTTATCACCCTATTACGCTACATTGTTGCCCGGAGAATGCGTAAGAATCAGCAGCGGAGGAGTGGTGCCGAACGGAGCGGATACAGTTGTTCCGCATGATGACGTGGCATTGACGTCACAAGATGACGATGAGGGAGTAGAAACGGTCGAATTTGAATACCCATTAGGGGAAGGAGACAATATAAGGTGAGGCACTTTTTCAAAAATAAATTTTCACCAATGATATTCTTTGAAGAGAAAAAGGTTCGGAGGCAAAAGCAGGAGACGTTATCTTGCACGACGGACAGAAAATCGACTCAATGGCAATCGGACTGCTTCATGCTTTGCAAATGACAGAGATTGAGATTTACCGGAAAGCACGCGTCTGCGTTCTATCTATTGAAGACGATACTACTGTGAAGATCAAGAAAACAGGCATGAATATGACGAGAGCACACCTTCTGGCACTGTTTCAAGCACAAAAGTTCAAAGCAATTGACGCCGGAGCAGCGATGGAAAAACACTCGGAAGTGGAAGAGAAGCTGCGAATCGCTGCAGATTTTGCATGTGCAATTGTGACAATTGGAGGACAAACGGTTTTACGAAAACTGGCAAAGGATATTAATCTGACGGTATTCGGCCTAAAACATTTTCTTGAAACAGTTAGTACTTCAGACCGACATTCAAAGGATCTCAGCTAATCCTGGTGATTACACATTCGCTCATGGTAAAATTGACGGAAAACCAGTGTTTGTGTGCATGTTTCCCGACAATTTGGACTCTTCTTGGATCGGAGCCAATTTGTTCGTCGCGCCAGTTCTCAAAGCAGTGGAAGGACAGATCGTACGGAGCAGTCCACGATTCAAAGCCAAGCTGACAAAAACCATTCCCCAATCTTCTCAAATTCAATTTTTACGTGCTAGGACGGAATCCGTAGACGGCGTTCTAACAACTACTCCTGTCGAACGTTACGCGATCCTAGGAGCAAACTCAATCATCGAAGTGCTTCCGACTAGCAAGACCTCGGTCGGGGACCGTGTTACCGTGCTTCTTATCGAAACTTTGCCGTTTTCCTACATTTAGCTCGTATTGAACGTATATTTCTTTTCGTTGCCCGGTTTTCTATTGAATGTGTTGCTAGGCACCGTGACGGGCAGCGAGCTCTCAAATGTGTATTTTCGTTCGGTTTGTATTTTTTCATAATCACAATTTACTCATCTCCTTATTTAGTTCGATTTTACGCAAAATAAACGGCGTTTTTTTGAAAGTAGGTGCTGTTCAAATGAAATGCCCGCATGAAAGGGTACCAGTTCACCGCGGCGTGTTTGCGTACTTCAATTTATCGACGTTGTGAGCAGACGGAGAACACCTCAAAATGCGTTCGTATTCTTCTTACATTCTTATTTCTGCTACAATTTTCATCTATTTTATTTATTTTTACAAGTTTTTAGGAAGAGAACAGCTTTTAAAAGCTTTGTAAAAAACTTAGACAAAAATTAGGCCGAATGCGAAAATATATTTCTCTAATTTCGAGAACAACGTAAAAACAGGGGAAAGTTTTGAAAAGCGAACAAGTTGAATTCGCTGAAAATGGTTGCAACCGTATCATTTCACTTTTAAAGGCGCATAGAAAGATTTTCATTGCTGCGCCTTGCCACGCTTTTGTCTTCCTCTGCTTCCGGCGATTTTAGGCGCCTGCGCCTGTTCTGCATCCCTTCTCGCCGTTACAACGAAGTAGAACTCACACGGAATGGAATTGTTTTTGGAACTCGCAGTTATATCTTAACGTTGCGAGTTCCAAATCGTAACAGTTCCATTCCGTGCGAGTTCTACTTCGTTGTAGCGCCCTTTTGCTCATTTCAACTGTTTTCCTCCCCCTTTGTCGTTTCCACTCAAAATTTGAAAATTCAGATTAGAAATGGAAAGAGTGGTAGTTGAAGATCTCGAATCGGACATCAATGCTGTCAGAGACAAGTTAAGAAACATTGACGAAAAAGTAACAACGCTCAGCGGACGGTTAGTCGAAAAAATTTTGTGCAACAAGCATTTCTTGTTTTCAGGGTACCACGTGCACGTATTTCGTACAACGATGAGCCGGAAGAAGCTCCATTGAGAAACGTCGAACGAGGAGCTTTCGGTTTGACAAACGAATCGTCGGCTTGGAGTACTCGGAAGGATCACACGACTCCACAGTCGATCGGAAGTCGCAAGCGAATCAGGTAAGCGTCGGGGTGGACTTATTCAGTCGTGTAAAAACTGGATTATAGGTTTTTTACCCGACTGAATAAGCCGATGAAAGTAGAGCCAGCATTGCTGCAGCAACTAATATCTTTTCTTTTTCGCTCCAGCATCGAAGACCGCATCGATCGAAGTGGAACACGTGGTCAAGGCCGTAGCAGCTTCGAGCACCTTCCGAAAAGACATCGCCCTGATTATTTGGAAGATGAGGCGGACAACGACGAGCACGGAACACGTCAGAAACGATCGATTCAATCGACAGTCGTGATGCCGGCGCTAGATTCGAAGGGAAGAGAGGAGAAGATCGAGAAGTTGAAAGAGACGGAGAACAAAGACAGCAAGCAGAGAAACCGTCGTCTCTTCTCGAGTCTCATAATGGGAACTCTCACTAGCTTCAAAAAGACCGAAAAGAAGACGACTCAGCAGGAGAAGCAAGAGGAGGTGGAGAAGAAGTTGGAGGAGAAAAAGAAGAAGGATTTGGACGCGGTGAGATTGGTACTAGGTCGAATTTAAAACAAATTTTTATTTTCAGCGAAGGGAGGAGAAGCACGAGTTGTTGAATAAGCGACGCGAGCAGGAGAAGGAGCTTCTGAGTCTACAGAGAAAGAAGGCGTTGGTTCAGTACGCTGATCACAGAATCAAGCAGTACAAGTTCATGAAAGGATCGATTCAAACGCAGACGGACCCGAAACTCTTCTGGAAGCCGGTCAAGCATACTGCCCGTTCGATGGAGTTGAAGCAAGTCACCGAGAGACATCTCGACGGTAAGTGGACTGTTTTTGGCGGCACTAATACATTAAAAAATTTAGACTTAATCAAAGAACGGGAGGAACAATTGAACAAAGACCTGGAGACTCGCGAGAGAAAAATGTCGGAAGAGCGTACCGGAGTGAAACAGGAGGAAGTCGGCGAGGAAGAGGAAGAAGAGTATGAGGAGGATGAGGAGAAGAACGAAAACGAGGACATCGAGGTAGTGCTGAAGACGGAAGACGATCTGAAGAGAGAAGCAGAAGAGGACGAGGAGGACAAGATCGACGAGATCGACGTGCATGTCGAGCTCGATTAAAGAGCTCGATCGGTGGGTTTCGGTAGTCAGTCGTCTTGCTCTAAATCATTCAGGTATCACTGAGGTGGCGGTAAGTTGTTGTTCCTCTGATTACCCCTGATACTCTCTCTCTGTCTCTTCATTACTCTTTTCTATCTCAAATCTCTCCTAATAAACCGAAGTGTTCGCCGCCTCTTCTTATATTTTTATACCCATCTGTTTTCTATTTTTTTCTTTGAAATTTTTCGTTCCCTGCAATCTACGGCGGAAAAACCGTCAAATAAATATTTATTCTAGCTGTTTCAACAAATGAAAAAACGAACGGATGAGAGAAATTAGAGATCGTACAAGTACTCGTCAATGAATTGTTTGATGAAATGATGAGATTGGTCACAACTGTTGGGAGAAAAACTGAAAGAGCATTTGGATGGGAGGGAATCAGATGAGAGTGTGCGGCGGAGTGTTGTGATTGTTCGACACCAGAGGCGTGTGCTCCATATTCTTCCTTTGCGTCGGACCGTTAGAGTTGCGCGCCGGAGCATGTTTCACCTGAAAGCGTCCCGAATAACGAGCATCTGGACTTTTCAGGACTCACGTGCTGGGCGACCTGGTCCATCGAGAGCACTCCTCTTCGCTTTTTCGGCATTTTCGAGCGGGCCTGAGTGTGCGAATAGAACATGGCAAAGTTGGAGACGATGACCTGAAACAACAACAAATTCATTACGAATTCACATCAAAAGGCAAAATTAATTACGTTTTCTCCGCTCGATTTATGACAAAAATTAGCATTTTTTGTTTTTGAAAACTCACGGGGACTGGGAGAGCAATTGTGAGCACTCCGGCAAGAGCACAGATCGATCCGATGAGCCTGCCGAGGTAGGTATGCGGCGTGATGTCTCCGTAGCCGATTGTCGTCATCGTCACTATCTGAAAGTGATCAGTTGAAAGTGCCACGTGGCATTCGCAACTCACCGCCCACCACAATCCGATCGGAATGGAGACGAACTGGTTGTCCTCGTTGCTCTCCACTCGTTCCGCGTAATAGACGAGCGACGCAAACACGACGACGCCGAGCACTAAAAAGAAGACGAGCAGCATGAGCTCTTTCGCCGACGCGCGGAACGTGTGCATCAAGATCTTGAGCCCCGAATTGTGGTGGGTGAGTTTGAAGAGCCGCATGATGCGAATGATCGAGAAGAACTCGAGGTCCGCCGTCGCGCCGAACATGCTCGAAAGCAGGTCGATGTAGAAAGTGAGCGTCGCGACGATGTCGATGATGTTGACGGGCGCGCGCAAATACTCGAAACGCGACGGGCACGAGGCGAAGCGCATCAGAATCTCTATCGTGAACCAAATGTTGCATACTGTTTCGATGTACTGAAAATTGCAGTTAAGAAGACGTCGCATGACAGACGACAAGATCCGCTTACCATAAAAGTGGGATGAGGCCTAGAATTCTGTTTATCGATGTTGATTTGCGCGGGATGTATTCGCGACGAAGTGCTCCGATGGTTGCGGGAAAAGTTTCCGAACGGCGTGAGTTCGGGTATCCGCAGTCCCGGATGCGTCTTCAAACAGAACACGATGATGGCGGTGATGAGGAAGAAGACCGAGATGGCGGCGATGAATTGCGCCGAGCGCGACGAGTTCGGCTCGTCGAACAGCCGCCAGATACGGGGTTTCAGTTTCTGCCAGCTGCTCAGACTGTCGTTGTGGTAGTCGTCTTCCCAGCCAAATCGTTTGTACAGCTCCTGGAAGTAGGAAGTTCAGTTGAGCGCGGAGCCAAAGGGGTTTGTACCGGTCCCTCGGTCTGGTCCACTTCAATGTCCAACTCATCCAATGTCTTGAGCACGTCCTGCGTGTCCCGGGTGCCGGATAAAGTCATCCAACAGCACGGTTCGCACTCGTTCGAGTCCAGTCCCCAGTACTGCAAACGTTTTCTCTATCTCTTTCTTTCTTCATCCTCTCACCTTCAATTCCTCTTCGAATAAGGGACCACAAACGTCGAGCGGATAGTGCAACTTGCCCGTTCTAAAATTAGAGATAATTGGCTTCTTTTTGTTTTTTCTTCCAATTAAAACGAACCTATAATAGTTGAGTATTTGCGCAAAGACTCCGGGATGTCTGTCGAAGAAGTACTCGTTGAGCACCGGATCGTAATTGGCCAAATTTGTGGTTAATCGGGACAGCCTGAAAAAAGAGGAGGAAGGAATGCGTGGAAAACAAACAGAAGCCCACCTAGTGGCCGGAATCTTTTTGAGTGTATGTTTGTAGGTCTCGTGACGAACGCCGCCCACGTTGAGAATGATACGGTACTCACTGTCCATGACAGTTTGTCTGAAACGATGGACTACGGTAACTCTGATAAGAAGGACTAGGAAGTGGGGGAGGCTCGTAAATTCTGAGAAAGTTGAATTGGGCTCGGTGGGCCCGCCGAAGTGATGGCCGGGGCCAGCATCTGGAGCGTGATGAATTGTTGTGTTGAGACCGGATAATAACAATCATAAAAGCGGGCGGATGGGATGACGGCCAGTCTTATTTTCGCCGCCGCCCCGATCCTCCTCCCGCATCTCTTGCCATTGTTCCAGCCAGTGTGTTTGTGGTGGTCCCTCTTGCTCATTAAAATTTGATCACATACGCCAAAATGCGCGACAGCCCGCCCGAAGTCAAGTAGTTGCATATCCAACGCATTGGTTTCGTTGCAAGGAAAAGAGCGGGCGCGGCACAACTAATTCGGACACTGAAACCAGAAAAGAGTCGGCCTGGAAAGGCGTCTCTTTATGAGTTTCTTCTCGTTTTTTCTCCCTTCCTTTCCCCGTGCAAACGAAGCAAAGCCAATGGCAAAACATGCAGGCGATGATGAGAAAAAGAGGAAGAAGAGGAAGAAGAAAGAAGAGAAGAATGAGGACATTTGAATGTTGGAAAGGATGGGAACCAAAACCAAAGGTATCCGGAAGTGAGAAGAATATGGGAAGGCTCAGGTTGCGCAATTCGAGAAGCTCGCTGAGCAGGTTCAGACATTAAAACGAAGAATTACCGTACTCTCGAATATCATACATCTCAAAGTACTAACAACTTTTTCAATTACCGTCTCCTCAGGTACCGTTTAGAAGTAGATGCAATCTTTGTCCGCACCTTGAAACAGTGTGTCAGCGTCTAAAGTGTTGCGAGAGGCTCTTCACAAGTGAGCGGCTCGAAGAGCAAGGGCAAGGATGAGACACGGGGTGGGACGAGCTTATCGTTCGGGTAATTCGATATGTTTTGTCACATACTCTCGATTGCAGGGGGAAGAAGGCCGAGAGAGAGGGGGAGGAGGAGGAGGAGGAAGAAGAGTCGGGGGAGGCGCGAGGATGGATCAAGGCACGGAGCGGGCTTAATGTACGTAATTATCAAGCGAGCAGTCTTTTGTCAGCCAATTAGCCGGTTCACTTGGACCTTCTCTCACCTCACAAGAAGCACGACTTCTTCCTCTTTCTTCCTTTTTCCGCCTGCTCTTTCGGTCTCTCTCTCTCTCTCTCTCTCTCTCTGTTGCCATGCACTCGTGAGAAACGAACGTTACTAGGCCAGCGGCGGTTCGGCAAAAGGAACGTTTTTGAAATATGTATAGTTTTTTTTACATGATTTACACAACAAATTCCAAAAAAGAAGCTATTTTCGACATGTTTCATAGTCCCTTTAGCCGCATGCTTTGAGATAAGGGCGCTACGCAATCGAGCGTTAGCGCCAATTCAAATTTTAATTCCCGTCACGACTCCTAGTCGGAAGGCACACTAGAACGTTTGTTTTCAATGGATTTCATGGAACCTGCCTTCGAACCGGAACTGACTGCATGCACGGATCGGAAAACAGTGGAAACGAGAAGGGAACGAGCAGGGAAGGAGGGGATCAACGGGGAGAAAAAAGAAAAGGTTTTCTTCTGGACACATCCCGCCGAAATATGGAGACATCAGCCACGTAATACAATTTGGGTGGTCGGCATTGGAGTGTGAAAAAGGGATAGGGGAACAACTGAAGGAAGAGAAAGTGAGGAGGTCAGAGGTGGAATCTGAGCTATATTAGAGATATTAGAGGGGGAGAGAGAGAGAGAGTGTTACTTGCGGAAATAGCAAAAGGAGCCCAAATATGAATATTTGCTTCTAATGTTTTCCGAATCTTTTGCTCTTTCTCTCCGCAACCGGCCACCGTCTACTTCCCCGTTTAATTGCCGCTCATCATGAGACACGGAAATGCACTTCGTCACCTCTCTTTCGGGAACCAAGAAGGTGTCTAGAAGGAAATGAATGACGTGAAAGACTGGAGTGGACACGGGCGGGCGGAATGGAACGGCGGCAGTTGGTGCCGAGAATTATTATTATTGCTGGTGGAAGTGGTTGTGGGAGGGAGTAGATGGCTAGAAGAAAGGGTTTGAGTTTATAGACGACTAACTAAAGTTATAGGATTACGGTAGAATGCGGAAGCAAGACCACACTTTAATCAAGTTCTGAATGTTGTAATATGGTTTCGGTTCACAACTTTACGCATGCACACACACACAAGAGGACCAATATGGCATGACAAAGAACACTTGAAAGTATAAAGATTTTCGTTGCAGAATGCCCAAACGAGTTCACTGTTTTTGTCCGGTGTGCCCGTCAGAGATGGAGAGAGAAAGGGCTGAGAATGAATGTAATTTCCCCTCTGATCTGCTGCCCTTTTTCTCATCTTCAATGTCCCGCCACTCCTTTCTAATTCGTTTTCCCGCCATTTCATTTCATTTTTTTGTCCTCCGATTCATTTGCAGATTGCTCTTCCTCTATTTTTTCAGCTGTAAAACTCACCCAAATGCCGTCGACGGACTCGATCCATTATTGTTCCGTCGTCGAATTGACATTGACGTCGTCGGAGACGATCCGAACAAAAACGAGAAGGGCCACTGCACTGAATGAAGAAGACGGAGAATGAGGAAAACGACGAGCGGACGAGAAGAAATGAGATGTCAAAATGGGAAACACGGGAAAATGGGGGCTCTCCTGGCAACTATTCGGAAGAGAAGGACGGCAATCAATGAGCGCGCCTTCGGAACAACCTTTTCAGAAAAAAAAAGAAAACTTTTTCGGAAGGTCTTTTTGTCCTTTTTGCGAAATAGAGTTGAAGAGGCCGAGGAGCAAAAGCGGACTCTTGTTTCATGGAATATCGTGTGGATAGACTCTCTGATTCTCGCTTTCTTCGAAATGAGACCGATAAGTTCAGTCATCTGAAACTGAACGTGAGGAATCGAAAGATCGGGGAAGAATCACGAATTGACTTTGAACTGCACTAAATTTCCAAAAATTCGGCAGAAAAGTTGGTCAGCTTGTGTTTCCGGTGGTCATTTGCTTACTTATTCTCAATACGAAATATTTAGTAGCACTGCAAACCGGCAAACGTTTCTTTCAAAATAAGAGCACTTTCCACGTAAATCATAAAAGAGTGATAATAAAAGTTTGGAGCTGTAAACATGCAAGTACTTTATGAGAACGTGATTTGTTTGCAAAAGTTATGACCCGGCTCTTGCTCTCTTTTCTTTGCATTCTTTCAGGTCCGCTCCAGATGTCTCCAGATCAAAACCAGGAAATCCGGCCGTCAAACGACGACGTCTTCTCTCGTTTTCACTTCCCGACATGTCTCTTTCTTCTTCTTCTTCTTCTTCTTCTTTTTTAGGGCAAAGAATGTGAGAATTCACGTGTAGAGTAAGTAATCCTAAGAAACGAGGAAACGAGCATGAGACGGCAGGTTTTTGGGGCGGGAGCGGGAGAAAGAGGAAAAGTTGCGTTTTTGAGACGTGAGTGAAATGTATAATCTTTAGGAAGCGGACGCCTTCAAGAGGGTGTATGTATCAGTGTCTCCTCCCGAAAAAAGAAGAAGAAGAAGGAGGAGAGAGAAAGGCAGGAAACGGAGATATGTGTGCGAATGTGAATGTGAATAAATTTGATTAATTGGCTCGAGAAAGTCAGCAGCAAGTGGCTCTGCCGGATCAAAGCAAAGAAGAAGAGCTGCTGGAAGTGACACGGGCGTCGCGGAGCACTTTGTCAAGAGCACCGTGCACTTTCCAACTCGTCTGCGCCGTCTTGAGAATCGAGACAAGACGGGAGAAGACAAAAAAAATGAGGTGAGCCTTCGGACGGCGGGGAGCAAATTAATTTCTGAAATTGCTCTTTTCCGCCAAAACAGACTATATTTTGAGTATCGGAGGAACGCATTCCTCTCGAATACTAATCTCGTTTCCTCCACTTCTGCTTCTTTTGCCATCTCAGCACTTTTGTTCAGAGCTGGAAGAAAATAGAACAAATATTGAAATAATGCGAGTTGATAGTGGCTATGAGAAAGAAGCGGACTCTGTCTCATGAGGTTATCTCACGAGCTCCAATTATTGTTCGGATTGCCAATGGCAACATGCTCCCTGGTGTGAAAACGGACAAAACAAAAGAAGGCGGCGAGTATAAACAACGACTAACTACGGGAGTACCCGGAGCCGGCCGGCCGGCCAATCAACTTGATGATCACCTGTGTGCAGAGAGGGTGAAATTCGATATTTCTGGAGGCTCGGCGAGGCGCCACAGGTGCAATCGAGGAGCATGTTTTCGTGGCCACGAGCAGATCCGACGTGGCAAACAGAACAGAGTACGGTCTTTTTTGCAAGTCGACTAAATTTGGAGCTCAGCTGCTCAGAAAGTTGTTGTTTTGCCGTGAAAGTATATATGTCAATGAGGACATCCGTGACGGACGTTTTGAACTTTCCGTCACCTCTGCGCAGGAAAATGAAAACAGAGAATCAGATGATTTTGAGAGAAAGAGAAGCAGAAACAGAGGGCCACAAATTGCATTTAATTGAATCGTTTTGGAGATCTCCTCCCTCTCCCTCCCAAAGGACCAGAGGATGAAAGAGAGAGAGACAGAGAGAGAGAGAGTTAAACTTTCGGGGGTCTCCAGAATTACATATCTGTGTATGTGCTTGTGGAGAAAAAGGAGAAGCCAAGCGGAAGATGGCGACGAAACAATCAGTGCGGAGGAGAGAAGAGCAGTTGAAACGGATGAGGAGGCTCCCTCTCATCATTTATGCGCCTACCATTTCCTGGGAAAACCGAAGGAAGGCGCCAGACTAGAATCGGAAATGACTGGCAATGGCCCACTTACCTTGCATTCCCGAGAGAAAGCGGATGAGCTGCGAAGAGGAGGACTTGCAAAAGAAAGGGACACTGGACACCCGGAAACAGTGAACTCGTTTAGTATCTTTGTAGAGTTGTTACTGTATTTTAGACAAAACCATTCTCCTGGAAGTGCGATTGTTTTCGATTTCAAGTTTCAACCCGATCGGGTCGTTTGGTCTGTCCCTCGTTTCGCCTTATAGCCTCAATTCACTACATCTTCCCAGGGTATAATTCGATTTTAAACTTAAATTTTTGAGGTAGAGTCTCCAAACTCAGAAGCCGAGCTCCAAAGATCCCTAAAAGTGGCGAACAGAGCCCGGCTGTAAATGCAAGGTTTGCATTTAATTAATGACTGTAAACACAACTGACCACTCACCTGTTTGAAATATTTCCGAATAACTGAAACCCGAGGGCGTTCGAAGCCAGAAGAAGAAGGCGACAAAACAAAAGAGAGAGAGAGAGGAACGCGAAGTGGTGCGTGCGCGGGAGAGCAGAAATATAGGCACCAAATAATAACAAATTCAATTTCTCGGCACCGCGAGACGGAGTGGAAAAGTAGGAGCGCGGACGACTGCGAGCGAACGATTTTGCATATTCGATGTTCTCAAATCAGTTTACGAAATAGTAGTGAATGGGAGGCACGCGACAACAAGCATTTCAATGAATACGAGCGGCGGAAAGTGACAAATTGCAGGGCTCCTGGAGCACACAGCGAAGGAAATTAGGCGGAAAGCGGATTTCAGATTCATGACTTGCTCGGCTTGTTCGTACTTTTCCCCCGCGGATTCGCCACTTCCCTGATCAGCCAGATTGGTTTTGATACACAAAAGAATCCAGACGTGTTAGTCACACACACACGGACACACTCAACAAGTCGCTAATATCCAGTTCCAGAGGGTGTAAAATAGCAACATCATCTAATCGCTTCGTTATCAGTCTCTTTCTGCCCACTGTGTAATGCACTTTTTCTTGTTCATCCCCCCCGTCGCAACGATCGCCGACATCCCTGGCACGCGCATTCCAATCTCTTCAAAACCGTACCTGTTGTTCGCCTCGTCCCGACTGATCTTGTCGCCAATTGTCATTGTTGCCTACCTGCAAATGATAAACGATAATATTGATAACGCTGAACGGAACATTCAAGAAAAGGACAAGAATGGGAGGAGAATTGAACGAAAAGTAGGGGGGCAGAAGAACGGAATTCATTCATCGACATCTCATCGTCTTTTTGAGTACCGATTAGGTTATTTTCATTATCAAAAGTTCTCAAGTTTGGAATGTTTTCTGTGACCACAGTACAAACTGTAATAGAATGCCGTTCATTCAAGACGATGTATCTCAGCTGCTTGTAGAGATATTAAAAAGTTGTCAACTAATAAATTGCTTATTTATATATTGTGTACAATTTATCTATTGACCACTTTTTGATACCTCTACAGGCAGCTGAGAGACTCTGTCTTAACTTGACGGTATTGAGGCACCGTTCTATTCGCAGCTGTACCTTCGAGCTCTTCCCCTCACTCCCGCTCTACTATCCACCTATTTCCCCGTCTCCCTGTTACCCTTTCCAATCCGGTTCCTCATCTATTCTCGGTCAACCGTGCCCTTCTCCTTCAACTCTCGATTTTTTCACCGGATCCGTGGACGATCACATTCTTAATCAGACGAAAAATCCGCAAAAAATCCAGTTAGCCTCCTACGCTCAGAAGGTTGATGATCCGTCAAACAAGCGCAAACGCACAAAAACTCGATTTTTTCTCGCTTCTCCTTCTTCTCCTCCTCCTCCTCCCTCATCCTCGTTTAATCGTTGTCCGACACCGCCTCCGCCCTTCCTGGATACGGTCACTCTTTTTGCCGACCGTCCACAAGTGTACAAATACAGACGCGCACCTTGCCTTCTCCATCCGCGAATTTGCGGGTGATAACTTTCCTCCTTATCAGTCCGTTCGAATCGTTCTCTTTGCGTAATCCAGTGTGTTACGCAACGCACCCGTTCCGTACTAGGAAAAAGAAGAATCTGGAATTGTTAGTAACGCCTTTCTGGCCAAGTGTGAAGTCTTCTGATCTATTGGCATGTTGCCGTTCATGATAACCAGATTCTCACATCACTCGCTTTTCCTCTTCCTTCTTTTCGCAACATCATCTTTTTAGACAAATATGTACCGGTGCATTTTGCTCGCTCTCCTACCACTCATCACAGCAGGTAACTACACTTTCTACCGTACCGTTTTTACCGTAATCTCTCCCATTTTCAGTGCCTGTCGCTGTCAACATTGACGATCAAGCAGTGAGTTTCAAAAGCACTACAATAGTTGCAAAATAAGAGGAACGTTTTCAGGCAGTAAACCTGGGATCTTACGACCGAGCACGATTCGAACTCGTCGAAACGTTCCATCCTCTGCAGTTGGCTTCCGCAGTTACCAGTGAGTTGAGGGGAAATACGATACGAGGGGAGTAGGCTACTAGTTTCCAAATCATTCGGGAGTAACTCGATATTTTCCTGGACAAGCTAATTGTGAACAAATATTTTTGCGGCTCCCACTATTTTTCAGAGGTTTCAGAGGTAGAGCTTTGCTGGAAAACGGTAGAGTGAAGTAGGAAAATGCAGTGACAAAAGTAGAGAAAAAAGAGAGAGAATGCACATTTTCAGATGACCAAATCGCCGAGGTGAGAGCCAAGGCGGCCGGAGTCAAGCAGAATGAAGCTGCCATTTCGATCGAGTTGCCGACAACACAAATCTCCGGAAATTCTGCCAGAATCCCAGAGAGTAAGCGGCTAATTGACACACCAAAAAAGGGAAACACACACACACAAATAGACGGGAGGGGGCGAATAACAGTTATAGACGAGGGAGACAGAGAGATAGAGAGGACATGTGTTTTAACGAAATTACTATCCGGGGACACGCACAGAAGGAACAAAGAAGCATAAGCAAAGAAGGAAGAAGGAGAAGAAGAAAAAGCGGTGTGGAATAATAGGCGGGCACGAATATTTGAAAAGAATAGGATAGGGCGAGGGGTGGAGGCGTAGTGAATTACTTATTGAAAGAGGACACTGGCCTAACTAAGGCCCCAACTCCAACTAGTGATCCGCCAATAAAATGTTTTTGCTCAAACTAAATCTAGGAGCGGAGAGAAAGAAGCAGAAAAGATTAGATGGCCGCATAGCTTAGCAACGGGGGTGACGAGGCAACGTGAAGAACAGCTGCTGATAAATAAACGATGCAGGAAAGGTTTTTCCTCGTCGATTTTTCTTTCTGCTCGTGGCAAATGAGTGGCAACATCCGGCTGCGCTCAATCGCATCAGAAAGTCAAAATGATTATATTCAAGTTTGGATTCCCTCGGGGGCTAAGAGTGCTCTGGAGTGTCGCTCGCTAATTCGTTCAACTTCAAAGAAACCCTTTCTTCAGGATTGGCGTTCGGCGAGTGGACCGAGTGGACTGCCTGGTCGGTTTGCCAGAACGGAGAGAGATCCAGAGTGCGCACGTGCGTCTCCAGAAGACCCGCTCTTCGAGTTGTCTGCCACGGAGATGCCATCGAGGTGAGCACGCACAAAGACTTCTCACGTCTCATTCAAATATGTGTCTGTTCAGATTGAGAAGTGCTACGTTAACGCCGGAGAAGGACACACTCGAGTCGCCGCGGATCCATGGTCGATCGAGAGGGAAATCAGCGGAGACTTTGCCTGATCGCCGCCCAACAACTGAAGAACTCAACCAGATCCTAATAACTTTTCTGCTCATTTTCTCACAGTCATTTCTGGAATTGTATGCACTAATTGTTACTTCTAATAATAACTTTTTCGTTTATTTTTTTTCTTATTCTCGGAACACTGGGTTTGAGCAACTGGTCAGACCAACGTTACACGATTGACAGCAATAAAGACTTACCTTTGTTTCCATTGAGAACCGTTACAGTTTGATAATGACGAGTCCGTACAGAATAACAGAACGGTCAACGAAGATTGCGATGTATGCCGCACATTACGTGATATTCATGGGTCTTCTCATTGCTTGCGGATTTGAAGACGTCGACCGAGCCTCTGCGAAACCTCACTTTCTTATTATTCTTAGTCCGTTCTCGTGAAAGACCACGCGCCTCTTACAAATGTTGAATTGTTATTTCAGCTCAAATCATGTGACAAATTTATTTGAAATCAGTAAATCTGAGTGGCCAGAGAACTTTCGCTGATCGGGCGAATTGTGGAAGTGAAGGAATTGAAGAATCTCATCGGATTCTGCGCCATTCCCAACACTTTCTTCCGGTAGTTGGGGAGGAGAACGATGATAGCGAGGGGGTCGAGAACGGGGAACGCCGAAAGGGCGATGACTCCGAGGTAGTTGTTCCACATTCCGAGGTCGATTCCGAGAACGGGACCGTACCAGGCGACCATGCACGGCGAGAAGCTGATGACGATCGGAATGAACGTTTGCACGGCTAGCGCTTTGAACAGCTGACGGTGCAACTTTTGCGTGGTCTTTGAGACGCCCGGGTTGTCCGCCAGTTTCTGCATAATCTTCCACCCCAAGATAATGTACAGAGAAACGGCATACATGGAGATTCCGGTCAGGATTAGGATTCCAGTCCAACTGCGTCTTTTGATCTGTGGGCTCGCATCCTAAATGCGTGGTTGATGGTACTTTGATCTAATTGGTTCAAGGAGCTTACGAAGAAAAGGGCCATGAGCATAGAGAGTTCATGAGAATCCACGTGATAGACATATTTGAATCCTCCGTAAATGTAATCAGCGACTTCTCGATCTCCATAAAGGTACATCTCGCAGACTGTGCTCCAGGCAATTCCGTGGCAAATGAAAAAGATGAACAGACCGAAAAGGCCAGAAGGACAAAGAAGCATTTCGATTATGCGAGTGCTGAAGATGGGAAATTGAATTAAATTCTGAAACTTCAGCATGTCTCACTTGAAAAGAACCAGGTAACGGTAGATGAAATGAATGGCGAGGATACCGTAGGATAGAGCGATGAAACCGCATCGGACGGAGACTGCCAGCTGACCGTATTTGGACTGAAACAGAATAAAATGGAATCTCTCGACCGATTCTCACTCACTCCATAGAATGGACCTTCCGCTAGATAGATTACAAAAGCCGCTCCAGTTCCATGAATGGCGACAGGGACCACAAGTTCGACGGATGAGTAGACCATGTCAAATATTGCGAATGCGATGAGCAGATAACGATACTTTCCGATAGTAGCCTTCTTTTCGGTCACAATGAGCCATATAAAAAGTGTGTTGAAGACGAAGGAGAGCACTCCGAAGATCTTTGGAAGGTAGTGATGCGACCAGTGGATGTACATCTTCTGCAAACGAGACTTTCCGGTGACCGGCTCCCGACTCGGTGGTATATTTATACTGGCGAGTTCTAGTCTATAGTTACAAAAAGTGTAAATAACTTGTAGCCGAGAGAGAGAGCGAGAGAGACGCACGCCCCAAAAATTAAGGAGAATAGGGTGGATGAATAGCACGACTAAAGAACGTTTAGGGTAATCCGATTGTTTTGGACTTTTGCTCTTACAAGATGAACCCAAATTTCGTAGGTGACAGCTCAGCGTTTGGCTGCTTAGAACGGTTGACAGGGGTGATTCACGGATGTGGTAGTTTCTGATGAGAATAACAATGTCACGGTTCGTTCGGATGAGTTCACCCATCGCAAACAAATTATGCAACAAACTTTTTCGAGAATGACGCGGGTCTGTCGAGACCTGGATTGGAATTGCATTTCCTGGAAGTATACTCTATGCCCCTGGCGCACTTTTTTAGATTTAATTGAAAAATCTAGTCAGTTCATCAATCCGATTATGTTTCTTTTTTATTAAATAACCCGGTCGATTTGCTTCTCACTCCACTCTCTGCCAGACTGTTTTCTCTGATTTCTTGACTTATTCATTGGATACAACTGCCTCCGCCGTTTTTGTGGCACAAATTGATTTTGAACATTTGAACGGGGGTACAAATTGGGCGAATTGACGTGAAACGGAACGGAGTGAACCGGAATGACTATTCGAATCACGTTCTGCACGTCGCTCTACCACACTCGGCGTAGAATTGCCGCTTCTAGAATCTATACGTTCTCCCCAAAGATTATATAACCTTGTTTTTCATTAATGTCTGTCTCGAATTGTATATATTATATTTAGTTAACAATTGACAACAAAAAGTTCATTTCTCAAAGCTCGTATTCACATTGGCGTCCGATGTGCATGAAATTGGTCCTTAAGGAATGATCGGATAACAAAACATTTCGATCCCCAGAGGAGTATGTTTTCCGTTTCCTTAATAACAATGAAATTCTTTGGTGGATGACGTGTCGACATGAAAGAAGACGGCGGTGCCCGTCCTGTACACATTTGTGTGTTTGCATGCAGTTTTGTTTTTTCTCGCCATCTCCTCTCTTTTCTTTTTGCTTTCTTCCGAGAGACGGCAGACACTGAAAGCCCATGATGATCAGCAGGTAAACTTGACATTTCATCCCTTTCCACGCGTCTCCGTCTCTCATGCCTACGCACTTTCTCGGGTTCCCGTACAGACTGGGGCGTGTTCGTCGCCCGCTCCCGAGACGAGTGCGCACCCTCCCATTCCCCCCATTTCCTATCCTATCGATTCCCTCTTTTCAGTGATGAATTACCTTCTTATACCTATTCTCGTACTGTCTACTTTTTATTCAGTAGAGTCAAAGGTGACCCTTCCCCTCCCAGTCTTTTCAGAATCATCAACTACGATTTCTATAGGTCAGATGCCCCAAAAGTCCGTTCGGCACCGAATTAGAATGTGCTTTCGAGTGCTGCACTTCCTTTGAGGGGCCGAATCAGGGATACTACTGCTGTGGAATCGAAGAGAAGCAACTTCTGGAGAGGGACGGAGCCAATGGAATCGATCATCGGGCCGAGCGATTCGTGGCGTACGGTAACACCTTCCAGTGAGTTTTGATTCTGAATGCGTTTCTGAATACTCTCTCCTCACAGAGTGGACTACACAATGCTGGTGATCGGTCTGATTGTCTCGATCATCATTTCGATCCTCCTCTCCTTCTTCTGCTGCCTTCTCTGCAACGGATGCTGGCTGCACCGTCGTCGCAACCCGCAACAGTACGAAAGTGTGCACGACAACGGATGGTACCCGATCTGCTGTGAGTTCTTCTTCTTCTTCTTCCTCTTCCTCTTCTTCTTCTTCTTCGGCGCAGCTTTTGCTGCCCTACCAGTAGTACCTTGGCACACACAAAGTTTTCCACGTCTGTGTCTCTCCGCCTCAAGAGAGTTTTACTGTTTGTTCGCTCTTGCATCTTTTCTTCGCAAGCCCCCTACAGTTGACTAATCAGCAAACGAAATTGAAAGTTGTTGGGCGTTGTCCACTGCGTGAGACTTGTTTTTGACACACATGTGATGGTCATTTGGAGACGAACAGATGAAAAGACGAAAAAGAAGAAAAAGAAGAAGAAGAAGAAGGAAATGATATCAATGTTACAGGCGGATTCGGAATTCCAATGGGAACTGTCGTCTTCTCGACGCATCCGCCCCAGTATCGTGAGGAGAGCGAGATGTACACGGGCTCTTCCATGTCCAGCTTGCCGAGCTCCAAGCAGCGGTCAGTTTGAGTTGGAATGGGGCAGACTGTTCTTCGGATCTGAAACTTTTGTTCTGTTGAAACTATAGTCCCGATCGCATCATTTGATTAGAACTTATTGAAGAGTTAAACTTTCAACGACAAATCTCAGGTGCCTGTAGAGATCAAAAACATTGGGATGCGCTTCTATATCCAATAGTGCTGAAACTTTTCCCGAGTTTATTCTATATCAAAAATAATAGCCACACAAACTTTGGGATCCATTTATGATAAAAAAGTCAAAACTTCTGAGCAATTGGTTGATTCTCTTTCATGAAACGTCTTCATTCCATTCCTTTCAGCGTGCGTTTCAACCCGGACGGTACGCCACGTGGAGTCCTGAAGAACGGTCACGAAGGAGGACAGCCGCAGTACTACAGAGACTGATCAAGAGAAAAAGGCACTTTCGTATCTCGCCCCCTTTCGTTTTCTCTGTCTTATCCCTCTCTCTCTCTCTCTTATCAAAAAGCTTTCACGGTGCAATCGACCCATTCTTTTCCTCGCGCATAGAAGATTTTAAATCCTGTAATAAAAGCGTTCAAACGTTTCATCCAAGATTGAGCACAAAGGACGAAACATTCAGTCAGAAGAAGAAGAAGAGAACAATAGCAATTAGCCTGTGGACCCGAAGTGAACAGAAAAACTAGAATTGAAAAGGAGTGGGGGACGAAACGTTAGAGACCGGTAGAAACGGAGAAGAAGTGGAGGCGGTGAGCAGTGGGAAAAGGAAGGAGCAGCGGGAATTCGAAAAGAGAATACGGGGGGAGAATCAGGAAAGAAACCAAGCAATGAGGACCAGAAAGAGGGAGAAGATGGTGCGGACGTCGAGGGAGGAAGTGGCGGAGTTCCCGTTGCAATGGTCAGCATAGCAGGTACACACGTCGATCGTGGAGTCGTCCGCCGACTCGCCGCCCAGTTTGAACAGCTCCTTCTTCCTAAAAACAATTGGATTCAGTTCAAAGGCTCATTTGCTCCGATTCTCTCACCTGTAAGGTCTACAAGAGTCGCGATGCATCCATCGGTACCAAGTGACGATTGTCTGATTGAATCCGCTGATCAGAACGTCACTCATACAGCCGCGGATGAAGCCTTTGATTCGCACTCCTGTAAGGATAGAATGAATTGACTCTGATGCGCTGAAATGTCAAAGTAACCTGCAATATTCGGTTGTTCGAAGAGTGAGACGCAGATGGTTGGACAGTGAACGATCGGAACTCGGCCCTCCGCGATCCGATCATCGTTGCAGTCATCTGAACAATAGAGATAGGTTTCTAACTAGCTCATGGATACCTGTGAAGTTCCTCGGTCTTTTGTAGATGTGGGATAATGATGGCCAAACGGCCTCGTACAATTTGGACATGCATGAGTAGCATCTCGCCGTATCTGAAAGGATGAATGATGTTTCGTTTCCTATTGCTCTAGCACTACTATCCACTTCTTTTCCTTGTCCCTCTTAAACCCATTTACCACTTGTCAAGAAAGGGCCAACAGCGTTGTTTTGTGCCCGGCCTCCGGTGATCAGAAGCGAGAGCATTAGGAGCAGAAGAGGCGAGATCGAAGGCATCGATCATCGAAATATGCGAATTTGCATTTGTGGTGCTAGGCAAAATACGTTTTTGCGTTGCGAAGCGACAGAGAGGAAGACGAAGAAAAAGATTGAATAATAATTGGGAAGCAGCAACTTTTAATGAGGGAGCAAAGTGGTGGGAAGTCGGATTTAATGGGCTCTATCCATATTTTGATGAGCCGCTAGGCCGAGGCGGCTTAGAGAAAGTTCCCACACCGGCTCAGAAGAGCCCTCGGGCGGACACAGTGACTTTGAGTTTGGCGCAGAGCAGAGAAGCGCTTAATTCATACAATGACTAAGGACAACAAATTGTGGTGGGCGAGAGCCAGATGGCTTATTATAAAAAGAGTGTACTACTAGTACTCGGCCGCCTGGAGCTACCGGGACCGACGGTGTGTAATAGATCCTCCGATGCTCAATGGAATACGACCTAAGAAAGGATGCATGGGATGAAGCGGGTGGGGGAGAGTGAATGTGATTGGGAACAGAAAAGAAAGAGAGAGAGAGAGAGAGAAAGCCAAAAAGCCACGAAGGTGATAAAAGTGACACGTTGACGGAGCGGGGAAAAGCAAGGGAGGGGGAGAAGGTGATGATGATGAGGGAGGGAAAAGACAGCTGGTGTGCGTCTTGATGGCAGCCGGAGCGTGCTGCAGTCGATCCGATAAATATATTCCTCGATGATCAAATTGATTGCCTTTGATTGCTCTCGGAGAGCTCTGTGGCTTGCACACGGAAGAGACGACGAATGAAAGTGGCTGAGCACTTAATTTATGAGAGGTTCGAGCGACTGATAGAGAGGTCTGTGGGGACCAGGTAGCAACGAATTCAAAGGTTTATATCAGAAGCCGGTCTCCAATTCTTCGTAGATCGTTTTCAGCCTGTTTTAGCAATAATTTTTAGAGCGTTAAAGTCATTTCAGTCACTTGCAGATGCTGTAGAAAGCTCAGAAAACTATCAGAGTTGCTTTTGACATCCAGCATCATTCACCTACTTTTCAAAAGTTATCTAAAAACTGTTTGGATTGAAACATCATTTTGTGCAGAGGCCGATTGCAAAAAGCCGCGTCTTAGAGGCATTTCAAGCTGCTGAAGAAGCAGTCAATGAAAATGGCAAAATCAGAACGTTAACTCAATCCGAGTGTAATATCATTAGAGTCTAAAAGTAATAGTGCCCTTTTCAGACTATTATGACCAGTCAGACGGAAGGAAACGGAAATGAAAACGGCTTTGCGTTGAAACACAAAGTGTAAATTTGAAAGGCACACGGGAAAAGAATATGCGTTTGTGGGTGCGGTAATGAACGGAAACAGGGCGACGAAATCGAATTTGGGAGCAGATTTCGAATAGAAACTAAACTGGTGGCGGAAGCCGGACAGCTCATCCGACGAGGAGCCCCCGACCTCCGAAAACGGCTCTCGATTCCGTGACACTTTCTCGTTAATTAAGGGAGGGTGTTCAATGCGGGAAGATGATGGAATACTTTAAGTTTGCTAGTGATAAACGATTGACGTAACATGGAAAGAAGGCGGGAGGAAAAGTGCACGGAAGATGGAAATGCGGGAGGGGGAATGAAGAATAACACAAAAGACTGTGTGAAGTGGAAGTACTTGAGCTGGAGGGAGAAGAAGAAGAAGCAAGAGTTTCGAGGAGCGGGGGAACTTCTTCTGATTGGACTCTTTAATGGGCAGGGGCTCCCAGACTTTTTCGCAGGGAATCAACCCTAACGGTTGCAAGTGAAGGGCATCAGAAAACATTGCGTTTATTCCACTTGATGACGTTGATTAATGACGAAAGCTCGAAAAAAGTACGACGTTATCAGTCAAACTTGACCAACTGATACCGAACAAGCTAGTACTCGGCTAATGATTTCCCATGTTCGGCTCAAATCAATCTAGTTGTGTAGCTCTCACAAACTTCAATGTTAATAAATTTAGCGGTAGAGCGCGATTTCCTAATACCATGTTTCAAAAGGAGTGTTTTAACATAACAATCAAATTGCGTATTCTAAATAATGCGCGTCTCGTTTTGTACATCTTTTGCTCTGCTGGATTATTTCTAAGATCAGTCTACAGTAACCTCCCAAATGATCGGTTTTGAGTGAATTTCATTTTCAGGAACCTATAGGAAGTATACGGTATCGTTTGAGTTGCTCACACAAGAATATTGTAGACTCACGTTTGTAGGGCAGGTTGCCCTGGTAGTTGCTCTCTTCATAAATCCGCTCCCCAACTGCTCCGGCTGTCGTCGCCGCTGCTCCACCTGGCACGAACGCCGCCACAATCAGCAGTTTGATGAGGAAGTGTCTCTTGCTCTCCCGGTTTCTGTTGTCCTCGTTCTCGCAGTTGTGGATCTTCCTTCTTCTGCTCGTAGGGTGATCGTCAACCAATAACATCTACTCATTAGGAGACTGCCACTTCTGAAAAATAGAAAGTACATATAGAGGAGAAGGTTCGGAAAGGTACGAGAAATCCATCAGGGGTTAAAGGAGCCGTTAAAGGGAAGAGGGAAAGAGAGAGAGAGAGAGAGAGAGAGAGAGGGTGCGTAAGTGTTTCGTTTTCGAGTCACGGCTCCGTTTTCGGCAAGGAGCAAAAGAAGAAGAAATGTCTCAAAGTGCGAAGTGAAAAAGAAGGAGAGAAAGAGCAAGTGTGTGAGCACACACACGCACGAGAGCAAGACGTCCAATGGTTTTGTTCGAAATTTGATTTCAGCCCATCGAAGACAATCGTCAGTGTGCATGTCCTCCTCCGAGCACAAAGGGCCCCCGACCGAAACTCTCAAAAATATCCGAAACGCGTCCTACGTCGCGCGTCGCGCCCCCCGGATTATCAGTTTGTCAGTGCTTCGGAGCGAAGGAATAGTAAAGAGCAGAATGCAGCAGAGCACCGCCACCACCCACTTAACATTTTTATCGCCTCCTTGTCTCGCACTAGAAGCGAGAAGATGATGGCGCCGTGCCACTTGATTTATCCATTCGCCCGCCCCCCGGGCCGTTCTTTTGTGCGAAGAGCGAACAAATGCGTTTTCGAAGAGGGCTTACGATGATAAATGGCCGGGCAAAGGTATTAAAGTGGAGGGAGAGAAGAAGAAGAAGAAGAAGAAGAAGAAGAGCTACTGAAGGAGAAAGAGGAGGAAAAGGAGGAACACTGAAGGAATCAGAAGAGAGTGATGTCATGAGGTTGCGAGGAGTCGAAAAGGAGGGTACAGGGGGAGAAGCATTGAGAATCCGGTCTTTTGGTTCACTTCAGATTGTCTGATTGGTTTTCGTTTAGTGTATCCACATTGAAATTTTCAGCCCGGTCGGCTAGTTTTGTGAAAATCTTCAAATCAGATAATCTGTTTGCGCTGACTACTTTCCAAGTCGATTTTCCTCACCAATACTAAAAATCGGGCAATCGCAAATAGGCCCAAAGTCCTGGTACGCATTCACCGCGCTCGCCGACTCATTCTAGACGTATAATGCAAAACGTGCGTCGTATGTCATCGGAGTGCATCATTGTGATGGGAAGAAAACACAAACACAAAAAAGAAACCGCAGGAATGCGCTGACAAGGCGCTCATTTGCCCATCAGGAAGGGCGAAGGAAGAAAGACGGCTGCTCGGTGTTTTCCTGATGATCCGGGAGATGGAAAACGACACGCACTAACAAATTTGATGTGGTGTTGTCTCGATTGAAATGACAAGATGTGGAGGGGGCAGTCCATCACCTATTACACACCGGAAAGAGTAGCTGCGCTGCTGAAAACAGAAGAAGGAGGAGAAGAGGCTAGAACTCCTCTTTCTCTCTCTCTCTTCCGCTAAAAAGTTAATGAAAGAGCGGCTGGAGAAGGGGGAAGCAGAGGCTTTTAATCAAGTTTGCCAACTTCTTCTCCCCCTCCTCGCTCCGCCCCTTTTCTGTCCTAAGATTCTTTAAGATTGAGCCCCTGGAGATTTAGCACTCATTTTAATTGGATTCCTTCTACCGTACTGCCTACTTAAAGTTAATGGATGGAAGAGGCGCCCCGAAGCTTTCAACAACCATCTAATGAAGTTTTTGGGACCACAAGAAAGGGGGGGGGGGCAAGTAAAGTAAACAATGACAACAACACACGAGGCCTCTAAGCAAGTAGTAGCGAAACTAATTCAATTGACACACATGGCATCCAAGGCACACACGCATTTCCAAAGTTCCACCCGGCCCCCCGAAGGCAACGATAAATCCGTGGGGGAAAGCGAGAAAGGCACCGAAATTAGTTAAAAGGCGGAGAGAGCCGGGGGCGCGGCCCTGCTTTTGAGGGATGAGTGAAAAAGATTTGCATATTTCGGGCTGGTGTCGGGGTGTAAACAGAAGAAGAAACACGAGAAGAAGAGCCGAGGGGAAATCCCTTGGTGGCCGGACGAACCCGCCAAAAAGGTACCAGAAACAATTCATTTTGAGACGACGCAAAATGGATGAGAAAACGGAAGGAAAACGTCAAACTTGTGTTTGTTGTGTGTCCGAAAGAGCTTTGGGATAAGGGATGCGCTCAGGGTACGGTAGCTTTGGCTTCTATAAAAAGAAAGAATGTGTTAAGTGCGGCGATAAGTATCTTATTCGGAAGGCGATCGACTCATAAAAAAGGGAAATCAGAATTTGATGGGTTTTGCGATGAGCATTGAGATCGGAAGAGATTGGACAAAAAAGAGTTTGTCTGCGGGAGAGGAAGAGAGGGAACAAGAACAAGAGAATGTTTGAGGGGAAGGATGCTGAGCTCGGCGGACAGAGGACACGATAATTAATGATAACAGGAAGATTGACTGACTCACGACAAATGACGATTGGAGCAAAGACGAGAGAGAGAGAGAGAGAGAGAGAGAGAGAGAATGGAGCAAGTGTACAGACTCAAAGTCATTCAAGCGTAACCGCCAAGGTATACGAGCAAATCCGAGGTGGAAATTCTTGATCGCGCCGAATTGAAAATGACCGAAAGAGGGCTCGGAAAGTCGCCGAATTACTAATGGGACGAGCATTCCTTCAGTCCCCACGAAATAAATAAACAAATGTGTTCCTGACACTCTCGTCGCTTTTAGCAGAGACACACTCGCAAACTTCGGGCCGACTTACAAGTGGTCCCGCGGTCATTCTTATTATTATTTACCACGAATTCGATTCAGATTCAGAAAAGAGCAGACAGACGCAAGCAGCCCGTTTTTTTTTCTTTTCGAGACGAAAGAGAGATTTTTGGGCGGGGCGGGGGCGACGAAAAGTGAAAAGTTGTCGGCGGTTTCCGGTAGAATGTGCACTAACGGGGAGGGCGACTAAAAAGGGTAATTGGAAGCGGACCGAAATCGGAGCGAGGCAACGGGCTCAATAAGGCGAAGAAGGAGAAGAAAACGGAGAAGGAGATGGAACTGAAGAACGGAAATTGGCAGGAAAGGCGGCAACTTTTGACTGTTTTCGAAATGAGCTCATTAGCGCTGTAGGAATTCGATTTATTCAAGTTCAAGAATTCTATACTTGTAATGTTTCAGTACCGCGCTCATGTTGAGAAATTTATAGCATTCACACTCGAAAATTTAGCTCGATTTTCAACTGAAAAACTATCGATACTCTATTTATTGCTGCCGCAGAGCTCTGGCAATTGCGGTCTACCGCTCTTCGCGGAAATTCAGTGCTAAATTGGAAAAAGAAAAATAAAATTTTTCGATCAATTCTGAAGATTTTTCAATAATATTTAACGTTTTAGAAGAATTAAACTTGCAAAATGTTGAAAATCCTAGAAAATTGAGCCGGCCTGTTTCCAATTTGAGAGAATTCTTGGGGAATGCGAACAACGATTCCGTAGTTCTTTTGGAAAACTAAGGGGATCTGAAACTGCGAAAAAATTTTCTGCTACGGCGACGTGCGATTAACGTCTTCTCCGACGTCGTTTTGCACTTCTTCTTCTTCTTGTTCGCCGCCGTCGAAAATGGTGCACATTTATCTGATGCGCGTATGTCCGACACGGGACGGCTTCTAGTACGGAGAAGAGTACTCCATCCGGAATTATTTAGTCGAAAAGGAGAAGAAGAAGAAGAAGAAGACAACGACGTCGGACTGATTCTTGCTCTACACATCGTTGTTATTACAGCCCGCGCAGTAATCCATCCAATCTCTCTTCCTCCGCGCAAGGCGTGGGAACACGAAATTCGAGATGGATTGGTTTCGCCGCACAATTCGTACCGAACGATGAATTGTGCTTGGTTTGTACGAGAAAATCGGTGTTTCTCAGATTTTTTCAGAAAAAATGTGTCAAGAAGTGGTAATAAGAGACATAGAGTGTGGAATTTGTACAATTAATAGTTAGCGAGCCGGCCGCTCTGAAGCACAGGATGAATTTTTGTGGCTGCGTAAAAGTCGAGGACCAAGTGACACGCCTTGTCGACTGCTTCCGTCGGCCAGTTCGTCACGTCCACGGACCACCAGCACGCATCCATGTCTTGCTGAACCGGCTGATATCCTTTGACGGTGAAAGCGAGGTGGAGCAGCGCGATGGCGATCATTTGGGGTTCCGTCGTGATGCATAGCGTCGTGTTGAAACTATCGTTCAGGAATGTCCACGCTATTTGGACGGAATCGGTCACCTGTAATTAGATAATTGGACTGAAAAGTTACCGAAAACTATTTCTCACTTGTTCTTTACTGAGGCACGGGAACATTTTTCCGTACTCGAGCAGCGCGTCATACGGCAAGTCGACTTGCAGATCAAACTTCAGACTGTGAAGGAGAACTCGCTCGGTCCCCATCACGTCATCCACGAGATTCGGATACTTTGCATAAATGTCCGGGAACCGGGCCACTGCCGACTGACACACGTCTTTGCATTTTTTGGGAAAATCTTCGACTTTTCCAGCTAGAAACAGACAGCTGATAGCTGTAATCTGCAATTTTTGAAGATGATTTTAAAAAAAAACTAACTAATTACCTCTCTGGGAAATGATTGAAAGCTCTGGAGCATATAGAACCTGTGAAAGTAGACGGAGGCGACAGCAATTGTTGGATTGGCTTTGCTGAAACGGTTCTTTTTCTTTTCTACAACCTGATCGATTACTGAGTAAAATCGTACCATTTTAACGCGGATCCTATTTCAGAAATCAATTTTATTCCTTCTCGACGATACTGCAGCTCTTGCTCCTTCGTCAACCCCGCTTTGATGGACGGAGTTGCCTGAATAATACAATTCTTTGCGATTATCGATTTTTTTGAGCGGCACCTTCAGCGCTTCTATTGGCCAAATCCAATTTGACATGATTGGGAGCTGTAAAAAAAGTTAAATTTTAATGAAATGGAAGAGAAATCGGGGAGAAAATAGAAGGAAAACGAAGAAATTCGATGATTGCATTCGTTTTGTCGTTTTGTTTTATTGCCGAAGTACGGTTGACAAATGTACGCAATTGCCTACCGTAGTTCCCTAGAGTTAAATCCAATTCTCTGTTTTTTTCCCATATCATTTATACATGGCCATGTTTACTCGCGAATTTTTTCATTTTCGGTCGCAAAAATATAATTTTTTTAAAGTTGATTCTTAGTAAAAAAATAAAATTTTGTCTGCATGATTTCAGATTTCGTAATGGTCTACAGACGTCCCTATTCACGACGAGGAGGCTCCCGAGGTGGGTATCGTGGATCGATCGGCGGCAACGATTATGTACCTTTGCTGTTCCTGTTCCGACAGTCCGAACAACTTATGATTTCACTTTGGACGGAAAAAACTTCGGCGGAACCAAAAACACCACGGACACGGTGTTCGAAAAGGTTTTACCAGGCCGGTTTCGTTCTTCCAGTTGCAATTATTATTTTAGGAAATTCTCGACCGCGCCGCGAACCTCACGCCTCCAATGGACATTCGAAACCGAATAAATCAGTACGCGAGGAAAGTTATAAATGCACTTGAAGCGGAGAAAACCGAGAAATCATTGCCGAACGTGGCCGTCGAGCGCATCAAGCATGTCGGATCGTTCGTTACGGATACATGCACCCATTCAAGCGACAAAAGTGATATCGTTGTGGAGCTGAACTCACTTCCATCGTGTAAGTATTTAATACAATGGGTATCTTTGAAATTCGCACGATTACAGTTGAAACAATGTCCGAACTCGGAGAAAAAGTGGTGGAGAACATGAAAAAGGCAGACGAGAAGGATACAAGCGTGGCGCTCGCCCAGAGCTACGGATGCAGCATAATGGCTCACAATTGTCAAGTTCGCATACTTGTCACTATCAATGCGAGCGATTCGAACAAATTGGAACCAGACCTTCATTGTGAGTTCCGAGTCCGAGTCCTTTCTCGACTTTCTCTTTCTAGTAACAAAATATTTTCAGTAGAGAAGCTGCAATTAATGAAAAATTCGTTCGCTGTCGGTCACACCTGCTGGTTCCTCGATCTCATCAATTCGTCGCCGCCTGACTTTGTTCAGGAGTACCAGGCTCTGGTTCGAGTGCTCAAAGACGTCCGTGCCCGTTTCATCGCCTTCCAGAATCTTTCCATTTGGGCTCTCCAATATCTCGCGTTTTACTCTCTCAGCAACGGTCCGAATCGCGAAAAAATCAGTCTTGGCACGGCTTTCCGCCGCTTTTTCGAGCTCATCGCCGCTGGACTGTTCGTCCCGAAGGCGCCCGTCTTGATCGATCCGACCTGTCCAATGCGCATAGGATTTGATTTGACTCCCGCTCAAATGGACGCGCTCTGCATCAGTGCTCAGACTGTCATCCGCATCTTCGCCACCGGAAACGACGGCTATCGGGCTGTACTCGGCACGCAGGGATCCGCTCAGGATCTGACCCAAGCGACCACGACGTGGAAAGGCGTCGAGATCCGCCCGAGCATCGAAGCGTACAAAGAAGGATGCATGGGCATCAAGTATGCTCCGCTCAGATCATAAACGGACATACTCGAAGTCTCATCTTCTCTTTTTATCACAATTTTTCTTTCTCTTTTCCGAAGAAAGATCTCTTACTAATAAATAAATCTTTTTACGAAGCAATTTCCAAGATTCTCAAAGTGTGTAAATCCCTCACATATCTTGCCACTTTCGTGACGATTTCGCCTCATTCAATATTCGGAAACTTTTATCAATCAAATAGATATTGTATTTTTAACATTTTCATGAGAGATCAGAAGAATGCCTTTGCAAAAGCTCTTCCACGCCGACAACTGCTGTCATCACCACGTGGTGGAGTCGTCCATCTTCAAAACTTCGGATGTCAAAACGCTGCTCTGCTCGATGAAAGAGTTTGCTCCGCACGCCGTCAGATCGCCCTTCCCCACGTCTTCTGACTAGTTTCTCCCTTTTTCAGACAATCACTCAACTGCCGGACAAATTGATACGTCAATTGGAAGCAATTGAAGAAACTCGGAAGAGGAGAAGCTGAAGAAGATTATCGAATTGACAAAGTTTCCGCTGAGTAAGTGAAACACTTTGGGAGAATTTGTAGAATTAATTTTACAGGATTGTACGGAACATTAGAGCAATTCCACAAAGACGTTACCGACATCCGCGCTTTCTCCGCCTACTGGGAACATTATGGTTCCGAGGAGAGCCTGATAATCAATATGGTATTTCTATTTCTCCGAAAGCTAAGAAAGGTAAACTTTTCAGAGCACTTCCACGCAGTTCGTTAGCTTGCGCGGCAATCATTTCTTTCCGAAGAATGACGTTTCCGAGATTCTATTCACATATCTTCTAAGTCATTTCAAATCGACGGAGAGCGTCCTGCTCGTCACTATTGTCCTATTCTACGTGAAGCACATCGGAAGACAGCTCTCGTCGTGCTACGAGTTCATTCCGCTCGATCACTTTTTGTCTGTGCGCGATGAGCTCATTAATACTATCAAAAGCACCGATTTGGTAATAGAGAGAGAGAGAGTAGGGCATTTTCATAGTTGCGTACATCTTTTCAGAATAGACTGAGTAAAGAAGACAAGGAAAAACTTGGATTCACATTTTCCTATGGGAAACCGTATGAAATTGCGAAGCACTGGAAGAAATTGATGGAGCCGTTCTTCGACGCGAAAAGACATTCGGCCTTCCGCAACCATTTGGACGATCTCGGCAATACTCACTTGTTTGTGTGGATGCAGAAGGGAAGGGAGAGTTTTGCCTACCTCAATTGTGCACTTGCTATCCGTTCTCTCGAAAAAGTCGTCAATGCGCATCCCGAAGTGTTTCTCCCGTTCACGGACAAGGCAAACGTTGAAAAGAAGGGCAAGAAGATGCCAGTTACCGTCCGAGTGTTTAAAGAGACGATGTGGGAATGCGTGCTTGTTTCGGAGCTCCAGAAAGCGATGCGACTCGTCTTGAACTCGGAGAAAGTGACGCTGATCGATGAGAAAGATCCGAATTCGTCCAAGTTCCTGTTGTGCATGCCGATGAAAGAAGTGATTTCGACACTGGAAAAACACAAAGTGAAAGTGAATGATATTGAAGTGAGCGATTTATAAGTTGCAAAATTGCTCCTACTTTTGTCCCTCCAGTTTATCGTAACTTCAATTCCAAGAGTCAAACACGCTCCCGTCCCGATCGTTTCGCCGTCCGGAGTTCTGTGCAAGCCAGCGTTGGATATGCTTTGTCAGGTGTTGCGCACGCTCATGTTCGAAGTGAAACTGTTCCAACGAACCAAAGGGGACTGGAAACTGATTGAAGAGACGGTCTCCGTCTTCTACCAGTGGTTCCGCAATGATTGCGTACGTTTACAGTGTATCTTTTCGAGGCCGTTCATCAGATGTTTCAGAAATACGTCTACTTCATCACAAACGATGAACTGAAACAAATCGAAGCGACTTTGGGACGGCTCCGATTGAAGTTCGGCACGATTCCGGCGAAAGACGTACGAAACGCTAAAGTCGACGGCTTCACGGTGGACAATCTGAAAAACGAACTGAAGCATCTGGGACTGGACGAATGTTTGCCGAACATTGTCTATAAGGCTGACGTGGCCTACGCAGTGATCAGTCACGTGAAAGTCGGACCCGTGCTCCAGACATGCGACCTCGTCGACGCCATCCATGCGTGTCTCGTCTACTGTGTCTTCGAAAAGCTGCCAAAGGTCCGTAAATCCATTCAATGCTAACAAAAACGTGTCATCCTTGTTTAAGCTCGCCGAGTTCATTCACTACCAACAGCACTGTATTGTCATGGGCGCCTACGCCTGCAGACTGTGCGACCAGAATCCGCTGGACCGTCTCGATGAAAAGTTTCTTCCGGACGAGCTGAAGGCGAAAAGCGAAAAAATCGCCATGAAAATGCTGATGGAAATGATGGGAGCCGCAGGAATGAAGAATGAAAAAGAAGAACCGGAAAAGAAAAAGCAGACGAAACAGATCACTCCGATGAAAGTGCCAGCAAAAGAAACGCCGGACAAAAAGGACATTAAGAAGAACACTCCGGAAAAGCCGCCGTCGAACGTCACTTCTCCAGGCTGCATGGGACATAAAGTGAAAGCGGAGACGCAAAAAGAATCCGGGTGCTGCAAAAAGTGCCTGCGAACGAGTGAGATGTGTAATCAAGCGAAAGAAGAGCTGAAAATGGCAACGAGTCGAGTGAAGACGCTGGAAAAGAAGCTGAAAAATGCGGAAAAGGAGAAAGAGAGAAGACTGACGGGCCAGGACGCAGTCAGTAAAGAGCTCAAAGAGTGAGTTGTGAAGGAATCGACCTGTATACCTAGAATAATTCAGAACGAAAGAGCTAGTAAGCACCTTGCAAAACATGAAGAAACAGTTGTTGGAAGAGAGACGAACCGAGAAGAAGGAGATGGTTGAGAGGTTCAAGCGCGAGAAGCAAGAGTTGGAGGAACAGATGCGTCGGAAGGAAAACGAGTGAGCTATGCACTGATTCAGCCCTGAATGTCATTGGAATCGTCAATGTTTCAGACTCGTTCACGCGCAAATCCGACTGGAGATCGAGAACAAGGAGAAGGACATGACGATCCAGCTTCTTATGGATAGAATAGCCAAAATAAGTGCCAACAGCCACGCTCCAAAAGTGCAGACGGCGAACGAACTGGCGGATACGGAATGTCTCATCTGTCTGTGCAATGTGGAAAACGCCCAAGAGACGATAAAATGCAATCTCTGCAAGAGAAGATATCATTCGAAGGTGCCGGTATATACAGGAACCACAAACATTTGATGGCATTTTCAGTGCGCCGCCGATTGGCTCAAAGTGAAGAGCGTCTGCCCAGCCTGCCATAGCGATCTCGTCGCCCCGAGAGAGTCCCCCGGACAGTAGTAATTGTTGTTTTTTTCTATTCTGAATCACCGTTGTTGTTATGTTGACCGCTCGTTCTATATTTTACTATTTTGTTTCCTCTTTGTCTTTCAAAACAACTTTAAAACTTTCAATCAAAACGAACGTGCATTTCTCTTTATTACTTTCTTCTTCGAACCATATAATTCGGTTATGATGATATGGTTTTAACAGGATTCGAATAAAGTGCTCTCTGAAAACAATGATCGTGTCGAAAGGGCCCCCGAAAGCGTCGGTTAGTCATCCGTCAGCATCAGTGTCTCACCCGCTCTCTCGTTCCTTTTCTGTGCTCTCTTCTATTCATTCCCCTGTCGTCCGCGCTTTTTCACTGCATTCACATCGATTTTTAAGACATTTCCATCGTTTACAGGCTGTGCTAATCTGCTTGAAATTCAGTATTTACACGCATATGAACGGCTACAACTTTCCCATCAATTCTCTTTATTGCGAAAGTACAAAAAAACAAACAATTCATCAGACAACCCACCCAGATTATACATTCTTAATAAAGTTTTGCATGAAAAGTAAAGGACAAAGACAAAGCATTCTGGTTAACGGATACTTAACTTGAGCACAATTCACTGCGGTTTGCTCGATGCCTCTTTCTTTGGCTTCTCGACGCATGGCTGACGGGATGGGCCCGGGGGCGGCTCGTCGAACGATTGATCAAAGCTCGTGTCGATACTGTAGCGGCAGGACGTCTGTCATGATTCAATTTCATTTTCCCAGAGAAAAGGGCGGGCCTAGACTTTCAGGCGACAATATTCTGATCGGATCCAAACTTTTTAGGCCCTAGAGCAGTATATTATATCTCGAGAGCAAATACTCCGATCGATCTGAAACTTGGTCCGAAAATACTTCAATACAAGTCGAAGAAACCAACAAATTTTGGATCCGTTCGGAATATTGCAACTGGTCATTTCTCTACTCCACTCTCTGCCCATTTCTTACCACGGAACTATCCTCGTTCGGCTGATTCAGACGTCTGCGGATCGAATCGCCACTCGGTCCTCTGACGTGCGAAGTGGGAGTGCGACGTGGCAAACGACGTTGAGCAATCTTCGAAGCGATCTGAACAGGACCATGAGAATGGAGAAGATAAACTGAAAGAACATTGGAAGCCTGAGACTCGTCGCCTTCTTCCTTGACTTCCGATGTATCCGTTGAAGTTTCCACGGCCTCCTTCTCGGCGATCACACGATCCATCTCCGCTTTCTGACGGTCTGAGAGAGTCCGTATTCATTGCAAAAACTGCGATTTTGACTCACTTTTGAGCTTTGACGCCATTCGAATCGAGGAATAGAGCTGAAAATGACGGCGGAGAGGGGAGGGGCCGTCGTCGGCGAAAAGGGAGGTGACGACGGACGAAACAGTGACTCAGCGACCGCTACGAAGCACAACAAAAACATTGTAAATCAAACGGGCGGCCGCGCCATCCTGTCACAATGTAGAACTTTTGTGAAACGAAAAAACCGTCGCGATTTTATTACATGGCTCTGGATTTGCGTCAGAGGTTGAGCAGTGAAGGGAAAGAGAAAGAGCAGCTTCATTTTTTAGACGATCACATTATTATTATTGGAATGAAGATTGTGCGGGGGCGTCGGAAGAGCATCTTTGAGACTCGAGAGGTCGATCGTCGTGGCGGGCAGGATGATGGATCCGCGACGGCCATTTGCGGAGAGCTCGGAAGAGCACAAATGGTTTGCGGAGCCGCTGCAAAGATTATTTGATTAACTCTGTCATTGTCGCTCTACCGCAATGCGTTTGCACGACTTCTGCGGCAGAAATCTCTAGATCTCAAGACTCACTTGGCCGATTTCGAAACAAACGGACACTTGGCCACGTCATCGATGATGCTCAATGGAGATGATGTGCACACGCTGCCTCTTCTGTAAACATCATGACGATATGAAGATCAACAAATGATGTTGGAATACCTCGATTCGGCCGGCGAAGGCAGAAAACTTCCCCTTCTGGGGGCCGCCCGCAGTCTGTCGACCATCGAAGAGACGAGAACGGTCCACGAACGGCACGCTTCCGGGAATCCGCGAACACAATCCTGCAATCCAGAAGGAGATGTTTAGACGGCACAAGATGTGACCAACCTGAATGACGACGTGGTCCACGAAGTACTCTCCGATCTTCTCCCAATGTGACGACTTGAATCCATATCGTTTGAGGTACGCGTGGCTCTGTCCGATTTGGTCCAAGTGGGCGAGAATCTTGGCCGGTTCTTGCTCCAAACTGGCGATCACTTGGGAAACGAGAGACACGAAGAAGTGCGTGTGGTCCCGGAGAGTCGCTATTGATCCGGAACGTCTGGAGTAAGATTTCTACTCATGAATTTGGATAGAGGAAAAGCAAGAACGAAAGGAAAAAGGTCTACGGTAGCAAGCACAATGTTTAAGTTCTAGATTCTACCTCCGCTCACACCTTTCATGCATTGAATCGACGAACGCCGCGTTGTAGAAGATGTTGCGCACGTTCTTGTCCTTCTGAAACGTCTTCTTTGCCCAGAAGTCTTCAGCCCTCCCACCTACCGTATCCAGCTTCTCCCAGACTCTCTCCACAAGACTCACTATTCCTTTGCAGTTGGCTCGCGGAGGCTCACACAATCGAGCCCACGTGGTCTTTAGAGCCCTGACGTGCTCGTGTTTCAGTCCCCAAATGGAGGAGAGCGTGATGAGTTTGATGGCCGGAGCACTTCCGCTTCGCTTCCGGAGCGGAGGATTCGGAACGGCGAGCCGATTGGCGGAAGAGCGAGCGGGAGAAGAAGTGACCGACGCGGAAGAGTTTCTTTTCTGGAACAGAAATGTATTCAGTCAGACCCGTCAATCTTTTCATTTATCACCTTTTTCGGAGTGCTCGGAAGTGTCGGATTCGACACCCTTTTCTTGTAGAAGCCGGCTCTCGCGGCTCCCATCATCTCGAAATCTGAATAAGAAAGAAACCTATTGAAAGTGCGCAAAACGGGCAAGTTCTTTGCTCATTCGGAAGAAAGTGGAAAAGTGGGGGGAAGATAACGAGCCATCTTCCTTCTTTTTCGCCTGCGGCCGGACGGACGGTCCCAGGGGACGAGTTGGGAAAACAAAGAAAATAAATCATCTTTGTTCTGGAAATTTCCCGAAATTCTCCGCTTTTGCGGATAGCCAAACAGACACTTATCATGCGCATAATGAACAGAGTGTCTGACTCGACGACCGACACAAAACGGAATAAAAACAGAAAGTGCACATTTTTCCGATAACTGTGCCACTTCCAAAGGATTCAGTATGATATGGGAATAGGGGAAAATGAATGGGAAAGAGAAAGAAGAACCTTGAGTGGATTTGGAAAACAGGAAATGTTTCATTTTCATTCTGGAGCAGTGCTCACTCCGAGTGCGAGGACCACGCTTCGTCGCTCCCTATTGGGCACATCGAGGTTTTTTTTAAATTTCTATTTTCAAACGTTTTTGCTCTGTGTTTTTTGTTGTTTTATGTCAAGAAACTCAATGCAGCGACATGACAAACGTTTTGAAAAACCGAATAATGGGCTCCTAGCTAGATTACAAACGATTTGCCTGAGTAGGGAAAGCACTAGTTACCATGTTTTGAATCGGGGGATTCCCGACTGAAGGAGCCCATTATTTGAGTCAATTTTAAGCTGTCACCTTTTTTTTATCGCGAAATTGACCGAAAAGTTAGTTATTTCCGAGCAAAAAACGTAAATTTTCCTTTTCTCATGTTCAAACTGCAGAGCCGGAAAGTTCAGTTCTGGCGTCTGCTGGAATTTTCTAGAATTCCGAACAGGGGAAGTGTGACAAACATCTTGCAAAATTCTGAAAAAATGTCAGAATATCAAAAATGTTGCAACTGCTTAACATGTGAGGTAAAAAAAGTTCAAGAAAACGCTCGAAGATATAGAGTTAAAAAGCAAGTTGCTCTTCGAGTCACAAGGTGATCCAACAAAAGATGTCGGCGATAAAAGGCAGTTTTCTCTCGGGCGCCGCCCCTTTTTTATTCTAGTCTCCCACGCATCCATCTCGTGGGAAATGACGGAAAAAGTGTGACTATGGATGCCTGTCTGCGAGAAGAAGTTGACTCGATTCCGAGAAGATGTTTGGTCGTCCGCGCGGAGACGTGTCCACTCGCCATCTTCTTCTCAAAAAAGTATCAAAAAGAGGCGCGTCTCTTGAGCACTCTCAAACACATGTCAACATTCTGGAGGGGCGTTGTTTTTTCGAAAAACGATTCAGATGAAGTAGACGGAAACCGATGCGTTGTCAATCATTTCAGAGCCATCCGCAACGACGCCTACTAATTTCGCGAGTTGTTTGAACACGCTCCTACTACAAACAAACTATTCACTTTGTCTTTCCTGTTCTATTTTCGGTTGGCCACCACTAAGAGAGGAAGAAACTGGCAGAAACAATCAGATTGTGTTCACTCGAGTGCCCTTTTCAATAAAATGGGAAAAGGAAAGAAAACACTCACCAGACGGCATCGTCGTCGAATCCGCCGAGAAAAAAGTGAATCCGAAACAGGGCTGGGCGTTAAATTTTTTTTTTCGGATCCGCAAAAACCCAAATTAACGGTTTCAAGAAGCCGTAAAATCCGTAAATTCCGTAGACTCTGTAAAATCCATGAAGCGTACTGTCTCTGTCAGGAAATCATGAAAAAAAAAGAAAACTAGCATACAATTCAGTATACATATCATTTTAGAATTTTACAAAGAAAAAACTTACACTTGGCAGCAACAGCATCAGCGTGAAATCCAGAAAAAATATGAAGGGACTATCTTTCTACCTTTGAAAAAGTTGTACGACTTGACTGAAGTGTACAACTTATACCAAGAGTCAAAAAATGTTTCCACTTCCATGTGGAGTTAATAGACCATACCAGACGGTCTCCTAAGATAATCCTTTTCAGGACAACCTTCCGAGCCTTTTTCAGGGCTCTCTCAAGACCGTGCGAGACGGTGCAAATGTCATGTTTCGACGACCTTACATACCTTCGTGGGCGTTTTTTTCTTCTGCAGATCCGACCTTGTGGGCGTGGCCAACTATTTGGGATCACCGTCAGGGCGGGGCGTAAAATTTTATTTTTACAGATCCGTAAAACGCAAATTTACGGTTTCAAGAAGCCGTAAAATCCGTTTATTCCGTAAAGTTTTTCACAACAAAAAATTTTACGGTTTATACCGTATATTACGGATGTTTTTTACGGTCGTCCGAAAATAACACTTCCGCTGAAATTGCCGTAAGATCCGTGAACATAAAATCCTGATCCGAAAGCGTCAACTCATCCTATCGGCTTTTCTCAAATTCAATTTTCTTAATTTACCTCTCGCGCGAGTGTTCGGAGGTTTATTGAGTAAGGAAGCTGCGCAAATGTTTGATTACGAATACAATGCTGGATATTATGGTAAAGGAGGGAGATGAGGATCGGATGGTAAGAGAGAAGGGGTGCACAGATTGATACGAAGTATTTACAAATTTGAACAGATTTAAAACTCTCTGTCCGGGAAAATGACAGGCGCCAGAAGGGTCCAGGAGTAGAGTGCAGCACAGATCCAGGAGGAGATAATCTTCACCCAGACGGAGGCCATATTCGAATTCAGATGGGCGAGGTCGCTGTCCGGATGGTACCAGGAGGTCAGAGTCATCATGACGTACAGGGAAGCGAGGCAGAACATGAAGTGGAAGAAGCTGTACGAGTAGGCTACGCTTTCCTCTTCGTTGTCCCACGCTTTTCCGCCTTCCGCATCATCTGTAAACAACGCATAAATGTCGACCGAGTTTCCTTGTTGTGTAACTCACTGAGCTTAACGTCCTCGTCATTTCCGCCAGTAATCTTGCCGAGTGACGTGTTTGAAGAGTTGCGAATAGATGCGTAAATGAGGCATATAAACCAGATGAACAGAGAAATCAAAGAGTGAACTGGCAACGGAGTTACGAACTGTTCGTCCTGCTTTCCGGTTCCTGGGGTAATGGCGCTTTGGGTGACATTGGCGAGAGTTGGGTTGCAAGACTCGTCTGGAAAAAAAGCTTTTGATTTCATCATCAGAGGATGTTCACTCACTTGGATTGCTGAGAAGAGCCGACCAAGTCAGGTAGATGATGTACGAGCTGATGACGACCGCCTGGAGGAGTCCGAACGAGGCGACACTTCCTGGACCAGCGGAGTGATCGAAAGGCCACTGATCGCAATGCAAATGAGCACGTTGACAATGACAAAGAACTTGGGGAGACTACATCCATCGCCGATTGCATAATTGATGAAAACAAAGACGGCAGCGACGAGACAGACGAGAAAACCGCCGAAAGTGGTGATAAGGAGTCCGGCGTAGCAGGCACGAGAGTCATTGTCTTGGTATTGAGAGACCCACGATTCAGCGAGCCCATGGGCAAAGTCAACGATCAGAATGAGTTGGATGAGAATAAACAGGAAGGCGCCGAGCATTCCGAGGTACATGAGAGCTGAAAATGTTACCTTGGACGCGGCACAGCACGAATCATGATACTTACGAGTAGCCAAAGTGTCACTGCCGACGAAAAAGTATCCAGCAATCATTCCGAACATCAAAATGTACTTGAAGAACCAGAATCCGTTTTGAATAGAAGATCGTCCGTCTTGAGAGGAAGTCACGCCGAACATGAGGAGCATCATGAGAAAGAAGAAGGAAGCAGCTCCTGCGCAGACACGGTAGACCGCTTGATATCCGATTGCATGCTGGCAGTTTATTCCTGCGTATTCGTTTATGCTGTCGCATAGCCATTTGTTCTGGAAATAAGCAAAATCCCATAATATTTATCGATTCTTTGATTCTTCACTTACATCCACTAACTTTTGTTGAACTCCGGGTAGAAGCATGAAAACAGCAAGGAACGTGGCTGTGAACAGCATCAGAGCGTACATTATTCTTGTCGTCGTCGAGTTTTTGGCACTTGGACACGCAGAGCAGCACAAAGAGCATGCCGCGCTTCCGAAACAGCATGCTGCCTGTAAGACGACGTTTAAAAAGTTTTAGGAGTGGAAGCAGCTTACCGAAGCAGCACAAACCGGAGCCGCCAAGAGTGCACCCATCGGAAATCAATGAATTTGGTCAGAATCCGTCGAGAGGAGCTGAGCGCGCAGAGCCTGAAAACAGAACTGCGGAGCGGGTTCGCAGTGGAGCGCGTTTGCATCGTTCGTCAGATCTGGGGATGTTTTGATCGAGCGCGAGCGTTCGGGTGTTCTGAATATTCATTGAATTCATGAATGCCATCTTTTTTTCATGAATGCCATCTGATTCTTGTTCAAAAGTCGAACTGATTTGCTAATAAGTAAATCAAGCAATAGATCAGAAAACAAATCGAACCGTTTTCACTGTAGCATTCGGCATAGAAGCAGGTTTCAAAAGTTCCATTGTGTCTTGCTTTGCAAAAGTTTTATCAATTCATCGATTTCTTCAGTTCCATTTGTTCCTTCACCCATTTCTAATGATTAAATATTCTTGTCAACATTCAGCCAATCACCCGTTTTATCAACACTCGGTTGTGTACAGCTGCTGGTGGGTGGCAGCAGAAACCGAAGCGTAGCGTGACTTTTCCCTTATCATTCGCTCACTAGCTGCTCGCCAATTCACACTTATTTTTTGTACCCACGTGCTCATTCTCTTAGAATCATTCTATTTTTTTCAGGATGACCGTCGACTTGACACAAGTGTTCCATCAGATCGATGCGGATTATGACAATCTGAAAGAGTTGCTCCGTGAGGCAGTGGCCATCCAAAGTGTTTCCGGGGATCCGTCGAAACGCGATGAGACCATTCGGATGGTTCATTGGATGAAGGAGAAGCTCGAGCAAATTGGGGTCAGCTGCGAGCTTGCTGACCTGGGAACTCAGCAATTGGAAGGAAAGACTGTGAAACTGCCTCCAGTGCTGCTCGGAACTTTAGGAACCGACAAAACCAAAAAGACTCTTCTCGTTTACGGACACTTGGGTTAGAAATTGTTCAGAAAGATGACATGTATTCCCAATGTTTCCAGATGTGCAACCGGCCGCCAAATCCGATGGATGGGACACTGAGCCGTTCGAGCTTGTCGAGAAGGACGGAAAACTGTTTGGACGTGGATCTTCTGACGACAAAGGACCCGTTCTTTGCTGGCTTCACGCTATCCGCGCTGCCCAGAAGAACAACATTGACCTGCCTGTGAACATCAAGTTCTGCTTCGAAGGAATGGAAGAATCTGGCTCCGTCGGACTGCCGGAACTTCTGGAACGCGAGAAGGATCGTTTCCTGGCTGGAGTCGATTTCGTTTGCATCTCGGACAGTTACTGGTTGGGCACCAAAAAGCCTTGTCTGACGTACGGACTTCGCGGTATTTGCTCTTTCTTCGTGGAAGTGACCGGCATCAAACAGGACCTGCACTCGGGAGTGTTCGGAGGTGTCGTCCACGAGCCGTTGCAAGACCTGATTCATGTGATGTCACAGTTGACAACCGTCGACAATCGCATCAGAATTCCAGGTGATTGCGCTCAAAATTAGTCTGATAGGCAGCGGAAAGAAATCATTGACCAACAAGTGCTGATAAGAAAATGAAGGAGATCAAACAATCATGAATTAGGCCCAGAACCTTCTTCTTCTCAATTTTGCAGCGTGAAAAAGACCGATGAAACGTTTTTGATTTGCAGGAATCTACGACCAGGTGGCTCCACTTTCCGCCGCCGAGGAGAAGACTTACGATGAAATTGAATTCGACGTCACCGAGTTTCGTGAGAGTGTCGGCGCTGTCAAGCTGCCCACCGAGGACAAAAAGACGCTCCTGCTCCGCAGATGGCGTGAGCCTTCCCTCGCATTCCACGGAATCGAAGGAGCGTTCTATGGTCCTGGAGAGAAGACTGTGATTCCGTCGAAGGTGATCGGAAAGTTCTCGATTCGCATCGTTCCAGACATGGACCCCGATCAGGTGAACCGTCTCACTGTCGAGTATCTTAATGAAGTGTGGAAGAAGCACGGCTCCCCGAATACCTTCAAGCCCCGTCCAGGACACAGTGCGAAACCGTGGGTGGTCGATGTGAACGACTCGAACTTCTTGGCTGGAGCCCGCGCTATGAAGAGAGTGCACGGAGTGGAACCGGATCGAATTCGCGAAGGATGCTCCATTCCAATCACCCTCACATTCCAAGAGCTGACCGGAAAGAGTGTGCTCCTTCTGCCGCTCGGAGCCGCCGACGATATGGCGCACTCGCAGAACGAAAAGAACAACAAGTGGAACTACGTGGAGGGCGTCAAGACCCTCCTCGCCTACATCATCGAACTGGGAACCGCGTAAACCATTTTTTGTATTTATTTTATTGTGATGATGATTAGAACGTGATTCTGTACTTACCGATAAATTATTTCTAAACTCTTCATTTCATCTCGTTATGATCAAAGAAGAAGAGAGAGTGGAAGCCGATGAAGAGAGCGAGAATGATCAGGAGAGAATCGCTTTCCTCACCGCGTTCATCGGCCGTCTCATGCACGCTCCGATGAAGGCAAAGTCCCCGGCCGAGGTGGACGTGGCGGTGACTCGCGAGGAGATCCGCATCGTCTCCAACTACGCCGCCGCTTCGTTCTCCGGCCTCGGCTCGCTGATGCGCGTCGACGAGAGCTGCCTGCCCGTTCAAATTGTCGGAGACCTCCACGGCCATTTCTCGGACCTCCGTAATATTTTCGCGAGGTGAGCTCTGTCACAACTTGCTTGGTATTCATGATATCCAGACACGGACCGCCGGGCGTCTCTCACTACGTTTTCCTCGGCGATTATGTGGACCGTGGGCGTCAGGGACTCGAGACGGTCCTACTGCTCATGGCCTTCCACTGCCTTCATCCCGGCCATCTGTTCCTCTGCCGTGGAAACCACGAGGACTACAACACGACGTTGACGTACGGATTCTACGACGAGTGCCGAATGAAGTACGGAAAGAAGGGCGCCCTCGCTTGGCTTCACATCGTCAACGCCTTCAACCACCTTCCGTTCGCCGCCGTTCTTTTCGACAAAGTGCTGTGCATGCACGGAGGAATTTCCCCGCACATCCAGACGCTCGAGGACATTGAATCGGTTAGTGGGTAGGGGAAAATCACATCGATTCAGTGCTTATGTCAGATCCAACGTCCCACTTTCATTCCTTCCTACGGGCTCGCCTGCGATTTGGTCTGGTCGGATCCGGAGCACACTACAGTAATACTTTGAGAAATGTTGAAAACAAGCAGGGTTTCAGAACGCCGGATGGTCTCTGTCGGCACGTGGAATCTCCTTCTCGTTCGATGACACCACTATCGAGAAGTTTTGCCAGGAAAACGGGATCGATTTGATCGTTCGAGCTCATCAGATCTCCAGCGATGTTGGAAGTGCAGAGTAGCCCTGAAAGCGATAGTTCTGATTTCAGATGATCAAAGGAGGACACAAATGGCACGCGAACGGCCGCATGGTGACCATATTCTCGGCGGCCAACTACCTGAGCATGGGCAACGATTCGTGTGTGATCCGCATCGATCAGCAGGTATCCCCGACGTCACTTCTGACACATTTTCTCTTTATTTTCTTCCCAGAAAAACGTCGAATTCTGTCTGTTGCGCCCGTCTAAACGATCTTTGAAAGTGTAAGATAACTTTTCCACTGGAATGAATGTTTCTTCTTCCTTCTTCTTCTTTTCTTCCTTTTGTTTGCTTTCTCTTCCCTACCTGATGTGTCATTCATCAAGAGAAATCTCTTAAAAAATTAGAGAGACATGGAAATTAGGCACTAATGAAAACTCATTAAACTCATTAATCTTCTTTGCTTTTTTTCTGCTCATCATTCGAATAGAAAAGTAATTTCATGGGGCCAGGGTTGCCGGCCAATTCAATGTCAATCCTCATTAACATATTCAACCACGGGGCGGCTCGAGCTTTTCTTTCTGCTCTCAGAGCTCCTCCGCTGCTGCTCATTCATTCCATTTATCGTCATCGAGAAGAAGCGGTTGAGCATCATCTCTCATCATAATTTCTTTTTGAAACGAATCGGGTTCCACTTGACTGACAACATCATCCTTCATCCCAAAGACGAAAGTTAAAGTTTGCGCATAAACTTTGAAAGCTTACGTCTCCTTTTTTCCGAGTCGAGGTCAACTGAGAATGAAAGAAAAGGACGGGGAAGGTGTGGAAATAGCTGTGAGACTCATAGATCAGAGTACCCGGAACTGAGAGGAGGAGAGAGAGCGGCTCTTTTGCATGGACCATTAGAGGTTAGGTCCAAGTTGTGAGAACTCTCTGCGTTTCGAGTTGAGTATACTGTAGCGAGACTATTGAAGTTTTAGTACATTTTGAACATAGAAGACGTCTGTGCGGTGTGCACCATAACTGTGGTGGTGATCTCTCGTTGAACCGATCAAAGAAATGCTTCTCTCCATTCACGTCTCCTCCTTTTCATCATCATCATCAGCATTAGCATCACAACTCCCTCTCAAAAAGGCTCTCATCGGCCATTCCGATCTATCTTCTGCCTGCCCCCCCCCCTTTCCATTTCTTCATCTTTTCAATTCTTTTTTCCTCCTCCCATTCCAATATCCCAAAATGCGATCATCTGGTGCTCTCCTCGGTCGCCGCCGTCGCCGCCGCCGACCGACCGACCGGTGTGCTGCTCATTCGACCGTGTAGATGGCTCCATGAGCCCTCGTTTCGGAATATATGACACGCTTCCGGATACATACGTCTTCTCCTCTTCTCCAGTTCTCTCCTTCTCCTTATTCTTCTTCGGCTTCTTCCTTTCTATTCCTGGAGTCACTGACTTCGAAGAGCCATAATTCGAGGACGGAGGCGGAATCGTGGAGGCGAACGGAACCCCCGAATTTATTTTTTCTCGATCGCTCCAAAGACCCGTCATCCACACCTTTCTCGCTTTCCTCCTCTTCTCTTCTTTCGACTGCCAATGCCATTTCTCACTCTTCGGCTTTCGTCATCATGAGAAGAAAGCTCCGCGGGGAGATGCTTTTCCTTTTTCGGCAATTCATTTTGTTCTATGTGGAGATAAGACTTGAAGTGACGAGGTGTACGGTAGAATTCTAGTTAACAATTACCAAGTGGACCGCAGAGCTTAAGGAGAATGAAAAGTTGTTTTCGAATCTCTTTTTAACCTTGTATAATTAGAGCGGTTTCCTAATAGAATTGGCCTTAAAATAAGTTTTGTTTGTGACGAAGATGCCGGTGCCGGGGAGTTTCCGATTTCACCGACCAATTCAGACAGACGTCGTTTATCCGAGAGAGAGAGAGAGAGAGTTTGGTTTGCAAAATGTTTATTCAATTCCACGTTTCAATCATTTTCCCACACGGCCTCTGACTCCTTTAAAACGATTAGCCGCCGCCTCCGTGCCGTCCTCGTCCGTCCGTCCCCGATTCTCCGAAGAAGTACTTGCCCTGGAGGCAGGTCAAACTGCAAAACTGGAAGCGTGCGCTGAGAATGTTGCCATTATTTGTCTCTCTCCGTTTCGAGCCAAAAAAACGGAAAGAAAGAGAAAGAGAAAGAGTCAAAACTTTTTGATTTCTATCTATCTATTTCTCGGGGAGAGAAGACAACAAACACGCCACCACTACCACCACCAAAATCTCTTTCTTCGTGGTCCTCTCAGACACCCCCACCACAACGGCGTCTTCTTCTTCTTCTTCTTCTTCTCCTTTTCTAATCCGTCTCGGGATTCACTTCTCACCAATACCACCCCACCATTTCACCATTTCTTCCGCTCTTTCACTCTCGCTCTAAGTCTCTTTCTCTGTGGAAACGGGGGCACAAAAGCCCAAACCGAAGAAGAAGAACACTTTCCTTTTTTTATTTTTTGCAGACGAACACCATCTAATCCATTTTAACCCCTTTGGCGATCACACGGCGACGCCCACACAGGTATTTTCCGTGATTCTCGGCCCCGACGAAGTGATGTGCGGTAGAGCGCAATTGCAACACGTTTTTGTAGCGACAGTATTCATGATTTCATTAGAATTTATGTTTTAACTTCATTTAATACGGTTTTGACATACTGTAGCTCTGTTTCTCATAGTCGGCCCCCAATAGTTGAACTACAGTTTCAGTTAATACTTCATTCAACATTTTCCGCTTTCAGACAGTCTCCCACATCTTCCACTGATCTGCGCCCATCACGATATGGTAAGTGTTCGTTTCTTGCTCTTGCGGAACACTGAAAGACGAGAAAAAAAAACAAAAAAGAGTCTGTGGTCCTTCCTTAACTATGCTCGGCACGCACACACTCATGTTTCCATTTTTGTGCAAGAGGAGGCGAGGGTGGAGGCCAAATACATACACAAATTGATGGAGTGGTGGCGGAAGACGAGGAGGTACCATAAGTTGCGATAACAAGCACGCTCCCTCTCTCTCTCTCTCTCCCTATAGTTTTCCGATGCTTCTTCGTAGTCGCCCCGATATTGTCATCTGGGGAATTCCCCGGGATGCGCATCCTTTGTCTTCTTCGTCTTCCTCTTCTTCGTCTCTTTTTGCGTCCATTCCCGAGACGAGGATATTCTTTTTCGCACTTATTGGGCTCATTGACCTAGATTTTGTATTCCCCCTTTCGGGCTCCTTCTGGCCCTTCTAACTGACGCACCCCAGTCTCATAGATCCCTGTACATACAGTCCTTCCACTTTACAATCATCTTGTGATCCTTTTCCTTTACCTATTCGACTCACCTTTGTGTGTATTCAAATGTACACTCTCTCTCTCCTCTCCCTTCCTTTCCTTGATTGATGGGCTCCTTTCTATCGAGCCGCTCATCGGAAGTCGCACACACACTCAAAAAACCCTGACTGATTCAGCCCTCCGAACCGACAGATAGATAGGGCAGAGTTCACGGCCCAAATGACCATCGATCAGAAATCTGATTGATGATCAGAAGAATGAGTGCATTCTTGCTGCTCTCACACTTTTCACATCAGTTCTCAACTTGTGAGGGACAGGCGTCCGACGGAAGAACAGTCCGCTGCCGCTGCTGCTGAAAATGAACTTGTGCGAACGGAGCGAATGCTCTGGAATACGTACACGCACAATATCAAGTATCCGGGTGGAAAAAGAAGAAGACGAAGGCAGTGTTGTTGTCTCACAGATTCTCTTGACGACAACTGACACTTTGCGCCAGAGGTGGGGGTGTCTCTCGAGTCACACACACTTCTTCCATCTTTCATATCCGACTCTATCTCTCTCTCTTTCCCTGTGGCTTTTGGTAGAATTCTTTTTTGATAACCCTCTTCGACTTCTTCTTCTTCTTCTTCTTCTTCTTCTTTCCCCTCTGTCTTTTCTCTTTCTTTCCGCTTCAGACCCAATTACCGTAATTCTCTCTAATTACTCAACTGAAAGAGTCGGTGGTGTATGAAGAAGGAAGGAAAAGGGGTGGGGTCCGAGGGGGCAAAGGCCAATAAATCAGAGCAAATGGCTTTGAGCTAAAAGTTTTCGCAATGTGGCCCAGCCACCACCACCACCAGTTTACGACTTTTTGCGAGTAATTGAAAATGAAAAGTGAGTGGTGAGTGAGCGACTTCTCCTGTTTTCCTTTTCTGATCGTTCTTTGGTGCACCGAGGAAAGGAGGGACTGTACAAAAATAATTGAGAAATAACAAATTAGAGAAGGCGTGATGACAAATATTATGATTCTAGCGATTATCGGGTACTGTACATCTACCCAACTGGACCCAACTCATATTGACATACACTCAGTTGGTCTTTCTTTCTCTCTTTCTTTCTTTCAAATCAAATGTATAGGGGGATTTCAAAGAAGAAGAAGCGGTACCTTTCGAAAGTCTTGGGTTACCTACCCACTGGATGATATACTGTAATTGTGAGCGGACGCGCAGATCGGAAGTTGGCCTTCACAAGTGGGGCGACGAGAAACCGATCTGATCGGGGCTCGAGCACTTGAGATCGCGTCAACTTCTCACTTGAGAGCCGCTTCTGGGGGTGCCAAACATCAGAAGAGAGAGAGAGAGAGAGAGAGAGAGCATACAGTTCGAATCGAAACGATCATTCCTGATAACTCTTCCTCTTCCTCTTGTTCTTTGAACTTGGAGATCTTAGATCTTGGGAATTTCAAAAGGACACAGATCAAAAGTGTACTTCACAAGAGTTGCCTGGTTTGAGTGGAAATGCATGACGTTGGAATTCTACTTAAACTTTTATTCTTATTCCAACCTTCCACAGCTTCGAGTAAAAGTCATGCTCACGAAAGACGAACGTTTGCCCCCCTTCCCTGGTACTAGAAAGATCAGATCGCATCATCACTCGGATAAAAACGTGTGCTCTTTCTCCATCTCTCCCACTGCAAATTGTCCCAGCGGTCTCTCCCATCGGCCCGCTCCCTCGCTCGCTTCCTCTCTTTGTCCTTCTCCGTTCTCTCCTCAATTCGTTCGCCTATTTATTTTAGGTTGATGATCGGAGGATCGAAAGGATATGAGATATGATTCGGCGGGGCAAGAGATATATATCTTATTATATCTCCCGCCTGGGCTCCCCTCTCTACCTCTACTTCTTTTCTCTTTGCTCTAGAGGCGGGCGGCCGCCACCGGCCTTATCAACTTTTTACACTCTCTCAATTGCTGCTTCGACCCCGAAAACTAGAGGAGAAGGAGAGGCTTCCAGAAGTGGAAGAAGAAGAAGGACATTTCTGTAGGGTGCTCTTTTATAAACAAAATGGGTCGGGAGGAGCAGACGACCGCCACCACTTCTAAGAATATTGAGGAGAGGAGAGAAGACAACAATAATAGTAATCATTCAAACGTTTTTCGGGGCAACTCTTCTTCCTTTTCATCCGCCTCTTCCACCGTTTCTTTCCCCCCCCAACTTTCGGCCCAAATCTCAGAACCCTTATTGCCCGCGGCTCGTGCTCCCCCGCCGGCTTCTTCAGGTAGAACGGGCTCCTCGCCCCTCTTTCCTTCCCGAGTCAAAACGTGTGGTGCGATGAACCGTCGTCTAATAGGTCGCTCGCCTTTTTGCTCCCCTTCGATCTCCTCCTTCCCCCTTTCTACTCCTTTCCTTCTCTTTTCCTTCTCTCCGCCCCTCTCAGGAAAAAAAAGCCCAGGTCCACTTTTATATTACATGTAATTTTTAACTTGTCTCTTCATTCTCCTTTTATTTCCGCATTTCATGTCCTCGGAAAAATGCGTCTCTCTTTCGTTTGGTAAATTTCTAGTCGTGGGAGTTATCTCGGATCAGGACGTGGCAGACGACATCATACCGTAATCCTCCTAACTTCTGAAACGATCGCTTTCTTAGATTTCACTTAAACCAGTCACTGTTTGTGTTCGATTCTGAAAACTTTTGGTAAGAAGACAGATCGTCACAGTTCGACATGTTTTTCAAAAGAATTTCGTGGCGAGACCCACTGAATTTTCAATTACCGAAAAGTATGCATCTTGTTTATTTATATCATTCTGTCCATCCTACTCTTCTGCTCACATTTCAATCCGTTCGAGTTGTTGGTCCAAAGTGCAACAAGAGCCTAGTTTGTCCTCCTTTCCTTCCGTCATCATCCTCATCATCATCATCATCGTCGTCGTCTACTTCTTCTTCTTCTTCGCCAAGAGACTTATGAGCGCAAACGAATAAAAAGTTTTGGCCGTGATGGGGCGCCGTTGGCGCCGCCACCGATTGAAACCCGATACGAGGAGGGGACCAATATATACGAGTATATAATGCCTTCTTCCTTCTTTTCTCCCTTTATACCACGAAAAAGTGTTTTGCAATTGCAATTTGGGGGGCAAGCGCGAAACTAATTTCCTTCGCCATTTGCTCTCTTTTTACCCGTTTCTCGGCTAAAAACGCGGAAGAAAGGGGTCTTCAAAAATTCATATAAATTCGGACCTTCCTCTTTTCGCTTGTTGTTAACACCACTTTCGATGCCATTCGTTCCCCACTTTTATGTTCCATTCCTCTCCGTCGTTTTTGCGTGCGAATCGAACCGATCGAAGACGACGACGATGACTAACGCCCTTCCGCCCTCCAATGTTTCATAATAATCTGTGATTTCAGGATCACCACACACGGGAGGATGCAGTCCTCTTCGTTGGGGAGTGCTGATGATCCTCGCTTCCGACAGACCCATCTATTCCAAATGTTGATGAAGGTAACCTATTTTTTGAGCAGTTTTATCGGTTCGTCGCTGCTTCTTCTTCTTCCTCTTCTTCTTCTTCATTCTCTTCGCATCAGATAATAAAACGCGGCGGCTCGTATAAAACGGAAAAAAAAACTTCCAACAGCTCCACACACTCACTTTTTTGTGATGATCAATTAGCGAGATTAGATGAGGGTGGAAAACGTGTTTTTGCAGAAATAATGAGCAGATTGGAGAAGAAAGATTGTTGGGAAATGCATTAGCATAGGGGTTCCGAATGCGAGTCTTGCAGGTGATCAAAACATCGGCGGACAATGCGACAGTATCAGCGATCGCCACCTCGCCCACCTCGCCCGATTCGTTCGTCGACACGTACTCGGCGTCGTCGCTGCTCGGAGAGGAGGGCCGCATGATCCTCATCGTCGTCGTCGGCACCATCTTCGCTATTCTCACGTCTGTCGGCAATTTGATGGTTCGTCTTTTCCTCTTGTTTTCCACAATTTTACGAGACGATCATAAACCGAGAGGCAAAGAGAAGAATTCTGTTTTTCAGGTGATGGTGAGCTTCAAAATTGACAAGCAACTACAGACGATTAGCAATTACTTTTTGTTCAGTTTAGCTGTCGCAGACATCGCAATCGGTGAGCTCGATTCGGTTTTAAACTGGTATGAACGTGTTCCGTTTCAGGCGTCATATCAATACCCATGTTCACGTATTACACGGCTGTACAAAGTTGGGATCTCGGCTACACAATGTGCCAGTTCTGGCTGTGCATCGACTATCTGATGTGTAACGCGTCGGTGCTCAACCTGCTGCTCATTTCCTTCGATCGCTACTTCTCAGTCACTCGGCCGTTGTCGTACCGTCCGCGGAGAACGACGAAAAAGGCGTTGACGATGATCGCGTGTACCTACATTATTTCTCTGATCCTCTGGCCGCCGTGGATCATCTCGTGGCCGTACATCGAGGGAAAGTTCACCGCGGAGCCGGGCACTTGCGTCGTGCAATTCCTTCAGACGAATCCCTACGTCACTGTGGGAACTGCGGTGGCTGCGTTTTATCTTCCGGTCACAATCATGTGCATTCTGTACACGAGGGTCTACTGGGAGACACAGAAACGGCAGAAAGAGTTCGGGAAGCTGCAGGCGACTCAGGTGAGCGTTGAGAGTTTGACAGAAAGCTGAGCGATCAGACAGAAACAGACTTGGGCGAGCGATGTGGTAGATCGGCCGTCGATGAGAAACTCCAAGATTTGGAGAAAAGTCAAGAAGGTTACAATTCAATAGACATCCCGTTTTCAAACTCAAATTCATCCCACAAATCCCATTTTTGCTGTCATGAACACCCACTTCTTCCGTCTATAAGCATGAGCTATCCTCCCAAACGTTTCTTGAATCGGTCTAGTCCATTTCATCGTTTTGTTTTACAGTTCTCACGACGGTCCATGAAACGAGACGTGTCTTCGGCTTCAATTGTGAAATCCAGTGGATCGATGCGGAAAAAGAATCACGAGGGATACGGGGAAGACAGTTCGACGCCCTGCACATCATCCAGAAACTCCAAGAGGAAATCGTGGCTCCGGAATTGCACGGGCAAATCGAATTCCTCGTCGGAAGACAGTTCGGAGGCGGCGGCCATGAATTTGGACGACACCTCGTTGAGCTCCAGTCATTTCGCACTGAGTGGCAGTCGGAGGAGGAATGCTTCTCCGCCTTGCACGCCCATGCCGACCAACTTTGTGAGTTTTCATTTAAAACCTTTCTTTTTTACACTTTTTTTTCTAGGAAGACGAGGAGCAGACGGATGCGGGGGCGTCGATGAGAAACGGTTCGGCGAGGTTCCGGAGCCGTCCGCCGTGCGACGCATCCAAGAACAACAACTCGGACACTTACACCGTTCTCATTGAGCTCAACGACGAGGGAAGCCGTCCGAGTGTCCGTCTCAGCAGTTGTGAGCCATATCTCGAGTGAGTTTCCGGTGTCTGAGCTCAGAAAGGTAACGGTCCCTTATTCAGTGACACGATTTCAACGCGCAACCGTTCGAAGAGCGACTGCAACAGTGAGATGGACGAGCGACGGCAGAGCCTTCTGGCCAAGCAGTCTCCATTCAAGAACGGACGGATTCTCAAGAATTTCAGTTCTCAGGAGAGGAAAAGTGAGAAAGAGCAAAGGAAGAACGAGAGGAAGCAGGAGAGCAAGGCGGCTAAGACACTTTCAGCCATCCTCTGCGCATTCATCGCCACGTGGACACCTTATAACTGTGAATTGATGACTGAGAGAATGAAATGACAATTGCACTTTTCAGTGATCGTCTGCTGGGAGGCGTTCTTTCCGAACACGGTCCCGAACTATCTGTGGACTCTCAGCTACTTCCTCTGCTACATCAACTCTACCATCAATCCACTGTGTTATGCTCTTTGCAATGCCAGGTTCATATTTCCGTCAAACTTCTTCTTCTTCTTCTCACCGTGCCCATTCAGATTCCGTCACACGTACATGCGCATCCTTCGGTGCAAATTCAAGGCGGAACGGCCGACCATCAATCAGGGATACGTTCGTCGAAATTAATCGAGTACAAAACACGCAGAAACCTTTCTTTCGAATGATCTCGCATCAATCAGTATATTCGTAGAATCTGAAGACCGGTCCCACATCATCACCACTTTTTCAATGCTATTTTCCCATTCTTATTTGGTTCATCCTCTCCGATTCATTGCTCATCATTGTTTGGCGGGTAATTGTAATGTACGTAAAGAACGTTTTATTTTGAATGAAACACACGTTATTCGTTGTGCTCTCGGAACCGCATTCTCTCCTCCATATCGGCTGCATTGAACTCTCTCCGCTCCACTTTTCGGTATTCTCGACACGTGGACACCGTATTCGGAGAGTCACTTCTGTAATACATTAGGGCAGACTCCTCGACTCCAGGACGATCTTCTGAAGTTTTGAGAGCGTAGAATAGATACGAAGAAGAAGAAGAAGAAAACACTCACGGCAAGAATTCCTTAGGAAACAAAACACAGCAAGACAGATGAGGAAGATGATCAGAATAAGGATGAGAAAGGCGGCGGATATGACGACGACGGGAATGTGACCGACCAGTTCGGAAATGCTCATGTCGCACTTGAACGAGCCCTGTTCGTTGTAGCCGCACGTCTTCAGATGCGGCTCAATCATTTCATTTTCACTCTGAGTCACTGGGATCAGGGTCCATCTCGGGTCCTTTTCAGAGCGCAACGGATAGTTCACGTAGCCACCGTAAACTCGACCGTCTCCGATCCTGAAGAGTGAGGCATTTCTAATGCTGAAATATTCGTTTTTTGCGGAAACACATTTTCAGAAGTTCTTATGAAATTTAAGGATGAGAAATGAAAATCACTATTTAAGGCAGTGGAAAACGACTAGAATCTTTTTCTTCAGTCGCCTTCTGGACTTTGCAGTTCTAAAATTCGTCGAGTGAATAATCTCACCTGAAATCCCCATTCTGTCGCACTTCTTCTGGACTTAACGCGGCGGTAATATAATAGGGTACATGATCTGCTTCTGAAGTTGTTCTATCCGCAAGTTTTGTGATATCAATAGGTGCCAAATCATACGGACGACTGTCCACAACCACCATGTACCGCCTGAACTGATCACTAGAGAACGTTCCCGAATGAGAGAAATGCTCACCAGACATCCGCCACTTGGGCCACTTTTGCGCTTTGCACATCGATATCCCTCTGACGGGTGTAATCGCCCAGATGACTGACAATATCACTGGGAGGATGAATCGAACAGACTCTTTCCAGAAGGTTCCACTGCTTCAAAGTTACCGGAGACCATTTGTTCCAGATATTATCTATTTTTGCTCTTATTTCAAATTTATATTCTCTGGGACGATGGGGTAAGTTAAAAATGAGAGTGCATTTCCATTGACATTCAAATTTCGGACATCTCAAATTTTCATCTGTCAGCTCTTCAGTGAGTGTGGATGAATTACGGTCCTTTAGGTTGTATTTTATCTGAAATCGACTAGAAATGTTTGTAGTTTCTGTTGCTCCTAAATCGAACCTGATATGAAATGGCTTTTTGTGAAAGTTTCAATGGCTGGAATACTATGGAAACGGCAAAGTCAGTCTCCACGACTATGCGCGCTTCCGACACCTCATACTCTCCCTGAAATAGTTATAAATCATGGTATCGAACGTTAAAAGACATGTTGAAATCATGAGTCATATGTAATTTATAACTCAGTATTTCTATTTGTGTCCCCTCAAACAGGGATCTAGGACCAACTCCCAGGGGGGTCCGTGGTCAGTAAGTCCCATGGTCTGAAGCACCTGCTGGTCAGTGAGCGAGGTCCGGCTGGTCAGCAAGTGCCTCTCTAAGCAGGGTCTTTTTCTAAATGAATTTTGACCTAGAATTTAGTAAATTAGCTTTTTTCGAAATATGGCTGTTTCGTGCGTGCTTATTTGTGTCATTTTGTTAGTTTTAGGGTTAGCAACGGGGCGCCCCGCGCCCCACACACCCTCGTTCGCCCCCGGCCCCTTAAAGTGTAAGAGTGAGGAAGAAGGACATCCGCCGACCACAAGGCCGCCCACAAGATATCCTCTCGCACCTGCGACATAGTTGAGAACACCGCCCATCCGTGCTTCCATTTCATTTGCGCTCTCTTCTTTCCTTCAACTTTCTGGTCGTCCGAAGTGGTTATTGTGATATTGTACGTGCTTGACGGAAGAAGATTATCCACCAGAAACTCATTTGCCTTTCCCGGTTCTCCGACCGCCGAGTTTTCGATTTCTTTGAACATTCCACTCGGAGAGTGAATTGTTTTTGCTTTTATCTGAATTCGAATGAAAATTAGAAATCAGAAGACATCACTCACTGTGAACTTGGACGTTGTTTTTGTGAGCCAGTTGGCCGGCCAGTAGACAGTCAGTGAGTTCGGAGTTCTGGCTCTCAGTTTCAGAATGTTCGCTCCGTCGTTGTCCAGCGTGGCAAATGCACTCCACGCCCGATTGCCGTACCCATAGCTAGTTCCCGCTTGAATTGTCACGTTGTAGGCTGTGCCCGGTTTGAGTCCGTTTATCAAAAGTCTGGAAACAGGCACGGGAACTGTGATGGATCTCTTGTTGGTCGAACTGTTCCCTGAGAGATCGTACACTTTTACCTAAGCTTGTTCAGTTTTGTTTTCAAATCAAAATGAAAGACAAACCAAGTGTTGTGTGATAACGAAATGATGAGCAGAATCCTGAGCAGTGGGCGGAATCCAGGAGACTTCAATTGACTCATTCTTGCGATCCGCCAAAGTCAATTCTGTTGGGGGACTCAGCCAGGGCAACGCTAAAATCTTCGAAATGAAGAGGGAAGAAAAAACTGGGAACGGCTGAGAGCCTCATTCCCCTCCCTTCTTTACTCTTTTCTTAGTTTTTGCTTACTTTTCTATCAGACTGTGGAAAATGAACAAACTGTTTGCAAGAAAAGCAAGAAGTAGCAAAAATGAGCATTTGAAAGAGCTCTCTCTCACTTTCTTCTAATATAAAAAGGAAACTGATAACTTTCACTATCCGCTGTATGCTGCATATTAACACTTTCTATTCTTTCTAATTCTAAAAATTTGACTGTTATTCTAATCAATCGTTTTAAAAGTGAGCAAACCACGCCTAACATTACCGCTTGTTTCTCTAGCCACTCTCTCTTCTCTCTCTTTTCCACACTTCCTCTCTACCCCCCACGTCCGTTTTTCTTTCTTCGTCTTCCAAAAATGATGTTGCGAAATATTTGAAGACGAATGCTAGTTGCACTTTTTTCTCCTGTTTTAATTTTCTATATTATCGATTCTTATCAAAATGTTGATCACTCCAGTGCGAACATGTGATCGGTACACACACGTTCTAGAATCTTCTCAACAACTATTCATACAACAGACATCTCACCAGCTAGACTCGTTGTAGCCATATTACTGTAATACCATAGACTGCTTTCGTTCTGTAATTGCATAATTTCGCTAATAACTTTATCTTTTAATTTTCCAGATAATCGATTGATTCCTTTGCGGAAACTGTCCGGAACTAATTTCACGGTCGATCGCTGAGGATCGACAACTGTACCAAGACGTCGCACGCGTTGGCCATAATTAACTTGCTTATTTTGACGCATAAGCACCCGTATAGGATATCAGATACCTGAAACGCTTCGACCGACAGCCGGTAAGTCGTGTTGCCAGCCAAACCCGTGAATGTGTATTCGCGTAGTTTGGCTGCAACATGAATGGTCTGAGAAGACTTTTCCGTTTCCTGGGAGCCTAAAATTGGAGCGAATAGCGGTGACCTGAATTGTTTGAAATCTAACTCCTGATTACTGCGACCATCAGCCTCTGTTTCGTGACGAGGTCCTCATCAGAATCATGTCTCCATCTGATGCGGATGGCGTCATTCCTCACTTCCGTGATATCCACTCCATTCGTCCATTCGCCTCCTTCATCGTCTTCTGCTAATTAGCAGCCAATCTCTATCCGATCACTTGAATAGAACACTTACAGGCTTCTAGTCGAATACTGAGAAGAAATAGAAAAAGAAGCGAATTTGTCAAATTGAAACACATTTGGCCGAAACGATGAAAAAGAGACGACGAGGGAAATCATCTTGTCACAAACGATAGATACATTCGTCGTTTCCTTTTGACAAAGAGATAGAAAAGAGAAAAGGAATGTGGAAGAGGTCGTTTATTTTTCTGTATCAATGGACTGATTTCTGATGATTTTCGAATTGGACTTTTCAATGGTTTGGTTCCAAAATGGAAGAAATTGAAATCACATGTGAGAACCTGGTCACGAAACAGATTAAGGGGTTATTCAGGCTGTGAAAAAATGAAGCCATCTACATTTTAGCAGATCCCCCAAAAACCCATTGTCAAAAAATTTCTCGAAATGCTGTTTTGTAAATATGTAAATTGTGTTTTTTTATTCACTCTCCTCATTCCAATATTTATTAAAATGCGCTCGTTTTGAAATTAAGTAGCACGCGGCCTAGAAATCCAGGGACACCGGCCGCGTGCATTTTTTTCTGCTCACACCGCTCAATCTTTTCTGCAGGGATCTCAACGCAGCGGATCAGTTCAAATCTGAAGCGTCGTGAAAAGAAATGTCAACGGTAAACACGACCGAGTGCATAATCTGCTATAACGAATACGGTGAGCTCGTGAGCGTGATCGCGACAAAAATCAATAAACTGGCTTGCAGACACCGAATTCAGAAAGCCGTGCATTGGCACTTGCGGACACTCGATTTGTGAAGGATGCAAGCACCAGATGGTTTCGTCAAAGTGTCCGCAATGCAACAGAGAGGAAGCGTTCGCAATCACAACCATCAATTATCAAGTTCTTGAATTAATCAAGCATTTTAAAAGTATGCAAGCGGGCGGGGAAGTACCCACCAACTTGAACAAAGTTCTTGGCGACGATGGAAAGGTTAGCAAATTTGAATGCATTTCCCGTTCACCCCAATTTTTACGTTTTCAGGGATTAGAAGAAGGAGAGTGCAGCGAATGCACGTCAAGATCTCGAAAACTTCGGATATGTGTCACTTGCGCAACAAACGAAGGAGTTCTGCTATATGACAAGGCAAAGAACGAGTCCGTGTTAAATGTAATCGATAACGACGTCGACGGTGCCATTAGAAGAGCAAAAAATCTTGCGATTTGCGGAGACTGCGCTCTAGACGGACAACTCCACGGAGGGCACAAAACGAAACAGTTGGCGACGCTGAAGAGCAGTCTCGAAGACAGAGTTCAAGCGAACATCGAACAGAAGGTAGCCAAAATGACGGATAAAGTGAATGAAACGTGCAAACGACTGAGTGATCAGTTCAATACCACAATCGAATCGCTAAAAGCATATTTTAAACAATACGAGAAGCTGGAGCAAGCTGGCGACAAAAAAATACATTTCAACAATGTAGAATCGAGTCTCGAACAGATCGGAAACACAGTCGTCATGGTGGAAGATTCCATCAAACGATTGTGTCTGCTCGACGTAGAGTTCAAACAGCAGGGCCATCTCGTGGAGTTGAATAAAAAAGTTGTGCCAAAATCGTTAATGGTTTTCGCCAACCTAGACCCCGTTCTCGTCGCAGGTAATTCATTCGTCCGTTCAATTCCACAACCTTCTCTTTTCAGATCGCAAACAAAGTGCAAAAGAGCCGCTTCTGATAGGAGTGTTCAATCCGAAAGACAAATCGTGGCAACCGGTCGGAAGAATGCCGAATCCGAAATCGAATTATGCTGTTGCTAGTAACAAGTCGCAAATTTTTATAGCCGGAGGAATGAACAATGGAAGTTGGCTCAACACTTTAGAAATGTACGATAGAGATAAGAATTTGAGAAGAGATGTGAGTTTTCGAAACAGTTTTCTTGCAACAAAAAAAACATATTTTGCAGTGTAACAGAATGAAAAAAGGAAGAACTCGCACGTCGGCCGGCTTCCATAACAGCAGATTGTTCGTTGCCGGCGGATACGACGGGAGCTATATGAATTCGGTGGAATCGTACGATCCGGAGCACGGAGACTGGAAAGAAGCGCCGCAATTGCAGAGAGCTCGTGCCGACGCGGCGATCGTCAGTTGCAACGGAGAGCTTTTCGGTGAGAATCATCAAAGAGTTCGACAGAATGTAATCTTAACATATTGCAGTTCTCGGTGGATTCAACGGAAAAGAATACGAAGAGAAAATTGAGAAATTGAATGAGCAAAGTCAGAAATTCGAAGTGGTCGGTAATATGGAAGGAAGTCGTGCCGGATTTGGAGCTTGCGGATTCAAAGGAAGAATCTACATTGCGGGAGGATGGAGCAACTCGAGCAACACGCTCCGATCTGTCCGAAGCTACGATCCACTGACGAAGAAGTGGAGAGACGAAGAGTCACTGAACAAAGACCGAAAATACTTTACACTGCATGCAACCAACGAGGCGATTTACGCAGTCCGTGGATGTGCCGACAGCTGGAGTCTGATCAACGAAGTCGAGCGATACGATCCTGAGCGAAGCAAATGGGAGCTTATTGCGTGCGCAGCGGCGCCTGCGTCAACACCCTCGTCACAAGCGTCTTCAAGCACGTAATTGGATTGTACTCTTTATTTTCTCTTGTGGGTTTATCGGTACGCGGTGGTTGAATTTATGAAACTGAGATTGTTTGTCGCTGAATTCTGTAGATTGAAGAGCGCTTACCGCGGCGGACGAGCGGGCGGCTGGCGCGACGTTATTGCGTTTCTCCGAGCCGCCGCTTGTCCGCCGCGGTAAGCGCCCTCCTTCGCCTGAAGAGGAAAGGTACGGACTTGCCCACCACACCGTTCCGCTCAGTTTTCGGCGACGAGACAATCTCCGTTTCTTTTCGACTGCTGTCTGCCAGGTCAACTCAAGATAAACAGAAGGGGTCAGGGCTGGGCAATTGGCCGGCCCGGACTTTTCGTTGGTCGACCATTGACCTGGACTTTTGAACCACTTGCAATATTCCGATCGGACCCAAACTTTGCAGGCTTCTTTGACTTGGATTGAGGTCCATTGGGACCAAGTTTCAGCCCGATCGGATCGTCAGGTCCCGAGATATGTGGATCAATGGCCGAAATTGGCCGGAAGCCCGGGCTTTTTGGAAAAAATCGGCCAATGATCCATATCTCGGGACCTGACGATCCGATCGTGCTGAAACTTGGTCCCAATGGCCCTCAATCCAAGTCAAAAAACCCTGCAAAGTTTGGGTCCGATAGGAATATTGCAAGTGGTTCAAAAGTCCAGGTCAATGGTCGGCCAACGAAAAGCTCGGGCCGGCCAATTGCCCAGCCTTGGAAGGGGTACAATCCAATTCGTGCTTGAGGAAAAAATTTTGAAAAAATTTTGGTTATGCCGCGGCGAAAGTCTCGGAAAACCCGGCGCACCCCGGATTTCCTGCAAATTTCTGCCGACTTTGGACTGCAAAATCCGCGAGATTTGCGGGTTTGCCGAGACTTTGGACGCGGCATTATAGTGAGGGTCCCTCTCTCAGAAAAACAAGGTCTCAGATCCCCCCCCCCCACCTTTTATTCGGGAGGTCTGAGAGGGACCCTAGTTTTACACTAGTACCAAAATTTTGGCTCCCCGACATTTCGCAACTAGACGTTTCGAAACCGCGACGGCTCCGAAACGTCGGGGAGCTAAAACTTTCTCCCACACTTAGCTTCTTTTTTTTAATATTAAATGTCTCATGCTCATGCTGTCTTTCTATTTTCCGCTGATCTCATTTCGTGTCATCGATGTTTTCATAGCAAATTTTTGAATGGGCAATAAAGTCGGTTTTCCGTTCCAACTGCTCATATTCATAATTTATTTCATTCAGAAAACACGTAATTCAGGTCAATGTCTCAGGTAGCATTTCCTCGCCATCACCGCCTGCGTCAATGCTTCCACGTTTTCGAACAACGTGGAAATCTTGCCGTCCAGTTGGGATTGCCTCTGCCGAACCTTCTGGAGCCGCTCTTCGGTCTCGTTGAATGCTCGGCGAGCCGTGAAATAGTCGTCCTCGTCTTCCATTTGCATTCGCAGCTTCCATCGAGTCTTCCGGAATCTTCAATGCAATAAATTCTCAACAATGCAGGTGCGCTCCACTGAACTCACGTCAGAACGGAGCATAGTAGCATTCTCTGTGCTTTCGCGAGTCTCTGATGGTTCCGCCGGCAGCTGCTCTTCTGGTAATCTCTCGAACGGAGCACAGTCCGCCACGTGTTCTGGAGCACACAGGCCGCCGCGTTCTTGTGTCTGCGAAAGTGCTCTATTCAGAATTTGCCTTGTTTCGACTCGCCGACTCACTCATTTGTGATATTATTCTCAGCGATTATATGGTTGACCCTCTTCTCGCTGGAAGTTAATATCAACTTCCGGCTGATGAGAGCGATGAGTGTGGATGAGAAAAGGGTTCCCTAAACAGGAAGAATGATAAGAAAAGAGTGATAAAATGGGAAGTTACCACTATGGCAGTGAGCATTGCGAGTCCTCTTCCGCAGTACGTATTCACTTGAACGTCGCCGTAACCGATTGAGAAAAACGTCTGAAAGCGGGGAAATGAACGGGAAGATTGGAGGGAACTGACAATGATCTCGAACCACAGATAGTCCGCAAAGTGTTGGAACCCGCTGATAGAAGGATACGCGTATCTGAAAGCCGAAATTGAACCTCGCTGAATCGAGAATTCGCGCACCTTTCACACTGGGTCAACATCCACGAGATGACGCACCAGAAGAAGAGGGAAGCGATGGAAAGGACGAAGAGCGGACGCTCGTACATCTCGCTCTTCAGCACGAATCGGAAGTCGACGGCAATGTGATTCAGAGAGGCGATCGTGCGAGTCGCGGTGTCCTGATTCTGGGAACTGTGAAGGACCATGTAGCGACAGGCGATGTAGAATCGGAGGAACATCGGAAGAGTCAGAAGAACACTGATCGGAATCGACACGTACTGACGGGTCTTCTCGGCAATGTTCGAGAGTTGTGGCCACGCGACGAAGCCCGTTTCTGCAAATATCCTGGGTTTGAATTCGAATCGCCAGGAAACGGTACCTGGAATTGGACAAACGGCACACACTGCCAACTCTAACAATGTGTAGAGAACACGCTCGGAAGTGACGCCGACTCTCCAGTTTGTTGTACCCGTTTCCACTAGTTGAATCTAAAAATATATTGTCGAGGGCTTCTCTAGAAATTCCCCAAATCGCGCTCACTTTGATATCGATGAAATGAAAGAAAAGAAGGAAGAATAAGAGTGCGATGGTGGTGACGATGGCCGCCGCCCGCAAAATGAACGACAGATCCGACGTGTTCACGAATCGATCGAGAATCCGAGTGGCCGTGAATTCGACGTCGAGCATGGCGAGAATGAGTCCGCTGATCGCCAGAATGAGGGTCACGTCGCACAGACGGACTTTCAGATCCGACAGCTGTCGACGCATTTTCCACCGTTGACGGACGGTCTCCGCGTTGCTCATCGCCACTCCGTACCGTTTTCCATAGACGGACGGACGACTCGTGCGAGAACGGTCCCCTCCTCCACTGTCCCGGGAGTCCCAGTCGGAGCCTAAAGACGACTTTTCGGATTTCGCTCTTCGAAAGACACCATTCTTGGGAAGTTGGGAAGTACTTAAATCGGGGTGCTACGATGCACTATGAGAAACATTTTGGCATCGTCAGAAACTGGCTAAACAACTACTTTCGCTGATTTTTCTGATTTTATACAAATCTTTTGCTCTACACGTTCATCTTTTATTTGTTCTCCCCGACCACATTTGCTCATCGCGTTGTTGACTGATAGTGAGAAAATGTTCACGAAGGAATCAATGTAAGAGTTAGCAATGGAAGAAGTAAACAAGCATTGCGATTAGCAAGAAACCACACTGAGAAAGAGGGGCCAAGAGTTTGATAGTGTATTAATGTCAAAAAACTGAAATCGGAAATGCAGCTGAGATGCGCAACGGGTGACTTCGAACTTGATAGCATGGAAATGAAAAGAAAGGATAATCGGTGGTCAAACTACGAAATTCACAGATTAGACCCTACTGGTGGGCGAAAAATCGGAATTGGAATCGGAATTCCGGCGAGATTTTCCCACGGAAACGCTCGAATTTCGGCCCGCTCGAAATTCTTCATGCGCTTTCGCTTGTTTCTGCGCGATTTTCCCTCCGTCCCGAATCTTCATGATTAAAACATTGGCAAAGGGGCGCAGAAATATGATAAATTTTGCGTGTATTGGGCAAACTTTCAGAAGAAAAAGGGAAAATGTGTGTGTGTGTGTGGCTCATTAGATGCGGACAGAGACGGATAATGAGGTGGCCATTTAGAGGGGGGCTTCGCGGACATTCTGGAATGGTTTGCAGACGGAGAGCGGCGGACATCTTGTGACAGCAGCAGGAAGAAGTAGGTTATAAAAATATAAGTAGGAATGGAAAAGGGACTGGCGGAGAGTTTAAGTTTACGACTCGGAGAACTCCCACATGTTCTTTCGATGGTGGGAATGGCCCATTCAAAAGGGGCAGCGCCCGTTTAGATTGATTTGCAGATAGGGCGAATGGGGACTGAAAAGAACATGAAGAAGAAGAAGAAGAAGAAGAGGGAGAAGAAGGAGATGAAGAAGAAGGTGGAGCATATCCAGGTGAAAGAAGGGATCTGATTCAGACATCGAGAACTGAGAACAGAGGAAATTTATTTATAAGTTGACGCTTCTGAAAGCCTAGGAACTTTTCATAGGAACTTTTAGTTTAAGGTTTTTTCGGAGCCTGGAAATCCCTGGGGTTTCGCAAAAACCAAAGTTTTACGGTCCTAGATCAGTGTATTTGAATCATGCGATCGGTTTGAAACTTGGACTCAAGATGCTTCAATCCAAGTCCAAGCAGGCGGCATAGTTTGGGCCCCATCGGATTCTTGAAACTGGGTCAAATACCGGGCTCAGAGCTGGAGAGGAAACTTTACAGTATTGTGCCTGTCCTATCTTCCGGATCCAAAACTTGCCCTTCATTCCGACATTTTCCTTTTGTTCCGTGTCCGTTCGATGACGAATGAATGGCCTGAATTTCCGTCCGAAAAGTCTCCTACTCCGTTATGCATAGACTACGCAAAAAAACAGATGAGAAAGAAGAGAGAAAAGCGAATAAATGGGGATTAGGAAGGGAGCCCGACACAAAGAGCCACTCTCATTTTCAGTTTCACCTGCACGGAAACGTTTATGATTATCAATAATCAGCTACCGTATCTTTACTCTTTTCGCATAAATTTTAGATGCAAAGAAGCTTGCTGAACGAAGTTTTCCTTTAAAAAAGCAACAAGAAAAGACAGTTGGAAATTGAATTGCGGTGCGCCGTCCGAACGTACCTTCTTCTTCTTCTTCAATCTCTTGCATCGCGACTTCTCAAAACGTGCCTAGTGCGAAGAAGTGCTTCGGTGCCGGCATCCGTGCGCCAGTTCCCACCCGGCTAATGCACACTAGACAAACAGGAAATGGTGATCCAGCTCAGACAATGGGAAAATCCATGAGCGGCTGGAGGTGGGTGAACCGACGAGAATGGAGAATGGATGAATGTGTGGAGAGAGGTGTGCGTGAGCCGACGCGTGCGCAAAAGGAGCCGGCTGCTTTTTTTGTGGATATATAATCATTGATATCAAGTTGTGCGCGTGTGCTTGCGGCGGATGAAGAGACGCCGACACCGACAGCTGGACGGGTCTTTCGGGTTGAGCTGGATCCGAGCAGCTCATGCGACGACGCAGGCACGAGCAGATGATGTCAACGCTTGCAGAATTCTACTTTGGTTTCATGGCAACCTTTCCGTACTCTGATTGTGAACGAATCAAAGCGTTCAACAGGAACTACATTCTCGCCAGACGTCATCTGTTTCTCATGGACAAATCTGAGTTTGGATGTTTTCTAGCCGGCAGATTTTCATAATACGGGGGAATTAGACGTAAATCTAGTTATCTGACTGATTGGCTATGCAGTTGCTGACTCGATTAACGGAAAAAAGCGGCAACAGATGTTTAGACCAGGTTATTTTGGGCACGCCTCAAATCACAGTCGGATGATAGAAGTGCAGTCAACGAGAAACGGCATAACGAACTCTACCGGGCAATATCATAAATATTTTTGGAGTTATACTTTTAGAAATTGAACTGTAATAGAAGGGCACCGCAACACGTTGTTGGGGTCATCTTCTCTATTACAGTTTTCTCGGGAACTACTTTGGTTTTTCCTATCTGGCAATGGGTTCGATTAAATAGAAAATAAGTAAAAGCTCCACATTTCTGGATCAATAATACTGCAGCTCGAACCTTGCCTTGAACCCGTGACCGTCAACAATCGATGCCAATTTTCAGAAAATAAGCCTTACCTCTGGTCGATGAATACATCACGAACCGTGCCTGTTTGGAGAGGCCGACGGCGCCCGCACGGACCGCCGCCATCGTTCCTGAATAAGAAATCTTCGTTTGGGTGGAGAAGAGGTAACGGACTGAAGAGCACTCGAAAAGTGGAAAAGTGGAAAGAAATGGGTTTGGTATTGGCACAATGGGCCCGCCGAAACGGGCGACATTAATGGAATGAAAGGTGGCGGTGGTACCTGGCCGCGCCACTCGAAAATGCATGTCTTCTGGAGTGAAAACCGCTTCGCGCAGCAAAAATTGTTGTTATTCACAAATCAAAAAAAAAAACAACTGGAAAAGACAGACGCGGAAAACGGGAGCAAGAGTTAAGGGATTAGGGTGAGGGTGACTTGTTTTGCTACCCAAAAGTCGCACGAAAAACTGCCGGCAATGAGAACGAATTCTGATATCATTCATAGGAGAGAAAATGGAGATGAAGGCAAAGGACTGGCTGGCGAGAAAACGGAGAACTCGTGTGGTGAGGATCCGAATTTCCGGTGTACATATGGAATTGCAAGAAAGAGATAATATTTCAGAGAAATGTAGAGTAGTCTGAACAAGTGTTTCGGTTCTATCAGATCATCGCTACTCCTTAAGGAATTCGAGGGTAGAACCAAAACCGATTCTCAGTAGAGAGAACCCGTTACCGTCACGGATACAAGGCATTTTTTGAAAATTGGCTTGTACCCTTGACGGTGAGAATGAAAGTGAGAATGCTCAGACGATTAAGATAAACTTATTCAGGACAATCCAAAAGTTGAGTCCGACTGGATATCCGGGTTCGGACAGCAACTGACACTGGCCTTATCCTTCCGGAGCCTCTCCTATAAACCGGAAATCAGCAGAATGTGCGTCGCAGCATGACCCTATCGATTTCTATTTTTCGCCCTGTTAAAATGTTTGAACTCGGGGTCGATATTCGATAAAAAAAAGGCAAACCTACTATGCAACATGAATGTTTCGCGAAAACGAAGCGATTTCATTGGCGAAAACGCTTTCGGTGTCGGCCTTGAAAGCGATTCCCCCAATGCTCTAATGCACACCGGAAATCGCTTGCGAAACTGAATATTCTCTCTTCTTTTCAGATGAAAAGATGGGCAAAGAACCTAAAGAGAAACAGAAGCAGAATCGCAAAAAAAAGAAGAAATTCAGAGACCCTTTCCCTCTTTTTCTTTTCGCTTCTGCGCGATTCCCAGGTGGGCCCAAAATTTGGATAAGTGGATTTTTATGATGCAATTTTTCGGTTCTCGAGGGTGTCGGAGGATGGCTTCCAAAACAGCACTATGCTTAGGATAGACAGGAAAAGAGCATGCTGAAACACGAGAAGGCGGCCTTCTCGGGCTCATCATCATAATTCGAGTCATAATTGCCGAGACATCAGTCGCCCCATGACGTAGATGAGACACAATTCGAGAATAAACTTTAGTCCCAAACCGAGCTGAATTCCATGCCGTTGCATTCCATTTCGACGCCAAACTCGATTTTCAATTTCCGAATTGAAGATAGAGCGTGGCGGCACGAGGCAATCGTCTGCCAGCCGAGTTTACAGCTTTCAATCGAGTCAGTTATATTAAGAGAATACACCAAAATACAAAACAACGTTCAAAATTTTGCCAGCAAACACAGGTGTGCGGAAGAGAATAAAAAATTATGGGAGGGCTGGGATGGGTAACAGAAATGAGGGAAGGGAACGGAAGGAAAAGAAGAGAAAAAGGGTTACTGGATTAGCAAGTTGTATGTATTTGATAGTGGTGACGAAGAGAGAAGAGATAGAATGAAGTGGAGGGAACGGAGATCTTCCGAATAAAAAAGTATACGGATGGGAGGATAAAAAACAACGAAGAGGCTCGGATACATGCCGTTGGAATACTTATCATATATTTGACAGGGAACAAAGGTAGAGTACAGAATAAATAGGCGTATTCATGTGAAGCAGTGATGCCATGTACATCGTGTTGATTACTGTAAAGAGATTAGTTTATGGAAGTAGTTCGTGAATGCCCGTTTACCTCAGTCTTCTGACGCTTCTCCGTGGATCCTTCGGCTTCGAAACTGGCCGCCCTCTTGGCGTCACTCTCATTCCGTCTGTCATCTCCTTCCCGTTCGCCGTCGTAGAAGTCTCCATCGTCCTGAATCATCCGATCTGTTACTTCGGACGGGAGAAGCTTGTCTGGGTTGGCCATATCGACCAACATCGAGTCGTCGTTCAAATTTTGGAGAGCGTCTTCCGGAATTGCTAAAAAAAGAGATTCGGTAACAAAAAATAGGAAATGGATGGCTTACGTCTCATTTGCACACTCGGAACGAAAGTGAGTTTGTCAAGGTTGGCGATCACATCGGCTTGAAGTTTGGTCAGCATATCCGCATTGTTCTCGTTGGCAGCATTCGAAGCCTCGATGTGAAGGCGGTAGTGGGGTCCGAAGTACTCGAAGTAATCGTTGTACGGCAGCTCGTTTGGCACCTCTTTGTTGACAGCGATTGAAGTCTCATAAGTCCAGCAGCGTGCCACGTTGCGAGGAGTGTATCCTCCTCCTCCGACCATCATCAGTGGAATGTTGTAGCTGCGGAAGAAACGAGCGCATTCTCCATGGCCCTTCAGAGTCAGATTGAATGGTCCGAGACGGTCTCCGTTCAGAGAGTCGGCCCCACATTGTAGGACGACGGCGTTGGGCTCGAAACGCTCCATGACTTTGGTCATGACCGGCTTGAAGATGCTCTGGTAAGCAGAGTCAGTGATTCCGTCGCGGAGCGGCACGTTCACCGAGTAAAGCTTTCCCTTTCCGGCTCCTATGTCCTTGAGGTCTCCGGTTCCCGGGAAGAAGTCTCCGTACTTATGGAAGGAGACGGTCATGACACGGTCGGTAGTGTAGAAAGCCTCCTCAACACCGTCTCCGTGATGCACATCAATATCGACGTACAAGACACGCTTATGGTACTTGAGCAGCTCCAGAATACCGAGAACGATGTCATTCGTATAGCAGAAACCGGAGGCTTCGCTCTTCTTGGCGTGATGCAGACCACCCATCCAGTTGATGGCGATGTCGGTCTTTTGCTTGTTGAGCTTCGTAGCTGCAGCAAGAGAGCCTCCCGAGCTCAGTTGGCAAAACTCGTAAAGTCCGTCGAAAAGTGGGCAGTCCTCGCCGACATTGACTGAAACTTTTCATAGAATGAGGCGAGGAGTGTTCATTTGAAACGTACATTTTAGCATTTGCTTGTTGAACGACTTCAAATTGTCGGGATTGGCACTTTTCAGGAAGGTCATGTACTCGTCAGTGTGGAAACGAGTCATATCCTCGAAGGAAGCCGGGAAAGGGCGCTGGAAAAATGAATCATTCGAAATCAATCGATTTTTCATGATTTTTCAAGAACTTACGAATATTTCCAAGTTGCGGTAGAGTCCATAGTTGAGCACTAGATGGTGAGTCATGCGGATACGGTGCGGCTTCATTACGTGACCCTGGCCGTAGTAGTAATTGCCAATGTTCGAGTCATAGTAGTAGGCGACGCGCCGTTTCCCGTGCTCTTGCACAGGTCCGTCAGAGTTCATTTTTCCGGTGTTGGACAAGCTGAAATACGAGATACAATAGAATAACAGACTGAAAATTCGGTTTACGAAAAAAAAACCTTGTTTAAGAGAGCAAGGTCAACGACTGACAGGAATTTTTCCTTCCTAGGAAGGGGTATGAACAGAAGGAGAATAGAATACTATGAGACAATGAGCCCCAGAAGGACAAACAACGACTGCGCGACGTCCGCCAAGAACAGCGCGACACTGCGTAGGCGATGAAGTGAAGATTACCTAAAATCGATACCTCGCAACGAACATCTGTCCGTTCTAAGACCCTATTATTAGGACGATGCAACTGTTCTGGCATTCGAACAAGGTCAGTGTTAGCAGAATAAAACAATCAGAGCGAGAAAAGAAAACTAGAAAGAACAGAAACAAAGTTGTCTGAGTAAAAGGTGGTCAGCAATTCGAAAAACAAAGAGATGAAATGAACGGGAAAAGTGTGCGTGGAGATTGCAATTGTGCGCGCCGCACATTGCAAAAGGGGCGGAGTCAGAAAACCGCCCGTCGAGTTGAAACTTCCCATTTTTCCGATTTTTGCTCAAAAACGCGTGAATTTCAGCATTTTTCTGTTAGAAAATTAACAAATGTACCTACTTGCAAAGCTTGCAAGTATTACTCGACCCAATTTCCCCAATTCTGACCAATTTTCTTCAAGTTTGCCCTCCGATATTTTAAAATTTGTTTTACTCGCCTTTGAATGCAATTTCTTGCAGGTAAAAACTATGGTTGTTGCTAAGCTTTTTGAGGCAGCGAAATGGACTGCCGAAACCGTTAAGGGAGCCGCCATCGTGGCCGCCTCTCCAAATGCCCCGGTTCCGGCCACCGAGCTTCACCCGCGCATGCCGGCCCGGCCATGGACTGCTCAGGAATACGTAAGTTATTATCAATAAGCTTAGAAGCTGAACATCATCTCCTTACAGTTGAGAATGTGGTCGTGGCGTCATTGCTGGAAGTACCTCCCAGTCTTCCGTTTCTACATCTACTCGGGAGTCATCCTTTACGGAGTCTACAAGTTCGTTCTGCCAAGTAAGAACAGATGAAAACCAACAAGAGATTATCATTATTGTGTTTTCAGTTAAGCCGCGTCACCTGGTTCAGTACACCAAAGGAAAGGAGGACCACCATCACCACGAGGTCGAGCACTGGTGGGGTATCCGCCAGAAGCTGGCCGACAAGGAGTATTTCAAGAAGTACAATCCACTCAAGAAGGAGGGTGAGGTCGAAGTTGGACATCACTAAATTGTTCGTTTTCTTTCCCCTTTCTAGCCGAATGAATTTCCTCTAAACTCTGTTTTCCGTCCTCTCGCTCGTTTATTTAGTAAAACATCCAAAATTGATGTCCTTCCTCGATAGTATATTAGTTTTGGGTATGTAAGAATAAAATTATCGAACCTCTTTCTCTTCGCATCTCAATTCATTCCGCGCGCAAATGATCAGGGTGATTTGCATAAAAGTGGGTGGGAAACAAGAGAAGACCCCACAAGAAGAAGAAGAAAGATATTATTAATGTCACGGCGGAAAGGCATTCACGGATCATCATGCGCTACAACTTGCCGATCATTGCCTTTTTCGCTGCATTTTTCGTACTTTCCGCGTCTTGCTACAATGTTCCACCACCAACCGGGATTCCGGCTGTTTCGGAGGTACGTTTCTGAATGTTCTAGTCTATTTGATTATTCAATACTCCGTTTTCAGGTCGACACCATGATTCGTCAATGCTTCCAAACCGCCTGCAAGGAATGGATGGCCGAATGCCACTGGTACTGTGACTCGATCAAAGGAGCGGTTCGTTGAAGAGCTCGGAACCAATCAGTGAACTGCATAGTTTCAGAGTTTTCTCCGTCGTTGCAAAGACTGTCTCAGCTTCCGTGGACAGCAATGTATGGACTGCTTCGAACTCTAATTGGAACTGCTTACTTGCAATAAATTATTTGCCAATGTTAATTGAAACTGGAGAAACATGATTGTTATGACACTTTACAAAATATTTATGGGCTATCTAGAATTATATCCGAAATTTTCCACAAAAAACTGCAGTGATGCCTCCGAGAGTTTCCTTTCTTCTCAAATTGAGTCAGAGACGTTTATCGGTGAACACGGCGAGCACTTCCACAGCTTCTTACATTGACTTCTCGTTCTCTAACGAAATTCTAAAAAGCTCCTCACCGCATATCGATCGATATTGCCACGAATTCATCGAAAGTTTGAATGCGGAGCTTCAGAATGTACATTTTATTCAGAAGAAAGTTCGTAAAACAAGTTGGATTGACTTTTGCAAGTCGATTGTGTTTTCAGATCGACAAAATCCGGGGCGATCTTCGAAGATGCTTCACAAATAACGAAATCCGTCTGGTCCCAATCGGAGGTGCCGCCAATTTGCTGCTCAACAAAAAATCAGATTTAGATTTGGTAAGAAAAAGAACAAGACCAGCTTCCCCGAACTTCCTCAATTTCAGGTGTTTCTTCCGTCGAACAGCGAGAAACAATGGAGAATCTTCATGAAAAGGTTCAATTATGATTTCGCGTTCCGTAAAAGTTATATGGAAAACGTGCGAGATCAAATAATTGCGAAACGGGTCGGTTACTGCGAAGATCCATTCTTCACCGCACGAGTGAGTTGGCATCGTTTTCGTGTGGAGACCCTTTCTGCAAGATTTCAGGTCCCTTTGGTGAGATTTCACTCGGGAAGGCGGCTCCAAGTTGACATTCAGTTCGGCAACATCGGCCCCATCCGCAGCTCCCTTTTCGTCAGAACCTGCGTGGAATTCGATGAACGCGTCGGTCTTCTTGTTCATTGGCTCACGCGACGATTCGATAATGCGGGAATTCTGAACAGTTTGGCGGGAAAGTTCTCGAGATACCACGTAAATGTACTGGTTATTCACTTTCTCCAGGTAAACATCACATCCCATCTCTTCGAAAATTCCCCTAATTTCCAGGCGATTCCGTACCCCGTGCTTCCAGATATCATCCAACTTTCACCATGGTTGAGCACTCGAAACGACTGGAACAATGCAGTTAAAGTGCTATCCCGACAGGGCTCACTTTACGTGCCACACAGCAACGACGCGCCGAACGAACAGAGCGTCGGAGCCCTCGCCGTCCAGCTCATCGACTACTACTCCCAATTCGACTTTCAGAAACAGGCGGTCGATACGAGAGGAAGGATCAGACACAGAACTGACAACGATCCGGGTCACTTTGAAATCATCGACGAATACTTTGACGTATCGACGTGCAGAGTTCGAGACGCGCCACTTCTTCTGACGGAACTCTTCGTCTCACTCAAGAAAACGGTAACAGATGGAAACTACGAGCTTCTTTTCAATTATTAAACTGCAATTTAATAAACAAATGTACAATTTCTCTATGTATTCTAGTGTTCTTACACGGTTGGCATTCCGTAGTTAGTATCTCTTTGAGCCTGAAAGCTTCTAATTTAAGAAGTTCCCTTAGATCTCTTGCAGTTGCATGGTCATTTGGAAGAGACTTTTCTCCAAAATGTCTGTCCTCCAGCCTCCAGAATCCGTCCGCGGAATGACGAAACTCGACAAAGAAGCATTCAGTCAAGCGGTTGACTTTCCAGTTATCGAGATCGAAGCGAGAGACACGGGAATCGTGAACAGAAGAGTCCGCCTGGAACCATTTCTTATCGGACACAAACTAAAACCGCTGAAGAATCTGATCGACAGCGAGAAAGAAGGAAAGAAGTATCTGGTGTTCCATCCGGATAAAGTGAAAGAAGAGGAAACGAAAAAAAAGGTTCTGGAGATGTTGGCAAGAGAATTGGGAACGGAGAAGACGTTCGACTGGAAAACTCTTTCGAAGGAACTCACTTTCGACAACTGGGATACCAAATCCATCTTCAAAGCGGTCCTTCCGGAAGGTCTCGAGTACAGCAGCTACACTCAGACCGGTCACATCATCCATTGTAACTTTGCCGATGAAGCGCTCCCGTTCCGGTTCATTATCGCCGAAGTGCTTCTGAATAAAGTGAACAACTGCAAGACGGTCGTCCAAAAAGGAAATATCATCACGAATGTCTACCGGAATCTCGATCTCGAACTGCTCGCCGGGGTGGAGGATTATGAGACAGAAGTGAAAGAGAGCGGATTGAGGTTCAAGATGGATTTCAGCAAAGTTTACTGGAACTCGAGATTGAGCCATGAGCACGATCGAGTCTCTGCCATTTTCAACGAGCAATCCGTCGTTTACGATGCGTGCTGCGGAATCGGACCGTTCGCTCTTCCGTCCCTGATTAAAAGAAAGCCGAGAAGAGTGATGGCGAACGATTTGAATCCGGAAAGTGTGAAGTGGCTGAAGACGAATGTGAAGCTGAACAAAATCAAAGAGGAACGCGTCGAGGTCTTCAACATGGACGCGAAATTGTTCATCAAAGACAAAGTGGCAGAAGACGTGCGACGGCTGATGAAAGAGGAGGGAACTTCTGGAGCGTCGGAAGAAGAGCAAACGAACAAGAAAAAGACGGAAGTGCACGTGGTGATGAATTTGCCCGCGTACGCTGTTAACTTCCTGCCCGCTTTCCGAGGAGTTCTCCGGCAATTCAGAAAAGAAATTGAAGATATTCCAGAGGAAAAACGATGGAAATGGAATGTTTATTGCTATCTGTTCGCGAAGGTTAGCTCCTTCTGTTCAAAATCGTTAAAAAAGAGTAGAACGTTTCAGTCTCACGTAGATGTTCCGGACACGTGGTACGAAGAGGAAGCACGCCGAATGTGTGACCAGAAGACGCAATGGGACAGATCTCTCGTTGTCAAGTGCCACAATGTAAGTGCCAAACTCTATCTGAAAAGTGTAATCATATATTACAGGTGCGAACAGTCTCGTCGCGAAAGGAAATGTTCTGTGCCCAACTGGAGCTTCCGTACGATTTCTTGCTCGCTGAGCCACTTCCAGAAGAGCCTGAGAACGTGGAAATCGAGCCGGAAGAGACGGATGAGCCAAGCAGTAAACGGATAAAGCGGAACGAGTGATTCCGATGTTTCAAGTGAATGTTATTGTTATTTTATTTTTGTTATTGTTTCACAAAATTCCTGGTTTATAAATGTTTGGGAATGCCTACTTTTGTTGATAAAGACTGTCGTATCAACGATGTCGGTACCTGATTGAGTACAATCTGAACTTTACACTCTTCTCGATTATCCTTTTCAGATGATGGCCCGGTGTCTTTCTCGTTTCTCAACGATCCCCAGCTGTTCGACACGTGGCAATGCCACACTTCCCTCCATAAATCTCTACAGTTTCAGACGACGGATTGCCGAAAAACTTTCAAACAAGTAAAAAATAAATGTAGAGCCCTACCGCAAAACAATTCCGCTGATTTGCAGGTACAACGAGAAGCGAGTGCATGAAATCGGTCCGGATCTCGCGTGTCTGGAGTGGTTGATGGAGTGCGGCGCCACGAGCGTTCGAATGTCGGACGGACAGACAGTCACGCGACAACGCGAGATGCGGGACTACATTCCGCATGCGATGGCCGAAAAGGACGCAACGGCCGATCGTCCGGCCCTTCAGACTGGCGACATCAGCTACGAGAAGCAGTGGCCGAACGCGCCGTACACGTGGATCGTCGATGTGGACGCGAGCGACTCGGCTATCGCCAACGAGGGATTCACGTACCTGCGGGACGTTCGGCGCATCGAGAAACTCAAACTGAACTTTTGCGACTATTTCGGAGACGAAGGAATCAAATTCTTAGCGCAAGGACGACCCGCACAGACGCTTACAGATATGGTATCTATTTAGATACTGAGAAACTTGTGAACCGAACTGTTTTCAGGAAATTGTCCTGAATCCGTGTTTGACAGACGGCGCAGTCTATTGGCTTCAAAAGCTGAGGGCTCTGCGGCGTGCGCACTTCTACTTCTTGCCGTACGTCGCCCACCGACAGGGATTCGTTCGGCAGTTAAAGATCGCTCTGCCACGTTGCAATGTGACTTTCCCGGAAGTGGATGCTATTGGTTTCGGATACGAAGAGCAGACGAAGACGAAACGGAAATGAACACGAGATCGACAGATATGCTTTTTACAATTGTTAGTGCTTTAGGAACGTTTGCCTATTTATATAAATATTGGAACTAAAAGTTAAACTAGAACTTCCTCCGAAGTAGTCTAATCAGAACAGAAACTATAATGTCTGTCACACACGAATGTCTCCTATTCTAGAAGGAATGCTATTGGTGCGGAAGAAAGCTGCAAAAGGTTCAAAGTTACAAAACTAGAAGACTATTTATTCTCTCATCTAGCAAAAATACTGATAATCCAATCGGAATCATGACACACACCTGCCACCCAGGGCCACTATGATTCGGTTATTCGCCACAGACACCCACGAGGACGAGTGATTGATTGCCGCGTGGCTCGAGACTCGATTCAAAAAGTTACTCCCGACGACGCACTCAGATCTGACTTTTAGTGTATTCATTTGATTGCGGAGGTGTATGTCATACTTTGGTAAGTTTTATTTTTAAGTGTTCTCCTATCTTGCTTAGTCGACAAAACCTTAATTGGGAAATATTTCAGAAATTAGGACAATACAGTAGGCTATTCTGATTCGGAACGTGTCGTCAAACGTTTCAATATAGTGTTAACTGATTTCATATAAATATTCTTTCCCTTCGTGTCTTCCAGCTTCGGCTCGGATCTCTGAATATTGAGAAAACGTCATTTGGCTGACTTTCTACAGGCTAAGTAAATTTGGTCAGAATAGGTCTGTCTACGAAAAAGAAACCCAATTAGGAAGTTATCGGAACAAGACCTGCATGGGTCGAAAGATCTCAGCGAGCGAATTTCAAATGTTTACTTTAATTTTGCTGCCGACCTCTGAAACTGGATAAAAATTCATTTGAAAATCTATCTCCACCGGCTAAATTTGTTCAATCTTGTTTCAGATGAGATTTGCTCGAGTTTCAGAGGTCGGCAGCAACATTGAAGAACACGCTCGGAATCCCTCGCATTCAGATCTTTCGACACATCCAGGTGTTGTTCCGAAAGGCCCTAGCCAGCTGAAAATCCGGGTTCCTCGAATTTCCGTGGGAAATACGGTTGCAATCAATACACGTCATAATTAGTTCCGAGAATATTTCGAAAATTCGTCTGTAACTTAGTCCCCTGTACTTTCTGGGCGAACAGCTCGAGCGTTGCTCAAAAATATTCCATTCGAAACCGTCACGTTGCCACGTTGAAGTGATTAGGCAGTGACTCCCAAAGTCGCTGATCATTTCTCCGTATTTTGCTCGGTTTTCTGAGCCGTTTTCTCACTCACTGTTCACATCGCCGAAATTAAATTTCGTCTTTGTTGATTCGATAATCACAATCTGCGTATTCCTGTTTTCGACCAGTCACTTCTTCCAGAATTGTTTGCCATTTCATTTCGGCATTGTTAGTTCTTTTGCATAAACCTCCAAAGATAAGTAGGTTTGGCCCAGAATCAAGTTATTATCCGGTTCAGTTCAGTCACACTTTGCTTGGCTATTGGTCGAGCTCAAAATTTTGATGACTTTGATTGTGAATGGGTCGCTAAATTGCACGAAGCACATTGGGGATTTGTGGGTGTTACTTTAAAGAATGATCGGTAGAGTTTAAAAGCGGCTAACGGGTTCTAGTTGAACTAGTATCCCTTCTTCTCATGCTAATCTATTATGGATTGCTTCCCATGTACTGTTCAGAGCACAAAAATGTATATTTTTAGCGTCTAGACCGGACGCCCACCAAGTTGACAAGTTCCGAGAAGAAAACAGGAAAAGTGTGTGAGAGTTCGTCATATTGTGAATACTGAAAACAAGAGCTTCTAGATTTCTGGTTTGTTTTGGATATATCCAATTCTCTGGCCGTATACTATCCCTAATTCCGTCATTTCACCCATTACTCCTTCTCCTTTTCCGTGATCAAAAAACGTTTTCTCTTTTTTCACTTACCGAGTATTCCCCATTTCTCATGATCCCGTTAACCTGATTGCTCTTCTGAAATGTCCGAATGAATCTAAAAGTGTCTCGTGCTATCTCCGATTCAAACCCAATTAGAGCGCTATTCATAGACGGGTTACACGCGTGGAATGAACTTTGAATCAACGTGATCCTCGTTGTTTGTCACCTCGATTCCACGTATGCATCCTGCTCGCTTTCGGCCTCAGTCTGAGCTCCGCCCACTTTTTTTTTGAAAATTCCCGCGCGCTAAGAATATGATTTCATTCGAAATGCCGATTGCTAACCGAGTCGCGGAATTCGCAATAACAGGTAGTTCCCCCATTTTAGGATTTATTTATAAAGTCATCATTGTTGATATCATGGGAGCACAATCGAATCATCTGTGATTTGACTTGCTTTTTCTTCACCTTTTCCATATTTTTTCTATTTTTCCAGACCACTCAATGGGCGACTTTAAAGTCGACTTTGGACAGACTCTTTTCATGTGCATTCTGTACATTACCATAGGTAAACCAGGACATATAATACTATTAATTACCAGGACAAATTTAGGAACAATTTCAATCTTATGCAGCTTAACTACAATCACTCTTTATCTGACCAGTGGAGATTTGAGGAAAAAGTACATATTGTACCTGGTTCTGGACTTTTGTGAACTTTTAGATGGTAAGTGAGACATACGTTAATGTTACAAAAAATCTGAAATTTTCAGCAGTGAGTTACGTGTTGCTGGGCATTGGAAGAGGGCATTTGCTGCTCATGGGGACACTCGGAACGTCCATTTCAGTCAGAGACTGCTTTTTTACCGTAAGCTCTCATATTCATTTCGAATCTTGCTTCACTGTCACTTTCCAGAGATACTGGCCTCAATCTCTGATATTAGGCACCCAACTGCCCTCGATTTGCACTCTTTTCCTATCATTCGAAAGGATATTAGCGGTTGTTCGACCGGCGGCCTACAAAAGAGCATGCACGCAGAGCTTCAAGTATTGTCTGACTGCGATGGTTCCCGTGTGGGCGGTTGTGAGTCAGAAGGATCGGGTCCGAGCGAAATAATATTTTCAGTTGACACTGTCAGCAGCCGGATTATCGGTGATTGGATCGGCAGGAGATAGAGTGGTGGGCACGAGGCATTGTGCGATCATTACGAGCACGAGCAAATGGTGAGATACTAGCCAAAGCCTTTATGTACGTATTTCCCGCAGGTACGCCACGTTTCACTTCTTCTTCATCGTGCTCGCCTACGTCGTCTCCTTCGTTTCCACTCTTGTCGTCTGGGCCACTCGCCGGGTATGGACGGTAGACATAACTCTTGTGCCGAAGATCATTGCTCAATGCCTCCGTTTCAGAATCTCTCAAAAAGTAAATACGGCGGCACACAATCGGACAATCTGGGAATGATTCTGGCGATGTCGGGCACTTCGATAGTCCTTCTGGCCTCGCCGGCAATCGTGATGCTGACGATCCGATGGGATATCACCGAGTGGGGAGACATCGAAGTGGCCGTCACTTATGCAATGCCAGGGTGAGAAAATAGTGCAGCCGCATTAGGCTACCTCGAATCAAAACTGTCCCGGATCAGAAACGGTCAAAATATGACTTTATGTGACAAGAACCACGCGCCGATCGGTTCTGATTGGGGGAAGCCTCCAGCCGCAGCAATCTTTGATTATCGGTGATTTGCAGGTTCCTATCTGTCGTCAACACAATCATTGCTTTTCGATTCCGAAAAGAGCTGCGAGCACAGTTCATGTACTTGTTCGGCATGAGGTGAGAATTCTTTTCTTGTTTTGAATCTCGAATGTTTTGTGATTATGAATCAGGATAAATCTAAGCAGCTCGTTAACTGCGAAAGATAAACCGGTTTGGAAAATTGAGATGTGAGTCGGCGCACATAGAAAAACACTTTGTTTCGTAGGTACACATAGCGATCGTGATTTTAAACAACATTTTGAGTTTCTCGGTTCCTAGCAGAACTAGTATAAATTCAATTGAAACCGCACAACATTTGCAGAGGCGTCCACCATGCGAACATCGAGCATTCCGTGTTCACGAAGACGACGATGACTTCTCGAAGACCCACTACAGTGAATAATTTGCACTAGACGCCAATTTCCAATTCTCATTTCACATTCCACACTTTCCTAGGAGCCAAATAAAATGTCAACCCATCCTCCCATCGCATTTATTTTTTCGTTTCGTTCTACGCAAAGAAGAAAAGCTGCCTCGGAATCCCTCGTAAATCGGATGTATCTCATGGCAACGATGAGTCGACGGCTCCGCGCGTCACCGCCATTTCCCTTCTTTTCCTATTCTCGCGAGAGTGTTCGCATTCAGAGCTTCTGCTGCTCACCGCGGATTATTCAAAGTTGCGGTATGTTCGAATGGTCCACAGATATCTTCCCAACTAGTTCTTTGTTTTCCCACTTTCACTGAACTGCCGTTGCAGTATGAATTTCATTCAGGATGGACATGATCGCCGTCCTCACACCTCTCATCGTAATTGCCGTCCTTGTTTTTCTCACTCTCCGTCTCATTATCAAATACTGCAAACCGTCGTCGTCCTCTGCGGTGGCCGCCTCCTCGACAGACACCGAGGCACCCGACTTCACACGTGTCGCCAATCATCTGTTCGTCTCCAACACTCCACACACATGTACGCGTGGGCGGGGAGGGAGTGATTGATGAGGAGAAGCGGCAAAGCCAGCCTTTGTTTGAACTGTAGCGTCTCCCGGGAAGGCGCCGAATAGAATAGAAATAGTTGGGTGGCTGGGAAACCGGAGGAGTACGGTAGGAGTGATCTTCTCGGATTACTCTCTATACCTTTTTGCAGACAGTCGTATCTACGTGGACGAATCGTCGAATGTTCGCAGTGTAACAATCACTCGCATCGCGCCGCAGGGGCAACACATTGTCGGTGGGTTCTTTTGTACTTTCACTCAACAACACACGTTTTATTATTATCAAAACGAGAGAATGATTGTCATTAAAAATACAATGGTGGGGGCAAAATCCGTGAGAGAACGATGAGAAAATGAACACCAAGACCGGCGAGAGGGAGGAGAAGAGCGAGATAAGCAAAAATATGTAGATGTGGTTCATTCATAAAGCGGAGGAAGCAAGAAGAAGGATTCTGTGGGAGCCCGTGGCAACTATGGGGGGACGAGGAGTTTCGTAGTAACAAGAGGGGAGCAACTCGAAATGTCAACTTGAGGTCGTTTGGTAGACCCGACAAAGAAGCGAGAGAGAGACAGAGAGAGAGAGAGAGGGGGAGAAAATAGAGGTGATAATAAAGAAAGAAAAAACGGACAAAAAACGCGGTAGGAATGGGTAAACTTAACAGGGAGAGAGAGAGAGAGAGTCACGGTGTGATTTGAAACGGGCTCAAAAGTTTAGTCTTGTCCGTTCGGGGCGTGTCCATTCGGGACCGGGCGCAGCAAGAGCTGGCTCGCGTTGATGGTCGCGCTGCTCGGATATCCGCCCGACGGATCGGGCACCGAGTAGTCATACGGATAGTCGGCGGTCTGGATGAACAGCGGCTGGTCGACGGGCTTGTGCTCATCGGCCGACATTGGCGGCGAGTGGACCAGAGCAGAGTCGGTGCTCGTGGCGCAATTGACGACGCAAGTAGTCGGGATGATGGGCTCTGGCACGTACGGGATGTAGTTCATCGGGTAGTGGTACATGGTGTAGGAGCCCTCCGGGGAGAACTGGCAGTACGAGCCATAAGAAGAGTTGGAGCTGGAACTGTGCGAAGAGGAGCTGGACTCGAAGATGCTAGAGAGTGGAGGCAACGGCGTCAGCGGCGTGTGCTTCGGAGAGGGACGCTTGCGTGTCTTCGTCGTCTTCTGTAAGCAATGCATTTACATATTCCATGTTCGGGTCAGACAGTAGGACAGATGTTCTCCTCAAGGACTTTCCCTTTGCGCGCGCGCACTTGTTGTACTACCCCCCACTACCTCCGTCGCGCATAAACGATTAATTGGCTATTGTTGTATCTTCTCTCTATCTCTTTTGGATTATTACGGGACACGACGGAGATCACGATCGGAAGGAGTCACTTACCATTTTGAGCGATTTGGTATCGGAGAGTCTCTTGTGGAAGGTGCTGAACGACTCAAGACGAGACGAGGTGGGCATCCACTGGCTGGAAGCGGAAGAAATTGAAGAAGTGACAGAGGTGCTGTACGGTCCGGATTTCATTTCTGTAAATGGGCAAAGATGAGGATGAGGTGAAAGGAGAGGTGAAAGTGACGGCGATCGGAGAATCGGAGAGAGATTGGGAGAAAGAGGCAGCGAAAGGCAAGAAAGACATATGCGTGCAAAAAATGGAAATGGCAGAAGCGAAGAGAAGCATCTCCCGAGAGGAAGACCAAAAAGACAGGTTCTTCTTCGTCTTCTTCTGATTGATAACCATTTTGATGTTGAAAAAGAGGAGGCACGGAAAGAAGTGTGAGAACTTGCAAAATGAAGCGAGATGTGGAACGAACGGTGGGAGAGAGAAAGAATGAGATTACGGTAGATTTGAGTGCTTCACTTTCCAAAGCTCTCGGAACAAGATTGGAATGATGCGACGAGACTAGGAAGTGTATACTGTCACTGACTAAGAAAGTAATAGTAGTAGCAATAGGTGTCGGCCGGTTTCCCTCTCTCTCTCACTCATATAATTGCTTTCTCCTTGCTTGTCACCTTCATCATCGAAGTAGAGGAGGCACCGAATGAATGGTTTCGAGAGCGCTGGCGACTGACTAGTAGTTGAAGGTTACCACCATGGGGGAAGTGAAAAGAAGGAGAAAAGGAGAGGCGGTGGGCCGGTTGCGGGTGTACAGATGGCAGGTGGTGGCGTGTGCCCTTTTGTGTACGCCTTGGGTCAGGCCATCAAACTGGCTCGGTGGGGCCTTGGAGACTAATTGAAGGGTGTAGGGTTAAAGGCGTTGGAGAAGGATCAGAATGAGTATCGAAATGAGATGGATGTGGATGAAGACGTTTGCTGAATCGTCGCCATAATAATAAAACGTCTGTCACGCTCACTTCTTCGCTGCACTGACACTGTGTATCTGTGAGAGCGATTGCGCGCGCAGCAGCAGCCACGGGCATGTGTATCTCTCTCTCAATTCCCTCCTAGACACTGTTGGCTGCCTGTGTGGCGGTTAGTGTTAGGTCGGGATGAAAACGAAACGCATCGCTCGCGCAAAAGCCGGCAGCAGGAGAGGAGAAGGCAGGCCTACCACCGCCACCAACAACCGTTCATCTTCAAGAGAAACGGTGTCGCGGCGACAGAACGAACGAGCGGTCGCCGCGGAAGAAAATGAGAGAAATTGAGAGAGAGAGAGACGCCCGCCGCGCACTTTTGTTCTTCAGTGTTTTTTTTTGCCCGACACTGTGTGTTACGCTGTTGTGCAGATCTGGCTGATAAGGGCGGGAGGTGATAAGAAGAAGCAGTGACATAGAAACCCTTTTGATAAGGCGTTGATACGAACATGAACGAGTGTGTCGAAGCGAGGAGGAGAAGTATACTAGTTCGAGAGAAAGAGAAACCTATCAAAATGGCAGAGTTTACACACTTTACAGTACTTTTGTAACACAACAATAGCTACCATCTTTGACTATCTGTGCGTGTGAGGGACAAAAAGCGGAGGACAAATATATGGGGTTTGGGGGGAGTGGTGGAGGTGGAGATCGAATGCAAATCGGTGAGAACACCGCGCACACAATGTGTGTTGATTTGATGAATGCATTATTATGCAATTGAGAAAAGGAAGAGAGTGCGCTTCCCGAGACTGAGAACAAGCTGTCTTCAGCAGGCAATAGCAACGCGCATTGTGAGTGCTGTCGCTCACCTCTCTCGCACCGGACACACAAAAGTTTTATGGTATTACTCGGAAGGGCGCCTCGCCCGCGTAAATGTGTCGATGAGTCGTCGATTTGGCGGAGACGGCAACCCGCCCCGAGGACACCTGTGGGACACCCAGCACACGATTATGACGTTACGTGGGAACGGAGGGCGAAGTGACAAGGGTCAGCCATTTGAGAGTGTCGCACACAATGTGATGCGATTGCGCGAGCAGACGCACTGCCAATGCTCGGTGGAACGAAACAGATGATGTCTGGCAAGTGATTTATACACGCAGCACGAAACAACATTGGTGTGTCAAAATTCGAATATCTTTACTCGTCCGTCCTATCTACCGGAATGACGCATGATCAACGTGTCAACAAACAGTACTAAAAGTTGCCGGAAACCGTCTGCCTTATCAATGGGTCATCTGTCCTAGAAGACGAGCTTCACTTTTAAACGAAATAGGTTCTGCAGGCTGTAGGGCGAGTTCAGTAAACAGTACGGAGTGACTGACCCTTCTATGACCCTTAAGTGAACGCCGATTACCTAACCTAGTTCAACAAGACCTGGTCCAAACTCTCGGATTCTTATAAACGAGTGACTGAGAAGTGGGAATTGTAAACTGAGCACGGCGTGAATGCTAACCAGTAGTCTCAGCCGTACTGTCGCCAAACACAAACACAAATTGTTCCATGGAAAACGACGCCAAAAAGTGTCTCGCGTCGCTCGCTCGCTCGCTCACTCGGCCGCTTATCGGTCTCCCTCGCCACTCGCATGCCGTATGATAACAGGGTGGACACAACACTAACTACCACGATGCAACCCTTCTGACAAATAACTATGCGACGGCCGCCGCCGCAGTCTGTCGGTGCTGATTTGTAGTTATCTCGCTCGCTCTCGCGCTCCCCACGCTCAGCTGACTTTTTCGAACAAATTTGGGAGGTTGGCGAGTACTTGCAACGGGCAGAAAAGTGAGACGATGATGGGACTGCTGCTGCTGCTGCTGCTGCTGGAAGAGAAAGAAATGTGTGAGAGTGGCGGCTGTGAGGAACACACACACACACTGAATGCAATGCGTATTTACACATAAAAGGTATACTACATATGCGTGTATGTCAACATAACTACCAGCAAACGAAAAGAGTATGGTACGGATTCATGAGATTAGGCGGTCATCAGAAGCATCCTCCACCTATCGCCTTAGAACTGGTCTTATCGGGGGGCTTGATATGTACCTCGAAATCGGGCGGCGCCTTCTTATCAAATGGACAACAAAAAAAGGTGATGAATGCGACGGTTTGTGTTATGTTATTGGTGGAAAAGAGAGGAGTAGGGCGGGCGACACAACGCGATTTGCAAAAAGGTCAAGTTCTTCTTCTTCTTCTCGCTTTTTTCGCTCGCTCTCTCCGTCTCTCTCCGCGGCGCAACCCGTCTAGCTTATTGGAACGAACGGTTGTCCTCTTTCTTTCTACTTTTAGGCGGTCGACAATAATATCGAAAGATGTAAATGTGAATCAGAGAAGAAGGAGGACATCTGGTGGACGAAGAAGATTATGACTGCTGGGGTCCGCTTCGAGCGGGAGGTGCGCGAAAAATGGGCGGCTGGCAGGAGGGGAGAAGGTCAACCCGCGGAGGGGACGATTGAGATTAGAAGAGCACAATTCAACGGAGGATGGACTAGATTGGGCGTGTGATGACCGTCGTACAGAGCGATCGGGCTCTGACTGAACAGTTTGTCTGGACCGTCTAATTGGCTATTTGAGTGTCTCTCTCTCTCTCTCCGTTTGAAGTCGCAATTGGTCACAATCAAAAAGTGTACGTATTCAGACTGAGAATGCCATCCCAATCCACCTATACGTTTTGAGACTACAGTAACCTTTGACAACTGAATAGACGTGCTGAATGTCAACCTTTACACCGCGCGCATTCTACACACTTTGCAATCCTAATAAGACGCCAAAACCTAAAGCTACATAGTCTGTGCCTATTCTCTACGTGTGTGACACTGCCGGTTGTACCAATAAACATTGGGCGTGTGGAGGGCGATCGGCGAGGAAGAGTGAATGGGTCGGATAGTGTGTCATCTCGTCCGCCTCCGGTGATCCGATGGCATGCCTGTTGCGTCACCGTAAAAAAGGTCAGCATTCGCGGAGAGCTTCATTATAACACAAGATGGTGGTGGTGGAAGAAGGAAACGGGGAGGAAACGGACGGAGAGAGCTGCTGGGTGACCATAAGCAATAAACAAAGTATGTGTGTGAGAAGTGTGAGAAGAAGCCGAATACATATGGCTCGGATTTCCATTTAGATATGGTGAGCATTCGGATCTTACGATCGTAAGGCTGGGCCTGGAGCCTGCGCCGAGAAACCTGGATCCCGAACGTCTAATGCTCTTGAAGATGCTTGACCACTAACTATAGTCGTAACGGAGTCTAACAGTGATCTTCTCAAGAGAATGAGTGGGGGGGTTGAAATGGTTGGTGGTTGTGGAAAGAGGGGTTTTCGATTATAAATGCAATACAAAACGGCGCGGAAAGTGACTGCGTCTCTTCGTCTCACACGCTCTCACCCCTCATTCTCTTTTTTGTTCTTTCTGGTGAGGGCGCTCGCGCGCCGCGTCGGTACCTCATTTGCCTCCTCTTCCTTCGCCGTCGTCTCATTCAAAACTAACACCCTTGAATTGGAAAGTTATACATAAAATGTAGGTATGGGGCGGGCGCCGCGCGAGGAGGACAAAATAGGCGAAAGAGTGTCAGCAGGTGCTACATACCTCTCGTTTCCCACTGATTATTTTGTCAAAGGCAACCGAGAGCGAGCGGGCGCAGCGAGCGGGCGCAACGGGAGGAGAAGAGCAAACAGTGAACTAACCGGGTGGTGTGTGTTACCCCTACCAACCAGGTCTACGGGAGCCGAAACGAACGTGTGCCGAGAAGTCTGAGGAAGCGGCGCACGTTGTTTGTCTGTTTGTTTCACCCGCAACTCCTTGCCACTTTTTTCATTGCCAACTACTACCCACAGTTGAAATATACCAGTTGTGGACGAACAGAGAGAACAGAACGGAGGAGTTAAAAAAAGAATGAGGAGAAGGAGATCATGGGATGAAATGGTCATGTGTAGGTAGGAGGGAGGGCGGAGGGCGGAATGAATAGGGGAAAAGATGAAGAAGACCTTGACTCGAGACTAACTTGTCGAAACTTGTCTGAAGGGTTCTAGATCTCACAGACTACATGAACTGAATGGCATTGGTTCAAGCTTATGTTCCTAAGGTGGTAAGAAGAAATACTGCAGTTACTAGGTTACTGTAGAGATGCTGCAGAGCTTGAGGCACCCGCTAAGAAGTGGCTACCGTAACCCTGAAGGTGAGA